ATCCCTTGCCACACCCTCGCCGCCCGACCACCACTAGCGACAGAGAGGAGCCAAGAACTACTACACTATCATTCTTTGCCCTCCACCCCCGCGTCTCTCTTTCCGCTCAAGCGTGGGCGCGATTACATAAGCGATCCTTGCCACGACCCGGCCCGCGCGTCGGGAACAGTATACTATGTTCTGTCCTTTGCCAGAGCCCCTGTTCTTATCACTCACATTGTGTCTCTCGTCCCCTTTGCTACTTGGACTGGATGTAGGAATCAAAAAGGTCCCGAATTCCTACACCCGAGCATCATCGATCGTCTTGTTTCGCACAGAGTCCATCTCTGCCTTCTGGCTCCTGCGATTACCTTCTCCCCGCCTACATGGCCACAGAATACACTCTGTCCACCGAATGGTGGACCGAAGGAGGCCTCCTGGAGTTGGTAGACACCTCGGGCAACCTGATGCTCTCCTTTCCTCTTGCCTTTCTGAATGCAGGGCACGTAGCAACGTTTGACTACGTGCAACAGGTGCTCGCCATGTGTTTCACCGGCGCGATCAACATCACCTCACTAGACGGCACTCCCAAACGGAGGGACCAGCCCATAGTCGCTGAGCGCCTTCTCGTGACCTCAGATGGTCAGTACTTGATGTCGAGCGGTATCGTGAGCGGCGAGGCGTTTGCCAGGAGATTGCCGTGGGATATCATGAGCCACTAGTAAGGGCTGTACTGAAGCAGCTCTCTACCACCACAGCTACCGGGATACAGGCGACGCGAGGCCCCCGCTTCAAAGACGCATTTCGCGCTCCTCCGAATGACGATACCGCCAGCACCATGAGCCACTCTTCGCGTTCGTCAGTCAATCAGGTCAGAGTCTGGCCGATCAGACGGAACATATGATTGCGCCGCTGATACAAGGGTCTTGCGGATTCGTATACATCCACAGTCGACTTTCCGCACGAAGCTCCAGATCAGGGACGGGGGATGCGTCATTTCCAATGCGCACTTCACAGCAAGCGTGCCTGCCCACATCCTGCCCGTCTCACGCCCTGAGGTAAGTAGGCATTTGGGACTTTGCTGTTCTCGAGTTGATGACGTACCTTTCACACAACGCTGCTCTTGACATGACAGTACTATCGAGAGATTTTGGGTCTGCACAGAAACGCCCGGCTGTACGACACCTCTTATGGGCTTCTCCTCGCAAGAGACTTGCATCATGCCTTCGACCGAGGCAGTATCGCTCTGTACCCAGACGTGAGTCCTCCGGAAAAGTTGTCTATCACTCGGTAGTGTGGAGCTGGCGGCTCACACTTTCGCGCTTGCTTGCAGGAAAATCGCCTCATCGTCCACGTGTTTACTCCCCGTGCTGCAGCCTGGCGACCTTACCACGGTAAGATCATCTTGCCAAGCCGATTCCGGACTGAATTTGAACCTGCCCCAAATATCGAGCTCTTGCGCTTCCACTATAGACAGTGCTGCATGATGCATCTCAGGGGCTACGCTGCCCAGATGAATCTCCCGCAGCGCGTGTCTGATGAACCCTCGCAGCCGCGCTGAGGCAGATGCCGAGGTAGGAAGGAGCTTGTTCAAGGGTCCATGTCACGCCATCGGCCCATGTCACGCCATCGGCCCATGTCACGCCACCAGTCCATGTGATACGAAACCAGACCATGTACCTCTTTGTGCAGCATGCTCCTCGCGATGAGATTGACGCTCTGGATTGTCCCACCCTCAAACGCTTGACAGACAAGGCGAGAGGGGTACGTGTTCTGGGCTAGGTAATGATGATTACGGTCAGATGGCCGAGCATCTCTGATGAATGGTGGTCTGTTGTAAAGGCATTGAGCAGAGCAAAGTGATCGAGTCCGCATGAATGCCGCATTTTCCATTGGCAAACGATCAAGCGGTGTGAGAACTGCTCTGTTGCGGAACGCTTCGCGCTAGGTACCCAGGGCAGCTCCAGAAGTCTTGAGGACCTGGACATCAGGATGCAAGCGATGACATCAGGATGCAAGCGATGGAGTTGCTCAAGGACGTATCGTCAATGGCCTGGCGGTGGTTGTATCAATGGTCAGACTCAAGTTATCAGGTCATTCACAGTCTGATCCTCTAGGTGATGGGAGGATCTTGGGCGAGAGAGACGGGCAAAGCAACTCACGTCATCTCAGCCGCCCTGGGACAACACGTACTTCTGATACCCAAAACCGGCCAATGGGACCGAGTGGACAAGGCTGGCAACACAATGTGCACAAGGGTGCAAAGACACCTAGCCCAGCTGCCGGACTCTCCTCTCTGGACGACTTTTGGTTCCACCGGATACGAGACCAGGCTACTGATGCGCCAAAGTCGCGAAGGAAAGCTTTCAGCGGACTCAGACCGAAGAGACGTGGCCCTCACAGGCAGAGTATGCTTTGCAAGAAGCGCCCAACCGGATGAGACGGTGCAGAGTTCTCCTTGCAGTCCAGCCTTGCGAGGCTGAGGCAGAATTGAACTTCGTAGCGACACAAGGGCTGCCGTCCTCCTGGCTGCAGCCCAGGTCCGCCATCCATGAGGTCAAGAGTGGACTGGCATGAAAGGTGGTCCGAGATCTGCTCTATCGAGTTGCACACAGGGCGCGAGATCAACTATAGACTAGACTAGATGTTCGGGTGCGGAACAAAATTCCGCCCTGCGTGGCTCGAAGGGTGGAGACGCCACCTGACATGAGGCGTAAGAATGTATTTGCGCCACCACCGCCGGCAAAGTCTCCTGCTCCTCCCCATCTCCTTCTTTATCCTCTATTCTCCTTCTACCGCTGCTTGAAGGGCACCAGTTCTACCGTTTGCCAACTTCCTCGGCTTCTTTACATGCGTCGAAGCAATGCACGCCTAGCGGCGACAAGCCTCTTCGTCCTCTTCTGTCTCCTTCCTTCCGCATCGGCAGATGACGTACAGCTCCAACCTGACTCGGCGCTGGCGTACGTTCCCTCTCTCGGCGGCAATGCAGCCGTGACAGCAGTGTATGGAATACTTTGCCTCCTTCTCTTCTTCTGGACCTTCAAGAATCGGGCATGGTGGGCGCTTTGTGAGCCTATTGGCGCTGCCTTCTCATGCTTGGGCTACGGATTACGACTACTCTTGCGACAGAACTCCCAACAAGGCAGCCGTGCCGTCTTCATTCCCATGTATCTGTTCGTGATTCTGTCGCCGGCCGCGTTCCTCGCATTCAACTATATTCTCGGAGGCAGGCTCATCGTCGCCGTCACGGCCATGACACCTGCGAATGCGCAAGACGTGTCTCTAGTACGCGGGCCAGAGAACGCGAAAAGAGTAGGCTGCTGTGGCTCTCGGAAAGCAAAACCCTCTCCTTCGACTCCTACTCGGAAAGGACTTTCACAACGCTCCCCCCTCTCCATGATACCTCCTCGTCTGTATACCCTGATCTTCGTTCTTTCTGATGTGTTGACCTTCCTCATACAAGCCGCTGGCGGCGCTATGCAAACCAGCAACGACTATGCTTCTATCAAGACGGGTGGCAACATCTTCCTTGCCGGAGTCATCTTGCAAACGGTATCGTACCTCTTTTTCTTCTCGGTGATACTCCAGGCGCACTGGAAGTTGTACAAGTGCGACCCCGAGAGATATTCGATGGTCAAAGGCATCAAACGGCGCGAACCTGCGATCACCGTGCTCGTCACTCTGTACGTGACCGGCATCCTCATCATCATACGAAGCCTCTTCAGGGTTGTGGAGAACGGCCAGGGCTACAACGGGACGCTGTACACACATGAGATCTACTCTTTTACTCTCGATGCCTTGCCACTCCTTCTCGTCTTAGCGGTCTACGTGCTCCTCTGGCCCTCCAGACCGCTAAGTCGCGTGGAGCCTTCAGACGCTGTTGTGCACTATTTGCAAGCGATGTCTCGGGGCAAGACCTCGTCGACCTCCTCAATCGAGATGTCGCAGGCGAATAGGGACGGACTGTGATGAGTACTTCTGCAGCTGCTAGTGTCTTGTCCAAGTTCCCAGAATTGCCTCTCATTGTACAATTAGAACCTCATTGTCGTGACATAGACCTCCAGACGTACATAATGACCTTCACTTCACTACACCATCTGGACCTGCGCCTCTCCTTCCACCCTGATCAATTGTGACTTGGCATTCCTCCTCCTGCCAGATCTGATTCAGCCGCTCCTTGACATGAGCAAATTCATGCGCGATGTCGAAGGGTGTAGAGCGGCCGACAGCCTCAATGCTTGCGACCCTCTGCAACCACTTCTGCTCCTCTTCGCGTAACAACTGTCTACGCGCTGCTTTGTTGCTTTCGTACTGGTCAAACAGAGCATTTCTGGCGACCTTGGACCGCTTGGCAAGGACACCCTCCTGAGGCGGTTTCAACGGTGCCGGACTCGCCGGTTTTTGTAAGAGCAATATTGAACGCATACCCGCTCGTGCCGCAGGGATCGCGTCCTCTTCCACGCTGTTCCCGATGAAAAGTATTTGTCCAGCAGATGCACCGCGTGCCTTTTTCATGGCCTCAGCGAAGAAGCCACCATCCGGCTTCGAAAGTCCAACATCGTATGACAGACAGAATGCACTGGTATTGAGTCCCATGGCCATACATGCCCCTCTGATTCCGGGATCGGAGTTGCTTGCGAAGCCAACGGCTACGGATGGCAGGCCACGTTCTACGCGCTTCCTGTTCTTTTCCTTGATCCACAGTAGAAGTCGCCTTGATCCTTCTATAGGCTCGTAGCCTTCATTGTTGCGAAAAAGTTGAATGCAGCGAGCTACCAGCATTCTGCGCACAGACCAGTAGAAGTCTTCGTACTTGACATTCTCTCCAAATTTACGACGTACGGAGGCACGCCGTCTGATCCCCGAAGGCTTTGGCGCGGTGGGGTCCGAGGCTTCTCCAGCCCCGAGCAGGACCCTGTCGATCACTTTGCCCCACCAGACGTCGGGAGTCGGAACCTCAGATGTCCCTTTACCGTAGTTCGGATAGGCTGCTTGCATCTCCTTGAAGGCCTGGGGAAACAAAGCCGTCGCTCTCGCATAGTGAGTCGGAAGCCCGAAGCTTCTGTTGGCCAGGCGAGCATATTGCAGACCAGGAGGCTCTTTTGGCCGCACAAGTGTGTCAAAAATATCAAAATAAATGAAGCGCAAGGGCTCGGAGGGTTTTGAGGATAGGAAGGCCGGAAGAGTGGCCATTGTGCTTGCCTGTAATGGCTCTTTTGACTCCATATCGACATGAGAGGAGTAATAACAATGCGCCGCTTCGAGCTTTGCGAAAGGTGACTCAAGCTTACGGCTTCGCGGAGTGTTGTGGCGCTGGATCATAGATGCTGTACTATACGATCGACGCTGGGCGTGGTCGGCGGGGAAACTTTGTAAAGGAAGGGAATTTGCGGCATTTGCCATCGGTCTAATCAGGGCAGCAGATCGTGAGCGATAGCTCGGTATCAGAACCAGCACTACCCAAATGACTCACCCTCTTGCGTTTTCGACGAAGCTTTCGAGTCCGGTCACTCCTCCTAGCTTGCCTTGCGCTTCTGCCTCGACGATGTTATCTGCAGTGGCCTTGGCAGACCTGACAACGTCGTTCAAGCTGACACCGATATAGCTGGCTCCTGCAACAGTGATTTGATCCATCCTCTGAAGTTCGGAATGTAATTGCAGCATACGAGAGAAGTGCCCGGGGAGGTAAGTTGGGATGCAATGTCGCTGCAGACGAGCGCGTGCCACCGTTTCCTCGTGTGTGGTCAAAGACACTGGGATGGCGAGATGGCGGTCTAACGCGCTGACAGCGCGACGAAGAATCTCTTGTTCACTTGGCAATGGAGCAGCTGATGCGCTCCCGCCGCTCTTCGCCGCGGCGCTCATTGGTTGTGTGAAATGCGGTCCCCCGACCATGACCGTCAACTTGGTGACACCACCGTCTGCTTGATCCTGGCCAGCAACGGCGTCCGAATCGAACACGACACCGAGGACGCCTTCCGGGTTGGTAGGCTCCTCCTTGCGCCCTCCTGCTTCGAGGCCTTGGCTCTCACACCGTGGTATCAAAAAACCAAAAGCGCCATCGCCAGTGACATGGTGCGCACGCTTGTTGAGGAAGAGACATTCCGGAGCAACAGCGCGAGCAAGACCGGCGGGAATGGCAAAGTTGACGACTCCGACCGTTGTAGAGGGATTGTATCGTAGCAAGGCTTGCAGTGTGGGAGATGCGTAAGAGTCGTCGAGAATAGTAGCGAGAGCGGTAGCAGGAAGTGACGAGACAACGCGAGAGACTCGCTCCGAAGCAGAAGTAGATGTGACAATAGACGTGCCCGAGTCATCGTATCGAATAGTCTTCACTGGTTCGCCCACCCGAAGCTCCACATTGGGCCTGCGGAGCAGCTCCTCTCGAATGGACCTGGTGATTTCACCGACACCGAATTTGAAACTGTAGACGCTAGCTGAGTCCAAAGCTTTTGAGTACTGGGGTCCGATCAAGTCCTTGATCCGTTTGATTTCCGCGTTATCGGCGTCGGTCTTGCTCATTTGCAGAGCATGTGGAGAACGAAACCTTCGATTCCACTTGGCTGGCAGCAGTGCTCTCAGCAAAGATCCGTGCTTCTGCTCTGTTTCCCACAAGAAAGGTAAAGCACTCCTAACACTGAGCGAGCGCGCGTCGCAGGCGTAGATGCCGTGAATGACTGCAGAGAGAATATTGTTGGTGAGCCTGCCTCCAAATTCGTTACCAAGACGACGACGCATGAAAGACTCGACGCTCTCATCTAGCAGGTGTTCTCTAGCGCGTTGTCTCGCGACTTCTTCCTTGGATTCAGAAGCCGGTCGCTGGAAGCGTGAAGGGCGGAATGGTTCCAAGATGAGAGCTGGTATGATGGAAGGGAACAAAGACCTCAATACAGGCAGCGTGAAGAGAGCTTGCAATGCTGAAGTCAGCGACGATGGAAGTCTGTTCAGACGACCACGAAAGCTCAGGAAACGATTGCGCGCGGATGATGCAGTCGATGGGACGATGATGAGACGGTCCATCAGACCCAACGAGTGAATCTGGCAAGATGGACAAGCGACAACGGGGCGGGTATGTCAGAAAGGTCTCGAGCAAGCTATCTTGACAGTGCAATTTCGAACGCACCAGCTCAACCATGGTCCACCCACTGAGCCCTTTGGGTCTAATCGAGCGGGGTCCACCTTCGAGGACCACGCTACCTGCTCCCGATTGCCTGCCTTCAAATTCAACCACGTCGCTCTCGATCCAGCCACCCAGTCGCTGTTGCGCCTCATAGAGTATGATACGTCTGTCAGGGGGTAGTCGCCGTGACAGCTGGAGGGCAGCTGTAAGACCTGCTACTCCTCCTCCAACGACAGCAATTGGAAGTCGAGGACCACCTGTAGGGTATGGCCGAAGTTCAGCGAGGCTCCGTGCGCGCAGAGATTGCGTTGGCAACAGGTGCATGTCTCGGCGAATATTCAGCTTGATTCGCCTTGTCGCATGAGTATGCATCGTTCGGTACTGCACCGAAGGCGCAGGCGTCGACAGGCTGATGTTGGATCGAAAGGCTAGACGCTGGTGGGAGAAGGTCGGAGAGGAAACGTGAGCTGTTCAGCACAAGCAGTCCCCATATCCCATCGTGGACCGCGCTCACTTCGTGAACTCCCGCTCGCATCAATGGCTTGAGACTTCACAAAGACCGCGCTCCTACGGACAAGGAGAAATACGCTAATTGACCCTGGTACGAATCGACCCAGAGTGTGCCTTCGTCTCGGGCCATGCACTCGAGAGCATTCCTAGCCCTCTGCCGCGACCATCGCGGTTTCCTTGGCTCCTCTGCGTCGCGTGGCAGTGCAACATAGTCCTCGGTGAGATAGGCGTATCCCGAGCCGAGGGTATCGCGCGGACAGGCAGGGCAAGCAAGGAGAGACAGGAGCAGTGTCGAGTCTAGTGAGAGCTCTCCGGGTAGGGACCGTACGATCTTCGGTGCATTCGGTGCAGTAGACAGAGCCACTACCTGATAACCGCTGCCAAGTGGGGAGAGCGTCTTGATCGAGCGCACAACGTCCTCTTCGGAGATACTTGTGCCTGCCTCTTCGACCGGATTCTGTCTCCTGCGCCCACCTGCCCGCAACTTTTTAATCCTGCGTATGAGCTCGTCCATTTCAATGACGCCGCCGTTCAGCTCGCGCGTAGAGATGCACACGTCGACGACCTGGACCCCCAGCTCGTAGTTGAAGTCTCCCAGCCCCAACAAGTCGTTCCAGATGCCAGCGATCTTGCCGCTGCTGCCACTCACTCTGGAAGGGCCAGCTCCACCCAGCGGATCGACTCCAATATTGGCACACATCCTTTGAAACTCGCCCCTGAACTCGGGGTTCTTGAGGATCTCATTGCGGTGGGTCTTGGCGAAAGACCGCAGGGCTGAAGAAAAGGTCTCAAGCTGGGAGCGCAGATCCGACAGCTGTTGCGTGGTGAGTTGCGATGAGAGTGCCGAATAGGCTTGAGAAGAAGTGGAGTGCCTTGAGAGGGCAGCCAGGCCAGGGCCGCGATGCAGTGACATGGCGTGGCAGGGAGAAGGGAGGCAGGTGGAGAGTGTCGTTTCTGCCTGCGTATCTTGCCCGAGCTACGGTATCATCAGCAGGCGGGCAGGCGGGAGAAGGGCAAGGTGAGGACGGGAGGTAGTGTGCGTACGATGACTAGACTAAGCAAGAATTGACTTGGCCCTGCGTGGCTGATGCGCGCGGAGTGCAGCGCTTCCGTGGCTGCGAGTCTACCACCATCCTTGCGTCTGCCGTGGTCTACCCTGCCTACCATTACGCCCCGTATACGCATACGCAGTCGGCCGCTGCCTGTGACATCGTATGATCACCATCACACCCCTTGGAGAGGGCGGTGGGTCCTCCTCGTCCAAGGCGACTTCTCGTGCACTCTGCCACTTGATCCGCGTCGACTCGTCGTACCTGCTCCTGGACTGTGGAGCCCCAGAAGATCTCATCTTCCCACCAACGCCCTCGCCTCCCCCGCGCCCACTCGACCTCGCCTCGTACATCCTTCCCGATGGTGACCTCGACACGGAGGCGCTGACAGAGCTCCCACTGGACGACGCCATTCAGCTCATCGCTCCCCGCATCTCCCTCGTCCTTCTCTCTCACTCTACCCTCCATCATGTCGGACTCTACGCATACGCCAAAGCACGCCTGGGCTTGACCTGCCCCGCGTATGCCACCTTGCCCGTGGCTGCCATGGGCCGCTTGGTCACCGTGGAAGCCATCACGGCGATTGCCGCAGATTGTGACGTTGACAAGTCGGACAAGCGGCCACAGCAAGGCACAGTCACTGGCACCAACGTGGTCACAGCCGTCAGATCGGGTCGGAGTGGCAGGCCGCCGAAGGGTCGCGGCGCTGAGCCTGGCGTGTTGAGGAACAGGTGTACGCCGACCAAGTCCGAGGTAGATGATGCGTTTGAAGGGATCAGGACGCTGAGGTATCTACAGCCTACTGGTCTAGACGGTGAGTTGTAGATCCCATTGCCTGCGACCGGCCCGCCTTTGGCATGGCATGCACAACTGACCCAAGTTACGCCAATCTCCAGGCCCTCTCTCATCTCTGTCCTTGTCTGCCCACTCGGCCGGGCACACCCTTGGAGGAACAGTGTGGAAGTTACGGTCGCCCACTTCAGGCACAGTTGTACTTGCCATTGATTGGAACCACGTCAAAGAGAGGCACATCGATGGATCAGGCGTCATTGATGCAGTCTCTTCCCAGGCTGCCGAAGCTGCAGGCACAAAAAGAGCAGACTTGTTCGTCACGAGCGGAGCAGCAGTAGACAAGATCAACCTCCGTCGCAAGGACAAGGACAAGAGACTCCTCGACCTGATACATCACACCCTTACAGTGTCTAAGAGTACGCTGCACCTCCCGGTCGATGCATCGCCACGACTGCTAGAGATCCTTCTCCTCTTGGATCAACATTGGGCTTTCTCGTATCCGCACGCTCGGTTCCCCCTGTGCCTTGTCAGTCGCACTGGCAAAGAGGTACTGGAAAGAGCGAGAACGATGCGGGAGTGGATGGGCAAAACCTTGCAGGGGGAAGATGCTGGCCGCACCAGTGGTGCTGGCGCTCGAACCGGTGGAAGAGACGCTAGAGACGGCGCCCATGGTCCTCTCGACTTCCGTTTTCTGCGCATCTTCACTTCTCTTGGCGCTTTGGACGCCGCTTTGCCTGCAGAAACCCCGAAGATCGTCCTCACTGTGGGTCCATCTCTGCTCTACGGTCCATCTCTCAATTTTTTTCGAGATCGGGTCGCTCCTCATGCAGATAACACAATCGTTCTGACACAAAGATCAGAGCTGATCAGTGTCGCACAACAATTACGGGGCTGGTGGGAAACTGGGCAGGGCGAGGCGAGTCAGCAGTCGAAGGCTGTTGGCTCAGAAGTCTCTGGCGATGGAAGAGAACTTCAGGATGTCATCGTGCGACAGCGTCTGCCGCTGCAGGGTCATGAGCTCGAAGCTTACAACGAGGAAAAACGCCTTAGAAAAGAGAAAGATGATCAACACAAAGCTCTCTTAGCCCGGTCGCGGCAAAGGCTCGAAGCAGATCAAGAGGAAGACTCCGACGAAGATGACGGCGACGATGACAAGGCAGAAGACAGCGATGACGACCTGGAAGCGGGCCTGCCAGAAGATCCGGTAGGATTCTCAGCTGTGACTCTGGACGGGAACAAGGGTCGTGGAAGCAGGAAACTGAAGGATCTGACCCACAGCGGAGCCGGCGATGCGCTCGGCGGGGAAGGAGACATGACCCTTCTCGGATCCTCACTCTCTCATGACATATATCTTCGCGGCGATTCTGCTCATGCATCCAACTTCTTCAACCCTCTTCGCGGGAACGTCGATACAAACCTCGAGCAAGAGGCAGCAAAGCGCCACGGGGTAGGTGTTCGATACCGTACTGCCCCAGTAATCGAGAAGCGCAAACGCATAGATGCTTTTGGAGAGGTTGTCGACGTGGCACGCTGGCTTTCGCGCGGCAGAGCAGTAGACGCAGCAGAAGCTTCGAACGCCAAGGGAACCGCCAATACAGCTGCTGAAGCAAGTCGCAAGCGCCGACGCCTTGATGGCGAGGCAGACGCCGACGACGACCTGTTGCCGCCTCAAGAAGATGAGGACGAGTTCAAAGATATACCGACCAAATTCACTGAAGAAGCCACGAACATTACGGTACGTTGCAATATCGTCTGTATCGATCTGGAAGGGCTCATCGATGGGCGTGCTTTGTCAATTGTCTTGCCCCAACTGGCTCCGCGAAGGCTCGTGCTGGTCGGCTGTCCCCAGCCTTTGCCTTCGGCCGTACCTGCGCACAAGAAGGATCTATCGGCGAGCTCGCCTGCAACAGCCACGTCACGATTCATCGATTCCCTGCTAGGAATCAAGGATTTTACCAGAGAAATCTTTGCCCCTGCCCTGGGCCGGAAAGTCAGCGTTGGTGCAGAGGTGCACAGCTTTGATGTCAAATTGGGCGAGGGGGTTTTGGAGCAGCTGAGAATCAGTGGCTGGGAGGACTGGGGAATAGCCTGGCTGCAAGCGAGAGTGACGGGCGCAGTGGAAGAGGACGTCAGAGAAGCCGTTGCTGGTCTAGACGCAAAAACCCCTGTCAGCTCGAGCCCGGCTCTCATAGCCCTCGAAAAGATTTCGTCAGGCAGAGAGTCAACTTCCGAAGTCGAGGAGACGAATGCAGACGAGGCAGACGCTCTCAAGGCCGTCTACAGGCCAAAGAGTAAGGTCCTTGCTTCCAGCCGAGTCTCTACGTCTGGCATTCCAAGGCAACATACCTTCTTCATTGGCGATGTCCGTCTCTCCAAGCTGAAAGCCCTGCTCTCAGCAGCACATCGCATCCCTTCTGAATTCGGAGGAGGCGGTATGCTGGTCTGCGGGGCAGCGGCTTTGGCTCAAGCTACAGGTCAGTCAACCACTTCAGGACCGCACACAAACCCGGCTGGTCCTTTGACCGCCAATCAGGCCGCTGCGGCTGTGACTGTACAGAAGTTTGGGGAGAAGTTCATCTTGGAAGGCAATGCCGGCAGGACTTTTGTCAAAGTGAGGGATGTGATGTACGGCATGCACGCACGCGTCGGAGATATTTGAAAATTCCTATTCTGCATCTTCTCCCGCTTTGTCGAGCGTCTCGCACAAACGGGGCCAAGAAGGCCTGCTTCCGCAGTGAGATCGTTCGAATCGTGAGGCTGATTTTATGTTTGCGATAGCGGCGGGCATCGTTGTCCTGGGGGAGTGGGTAGTACTTGATCGTGATCTGTCTTGCAACGCTCCGAGTCATGCCCCGCGGTCGATGTTGCTCGTCATCTGCACAAAATCTACTGTGGAAGTCGGACACTCAGCACGCTCTTGGGCAGAAGTTTTCGCTTGTGTAGCCTCCGACGTTCGATTTGCGCACGGCAATTGCGGCACTCTGCCCATTCTTCGCAGACTTTTGTTGCCTTCTGAGCCTCCAAGTGAGGCAATGAGTTGAAACTCCACTGAGTATCTCACCTGAGTCAGCCCCTCAGCGGCAGCCGTTGCACTTATGGGTTCCATCGCAACCTCCTCGAGGTGGAGGCTGACGCTCGGGGCAGGACAAGCCTCCTATAGGTGTGTGCTGACCAACTCGTCTGCCGATGTCCTGCTTGACTTTCAATGTCGATCTTCTATGCAAGCGGCCTTTGCCTGCACATGTGTCGCCAATGGGGTGTCGCCAATGGGCATTCTCCCTGACTTGGTGGGCACCGCACCGGCGCGACAGTCGTATGTGGCCAGCTGTCACCTGACACTGAACGATGGCGAAGGTTGCTGTCGCCTATATGGCTCCCATCACGAAAGCTTGCGCGTCGACTGAGTGCTGTTGCCGCGAATAATGGTGGTGATGGTGCCGTAATGAGAATCCCCGACACTGTCGAGTGGACAAGGCTTGACTTGAGGACAAATCCCTTCCGAGGCTACAACGTTTTGCCCTTGTCATTGTAGTTGCCCACCCCTCCGCAAGGTCTCTTTGCGACATCGTGCAGATCGAAGTCCCACTGCTCGTACAGATGACGAGCAGTCTGCAGTTTTCGGCACTTCGCGGACTTAGCGAGGTAATGGCGACGATGTGATATAGATGCATGCACAGCGACACGACCGAATCAATAGCAGATGACCACACGAATAGCACAGAGAACTAGACAAAGAGACCCACGAGACAGGCGACCTCGCAGCCACGCTCTTGCAACAGCAAGCGCAAAGTCCTCACAAAACACGGCAGTGTCTCAAGTCACTGTTGTACCTAGCCTGGTCGAGGGCCTGCTGGGCTATTTGGGGCAACTTCGGCTTGAAAGGCTGCCTCAGATAGGGGGCCAAACCAACGACCGGAATGATGTGGAACTCTTGTTGGCGGTAGAGCTGTTTAACCTATTGCTTACAGTCGAGAGCGCTTTGAGCGCTTTGCCGGCTCCAGCTCTTGTAGCACGGAGGCGTGAGTACGGTAAGACACGACGAGCAGTAACACAGCAGATCACAAGAGCTTTTGCACCTGAGTCGCCCTCACGGTTTTGCGGCCTGCCCTCCGGCCGTAACAGCGCGTGTGGACGAGGGTGCATGCCTACTGTGCAGGCCGCAAGACAGCCGGTGAGATTGTTGTCTCATTTCTGCGATTTGCGTCAGACGAGACGCGACGCTGTGGAAATCTTCTCTGCTCTATCCTCACGTCGCTCGCGTGGCTGCCCTTCATCGGAACTACATACGCCCGCGTGCCTGTGCCTATCTACGTACGGGCACTACTGTAATGGAATAGTACACACCAAGCCTTTCCCCGTCGAAATACAAGTTGAAACAGGACTACCTGGGCGCTAATGGAGGTTCGTCGGCTACTTCAGTGTCGAGTTGCAGATGGCATTGAGAAAGACTGCTTCTCTGCCCGATATTACTGTATGAAGTCCGCTTCACTTCTGAGGAGTGGATCCCGTCTCCTCACCATGTCTGTGGAGAAGACGCTGGGGCATCCGATCTTGACTTCCGCAACGCAACTTCCTACTCTCATCATCACCTCGATCAGTCTTACTTGTGCATCTTTCACTCACTGCGCGCTCTTGTGTACAGTACTTCCGGCCCAGTGGGTCGTGACCTCAGTAGCTTCTTCAATGTCTGACTCTCCCAAGAGCTACTCGTACATATCGAGCGATGACTGCTCGTTTCTCGGCTGAGCTCTAGACCGGAATGTGGACAGCACCTGGAGTCCTTACGATCTCTGCTGCAGCCAGCCGACACCGACTGCATCTGACATGGCAGCTGTGGATATCCCCCCAATCTTTCACGCAAAATTGGTTGTTTCATAGACATCTGTTAGCTCGCAGGTAGTCAGGACGCTACTGTGCCGCTCCCGCCTAGGCATGGGTAGAAGTCAAGAGACTGAGTATCGGGCTTTCGGCTGAGCGCGGAACTCGGCAACAATCAAGCGTCGACAGCAAGCCATACTTGTTCTGTGCCACGGTGCAGATCACATGCCCTCCTGGCGCGCCCAACTTTTGGCTTGTCAAGGGCTGCCACATCTGTCATCTTTCTGTCAGCCTTCGCATTGTATTGGAGCACAGTACTGTACTCTTTTGTCAGTCACATCAAGCCAGCTGCAGCAGAATTGAAGGCATGCATTCAATTTCTGACCGAGACAAAAGATTTCAATCGATTGACAAGGCGGTTTCCGGTCGTTTGAAATTATTCTACTGCCTGACCGTAGCTGTTGTAGAATGTGGCTTGATCTGGGAGGGTCAGGCTACGCGACTGAACATCAACGTTGCACAAGACAACGATACTGAGGTGGGGTACAGTACTGTATCAAACACTCACAAACGGTATCCTTTGCGTGCCCGGTGTGAACATTCATTTAGAACCGCTACCGTCTTTTGCATTCGAAAATATCATGTCTGCTGATGTCGCGTACTGACTGTACTTTCCACGTTGCATGTACTTGCGTACTCATTTTGCACTTGACTGAGTGATTGTCGCAAGCAGTTGCACAATCATTGCCCCATGCATAATCGTGCAAGATACAGTAACGCGCAAAGATACAGTAGCAATTTCATGGTCTTGTTCCAACTGCGTGAAATGAAATGGCTCTTGTATGTCATGCCAGAAGCACGACAGTACAGTATCACGTCATGAAGTCGAAGAACAGCAGTGTACGAAGCAACACGACTGCAATCATCGAACAGAGAGGCGTCTTGTCAATGACGATCTCCTAGAGAAAATAATGTGTCAATTGCTGCCATCGTACTGGTTCCCTAGACAGAACCACTCATTTGCTGCAAAGACTACGCAATTGAAAGCATAGACTACTCGCTATACTACCAAAAGTACGCACTGATTGTATCCACGCGTTTGGATGCGTTGTGGGATTCTCAGCATCAGTGCGTGATTGCTGCACTCGATGGCTAGTCTGAATCTCGAACGAGGAAGATTGCAGCATTCTGCGTACAGATGACACGAGCAGTGGGAAGCGTATATTAGTACGTGAGCGGATGTTGTTTCCATTCACAATTGTGCACATGTCACCTTTCTGGGTCTCAGAGCCAAGCATGCCAAAGCTACTGACACACAAAAAGTTCGGCAATGAACATCTTACACAATTTTTGCCGGATCAGGCCAGTAAAGAGGGCGTTGTGTGCATTACTGTCACAAGACACACAAATCACAAATGGAGCGCGATTAAATCTTGGTTTATTGTTGCGGCGAACTCATGCATGTGGTTGCATTGCGAAGATACAAGGACAAATCGACTTTGGCAGATGTAAGTCTCAAGTCCGACACTACAAGTGCAGAGTTGTATACTGTACCAACTCCTAGAGACGTGAAAGCAGCCAAAGGATGACTCGCTGCACAAAGTCTGCGGGTCGACAGCTCAGTATTGCGGGATTGTTTGAAGGACGTTGCATGTGCGTGTGGCGACACCCCAGGTCACTTTAATGGGCATAGACTTCAGTAAGGCCGCGAGAGACTGGCTGCGGACGATTCCGATACAGTGCTTTCGCTTCCAGAGGGGACTGTACAGAGCAATGCGGAAGAGTAGCATACCAATAGCGTGATTTTGCGCAAGTTGCATAAAGACGTTGGAGACTGTACAGAATACAGCACTGTAGCAGTATGGCAGCCTTCACAGCTCAGACTGTCGTCCTGTGTACAGAAGTACTGTAACACAAGAATCGCACAGGATACAGCTTTGTACTGTACACTTTTCGGTGCTTTACAAACAACAGCAAAGAGCTACAGTACGCTTCATAATAGAGCCATTTTGCTGCGGGTTGACTGACTCTGCATTCTGTGCAACAACCCACGTTCTATGCAATGCTTGAGCAACAAACTGCAAAGACGACTCACTAGGGGTATGAATTTACACATTTCGGGCAAAGAATAGCTGGTTGACTCCGACTGAAAGTAATGTCTTGTGCTCTTGCTGGACGAAAAAGGAGATGTGCAAGCTCGTGCACCACTGTGATGCACGGTGGTTGCGCCTTGTGATGTTCTGGATGCTGTCCGTTTTCTCTGCTGGGTCTGCCGTGCTCTGCAACGGCTTTGCTTGTCTCATCTTCACATAAACTAATTGATGGACGACTTTGTGCTGAAGCAGTACTGTGCACATTTCAACGTGTACAGTATGACATTCGAAGACTACAGTATGAACGTCAGTCGAAAGCAAAAAATGCAAACCCTATACAGTATACAGTACTCTACGTTGCGACATTCATGTACGGTACAGTACAGTACAGCACTTGAGAAAGGGGAATTGTACTTTGTATCCAATTGCGTACTGTCTGCGCAAGCGAGCGATGTGAGCCGGACCACAATACTGGGTAGTGTCGTCACTTTGTCGAAACACATCAGTACAGTAGTCTGATTCGTAATGTCACATGCACTGTACTGTATCTAAGCCTGCAGCTGAGTTACAGTACGGTACTTTCGTTACAGTACAAAAACGCTTCATCTGATCCGTGCTTTCAAAAAGTACGGTGCGGTAAAGATGATGTTGTGGAACTCAAGCTTCTGCACTTTGAGGCTGTTGATGCAGACCTGCCCCATCGAGACGCTACTCATAGTACTGTACCATATTCTCGGCTACGCGCTCTCTCGCCGACACGACTCAAGGGATATGCAGAGTACGCACTTGTGTGCAGCATTGACCGTGCAGTACCCACCTGAATGGTCGCCGATCATCGCCACGTCTCCGTTACGGTAAGCAGCAACCCTGAGTGCTGCTAGCTTCGCGTCTCTCAGAAAGCGCCGTTGATACTGCACATAGATTGGCTCAGTGTGCCAATAAGCATGTGCGAGAGCTGTTCGCAGACACGAGAAAATTCTGTAAGTGACAAAGCAAGCCCAGAATGAAGTTGCACTTTCGGGGCCTGAAGAGTTGCACACTAGGATACAATACACTTCAACGAGAGAGGCTTACGCTACAACGAGTACGTGTCTGTGACAGTGCTAGTCAGTGACATCTTCAAAACCGCAGTAGAAGAGACGATTGCGTAGCAGAAGCGCGAGCAAGCACAGAGAATCAGCAATGTGTGGTCGCCTGATGGTCTATCTCCGCTTGGTCGGCGTGCCTTGTTGACGAAAGCGCAACAAGACCTTTGACTGAGAAGGCAGAGCAGAAACTAGGTTGCCCTTCTGCCGCATCCGTGCTCACTGCTCACTACTGTGTCTGCTCCTGAGTAGCACTGAATACCTCCGGCGACGTGTAAAGGTGTCGTGGGCATAGGCGGTTGATACACAGGCGGGATTCATTAGAGTGTGATTGGCAAAGGCTGTCATTGCTCAAGATGTTGGTGATCGTAGTGAACAACTGTGCTAGTGCAGGTGTTGAAGTGAGGAACAAGGCATAGGCAACAAGCAGCACTGGCACCCTCCCCCCTCTACTTTGTACACTTGCCCTCCTCCGTCCTGCCCCTCTAGGCGCCGCCCCGAGATGCCTTGATGAACCCCTGCAGATACACTTTGAACTTCTTGACGTCCAACTGCTCTAGATTGCCGACGAAGTCCCGGGCCATACTTTCTGGGCACTGAATGCCCGGAAAGAAGACTTCGAGTAAGTACCTCTGCAGCTCACTCCCCCTGGCGCTCAGGATTGTCTTCAGCAGCGTGGAGATCTCGCTCAGCACCATCTGTGCCTGGGCGTCGTTGAAGTCAAAAGTGGCCTTGGCGGGCACCTCAAAGGTCAACGGCACGACAGTCTCGTAGAGAAAGGCTTCGAAACCCGGCACTTTCACTGGCTGTGGTACCTTCGGAGTGCCGTTCATCCCGCTGTGTCCGTTGGCAGAGTGGCCCGGCTGGACCAACTTCCCATCGTCAGCCCACAGAAGGACTAAGCGGCTCAAGATGTGGAATGAGGCTCGCTGACAGCTGGCGTCCCCATTTGCAGCATAGAAGACGATGCTTTGCAGAATGGTCTGTAGCTGGGCCAGATTTCTCTCTGATGTCAAGACACCGTCCAGACCAGTAGTGACGAGAGTGGACACAAAGCTGATGTATCCACGCTGCAGCTCTGTTCGCTGGAGTGCATCATCGGTACCTGAAATGTCTTGGTTGAGGAAGTGGTAGATTCTCTCGATGAGGAGAGCTAAGAGTTCATCCATCATTGGCTGGACATTCGTCTTGTACTTGGTCACCACAAGACCAAGAAAGCTAAGGAAGTCAATAAGCTCGACCGCAGTAATCTCTCCCAATAGGCTCTGAATAAGGTTGGGTATGAAGGGCAGCACCGCTTGACCAGTGGTGGCAACAATCCGTGCGAAGGCACCTCTAGAAGCTTCCCTGATGATGCTGAAGCGGTTGAGAGCTCTCAGAGCGATCAAAATCTGCTCGGTGACCGATTTGAAGATTTCCACCCAGCCCGCGTCTGCTGGCGTCAGGGCGTTGTGAGCGAGGTCAGGGAAGCCTTGGGCAATGTTGGCTAGCGCCAGCATGAGGTGATGGGCCTGTAGCACCTCTCTCAGGTTGCGGCCTTCCGTCGAGAAGCTTTGTACAGCTTGTTGCAGTTGGCCCATCAGAGGATCGCATACGGCTTTCAGCAAGGCCGTCTGCTCATCGGGAACAGTCTTGAGCAATGAGATGAGGCACCCGCAACTCTCAAACAAGTACAATTGACTATCGAAAGGACCTGCGGACTCTGTGGCCTTTGCCAAAGGGTCCTCGTCGGAGTCGCATTGAGGCATCTCGGCATTGATGACCAAGATTTGCTGTGAGGGGCAAAACGAGTGGAGAAGTCTTCAGCTCTTGTTTCGATCATGCCCTTTCACTCACTGAGACTCACTCTCATGCTGTCCAACACCTTTTCAATGTAATCGCGCGGGATGATACCAGCTACATCTCTAACAAACTTTGAGAAGAGGTACCAGACGCGGTGCCGGATGCCAGTGTGCCCACTGTACAGACCTCGTTGATCCAAGAAGACGAACAATGCCGCTGAGAGATTGTCCGGCCGGGCGACGAAGAAGGATGAGTATCGGTTGAGACACTCAAAGTACTGTAGTTGAACTGCTGGATGTGGAAAGCTTGCAATGTTTGACTGCACCACCGATTGGAACGCTTCTCCGAGCGTATTGAGTGGCAGAGTCGGGTAAATGGAGAGGGACAACTTGTTCTTCGGCGCCTTGGCAGCCTCAGGTGGCATCTGCACGAACGTATTCGCACTGACGCCCATCTTGGGAAGGCCAGATGCATTGATCAGCACCTCAACGTAAAAGTAAGCAGCAAAGACTGCCATTTCCGCTTGCTGCCACGTAATTTGTGGTCCGGTACCACTGAGACCACTTTGGACGGCTTTCAATGTCTGTCCAATGAGGCCTTCGACCCTCGAAGAGAAGATTGTCTCGTCGATGGAGGCCACCGCACTCAGGATCAATTGTAGCTGTTTCCGCAGCTCTATGAAATGAGCTTCATCTTCGTCACTTGCTCCTCCATCCCCGTCATGCGCCCCTGCGCCGGTCCATTCCGTTTCGTCATCGTACTTCATCTTCGACAAAGCGACCTCTACGACGCGGGCCAATGCGTCCAACTGTGCTGCATTCAAGTTGCCACTGGCATGTTTCCGCTTGAGCTTCTTGTAGTAGGAGAGAGTAGCGTTCGTCCCGCTCAGGACGCATTCTGTAGGCTCATCGTATTCGTCGGCAAGAAAAGCGAGCATTAGTGTGAGATGGCGCACCAAGAGCTCATCTGCAGTGGTTCGGGTAGATTCTTCTGTTGCGGACTCTTCCAGAATCTTGACGAGTTCCAATGTGATCCCATTGGCGAGCCTCGCGAGCCTCTCTCGAAGCTCAACCACGCTGTCAGTATCCCCTGAATTGTCCGTGACTCTTGTTTCGCCTTCGAGGGCTCCAACGATGGTAGTGAGGTCAAGGACCTGAAGCAGCTCGAGCTTGCTGGCGGGTTTCATCCCCTTGGACACAACTTCCAGAAGGGCCTCTGCCGAAGCTTTGCGCAGACCAATGACTTGATGCTGCAGCAGCGCAAAGAAAATCGGAACTGTCTCTGGTGTGACCATCAAAGAAATATCCAGCCAAGAGACGTAATCACCAACCACACTGATGGCCATTTCAGTAATCTCGGCGGCTTTAGTCGGTCCCCAGCCTTGAGCATCGTCTCCTGCACTAATCTTTGCGGTTCCATCCCGAACAACAGACCAGACTGCTTGAGCCACAGTGACGGCGTGATTCGCCCGAATCTCGTCTCGAATGAGGCCGTCACGTTGCAGGCGGTCTTTGCTTCGGACCGCTCTGAGAGTCACGTCGGATCCTAGCGTGATGGAGAGGTCATGCAGGACACGTAGAACCAGGTCAGTGGTGGTGGGATTGATAGTCGAAGTCGAAGAGGACGAGTCCGACCGCGTCCGCATGAGGCCAATCAAGGTGGGAAGAAGAGTAGCAGGCTGGGGGAGACTGTAGGTCTGAAGCAGGAGCATGGTAAGGACTTGGGCGAGCTTGTTCTTGGCATCTGCAATGGTTCATAGATGGCAGCAATGTTTCAGTTTAGACTCTGCCTGGCGATTGCCAGATGTAGAGGGGCAGCACTCACATCCTGCCACTCTGTCTGCAGCGCCGGTGACGTAGTCCTCTTGGATGTAGCGCAGGGCAGACTCTTGCAGGTATGCGACTGCTCCAGCCGGATCTGATGCTTCCGAGACGCTACAAATAGCAGGGCGAGGGTGTGAAGGTTGAGTATGTACTCGACGTCGCATGCCCATTGGTCCTCTGGGGACTCACTGGTTTTCCAAGAATTCTGCCACGAGGTTCAGACCGAACATGCGAGCCTGCTCAGAGTACTTTGGTGTGCTGCCATCTTCCGTCTTTGAGGAAAAGGCATTCCAACCTGCGCTCCAACTCTCATGAGTGATGGACTTGAGGTGCTCGAGGAAGTTGAGTGCCTGGGCCGGCAGGGATGCATCTTGTACTGCTGTTGGGTTGGATGCTATTTCTACTGCCTGTGCGAGCTGTTCCTCCATGATGGTGGAGTCTGAGACGCTATGTATACGTGATGGTGGGTGAGAATGCGGTGTTGCTCATAAGTGATACGCAATGGATTCTGCTGAGGGGCCCGTAGCTAGTCTTGGTCAAGGGTCGTGTGAGGGGCGTGGTGCAGCACGGGGCACGATGGGTCTGGAAACACCTGGTGGCCTTCTTTGATCTCTGGATGCGGGACAGGGAATGTATGCTGCGGAAAGTAGAGGGTCAATACGACAGTGACGACTGCTTCGAGCTGAGCTGTCCCTGCGTGGTGAGATGGTGAGGTGGTGCTGTGGTGATGGTGATGGTGATGGTGATGGTGACGATGGTGATGCCTGGCTGCGAGGAGAAGAACACTCCAGTGATCCCTGCCCGTCCTCACTCCGCTGCGATTCCTTCGGAGTGCGTCGTCGTGATGCGTCCTTTACCGGAACGGAAGGGGTTGCGCGCGGTGGACTGTGGCCTTTTTGGTTCCTTTCCGTTGATGGGATGTGCGTCCGTGCACGATGTCAAATCTCGGAGGGGGGTTGGTTGAGTGGATGACTGAGCGTGAGGGGCAAGAGTGGCGTAGTGCCTGGAGGCGAGGCGTCTTGTGGGTCAGTGTGACTCTGCTGCTGCTGCTGCTGCTCCCCGCCTACGATCACTTCACCAGGGCCGTAGGAATTGATCCTCCTCCTCCTCCTCCTTGTCCGTCTCATCCCATTCACCATTCGCTTCTCCACCGTGTCCTGCCACCCACGTCGACTTCATCAGCATCTGGTTCGACGCTGCTGCACCCACTCCTCCGCACTTGTTCTCTCCAACGAAAGCAAAGGTCCTTATCATCGTCATCATCGGCCCAACAGCCCTCACTCACCTGCTGCCGATCACTGCGGATCTGGTCTCCGGCAGGCCCGTCTCCCTTCACCCAAGTCGTCCAGGCAGCCACTTTTTCAGTGGTGGTAGCCGGCTCATCAAGAGCAACCCGCTCTGGGTACGATCTCGCTACCAGTCGTCGGCGAGCTCATAGGATCATCGGTACCGCAATAAGAGTAGGGCCTCGCAATCCCTCACTTGCTGCAACTGAGTCCCTTGCCCCGGTACTCCATCCACATACACAGCCCACGCCACTCTATCCCTCGTCCTTCACCTCCCGGCTCCCGCTCTCATCATGGTGTCTTCAGTCACACCTCCTCCTCGCACCACCTCTTCCCCTTCTCCTTCTTTCCCCTCTTCGCCCTCTTCACGAGCCCCTTCGATGATCGACGATCCTACCTTCAGCGACGTATCCAGCCTCGATGACGAGGACTATGAGCTCATCGACGGCCAAACTCCATCCGCAATCTATGACTCCACAAACCTCTCCGCTTCCCAATCTTGGATGGGTGACAGCGTCCAGTCAACCTCGCCTCACACTGGTCATGCCTCCATCGCTGCTCCTTCGATGGAGATAGACACAACAGTCGCCTCAAGCCGCGACCGTCGAGGATCCCCAGAGACTCTCATGGACCATTCCTGGGCTGCTTCCGAGGACCAGCAGCATTCACTAGCCCGGAACCAAAGCGCCGCAGACCAAGACATCGACACCCCCGTCTCCTCGACGCATCACTTGGCTCACGCTGGCCTCACCACTGGTGCTCTTCCGTCGGACATGGCAGCGGGAACGAACGCTGGAGGTAGCGGCGGCAGTACTGTCTCTACTTGGATCCTCCCAGACCCAACCTCTCCCGAGAATTCAATCCATCTTGGACACTCTCAGCAGTGCAGCACACCGAACGCTACTCACTCGAAGAGGTATGTATCACACACGGAGCATGCGCCTCGAGATTGCAACCCCCCTACTTGCCTTCCTTTGCTGACGGTATGCTTGCCGTTCCTTTCCTCGCTCTTGCCTCGCTCCTATCGACAGCGCTTCCGACCAACACTCACGCCTCGAAGCAGCCAAAGGCCTACCGGCCGTCGATCCCGTCTGGAAACGCACTCTCGGAGCCTCATGGGAAAGGACGCTGGACAGCGACCTCTCTTCATCTGAGCCGCAGCTGAGCCATGGGGTAAGGAATCTCAGTGATACAGGCGGTCACAATCAGAATGACATCCCCGCTGGCGAGAAGCATGCCGGTGCCATTGAGACCTCATTGAAAGAGCCCATCGAGCCTGATTGGGCACAGAAGACCAGAGCGTGGCTTCAAATCAGCAGTAGTGGCACAGTCAATGTGCCTGAAGAGTTCACTGGAGCCAGGCGGGGCGGGGCAGCCAGTAAACACCAGGACAGTCAAAAGGCGGATTGCAACCTCCGGGGGCTCGTCGAAAAGGGCTCGCATGCGGCCCGAGCGCACATGAAAATCGCTATCCCGAACAACGCATCTCAAGGCCTGCTGCTGCACTGGCTTGTTGCTGCATTGTGCGGCTTCGTGGGAGCTGTTGTCCTTCTTCATCCTGCCCTCCCCACTGAAGCAATTCGCGCGGCGATGAGCTTCTCGACGATCTCGCCTTTTGCATCCTTCATCAGTGTCCAAGGAGATTTGTCTCCTGCTTCTCTCAAATCCGCCGAGATGTCATCTGTGTCGATGCAGAAGCCTCAGCCCTTGGAGACTGCTGCTATCAGTGCGCTTAGCTTGCCGAGCTCTTTCGATCTCTTGGTAGTGAACAACGATCATAGGAAGCCGTCACAGCACGGCCGGGCCAGTTCAATATCTTCATCGATGGATGAAGACAAAGAAGTGGCTTTCACTAGTGCAAGTCAGGATCTAGGGCAAGGTAATGCACCCATCTCTGAATGGTTGCTCGCGACATCCCAGGCCGTATGGCGCACCCTCAAGACCAACGGCGCCATGGGTGTGGCTGCAGCCTACGCAGAGTGGTACTACTGGGAAACGAGGCTCAAGGCTCTATGGTTCGAGGTAATGGAGCCGATGGTAAAGCAAGTCAGGCGCGACTTGGAAGCAATCGTGTCCACCTTAGGCACCGAATTGTGGGACGCGACTTCATTTGCATCGGCTTATGGACAGGCGATGTCTACCTCCGCCACAAAGAAAGCTCATAGGGTCCTGAAGCATTCCGAGGCAGCTCACAAAGCAACACTCAAGCAAGCCGAGGCCTTTTACGAAGCTTATCTGAAGGATCAGCTGTCTGAGAATAAGCAAAGAGCTTCTGAGCACTTCGAAAAGGCCAGAAAGACGGCTCAACACCTGCAAAGCACCGGCGGCGAGCATGCAACTCAGTTCTACCAATCTGCCAAAGGCTGCCTCGAGACTTGGTCTCGTGAGGCTGCGAAGGTGGCCGGAGCGGGCAAAGAGACGTGGTCAGACTTCACTGTATCCTCGGAAGTCAGCAGTCGCGCCAGAAGAGTGGTATCGAATGCAGAAAAGGGCAAGAAGGCTATACTGGAGGCTATAGAAGCCCGGCACAGGGCTGTGGCAGGTGCTCGAGGTCTACCATCCGACCGATCTGGGCCTTCCATCCGATCGCGGGCCGCTAGGAAGGCTACGACTAAGCGAGGCAAAGTAAGAGGCCAATCTGACAACAGCAGTGCGTACGTGGTGCACAGCGACTTCTTGAGCGAAGCGGCTGCCCCTCTGCAGAAGGCTTCTCAGCAGGCCCGGGATGCTGTCCAGGCGCAGTTGAAGAGAGCGAGCAAAGGCTCGGATGCGGCCAAGAAGTCTTTGCAGAAGGGATTGTCTTCCTTCGACGAGCAATGGAAGCGGGCGACGAAGAAGGCCAAAGTGGGCACGACCAAGAGGTCCAACAAGCGCGTCGGCGGCTCCGTGAAGCGACGAGGGTGGGCTTGATCTACCCACGACTCGAGCTCAGCTCACCCGCTGCTGTGCGCTCCCAGTGCTCGTCATCGCAGCTTCTCTCCCTATCCGTGTACGCTCATGATCGGCCATGTACTTTTCCCATGTTGTTACTTGTCCCTGCCCTTCCAGCTCCTATGACAGTCTTACCATGTTCTTGGACCCCGAGGGGGAAGCTTGGGTGAGACGCGCCGCCATCGGACGCGGAGTTCCAATCTCTACTCCCGTCGGCATGACTTTTGACGAAGACTGAGAGCAGTCAGTAGCCTACTAGTGTACCTTGCACTTCCTCTCCCACCGTCTCCTCCCCCGCCGTCAAGCTCCGCAGCAGCGTCTCCTGGCTCCATATCCCTCGCACCAGCCGCCCTTGTGTTGCCTGTGCCATCGCCCGTGTTCGATCTGACCTCGGTAGGGCTCAGGCCTTCGCTCGTCGCTCAGCTACGTCCACCAGGGTGACCTCGCTCCAACATGGCCGCGTCCCATCAGGCCAACAAGCATGCCTTTCTCTCCATGGCCCCGCCGCCCAACTATGTGGCGGGTCTAGGCAGAGGAGCATCTGGCTTCACCACACGGTCCGACATCGGCCCAGCCAGACAGACTGGCCCCGACCCCTCCTCTTCCAAGCGTGAAGAGGGAGCAAAGGACGATGAAGAGGGCGAGGATGGACAATACGACGACCGGGATCCCGAAAACGAGACGGGACTCTTCGTTGGAGGCCCCTACGAACAAGACGATGAGGAGGCTGATCGCATATGGGACGCCGTCAACGTCAAGATGGATGAGCGGAGGAGGGCAAAGCGCGAGGCAAGAGAAAAGGCAGAGTTGGAAAAGCTCAGAGCTGAGCGACCCAAGATTCAAGCTCAATTTGCCGACCTCAAGAGGGGCCTGGGAGGAATGACGGAGAGCGAGTGGGAGTCGCTGCCCGAGGCTGGGAATCTTACAGGCAAGAAGAGGAAGAAGAGTGAAAAGAGGGAAGCTAGGGAGACTGGGAGGAGCTACGCAGTCTCTGACAGCATCCTCTTGGGAGCGAGGGATCAGAACATGAGTGAAAATGCTCTCTCACAAGATCAGATGGACACAGAGGGAAGCACGTCGTCCAAACAAGGCATCATGACCAGCTTGACCGAGATTGGAGAGGCGAGGAACAAAATCTTCTCCCACAACCTCGATCAAGCCGGCACGGCCACTTCCCTGGGCGGATCAGCCTCCACCATCGATCCAAAGGGATACCTCACGTCGCTCTCTTCCTTACCTACGCAATCAACAGCCGAGATAGGAGACATCAAAAAGGCGCGTTCGCTTCTGGACTCGGTCATCAAGACGAACCCTTCGCACGCTCCCGGCTGGATTGCAGCAGCTCGTCTGGAAGAGGTGGCGGGCAAGATGGCAGTGGCTCGCAAAGTCATTGCTCAAGGATGTGATCATTGCCCCAAGTCGGAAGATGTGTGGCTGGAGAATGCAAGGCTGAACAATCGTGACAACGCAAAGGTCGTGCTTGCTCAAGCTACACAGGCACTCAAGGGACAGAGCGTCAAAGTCTGGCTAAAGGCGGCAGAGCTGGAAACTGATCCTCAAAGCAAAAAGCGGGTTTTGATGAAGAGTCTGGAGGTGAGTATGTTTTGTCATCGCCTTCACCAAGTCTTTGAACAACGTGCTGACGTCTTCAGCTTCACTTCCCACCCACAGTTCTTGCGTGAGTCGGTAACACTCTGGAAAGAGCTCGTCAACCTCGAAACAGATCCGGCCGAAGCACGGACGCTGCTTTCCGGAGCTGTGGGCGCTATTCCCTCTTCAGAAGCTCTCTGGCTCGCCCTTGCTCGCCTTTCGCCGCCTACTGAAGCCCAAAAAGTCCTCAACCAGGCTCGCAAAAGTATACCCACGTCCCATACCATCTGGATCGCCGCCCTTCGCCTCTGGGAGCAGACGAGCGAAGAAGCAACTGATGCCACTCAGACAAGGCTGGATGGCATGATGTCCAAGGCTGTGCAGTCATTGAATCAAAAGGGCGCTGTTCTGTCACGAGATCAGTGGATGGAAGAGGCGCTGCGAGTAGAGCAAGAAGGCAGTCCTATGACAGCCGAGGCGATCATCAAGGCTACTCTTGCATTGGGAGTCGAAGACGATGAGGATCGGCGCATCGTGTGGGTCCAAGACGCCGAAGCTGCCAAGGATAAGGGCTGTGTAGCCACCGCACGAGCGATTTTGACCTACACGCTGCGTCTGTTCCCGGACAGAGCGAGCATCTGGAGATTTGCCATCGATCTCGAGAAGGAACTTGGCGACTCTCAGGCTCTAGAGGCGCTTCTCGAGCGCGCAGTCACCTCCGTGCCGAAGAGTGAGACGCTATGGCTCATCTATGCCAAGACGAAGTGGGACGCTGGAGACATACCCGCTGCTAGACAAGTCTTGATCCGGGCATTCGAGAAGAATCTCGGCTCGGAAGAGATTTCTCTCGCTGCAGCCAAGCTAGAATTTGAAAATGGTGAGAAGGAAGCCGCAAGACTGCTGCTAGAGCGAGCTAGAGGAGAAGTGGGATCGCGCAGAGTATGGATCAAGTCGGCTGTCTTTGAGCGTGACGAAGGCAGGGCGAGCAACGCGCTCGAGATTGTCGACCAAGGTCTATTGAAGTACAACGACGAACCCAAGCTGTGGTTGATGAAGGCCCAGCTCGTGCAAATAGAATCAGTCAGTCCCAGCAGGGAGGATGGCATCAGGACAGCTCGCGAGGCCTTGTCGAAGGCGACCAGGTCGTGCCCTACCTCCATCGCGGTCTGGCTCTCGGCATCTAGGCTCGAAGAGGCTGCAGGCCTGGCCATCAGAGCGCGCGCCCTCTTGGAACGGGCTCGATTAGCCAATCCACGCAACGAGGTGATTTGGCTCGAGGCAGCACGCGTAGAAGACCGATCTGGCTCGCCTCAAGAGTACCGCCGTCTCCTCTCTCGAGGTCTGCAGGAGTGTCCTTCTTCGGGTCTTCTCTGGGCAGAGAGCATCTTCGCAGAGCCCCGCTCCACTCGCAAAGGTCGTTCGGTCGATGCTCTCAAGAAGAGTGGGGACGATGCTCGCGTTTTGTGTACTGTTGCTCAGCTCTTCTGGACAGAGGGCAAGTATGAGAAGGCTCGACACTGGTTCGACCGGATGTGCAAGGCAGATCCGAAGTGGAGCGACGGGTACGCATGGTGGTACAAGTTCGAGATGGTGGAGGAGCATGGTGGGAACGAAGCGGGTAGAGAGGCCATTGTGGAAATGGCGCGCAAGAATGAGGCGAGGTACGGCGAGGTGTTCCAAGCGGTCAACAAGAGTCCGGAGCGGATCAGTGGGAAGTGGACGATGAGACAGGTCATTGAAGAGGTGGCTTCGCGACTTGTGCTCAAAAAGTAGTGATGGTGGGTGACGTGCCATTGTAATGAATACGAAGTTGTATAAGCTCTATGATCGTCACGATCTATCCTCTATGTTTTTTGAACGTCTCTGTTACGCCCTTGCCTTCCCTGAGATCTCTCATGCACCGCTCGTCGACCTCTCTTCCCTTCTTCGCTAGTTCGACCACCTGAGTCACCTGGGAACGAGGAACCACCACAACTCCGTCGACATCTGCCAGTATCAAGTCCGCGGGCTCGACGGTCATCGACGGGAAAGAAGGATCCACTGTGTCGCTTGCGCCCTCCGCTGGTGAAGCAGGGAAAGTAAGAGACTCGCCAAGCTTTGCCGGGCGAGTGAAAGGGGACTGGCCAAGGGTGGAGTGACCTTTTGCGAAAATCTGCGATGCAAGTTGACATGCATGTTAGTGAGTAATGCATATACCTTTCCCTGGTCTTGAGCCTTGGTTGCCATACACAACTCACTGTGAAGCCACTCTCCCACTGCTCTGCCAAATCTCTACATTTGCCATCTAGCACCACTCCCTTCACCCCTTTACTCTGAGCCCTAGCAGTCATTAGTCCCCCCCAAATGGCGCTCTCCGTCTTTGGCGGTGCCTGAACGAGCATCACACTCCCTTCGGGTGCCGCATCAACAAAGTGCTGTGCGGGCTTCGGAGGGGCAGACTTGTCACTTGTCGCAACCATTTGAACGGGGAACACTTGGCCGCATATCTTGTGAGAGGTGAGTTGTGAGGTGGAGGCGAGATGTGGAGAGACGATGGAGAGGTTGGGAAGGTGCCCGCCGGTGGGATGCGAGAGCTTGATTAGGGCGTCGGAGAGCTGTAACGTGGTGATGGGGAGAGAGTCGGAGACGTCAGTATGGTTGCAGGCGCTTTGGATACTGGCACGATGAGCGGTGGACGAGAGGGGTTGTTGATGATTGTGGCGGGCACTGGGGGGTGGTATTCCTTGCCGTAGTCATGTCACAGTTCCCGTCCACACACTCACCTCGCAGGACCCGTACTCGCTCAGCATCTCTACGTACTTCTTGGTGACCACTCCATTGTGTTCCTTGTCGTCTACTTCCTCTTCTTCGGGGTCTTCGACGTCCTCTTCATCATCTTCTTCCTCGTCTCCCTCATCGATCTCATCGAGGACTGGCTCCTTCTCGCCCGTGATGCCCCTGATGTACTTTGCGACGTCACTCCAGCCATTTTCTTCCAATGTCTCGCTGACGCTTAGCCCTTCTTTGTTCTTGTGATGCACATCAGCTCCGAATTCTTCCACGAGGACCTTTGCGGTCTCCACGTCTTCCACCAGGAAGAGAGGCGTATCTCCATCGTCGTCCTGCACGTCCACGTCGCCCGGCTTGATGGTGTTGTGCTTGAGCAGATACCTGAGGAGATGGATGTGCGAGTAAGATGCAGCTGCGTGGAGAGGAGTGTATGTGTTGGAGTCGGGCGAGGTGGGGGTGAGGCTCCTGTCGGTGGTGAGGAAGTAGGCTACGTGTGGGATGGCGCCTTCCGAAGCGGCAATCCAGATGTTGGACGTGGCCGCAGGCGGTGCGACGGTGTTTGCATTGTCGATGGAAGAGTCAATGGCAGAGGATGAGGAGGTCATGGTGGGCAGATGAGCAATGGGTACAGGCAGTCGAGGTGAGCAGCAAGGTGTCACTGCGTACCCAAGTGTCATTCTGAGCTGCGAAGAAGTCAATCTGAAAGGAAACAGGATGTGGAGACGCGACTTCCGTTCCGATGGCGCCTCTCGCAGTCACTCTCTCAAGAGGCCACTCACCTGGCCAGTGCTTCCAGTGACACCGCTCTACTCTACGATACCGCCCGCACCATGTCCTCCTCCCAATCCTCTGCTCTGCCAGACGAGACGCTGCACCGTATTCTCACTCAGATCCAGCTCAGCCTCACCCAGTCCACCCGCCAATTGTCGCTGGTAAAGGCACAAAAGGCCGCAAGGGAGAGGGAGAAGAAGGGCGTGGAGCTGACCAGGTTGGGCATAAAGGAGGAGACGGACTTGGGCGCAAAGAGCTGGAGGGGAGTTGGTAAGATGTGAGTCCCACCCAGGAAAGGGGGAAGAAATTAGATGGTGATGTAGAGCAGCGACGGGAGCGATACTGACGCTCCTCACCCTTCACTCCCTCGCCCAGGTTCATCCTCGACTCCCCACCAGCCATCATCTCATCACTCGCAGAGCAGGAAAAGTCGATACAGGTGGACATTGACGCTCTCAGCAAGAAGCAGAAGGTGAGCTATGCTGCACCCTTGGACATCTACTCGCGCATCTAGACGCTGACAGTGCGTCTATGTCCAATCCACCATGGTCCAATTCTCCCCTCTCCTCTCACAGTTCCTCGAGAAGCAGATTGCAGAGTCACAGGGCCATATGAAGGACTTCTTCAGGGGGATTGAGATGGGACAACAGCAGCAGCAAGCAGGCCAGACCACAGCAGCATCGTGACGCTCGATTCTCGGACTACAGACTTCCACCCGCTCCATGTACAGTACTCGATCAGGCATTTGCACCTGTGCGCCTCTTTTCAGAGGTCTCATGAAACGCAATCACTCTAGAACAGACGGGAACATCTCCACAGGAGGCAGATAGTGTCTAATGACGGGGTAGGGAGATGGCACTCGCTGCTATGTTGACACGTCAATTGAGGGCTGTCATACGCCCGCTTCTTGTCTCCAACGATCCTCCCAATCGGCGCAATCATCGAGCTTGCTGAGCTCCAGCCAGATCGGTGCCCAGCCGATAGTTTAGTACCTGGTGTCAAAGGAGAAAGCGTCTGTCAGATACAGTACGTTTCTTTTGTGATAGTACTGCAGAAACTCACCTTGTCCCAGTCTACCTTCTGTCGAGTGACAGGCAGCTGCCTCCTGAGGTTCTTGAATGCCCGCTCATTCAGCCCTTCATAAGTCACCTCTATGCCCGTTTGGTAGTCCGTCTCGTACTTCTTGATGGTCTGGATGATGGCTTTTGCCTTTTGACTCGCGGTTGATGATGCAGAAAATGTGGTAGGCAGAGGCAGCTCAGTAGAGACAGATGAGGTGTTGAGCTGCACATTGCCATTCTCGTAGTAGTGAATCTGTAGCTTGAGAGATCCGGTCAAGGTCGAGGACGAAGTGTCGTAGATGTACGTAGAGAGAAGTCGCCCCGACCTGCGAGGAAAGAAGCAGAAGGAGGAACAGGAGAAAGGTAAGCATACGTTCAAATGCGCTGTATCGACGCCAGCATGTTCTAGCACAAAGACCACCTACCAGAAATTGGCGGCATTGCTCTTGCCCGAAACGATCCTGATGGTATACTTGGCTGCTTCACCGCCTTCCTCTTCGATGAGCTCGCCCTCTTCTTCCTCGTCATCTGCGCCTGCATCCTCGCTTGCCGCTTTTGGCGCCTCTGTGACTAGTGTTGACGAGGCAGCCGGCTCGACGACAGCTGCTGATCCTGATGCGCCCTCTTCCCCTTCAGCAGTGTTCCCTTCTACAGACTTCTCTGCATTGTCGGCCTCGGTTCGGACCTGTTCGGTCTCAGCAGTTCCATCTTGCATGACTTTGTCTTCTTGAGCCCCTTGCACCGGTGTTGCTTCAATCGGCTTTTCCGTCTTCTGGATCTTGACCTCCCTCAGCGGTCCCCGCCAGACCGCTCCACATGCTCCTTCATTGGTCCTGCTCTTGTCCAGGTCGGGGTAGTGCTGCCTGAGATAGCCTTGCAGCGCCCTTTCCAGCTCAATCCTGAGCTCGTCCTTGCTCTGCACTGTATACGTATCTGCAGACGTGGCCATGCCGCCCACACTGTCTAGCTGAAAGCGCTTCGTCTTTGCCTCGTCGCGGTATGTGCTGCCGCTACCACCGCTCTCGCTCACATCTCGGGCTTCCTGAGCAATGATACTGCCCTCTTCCATGCCACGCAACCTGACGACCTTGCCCTGTTCTTCATAGAACCGTTCGAGTAGAGAGGGGAGAGACGCCTCGAATTCCTTGCTCAGGCCAGGACTGGCGCCTGTAACCTGCGCATTGGAAGGGGCTAGCAGACCGCGTATATCTGACAAGACAGAGTTGAGCTGCGAGAGGGGAGTCTGCAGCAGTAATGAATGCAGCGCCGGCAAGGACATGGTGATGTACGGATCAAGGCTGTACTAGAGAGAGGTTGATGGTGTGCTACAGGACGAAGGGGAAGCATCACACTGCAGCAACACCACCAATCGTCCGTGCATCGCTGGCCCGGCCCTTCCGTTCCGATTGTGGAGATGCGCCGCCGCCGCCTTTGCCCCAGACCGGCAAGAAGTCGAAGTCGAGGCCAAAATTGCCGACGTTGGACCGGAGAAGCTGAGAACATCCGCAACCTGCTGCCTTGCGCTAGTCTACTCACCACTGTAGTATCCAATCTCGGGGATGTCAGGCATCGCAGCTCAATGGCGGAGACGTCGTCCGGATGCAGCGGGCATACTCGGAGTGGCAGCAGCGACGATCACTCTGGCAGGAGTGAGCTGGTACTGGTACAATCGGTGGGCCACCTCTACTTCCTCCTCCTCGCGAGCATCAAGCAGCAGTGGTACGCAACAGCAAAGCGGGTCCGTTTCAGACGTACACGATAGCAAAGTGAGTACAGAAGACACTTGTGACTCTCGAACAGTGCTGACTAAGTCCCATGCACGCTCCTCCAGTCCTTGGCTCGTCGTCCCTCGCTCTCCATCTCTTTTCCGCCCCACTTTGATCTAACTCTACCCTCTCATCAAGAGCATCTCCTGCGTCTTTACCGGTCTCTCTCCCCTCTTTACCTCATCACACTCCTCCACTTCTCCCCACATGGAGGCTCGGAGCTCGGCAGGCTGACCTCGCTATTACAAAGCCAGATAGTAGGAGCGGACACGAGGAGGATCGTCCCCTACAGCACGACAGCGGGAGCCAGTGCAGTAGCTCGAGCGCTTGGCTGCGATGCGCATCTGGAGGTGTACGCTGAAGGGCATTCACGGTCACTGTCGCCGATGGCCGGGACCAAGGCGGATCTTCTGGCCAGGACCCAAGCTCTGGGTCTGATCAGAAAGAATGGCAAGTGCAGGCTCGTCGTCGTTGCTCTTCTGCCTGCGCCTGCTCTGCCGGCCGACCAGCCCAAGATTGAGCACTTACTGGGGACAGAGGCAGGAGACGGCGACGAGAGCGACTTCGAACTCGATCTGGACAGTCTCGTCAATTCACTGCTCAACCCGGGCTCGACGTCGGCCAACGGACTCGCAAATGGGCACAAGGACAGCAACGGGTCCGCCTCGTCGGGCGAAAAGGCGGGCGCGACATTGAGGATCATCGACACACGGACAAGTACAGACCCTACTTCGCCTCGGAGAATGAGCTTTGGGTCCGAAGACAAGGCAGGGAGGGAGGAGGCAGACGCGGATGCAAAGAGGCAGAAAGATCGGGAGAGCTTCGATAAGGCCGTCGATGAAGTAGGATCCAAGATGAGGGAGCTCAGAAGAGCGTGGAAATAGATACCCAACCGGTCCCCGGCTCACCCGCCTGAAAATGCATCATTCTGGCCGATAAAAGCAGGGCTGCTGTCACCGATCACGCGCCGCAGAAGAAGTGATATACGTGAGATTCGTATGTAGTGTGGTACAGTGACAACGATACCCAGCCCTTACACTGCCACCTTGGTAGCAGGAGACGCTGCCGAGAACGAGTCGCCTGCGGAAGGGGCCGACGAGTCACCTTGCGAGGATGGCTGTTGCGAGTCTCGCTGCTGACCACCTTGGCTCCTTGCTCCACCCCTTGTGCTGCTGCCGCCCCTTCCGCCTCGACCACCACCCCTGCCTCCCCTCTGACCAGTTGCATTCGATGTCCTGTCTCCACCGCCTGCCGCATTTCCTCCAACACCAACTTGCGTAGGGTGAGCCTTGCGGTCAATAGCCTGTCCCATAGCAGCCGTCCTGAAGGTGAAGCCTCTTGTCTGCTCGATGATACCCTGGTAGATGGGTGGGTGGGTGTTCTGCAGATTCATCGACACCACGCCCTCCTTGAAGTCAATCTTCGCGTCAGCGCGAGTGTCCCTGACAAGGTTGACAATCCACTTCTCTCCCTCCTCCTTGGAAAGGTTGAGACGTGCAGAGAGATCTGCAATGTTCACACGCTGGTGGATGCGGGTGTAGGCTTCCGAAATGAGGTATCGAGCGCCCTCGAGGAAGGCCTCCTTGTGGTCTTGCAGGAAGAAGTCGGCCTCGGCCACTGTCTCTGCCTTTCGTAGCTCCTCTTGTGCGCCCTCGAAGTCAAAGTCTCCGTAAAGCTTGGCAATGAAGTCAACGATGGGGTCCCTTGTCAAACGGTAGTCTGACTCGGATATGATGATGCGCGAGACGTCTCGCAGAGCTGCTGTAGGGGTGACTTTGCTGACGGGGTTGGCGTTGAGCATCGAAGGATTTGAGGAAGGGGAGGGTACCATGTAGACTCGCGAAGTCCTTCGCGTCAGCACCAAAGCGGCCACGAGGTAGCGCAGAAGCCACCAAGATGTGGTCTGGATGGTGTTGAGGTAAGGCGGCGAGAGGTACATCTCGACGAGACCTTGCCTGCCTTCGGGGTGGTTGAACCAGACGAAGAGTGACCAGTGCAGAAGCCATGTCCTCCTCTGCAGCAGAGCCTCAGCACCTCCATCTTCGTTGCCGTACGCTGCTCGATGAGGAGCATCAATCTGTTCCCGAATCAGTTTGATCTCCTCCAAGGCCCGGTCCCATTCACCAGTGAGGACATCCGAAGCTAGCTTTCCCCAGTGCGATGAAAGTGTGAGCACGGGGTCTGTGGAGAGAATGCGGAAGTGGTAGAGGTATGATGAAGCTTCTCCGTAGTTTCCGCAGGAGAAGTGGAAGTAACCGTAGTGGTACAGGGTTGTGATCTGGTCGAGAGTGAGCTGAACAAGGTCGCAAGGGGGAGAGAGAAGCTGTTCAGTCTTCCGGCCTTACATCTCAAGGACAGTCTCTCGATACACCGGACCAGATCGTTGTTACAAGTCTCTCCTACTCAAATCAACTCACGTTGTAATTTTGCTGCAGCCATTGCAAATTCTTCTCCTTGTCCTGCTTCAATGCTCCAGCCACGTTTGGGTCCTCGATCACATTGAGGACTGCGTCCACTTCTGCTCCCAGTCTCTCGTGCTGGCTCAAGGCATCTGCCCTCTGCTTCTCAAGATCTGCTGGTGGTCCTTGGCCTGGAAAGGCTTGCGAATGGAGGTCCTCGATGTAGTCAACCATCGAGGCTACAAGAGGAGAAGTCACAAGGGGAGGGACAAGGTGAGCCAAATGCAGCATAGATGGATCGAGCTAGGCTCGGCTATACCTCTACTTTCGCTGAATCACTCACTTCCCTTTGCCAGCTCATACTGAGCCTTTGTGATGTCTGCGCCATTGAAGAGTCCAGTGGAAGCGAGGTGGGACAGCAGGGGGAAGCCCAGATGTCTGTCCACGTACTTGAGCAGCGTCGAGGTGAGGTCGTACTCAGCCATGATGGGATGGGATGGGATGCGCCCAATGGGGGGAAGAGGAAGGGGCGTGAGAGGGGAATACGGGCGAGGGGGAGGAGGATGAAGCGGGGGAGAGCGACGACGAGGTACGGATACCGGTGGTGCTGTGCTCTGCTACTCTGCTTGGAGATCGGTGATGGTCGCAGGAAGATTCGCAGCGCAGGCCGTCCTACCAGCCACGAGCAAAAATCCCCTCGGCCGGGCGAGTCGAGACTGCGCGGTGCGGATCCGAGGACGCGCCCAGAGCGGGAGCACAAGGGCCACTCACACGGCGCGTCACGACAAGGTAGCACGCACCAACACCTCGATCGCAGGCTAGCCAGTCGCCATTGACTCAAGGCTTGCTCGACTCAGACAATTACAAAGCGTTCTGATGAAATGGGTATGGTACATGATTGACATCCTCTCTGGCTTCTACCGTCTCGTCAGAACGTTACGGCATTCGCCTCCACCACCCCCGCAGGCCCACCTATCCGGCTCCTCACCAAAAAGCGAACATGCATTTCCTTCGCCCCCGCTCCCCCAGCGTTCCCGTCTCCCTGACCTTCTAAGGCAGCACAGATCCACGCCTCCCTAGCCGCTACTCCCAGTCCAAAACCCGTCCCCCTTGCAAGTGAGAAGTTGCCAGAGGTGATTGTGCCAATATGACTAGTGGGCGTGGTTTTTGTCGCAGCACTGAGCAGGTGCACCTCGTCACCATCATGAAGTCTGCCTCGATCGATAGCCCGTGCCGAAAACAACACGAAAGGATGCGTCGTGGTGGATGCCATGGGGGGTAGTATTGCGGCTGGCACTTTGGGTCGCTCCTTGGCACCTGAGTTCTTGCAGACCTGCAGACGCTGCACCTGCTCGATAAGTTGATCAGACGATCCCATCAGGTGCACTCTCTCAACTCGACAGGCTATACTGTGCTGAGCGCTCGTAGAATCCGGCAAAAGGGCCAATAGGGCAGCCCGAGCGTTGGCAATGATCGAGGTCCACATGCCCTGTCCGCCAAATGGCCATCTGGTTCCCACACTTTTCCATTCCGTACGTTTGCCCTTGGGCAACCGAGTCCATGCTTCTAGTCGCTTGTTCTCGTTGAAAGCCAAAGCGTCGGCCCAGCCCGGCGAGCCCACCCAGTCATATGGATACGAGGGCGTAGCGGTCTCGAGGTGGAGCGAGCGTAGTGATTGTTGAGACAGAGGCCGGGCTGAAGCTCCTACTAGCGCCTGGAAGAAGGCGGATCCCCAGCCCTGGGGCACAATCAAGGTATAGCCGCCCACTTCCCTTTCAACATCGTCAATGGGCTTCAAAACGCTCCGCATTACGACCAAGACCGGTACTGTATCATCTGCTGCTGTTGGCTGCCGACGAGAGCCAGGCACCAGCTGCTTCGCACGACGTCTGTCCAGGTCACCTTTGGAGAAGCGAGGCGCTGACTTGCCATCACTGAGAATATTCGCTGCGATGATCCCCTTGCCTTCGGAGTCGAGGGCTTCGAAGTCTGGGGCAGCGGCGACTTGCGATGCCTTCTGGGCACGTCGATTTGTAGGGGTCGAGAGTCTCGGGTCAGTGACCAGCAGATTGAAGACAAGGCCCCTGTCGAGTTGCATAGTGGGCCGGGATCCTTGCGCAAAGGCCGGCCAGCCGGCCCCTACTCCTGGCGTTGTGCTGAGGACTGGACTCAGCACACGGTCCAACACTTGACCGGAAAGAGGACCGTACAATTCGAAGATGTTAAACGCCCTACTGCGCAATTGCTGACGTTCGATCATCGAGGACTTATCGGACGCCTTGCGACGCTCTTTTCGAGATTGCTCATCCGGTCGGTGGATACCGATGAGAGTGCCCGCGTCCGGCTTACTCAGCCCTGTCAGAACGAAGTGTGTACCTTTGCGAAGCGAGTCCAGCTTGACTAGCTCTCGCTTAGCAATACCTTTACGAAGTGCCCTTGTGACGTCGCGTGTGGCAGCAGGATGTACTCGAACGAGGACCTCGAAATCCGGATGCACCTCGGACAGTGGAGGTGCGGGTTGTAATGATGCCAACATCTTGCGAAGACTCTTTGGCGGGGCCCGGCGATGTTTCTGCTGAGCGTCACTCTTTAACCTAGGTCGCTTGCCGCCGGAGGTATTGCCTTCTAGCCGCGGCTCGGTGGGCGCCACGGAATAGATGGTCAGAGGGCAGATCGCTTGATCTGATGGTCCCGGGTTGCCAGCGTGCAAGACTGCGTCGACTACTGTTCCAGGTAAGAGCTGCGGGCCGATCTTGCTTGACGCTTGTCGAATATTCGCCAATTGCACTACCTCTTGCAGATATTGTCTGGCCTCGTCAGCGGATGTACTCGATCTTGCGACCTTGCAGCTCAGCCGAAACCACTCCTCGTAGCTTGCATCGAGCACTGCACAACCCTGATTTGCTGCTCTCCAGTCCGTTCTTGCACCCTTCATACTTCTCTCTTCCGGCAGCACATACCCCCACCGAGGCCCATCGAAGTCTGCCCTGCTCATGCGGAAGCGTTTTGCATACCAGAGATGAGTCTCGAGCCACTGTGCTCCCGGTCTGGCGGCGCGCTGTAGCAGCTCTTCCTTGCGAGCGAGCGACTTTGAGCGAGGATGGGTTGCCAGCCTCTTTCGCATCTCTGATCTCGTCTTGGGATTTGTGTTGGATGCTCTGAGCTCGGCGAGTCCTTTGCGGCGCAACCTGGCAGGCAAGCGCAAGATGTTATGAGAAGCGGCTCTCCTGCGAGCATGCCGGGGGAGCAATTGCCACGCCCGCGTCGATGCAGAGGCGCGAGAAGCACGGATGGCCCTCTGTAGAGCCTGGATCTGAAAGCGGCGAGCCGCAATCGTCTGCTCTACATCGAGCTGAGGAGGAAGAACTGTGGTTGATGCGTTGGAAGGTGCGCTGCTTTGCCCAGGAGAAGGGCGCGAATCTGTATCGATCTTTCTTGCATCTCGACGTTGGGTGATCTTGTGCTGCTTTCTTGAAGTATCTTGCCGCAGAACCTCTTCAGGCCGAGGTCGTTTGGGCGCCATACGAGATGGCCTACGCCGAGGAATACCGGAATGTATGGTTCAGGAATCTACCCCGTACGAGATTGCGGAAAGAGAAATATCTCGGGACGGAATGCGAGATTTGGGTCGTCTGCCCTGCGCGGCTGCCCCGCCTCCACCTCGGCCCACTTCCGCCGTACCGGTTCATCGATGGACAGGATACCACCGTCTTCCGCACCTCGAGGTACCATCGCAGACAAGACAGCAGCGCGGAACATCCTGGCTACTCGTACTCTTCGACGCTCTCTTCTCCCTCCCCTTCCTCGACGGTCCCTCCTCCAAGCCATGCCGCCCACCACCAGGGGCCGCACCACTGTGACGGCCGTGCCTCCCAAGCCCGCGGACAATGTCAAGAGTGCTGCTGTGTCAGACTCCTCTACACTCAAGGCCACGCCTGCCAAAGCTCGGGCGAGCAAGAAGCGGCCTCTCTCACAAGCATTCCCCGCCAGCAAAGCTTCTACGTCTCTCGGCAACGGGGCGCCATCGACAAAGTCGCCAAAAAGGAAAGCAGCCACAGCCGCCACAGCAGAGGAAGCTCCTCCTCCGCTCCCGGCGCTCAGCGAGGACGAGGTACGGCTGTGCACCACCATCCCCTTCCCTCGCCTGACATTCTCTCTGCGCGAGGGAACAGAGCATCTAATAAAGGCAGACCCGCGCTTTCGCTCTCTACTCCGTCGAATCCCTCTGCGAGTCTTCGAAGAGTTTACTGATGAGCACCTCGAGCAGGAGACAGCAGGTGGAGGGGACGACAAGGTGCAGCCCAGGGCCAAAGACCTGGATCTGTTCAAGACGCTGGTGACAAGTATACTCGGGCAGCAGGTCAGCTGGCTCGCCGCTCGCTCCATCCTCTACAAATTCACCAGACTATGGTTCCCAGAGTGAGTCGCTAAAGGGCTGGGCACCACATTACTTTCACTCATGCTTCTCCTTCCCTCTGAACTAGGCTGCCCGTCGTCCCAGACTTTTCCCTTACGCCCCGTGACTCCCTCCCTTTCCCCACACCTCTGCAAGTGCGCTCCGCTGGAGAAGGTATGCTGCGCTCCGCAGGTCTATCGGGCCAAAAGGTGCGCTATGTGACCGATATCGCCGAGCGCTTCTCCGATGGCAGATTGGACGTGCGTAAGATCGTGGAGATGAACGAGGAGCAGGTACTAGAGGAGTTGATCAAGATCAAGTGAGTGAGATCATTGCCGTCCGCGCTCTGGGAGCTGAACATCACTGAGCAACTTTTTCCCTTCTACGTCCCGCCCGTTGAACAGAGGCGTAGGCGTCTGGACCGCCCAAATGCTCCTCCTCTTCGCACTGCGACGTCCCAACATTCTCCCTGTAGGCGATCTGGGCGTGCAGCGGGGGATGGTACTCCTCTGGGCTTCCGGTCCCGAAGGTCCTCCAGTGACAAGCAAGAAGGCTCGACCTCCTTCGCCTTCGCCTGAGCCCAAGCCCACAACGGCCGAAGCAGCATCGGAACGAGTGTTGACTGGAGATGAAGCGGCGATGAAGCAGAGGGAGGAGGCGCACAAGGTTGAGGACGCCGTTGAGAGCTCGGAGCATCACGTAGCGAGGACCACTGGCAGCGCTTCGACCACCTCGCTCACTGCGACAACCCCTACTCAGAGTCTACCGCAACCGCCTCCACTGCCAGCGGACGCCAAGCTCACCCTGGCTCAGCTCAATGCAAGGAAGAGCGGACAGAAGGCAAAGGGAAACGTATATCTCACGTGAGTAGTTCGAAAGTGTACCTAGGTCGCATTCACGGCACTGAATTCGATCCTTACCTTCATTTGATCCTTACCTTCTCTTCCTGCTTTGCTACTCTAGTCCGCCAGAGATGGAAGCGCTCGCCAAGACGTGGGAGCCGTACCGGTCATTAGCAAGCGTCATCGTGTGGGCTCTCGTAGATGCCTAGCTAGGCTCGATGCTTTTGTACTCTACTCTACTCTTCTGGAAAGCGCATGAGTGCATAAATGGATGGTCATTAGACATGATGAGGTTCCTCAATATTTTTGTGAATGAAAATTACAAGGGGACATCTGGACGGATGGGCTCAGAGAGTACATAGCTAGATAGAGAAACAGACGGCGGTGTCACCGATACCGCGAACGTTATGAACCTTGCCGTGGGCCACCTCACTGTGAGGCCCTCGCCTTGCCTTTGCCCTCGACCTGAGTTTCCTCGGCGGGCTCGTCGCGCTTGATTGGGCCAGGAGATGGAGAAGCTTCGACTCCAGCTTCAGCTGCAAGCTTGGCTCTGACGAGAGGCGTATTCTCGTCACCTTTGCTCCTCATGAAGCTGGCTTTTTGGAGAGCGACCTCGTAGGAGTTGCCTCTCTTGATGAAGCGGCGTACGCGAGCCAAGAAGGCATTCCTGGCTCGTCTGGCATCGCCCTTGGACATGACCCCGGAATCGACTAGATTGGAGGGCAGGTCCGGAATGTAAGCGCCAGAGGGGTCAGAAACACCAGCTGGAAGACCGATGGTAGAGGTGTAGACCATCTTCTTCTTCTGCGAGTCTGTGCTGCTGGAAGCCTCGGGCTGTGGAGTGCCGTCGTCAAATGACTCCGTGCCTGTGCTAGATGCCCTGCGGGCAGTGCGCTTGCGAGGAGAGCGTGACGAGGTGCTCTTTCGAGGTTGCGGACGAGACGTCTGAGCGAGAAGGGCTGCTTTGGCAGCCGCTGCAGCTGCAGAGATGGCAGGCAAGATGAGAGGGCTGGTTCCGATAGCCTCCCCCTTGATGACGTACTGCTTGATGCCGTTCCTCGAGTTGATGCCACTCTTGTTCCTCCCGTGCTTGTTGGCATAAGCTTCGGGAATGGGCTCAGGGATGCCCTTGACCGGGCGACTTGAGCCACTACCTTCGCCAGATCCTTTGACTCCGGACCTGCCGTTGACCGCCGAGCGGGCCGAAAGGGCAGACCATGAAGTGGTTGTCGTAGTCGTCGTGGTCGTGGTCGTTGTGCCGCTCATCGTCAGAGGACGCCCATGACCATTGACGATCAAGCGCAGCTTCTGCGCCCTTTGAGCGGAAGAAGGCAATGGCAATCGTCGCTTACTGTCGATATCGTCGCTGCCACCATTCTCGATCTTCTCGGTGAGTGCCATCCTGTAAGCCGAGCGTGCAGCCTTCCTGCCTCTGGCTCCGCCTCCTGCCGCCTTGGCTGCCTTCTTGGCTTGTCGTCTGCGTCTCGCACCGAGAGCATTGCGCTGTCTCTGCTCCTCTTTCTTGGCTGCCAATTCCGCTGCTGAATAGACGCTACGGAATGAACTGACTTCATCCACTTTGTTGGCCTCGATAGGTACGCCATCCCCAAAGAAGAATTGCGTGTTGGGTGGATAATCAGCGACACGTATAGCACCTCGCAATCGGCCACGACCTCCAACAAGTCCAGTCGACGAGCCTCTGCGTGCTCCAGATCTCTTCCTCCTCTTCGGTGCTTCATCAAGGGAGTCAATGTTGTTGTCCACGTCCAGAGCCTCATCATCTTCTGCGGCCTCATTGTCCTGGTAGTCTTCGTCGCTGTTGTCCAGACTTTCGTCATCCTCGACATCTTGCGGTTCCTCCTCTTCCTCCTCTTCCTCGTCACTGATATCGAGCCAGCTACCACGCGTTGTGTCAGCCTGCTGCTGGAGGAGCGAGCCTTGGAGAGCCGAAGCCATCATTCGCTCGGCGTCCGCAGGTGTGAGGGCACCTGGCAACGTAATGCCCTTGGGCGAAGTGAGGGGCTTTTTGCTGACTACAGGGTCTTGCGGTAACTTGAACGATGCAACCGACACGTTCCGGCCCTTGGACACAGTGCTACTGTTGCGTGCTGGCAGGGGTAGACGTCGAGGGCCATCCATTTGCGAGCCTTGGCTTCCAGGGCTGGTAAGAATGACCGGTTCGACCTTCGTAGGGTTTCGCTCACGAATGGGTCTTCGCGCTTCAGACTCAGCGACCGAAGAGTCTGCAGTCGTGGTGGTACCAGCACTGGAGTTGACCTCAGGTTGTTGATCGGGGGTGCGTTCCTCTCGAGAGTGGGCTACTTCTGGCAAAAGAGGCACCTGATTTGAATCGGCGATGGCTCGTGCCGCTGCCGCTACCATCTTGGCAGCAACTACCTCTTTGCGAGGTCTGCCGATCCTACCCAATTTGCGCGGTCGACCACCCTTTCTCGCTTTCTCCTCTGCCTTTGGCTCACTTTCCTCCCGGCCCCTCTTTCCCAATCCCCTGAAATTTTCCTCTGTCGCTTCGGGGACTGGCGTGGCAGCAGATGACGCGAGAGAAGAGCCTGCCTGCTTCCTACCACCCATGACACCGCTGCAATTAGGAGCTTCACAATGGCAAGCTACGGGAATCTTTTTGGCTGCTTCGGCAGCAACCTGCTTCGTTCCAAATGCCGACCAGCCGTAGTCGTATGTCAGCTCCTCTCCTGCTTCGATGTCCCTAGCAGCGAAGAGTCCTACTTGAAATTCGGCAGTACCTGGCTCGTCGGAACCGCAGACGAGCCACTTCTCGATGTAGCAGTTGGGATTGCAGGAGTGGTTCGCGAAGCGAGTGATGTTACCTCGGAGTCCGCCGTCTAGAACCTCCCCAGCGCGCGCATCATAGTCGAGAAAGTAGAAATTTCCAGTGTCTTTGTAATATTCATTGACCCGTCTAGCGGCTTCTCGAAGGTCGATGACTTCGCCTCTGTATTCGTCCACGAGGCCGTGCTTGGGAATGGCATCCAAAGTTCGGAGCCCGAACCCACGCTTGCCGAACCAGGAGACAGTGCACTCAGCGTGAGGTCGTTTGCCGAGGGAGACGTTGGTGCACCTGTCGCCACAAGGGCAGGTTTTGGGATCGCAGATGAATTGAAGAAGACGGTTGAGGCAGTCATCGCCACAATTGCTGTCAGGCTCACATTGGCATAGAGGCAATTCGCCCTTGAGCCTGGAACGAGTTACATAGCGATTGCTGTTGATCTTCGTATACGAAGTCGGCTTGCGACGGGCGTCGACCCTGGCTCGGGTCTTCTCCTGCTCATGGACGATGGGATAGGGCAGTCGGAAGTCCCGTGGACAGACGAGGAGATCGTGACCATAGTAGATGGGCTCTGGGAAAGCAGACCTTTTGGTAGCCGCGGAGGAAGTCGATGACTCTGCCCCAGATGTAGAGGCACGATTGCGACCTCGTTGACTCATAAAGCCAACAGCAGTCTCGACTTGAAAGTCCGGCGAGTAAAGACCAGTGGAGAGGTAGACCTGGGATGCAAGAAGCATAGGTAGAGGAAGAAATGTCAGCATTTGATAACCGAGCGATGTACACTAGGATCTACTGACCTTCTTTTGGCCGGTAGAGCGCGATGGCTTTCGTGGCTTCTTTGCCCGGACCGGCTCCACGTCCGTGGACACAGGAGTTCCTTCCTCGACGTCATCGTCTTCGTCTTCAGACATGCCGATGGAAGAAAGGGTCGAATCATCGGGAGAAATTTCTCGTGCAAAAGTGGCCCTGGACGATCCTGTTTCTTGCTCGACCACACCTGGCGTATCACGGACGGAGTCTCGCTCTTCATCTTCCTCATCAGAGCTCTTTTCAACAAGGTTGACGCCACTGACAGAGCGTCGAGGTCGAGTCGCTGCCACGGAGGATTCTGCTGCCTTCATTGCACTCCTCCAGCGGAAGGGCAAAGTCTCCGACTGCGCCAGAGGCTGCCTGAGACCTGACGTCTCCTCGATCTCCTCCTTCGGCTGATCCTGCTCAGATGCGTCCTCTACTTGATGTCTCAGCTCAGAAGATTTGCCTCTTGATGCTCTTCGAGGCGGAAGCACTCGCCTTGGAATTGAGTCCGGGGAAGTTCTCACCCGACGCTCAGGTCTACCTTCAGATCGAATGCTCTGGGGTGGCTCCTCGGCTTCGTCTTCGTCAGATGAAGAGTCTTCAGCGGGAGATGCTGCTAGCATGGCAGCAGTCGTGACTTGACTCAGCCGAGTAGTGGAACGCCTAGGTCGGGAGTGAACGTTGGCATCGTTCTCAGAGACACCAGGGGCGCTTGAGCTCGCCTCGCGGTGCTTGGTCAAGGCTAGCTCTGTCTCCGCTTCTTCAGCCTTGGCGATGGCGGCTGCAGTCTCGGCTACGTTAGGCGTGGGGGAAGCTGAGCGCGAGGGCACAACTACTACTGCTGTGCTCGTATCAGCATCGAAGCTTTGATCTGCATCGGTTCGCCTTGAGCTTCGAGCTCTCCGGGACTCGCCACTGGAAGCAACTCTCCTGCTTCGTTGGACTCCTCGCGGAGGTGAGGCTGCGACTACAGGCACTACGATGGGATCCTCGCTACTGCGCTCCCTGGACTTGCGCCTAAGCTTGAAGAGTGCTCGCGATTGGCCAGTCTCCTCAGCCTCCAGTGCCTTCCACGACTTGAGAGGAGTCCGCTTCGCTCGACCAAGAACGAGGGAGTCTTCGGCGGCAGCTGCAGACGAGGTGGCCATGGAATAAGAAGAGGATGAGATTGAAGAGAGCGTCGAAGGGGAGACGGAGTCCAGGTCCATCTCGACTTGTTCTGGTGTGATTGCCCTTTCCACATCTTCGTAGGCTCGGCTTCGTCGTCGTGGTCGGTCATAAGCAGGGGAATAGGAAGAAGCGGAAGTGGCAGACGCGTTCATGTTGCCGGAAGAGGGGCGACGTCCACCCTGATAGTGAGGCATGGTAGAGAGGTCCAGTATTAGACCCGCGAGGGGTGAGTGCCACACAGCAGCCCCACTGGCGACGATATGGCTCTGAGCCGGCGGTGATAGCAGTAGCTGGTCGGGCGTAGGGAGGACGAGCGCGCCAGGGAAGGAGGGCCTCTCAGGGACCTTGCGAGACCGGCAGCAGGGGCACAAGCGCTATATCGAGCCGGCTGAGCTGATGTGACGACTCTGCTCCAAAGCAGAGCGCGCGTACGGCGCTGACAGGATGAGGATGGAGGAGGAGAATGGACGATGGTGTGTGACGAAGGGTGGCAGGTGAGGTGAGGTGAGGTGTGTGCAGTGTCGCGAGGGTGAAGCGGAGAGAGCGCCGCCGGAGAGGGAACCTGAAGGAGACGGACAATCTGCCCGCGAGGAGAGAGGCGCGCGAGGTGCTCGCGATGAATTTACTCTGATGAGTGCGATAGTAACGCTGGTGATGATGAGTGGGAGAGATGACAGTGGTAGGTGGGAACAGTGGATCGCTAGCAAGGATATGGTCAATGGTAGCGAGGGGAAGCGGGGATGGGTGTCGAAAGGAGGCGATGGAGTGCAGGCTGAGATGGAGCTCGGCAAGAGTGGCGACACGGAGGCAGTCCACTTTCGTCAATGCGCGGACTGTAATCCACCTCCTTCGCTCCCGTCGCCCGCTGTACAACTGTACACGGCGGCGGAGGGCCTCTTTACACCCTGAGAGATAGATGCCAGTAGTGGAGTTGCCTTTCGGCATTCGTCAGACCCGGATGGCGATCGTTTAGTGAACATCAATGATCGAGCAGCACCTAGTATCGATGTTGATGGACGCACGTCAGACTAGCAGCACAACACTAAAGCGATATGACCATCTCCTTCTCCTCATGATACCTTGATGATCAGCTCCGCTGCGATAAACGCATTACTGTGGCGCCATAGGCACAATGTGGCATGTTCCTGGTGTGCAAGTGATCCAGTTCCTGCTTCTTGTCACCAAGTCGTAGGCCTCTGTCATCTCGATTTGGCGACAGTCTGGGTAGTGTATCAGAATAAATGTCGCAAGGTGGATCAGTCAAAGCAATTGATCCTATTTGGAAAGCGGTCTTAGCCTCGGTAGTCGTCCCTGCCACCTGGCTGCTGATGCATCCGCCAAGAGCACGCGCTCACTCTTTGGATCCGCTCCCCGCTGAACTTACTTCGAGAGTGAGCTGCGCATGGTGGTCAGTATTGCTTGGAACCTTCTGGACGCTTCCCGGTAGGCAGCTTCAATCGCTCAGTCTTGATGTTGTCTGCGAAACTTCCCGCAGTTGCCCATCGATGCGATGCCTGCGTGAGAAGAAGTCAGCATTGCGCGCCGCTCTTCAGCCAGTCGCAACCCCCGATAGTCTAGTGCCAGCTTCGAGCGCGTGAGACGTGAACCGACGCTGTCGCATGCCTTCAAGTGTCGCTCGCAGCACCTCGAAATTCAACATATTTGAGGTCGATGCATCCCATGTGTACAACGACGATGCGCAAAAGTATACGCGCTACTTCATCGCACTTGATCTCAACTCACTCTAGCAGTGCAACGGCTCAGGCTTCGGCAAAGATTTGAGTCGTTTATCCCGGAAGCAGCTCGATCGCTTGGGCCAAGCTGTGCAGCCGCTGTAGTCCCCGCCTCTCGGACGCAGCACTAGCAGCACACCTCAAGCGCTCCTACGAGGCGGCGCGCACGTCGGTACCACTTGAGGTCGCTTGATTGCTGCACCACGTCTCCTCGACTGTAACGAGTTCACCCTGCTGTGCAACAGCACGGCAATGACTGGTCCCTGTCTGGCTGCATTGACTGTTGCCAGCCGATGCACCACATCTGCACACTTGTACCTCACCGCAATCATCTCACATCAGCAAATTGCAATCTCAAAAGGTCAGTCATCCACAGCACAAAGGTGAGACTGCTAAGCATGCACCCACCCTATCTGTGCTATTGATTCGCTACCTGCGTATACGTAGTGCTTCGGGACGAGACGCCACAGCGACAACGATGGTGCTCAGATGTCTGCAAAACATCAAAGCGAGAGTGTGCTGTAAGATTCAGAGCTCGTTGACCTCTTGTGACTGGCGTGCACTCCTTCTTAAGTAAAATCAGATTCATTTGCAACAACGCACGGAGGATGCGGAGAGGACAAGAACGACACTCAGCGTTAGGGAGGAGAAAAGGAGCAAGTCCGTCTACATTACAAGGTGTGACACAGAGATATTCTGGAGACGAGGAAACCAATCGCACCGGTCGGCATTCACCAACGGGCCAAAGGATCAAGGGCTAAGCAGTCACGCCCTCCTCGCCAGCCGTTGCGACGACTGCTGCAGCCATATCGGGGCTGAGGGCAAGAGCGGCTGTATCCTGCTGCTGCCCGCCACTTGGTCCGACGGCACCATTAGCCTTTGAAGCAGTAGCAGTAGCAGCAGCGCCATCCGACCCTTGACCTCCTGCTATCTCTGCATTCGCCTCTGGCACCGTAGTGCTCGCGGCCGTCATGAGAGCTCCTCCGGCCCCACTGGCAAAGCTGCTCAGACCAGCGCCTAGCACGGCCATTGATCCAGGCGGCACGCCGAATTTCTGCTGAAAGGCAATGAGTTCTCTTGTGAGCTCGTCCATGAGCTTCATCGAGAGAGGTATCCGCTCCTTGTCTGCAGCCGCATGTGAGCCTGTTGTTGCCTCAAGCGCTCCATTGCTGGCCTCGACGCCTTCCATTGCATCCGATGAATCAGCTCCTGCTGCTCCGCCCATCTCGCCATCTGCTCCTCCTGGCACTTGCAGATCGGAAGCTGGACCCAGAATCTCGATGCCCAAATCCTTCATCCTCTTGCCCCGCTCGACTGCCTCTAATTGCTTGTTGGTCACATACTCGCTAATGTTTCTCACCCGCTTCCGCATCTCGCCCATCGTCATCCTCTTCGGCGGCCACCGCACCTTTGTTGGAGGCTCAGAGATGTCGACGATTGTGAAGGGGTGGGGCGAAGGGCGGCTGGAGGACGAGCTTTCTGCGTGGTGGTCCTTTGCAGCACCGGACCGCGGATTTGACAGTCCTTTTGTGGACGGGAGATGCAGTGTCAATGGCTCTGGCTGAGATGTAGGAAGGAGATTGACGAGGTGGGAGAGATGCTCAGGCAGACCCCAAGCGCCGCCCGGGAGATTGCTATTTCTTGAGTTGCCTGTGACACGCACATCTCCTGGAGCGGGTGTAGATGTCCGCGAGCCCATAGTGCTGCCTTCACGCAGTGCAGCTGCTCCTCTCCGGCCGCTCTTGCTCGGTGAAGGCGTAGGAGATACGGTACGACCGGCTGAGGCGATTCCATTCCCAGCGTTGGCGACATTTGCGGTGCCTCCATTGGCCAGCCTCTCTTTGCGGTATGTGTATTGGTTCGGTTGCTTAGCCTTGGGAGCTGGAGCAGAAGATGCAGTGATGGAGTCGTCTCGAAGCTTCTTATCGCCTGCCTTTGCTGCTGCGCCGCCATTGCCAGTCCCAACTTTCTTGCCGCTGCCGGCGACATAAGCGGCTGTACCTTGCGACGAGACCGAAGCAATGGCAGCCTCGGCCGCATCGCTCGGAGAACGCCGCCTTCCTTCGCCTCTGCTGGCGTTGCTGCCGATATTGAGCGCATTGGAGGAAGCGGTAGCGCTGCCTGACATCCGTCTACGCTTTGCGAGCTCAGCAGGACCCATTGGAGGTGAGACGGCTGGAGAAGGAGATTGTCTGTGATGGCGGAAACATTCCCGGGAACAAGAAAAGAAGATTGGGTGGAATCAGTCATCAGGACATTGGGGTCGTCGAAGCGGGGTCGTGCCTCGCGGGCGTAACGGCTCGATATTGAGTCGCTTCGCCGTTGCTCTCGCGTCTCAATGGCAAAGCACTCACTCTTCGTCTCGTCTACTTCCGCCAGTCCGTTTCCTCTTGCGACCAGAAGAGCTGCCTTCTTCGTCTTCCTTCTTGGGCCTCACATCATCCCAGACCTCGTCCTCGTTCAGCAGCCCTGGCGGGATTGGCTCCCACCCGTATCCAGAGTCGCGAGAATTCATTGTGGACCTCCTCTTCGGACTCCGTCTGTCGGCGCCAGGCGGGCCACCCCGTGGACTGGCGGGTACATCGGAGTTGCCTCGATTGCTTCTGCTCTCTTGATCCTGAGCAGACTCAGACGTATTCCGCCGGGCTTCTCCGACTCTCTTTCCCGTGTTGGCAGTCGGATGGGCAACTACTACTTCTTGTCCTTCTCGTCGGCGTTGAGCATTCTGCTGGGCCAATAGGGCTACCGCGTCCCTTGCCTGCATGAGCTCTTTCATGCTCTCTCTGCTTGCCTGCTTGCTGTTTTTACTCGATTTCTTGTGTCCTTTGGCAGCTGGAGGGAGAAGTCCGAGAGCTCGGAGCAGAGGAATATGCAGCTCAGGCTTACATTGCTCGCAGTAGTAGACATCGGGGCAGTCTTCTTCTGTGTGCATGCCCATGCAAACGCAGTGTTGCCAACATTTGCAGGTCTCGCACTGGATCATCAGACCCACATTCTCGTCTGTGAGGACAAGGGGGGCAGTGAGGATATTAGTCTTCGGCATCGCTTCACTGGTATCGGTGTTCCTCTAAAGCAGGTACTCACCTTCGCTTCCGCAGACACACCTCGTCACGCCCTCAATATCTCCATCTGCATCCCCATCTGCCTCTTCATCATAGTCCTCGACTCCTTCCGCCTTGGCATCATCTCGCTCCTGGCCATCTGCGGGAACATCATCCTCAGCTGCGCCTTCTTCTTCCTTCTTGAGAGTGTTGCCGGCTGCAGAAGGTGAAGTCGCAGCAGCGCGCCGTGTTCTTCTGGGGGCTAGGCTAGCATCATCTCCATCGCCGAGATGAGCCAGGCCGAGGCCAGCCAGAGCCTTGACGGAAGAAGAGGAAGAGCGTTGCCTCCTGCTCATAGACACAGCTACTGGTGCCTCTTCCTGCGCTCCAGCGCCGACATCTTGACCTTGAGCGGAAGGTGACTCTGTCCTCACCTCGGAAGCTACGCCTCCTTCCTCGCCGTCATCACCCCGGCTGGAGGAAGCCTTGGCGCTCTTGGATCTTGACCTGGTCTGACCCTTGGGTCCCTGTGATGACTTCCGCGACGAATTGCCCGACGTCTTGCGCCCATTAGAAGGCGTCTCTTGGGTTGGACTGACGTCTTTGCCCGATGATTCCTCACCTTCGTTGAGGTCTGCAGCAGCGGAGGCTTCCTCTGCGGACGGCTCCTCTTGCACAGCATCAGCGTTGCTGGTAGCTTGTGGCTCAGCTTCCATAGTTGAATCACCCTCAGCGTTTGCAGAGTCTGGCTGAGGAGTAACGTCGGTGGAGGCGAGCTGAGCAGTGGCTGCGAGATTGTCCGTTGAGGGTTCGCTTGCGGGAGCAGAAGCTTGCGTCCTGCTCGTCATTGCAAGGCAGTTGAAGCGGGCCTTGTGAATGGCTGAATGCCTGCTTCTGTGATGGCGCCGAGCTTCAACGGTCGTCAAATAGGCTCACGGCGTGCTCCGATGAGTATGAACAGCGCAGGGGTTGGATGTCCGGGGAGGGTGAGGCGAAGCTATTTAAGAGGTAAGTGGATGAGGAGATACGGGAGAGCAGAGCTGCAACGTGGGAAGCTGGGATCGGCAGCAGCACACAGAGCTCAGCAAAGCAACAGTAGACGACTTTGAGAGCGACGTGTAGGCAGCGAGCAGAAGGAGGGAGGTGGTGATTGAGAGAGATGGAAGGGATGTATGCTACGCAAGCGAAGGAGCATCGGCGGCAAAGGCACCAAGGAAAGGTCCCGGCCGCCCTTCCCTCGAGGCCACGCCTGGCGGGCGGCGCCATTTGGCCCACGCACCCATCCAAGCGCGGACGGAGCGGAGTTGGATCTCCACACGCAACGGAACTGGAACAGAGGGATCACGCAGCGCGCTCCACGAGTACGGCCATCAGACGCAGGGATGGACATTGCACGGTGTACACACTCGTATACCTCTGCAAGTAGAAGCGGTGAAGTGCAAGAGCTGGCTGGTCCTATCAAAAGGGCGTCACATTCAAATGGGCGACGAGTCCAGCCGTGGAGGTGGGGTGGGAAAAGCAAGGTCAAGGGAAGACGTACTTTCGCTCGTCGCTTCGTCGCACCTCTCCTGCCGCGTTGGCGTCGCATCTACCTGAAGAGGCCTTCGTGAGCCATGAAGACTAACGGCCACGCTCTGCACGGCTGTGTGGTCCTTACTTCCTCCTCGCGCTGCCATGAGTCCACTGTCAAGCAGTGTGTTCACGTCAATCCTCAGTCCCTCCAAACTGCTCTCGCCTCCCGGCGTGCTGTACTCTACTGGCATACCCTGGCCCCACAACGGCTGACGGCGAGAAGTGAGATTCAGAGGGGCAGTGTCACCGGCCGAAGAGCTCAACCTGGATGATGTCGAGGGATTCCCGCACATATCAGAGACCAGAGGCGAGTTGACCCGGGACGACGTAGATGTAGACGTGCTCAGCTTCACGGAGCGCTGGAGCGGGTTTCTGACTCCTTCGCCATTTTGGCTTGCTAAGCCAGGCATCAAAGTTGGAGTGACACGGTGCAGAGGTCCACCATCGATCTGGCCCGAAGTGTCGGCCTTGATGCAATGGCGATCTGCACGGAAGCTGGCAGACCCAGCTTTCTTCGAGAGAATGGTTGGAGACGCACAGGGATCGACCTCTTGAGCTTGAGTAAGCAACGCAAGCTGCACGCTGGCAGTAGTCTGCTTGGTGCTGATGGGTCGTCCATTGGCATCGATGTTGACTTTACTTGCGACGGACTCCCGCTTCTTGGCGGCTGCACCCTCTTCCCAGTTACTCCAAGGGCCGGTGCGAGATGCATTGCTCCACCTTGAGCCTGTCCGCCCGGCAGAACCCCAAGGAGAGGTAGCGGGCGTGCTGGGCGAGTAGACTGTCAGCGTCCCATCCGACGGCGTCGAAGGCGCTTCTGGGCTGCTTGACCTGGCTTCCGTTCTTGGCGTCGCTGGCGCAGGGAAAGGAATGGAAGAGAAGATCGTGTTGGCATCGGTCTGCTCTCCGTGTCTGTCGAGTGCGGAGTCGAGAGAACTGAGAGAAGCTGGACTGGCGGTGAGAGCAACAGAAACGGCAGCTGCCGGAGGTGTAGGATCAGCTGTCCATGTGGAAGAAGGGAAGAATGGCTTCGCTGTCGTACCGCGGTCTGGTGATACAAGGACGGCGGGCGGCAGTAGAGTCGGCCGCCCGTCACTGGAGGGAGTGCGTCTGATTAGTGGAGTCGAGGCATTGGGGCCCGGTGAAAGGGTATGTCTCCCCTTTGATGGACCTCGTGACGGTGTTGAAGGTAGGGGAGGTAAAGCGCCGGATGGGGGAGGGGGCGCTGGAGGCAGGCTCGCCATAGAAGCTCTGACACTAGCGAGAGAGAATGGCGAGGTAGCTTGACTGCTACCTCTGGAACGTGCGCTGCTGGGGCTTGAAGAGCCGGTCGCCATTGCCCAGCTGTGAGGCAACTTGAGCTTCTCCGGCCGTTGCGTGAGGGCCTTGCGCACCATAGTCGAAGATTCTCTTTGCGAAAAGTTATACGAGAACGGCTGTTGAGTAGGATCGCTCGCAATGTCTGGACTGTCGGTCCAGGCTGCATCTGGGGAAAAGCCCGTGCGCAGCAGCGATATCTGTCGCCCAGCTCCAATGGCCAGCCTCAAGCTCTCTAGAGACGAATCGCCCTCACTGAGACTGATTCCGACGTCGACTTGAGCTGCTAGGGCATCTTCCCTATTCAAAGACTGTGGCGAATCTTGCTTGTAGCCCCCCAAATCGCAAGACCTCTCGCGACATATCGAAGCTGAACGCGCGCGTACCAAGGATTGGAAGGATGATGCTGAGGTGCCGCTGCTGGTAGAATGCAATGAATCTTGCGTGCTCGGTCTTGATGGTCTGGTCGGCCGCATCTGCTCTACATCTGCACGGGCAGACCCTCGTGAAAAAACGTTGTTCCCGGGAATACGCAGCGTGCCGTCAGATGGGCTGTTTTCCTGGCCTTTAACGCCTGTAGCCTGGCCTGGCTGTCCGTACGGTGCTTGGAAGGCGGGCGAGAGAGTCTGATGTCTGACAGGGAGTGTAGGATTAGGCGCTCTGCTTGGCGTCCTCTTGGGCATATACGGTGACGAGTCGTAGGGGGCAAGAGAAGCGTCTCCGCCTCGGCGGAATCGTTGTTCTGCCTTAGCTAGCGTCCGAATGAGCGTCTGTGCAAGAATGTCAAGAGGGACAAGGAAGGTCAGCACCCAAATTTCTGCCCTTCACACCCTACACTTCGCACAAACAACTCACTTGTATCGTGACCTGCCACAATCTCAGCTCATCCATGCTCCTCAGCTGCACGAGCCATTCTGCATGATGACCTTCGTCAGTCCCAGCCGATCGATCATTGTTTACATCGACTTCGAGGATAGAGTCACTCTTTCCGCCCTTCGCAGCCCTCCTCAGCGCAATGCCAGACAGCTTCAGGAACCAGGCATCGTCCGTCTTCTTTCCTCCGGTAGCAAGAGAGGGGTCAACTACTGTCACGTAGCTACCGGGTGTCAGAATGAGCCTCTCCCACTCCTGCGTATCATCGAATTTGAAGGAGTGGATGCAGGCAGCTGGGATCATCGGATCGCGGATATGTCCCAGATCCAACTCTAGATCGGAGCCCAGCAGCGCTTGGGCTCTAGAGGCGGACGGAGAGGTAGAAGAACTCGTTTGCAAGAGGCTGTTGGGCTTAGCCGGCTTGAAGAGAGAGGTCAAAACAAAATCCCTTGCTTTGAAAGGCTTCCGTCTCGACAAGGAGAAGGTAAGAGAACGAGGAGATGAAGACTGCTTCTGAGCCGAATCGTGGAGCATACGATGACGGGTGAGGTCTTCGCGTTGGCAAGGGAAGTCAGGTAAAGACGTCTGCATGGTCGACCTCGAAGAAGCAGATGAGGGCGTGGAAGGAGAATGGGGTCCAGCGGCAAATTGATGAAGAGCGTCCAAAGGTGAGATTCCCAGCAGTTTAGCGCTCTTCTTGACACTGTGGCCGGAGCGGGCTGATGTCTGCATGTGTTGCTGTGGTGATCGTGATGACACCACGTCCCAGTCTTCGGGAGAGTATGGTACATCGTCCCCGTCCTGATCGACAGTGGGCGTCCAGACGACAGGGCTTGTTTGCCTGGTCGGAGATCGGCCAGCTGCCGAAGCGTATGACCCTTGATCGGGGACATGCAAGCTCAGTGGCTGGAGCGGGAGCAGACGAGGGAGTGGACCCGACTGATTGGCTTCCGGAGCAGTGGGCAGCTTCCTGCGGTGCAAGAGGAGGCTGTCTTGCGGTCTGTCGCATGCTGTTTGACCGTCGACCATAGACTCTGTGTTTCTACGGGAGCAGGCGGAAGGGGACGGGTTCATGCCAGATGATCGAGGAAGATTTTGGGTCATGAGGAGCAATGAGTAAAGGAATCTTGTGCTGTATGACTGGAGAATAATTGAGACTACTCAGAGGTGTGAGAATCGGGTCCATAGAAGGCATCGTCAGCGTTGCGTAGGGCACTTGATCTACGCAAATGTTGACTCACGAGGGGCAAAGGCTGTGTTTGCGAGCAGCCAGCTGACAAGCAAAAGGGCATACGAGAATGTGGAACGACTAGGGAAAACAACAGGTGGCGCTGTCTCGGCGAGCATTCGCCAATTCTCGGTGCCCCATATACTCTTCGCCATCGCAGCACGTCCCTGGAGACGCCGAACTCTTGTCCTGATATGCCTCCATTGTTGTGTAAGTGCTGCCCACCGTGGTGCTGCCGTGCCTGCCGCACGGTCATGCTACATGAGATCGGCTTCTGTATGCTTTGACGGGGCGCCGACTTCATTGGCAGAGCAGCATCTGGCTCGCTTGCCGTCGTGAGAGCAGTGTGTGGCTATTGTTGGCTCATGGCACCGGACAAAGGTTTATGGGCCGGGCGGAGTTAGGGTACAGGAGGAGCTGCTATACCATTGTGCCGGGTCACGCTTCGGTATCAATGGCGTGCTACCGGCACAGGCATTGGTGCCATACGGGCCCTGCCTCGGAACGATCATGTTCTGCCCGATGCTGTCCGAGCGCAAATGTCCGAGACATGGTCTGTATTTCCCGAGGCAGATTGCTCCGTGTGGCGACCTCGGAGGATTCTTAGGTCTATGAGGGTCGAGCCCTGTGGCGTAAATGCCGCTCCCGCAGATCGCGCGAATGGAGTGCAGCGGGCGCGATGGCAGCCAGGACAAAGGGAGCCATCGTTATCGTGGAAATGGCAGAGGTGAGGCACTCAAGGAGACGATATCAACAAGGGATCGTTATCGTAGCATGGCAGAGGCGAGGCATCCAATGAGACCTTGTCTGCAAATTTCTCCGATGCAACGGTGACAGTGCCAGGTGCAGATGACAGAGGCCATCGTATGGGTACAAACAAAAGATGGAATCTCGCCGGTGGTTCTTTTTCTAACCTTTGATCTGACGGCCGTAGTGCCAGCGATACAGACAAGGTCGATGCTTCAGGCTCACTGGCGAGCATCTCGATTGACTGCCGTCTAGATCCGCCTTGTCTAGCCGATTTGAGGTATGCACCTCCCAGCTTCTCAACTTCTCCAAGGTCGGCTCCGAACAGACGCCCGGAATCCGTGTGATATGAACGAGCGCAACACAGCATTTTTAACGAAGGCGCCCCGCCAGAGACTTGTGTTCGTCCGGTCTGGATGGAGCCAGGCACGCAATGTATGCAGGGCGGATGTATATAAGAGGGACCATTGCTACCTTGCGGAGGTTACGGTCACAAGGCATGTGTCCGGACGTATGCCTCAGCCATGGACCCTATCGTCGCAATCGCAACCGCAATCCTCGGCGGCCCGGGTGGGCGTCAAGGTGATCACCACTGCGATGTGTGCCACCCCTCACGATCGACCATTGCTCCCTTGTTATCCTCCGCTAATTCCGAGATGCTATCACGCTCCCTTCAAGTAGGTACACGGGCACCTCAACTCCCTCATCAGTATCGGCAGAGTATTCGACGTAGGCTCTGTATCGTCTCTTTGCCTCACACTTGGTCGCCTGGCTGTGCTGCGTCATAGATCTTTTACTCGGCCAGCGAGCAGGTTACTGCAAGGCATCTTCTGTCAGGTCGAAACCTATCAGCAGTCTTCAATCAATAGCGCAAGCCTCAGTCCTTCCGATCAGCGCTGTAAGACGTCTCTCGCAGGGAAATGAGTGCTCGACTCAGAGCGCCAGGACAAATCCTTCTCCAGCCGGTCCACCTTCATGTGCCCACAGGCGGAGCTAGTCATGACAGCACACTCAGTACGCACAATGGCACCGCAGGCGGGAGCACAGCAGTGGCGCAAGACCTGCTACAATCCATTCCTCTAACATCGTATTCATTCGGCCACCCGGCTACTGTTTCCAGGCAAAGCAGCAATGTCCAGCAGCCCGGTCCACTGAGACAAGATTCTCGGAGAGTCTTCGAGTCTCCAGTGGAATTTTGGTGGATCTCAGCTGAGGGGTTGACAAATGGCCATAACGAGTCCAGCTCAGCTTCGTTGTTACAAGGAGCTCGCTCGCACACCACTAGAGAAGAGGGGGGCGCTACGCAACTGCAGCGATTGCGGGCAGCACAAGGGCATCACCAGCACACCTATCAGAGCCACCGACAGGCTCGTATTCGACCTGCATGTTCTGAGGCAGCGCCACCATCTCGATGGTCAAGCTCGAGTTGGAGCAGCTCTGCTTTGGAACAACACGGCGAGGAGCTGCTTCGTGCGCCCTGGACGTATTCTGGAGATGAGACGGGGGGCTTTCATATGACCCGAGACGGCAGTTCAGACGGTGATGAGGCTGATCCAAGCCGCACTTCTAGGCTCAGAGACCGTGCATTTACCGGATCCAGACGAAGGGACGATCTCGAGCCTACAACGACAGATATCAACGAAGGCACAGATAGTAGCAGTAGCAGGGGAAGCAGCGAGACCCTTTCATCGGGCTATCCAGAATCTTGCAACAGTCTGAGGGTACCATCTGCATCGGTGCTCTCCATTGCTGCCAGCAACAGCATCTCTCCTCTCAACCTTCCACCGGCAACCACCGGTGTCGTACCTCACAACGCTTTTATGCCTGCCTTCTTACTACAGCATGACAACGCTTCCTTGATGAGCTTGCTCAGCACAGCCGCTTATGACGAGCAAGGAAGCCCATCCGCGGAGTCCAGCAGGTACAATTGGCTGGACATGACAAGCAGCGTCACTTCTTCCAACAGGCGCTCCAGGAGCAGTGTCAGGTCTGACTCGAGCTCTTCAGACGAAGGAAGTGGCGAGTCTATCGGATCGGCAGATGACGGTGAAGAGCGCCCCGGCGCTCAGACAGACGTGTATACGTCCCAGATCGCCTGGCACTCGGCTCCGGCGCAGCTTGATTACCATGATCAGCTCACTTGCGGGACATACGAAGTTGGCAGCGGAGAGGATGTTGTCAACGAGGCTGAAGATCTTCGTGTAGCGCCGCGATCGAGAAGTACGACCACCTACGATGTGCTCGACTTGATGGGCATGTACAAAGCCATGCAAGCCTCTGCAATTGAGGCAGTGCCGGTAGACGACAACCATTACATCCTTGCAGAGTGGATGGAGCAGTCCCAGAGGCTTGCAAGATCGAGCGAACCGCATCTTTACGACAGATGTCAAAGCACTACCCCGCAACCACGCAGTCGTCATGAAGCCCAGGCGGTTCACGCAATGGGTACAAAAAACGATTCAGACGTAGACTGCAGACCTCCTGAAATCAGCAATGAGACCTTCGCAGATTCTAAGCAGCAGCAACAGAACCCTGGAGCTGGCAGAACTGAGGCAAAGTCACTTCTGTCATCCCTGTTGCCTCGTCTGCCAGGAAGTCCCACCAGATTGAGGCTACTGTCGACTCTACAAAAGAAGACCACAACTGGCCTTGCAGACTTGCAAAGGGACTCGACGACCGTGGGCCAGGTGCCGTTACGGGTGTCAAAACCGTCGGCTGCACCAGATGCTAATCATGTCAGTCCCTCTGGCTCCATGCAGGGAGGTCTCATGCGGCCCATAGCCACCGGCTGTGAAGTACCGTGGACGCCTCAGCTTCCTGTCAAGATCCACTCCGAAGACAGGGCGAAGCGTACCAGAGCCTCTGGGACTCGTATGAGCCTGAGCAGCCTGTCATCCAGTAGCAAAGTTCCCTCGAATGGGACTGCAGTGGCTTCCTCAGCAAGACTTGAAGTGGGCAAAGTCAAGAGGAGGTGGTACGAAAGTAAAGAGTACACACGTCCCAATGCAGATGTCAACCCCAAGTCTGCCACCGTGATCATTGGGGCCGGTACCGGCAAGTGCACCGTTGCCTCTCTAGGTATACAAGGAACACAGCGCACCTCCGCGTCGGAGGACCCTGTCGGCAAGCAGTCGGACGGCAGTGTCATATCTCTCAATCGCTTCCTTGCAGAGAGTGGCTTGATAAGGGAGATTGCCGATCAAGCGTCTGTAGACGAAGAGCAGGACGAGAGTCGTACACCCACGCCGACGCAAGCCTCCCTGGGGTTTGATCGCAACGTGGGACACGCACCAAAGTGGTCATCTGTAACGAACATGAAGTCGACAGCGATTGCCGTTGTGACGCCGGCAGCAAGTCTCGATCGTCGAGGCGGGGCAAGCGTGGTTCGTAACAAACGAGGATTGGAAGCTGGGCAGGTGAGCCCGCTGCTCCTTGGCCTTTGCTCGGGGGTCAGCCCGAGAGACAGTGCACACCGTCAGTCAAGCAGAAGTCTCAAGCCTGCACAAGAGCTTTTTTCATTTGAGAACTATAATTCGGTTCTACCCAAATCTTCTTCGCAGCCAAAGAGAAAGGACGCAGCCCTAACAATCCATCTCTTCCCCATGCCTCCGCCTCTACGTCCTGCTTTTGGCACAGGTGGCCAGACCTCTGGCAAACAGGCCAACGCCAACACTAGAGCAAATTCGGGGCGTTCCCTCTCCTATGAAGAGCCTCAAGAGGGTGTCTGCGATGCCGCGAATCAAGTCAACCATTATGAGGAAGAAGGACAAGAAGAAGAAGGGAGCGACATCAAAGGCGGGAACGAGGACGAGGAAGACACTGACGTTTTCTCCCAAGCCCGCTTGAGCGAGGCGGAGTCGTTCTCGAAGAGGCAAGGGCTGGCTATGAGTATCGTGCTGGAGGAAGAGGAGGAAGAGTAGGAGCTCGAGGTGGGTAGTGCCTTTGATACTGTGCAGGGGTGACTGGGCAGGAATGCGGGCGTCAAGAATCTCGTTGAACGAGACTAGTCACGGTGGACAGGCCAAGGGTCGCGGATCTTCTCTCTTGGCATAGTCAGATGGTACTGGATATCAGCGCTTGCTCGTCAAATCATCTCATAGTATAGTCATTGACCGCTCAGCAACAATAAGACGAATACACCTTGTCTCACAGTCTTACTTGCGAGCAGGTGGTCCACCACGACTTCCATCCGGCAGCTTCACCGGACACTTGAGTACCATGACCTTCTTTGCTTTTCCCTTTCCTCCTCCTCCTCCTTCCACCTGCTGCTGCTGCCCTGCATTTTCCAAATCCGCCCCAAGTCCCTGCCTATACCTCGTTGTGCATCCCAGACTCTTGGCCACCTCCTTGAGTCTATTGGGACTCATTCCGATTTCTGCTGCGAGGACTTCAATCTCGAGGACAAAGCCATCGACGTGGAGACAGAGGGCGAGGAGGGTTGCCAGGAGCTTCGTCTCGCCAAAGGGCGTCAGCACCCACGTCTTCCTCGCTCGATCCCTACTGCAGAACGCAGCGAGGAGTGCGTCTAGGAGTGCTTCGCTGGACGCTTCTGCCGTGGGGGAGGTGAGCTTCAGCTTCTCCTTTAGACCCTTACGGTCATTGAGGATCTTCCTGTTGCTCGCGGCGAGGGAGCGCAACGCCCAGAGGTAGGCAATGTATAGCACGAGGCGCAGCTGCTGCTTCTGGTGGGAAGCCGACGTCTTGAGGATGCCTGAAGCGCCAGAGGAGGTTGCCTCCCCACTAGCACGCTGTGAGGAGAGGACACGGTTCCATATCCTGCTTGCGAGCCAGTTGGACTTGTTGCTTGCCAGTGGTAGGAGCTTATGCACACCAGACACGTCCGAGGCGTGCATGTAGGGATTGGCGTAGATGTTGGAGCTGATATCGCGTGGGAAGAGCTCAGAGAGGGGGTAGACATCCTCTGGGGAAGTTGCCTCGAGGTGGGGAGTGGGGATGGGCCTAGAGGCGAGGTTTGCAGCAGTGGGCTGCGAGCTGTCCGCACCCTGAGATGCGTGCAGGGCGTCCACGTCGAATTTACTGTCCCCAATGGCCTCTGTCACACCCTGAAGGATTCCCCCATCCATACCAGTCGTATCTACCTTCATACGATCTGCATTCCTCAATGCCAACTTCTGCTTGCGGTTACCAAATGCCTCACCCAGATCTCTCCTGGCAGCAGCAAAGGTAGCACCTCCCTGGATCCTTGCAGACTGTCCACCACTGGGGATGATACTCCGCGCAAGGGTGAGCAGAGGAGCAGGATGGAGTGTCACTTCCTGAGTTGCAGGGTCGTAGATAGCGGCGAGGTAGGAGCCCGAGTAGCCCTTTGCCTGAGCGATGTCTTCGGGGGAGAGGCAGCCCTCCATGTCCCAATTATTGGATTCGATGGCGATGTTGGATGTATTGGCAGGGCGAGTGCCCAGCAGGAGAGAGTTCTTGAGCTGCGGTGGTGCGGATGATGAGGATGAGGATGAGGGCAGGTGGAAGAGGTTCATGGATGAAGGCGGCTGGAAAGAAGGAGAGTCGACTGCGAGCAGGGATCAATGCAGGAGAAGGCAGGAGTGAGTACAAAAGACCATGGCTCAGACACCCAGACGTACTTGACTCCACTCACCCAGCAAGGCTTGCACCTCGTAGCCGCCCGTCTCTGCTCCTTTATGATCCTTGAACTTCAACACCACCTCGCCCTTTGTGGGCTGACTGGCGCTGCTTCCGCTGCCACTAGGTCCTGATGAATCCTCGCCCTTTTTGCTCTTCTTGCTTGACTTGCTGCCGTCGGCATCTCCGCTCCTCTTCTTCTTCGACGGTGATGCTGATGATGATGATGGGTCTGCCATGGCTGTAGATGCTGCCGCAAGAGGACGATGTAGCGGATGAGGATTGTCAGATGCTCTTTGATGGTATGTACAGTCGTCGTCGTCGTCGCTGCCCTTTCCCTCTTCGCGCCTTGCAAGGTTTCTTCTCTTCCCGCCGAGAGAAAAAGGGACGGAACTGGGAAATCCAATTTGCAACTCCGCTTCAATTTACACGGAAGTAGACGCGAGGCGCAGATGAGACGTGCAGCGAGTGGAGAGGCTGGGTAGTCTATGCAGCAGCATCGACGCTGACCAAGACAGGCAGCCACTCCACCACTGCCTCCCTCACCATGCACCAACAGTGAACACCAGCAAGCAGCAAGCAGTCTACTCACGCCCATCGGCTGCGGCGACCGTGCACACGCCCCTCATCACCCCCCCGGCCATGCCAGCCACACGCCGCCCCCATCGAGCTCGAGAGACAGCAGCAGGTCCTTCCTCCTCTACCCGTCCGCGCCCTACCACCCCTCCACCTCAGCCTCATGCCAATGGCTCCCCTTCCTCGCCCTCCTCGACTTCCTCTCCATCCCTTGATCGAAGTGACGCAGCAGATCGAGTACTCCTGGTACCTTCAGACGTACGAAGGCGGATAGCAGCCAACCGCACTGTCGGCGCATTCGAACGTCTGCGCCGCCTCGAGGTAGAGAAGACTAGAGCTGCCCAGGAAGAAGCAGAGCAGAGGCGCATCGAGGAGGACAAGGCAGTACAGCGGCGCATCGAACAGAGAGAGAAGAGGGCAGCTAGGATCAAAAAAGAGGTGGGAGCCGAAGTCATCGACGTTGACAATGATGGCAAGCGCTCTCAGCGTCCTGGCGCTACTGTCAAGGCAGATCCTGATGATGGCACACCGCCACAGGAGGTCATTACCATCAAGGACGAGTCAGACGAGGAAGACGTCAAGCCAGTCATCACTGCCAATGGCGCTCTGGCAAGCACATCCAACTGCGCACCTGCACCCCCACCCCCGCGGACTCCTTCTCCTCCGCCACCAGTGCAGCAGTCACAGGCCACGCCTCCATCTGTGTTCGATCGGTTGCGAGCTACCACTGGAGATGTTGAACCCCTCTTCTTCAGAGGACAGACAGAAGAGACGCAGCTCGGAGACAGTACCAATGTACTGCCTTCCCCAGGCCCGTCTCGGGAGCAGAGCGCAACACCTGCCGCCGGCGATTCCTCGGACATGCCATGGAAAGTCCCCTCTCGGACAGAGCTACCCTGGCCAGAGCCTTTTGAGCGCTTAGAAGAAGTCTTTCGAGCTCTCAATACCGTCTATGCCTTTTGCTCTGCCCGCAAGCACCTAGCAACAACATTCGATACCATGCGTTCCAGCGTAGAGACGCTCATCAAGCGTGAGCTAGAGGTACACCATATCGCCCAGCTCAAGTCGCTCCTTCCGGACCTCATCAATTTCGCCTACGTCGAGACGGACATGCTCGAGGTCCACCTCGATGGCGGGAACAACATGAGCGAGGGTCGGCGAAAAGCGATGGCCAAGCGGGCAGACACTGACTGGGCATTCGAGGAGGCTGCGCGGTTGATCGGTCTCGATGAAGGCAGGGAGGCGTGGAACGGCGCTATAGCTAGCACTACTCAGGCTTCGGAGCCACCGCCTCTCGAGATGAACAGTGCAGGTACGACTTCCGAAGGACTCTCAGGTCCAGCCATCCAGGAAGCGGGAGAGCTCTTGCCATCTGTAGCGTCCCTGCAACAGAGCTCCAAGGCAGCAGCGTCTGGCAAACGCCGGCGGGACGACTACGTTTTGCTGTTCGAGTTCAACGATGGGACGCTTCAAGGACCGAAAGCCACAGCGAGAGGTCGACCAGGTATGCGAAGAGGTCCGCAGAAGAAGCCCTCCGCCATCAAGAGAGGTCCTACACACAACCCGCCTCTCAACAGTCTACCCTCGGCTTCGTCAATGAAGCGACTCATCGACAAGCGCAATTTGAAGTTCGAGACGGCAGTCTGCGAACTTCTCGCTGCCTGTCAAGCCAAAGGAGAAGACGCCGTCGATTTGCTCATCTCCGCTGCCAACGACCACGTACCTATCAATCCTCAGACTGCCGAGAGGCCAATGCTTGGCGAGACGCCGCAGAAGAAGAAGATTCGACTGGAGTATCTGATGAACAACCCAGATCAGCGGCCGGAAATCAGCGAAGTCATCGAGGAAATGAAGGCCGCCCCGTGGTGGGTAGACCAGGTGGTGCCTGGAGGTAGGAAGACTTTCCCTGATCGGCAGCCCAAGTACGATGGACTTACTTTTGCTCTCAGTCAAGAGCTGGTGAATGCTCTTTGGTCCACACGCAAGATTGAAGAGTTCTACACTCACCAGGCTGAGGCCCTGAATGCCCTTGATGAGGGCTTGAATGTCATCGTCTCGACCTCCACTTCATCCGGCAAGTCGCTGATATACCAGGTACCGATCATACGTGCCCTCGAAGAAGATCGCACAGCTACAGCCTTGTTTATTTTTCCCACCAAGGCCCTCGCACAGGATCAGAAGCGATCTTTGCAAGATCTTATCTGCGAGCATGAGACGCTGGACGAGACCGAGGTGAAGGTTGCCACGTACGATGGAGACACTGACCGCTCTTTGAGAGTGGACATTCGAGAGAATGCAAATATCATCTTCACAAATCCAGATATGCTGCACCAGTCTATCTTGCCCAATGAGCACAATTGGCGGCGATTCCTCAGATCGCTGAGATTTGTCGTGGTCGACGAATTACACACCTACAATGGCCTCTTTGGCGCACACGTCTCTCTAATCATGAGGAGACTACGGAGGATCTGCACTGCGCTTGGCAATCGGCGCATCCAGTTCATCTCCTGCTCAGCTACCGTGGCGAATCCAAAAGAGCACATGCAGACTCTCTTCGGAATTCAAGACGTCGAAGTCATTACCGAAGACGGCTCGCCTCACGGCAAGAAGGAGTGGCTGATCTGGAACCCACCTTTGATGGATGAGAAGGATCCGAAGCAAGGCAGGGTCTCTGCCTACGCTGAAGTCTCTAAGATCTTCCGCCATCTGGTCGAGCGGGGCGTGAGGACGATCATCTTCACGAAAGTCAGGAGGACGTGCGAGATTGTCATTGCTCAGATCAGAAAGGACCTGCTGATCGAACACCGCCACGACATCGTCGACAAGGTCATGTCCTACCGCTCCGGATACTCACCAGAGGATCGTCGTCAGATCGAGCAGGACATGTGGAAGGGATCTCTGCTCGGTATCGTCGCCACGAGTGCGCTCGAGCTTGGTATCGACATTGGCTCGTTGGATGCAGTCATCATGCTTGGGTTTCCCTATTCGATTTCCTCGCTCCGCCAACAGTCTGGGCGAGCCGGTCGTCGATTGAAGGATTCGCTGACGGTCCTCTGCTGCGACCCTTTCCCAATGGACCAGCACTATGCTCGTTTCCCGGAGGACGTCTTCAATCAGCCAGATGCAGCGCTTTCCGTTGACTTGAACAATGATTTCGTGCTTGAAGCTCACCTGCAATGCGCAGCCGAGGAGATGCCGATTCATCCCGTAGACGATCTGCCGTTCTTTGGCGACCATCTACAGGAGCTCTGTCGCACGAGGTTGGTAGCTGATGACGATGGCTTCTTCCACTGTCGGAACGAGCTGCGTCCCAACCCATCCAAGGAGGTAGCCATCCGAGGCGCTCGACAGGTGACATACTGCTACATCGATGTCACGCCTGGCCGACGGGACGGGCCACGCATCATGGAAGAGGTAGAAATCGACCGAGCCATCTTTGAAGCCTTTGAAGGTGCCGTCTTCATGCATCAGGGCTCCTCCTATATCTGTAAAGAGATCTCTCACGATACGCGCATCGCCAAGATGATCCAAGCCGATGTCAATTTCCACACTCGTCCGCGAGACCATACAGATACAGACGCAATGGAGACGCACCGTATCCGTGCACTGCGCAATACGACTTCCAAGGCCTACTTTGGCAAAGTTACCATCACCACGCACGTTTGGGGCTACTTCAAGGTGGACAAGCGCGCTAACATCCTCGATGCAGTAGATGTGGACTGCCCACCTTTTGTGCGACACACAAAGGGATTCTGGCTAGATGTACCCAATTGGCTTATTGCCCTGCTGGCAGAAAAGCAGATCAATGTCGCTGCGGCTATTCACGCAGCGGAGCACGCCCTCCTCTCTCTAACACCCATGTTCGTCGTCTCCCTCGCAGGCGACGTGCGCACCGAATGCAAGATTGCCGAGCGAGAGTACCAGAAGAGCAAAGCTACAACGAGGAAGCGACCGGCTCGACTGATCTTTTACGATATGCCGGGACAGAATGGAGGAGTTTGCGAAAAGGCCTTTAGCCATCTGGATGGGCTGATACGCATCGCAGTGGCTGTTATTGAGGCATGTGCTTGCACAGAGGGGTGCCCGGGCTGTGTGACTAGTCAGACATGTGCACATGCGAATCGTAAGTGGGGAAAGAGAGATCGCATGACGTGAGGCCCGATCTGACAAACTCTCTTGTTCCTCTTTGCACGTTCTCAGAGGTGACATCTAAAGTCGGAGCACTCGGCGTGCTACGTGGTCTCATCGGTCTGGAACCTCTATCACCCGATCTGCCACTACAGAATGAGCGAGGTCATGCAAGCAACGTGCTCGATGGACAGGACAGTGTGGCGCACACGATTGAGGAGGCTTTGCCTGTACGATGTGAGTGGAGCGCTTCCCTCAAGATGGTCCACTATGCCACCAGAAATTGACACACCTGTCTCCGCTTTTTGCCGCTTTTTGCCTTTCTCTCACTTGCCCCTCCCCACGCACAGCCACCCAACAAATCGAAGTCGAAGACTCTTCCAGCGAGCAGCTCCCGCCTTCGCTACGTGCCGACTTGGAGCGACTGCGTGAGATTTCTCTGCGTGGAAATCCGGATGGAATGATGCCTGGACAGGGGAAGAGTATGCTGTACCAGGAGTGAGAAGGGGCGCGGAAAGAGGCGCGAGATGGCGCTCCCTACATGAGTGACTGATGTTTCTCCTCAATGAGGTGAGAAGGAGACGGACGAGGTCGAAGATAGGTATGACTTGTGCACTAGATTATCACCCGGCATGTACAGTATTCGCGCAGCCGCTCGCTCATCCCAATAAGTATTTACAGCCTTTCACAGCCTACCTTCATTGCGAACCGGTCACCAGCGCTTTCTACCAGAGAGAGTGAGCAACACGATCGAGGGCTCTGCTGCCGGAGCATCGACCTTGCGACCACTCGATCGTGGTGGTGGTGGTGGGGCATCTATTGCTCCCAAGCAAGCCTGACGCCGAGGTACCGCTTACTCACAGGCACACCCGACTCCCAGTGAGGCACACCTGGCCACTGAGGTACAGTACGGTACCTGACTACCGAGGATTGTGCCGTGCGGTGCTGTACAGTATTGAAGCGCTTCGAGGACAAGAAGGTACCACCTGCACCACCCTGCGCAGGGCACAGGTTTCAGGGCTCAGGGCATAAGGCACAGGCAGGCACGCTCAGGGCCGTAGACGCTCTCGCGATCGCGATCGCGATCGCCCTGGAAAGGGCATCGTCCCTCGAACGGGACCCGAGCGCAATGTCTCCGGGTTCAGGGCAGGAGCAAGAGCAAGAGCAAGAGCAATGCCAGCGTCCATTGTTCGTTTGCTGGAGCATAATCTTGTGAGGTATATAACCACGCTGTTTGGCGCTTGACCCTCTTTTCCCCTCTGTCCTCCTTATCCATCACTCCTCGTCTCACCGCTACCTGCCGTCACTTACCCCTTTCATACACCACACCTTGTGAGCCTATGTTGTCACTAGTACCTCTACTGGCGCAAGAGCTCGCTCACTCTACTTCTTTTCGAGGTCCATTGGACCAGGACACGGTGAGTACACCCCACGCTGCGTTGACGACTTCAACCATCGACGAGCATTGGATCGTGGCTGACTGTTCCTCCCTTGTCGCTCTCTTCGCAGGACTCTGTCGACACTCTCTGGACATCGTCACTTCTCTTGCTAAGAAGGACTGGGGTATCGAAGCAGTGAGTACCTACGAGCATCATCGTCGTACTGTGTCGCGACCTTACACTAACATCATCTGAACCCCTTCCGGCCCTCCTCCAGTTCTACCAAGGTCTACTCTCCATCACTTGACATAGGACTTCACTCTGTAACAGTCATTAGGAGGACTTATACCCGTACAAGCGTACGCCAATCTGTGCACCAGATACTGAGTGAGTAGCAACACACCGACTCCTGTCCCAGACCCACTACTCATCAGTCGAAGCTGACTTCGTTCCGATCCCCACCACTCTCAGCTCACCAACATGCACTTAACCGCTCATCACACAGGCTCTGACTGCAAAAAGAGCTTCCACCATCAAGAGCAGCGACTGAGCAAGCATTCGATAAAGTCATGCTACTTCTCGTGCTGTCTGGGAACCATAGGGACACTCGTCGTCGACGGCTGCTCGATCGCTGGCGCGCAGACAGTCCAGTCGACGAGTACACAGGCAGCAGGCAGCAGGCAGCAGATGGATTCTGCGCAAAGAGAGCGATTCCATCGTGGTTCTCCTCAAGCCCAGCTCACTGGGCGGCTCCTGGTGCTCAGTCTCTTCGCATGCCAGAGCGTCAAGGATCAGCACGCCTCTAAGACAGCCAAGCTCAGTCATGACAGCCCATGTACTGCGCTGGAGCGTTCTTATCTCCGGCGACTGGATGCTGGACTGCGCAAGGCTGGCTCAGAGGATGCACAGAAGGCTGAAGAGGAACGTGCGTGGCTGGAGGAGTGGGAGGAAGGGTCCGCGATAGACCCCGAAGCCATCGAGCACTGGCCACAGGGAGCCATGGCTACGCAGGCGCTCGTTGGCTTTATGAAGGCAGGTGGGAAGGACCGCGTCATGGATCTGGCAACCTGGCGCCGACGCTGGCCCCTCGGTATCACCAGCAAGGTCTGGGGACGACTCGAGGACGTTAGATGGCTCCTCTTCGCTCCCGCGGGACCTTCGACGGACTCCAGATATACCTCTGCCGACAACGGCGAAGCTTCTCGGGACCAGCTGCGGAGGATCGCGTACCTGTGAGAGGAATACGAGCCCAAGATGGTCTAGAAGGGCTCCCCAGAGCGACGCCGTCTGCACATTGCCCGATCGACTGGCAGCATACGCGGCCAACGTCGCCGCCTCCAAGTCATACCTGCGCAGATCAGGTCGGCGTCGAAGACTGGACATGCGTGCTGCAGAGGTGCTTCGACCACTGCTCCGCATCTCAGCAATCGAACAAGGCTCTCTCATGCAAGACGACGAAGATCTGGGCTCGAGTGCTCAACTGCTTCATCTCCAAGCGATGTCACACTGCTTTCCCATTAAATCGCGCTACGCAAGCTGGGCACTGTTGACCGAGCAGTCATTCCAGTAAGATGTAAAGTGTTCCAGCATAGTCGACAAAGGGAATACTGTAAAAGAGGGGTACTACTGTATCACAATACCTACTTCGTCTTCTCTACACAACTTGAATCTCGTCCTCATCGCCTGCCTGCATCTTGATTGAGCTAATAAGCGACCAACATCCGATCTGATGGTGATTGCACTCTTGCGCAGCTAGTGGCGCAGTGGGTCTACATCGTCTGCGATACTGCCGAATCTGTAGCCAGCGACCGGCAGATGTGATTGTGATCATGATTCGGAATGTCCCCATGGCAGAGCTTCACTGCTCGCTTCGCTTTGCTAGCGAAAGGGCGCCGAGAGCCGGTCTGAGTGTCCGATCCCAAGGAGATTTGTGAAGAGGCCTAGCGGGAGATTCTGACGGTAGGGCTTGGCCTTGCAGAGGAAGAGGCCGAGTCATGGCATGTCGATGCAGCTGGATGATTGGAGTTGCGGGAAACCAGCCTCGCTCAATAGCTGTTCGACAGAAGGCAGAGCAGACGAGAAGAGTGCAGTCAATACCAGCTCGAAGGGATCTCAACGGACAGGCCAGGCAGGGCAGGGCCGCTCCAGCTTATACTCACTCATAAAATCCCTTTCCTCCCTTCTTTCCGACCCATCCCGCATCCACCATCCTTCCCAATAGTACTGCCGGTCTGTATTTTGAGTCACCCGTCTCCTCGTGCAGCGTCATCATGATGCTCAAGCAGGTATCCAATCCAATGAAATCGGCCAACTTGAGAGGTCCCATCGGATGACCCATTGCGAGGTGCATCGTCGTGTCGATGTCCTCCTTTGAAGCCACTCCCTCGTCAAGACAAATGATGGCTTCATTTATGTACGGCATCAGGAGACGATTAGCGATGAATCCCGGCGAGTCCTTGGAGTGCACGAGGGTCTTTCCGCACACCTCTGCAAAATGGCGAGCACGTTGAAGAGTCTCTTCGCTTGTCTGAAGAGCAGGAATGATCTCCACGAGTGGCAAGACGGGGACTGGGTTCATCCAGTGCAGACCTACAACGCGTGAGGCGCTCCGACTTTTTGCGAGTTCCTCAGAGGGGAGTACTGCGCTTGCTGCGATTTTGCTAATGGAGATACTGCTCGTATTTGTTGCGAGTATGGTTTGGGGATCGGGAAAGGCGCGAGAGAGGGAGGAGAAGAGGGATTGTTTCACGGGAAGCTTCTCCGTGGCCGCTTCGATGACCATGTCTAAACCTTCTTCCCCGCCAGCTGCACCAGGATGTGTCTGCTTCAGCTCATCAATACTCCCTACGGTCTTCCAAGCTCCTCTTGCATGCTTGGCCTCCTCTTCTCGAATCTTCCCCTTCTTGAGGTCTTTTTGAAGGAGTGATTCGAGGAATTCGCTGCCCTTTGAGAGTTGCTGAGGGGAAGAATCGACGAGGGTTACAGAGGTGCAGCGTGCGCGGAGGGCAGAGACGTAGGCGATTCCGGTGCCCATTTGACCGGCGCCTATGACTGCCAGGCGCTTGATGGGGCTGGAGAGGGAGGACATGGCTGCGGATGAGGAGATGGTACAAGCTGTGGGACTGATCTGCGGAAGGAATGACCTCGCCGTTGAAGGTAGACGGTGCGTGCGGGGCAAAAGGACGCGGGGACGTGCGAGCGCGCAAGTCAAGCCACGCAACGGCCGCTGAAACACCACACACAGCCAATCACAGATACCAAACAGGGGCAGAGACCATCGCCATCGCACTCCATCGTACAGACGATCATCACCACGACGACCAATCAGCCGCAGCACGCCCTCTTCCTCAGGCGGCAGTCACAGCATACACTCTGCCCTCCCACACACCCAGACACACATCATGGAGAATTACTTAGAGCGATTCAAGTCCGCGGCCAACAAGGCAGGCATTCAGGTGAGCATACAGGCCGGGCGGCAACGAGGAGAAGATGTGGTGATGGCGAGATGCCACTCTGATGCTCTTATGGTAGCAAACATCGAGAAGCTGCTCCTGACAGTCGTATACTTATTCACGAACCACCACTCCTCCCCTCACACCTTACCCCCTCCAGGCCACCGCCTTTGCCCAGCAGACCTCTCGCCAACTCTCTGAGCAAGCCCAGCTAGCCAAAGCCGGCTTCTCCCTCCCAAAGGAATGCGAGCGTGCCTCTACCATCCTCCAGTCCTTCCTCGCCGATCCTCAACACCCCGACACAGCTCTCAATGCTATTCCCAAGGCGGTATTGGAGAATGCTAAAGGTCTGGCAGTGTTCAGTGTGGTGAAAGCGGGATTCCTTTGGAGTGGAAAAGTGGGGAGCGGTGTGGTTGTGGCGAGATTGGCAGATGGGAGCTGGAGTGCACCGAGTTGTATTGCGACGGGAGGTGTGGGTGTGGGATTCCAGGTCAGTACGAGGTACAGGGGTGGGGAATAGCAGTGGCAGTAGCAGACTCGACTCGTGGTAAGATGCACCCCAGTGCTTACCCTTATTCCTCTCACCCCTTATCCCGTACAGATCGGCGCCGACCTCTCTGAGTTCGTTGTAGTGATGAACTCACCCGACGCTGTCCGCTCCTTTGCAATGGCTGGCAACCTTCAGATTGGTGGAAGTCTGAGCGCAGCAGCAGGACCCATCGGCACGGGTGGGGCCATCAATGCAGCTATCGCTCACCCGGCACCCATGTTCAGCTATTCTAGGTCCAAGGGTGAGTTGAAGACGAGAGAGGTAGAAAGAGGACAGACCCCAATCATTAGGGATTAGGCATCTGACCGCCCATCTTCACCTACCCGCTCCTCCCTCTCCCATGAGCAGGTCTCTTCGCAGGCCTCTCCTTAGAAGGCACGGTCCTCGTGGAGCGCAAAGAAGCCAATGCCCACTTCTACGGTCAACCCATCCCCGCCCTCGACCTCCTTACAGGAAAAGTTCCCGCACCAGAAGCAGCAAGTGCACTCTATGAAGTCATTGAGGCAGCCGAGGCAGTTGATGAGAGTGGAGTGGGACAAGCCAGCTATATACCTTCGGCAGAGGGAGGATATGCTGCATCGATGCAGCAAGGACATGGCCAGCAGAGCTACGGTAGTGCTGGCAGTGCCGGTGTCGGTGGACAGACGGGAGAAGCGCCATACGAAGTACCCGCAGGAGCCGTTCCATCCACGAGTCCTGCTGCTACTGGAGGTGCTGGAGGAGCTGCTACTACTGGAAGTGGTGCGGAAAAAGGAAACAAGACCGTCTTCGATGCTGATCAGCCCTGATGCCGACGGAGGACAGAGGGCGGTGAGGATGTGAGGCACTAGTGATACTGTAAGCACATTTTTTGTCATTCGAACAATTATTCAGAGATATGCTATAGCATTCGGCGGGAGTAGTGAGCTAGTCATGCAGTCAGTGAGCGAGCGAGCTAGTCAGCCCATTCGATCAAAGTAGAGAGCAAAAAGATGCATTATGTTGCATTGTAGAATAGCCTCCAGCTCCTCCATCCGTCCATCATCCATACCCTTTTCCCTCTGCCATCACCTAAACTCCTCTCACACTCTCACTACAACTCCTCCCTCACCCGATCCACCACCCCCTTCACACCCTGAACCGCCGCCTCAACATACTCTCCTGCCGTCTCAGGGGTAGGAGAAGCGCCTAGCGCCGAGCTGGCAGAGCGCGTAGCCTGGTGGAGCGCATCGGCACCTTCTGATCCGAGGGAGGAGAGGAGGGAAGAAGCGTCCGAGGCGACGGATCCTACTGCTCCTTCGGCCGAGGAAGAGCTGAGGATCACACGTCCACGCCGTGAGAGGGAGGAAGCGCTGCTGCTTGCTTCTGACGCGAGGGAATCGGCGCTCTTGCTTGCCTGTGAAGCAAGAGAAGAGGCAGAGCTCCCTACTTGGCCACCTGCTGGAGCGAGGGAAGAGGCGCTGCTACTCACTTGCGACGCAAGAGAGGAAGCTGAGCTGGCTGCTTCTCCCACAAGGGAGGAAGCGCTGCTCACCACTCTTCCACGACGCGAGTAGACGGACCCTGCTGCGGCTGCTGCATCGCTTGCGGCACCCTGTGCTGCATCGAGTACACTCTCTACATACTCTCCTGGGGTCTCGGGTGTGGCTTCTACTCCCACTGCGGAGGCTAAGCTGCGTGTCGCCTGGTGCAGCACAGATGAGGCTTCGCCAACCAGGGAGGAAGCGCCATCTGTTGCCAGACCAGCGACGGACTCGATGTACTCTCCTGGAGACTCGGGCTGCACGTTAAGGCCTGCTGCTTGCGCTGCAGAGCGAGCGACAGAGCTGGCTGAGGAGCCAAGGGCGGTTGCTGAGGATGACATGCCCACGGAAGCGGCCGAGAGGATCTTGCTTGCTTGCTTCGTGTCGAAGTCTACTGGAACCTTGTCGGCCACGTTGGAGGCGGCGCTAGATGCGACTGAAGAGGCTACACTGCCGATGCTTGAGCCGGAGGAGTAAATTTCATTCACAATCGACTCGATCATCTCTCCGCTTGATTCGGGCTCAAATTGCACCCCGGCACGCTGCGCTGCTTGACGGGCAATGGAGCTGGCAGAGGCGTAGTACTCGCTACCGATGGATGAGGCGCTGCTGACTAGAGGACTGCCGGAAGTGGCAGTGCCGGCGACGGCGGACTTGGCGGCTTCGTAGACTGACTCGACGTACTCTCCTGGTGTCTCGGGGCTCACCGACATGCCGACGCTCTTGGCTCCTTCCCGTAGCAAAGAGCTGGCAGAAGCAGAAGCTTCACTAGCAAGCGAGCTTACCGAAGCGGAGCCAGGGACACCGGAAGTGACAGCGTCGTAGACGGACTCAATGTACTCTCCAGGAGTCTCAGGGTTGACTTTGATACCCACACTCTTGGCGCCCTCCCTTAGTAGAGAGCTAGCAGAAGCAGAAGCCTCACTTGCAAGGGAGCTGGCAGAAGCAGTATCGGGCATGGCAGACTTGGCAGCTTCGTACACGGACTCGACGTACTCGCCGGGGGTCTCGGGGTCAACGCTGACACCTACGCTCTTGGCGCCTTCTCTCAAGAGCGAGCTGGCGGATGCAGATGCCTCGCTCGCTTTGGCGCTGACGAGAGAGGCAGCACCCGAGCCACTGACACCCAGTGAGCCGGCTGCTTCCTTGAGAACGTTCTGGGCATCCTCGCTCAACTGCTTCGTACCGCCCACGATGGACTCGAGGACACTAGCAGCAGCGCCAGCGGCACCGAGCGCACTGAGCTCCTTTGCACCAAAGGCTCCCAGCTCGGCAAGGGCGGTATCGTAGAGACCCTCGAGAGAGCTCTGCAGAGTGCTGATCTTGCGCTGGATATCACCCTTCTTGCCACCGCTGACACCCACGACTCCGCGTGTGAGCTTCTTGTTGCCTGACTTGAGCGATTGGAGCTCCTTGCTAAAGGTCTGAGCACGGGGCACGATTCCTTCGTCCCAGCTAGAGAACTGCTCGCGAGTCTTTGAAGACTTGGCAGACTTGATGAGGGAGCGGTGCGCCTTTGTGGCCTCGGCGATGAAGCGCTCCACCTCTTCTACCGATGCGCGCTGCGTTGCATTCTCCTCTGCCTCGAGCTCACCGAAGAGGGATCCGAGTGACTTGACGGCCCTCTCCCTGGAGCGCGAGAGCTTGCCGTGCTGCTTCTCGACGAGGGCCTTGCCTGCCTCGGTCCTCTCCGGCCCTTCTTCTCGCTTTGACACCTTCTGGAAGGCTTTGGCCAGCTGGGCAAAGACGCCGTCCACCTCCATCTCAACGTCTTCTGTTAATACGTCAAACTTCTCAGGGACCGTCTCTGCAAAGCGAGCGTGGATCTCATCGAACCTAGTCTGCACGAGCTTGTGTTCTTCGTCGATGAGCGCAGCGAGACCCTTCTCCCAAGCCTCGAGCTGCTCCTTTGTGCTGGTGAGCTCGGCTTCCTCCTCGGCGTCAGAGACGGCCGAGGCTACTGGGTCGGCTGCTGCTAGAGGTCCACCGGTAGCTTGGTCCTTTGCAATATTGACGCGATCAAGAAGACTAGGATCGTTCACGGCATGCGCAGCGGAAATCTTCTGAGAGAAGAGCAGAAAACGTTAGTCCCCGCTCAAGATTCAACATCATGGCTTTGCAACGGCCTACTCACTGCCTCAGCGACCTTCTCATCTTCGACTGCCTTGGCCTCCTTCTTTGCCAACCTTGCCCAGCGCTTTGCATCCTTGATAGCCTCACTACTCATCGCATGCGACTTCCACTCGAAAACCTTCTGCAGGGCCTTATCCGCCTGTGGTCGGATGTAAAGCGCATATGTCCTCCTCACAGCTGGGTCAAAGTGATTGACGTAAAAAGAGTGGCTGTGCTTGGCAGAGGAGAGCACGAGTGGGTGGGCGTGCTTATTGTAGGCTCGGTAGGCTCCAGTGCCCGCAGCTAGGGACTGAAGGTAGGCGTCATTGAGCACGGGGGCGACATCGCGGCGGTAAATATCCTGATAGGGCTTGACGGCCTTGCGAGCGCCAACAACGTGAGTTTCCACGTGCTTGCTGTAGTGCTGCCGAGCGACCTTGAGGTGAGGATCGGCAAAGGCCTGGCTGCGCTTGATGGCGCGCTTGCGGAGTGGCTCGATGTTGCGATTGTAGTACTTCTTGCTCAACTGGTTGGCGGTCTTGTAATACCTTCTGCCGATCTTGTTGGCAGTCTTGTAGTAAGGCAGAGCGGTCTTGTGGGCTGTCCGGTAGTAAGGCGAGGCAGCATCGATGTAAGGCTTGGTGTAAGGCTCCACCTTTGCCTGTGCTGCGTGGTAGTAAGGAGTGACGACGGGGGCAATCTGAGACTTGGCTTGCGCCAAAGTCCTGCACGTAGCTCTGCTGTCATTGGGATTGTAGTCTGTATGTCCCCAAGTTGCCGGACACGACCAAAAGGCTCCCACGAGGAGGTAAGCCACTCCCGCCTGGAAGACGAGAGAAGTGAGGAGGGCAAAGAAACCCGCCTTGGCCTTCTTGGAGGTGCGACCACTGCTGCCTCCATTCCCTCCTCTCCTGTTGTAGTCCTTTCGTGATGCTAGCTTGCGATCTCGCTGTCCATCTTGATCATCGTCGAACTTGATGATGGGAATGGGCGCATTGCCGCCATCGTTGCCGCCGAGTGCGGGTGCGACGCCCATGGGCACTGGCTGCGGGGCGGCGCCATTGCCCGATGCTTTCTTGGACATTTGAATTGAAGCAAGACGCCGCAGCAAATGATGTGATGAAGTCGAGAAGGGTGGGTATGATTGATGGTACGATAGTGACGCTGCAGGAATAAACGAGGAAGGTGTGAATGCTCCGCCCAGAGCGGCGGGGCCTGGAAGCTTGGCCCCTGCGTCCGACGTCATGGGCGGATTGCGCGCGAGGCGTGTGAGTGAGCCTTGCTGCCCCGGAACGGAACCTCTCCCCGCAAAGACTATACCGGCCAACATTGGAACCCCGCTCACCCACTCACCACTCCCTCGACGGAAAGGAAGAAATTCCTGCATGTTGTGGAATACATGCTGCTACCATTGCATCCACATCCCACACGGCAATGGCCGCCTCGACGTTCAGGCTGCGGCGTCCAGGCGTAGAGATCAGGCGCAGTGTCTCTTCACAGGTATCCTCGGGCCTGATACCGTCCTACCAGTCTGAATCTGCACTGCAGCCATCGCCGCCCAGCGACGTCTCCTCCCTCGATGCTGCACCATTGCCGATCTTGCCCTCCTCTATCGCCTCTTCATCCGCATCGACACTGGATGATCTTCCCCTAGATGCTACCTCGACATCCTGTACTCCAAGCGCAGGTACCTCGCGGCCCTCACATACCTGCCCACACTGCGCAAAGGCCTTCTCCCGCCCGGCAAAGCTGCAAGATCACCTTCTCATCCACACCGACTCGCGGCCGCACGCTTGCTCTCATGCAGACTGCAACGCCGCATACCGCACAAGATCGAAGCTGTTGGAGCACGAGAGGAAAGCGCACCTCGATGCTGACCAGCAGGAGCAAGAAAAGAAGTTCCTCTGCACTCACATCCTCGAGAGCGGGCAGGCGTGCGGCCGAAGATTCTGGACCAACCAGCATCTGCTGCGCCATGTAGAGGGCGTACATGATGCCGGCGCCACCGATATAGAGCGGGAAGAAGGCGATAATGAGGACGATGACAACAGAAGATCTGGACAGTACGGATGTACTGAGCCTGGGTGCACACAAGCATTCAGCAAGAGGAAGAGACTACGTAGACACGTCTGGGAGGCCCACACCGACCATGCCGACGAGGATGACACTGCGACTGCAGAGGCAGAGGCAGCGCAAGAGGAGGATAAGCGGGCGGGCACACCAGCCGCTCTACGAAACAAGCTACCCTTCCCGTGTTCTTTCCCGGACTGCACGAAGCGCTTCCCTACCAACTCGAAGCGTAAATCCCACTTCAAGACGCATGCCGAAGACCGGTACACCTGCGCCCTTCCACACCCAACCTCTTCCGAAGCGCTTGCACCTACACCTGCACCTTCAAGGAGTACTCCTGAGCTCCTCACGTTCCCAACCTGGTCGGCTCTGCAGAGCCACATGCGGGAAGCGCATCCACCTGCCTGCCACTACGCCGCTTGCAATGGCAAGGTCTTTAAGAATCGGGAGAATCTCAAGATGCACTTGAGGCGGCATGAGGAGAAAGAGCACGAAGAGAAGCAAAGGGAGAAGGACAGGGGGAGAAATGCAGAAGTTCAGGAGTCGGGGCAGGGACAACACTGGTGTGAAGCTTCGAGTGATGAGGAAGATGACGTCGGCGCTGGCGTCGCAAAGGCTTCCAGGTCGCTGCGCGTCTTCCACTGTACCTGGCGGCCAGAAGCCCGGGTTGCCAACGGACACTCTCAGCCTGGCTCAGCCATCTCGGAGTCAACCTCGTCCGGTACACCCTGCTCCAAGTCCTTCAAGTCCTCGCACTCCCTCCAGACACACATCCGTGTCGCCCACCTGAAGGATCGTCCCTTCAAGTGTCTTTGCGGGAAGGCCTATGGACACAAGCACCTTCTCAAAAGACATGAAGTCAAGTGCGCTGCGGTGCTCGCTCGAGAAGAGAAGCAGGATGGCGACGAGGAAGAGACGCACGAGAAAGGGGCAGGGGCAAGTGGAGTAGCACGAGGCGACGAGGCATCAGCGCCAAGCGAACTCGATGAAGACGAAGAAGACGACGTCTTTCGCCAGGGGGGAGGTGCTCTTCCTGAACAATATCGCGAGACGGTCTTTGCTGCCGGGCGACGCCTGCTGCCTGGGTCTGCTCGTAGTACTCGCACAAGCACAAGCACAAGCACGATGATCGCCTCCCGTAGGGTAAAGAGAAAGCTTGGAGAGGTGTTCCCCGGCACTGCCGCTACCGCTACCTCTGTCGGTGCGTCAGGTGACGACGAGCAAGGCAGTGAGAGTCTCATCGACCTCCTCACCGGTCGCGGCTACGCCACCAACCCCGCCACCACCATCCCTTCGTCCTCCGACGTTCCACCTTCTTCCCTCACACCTACATCCACACCACAAACACGTCGTAAACGCCCACGTGCTCTGCCTTGCCCTTGGTCTCGCTTGCCCTTGAGCACACGCACGACTTCGAATTCGGACTCAAATCCAGCCTCTATCTCTGCGCCCTCTGCACCTTCAACCTCTGTCCCCTCGACGACCTCCGTAGCCGCAAGTACGGATGCAAGTACGATCACGGACCCTCAAGCCTGTCCCTTCCGCTTCGCCCGTCTGTACGACGTGACTCGTCACCTGCGCGGAGCACACGGGGTGGAGTTGAGTCAGGGAGAGGTGAGGAGGTTGTTTGAAGAGGAGGAACTGCAGGGATTGCCGGCGCCGAGGGGGAGTGGGAAGGGGAGGGGGAAGAGGATAAGAAGAGAGGAGGAAGAGGAGGTATTGGAGTTGGAGGAGGAAGAGGGGGAGGAAGAGGGAGAGTAGTGCTTGCTTCGTCTTCTTATCATACCCTGTTCATATCCATATTTACATCTAGATCTATAGAATTACCTCTGTTTTGCCACGAAGAAACAGATTTCGCAATGTATCGCACGGCATCGCATTGTGTTGCATCCTACTCCTCATACCTCATCTCACTGCGTCCTCTTCGCACCACCACCGCCACCGCCACCGGCACCACCATCCGCCCCCCTCATCCTCACTCTCACTTCTCACCCCTCGCAGCGCTCAACCACTCTAGCTGAACCTCGCTCACACACCGTCCATAGAGAGAAGCAGTGTACTGCAACTCCTCAAAGAGGATATACTTGGGTGCGGAGCCCCTTGCTCCACTGCTGCCACTGCCACCACTAGAAGAAGAGGAAGGTCGGAGGTTGCGAGGAGAGAGGGCACATGTTGGGTGAAGACGAAAGATCTACCAGTAGAGTGTAGAGTAAGTAAGTGGAAGGAGGGAGAGAAGTATCAGCACTCAGCGCTTCCCATCCATCCGGTCTCACTACGTCCCTCTCCACTTTGGCTTCCATTCACTCACCTCATTCCCCAAGATTCGTCTGAAGTGACCCTTGTGCTCCCCCTCATCCATTCGCGCTGCGACATTACTGTCCGAACGACCCTGCACAAGGCAACGCAGGAGGGACTCGTAATCTTCATCCTCTTCTCCTTCTTCCTCGTCCTCTTCATCACCAAGGCGTGCGCCATTGTTGCGTGAACCGCGGGTGACGAGCAAGGGAAAATCTCCCTCGTCGTCGATCTCCTCGTTCTCGTCCGGATTTGAGTCAGACTCCTCCTTTTGCAGACCAGAAAGGACCCTCTTTCTCCTCTTGCCTTGTACCGCCTTCTTCTTCTTCTTCTCCTCCTCCTCATCTTCCCGCTCTTCTTCCTGCACACGAATCCCTGCACGTTGACAAATGCCCACGAGCTGGTCTCGGACATCTTCGACTTCCTTCATGCTGCGAAGATTGATGTAGTGCTTTGTGCACCATTGCTTTAGTCTAGACTCGGGGGAGGAGGAAGAGGAGTTTGCTCCGTTTCTTCGGCCGTGGGTCTTGCCATCACCGTTGCTATGCCCGCCCGCACCGGCAGCAGCACCGGCCTCGATGTAATACTCCGCCTTGACTCTGAGGTACTTGTAGAATGCGCGAAGCATAGTGATATGATCTCCACTGCGATGGCGGAAGATCCTCTTGGCCTTTTCCGCCTCTGCTCTCTTTAGATCCAACAACTCCATCTCCTCGCGCATCTTATCTGCCTCTCCCCTGATCCCACCTACACCTCCGCTGCCATTAGAAGAGCTCTTCCTATCCTTGACGTTGTCGCCAGAAGCGTACATGGTTGCATCGACAAAGATGTTGCGCTCCGACGAGAGGATGGCAACGAGATCGCGTGCCTGGCGGACCGTCTTTTCTCCGTAGTGCTCCGCGGCGGTGAGGAGCAAGAGGGAGAATTGCGGCGCGAGGGGGAGGAGAGACATCTTTCTACCTAGCGCAGTGAGTGCCAATCTTCTCGTGCCTTGGGCATCCTCGACGGGCTCAAGTGCGCCCATGCTGGCTAGGCCGAGGACGGCGTCCCTCAGCTTGCCCTCGCGCGGCGCTTCCACCCATTCCACCTCTCTCGGGTCCACCCCAGCAGAGAAACAGTCCAGTGCCACTGAGCCGAGGTTCGAGCGATGAATCTCTGGTAACGTAGTCGGCTCCATGGCGTCGAACGCCGAGGTGGGGTAAAGTCGGTAACACTCTCCGGGTGCTTCTCGTCCCGCTCGTCCCGCTCGCTGCATCGCTGCCGACTTGGAGATGGCTCGAGTGGTGAGAGTTTCGATGCCCGCGGAAGAGCCACCAGAAGCGCTCGAAGGAGTCGTCTGAGTAGCTGAGCCACCCGTCCGGCCGACTTCAGAGATGTGCATCCGCTCCTTTGCCAGACCACAGTCGATTACGTAGCGGATACCAGGAATTGTGACGGACGTCTCGGCAATGTTCGTTGCTACGACTACTTTCCTATAGCCAGGTGGAGTAGGCTTGTACACTTGGGCCACCGCTTTACTCCCAAGTGCGGCATACAGAGGCACTACAAGCAACTTCGCAAGGGAGTGCGGCCTGCCCGTAATCTTCTCTTGATCGCTGGCCCAGGTGGGCAGATGCTCGCTCAGCTGACGCAGTCCAGCAGAGAGCGATTCGATCTCCTCTGCTCCTGTGCCGAAAATGAGAATGTCGCCGGCAGTGCCATTGCTTGAGCCACAGGGTTTCGAGACGTGCAACTGCAGGACTTGTCGCTTCGCTGCATCGACCCAGTCCTCCACTGGCTGTCGTAGATGCTGAAGTGTGACAGGGTGGGTCCTGCCCTTTACATATAGCACAGGTGCTGGTATCAGCCCTCCTTCCGCACTCTGCGGAAAACCATCAGCATGCGAAGCCCGGCTCTTCGGATCGCTCTCCGTTGCGAAGAAGTTGCTGAAGAGCTCAGCATCGATCGTAGCACTCATGATGACCATCCTGAGCAGCTCGGGTTCTGGCTCTCCGTCCCGTAGCTGCCCTTCGTTCCGACGATGTTCCCAACTTCTTCTCAGTTCTCGCCTTCTTCTCTGGATCCTCTTGGCTAGCCCGAGCAGCAAATCAGACCGAACGGTCCTCTCGTGTGCTTCGTCGATGATCAGAACAGAGTATTGTGGTAGAAGAGACTCATGGCTGGGGTCACTGATCTGCTCGAGGGTAGTACCCGCCTTGATCAAGCTCGCAGAAGCCTTTACGAATTCTCTCAGCAGCCAACCATCCGTCATGAATTTGATCCTGGTATGCTTGGTAGTGCGGTCCTGAAATCGGATCGCAAAGCCCACGAGCGACTTCGAGCGGGAGGAGCCATCATCTTCACCTGGATCAGAGGTTCCGAGCTCTTGAGCTACTCGCTTGGCCAGGGAGAGGGCGGCCATTCGACGGGGCTGAGTGATACCGATCAGCCGGAGGCGCTCGGTGCTGGTGGAGGTAGAAGTGAAGCCCGCTTCGTGCAAGAATTGTGGGATCTCTATCAAGAGGCAGAGATATACGAAACCCAGAAGGATACGAAGATCAGCTACAATCATCGCTTTGTCATGTCTCTGACTCCACATTTACTCACGTGTACTCTTTCCACTACCTGTATCTGCCATGAGAATGACCGTCTCCTCTTGCCCTATCCTCTGTACAATGGCGTCCCTAGCCGACCATATAGGCAGACTACGCCTGACTTTCATGATACTCTCGTCGACGGATGCTGTCAGAGCATGGTTTGCTGACCCGTTGCTTGGAGCATTAACGAAACCTCCGCCTTTGCTTCCTCCTCCTGCTTCTCTTCCTGCTCTGCATGTCTCCCCATCAAGTCTGACCTTCTTACTGCCGTTTCGAATAGGCGAGCTGAAGCTGGGGGTCCTCACTCCATTGGCTTTGCTCTCTCTACTGTCCTTGTCCTCATTGCGAGACCTCTTGGATGGAGAGGACTGTACAGAGGCAGGCAACCGTTTGAGCGGAGAGGAAGGGATGGTAGGAGCAACCATTGCCAGGCGCGATGGCCCTGCAATGGTAGGCGCTGCCTCGGGTGAAGAGCGAATGGAGGACTGCGCCGACATGGCAGTATTTCCAGTTGATGCTGAGCAGATCGAGAATCTACCAAGTGTAAGATGGCGTACACATCGAGGTCAAGAGGAGGAGGAGGAGGGAGGAGGAGGAGTAGGAAGACGCACCTTTGGCGGAAAGGGACCAAGGAAAGCAGATGCCGCGGCAAAATCGGCCAAAAATCAAAAGAGGGATCTTCGGAAAGGAAGCAAAGGAGGCGCTTTCCGTGAATGGCGGTGGATCACTTGGATACCAAGCAGCCATCACCAGCAGCAACAGAACAAGGAAGAGGCAGAGACATCGTCATCGTCGTCGTCGTCGAGCTCAGCATCATCAATCGCACTGCGGCACGATGGCATTGTCGAGGTCCATGTCATGTACTGCCAGGCTTGCGGCGTCGCACACCTGCCTGCACAACGTCTCGGCCAATCCTGCCGTACTGCACATCGCACGCGGAAGCCACCTCAAGGCCTCGTCGTTGGCCTCGACGTCTGCCCAAAGGCTGCCGGATCCAAGACGGAGATGTGCATCTTCTTCATCAAAGACCACTCTCCCTTCTCCTTCTACCAGACCTGCAGGGACGTCTAGGCCTCCGCCTCAAGACAAGGCGTACCATGGCTACTTTAAACCTCGGAACGCCTCCGCCGGCAGCCTGAGCCTCTCCGACGTGGGCAGAGAGGTTGTCATAGCAGGCTGGCTCGCCTCTTCCCGCCGTGTCAACTCTGAGCTGTCTTTCCACTCCCTCAGAGACTCCACTGGCTCAGTACAGCTCAAGGCGCAGCATTCGCAAGGATCAGGAGGAGGAGGAGGAGGAGGAGGAGGGGAGGACGACACACTCCTCTCTCTTCCACTCGAGTCTGTGGTGCACATCGAAGGCATAGTCGAGGCACGGCCAGAGGGTACGATCCTCTCCAAGGACCTTCCATCGGGATCGATCGAGGTACGCGTTACATCTTGGCAAGTCCTCAACCCTGCCAAGGCTCAGCTGCCCTTCTACCCAGAGAAGGAACATGAGCTGCCAAAGAGTGAAGAGACACGGATACAGTATAGATATCTCGACTTGAGGCGGAAAAGTCTGACGGACAACCTCAGGCTGAGGAGTCTGGTGGCGCATACAGTCAGGGATCAACTATTTCGGCAAGGTGAGAGAGAGTCAAAGAAGACACACACATTGCGTTGCACTTCTGGCAGCTGATCAAGTCTCGTCCTCACCCTCGTCCTGCGGCAGGCTTTACGGAAGTCGAGACGCCTCTACTCCTACGGTCCACACCAGAAGGCGCTCGCGAGTTCCTCGTTCCCACCCGCTCTCCTTCTGCCCTCCGTACAAGTACAGACGTCTCCGAAGGCTCCTCTGCCTACCTAGCCGAGCTGGTCACCCAAGTTCCCACATTCTACGCCCTCCCACAATCGCCTCAACAGCCCAAGCAGATTCTCATGGCGTCTGGCGTGACAGACAAGTATTACCAATTTGCAAAGTGTTTTAGGGACGAATCTAGTAGGAAAGATCGGCAGCCCGAGTTCACACAGATCGATCTCGAAATGGCCTTTGTCAGTGGACAGGGTGAGCCTGGGGATACTTCTGGGTGGAGGATGGGAGGGTCAGAAGTGCGGAGAGTGGTGGAAGGAATGGTCAGGTCGATCTGGCAAGCGGCGAGAGGCGTCGATGTTCTCCCTGACGGTGAAGACGGGTCGTCGAGCGGTTTCCGCGTCATGACGTACGAGGCGGCAATGCGACGCTTCGGCGTAGACAAGCCTGACGTGCGCTTCGCCCTAGAGATTGTCGATCTTGCTGCTGGACTAAAAAAGCACTATTTCAAGGGCGACGTAGATGATGAAGTCGGCAACGAGGAAGACGTCAAGCTCATGAAAGAAAAGGCAGGGACGTTGGAGGTTCTGGCTTTCAGAGGGCCCAGGAGCGGTCAGGCTTTCAGTCGCAAAGAGGCCATAGAGCTGACGAGGGACAAGTCAGGCGGAACTGGACATGTGAGTACTGACGCACTGCCAAGCTAGGACCTCCTCTTGATCTGACCCGGCTCATTGCTCTGTCTCTGCTCTTTGTGAACAGCTGGAACGCTTCAAGGCCCTCCATCCAGCACCGCACGCAATCGCCCAGCTCCTGCTCCTCAAATCTGCCCTTCTCCGCTCCTACCTATCCGACACAGGTCTCTCCCCAGACGAAGTTGACGTCGAAGTCCTTGCGAAGCAGATTCAGCTCGCCCTTGAAAAGGGCCGCTTTGATCTGCCCCAGGCGGGGCAGAGTAGCAAGGTGGGGGCTGAGATGGATGAGGAGGTGCAGATTTGGATACAGAGGAGAGGAGACCCTTCAGTTGGTGATTCGACGGAGTTGGGTGACTTGAGGGTCAGGCTGAGAGATGCAGTCTTGCACAAAGGTGAGTGAAGAAGCGTGCAGTATGTCATAAGGTAGCAGCAGGTGAGATCAACGCTCACTGCTGCATCGATTTCTCTCGCCCAGGCTGGTCCACACTACCTACCCATCCTCACTTCCTCTGGATCACCGAGTTCCCGCTATTCACCCGTGCCGACTCTGACAAGGCTGCTCTCTCCGGTGGTCGCTGGGCCTCAACGCATCATCCCTTCACAGCGCCCATGCACTCCCATCTTCCCGCTCTACAACGTATCCTCAGCACTCTCGCCTCTATTCCCTCTTCATCTCCTGATGAGCAAGGAAAAGTCCTCGCGGGCTTCGAAAGCTGGCTACGTCGTATCCGCGGTCAACACTACGACCTTGTCCTCAACGGTGTCGAGATTGGCGGCGGTTCAGTGCGAATCCACTCTGCCCATCTACAAGAGAGTATCCTTCGCTCGATCCACCAACTCTCCTCGGGGGAAGTAGGCCGTTTTGCCCATTTGCTCGGGGCATTGGATTCGGGATGTCCCCCTCATGCAGGGATTGCACTGGGATTTGATCGGCTGGTCAGCTTGTTGACGGAAAAGGAAAGCGCATCTATCAGAGATGTCATTGCTTTCCCCAAGATTGGAGCAGCGGGGAGGGACCCGCTGTTTGGAAGTCCGAGCCCGATTGGGGAGGTGGACAAGGAGGCGGCGCTGGCTTTGGATGGAGAAAAGGGACAGGGCAAGGGCAAGAGCGACCGGCGACGACCAAAGATTGGGGAGCGCCATCTCCGCAAGCAATCCTCCAAGTCGGAGGAGCAAGACTTGCGACTGCCTTTGCAGCAGGAACAGGGCACACGGCAGCAACTTGAAGAGCGCTCAAGCACCTCTGCTGCTGCTGAGGAAGAGGCAGCTGAGGAGGAAGACGTCGAGGAAGAAGAAGAAGACGGAGAAGACGAGGGCAAAGGCGAAGAAGCCAACCCCACTTCCTGCGCTCCCAAGCGATCATCCCTCCCTCCCCTCTCCCCCTCCCAACAGCACCAACAGCGCACCGAATCTCTCCTCCTTGAAGAATTTGCCCTCTGCCGTCTTGCTCCCCACTTGGAAGAAGAAAGGATTCAAGTTCGATCTAGATTTAGAAAAATTAGTAGGGCAAAGGCCAAGCGGGCTAGAAGGGTAGAGGAGGAGGAGAGGTTAAAAGAAGAGGAGAGGGAGAGGGAGGAGAGGATGAGGAGGAGGGGGTTGATTGATTGATTGATTGATTGATTGATTCATGGAGGGGGTGGGGGCAGCGGGGAAAGAGATCAGGAGAGGGGGGAATAGATGACCATCACTTATCGTCACTCATCGAGGGATTCGTGCGCCTGACGCTTGGCAGAGGACAGCAGGGAAGTGGGAAAGGAGTGGCATGTTACTGCATTGCATCAATTACCCCGCAACAACCTTCTACAGCTCCGTCTTCTTCCGCAGCCAATTGAGGGCTCCCGTCCCTACACCTACGCCCACGCCGGACCCCTTGGTAGTGCTCGTACCTATCCTACCAGCACCAGCACCACCTGGTACACTGCCCATTCTACCTCTTGCACCCCCTGCGCCCGTGCCTGTTCCTCCTCCTGCTCCACTTGATGCAGATCCAGCTCCGGTTCCCCCTCCCGCTCCCATCCAGAAGTACGCCCCCGTCCCCGCCAATCCCAGAAGTGCAACTAAGCCGAGAGCAGCTGCGACTTTTCCTCCCGTAGAGGCAGGCATGAGGCCACTACCGCTCCTCCTTGAGCCCCCACCGGGGATAGCGCCTGACCCTCGCGGGTCTTGGGCAATGAGACAGGTGACGGAATACAGCTCTGTGAGCCCTCCACGCCTGCCTGCAATGCCCACATCGCCATTTGCTGCGCTGCCCACTCCGCTTACTAGGTCGTCACCTCCTGTGCCTGAGACTGTCGAGGGGATACCCTCGAGCACCGAGACGTGCATGGGTGAGAAACGCCCCAGGCCCAGCTTACGACAGTACACGTCCGGCTGAACTTCATGCCTCTGCTGTGCCAAATCCAAATCTGCCTTTGTGGCGACAAAAAGGCTGGGTAAGCCGGCGAGTGCCGGGTACTTTTGACGTAGGTTGGAAATGTAGCTGAAGGAATTCGTGTCGGAAGAGTCCCACACAAAGAGGATCACGTCTGCCATTGCTAATCGGCTGGCAGAACGGAGGGCATCGCCTTCATAGCGTGAGCCGAATTCTTGGAGGACGAGGTAGCGCTCCGTCCCTCCTTCTTGCTCTACTGCGCTCACTACCGAGTGGGTATGGCTGGTGGGCTCGTAGTGCGATTGGAATGATTTGCCTGCCATTGCGCGCAAAAGGGAACTCTTTCCAGAGCCGGGAGGACCGACGACGTAGGCTAGAAAGACGGAGCGCTCGGCTGGGTCGCCCTTCTTCTTCTTCTTCTTTTGAGTAGAGGAGGTAGAGTTGTTGGGCGAAGTGGAGGAGGAAGATGGATAGTAGGAGGATGGAGAAAAGAGTCGACGGGTGTTGCGCTTTGTCAGCTTGAGGGCCGTTGTGGTCGGGGGCGGAGAGGATGTATGTGTTGAAGAGCCTGAGCCGCTGCCAGATGACTGGCCAGACCCCAGACTTGAAGGGCCGGCTCCCCCTGCTGTGCTCCCTCCCCCGAGTACGAAGTTGGGATACCCAAGGTACGCCAGATTGGCAAGCGTTACTTTATAGTCGAGCAATGTAGTCATGCTCCATTGTGCGAGCCAGCCTTGCAGTGTGACCGCCCCATGTTCGTTGGTCACCGTCGTATTTGGGAATCCACTGCCTTCCCAGGGATGTCTTCCGCCAGGAGCAGTCTCAAAGAGCTCTCTCAGCTCTTCCTGGCATAGAGCCCCGTCCCGATCCTTGTCGTGCACCTCGAAGATGTCCGTGAGGAACGAGTAGCCGTAGGGCGAGAGCTCGACGGAGCAGTCCGAGGGGACGTAGAATGATGGAGGGTTGAGATAGTCTGGGGAAAGTGTGAGAGATTGCGAATAGCCATACGAAGTCAGAACGGCCCACGTCGTCTCTAACCGTCCTCGTTGGATGAAGAGGGTATGAAGATGGAGCCAGCCAGCGAGGGTAAGCTTTCCTTCCCGCAGGTGAGGGTGGTAATGACTGCTGTAAATCGAGCTCGTATCGCCGTTGAAGCTAGCTCCCGAGACAGAAGAGGCAGCGCTGCGACCTCCCGTGGACAACCTGCCACCGCCTTCCCTCAAGTCAGGATGGGAAGGTCTACTTGACACTGGCGCTGCGAGGACGAGTTCTTTGATGCCTTCTAGCTCCTGTTGTTGTAGTGGCGCACCGAAACATCTCCTCTGAAAGTCGTTGAGCTCGTCGTCGCTCAGGAGATTGTCCTTGTCTGAATCGCAGAGCTTGAAGATGCGCTTGAGAGCGTCTACGCACGGCTCCTTGAGCGTGTGAGATGTGCTATTATATAGGGGAGCGGTAGGATACAGCACGGCCTGCAAGGGGCGGAATCAGAAGTGTCAGCTCAGAGAGCATTGCCCCTCCCTTGTAATATTGCCCGATAGTCTTACTCACCTTCTGTGCAAAGTAGAATACCTCGCTGACATTGATCCCCTCTTTCACGCTCGTTTCAATGCAACTCTCCACCTCCTTGAACTCTGCCATGACAGGCGCGAGCTCATCTTCGAGTGCCTCGTTGGTATTCAGCATAGCCTCTGTTCTGAGGTCAATCTTGTTTCCCACGAGTATCACGGGGACATTGATCCCCAACGAGCGGATATAGGGGAGCCAGTAGGTGGGTATCCGATCAAAAGACGCAGGTGCCTCGATGGAGTACACCAGGATAATGACATGCGATGACCGCAGTGATGATTCCAAGTGTGACCTCTGTGCGGGTGAAGAGGCAGTATCGACTATACGTGTGCTCACCCCCGTCTCGGTGACATCGGCAGGGAGGAGGATCTCGGGTACGACTCGCTGCACCGACGAGGACCACGAGTCGCGGACCAGGGCAGTGACCAGGGAGGACTTGCCCACGTCGGCATCGCCTGCCAGCGTCACCTTGATGTCCCGCGTCATGGTGGGAATGTGGACCTAAGTGGGATGGTAGGAAGAAGAAGAGAGAGAAGGTAAGGTGGTCACCATCACCATCATCATCATCTCTCCTTCTCTTCCGAGCGCGACACGGAAAGAGGCGAGATTCGACAGCCGACGACGCCGGAATCGCCGGCGTGGAGATCAACACCTCGATCGACACTCTGACGTGGATACCAATTGTATTGTATCGATACCATCCTCTCCACTCATTCAACATGTCCGGCTTCGACTACAGCTCCACCCTCTTCCAGACACGGCTGGTGTACGTGTACCGTATCCCTCCACGCGCCTCTTCCACAGCAGGGTATAAGGCGTCGGATTGGTCTGATCCCAAGACGGGAGATCTGGCCAGCACGGCCATCTGGAAGGGAAGGATGAAAGTGGTGGAGAGCGAAGTCGTTGTGGGTGGTAGCGACGATGTGGGAGGAGAGAAGAGGGAGGGAAAGTGTGAGATTAGATTGGAGGATGCAGACAGTGGTCAGTAGCGTAGCGTAGCATCTGAAGGAAGGTGAAGTGTGATACGACCATTGTGGAGGTGCAGACTAAACATTCATCACTCTTGTCTGCTGCCTCTCCTGACAGGTGAGCTCTTTGCTCTGTGTCCCTACGACATATCAGGAAACAGTGTAGAGGCTGTCCTAGACTCATCCCGGTACTTTGTTCTACGGGTAGAATCGCAAGACCCTACGACCGGTAACAAGAAGAAGGCCTACATCGGCATGGGCGTGAGTACCTCCAAGAAGTGCGACAGCTAAAGGCGCAATATCTTCGCTCCTTGACCTTTTCTCATCCAGCTGATTGTCCTGCTTCGTTCCTCTCCTTGCAGTTCGAGGATCGCTCCGACTCCTTCGACTTCAATGTCGCCCTGCAGGACTGGGTCAAGCGGCAACGCAACGCCAAGCTCGCACACGAGGCAGCAAGCAAAGGGGAGACCGTCTCGGGGGATCTCCTCGGGGGCGGGGAGAGTGGGACTAGTATACACATACCCAAGGAAGGGGCAAAGGATCTGAGCTTGAAGCAGGGGCAGACATTTAGTGAGTGGTACAGATGGACTCTATGATGAGGAGCGCACAGAACTCATCGTTCTCCTCCCTCTTCCGCCGGACCACAGGCATCAAAATTCCTGGTGCTGGAGGAAGGAAGATCCGCGACTCGAATACATCGGGAGGGGGCGGTGCATTCGGTGGGTTAGGAGGTGGAGGGTTGCTCCCACCCCCGCCTAGTCGGCGAGGATAAAGACTTGCGAGAGCAGAGCAATTAGTCGAAGAGCAAGAGGGTTGTGTATATACAGACAATAGCTAGAGCGGTACTAAACGATGTGTGTAGCGTATGCAGAGCACCTTGTAGCTGAGCAAAAGCAGCACAATGAATTGCTGGCGCTGCTGTGAAACCATATCGTGTGCTTGCAAGCTTGATTGCGAGGGCAATGCGCTGCTGCGCTTGCCAGCCTTAATATAGGTGCTCGTTGGCACAAGGCAGGTGACAGGTAGTATAAGGTCACAAAGCAGGCGGCGACACTCTCTTTATGCATCTCAGCTGTGCTCAAACCCACCCCACCCCCCTTTATTGCCATCGCCCGTGACAGTCCAGCTCCTCGCATCACTTATCGACGTCACCCACCCGAGGGCTCTTACTTGAGCGAGCTCGACTGCTCCCAGCTACATTTCCACGTTTGAACCCTCTACCTTCCATAGCCCAAGATGAGGTGCTCCCAGTTGGTCGTCTTTTTGTTTCTCCTCATCCACAGCGTAGCCTCACTACCCACGCCGCCTCCAGGCTTACTGCCCTCAGTCTGGAGAAGCCAGTCTGAGTCTGGACATCAGAACCCCACGAGCGCGGTCGAGGCGCAGGCGCCTGCCAATAGTCATGGGAGTGGGAATCTCCAGAGTGCCAGGAGCATCGTGCTCCAGGTCGGACGAAGATTTGTCACCTCGCCAAGACTCCATGATACCAATGATGCAAGTGAAGCGAACGCTCCTCTCCTCTCACGATCACCAGCTCGTCCAGAGCGCGCCCCAGCAAATTGGAAGAAGCCCCTCGTGGGAATCGGCATCATCGGTACGGTCCTGACGGCCATTGGCGGGCTTGCTTCTTACAAGGCTTGGCTCAAGGAGCGTGATAGGAGGAGGAAAAAAGAGCAGCAGCAGGCGGGGAAGCCCAAAGCGCAGCCTCCGGGTGTGCAACATCCCGTCGTACAGGCGCCGCAAGATGGACCTTGGTGCATGGGATGTTGATACAGGGTGGCAAAAGAGGTTCGATGGGTTTCATGATGCCTCTACCATGTTTCCACATTTGTCCAGATTTGTTTGCCTCGGAGAATTCTATATTGATTCTTCCCTTGCGATTTGTGATCACTCGCACCCATCTTCTCGTTGCTAACCCTCTTGAACGAACCATGCTAAATACTATGACCGGGAGGGTCACAGTTCCAGATGCTCTAACCGCAAGGGTCACACTTCCAAATGCTGTTGACTGCAAGGGTTACGATTTCAAATGCTCTAACCGTGAGGGTTACAGTTCCAAATTCGCATTCGCAATTGCTCGTTGCTCCTGGTTAAAAGTCGCCAGAAGTTCGAAATACTACACCCTTCCTTGCCTTTAGCAAACGAGCAAAGAAGACCAAGCAAGAAGAAGGACTTCTCGACATTGTATTGCGACTGTTGTTTAGCATGACGAGAAAAGGTTAAAAGACGCAAGGTATTTGACCTTTTCCATGCCTGAACTTCAGCTGTGCTCCACTTTTACCCTTGCCCTATCACTATCATCGCCCGTGACAGCGAGATCCCTCGCAGACTCATTGACTGTCGTCTTCAAGAAGACGTTTTGTACCCTTGCCAAAAGCCTCCCAGCTGCACGTCATCATCTGATCCATTGATCTTCAATAGCCGAGATGAAGTGGTCACAGCTGTCCGTCTCCTTCTTTCTCCTCATCCACGGCGTAGCCTCGCTTCCCTCTCCTCCTCCAGCTTTGCTGCCTTTGTACGAGAGGAGCCAGTCAGGATCTGGATATCAGGACCCCACGACGGCGGCAATGGCAGAGGCGCAGGTGCCCACCACCAGTCGTGACATCCAGGATGTACAGAGTGCCAGGAGCACCGTACTCTCTGGGCTTTCGATGAGAGCTCATCACTCTCCAGACGAGCAGATCATGAAGCGAGCGGCCACTTCACCCAGACCTCTGGCCACCAAGGATGTAGACGATGTCAACACCCCTCTTGAATCGCGAGCACTGATGCGCCATCCACCAGAGTGGAGGAACTCCGTGGGTGGTCTCGGCGTACTTGGTATACTCCTCTCGGGAATCGGCGGGATCGCAACTTACATGACTTGGCGTAGGCAGCGAGAGAGGAAGAAGAAGGAGGAAGAGGAGGCAAGAGCCAGAGCGCAGGCTCCGGGAGCGCAGCCACCTCACGCTAAGCCTGGTGCGAAGCGAGATCTAGGTGGAATGTCCAGGCTCGAAGTTCGATGGGTTGAATGAGGTGGAGATGGAAACCCTCCTGTCTCCCTCCAATAGTTGATGTCTTGCGCATTGCGCATTGCGTCTAGCGCCCAGCGCTGTTTCCCGAATTTCAAATGACTCTATATTGATTCTTCCTCGTATTCCTCGTCATTCCCTTCTCATACTCTCCATCCAGAATCTCGTTGCCCGCCCCTGAGCCCTCTCGATCGTCCAGCTGCTTGAAAGCCAGCGCATCCTGCTCTGCAATGGTAAGCTTGCGCTTTGGTGGCTCGGTCGCAGGCTCTGTGCCGACTGACTGCTCGGTGGAGGGCTGAGAAGCAGTGCTGGTGGGTTGAGCGGCCTCGGACTTGGTAGGGCAGTCGGCGACATCGTTGCTGTTGAAAGGAGATGTGGTACTGCTGCTCGAGTTGAGCCTCGTAATTGTCGGTGCAATCCTTTGAGGTAGACCGGCAGGCCCAGCTGCGCCTAACCTCGGAGCCCTCAGTAGCGCAGACCAGGGGAGTGGAAGCATAGCTACTGCGAAGCTGGAACCCAGGACGATGAGTGGGAAGTTGATAATCTGGAGAATAGATCGTCAAGAGCGGGAAGGACTCTAGCGCCACAATTCTCGCAGACGAGATTGCCCTCCACATGGACCCTGATTTCCAGGCAACTCCGCAAAGACGATTGGGCAAAAGTATGATTGTGCGGCAAAGGTGCTCATGGTGGTATTGTAAGGTTGTATCCAGTGTGAGGCAATGATGATGCTATACAGGCGAGGTAGAAGGGTGCGCCTCCATTGATGCATCGTCCCTCTCCTCTTCTGCGTCCTTGTCCTCCTTCTCCTGCCCTATTTCACCCTGCACTGGCGGCACAGCTGTCGCACCAGTCTCAGCGGGCTTCTCTGAAGGCGCCTTGACCTCTGGCACCACCTCGACATCACTCTGCGAGTCCCCCTCAGCTCCTTCATCTCCGCTGCCTTTACCCGCAGCCTTAGCCTCCTCGTCGACTTTCTTTTTCCGTTCGAGCCACTCGGCACTGAGACCATCAACGAGCTTGCGCAGATTCCTACGGGCTTGACCGGCAGATTCGGCTTGCCAGGCTTCGGCTTCGTCGTCGCGCTCGGGAATGATCTCGTTGACGAACAGTGAAGGGTTCGAGAAGAAGCGATCGAAGTCTGGAGGCAGGGTCCAGGAGGTTGTCAACGGTATTGTCAGCACATAGCCATTACAGTATCGCCCCTTCCCACATGAGCGCCCAACTCACAGAGTAACACAAACAGTCCACAGTCACACCAGTTGCTCTGTCCAGGCACATTGACGTCGATGTACGCAGGCTGAGGATCGATGCGCAGCTGCTTCTTGTCCCACGCTTCGTTTCGGAGGTAGTTCTTTACCGCCGTCTGGACGGCAGGATGTCGACCTCCTAAGGAGTCAAAGGTGAGAACGACTAGCCCCTCCAGCTGCTCTCGCCGTTTGGCGACATTAGCTAAAGCACTAGCACTGGGCGCCCGCTGAGATTTTTGCTTAGCCGGTTGCGCTGCTTCATTAGAAGAAGACAAGTCTACCGAGGGCAGCCTTCTCACCCGAATTGGCAGCCTCGGCTCTTGAGAAGCCTCAGGCACAGAGACCTCGCCTTCCTCGTCTTCCGAGCTCACAGCTAAGCGCTTGTTGCTCAGCCTCCGCTTGCCAGGAGCCGCTGGCTTCTCATATGTGGCTGCAGAGGCGCCGTTCGACTTCTTCGTGGCCGATTTCGACCCGTAGAAGCTGGCTGCACTTGCTGTTCCTCCTGACTTGGAGCCGCTGGCGGAAGCAAGGCTGCGTTTGGCTGGCTGCGGCGGCGACTGTCTCTGTTGCCACTTGTTCATTGAGTCACCCGGATTGATCAAAGCGGGAGCCTTCTTCGCCGGCATAGGAGGTGACGGCGACAGCGTATCCAGCGAGGATGAAGGGAGCGGACCACCACCGAACAACGTACCACGGCCCTTGTTGTCGATGTTCGAGACCGATGAGACATCCTGCATTGACATATCCTTGTCTGGGCTCTCGTCCTCGTCGTCGCTGATGGCGATCACGTTACCCTCTCCAGCAGCTTTAGCAAGGCTGTTCTCATCGGTGGTCGATTCGTACTGGACTGCTCTAGTTGCTTCATTCTGCTGTTGGCCCTCTGGCTCGCTAAAGCTGAGGAAAGATTGAAGAGCAAAGGTCGCGCCACTTAGCCCGGTCGGTATGTACTCTGTTTGACTCGACCGCGGCTCATTGGAGACTACGCGAGCGTCTTGCGACTGGGCGGTGACTGGCTCCGGTTCCGAAGGAGGTGGATTCGATGAGGGTGGTGTCCCTTGCGGAGTCGTCGTGCTCTCGACTTTTGTGTCTTCTTCCATATATTGAATAGCGTCCTTCACGTCGTCTTCGAAGCCATTGTGTTGGCCTGTTGCTTTGCCATCCACCAAAATGTCAGCGTCAATGTGCCTTGCTTCTGGAACCCGCTCTTCTGGTACCGTCCGCCCTCCGATGCTCATCTGACTGTATGAAGCCTCTACGCCAGTGTCATCTGCCGGGACCGGCAGACCTTCCGGAACCAGTTTGGGGGAGTCTTGTTGTATCTCGAGCAGCTGTGCCTCTTTGCCCTTGTCAAGAGGTAGCTCAGGGGTACCAAAAGTCTCGGACCGAGCCAAGCTTGGAGGCCGGGTACTCTTCTCTTCCTCCGCAAGAGACGACCTTCGGCTGCCATTCTGCTTGCCGCGAGTCTTGACCCCAACACCTTCGCCGCTGCTTGTGTCCTCATCCTCGGTCTTGACAAAGTCTAGTGCTTTGCCAGGGTTGATGACGATGGCAAGATACCAGTGCAGATTCTCGTTGATGGGCAGCACGAGGAACTTTTTGTCGAAGATATTCGTCTTGGCAGTCCACTTTCTGACCTGTTGATAGCCAGCGTCTTGCTTCCCGCGGACCTTGGTGAGCTGGCGGTAGAGAAAAGTATTGAAGACGTACATGCTGTTGTACAGCTCTGGATTCCTCTTTTGGAGACTCGCCAAGTGGATCTTCAGGCCAAATTCTACCAGGGTATCGTTCAGGAACTCTCCCTCTTCCAGTCGGTCACAATCAGATTCAAACACAGATACTGAGCCGGGGCCGTCGAATGGGTATCTAAGCTTGAGTGCATCCGTCGTGCGCTCTGGTCTGCGCCGAGGCGGCTCTGCAGCGGCGGCGGACATGTCACCGTTTTTCGTAGGTAGATAGAGAGGCTGACCACCAGACGTGCTCCGAGTCTGCCGCGCCGGAGCTGAGATCGAGACGATAGGCCGAGCCTTCGGTCTGGTGCTTGTTACGGTCGTTGGGGAGAATTGCGTAGACGATGCTGCGGCTTTGCCAGTGTCATCTCGGGGAGTACGCGATGTCGAGGGATAGCCTGCCGAGGGAGCTACTCCTTCACGTGTCAATTTGAGGCGTGGTGGGCTGTTGCTTTCGCTGATGGACTGTCTCGAGATGTAGTCCTTTGTCTTTCGCTTCGTGTTGACGCAGCTTTCAGTCCGACCCAAGAGGGCTTTGACAGCTGATGCATCTATATTGGCGAAAGATTCCCCGGGAGTCCCACTTTTGAGCCAAGTTCGGAAGGCCAGGTAATCTGCTTCTGACTCCGCAGCAAGACAGCTTAGGGCTGCACAAGAGCTCTTTGCGTCCCATAGAGGGAAGGCGCTCTTGACCGCCTTGGCGGTCTGACTAGTTGGGTTTACAGCAAGCCAGATCAACAGCTTGTTTGAAGCTTCGGGCCTTGCTACTTGAACGTCCTGTAGGTCTGCAACGACGATCTTGACCGAACCGCGGCCGTCGGTGTCAGTCCACTGTACAGTGAACTCTTTCTTGTTGTTCCAATACTTGATCACCGGAATATCTTTCGGAAGCTTGGCATCGATGTCGCCGACACGGAATTGCTCGAGCATTAGCTGTGATTCTGACGCGAGCCGCGATGCACCGGTGACATCGCGTTTGGCTTCAGACACTGTGCTCCTTTTCGTTGACGCCAGACTCCCCGAAAGCTGCGTTGTGCTTCCCAGGTGCTCACGTCTACTTTTGAGCCCCATTCTGCTGGCTACACGTTTCTCTGTCGGTTGCTCAGGACTGAAAGACTGAGGAAATTTGTACGAGGTTGAGAGGAAATCAAGCTCGTCGGTGCTTTCGTCGTGAGCTGGGGGCGGTTCTTCCTTCCTTTGGAACGCGGCGGTCTCTTTCTGCAATTTGGCCGCTGATCCTTCTCCAACGGAGTCAGCCGACTTCTTCCTCTTGACGCCGTATCCTTGCTCAGCTTCGTGTGCACTGCGCAGCCCCACTCTGTCTGGCTGCCCTCTCTCGCTCGGTGGCGAGATAGCGGGGGACTTCTCTCTGAGCGGGAGACGGGAAGTGGAAGCCTCTGTTTCTCTGATACTCTCTTCATCGCTGTCTTCGATATTGATAGCCTGGCCGGCTCTAGACCCATTCGAGGCCTGCCGACTCCTATTGTTGCTGGCATTGCGGTATTGTGGCTGATCCTCCGAGCTCGAGTCCAGTGGCCGACTTTGTGGAGGCCTCTTTGGTCTGTCCGTAGACATGAGGAGCTTAGAGCCTGCAATTGATCAGACGTACCGCGTTAGCATACACAGAGCCCGAATGGCAGCTTCACTACGGTCCTCACCTTCTTGGCCCCGATTTCTCTGGGTAGAGCTGGTCTCAAAATCATCTGAGCCGGTTCGCTCTTGCCAGTCCCGTTCGGAAGCGATACCACTACGTCGTGCTCCTCTGCTGTCGTCGTACAGATCGGACCTCCTCTGTGACGGACTGCTGTTCCCTAGCCTCTGCGCTGAATTCCGGCTGCCAGACCCACTGGCGATGGTCGAAGGGCCTGCAATCCCTCCCCTCACTGAAGTGAGTGTATCGTGTTGAAAGCTGTACGGCGATGCGACGGCAGAGTGTGGGGTTCGTGGCGCCTTTGCACCCTGCCTCGCACCGGACTGCTTTGCCGAGCGATCACTTTCCTCGATCTGTAGGGCACGCTGTTCGACCTGATGGAGATGGAGGCCCATATAGTTATTCGGAGAAATAATACTGTCAGACTCATCGCCTGGAATGTTGGCTCAAACCACGGAGGCAAGCTGAGCTACCCAAGCGTAAGCGACTCACACTAGAAGGGGTGAAGTGATCTCTACGAGGCCTCGCTCTGTCGGAAATTGTAAGTTTCGGAGAGGAACAAACGTAAATAGACCGTTGCAGTCAGAATATCAATTCCGATGCCAGAGCTTGACTTACGAGTGCCGACTGCTATCAGGAGACTCGTCACGCCGCATTGTGCCCCCGCCCCAGCTTAGCGTCTCCCAGTTCTACCCGAGCTGTGCTGCACACGGGGCGTACGTCACGCACAGTGAAGTGAGCTCTGCACTCTTCCTTATCAAAGCGTGATTTTCACAAGGGAAAATGACGCTAAACAGGTCTCTGCGAATTGTTAGAGGCAAATGGCATGCTCCCTTGCTTTCTCAGGGCGTGCTGGTGGAGGCAGTGGGTCCGGGCGAACCAAGTAGGGCCTGGCGGGCGTCTTTTCTGAACGATGCAGAGCTTCGAAAGCAGAAGATAAGGATACCAGAAGATGCTGCGGGCAACGTAGAGGAGGAGGTAGTGGCCTACTGATCGGCCAGGATGGGATGATCGGCCGATTGATTGGCCTTGTTAGGTGATGGTTGGTATTGGCGTTAGGTGAATGAGCCGATTGGTTGGTTGCGTTGCGTTGCTCCGACTCAACCGACGGAGAATCAAATCACACGGAAAGAGACACAGGCGTGTGACGCGTAGGCAGACAAGAAGAATAGGTACAGTAGACTAGTAAGATCAGAGACCAAGGCAGCATGATACAATACATTGCAAAAAGGGTAGAATACAGGACATGGTGACAGAGCGTGAGACATGTACTTACGTCTCGGTAGTGGCAAACAGCTGATCCCACCACGCGTCGTCCAACGCCACGAGCGAATCCAGCACCGCGTACCCTCGCGAGTCCTGCAGGGGCGCGCTCACAGCATTCAGAGGTGCCGAGGTCGGGGAGGAACCAGAAAGGGAGAGTGCCATAGCTGGTGCAGCAGGAGCAAAGCCGTTTCTGGCGTCTGCTGGCTCCTCCCTGTGTGGAAACATCGCCAACATACGATTCTGGTGAGAGGAGGGAGTCGAAGCCACATATGGCTCGTGAGGAGAGTGCGTACCGCTACCAGGCACACCAATGCCATACGCATCGACCAGAGACGCCAGTCTCTGAGTCGCCTCTTTGCCCAGCGGCGATGTCTGGATCATCGGTAGGAACTCCAGGATCTGCAGAATGTCCGGCGCAAGTGTGCGCAGCTCATCCATGCTCAGAACTCCTGATGTGATCATCGAGGAAGCGGCCGAGCCAGCGGGTGGCTGCAGTCCCTTTGTCTTGGTCGGCGTACGACCATCCTCCTTCTTGCCGCTCGACGTGTATCGATCTGTAAGGCCGATTCCGCCGAGCTTTTCACGCGCCTTTCTGGCCTCCTCGCGCACCCTTTGACCTCCCAAGAGGGGAATAGCCAGCGTGGTGGCAGCATTGAAGAAGCTAAAGGCGGCCCAGCAACCAAAATAGGTCGTAATTCCGCAGCTCAGCAATGTTCGCGTGAGACCGATGGTGCGGACCGTGTCCTTTGCATTACTCAATGCTTCTCTCTGCAGCTGTATCAGGGTGCGAGACGAGACATCTGCCACGAGGTCCTGGGTTACCCAGGCCGCTAGCATGGCATTCAAAATTTGTCGCACGCCAGTGTGTATGGTCGAGGCCTGACTCGCCCTCCGGCAGTCGTGGAAGTCTGTTGCGTCGAGAGCGCCTGGCTCGCATACCACAGGCTGGATACTCTCCCGCCAAGCTTTGATCTGATCGCACAGGGTCACGCCCTGCACGAGTAGAGCTTCTCTCTCCTGGTCACGGTGGAACGGAGCCATCGCCACACTCTCCTTCTGCCAGGACTTGATCGCCGAGATATACTCGGAGGCTCGAGCTGCCCACTCGGCCAGTATGATGGCCAGCTCTGAGATCTCTGCCGCATTGGAAGACTCCTCTTCGTCTTTCAAGCGGTGAACACGAGTGGTAATCTTTGCAGCAGGTCTGAAAGAAGATGTCATGTCCGTATGTTCTGGGCTGTCGGAAAGAGGAGGGCCAGGACCGAAGGCGCTAGCGAGTCGAACGGGTAGCCAATACGGATGTCGTACGGCAATGCGGCCCTTTTGCAAAGAGAAGTGAGAAGAATATTGACCTCGTTGGTCCGCGTAGAGAGAGCTCCAGCTGTAGTTCGGGTAGCAATATCAGCAGTCTGTTTCTCCGGAAAATGTGTAACTCCGAGTCGTGACTTACCTCTCATCGACGACCAGCTGCCAGACAATCCTACGTACAACGTCCTTTTCGGCTTCGTTCCAAGCCTCCCAGACTGATGAGCTCTCATCCATCAACCCGCCTTCTATCATGCGTTTGCGAATGGATGCTCGCAGCTGGATCCATCCCTCCTTCCGCCTCGTGCCAGAGAACCGCACGTAGTCCAGCGCAAGACCAAAGGCGATCGTAGGATCTAGCTTGACCTGATCATTAGTCTTGCCAAAGCGCAAGAGGTCGCTCTCCAAGCGCAGTATCTGTAGAGTATGCTGGAAGAGACGAAGATGTAGCGTGGAGGCCGGCTCGCTGAGGATGTAGTAGACGTGGGGCGACTCGGACAGCAGGAATGCTGCTACGGCTAGAGCTGCCGATATTACCGCGACTTCGGTCTGTGTTACACGACCACCGTATACGAAGCGTGTCCAGATGGGCTGCAGCCAATAAGCTGTTGTACAGTTGACTAACCAATCCGTCTCCTGAGTGAGATACTCGAGGAGGATCTCGCAATCTGTACGACTTGGAAAGATTCGCGTTGCTTCTCTGACCAAGGAAAGGTCTGGCGTTGGGATCCTATCCGACTCTCGAGTCAAGGAGACGGTCTTGGGCCACCGCTTGGAAGTTTGGAATGGGAGCGGAGCTGGAGGCGTCGTAGACGAGCATGCCCCGAACGCATCTTCCAGTCGATCGAGTCCCCGTCTCAAGCGTGAGATCTCTTCATATGCATCAGACAGCTGCTGACCAGGCGAGGTGGCAGCGTACAGCCGACTCGTTCGCTGTCGTTTTAGACCTGGCCGGACGGAGGATTCCTCTCCGGACGGAGAACGCTCTCTGTAGCCAGAGCCACTGGACTGCAGCTGCGCTCTAGATGTATAGGCAACAGGCGAGTCTGTCCGTGACGTGTTCGCGGCCGTCTGCTTATCGGGCAAGTGGCAGACCTCTTCTGTCCCTCGCAGTATACAAGATGAGCAAGGCTGAGGTAGGACAAGGGAGGAAGCTTGCGTCAGGGAGGCATCGGGATTACGGCTATTGCGTATTACTCACCGCCTTTTCATCACACTTCGACTTCCTTTTGCGGCTGAGCATGGCGAGATGGGGTAAGGCAGGCCGTAGAATGATTTCCGGAGCAGATGTTAGTAACGTCCCTTATCCGCGGAAGGGCTTCCACTCCTGTCCTCCCCACGGTCCGTACTCACCATGGGAGACAGCTCAGTCTCGCCCTGCCCAATAGAGCGGTTCTTACGCCTGAGGAGTCGGCAGTATTGTCACCGGAGCCCTCGGTGGACTGCATTGCGTTGCCAGGCGAGGCGAAGAAAGCATGGGGTATGTGGGGAAGGAGGAGGCGGAAGCGGACGCCTCGGCCCCAGACCTTATCACTGATAAGGACAAAGCGGCGGACCAGCTACGAGAGAGTGTACATTTACCAACAGCTGGCTTCGAGTGACTCGCTTAGGCTTTCGATGGAGGTGTACCAAAGTGGTTACTGGGAAGGACTTGAATCAGCTTTGATCGTAATCCTTTGGGCTCTGCCCGCGTAGGTTCGAACCCTGCCACCTTCGCAAAACGCAACTTTTTGGCCCTTTTTTCCCATTTTTTTCCATTAGTGTCCGGTTCTCGTCCTGACCATCCAGGCCCTGGTCATGATACCACTACACATCTTGCATACCTCAAGCCAGTAAAGAAGCAAGCCTCTTTTTATTCGTCCAAGTATATACACACAAACACTTTCCGTGGCACGCCCCCTTCACCAATCGTGGACCCACTCGCCCCTTCTGGTAACGCGCATGACCTTGAGCACTCCGCTCTTGAGATCCTCCAACTTGAGCGTCACCTCCTCCACACTCGCAGTCTGCTGCGTGACGGCCCTGATCTTCAGCCCTCCCTTCTTGCCCTTCTCCACCTCGACGACAATGGCAAAGAGGGGCTGCTGTGCTCCTCCATACGCTACGTGATAGGAGCTACCTAGGCCTTTCTTGCCCTTGAAGTCTGCTGGACCCTGCAGGAGGAGCACGTCTCCGGCGCGGGGAGCTTCGTCGCCTGCGGCCTTGTCCAACACGGTCTGTCCCACTTGTGAAAGAACAGTAGGGCCGAATGCGAAGCCCACGGGGGGTAGGCAGGGCGAGCGCGATGATCGAATCAGGTGAGAGACGAGCGCGAGAGAGTGCGGATACGGCGAAGATGGGGCACCTTTGCCTCCGCCCCCTGATTGCAGGAGCATAAGCGCCCGCTGCGCGAGATCCACACCAAGTGTACTGCTCCAAGCTTTCATCTCGTCCACCTGGGGCTTCTTGGGAGGGAAGGAATGCTCCTGCTCCAAGCGCGTCTCCGTCTCATCCTCGTCCTCGTCGAACCATACGACATTCACGAGCGTCACCGAAAAGTCTTCGAACAGCACCCTGACCACCGCATGATGCTCTCCAGCTTGCGCTGCTTGCGCATTTTCGACAAAGTAGATCGCGTCAGGGCGACTGGAGATGCTCGGAGGCAGGCGCATGGGGTCTAGCTCGCCGCTACCTCTCCACCAGCGGGTGTGAGGTGCGAGGTCTAGATCGCGAGCAGAGGACTTGCCGCCCACAGGTCCGCTTACTGACGTACGGGTGCCAGGAGGAGCTCGAGCCGGCGCGCCTTGAGTCGAGATGCTGCCTGATCTAGCCATTTGTGGTTCGTAAGCAGCAGCACTCGAAGTCGGAGGAGGAGGAGGAGATGAGAGAGGAGCCGCCGAAGGGGCTCTTGGTGGTGGGCTTGAAGGTAGTGCGGGTGGGCTGGACTGTTGAGCGTACGCCTCCTCATCATCGTATTCATCGTCTTCTTGCTGTTGATCGTAGTCCTCGTAGCTCGCCAACGACGACTCGATGGATGGCTGCTGGTCATATTGTGACTCTCCGCGACTGACAGCTTTGGGAGGCGGTGGTGGGGGAGCTGCGCCTGGAATGGGAGGGCGGTTGGTAGAGCCTCGTCTAGCGAGTCCCTCGTCAATCGAGCCACGGCCAGCTCCTCCAGGAGGGGGCGGGGGTGGAGACATTGGTTTGTGGCCTTGGATGAACGAAGCACGGTTGACTCCAGAAGGCACAGGGGGAGGGCTGGCCGGCATGGGAGGAGGGCTGCTGACACGTGGTAACGTTGCTTCATCGACTGTCATCGAATTGTCAGCATCGACATCGAGGTCCTCTTGCTGTTCATCCTCGACTTCTCTAGTTGCAGCCCCGTCTGACTCAGCCTCTGCTGGCTCTATAGGTCTAGTCATGCCCGGAATGGCCATACCGCCCCGAGGTGGGCCAGCTCTGCGAGCTGGTACTGGCGCCGTTGCTGCTTCTTCTTCTTCCGCCGGCTGAGGCTCGGGCACAGGCTCAGTAGCTTTTCTCCTCGCAGGCATCGGAGCTCCCATAATAGGCGGCAAAGCCCCCATCCTGTGTCCGCCCAGAGCAGCCATACGCTTGGCGATGGCGGCTCGACGGGCGGCTTCCTCTTGCTCGGGTGACAGAACGGAAGACTCCTCGGACTCTACATCCTGTGCTGGCTGATCTTCGCTCTCCGCTGAGGCCGCTGGCAGAGCAGCAGATTCGTCTGACCGTACATCACTCGGGCCGTCTTCCATATCCTGCTCTTCTTCCTCTTCATCTACCGGCATAGCTCTTCGAGGGAGTGGCACAGCAAGCGCAGGTCCAGCAGCAGGGGGAGCAGCGCCCGCCGCGTCCTTTGCATCGTCTTCTTCATTCTTCCGCGAGCTGCGATCGCCCATCAGCGTTTCCTCAATCGAAGTGCTCGGAGCTCTTGGTGGTGGACTGCGCGGAATAGGCGGCCGACCTACGCTGATGATAGATGATCTCCTTTCCTCCAGAGCAGAGGTGGGCACGGGGGGAGTGGGCGCATGGCGTGCCGGCGGACCTATCGAAGCACGACTACCAGGCCTATTTCCAAGCGGGATGGGAGGGCGAGTCGAGCCTGGACGCGAAGGCACCGAAGTGAGTCCGCCATCTTCGGTCTCAACAGGAGCCGGAGTGGCACCTCGAGCTTCATTGAGCTCTTCTCCCATCCGACGTTGATCAGCCTCAATCGCTGAGGGTTCGTCGCCAAAGGCTCCACTGCCTTGGCCAGCTCCTCCCTCGCTTTCTTGCGTTGGAGCCAGACCCAACTGACGCGCGAGCGGTGAAGGAATGGCCGAACTCTCATCATCCTCGTCAACATCTAGCGAATCTCCATATCGCTTCGAAGCACTGTCTTGTGATCCAGCGAGAAAGGCTTCGAGACGGGCAGCCTGTAGCTTGAGAGCTACATCTTCCATATCGTCCTCCTGGACGACCGGCGCTGTCTGCTTCTCTTCCTCCTCTCGCTCGGCTTGTATGCCGGCCTCCTCAATGGGTGCGGTCCTCTCTACACTTTTGATGTGCTCAGCAGTGCTTCCAGGATCTGCGACTTGTTCAGGAGGCGGGGGTCCCGATACCAGGTCAGGGCCTTCGGAGGGGTCCTCATCGGGTAGTCCAGGCGGGGGAGGTGTCGAGGCCCCTGGTGCGGAGGGAAGCGTGGCGGAGGAAGAAGCAAGCGGCTCTTCCATCGCAACGTCTTTTGAAGCTAGAGCCTCCTCTTCGCTGGGTACGATCGGCTCTGGTGACCCAGCCCTGGCTACGATGGAGGCGTCGTCGGCGCCAGTGAGATTGGTCGTAGTACTTGGGCTTAGATCGGTCGAGGTCGGGGAAAGCACATTAGACTCCGCCTCGCTTGGTAGAGGAGAGGCTGCACTTCTCTTCTTCCTAGGTGGGGCAGCTCTGCGCGGCACATCCAGCGTCTTTGGCTTCTCTTCCTCCTGCTCAGTGGTAGTGGGTTCTGCTTCGAGAGTAGTCGGTTGCGGGTCTACAGGAGCAGCAGGGACAGGGGTGCTGTCCGTGCTACTCGTACTGGTCTTCTTTGCTGGCGGAGGCCTAGGAGCACCGAACATCGGGGGACCCTGCCCTCCAACTCGCTGTCCACCAAGCCGGGCCAGTCGTTGAGCAATGGCAGCACGACGTTGTGCCTCCTCTTCTTCAGGAGAGATCTCACTCGGAGCGTCTCCTCCGTCTTCTTCGCTCTGGATAGCTATGGTGGGCTGCTCCTTCGGCGCTCCATCTTCGCTCTCGAGGTTCGGAGCCTGTTCAGCTCCTTCGGTATCCATAGCTTCTCTCAACGGCTCGGCAGAAGCAGCTGTCTGCCCATCAGCAGGCGCATTGTCTCCCGTGGGGCTGAGAAGGCTCTCAGAACTCTTGGCAGCTACCCCGCCAACTCCCATGCCGACCATGGCTGCCGCTCTTCGATCTGCTGTCAGTCTTCCGGGTTTTGCAGCAAGAGGCGGGGGACTCTTCGCAGAAGAGGGACTGGAGGGTGACGCTCCAGTTGCTTCACCTTCCCCTCCACGCTGTAGAGCGGCCATCCTCTCTTTTAGGGAGAGCTTGATCGATGAGGCCGCATCTGCTGCTGAGAAACCGGTCCCCTGATTCTTCCCTTCTTCCACAGCAGTTTCACTGCCTTCGGCTGTTGTGGCTTGAGCAGTTTCGTGGCTGGTATCAGGCGTTGACCTTGAGATAGAAGCGTTGACGGGCTTGGCAGAAACAGCAGGAGGAGCTCCAGGGAGGACAGGCTTCTCTCCCTCTTTCGGTTGCGGGCGCTTCCATCCTCCAGTCGAGCTACCGGGCGGCTTACCACCTCTTGGGAGGGGAGGCGGTGCTGCTGTTCCTGCTGCTGGCTGATTGAACGCGGCGATCCTTGCGGCGAGGCCTGATGGTTTCGGCTTTGGTGGAGGAGGGCCAGCTTTGGCCGGGCTTGTTGGCGCTGAAGGTGCTGCTTTAGGTGTAGATGCTGCTGAGGTGGTCACTGTCGCTGGGGTAGGGGAAGTAGGCCCGGCTACAGCCGCGTTCGTGTCGAGAGATAGCGGTGCGGGAGTATGAGTTGGCTCCTTCAGCCCCAATGTCTCTGAATCGGGTTGTGCAGCATCAATTGTCGCAGACTGTGGAGCGGCTGATGTAGGTACGTCCTGTACCGAAAGCTCTTCGCCTGCAGTGGTAGCAGCTTCTTGTATAGAAGGAGCTTCTGCAGTCTGAGCTTGAGCTATTGAAGGCTCTGCTGTAGAATCGCTCGCCTCTACGGCTGCCGGCTCAGCACTCTCATTGGAGATGGAGGTAGCTGCGACGCTCTGAGACGCAGCGGCGTCCTCTTCAGGCGCTGCCACAACGCATGTCCCAGGGAAGGAGCCCTTGGCGCTGCCATCTGCGAGTTCTCCTATCAGCCATTGGTCTTCATCCTCATCGTCATCATCCTCGTCCACTTCAGCCTTTGGTGCTAGAGAGAGGACCCTGATGACTGCTCCTTTGGGAAAGGAGAGGTCCTGGGCGTGTGGGGAGCGGTATTTCTTGATGGACCGCGCCGTGTAAGGGAAAGAAGACATCGTGGCAAGTATGGGAAAGTGAGGAAGAAATGAAGTGGTTATATGCTGCAAAGCTTTCTTCCAAGCTTCGCCTAGTATGAAGTGAACGAGGATGAGGTGCCAAGGTCACCAGGCATCTTCCGTCTGACCCCTCGCTGGCCCCAGCCCTCGCACGCGCACCGGCCCCTGCCTTTGACATCACCTCCACACGACGATCACAACCGACATTGCCGAGCCGAGCCGAGGTGATTGGACTCGTATCTGTGGCACACCAGCACACCCTCGAGTCACGACAAGTCTTCGTACTCGAGATACTGAACTGAAATGCGGCTTCATATCAAATCGGATCCCGTCCCTCCTGGTGAGAGCCTCCGCGGCACAGGACCCCTGTCAGTCCATCGCAAACAGGAGATCAGAATCGATTTATGTTCCTATCTGAAGGCCTACGCAGCATCAATCGCTGCACAACTACTGGGCGCCCTAACGTGGCACTTCTTCAAGGGCACTACGGGCGCTTTCCGGATCCAGATCACCCGCACGTCCTCTTTCAGCTGTCTTATAAAGTACGGGTGGACACGACTCAAGAAGACCATCTGGTACGATCTTGGTACTTTCAGATACGTCTTCGACCAAGAGAAGGAGAGACTCCAAAAGGGGCGAGCCGTCAAGACTCTGGATCAGCGCAGCCTCGATCCCGGCAATGAGACCACAGACGGAGGAAGATCGTCTGATAGCAGTACGGCTAAATTGAGAGCAAGCATCGGCACTGCACAGCTCGCAGGATGACGATGAAGGAAAGAAGAGGGGCCGAGCACTACCTCAGCGTGAGCGCTTACGGATCGATATTTCCCCACCTCTTCAAGTCCAGAAGATTCGCCAGGTCCTCCTCCTGCTGTCTTTCACCACGCAGCCGTGCCACCTCCTCCTCAATCCTCTGCCTCCCACCTCTCCACTTCCAAACCTCGAATCGATGGTTTAGGCCTCTCTGCTCCTGCAAAGCATAAGGTCCTCCCTCCCCCCCTTCGTCAAGACCATCGTTGCATCTCTTCCCATCGGGGAGCTGACTGCCGCAACATCCACCAGATCCGCTGGAGCTTTCGAGAAAGATCAACGTGCGCACGCGAGAGTGCACAAGAGACATGCAGCAGTACACGCAGGGTTCGTGGGTGGTGAAGAGGGTGAGAGAGGTGAGGAGGTAATCTTGACCGTTGAGTAAGAGCGGGAGAGATGGCGAGGCCGGCCGGGCAGGAGAGGGTGATAGCGAAGTCAGGGCGGTATGTGGCGATGACGCCATCGTTGCGTCGGCATGCGCATCTCCATTCGAGGCGAGGCGAGCAACTGGGGAGATGCTCTGCTCCGCTGAATGATCGCTGGACGGCTCACTGCCCATTGGCCGACCCCGGATGACGGATGGTTGCTGCTCGGCGCTGGTGGATGCTGCTCCACGCTTGTAGGCTCGCAGCTCTGCCACTCCTTGAATGGCATTCCCCACGGCATGCTTGATGGGGTTCCTTTGCGACTTCCTTGTATCAAAAGCGTCTACTTCTATGGCCTCACCGCCGGGCAGAGGAATGCCATCGGAGTCCCATCCGCCGTACCAGGGCGCTGCAAGGGTAACGGACCCGCTCCCTTGCACCTCCGAGGACGAAGGTGGAGGCACAAGCGTCACGGCATCTGTACCCGAGTGGTTGACATACTCCGATGCGGCTGTCGAAGAAGGGGCCGCGGGAACCCCTGTACCGCCATTGCTTGCGATCGCTGTCGAGAGAATACTAGGACAGACATGTACTCCCACAGGAATCTCACCCCGGTCTTTCGCATCCTGGGCAAGCACCACGCATCTGGCTAGCTTCCGTATGACCCAGTGTACCCTCTTCTCTGACCAGAAGGCTGCATCTATCTTCCGGTCGATAAAGCCTGGCCTCGTTGACGCGTGGATCGCAGACGGTGTAGAGGTACCTCCACCCTGACTTGGGGTGCCAGGTGAGGGGACAGCTGCGCTGTTCGAAGAGTTGGCCATGGATCGTAAGGCTACGGGCCAAGACGCTGACCATTCTGTTGCTCTCGTCTTGATTGGGGCAGGCGTCGACGCTACGTCCACGCGGAGCAGCTTTGTCTCTCTTTCTTCCGCATCCATCAAGCCATCCTCCTTCAGCAGCTGCTTCAGGGCTGCCTCGTCTACGTGGGCAGCTGGACACAGAAGTGATCGGAGGTTGCCATTATCGTCCGGATGCTTCATGAGAGTCTTTGCGTGACGTATCGCGTCCTCTTCTGAGCCGGGGACCTTTCCACGACCTAAGAAAAGCGAATGCTTCCGCAAGAACTTCATAATCTCCGAGGAGGACCGCGGAGGAATGAGCAGAGCATAGCAAGAGAGCATTTGAAGCGGCACCGTCATGGGGTCCGGTAGTGAGGAGAGACGCCAGACGGGAGCTGATGAGGAGGCAGCAGATGTGCCATTGACGGTTACGACGCTCGTCTGCGATATTGAGGATGGGCCATTGGATTCTCTTCTGTCCATGGCCTTGTTGAGGGCGCTTCGCGTGTGATCGTCTGACAAATGCGAGCCGACTGCCGCTCGCAGTGCTTCACCTCCGTCCGAGCTCCTACTTGTACGCTCTAGCCCGCTGTCACTGCCACTGCCAGTGTTACTATTCGAGGGCTTCGTTGCGCTATTGCCATTGATGTACCTCGTCCTCGTTCTTCTGACGACCTTTCTCTGTACACCTGGCCTCTGGCTGGAGGTCTCTCCTTCGCTATCACTCCTCTCTTCGCCTATCTTGAGAAAGTCCGCCAGTTCCCTCTCTTTGCGGTCATCATAGTCGGATACATCGCCGCTATCCGGATTGGATGAGCCTTCCTCGTATTGCTGGCCCCAGGGGCCATAAGAGATGCACAGCTCTTCCCCTGCTACAACGTCTCGTACGAGTGTGTAGCGAATAGAGTGCGAGGGACGATCAAGCTTGAATGCAACAGATGGGGACGCTGAGTGATTGAATAAAGACCCTGTGGACATGGCGAATCAACAAGAGTCAGCTCTCCTCCGACCTTCTTTGCTCTGCTCCACGTCGGGTGGGAAACTCACCAAGACCCAAGGCTAGTGCCATCTCCCCCATTCTGCCCCACTTGAATGTGTAGCAGTCCAAGATCGTCCTCGAACCATGCTGCTCCCATTCATCTTTGCCAAAGATCAGAACAGGGCTGATTTCGACGACGGTGCCAGCCGGCAGAGGCCTCGACGCATACACGCCCCTGCCTCTGGACTGATGCGAGAGGATGAGGAGATTATTCGGATTGAGGTGCGGGGTGGAGGGCGGATAGTACTGCGCCGCTGGAGAGGTCTGCTTCTCCTCTTCAATTGCTCTTGTCACACTTTCACCTGAAGGATTTGGCTGACGAGAGCCGACTGCTATGTCGTCGTCCAAGGTATGGGCGGAAGACGAGGCATAGGAGCAATCCATGCTAGGCAGTCGTGGGCCCGAGGCTGCGATAGACTGCGTGATCGACCGGGCCTTGGTGGTGTTCCTCAAGGATGGCAAGCTACGGCAGACACTGATGCTCTGGTGATCGCTCCTTCACCGTCCGCAACGATGCCGCATGTGTGGTGGTGAGGTTGTGCTCGGATGGCCGTGAGAGCAAATGGCGAGAAGATCTGTTCCGTATCGCCTGACACCCAGGGCCGCCTTTGCTGCCACATTTTTGACTCAGCTGCGCGACACAGGCCAGGAGACGCACCGGAAGGAAAAAGTTCAAACACAGATTTCCTGGACGTACGCGGTTCACAGCGACCTCTTTCGTACGAGGTTAGCATATATACCATTACACTCCTACTGCGACATCATGACGACTCTTGCGGAACCAGTCGCAGGTCCGTCTTCTGGCTCGCATGCTATCAATGCCAGCAGTCACGCCAACAATGACCTCCCCAAGCGCAAAAGAGCTCGCACCAGAAAGAGGAAGTCCGGAGCAGCTGCAGGCCCCACCGATCAAGACGACGAGGACGAAGAAAGCCATCAAACCTCAATAATTGGCAATGAAACGATCCCTGTCAATGATCATGCGTCAACTTCTGCATCGAGCTTGAAGGGCAAAGGAAAAGAGACCGCTCCCACATCAGCGAAGCAGCCGCCTATGGACTCTGTAAAGGTAGCGCCCGCCTCTGCGACCTCTGATGTGGTCACTACCAGCGAGACGGCCAGCAAACGGACAGACGAAGCAGATAGCGACGACGATGATGAAGCAGGAGAGGGTAACGCGGCAGGGCGGAAAAGGAAACGAACTCGCAAGAGGTCTAAGAAGGGCGGTCAGGCTGATACTGCTACCGCGGCAGGCAGCGAGAGCAATGGCGCAAAAGCAGCCCAAGGCGCAGAGTCAGCTGTAGCGCCTTCAGCAGCGGCTCAAGCGCCAGGTGAGGAGCTATCACAGCAGCTTGCTCAAACACCAGACCCAGCACAAGACGAGTCCATCAGCCAGGGAGCTAAGAACGGTGAGTTGCCACGCCTCTTTACTTGTCCGGCCACAAGCTTGCTTACATTGTAAATCCTCCTGTTCTCTTCAGCTCTGATCTATGCCTACATCTTCTGCACATCTCGCCAAGTCTGGAAATTCCAGAAGGCGAAGGAAGGGTGGCTCTTGCGTCACATCCTCGACCACCCGTCACCCGCTGCAACAGAAACAGCGGCACCAGCATCAGCCGAGCCGGTGGCCAGAACTGACACTGTGAGCGGTGAGCCTGCAGACGAAGCGGCTCAAGAGGAACAGGTCGACACTTCGATCCCAGATGCATACATTGCACTCGTTGGGCACTACCTGTCAACGATGCAGGGCAAGAGCAAGGACAGGCTGAGGGAAGAGCTTCAAAGGGCTATTGCAGCTGCAGAGGCGCTTCCGACCGAAGCTCCAGAAATCGAGCAACCTCAAGAGCTTGCTTCTGCGCCAGCAAGCGAGCCCGAGGTAATAGCAAACGGCGACAGCAAGGGTGTGAGGTTCGCGGACATGGCCGACGAGAGCAATGAGCAAAGCAGCGCGAGGGAGGACGTTGAGAAGGCAAAGAGAGAACGACTTAGGTGGCAAGCAGCCAGGGCGCGAAGTGTACTGAACATCCTCGGAGCACAATGATGGGTGCAATTTAGTCGGACGCATCAGTCTATTTACTTACCTGCGCAGTTCCGGCAGCGACGCAACACCTCAGGCAACGATGTCATGAAACGAGAGTGGTTGCAGTGGAAGCAAAAGTCGCAAGGAAGCAATGGTGAAAGGGGAATAGATGGTGACATCTACTTGCGCAATACCAAGGTTTGCCAAGCGCGAACGATTCGAAGATGAGCCCCAGTATGAAGCAAGGTGAAGACGTCGGTTCTCCGCAGGTCGGGATATCCCCAGCAGCTACAGCAACACCGATCACGCTAGGATACATTCGAATTCTCTACCCTAGTGGATCAATAAGCAGTGTCCGAGCCCGGCTACTTTGCCCTAAGCAAAGAAGAGGCCCGGTTGAGTTGCCTTGAGCGGGTCCATTGCGGTGCCCAGCATCGCAAACGAGTCAAAATGACTGGCACTGTCATATATGAACTTGAGTTCCAGAACTTTCACAAGGTGTAGCCCCAAGATTTTGTCTTCTCAGCAGACCCTGATACACTCTCATTCCACAGCAGCGCATCCACGCTCGCTGTCCATCGCCCATCACACGTGTTCGTGAAGTTCAGGCTGGTCCTGCATTCTTCAAGGCCGCACCAGGTCTGCGCAATCACAGCCGAAGATGAAGTGCTACAAAATCTTTGTTCTGGTCTTTTTCGTCCTTGAAGGAGTGGCTGCACTGCCTTCACCGCCGGACGGTCTTCTTCGTGCAGATGGCTTTCCTTCAAGCTCGAGAGCAGACGCAGGGGACAGTGCAACAAAGCAAGCCCGTCGACGCGAAGAGTTTGCTCGCAAAGCAAAGAGGCCCGACGCATTGATCGAGCCTCGAACTTTTAAAGCTTCCGAAGAAGCCGACAGCGACGACTCGGACCGACTGAAGCGCCCCTCTCCGCGCACTATCGCAGATCTCCATCGCCGCCAAGAAAAGAGCCCACAATCATCACTCAGGATCCAAGACGAAGATGTCAAGAACGAGCGACAGCTGCAGGCAGCAAGGCAAGGCACGGACGATAATCCGCTCGCGAAGAGAGGGAAGCTTGTCAAGGGAGGAATCGCTGTTGTGGCCCTAGGCACTGTCGGCGGCTTGTATGGTCTCCTCAAGAAGTTTGTGTTCGATAAGAAGCACGGTAAGCCGGATGAAGGCCCTTACCCACAGCCTGGCGACTCCTCTTCAACGCCTCCGCCAACGCCTCGTAGTCTTGACGACGACGGACCAGAGCTTGGCAAAGTCCCACTCAGCAAGAGAGATCGCCAAGGGAAGGTCGTCAAGAGTGGCATTGCTGTAGCTGCTTTGGCGACCATCGGCGGCTTGTACGGCCTGCTGAAGAAATTCGTCTTCGACAAGAAGAAGGGCAAACCGGATGAAGGACCTTACCCACAGCCTGGTGATTCCTCGCCAACGCCCCCGCCAACACCCCGCAGCGTTGACGATGAGTCGCAAGACAACAAAGTACCGCTTGCGAAGAGAGACCGAAGGGCCAGACTCATCAAAGAGGCAAAGGTTGGAGCGGGGGCAGCTACCATCGCTGCTCTGTATTATGCTTTGTACAAGCTGATGACCGGTAAGAGCGACGGCCAGCAAACGTTCACTCCAGGCAATGACGCCCCGGGCCCAGATGCTGCTCCAGCACCAAAAGCTCGTGGCCTAATTGCTCGGGATGATGAGGATTTTGACAAGAGAATCGTTCCAGGTGACGATGGCGCCATGAACGCGCAGAGACGACTGACAAAGAGAGCTATCACCCTCCAACAGCTTCACACTGGAGCCAAGGCAAGTGCTCTTGTCATTTCCTTGGGGGGACTATATTATGTGGTCAGTCAAATACTCAAAGACAGCAAAGCCAGGCGTCAAGGCCAGCAAGGCCACCACGGCCATGCCCCGGAACCAGTCTCCGCTCCTGCACCACGACCTCGAAGTCTCGGCGATTCTGAAGTCGAGACAAGTGAAGCAGAAGAGGCACCTCGACAGGAGAGCGATCTCGAGCTGAACGAACGGGGCATGTCTGGAGCCCAGAAAGGCTTTCTTAGGATTGGAGGCGCAACGACCGCGATGATGACCATGACATCTCTTGCTCACGTTGCTCAAAAGCAAAAGCACAGCGAACACAAGCAGGAGAAGGAGATCACAAAGGCAAAAGGGAAGGCGCAACATCCGCCACCAAGACACGTTCCCATTCTCAGACCACGAAGCCTCAGTCAAGGGACTCCCTGTCTGACCAGCTCGAACCACCTCTATCCTGACGGGGCTCGATTGGATGAGAGACTTAAAGGCAATTGGGGGAAAACTGTAGGAGGTGGCGTGGTAGGGATGTGTGGTCTTGGCATGGAATCTCTCTATGCTGCCAACGCTCTGAAGAAAAAGGAAGAGCGACAGCAGAGGGCGTACCAAGAAGCAAAGAAGTATGGGCCGGCGCTCATGATCAAAAAGCCTGCAAAGGACCCTCGCTGAGGATCGTGTTCATCTGACAATTATTGCGATCCAGCGCCTCCGGATCCCATTCGCCGCTTTGCCAGCTTGCTTTCAATTCGAGAATTGTGATCGGCCTACTCCAAATTCCGGACTCCGGAACACCTCGCCGGGACAGTGTGTGCTACGTGGAGGCGATCGTGAGCTTTGATGAACGAGAATGGTGCAGCATTGCTTCTGGACAAGTTTGCTATGAGATTTTCATCGTCAGGACCAACAGACTAGCAGGTGGATTGCTCTGACGCACCTTCTGCCTTTCCTCTGGCCTGACAAGCTGTTGCTGCACCGCAATTGCACCATCGAAGGACGTCCACACTACTGGTCCATTGCTCCGACCCACCAGTCATGCTGGACAATGTCCTCGGTCATCTCATTCTGGCGCCAGGCATTGTGCTGGAGGAACCTTGCCTAACGGCAATGAAGCACTTTTGCTATGATGGAACGTAGGAAGTCTGCCGCCAGCAAGGCTTCGATGAAGCAAGACTCGCCTCGTCTTCTTTCTTTCGAAAACGTCTATAAGAGTCGATTTGGAGCTGCCATGTCTACTCTTGATCCGTCAGCAGTGCTCACCTCCCCTCCTCTCCCCCGAACTCCGTTACTGGCCGTCCCAGCCATCACTCTGGATACAAGGCTGGTCCATATACTATCCGAGTCCCTTCCAAGACCAGTAATCTCAAGCGTCCATCATGAAGTCCGCCAAACTCTTTGCCCTCGTTTTCCTCGTGTTCGAGGGTGTTGCTGCCCTCCCGGCACCTCCACAGGGCCTCCTGCGAGCAGAGGACTCAGAGCCAAGATTTATGCCTCGAAAAGCAACGGACGAGCATCAGCATTCGAGCGCCGACCAAGTCTTTGCCCGAGGTGTGCGGGAGTCCTCGCCGGACTTGGCTTCGAGCGCTTGGTTCACACGAGCTACTCAAGACGACGATGCCAAAGACACCGACTTCCAGGGCAAGCAGCGTTTCCTGGTCAGGCAATTGATGGAGCGCGATGAGTCCGCTTTGGATCGCCGGCAGCGTTCCAAGAAAGTGGTCATCGGGACCCTCTTGGGTCTTGCAGGGCTCGGCACCGGGGGCTACTTTGCTGTCACTAAGCTGTTGAAGAAGGAGAAAGACGAGGGAAAGAAGCAACAGCAGCAGCAGCAGCCTCTGCCTGACGGCCCTCCCTACTCCGGAGGGGGTTGTTCCCCCACCGGAGTTGGTTGTCGAAGGGATGTAATGGACAACAAAAGGCACGATGTGAAGTCATCAGACGAAGAGAAGTTTAACGGAGAGGCGATACTCGTCCGAGGTCTGCAGGATCCCTCGCCGGACTTGGCTTCAAGCGCTCGGGTCGCCAGAGCTGCGAAGCAAGACGACGGCCCAGACGCCGAAATCAGGAGGCAGCGCTTCCTCGTCAGGCGACTACTGCAAGCTCGTTCCTCCGAAGACGAGCGTGACGTTTCGACCTTGGACGCACGGCAACACAGCCCCAAGAATGTCGTCATCGGGGCCCTGCTAGGTCTTGCAGCGCTCGGGACCGGGGGCTACTTCGCCATCAATAAATTTTTGAAAGACAAAAAGGAGCGAGAGCGCAAGAAGCAGCAGCAGCAGCAACAGCAATTTTTGCCCGAAGACCCTGCATACTCGGGTGGTGGCTGCCGGAGGGATGTGACGGACCGACAGATGCATGAAAGCATGTCTTCCGAAGAACAGAGCGAGGACCGTTTGACAGCTAGGACTGCCCGATCGTGGACTCCCGGAAGGAAGACATTTGCTGCAGGTAGTCTACTGACGCTTGCTGGGCTGGGTCTGGCAAGCTACCTCGGATACAAAGCCCTCAATCCCGGTAGTAAAGGTCAGAATCCTCCGCCACAGTTCGGTCAGACTCCGCCCCCAAGGCGCAGAGACCTCGGTGAAGGTGGAGACGATGGAAATGCGCTCGAGGAGAAGCGGGATGGAGCATACCTGGCAGTCCGATGTTGATGGAACGTCGGGGGGGCTGACGATGTCATCCGCTCTCTCGCTCACAGTCAATTCAGGAAGGAGCAGGACCGGGGTCATGACAACAGGGAGCAGGCGATTGCTTCCGTTACGTACCCAATGCGACTGAATCAGCGCAAGGCCTATGAGCGTGGCGTGCCGTGTTTCCAGCTGCAAGTTCAATGGAGTGGGGCGCGGGCACTGTGTAGTCGCCTGTATGCTTGCATTCCTTCGCGTAGGCACTTTTGTGCAATGAGTATCCCGCCTTGACGAGAGAATAGAGATTGACATTAACGTCTATGTGAGTGCTCCACGACTCGAACCCATATATACGTACTCGTGGTCGCCAATCTCCATCGATCTCATCGAAATCGGGCGTGTAGCTCAGGGGTAGAGCGCTTGCTTAGCAATACAGTGTTCACCGCTGCATGAGGCCCGGCGTTCAAATCGCCGCTCGTCCAGACTTTTTGTCTTACTTTTTTCGACGATTTTCATCTGCTCGGGGCTAGCTTTTGCGCCTTCTCCGTTGGCGCTGGCCTCTTGCATTCTCTTGACACTGCTGTCTGGATTTTCCCATCGCTGTCTTCGTGAGAGTTGCCAAGGATGCGAGCATGCCACCACGCGGACGTCGGGTGTGAGAGCGAAGATGGTCGTGCGTCGGCTCGCCTGTGCCAAATTTTTGAAGCGTGTGAACTCCGCACCGTCCTTCCTGGTGACTTTTTCCCGGTCCGTGACATTGCCATTACTGACAATCGCCTTTGCCATCACATCTGCCGCATCTCAAGGGGCATATCATACCAAGGCAAGAGAATCCATCTGGTGACTGAGGCCGCATTCCACCATGGCCTCGTCTCTGGCGTCGCAGCTCTCGGGCTTGCGGTCGCTCAACGCCTCTCGCCTGGCCTCGGCCTCGGCTCTCACCACCCACGCATCCTACCTCTTCCCGCCACGCACGGCAGCCTCACAGGATCTCGACACCGTCTACTCTCTCGGTGAGACGGGCTTCAATGAGCTCATCCTCGAGGATGCCGCTTTTGAGAAGTGGCCTGGCGGACAAGCTCTCTTCGGGCCCGCGGCAAAGTCCACAGATCGAACTATGCTGGGAGGCGAGGAGAATACCGCTCTGAATAGGACCATCGATGAGTTCCTCGAGCTGGTCAGCCCAGTGATACTGAGCAAGAGCGCTGCAAAGTGTCTCGAATGGCTCGTCAGGAGATTCAGGATACACGACTTCAACTCGCTCGCAGTGCTTCGGGTCTTCTTGCCATACCATCAGACGCCTCAATTCGCTCGCATGATCCACATCCTCGACCTCTCATCTCAGCCCTACCTCTCCTTCCTGCAACCTCTGCAAAAGACTACGCAGCCGCTGCCATCTTCTGTCCTTCTCTCTGCAATGCTTGCTCCGCCCAGCTCTTCCCACTCTCTCGATCTCATCCGCTTCGTTACCCAAAGCTTGACCAGCTCGTCGAGCTCCAACATCCCTCAGCGCCCACAAGTTCTCTTCTGGTCCTCTACGCTGGTCCAGCTCTGCACCCGTCTGAGCGGTGTCACGAGTGGAGTGGAGACCTCAATGGGGATGGCGAGCTCCGCAAAGAAGCGCAAATCTGGAGCTAGCGCCCAGGTCAAGCAGGACGCTGAGCAGCTCGTTTTGAGCATCATCCTTCCAGCGGCCCTGTCTGCTGCCACCTCCAATGGTCTCGGAGCTGAGGCGCAGGTGGCCGGCACTCTTGTACTCTGTGCAATTGGCGTCTCGTTCCATCTCAGCGCTGACGCCGCCGCAACAACGATCTCTGAGCTCTGGCAGACGTTCCCCGGCGCCAAGCCTAATGTCCGTCACTTCCAAGCTTACCTCACCGCCTCGGCGGCCTTGAGCAGCAACGTTGGTCCAGATGACCTCAGTAAGCTCATCTCGGCCAACACTGCACGGGGTCTGTTGCGTCACCGCAGTCTAGCTTCGGATCTGGCGAGCCTGAGTGAAAGCTATGATATTGCGCCTTTCTTGGCAAGTGTCTTCGAAGCCTTTGCCAGGTTGATTACCAGCGACGACGAACAGCTGGCCGAAACGGCTGTCAGAGCGATGAGAGGTCTCATTAGCCTTTCTGCTGAGCAAGGCGGTCTTCCTTCATCAACTTTGGAAGCATTCATTGCAAAAGTCGCTCTCCAGAGCGCCGAGCCGACACCTCCTCTGCTCAGAGTCCTGGCCACCTGCCGTCAGTCACGTCCAGAAGCCTGGAATGCAGCTCTGCGTCCATTTAGTGGTCCAAGTGCTACCGAGGCCAACAAGACCCGGGTCAATGACATCCTCTCGCAGCTCATGACACTAGACATGGCCAACTCGGGAATTGCTCCTTCCTCAAGCTCTTCTGTAGAGTGGTTGAAGCTCAACTCCACAGAGTCCAGTCAGCGAGCTCTTGCTCTGGAGGCCTTCATGAAAAGTGTCACCGAGTCTGCGTCTGACATCGACTCGTCTGCGATTCAGGAGGCTCTTCTACCACGTCTGGCTGATGACGACGAAAGTGTCCTGAAGACCATCTACTCTTCGAATGGCCAGATCTTGCTCAACACTGTGACCTCGTCCGACGCCCTTCTCAAGCCCATCGAGACGACGACAGCATCCTCGTCCGTATCTTCAGCTGCTCTGCGCGCCCACGTGCAATTCCTGCTTGGACCATTCCTCTCTCGCCATCCCAAAGCTAGCAATCGTGTTCTCCGCAACGTTCTTTGGTCTCGTCTTCTCACAACGAAGAGCAATAAGAAAGAAGCAACGGTACTGCGTCAAGTCATTCAGAAGACCGACAGCGGCAGTCCGCTGGGCGCTCTCTTCCAAAAGATGAATGTCGCAGAAAATGATTCGACTGAGCAACCGGCAAAGGCCAATAAGTCTGTCGTCAGCGCGCTGGCTCGTTGGATCAATGATGCCGAGAGCGACAGTCACTGGGTCTCGCACGTCTCGTTCTTGTTCTTCACCCTCTCACCAGTCGAGTCAAATCCGGCTCAGGCCAGCGCAAAGGCGTTGAGCCTCCTTGTCATCAACGAGATGCTACGTCTCACCTCGGGTAGCTCTAGATTCGAGCCGCTCGTTCGTCGGCTGTTGCAGGCCGCCGAGACTTCGCAATCTCTCCTGACTGCCAGCGCAGACTACTCGCTGCTGGGAAGTGAAGTACACGAAAAGGCCTGGCAGATCCTCCAGGAGCGCCCGAGCAAGGCGCACGGCCTCCTCTTCTGGCAGGCGCTCGTAATTGCTGCTCAACGCCTCGACCTCAAGAGCTCAACTGGCGAAGCGCATCTCCTTGGCATGTCGCCTGAAGATGCCAGCCGTCACGTCGCAATTGCTCGTCAGCTGTACGTGCTAGCCAATCACTACTCATTCGACCCTCAGGCTAGCCGAGAGCTGCTTGCAGCCCTCTTTGCTCAGCTGGGTGAAAATGCTGGAGCGTTTTTGGCCGGGCTCTGCTCGACGGATGAGAAGGATGAGGCTTTGACGATTGCTGCACTCAAGCATCTCAGGGCTTTCCTCTCCGCTTACTCCAATGACAAGACATCTCACATGCGAGACTTCCAGGTTCTACTCCCCACTCTATTGATCGCCTTAGGCCATCCTTCCGCCACTGTCCGTCAAGGAGCTTTGGCATGCCAGCAGCTCATCATGCTTATGGCCAAGGACGGCTCCGCCTCGGCTTCGTCGAGCGAAGTCGAGGTTTGGGGTTATGACGGCATCTACGGCTCCGCTTCGGAGCCGCTGAAGTACCTCGACTGTGCTTCGACATACCGATTCTGCTTCGAATTGTCGAATCATGCCGAGTCTCTCACAAACGATGCCTCATTCGTGTCTTCCCTCCTTGGCGGTCTCCTGACGCCGAGCAAAGGGCAGGACAAGAAAGAAGTCAACTTCAAGCGAAGCGTAACCGCTTACTTGCTGTCACACTTGGACGCCTTGCCATCTTACAAGACGAAGCTATCTCTCCTCCGTGTCCTCTCCAAGGTGCGAGATTTGACGAAGCTGCAGTCATTAATGCGCTCGATTGGCGAGGTCGCGGCATCCGCAGAGACTTCGTCCCCATTGTTCAACGGCCAACTTGATGCAGAGGAGAGCGCAGAGTTCTCTGCGTTGCTCTTCGAGGCTTTCGACAAACGTTCAAAGCCGGTGTTGCAAGACAGTGCGACTGGCGCTTTCTCCCTCTTGATCAAGAGTATCTCGTCTTGGCAAACGCTCGCCTGCAAGAACGCGGCTCAGGCGATTGCGCGAGTCTACCCTGTTCTATCACCAGAGCTACGTAGGGAGGCGGTGGAGTCAATGATCAACGTCCTTGCCAAGCCAGACTTCCGAGCGCCTGCTGAGATCCGACAGGCTCTTGCCTCCGTCGAGATTGACGCCAGCGTCCTTACGCTGCTCTTCGCCCAGCTCCGTTCGAAGATCTCGACACGTTTGCATGGTGCGGCCGAGGGTCCAACAGCCAAGAAGAGTAGAACGACGGATGATGACCAGTCTGTGAATACCAGCGCGGCTGTGTTGGGCGAGCTGCTGGAGTCGAGTTTGTCTCACCCCATGTCGCCCAACGGACCCCTGATTCTGGAGCTTTTCGAGGATCTGCGAGTTGTTGTCGACATCCACTCGTCGAAGATCATCAACGGCGACTACCTCTTGCACCTGTGCATGAGCAATCTGAACAAACTTCTGGAGTCTGCGGTGCCCACCAGTGATATCGTGCAATCAGTGCGAGTCGATACAGTTGTCAATGTCATCAAGGCCTCTAGCAACCCGTCTACATTCCAGCAAGCCCTGCTGTTGCTGTCCATGGTCGCAGGTCTCGCTCCCGAGCTTGTGTTGCACAGCGCGATGCCGATCTTCACTTTTGTCGGATCGACGGTCTTGCAAAGGGACGACGCCTTCAGCTTCACCGTCGTCGAGCGGGTACTGCAGAGTATCCTGCCTCCACTCGTCAAGTCGCTCAAGAGCCGTGGAGATGCCAGCAAGTCTTCATTTGCCTTGCTCAAAGCTTCCCGCCCCTTCTTGTGCATTTTCACTGACTCGGCTACCCACGTACCTCGTCATCGTCGTCAGAACTTTTTCCAGCTACTGGTCGAGGTATTGGGACCAGAGGACTACGCCGCCGCCGTCTCTATGCTCCTCGTGGATCGATCTGCGCACAAGATCGCAAGACAGACAAGAGGCGAGGCTGGATCTAGTTTGCAGTTGCCGCTCGGTGTCTTCGGTGCTCAGACGGGTCCTGTCCAGCTGCAGGCACTCAATGAAATTTGGCAGGAGGTACTGAGGCTCTGGGAATCGAAGGACCATGATGTTGCTGACATGACCGAGCAAGTCTTCCTAGACAGACTCAGCAATATCAACAGCGAGCACTCGGAGCGACAGGTGAATGCCAAGACTCAGGTGCTGGCTCTACTCTGCTTCATCAAGGCCGCCCTTGCTTCTTCGCGAGGGCTCGCCGGCAGGCAGACACTGGCCACTGCAGATGCTGCATACCACTTTTTCGTGGAGAGTGCTTTGACAATGGCACAGTGCCAGGATGACAGTGTCGCGGCTCTGGCGCGTGATACTCTCGAGGGAGTCATGGCCCTCATTCCCATTCCTCTCTTCATGAGCATTGTTGAGCAACTGGTGTCGCAAGCTGATGGCAGACATGCAAGCAGCGGCTTCCACTTGGTTGCTACCCGACTCTCTTCGGCCACAAAAGCAGAAAGGGAGACTGCGGCCAACTCTAGCTGCAAGATCATCGATGCTGCTCGAAGCCAGCTTGGTTCAAGTGACGCAGCTGGCCGCCCTGCCGCCCTTGCAGCCATCGAAATCTTGTCGGCTTCTGCTAAGCCGCAGGAGTTGTCCTCTCTGGGTCAGGTACTGTCCGTCATATTGACATTGGCCAAAGACAGTGCTCTGCCCTCAGGTGAGCGACAGAAGACTTTCTCTATCCTGCGAAGCCTTGCTAGTGCTCTGGGACCGAGACTGATTGCGCACCTTAAGCCTTTGGTCGAGCTGTGTCTCGCTAATGCGGTCAATGCAGCGATGCCGGTTACCATTGTCGTCCGATCTTTCGAGACCTTGGATAATCTGTTCAAGTTTGTGACCACCTTCATGGACTCGCATCTGAGACAAGTTTTGGGTGCGTTCAGCAACAGTCATTTGCGAAGCTCACTGGATGAGCGCTCTATCACACCCACTGGCAAGTCGCTCAACCGCCTCTTGACCACCATTATCAAGCGCATGCCATCCGAGAAGCTCTTCGCTTGCATCTTCGACCTTTGGACTGAAGTGTCGAAGGCCAGCAACGGCGCAGAGTCCTCTCTAGCCGTGCTCACACTGCTCAACAAGGCGCTTAGTCAGACAGACCGAGCTGGCATTTCAGCCAACTACAAAGCTGTCTTCCGCTTTGTCCTGCAAGTGCTCGATCTTCGCCGCCTCACCAAGACGATGGCGCTGCGAGACGTCAATGCCGTTGAGGATGCTACTGTGCGCGTCTTTGTTCGACTGGTTCTCAAGCTCAATGAGACGACGTTCCGACCACTGTTCCTACGCATCTACGATTGGGCAGCGCTTGATCTGGTCGAGGAGAGCGATGGAGAGCTTCCTGTCAACGACGTCGGTCTGGTTGCGCGCCGAATTGCACTCTACAAGATCAGCAACGCCCTCTCGGACCAGCTACGAGGCCTGGTGTCACATTACTACTCGACCCTCCTGGATCTCACAATCGAGCTTCTAGCTGCCTTCCGCGCACGTGAGGTGCAGAATGCTGAGCTGTGGTCTGCCGTGGTGGCCAGCGTAGCCAAGTCTGCCGCACACGACGAGGGCACCTTCTGGAACCCATCGCGTCTCTCCAAGCTTACGCCCGCATTTATCGGCCAGCTCTCCATGCGCAACCCTGAGCTCTTGCAGAACCTCGCGGGCTCGCATGGCAGTACTGGGCACGAGGAGGTGACGCGTGCGCTGGCTCCCGCTGTGGCCCAGCTGGCTAGGACAGTACCAGACGAGGCTTCGCTCAAGGTCCTCAACTCGGCACTCCTGACCCAGTTGCGTATCGACGAAGTGCCCACGCGCGTAGCCGCACTTGACGTTGCCACATCCATGTGGTCCGAGACGACCCTCGCGGCGGTCCTACTCGGACTTGTGCCGGAGACTGTACCGCACATTGCTGAGCTGATGGAGAGTGACGAGACGGAGGTGGTGGATGGGACAAGGGCATTTATTGCTGCTGTGGAGAGGGTATTGGGAGAGCCGCTGGATAGCTATTTGCAGTAGTGGAGTGTCGGGTCTACTGTACGCTTGTTGTCAATGCAGCGGGTCACCTACTTGTCAGACCGTTGAATTCGATGTGAATCATACGGCACCCCTCACGACTTTCAGTACTGCCCCGCAGCATCAAGCCAGTGTCATTGTTCACGAAAACGATTTGAGACAAAGAGCGAATTCCGCCAAAGCTGCAGTGGGCAGTGTACATCAACCAACGACGATACTACTTTGTACCATCAGGAGCATGTCGAGGGGGAGTGATGGACGGAGATCTTCTTGTTCTTGAGGTCTTTGTCACTTTTCGGAAGTCTTGGTGGCCATCTGCAGAGTGGAGAAGGATAGTCAGGTTCGTGAAAGTGAAAGGTCAGTACGTCAACATGCTAGGGCTGGATAGCTGCAGAAGGAGAGAGGCCAAATTCCCACGCCTCATCACTTGCCCTTCCCCACCTACTGCCGCCAAGTGTTTCTTGCCGCTTGATGAACTCCAATTGATTGAATTCAAATTGAGTCCGTCTCCTTGCCTGAAATGTGCGCCCTGTCTTCAATAGAGATACTTGATGTGATCATACGCCTTTTTGAAGGGCTTCTTGAATGCCTTCTTGCGTCGGCTACTCCTCGAGCGACAGCTGTTCCAGTCTCCCATCTGGGTCGTGATGAACATGATGCAGCCCGCGACGCCGCGCTTGCGCTGATAATGGGGGTGGGTGGTAAGACTGTCAGTCATCTCTGCTGTCTAGCAAGCTTTGTCCATCCGGAGAGCAAGTCGATACGCGACCGCTGCCTCGGGAAAGCAAGACTTCCTGGAACTCACCGTTTCGACTTCGTCACGTCGCTCGGTAACTGGCTTCTCTTCGCCGAACCGAAAGCGAGAAAGGGCCTCCGGGAGAGTACGCTTCTCTTCGTCTGTGGTCTGTTCAGTGAAAGACAGGAGGGGCGCCAATTTCTGCATCAGTACGAATTTCTGGACCCTTCTGGCAAAGTATGGGCATGTCACGACGTCATGTTGCCCTTGCACTTCACTGCTCAGGGCCCAATCAGCCCAAGAAACAACATGTACGCCGCACACCCTGCACAAGCTCCTTGCAATACGTCACCGACGGCACGTTCTGCCAGAGCGTGCGGCAGGTGATAAAAGAGGGAGATTGTGCGGGCAGTGCATCAAGAAGCAGGTGCTGGAAAAGACCTTATACTTTTCTCACCTCGACCGCGGTGAGGTCGCGCTTGTTCTTGCCTTTGCATACGTCTGTCACTTCCTTGATCTGTCCGAACAAAACACCATAGGCCACACCGCACATGGTCCACTGGTGAATCTTGTCTCCCACGCCACGCTTCGGGAGCTCCTATCGGCGGAAAGTGAGACATAGGATCAGTGAGTCAGCGTGTCCTGTGATAGCTCACGATGATGCACCCGTCCCAGTGGTGATGTCACCCTCGCCTTTACCGTTGTAGGTACCTTTCCTCCTATCCGTCCAGCCGAGCACAACTGTATAGGCCATGAAGCACGAGACGCCTGTGTGGAATACCTCCCGCTTCCACGCTTCTCTACGACGCATTGCTCCTCGGAAGTACTCACGGACATCTCAGTAGTTTTGTCTCGCTTGCTGATGTGGCCCCCAGCGAGATTCTGCCGGCAAAGAGGAGAATGACTTGGGTGTCAGTAAAGGGGTACATTGCAATAGCCCGCACAACTACGCTCCAGCATCCGTGATTGTAGTCACCTGTATTACGGTGACATCCCGCTTGCTATTCTTGCACCCCTCTTTGTAGATGGGTACCGTGCCCAAAGCGAGTCCATAGGCCAGGAAGCAATTGGCGCCCTTGTTCAGATAGTCGATGAAAGAGCGCCTCTTTGTGAGAGTCTGCTGCGACTCAGCCTTGACGACGTCTCGCTCTTGGTAGGATCTCTGAGCCTAGTGGCCAAGATAGACGGGAGGCAGGCCAGCTCAAGATCAAGTCGAGCTTCCTTTCAGCATCAATGGACTCACCGATCGATAGAGCTCGTTATCCCGCTTGTCCCAGGGCTTGTTGTATACACACTGGTCGCGGTATGGCTTAAACAAGAACAGAGTCGAGATTGCTTGGATGCACTTGGCGGTCCTCTCAAATCCATCTCGGACCTTCCCGCGCTTTTGCCACATCTGATCGTCAATGGCACTCACCTTTTCTGTCTCTGTACCTACATCTCGCTCATCGACACTTTCAGCGCGTCGGCCGAATTCACTGGTCATCTGGGGCTCAATCTCGGTGTCAGTGGACCCTGACTGCGAGAGGCCACAAGGCTCGGTCTGCCCATTCATTGAGCGTACTCACATTGTCCTCGGCCACGACAGCTCTTGCACTAACCAAGTCAGCATCACCTTGAGATAGAGCCAACAAGTCCCGCTTCGTGCTGACCTCGGTAATCTTGAGCTTCGTAGCCTTCTTGGCGTGCTTTGAGCACCCAGCATCATTACCCAAGCTCATCGTCATGATCCAGGTGAAGCAAGCCAAATTCGAGTAGCCACGCTTCAACATCGGTACGAGTCCAGTTTCTTCTTGCTGCTCTACCAGAGCTCGCTCCTCTGGTTCTGGCTCTGGCTCTGGCACGTCTCGCTTGGTGCTCACCTCGGAGACTTTGAGCTTGGTGGCCTTCTTGGGATTCTTTGAGCACCCGTCATCATTGCCCCAGCTGAGAGTCATGATAGCAGTGAAGCACTGGAGCTTCGAGAAGGCCCTCCCCACCAGAGCGGCGTTTTCTGAGCGCGCAACATCCCGCAAGGCCAGGCTCTCTTTGTCCGCGACAAGGTCTCGGCCGACTTGTACGTATCTGGTAGGCTCAGAGTTGATGCTTCGTGCAATAGGAGGTACGACGATCCAATGCTGGCCATCATGCGCGAGTGCAAATCTGGCCTCGATAGTAGCCCCATCCGCTTGGAAGGAACGCACAGCGGCGGGCTCGTAGAATTCGACTGCGCTTTGCGTCACGTCTCGAGGGGAGTACTTATCGACCGAATCATTGACGCCCGGTTGGGGAGGACCAGCGTTCGTAGCGGAGCCTTCGCTACCTCGGACTGTGCCGAGATCGGCCAAGGGCATTGCGACTGCGAGCTGCAGCATGGTGACCCATGCCACCAGGAGGGCTTTAGTCGTGGGTTGCATCGTAAGCTCTGCTGACTGAGTGCTGATGGAGAGGAATGGGAGTGGGAGGAGCTAATGGAGGTGAGTTGTTAACGGCTTCGCCTAATTATCAGCTGGTGTGCTTCGCGTCGTGTCTGCTGTTGCAGTCCGGCTTTGGGTATACGATGAGGTTGCGTCGACTCCACAAGTAAGAACCAGTCTTCTGGAGCGAAAGGAGTCTTGAAAGTCCGCCAACGTACCTGAGGGGTTGGGGTGAAGAAGAGATTGTGAGCACTGCTGAAGAGACAACAGGGAGGCTCGTGGGTGGCAAAGGACCGGGTCTTATACCTCTCCCATGGATCTTGCTTGGAGGTCTTCAAGCAATGCTTGCACAAACGCTACGTTGCCAGCAGTATGCCGATAGGGCAGGTTTCGTCTCACACTCACTTTCGAGCAAAGCCGAAGCGTTGAATTGCGAAAGGCAGCGAAATGTCTGTGATCGGAGTCGGACTCTGGCTGTTGACAGGTGATGCGAGAGTGCTGTCACTTTCCAAGACCTTGCGCTCGCAACCCGCCACTCTCCTTGCTTCTACACGATCGTGTTTGCCCGTGGGCTTTTTGCTCCCTGGCTCAGTAATCAGATGTCACTCCAGCGCCACGGCCACGGACCAAGGCTCCCGGTTTGTCCCGTACGCTGCTTTGCCCCGACACACGGACGCGTGTCGTGTGACAGCAATGCGAACGCAAGCAGTGACATGTGCGCCGGATTGCCTTTCCCAACAATACTTTGCAGCAAAGCAACGCGTATCTCAGACAGTGACTGACAGCCCCGGATTCAACGGGGGGATCTTCAGCCAGTCAGCCCCGCAACGTCAGGTCGAGTAGCAAAGAGGATGCCGAGCACTGTTCCCATGCTGCTGGCCATCCAACATAACTTCGGCAATGTGGCCCGCAGACGGGCGTGGATTGCCATCGCGCATTATCGAAGAAGGGCACAAGCAAGGGTCCATGGCTGGACAAAAGAGCAATCTTCCCTCGCTGGCTATGTACAAGTTGGAGATTGCCTAAGACGCACTTTCTGCCCGAGCTCGCTGGCTCGAACGGTCGTCATGAGTTGAGATTGCCGGTCACACCAGGACTGACCTTCTCCAGGATCTCGCTCAGCTCCTCCCACGCCCTCCTCCCCACCAATGTGCCCTCATCACTGCGTACCCAGGAGCCAAGATGTTCATCACCAACCAGTCCATCATACATGTACTTTCCATGACTTTCCCTGCCCGCAGCAGCAGAAGCCACCAGTGTGCGACTGCCCACTTCTGTAGTCCGGGCGGCAGCAATGATAAAGAATGCCGCTTTCGCCAATTTCAAAATCACACCGTCATCGCCTTCCTGATAACTCAGTCCTGAGTAGCACAGCCCTGGATTTAGGACATTGAGTATGACGGGTGACTCGCTGAGGGAAGGGGCGAGTTCGCGGACAATGAGGACCTCCATGAGCTTGCTGACCATGTACCGGTTCAGGCTAAGCTTCTCCGAGTCGAGGGTAGGGAAGATGTCCGTCTTTGGAAAAGAGGCCGGATTGACCCAGGCGTGTAGCTCGCTAGAGACAATGGTCAAGCGCGGCTCGATTTTGAAGCGTTTGGCTGACTCTTTGAGCTTTGGAAGGAGAAGGAGAGCGAGGAGGAAAGTGCTGATGACATTGACGGTGATGGTGCGCTCGTGCCCCTCGGCAGTCGAGTAGCCGGAGGTCTGCATCCCAGCATTCGCCAGTAGGACGTCGAGGCGCTCCAACGAGGAAGTGCGCTCGGCAAAGGCCTTGACCGAGTCATACGATGAGAGATCCAGCTGCCACACTTCTATCGCGGCTTCCTCCCTGCCGGTGGTCTTGAGGATATCTTCACGAGCTTCTTGACCCTTCTTAGAATTGCGCGCAGCTATGATGACTTTGCTCGCCCCGAGCCGAGCGATGTGACGTGCAGCCTCTTTGCCTAGCCCGTTGTTGCCTCCGGTGACGATGACAGTCTGGCCGCTGAAGGATTGAACAGGAGAGGCAGGCGTCACGAAGCGCTGCGAGTAGACAAAGTCGCCAAAAGCCCTTAAAAAAGGGGCAACGAAGCTGGTCATTGTAGACTGACCGTCAAATGGGCTTCTTGTGTGAGGAGGACCAGTGGGGGACGGTGCGTTAGCGGGTATGCTGGTGCTTCTTATGTATCGGTCAGCATTGTGCCTCGCGGTGAGCTCAGCCGTGATGCATGCTGAGTCGGTACAGGACCATGTAAGACTCAGCTTCTACTGACCTTCGATACGACTGTTTCTTCGTCGATCTCACCTATTCTCTTCGCTCAGCTATGAGTCTGCTCAGTTGGTCAGCTTAACATTCCTGCCTATGTCCGTCGGTACGCTTAAGTAAGACCAAGGGCATCGACGCCGGGCGTAACGCGTGTGGAGGCCCATGCGTGGAAGCAAAGACACACGCACGTGCCGCTTTCCGTCGCAGCGGACATTCAACTAAGTCCTTCGACTAGAAGATGCACCACTCACTCCACCCTTTGAGCGTGGTAGCAATCGAGCGCAGTGCTTACCCTTCCAGTCGCATCCTCATCCCCTCGTTACCCGGCCAATCGACGACGACGACGACGATGAGCGAAGCCGTGCAGTCCGCTCCCAGCGCCGCGTCGTCCACAACGGGGGAAGCTGGCGCCTCAGTACCACCTTCCTCTTCCAATGCTACCTCGATTGCAGACGAGACCTTCTCCACCGCTGCGACTGTAGGTAGCGAAGACCCTCGCCCCCATCCCGCATCCGACAATTCTACTGGCTCTGTAACCAGCTCATGTGTGAAGTCGCAAGATTCCACGACCGAAGGGACGACGGCAAGCAGCGATGCCGCTTCCTCACCAGCACAGGACAGGGTCGCCCACCAGATTGGGATTGCCTTGAAGCTCAAGGAGGAAGGAAATGCTCTCTTTGCGAAGGGGGACAGATTGGGAGCAATGACCAAGTGGCATCACGTGAGTTGAAATCTCGGTTCGTACGACTCTCGTGGGCGATAAAGGTGAGCTTACATCCGTCTCTCCTCGCCCATCACCCCCTCGTCAGGCTCTCCTCAATTCAGCTGGCATCAACTCCCTCGCAACGCAATACGGTAGCAAGTCGACCGAAGAGCAGAACAAGAATGCACAGTCTATCACAATGGCTGTACAGAACAATCTCGCCAGTGAGTAGGTAAATCTTGTACTCGCAGGCAAAGGCTGATGGCTGCTGACTATTGACCTGCGACGCTCTCATCACACTGCCGCACAGGCTGCTACCTTTCAGACGTGAGTATCCTGCATTCCATTAAATCACTGACCTCTCGTACAGCTACTGACCTTTCGGGCGAAACTCTCTCACAACACTCCTGCCCTCAGAAAAAGTACGAAAAAGTCATCTACGCCGCGGGCAAAGTCCTGGCCCTAGACGAGAAGAACGTAAAAGCCCTCTACCGTCGCGCCAAAGCCTACAAGGAGCTTGGTGATCAGAAGAAGGCGGCAAAGGATTTGGACAAGGCGATGGAACTTGCTCCCCAAGGTATGTGGCGTTGGGACGCTCTGTGTGGCTGGAAGTGGTAGAGTAGAGCTTGACCCGGATGCCCCACTCCCCCTCTCCTGCATCCCTACTCAACAGACTCCAGCATCCGAGCTCTAGCAAACGAGCTCGTCAAGCTAGAAGAAGCCAAGCTGGCTAAGCAGAAGGCGCAGATGCAGGGATTTCTCAAGGGCAAATCTTTCGGCGGCGGCGAGGACGACGGTGCGAATGGAGCCTCGAACAGCGCCTCGAATGACGCTGCTAAAGTCGAGGAGAAGATACAGGAGGTCAGCACTGCAGGAGAAAAGGCGGGAGAGTGAGCGGGGACAGAAGGAGAGGTAGAAGAGAAGAAACGTAGGAGCTACCTGACGGGGAGGTGCGGTCTGCATTTCCCCCTTTGAGTGCGCGGTGGAAGACGATGAATCATACCCCTCCTCCTCGTTGCGAAAATGAGAGCTTAGTCCTGAGTCATGCAATGAAGAAGATATCACAGTACAGCGAGTGAGACAGAGACGAGAGAGGGAGACAGCAACGGACTGTGATGGATATCGATTGGATCTGGAGGTGGGTGGATCTGGAGAGCAGGACCGCTGACAAACATCTAGTGAGGGCCGGTAGGATCGAGTGGTGACGTGACGCGAGATGGCCAAGCAGGGACCTCTTCTTCTTCCTCCTCCTCTTTCGCTTCCCTCAGTGGGCGTGGAATTTCACACTGCACTGCACTGCACCTCACCTCACCCACTCCTCCCAGCAATCGGCCTCCCGAGCTGGGTCCTATTTCCTCCCCCTCCCCCAGCTCCACCTGCAGCTCCAGCTCCAGCTCCAGCTCCAGCCGGCAAACTCGACCTGGACTCCTCCAACTCTGTAGCTGCACTCCCACTTGCACCACCACCCGTAGTAGTCCCCACATTGACCGCTCCTGTGCCACTCCTCTCTGGTGCTCCTCCCCCCCTAGGCAGTACTCCATCTTTCAACTGCTGCCAGTTCTCTGGCCTCATACGCAGCCAGCGCATTCTCGGTCCACTCTTTGCAAGCTCAGAGACGCGGAAGCCGTAGATGCGAGGGGTGTAGAGACGGGCAGAGGGCTCTTTCTGACCTGTGAGGGAGGCGTTGAGTGCTGAGGATTGGAGAGAAGAAGAGGTCGATGATGGACCGTAATTGTTTGCAGCAGAAGAAGAAGAGGATGAGGGCTTGTCGACCGAGGTGGACGTCTCGCCGAGGGCGCTGCTGCTGCTGCTGCCCATTTGAAGGTCAACGTCGTTATTGCTCGCGGCTTCGGTGCCCTGGACCTGCTCCGTCTCTCCACCTCTGGCGCTCGTGCTCCACAAGTTGAGCGAATTGGCGTTGGATCCAGGCGGGGCGATGATGCTGGGAGCGATTTCTCTGTAGCATTGGAAGAGGAGGTGAGGAAACGTTGTTCCGAAAAAGGCGCCGTCTACGCCGTGGAAGCGTGAGGAGGGGGGAGCGTAGCAGTCGATGCAATTGGCACAGAAGAGCTTGACAGTATCGAGACCTGGCAGGTCGGATCTTCCACAGGGCAGCACTGGGTGAGAGTGGCAGAAGACACGAGGACAGTAGCCAAAGTGGCCTGCATCGTATTTCTCCACCTGTGAAACGGGGATGTAAAGATATTTCTGTATAAGTACCTAGAGCCCTTATACGGTCTTGCTCAAGTCTCAACACTGTCTACTCACCATCTGCTGCAGTCCCTGCTTTGTCAAGATGTACCTCTGGTGAATCAGTCCATACAGTAGCTCCGCGCTGCTCTCTACGATGCTAACGTCCGGAATCTTCAGACTATCCTCCTGAGGCTCTACATCCAGAATCATCTCCAATGCCTCCTTGTAGAAGGGCACGAGAGCATTGAGACCTGTCAGGTTGAAGTCGTCTTCGATGAAGTCTTCCGAGACTTCTGCAAAGTATTCATGGCCGGGCAGGGAGCAGAACCAGGAGATCCAGGTTAGAGACTCTGTGCCAGAGTCCGAGATCGAGTCCGACTCTATAGACGGCAAGAGAGAAAGGTCAAAGGTGGCTCAGGTGGCTCAAGCTGACATCACTTTGAATCCTCGCATTACTCACCATAGATGTCTTCACCATGCATCTCTCCCTCACCATCATCAAACTCCTCTTCCTCTTCCTCTTCATCTTCATCCTGCTCTTCTCCCTCTACCGCCCTCCTCAGGTTCTGTAGATGAGCCATATCATCTTCCTCTTGATCATCAATCTGCTGCTCCTCGCCTGACTGGATTCCCAAGTCTGGATCATGACCTGCTTCTCGGGCTTGTTGCTCTAGCCTCTCCTGCTGCTCAGCTGCCCTTATCTTCTTGACAAGGTCCGAGGCGGCGAGGGGTGTTGTGCTATTAGGGGATGCTAGGGAGGGATCTTGTCTTGCGGCCGAGGAAGGTGGTGAGGAGGGCATGATGAAAGAGAGGGAGGGGGTGACGAGTCGCGGGGTATCTTGTTGAGGTATGGAGCAGACTGGCGTCTGGAGATGCAGGAAGTAGTCGTCGTGTGTCTGCTGGCCTCAGGAGTGAAAGTCGCAGGCGTTGGCTGTGGCTTGTCTGACCTGGATGATGACGCTGACTCTGATGATGCTGCAAGTGCTGAGGGTCGAGTAGCAAGTGTAGGATGGCGAGCAAGAAGACCAGTACGATGAGATCCGCGATGGGAAGGACGCATCGACTTGCAGGGCGCACCACCACACGCACGCACACACACCTCGGCGCAAAAGTTCAATCAAAGCCAGAAGCCCCGCTCGGGCCGGAACAGAGGCACACAGGCGCACAGGCACGGGCAACCACTCACCCCTACCGGCAGCATACGAAGATCCGCTCCCCACCTCTCCACACCACCACACCATACCTCTACAGACATGGCAGCCAGAACACCTCGAGCAGCTCGCAAAGCAATACGGCAGTCCATCGGCCTCGCTACTGCCGGACCTTCACGCATAGCGCCCACCCCAAAAGTAACAGCATACAACCCACCCCAGAGCGGCCCTTCTTCTCTCTGTCACAGGTCCTTCTCCACAGCTACCCCCTCCCGCAATGCAAGCACCGCTGCAGGCCAGTCGCCCCCCAGCAGTCTGCCTGACCAAGGCTCTGACAAGCTTCGCAAGACACTGGCAGACCTCATTGCCGACTCGATCAAGGTGAGAAGCTCTGCAAGGTCCCCCTCACAGGTGCAATTCTGACCCGGGGTGCCCGCTTCCTTCTGATCCGCACATCAGGCATCAGGACCCATCTCCGTAGCCACATTTATGCGCACAGCCCTCCTCGACCCTTCCCAAGGCTACTATGCTTCTGCAAATGCAGACGACCAGGGAAGAGATGTACTGGGTGCAAGGGGAGACTTTATTACTTCTCCCGAGATCAGTCAGGTATTCGGTGAGCTACTGGCAGTCTACTTTGTCGCCAGGTGGCAGGCAGTGGGAAGTCCAGAGCAGATGAGATTGGTCGAGTTTGGACCGGGAAAGGGAACATTGCTTGCTGATATGATTCGGGTGAGTCGGAGGAGAGAACAAGTGCTTCGCAGTTAAAGCCACAGGCTGACATACCCTCCCCTCATTTATAGACGTTCGCCCGATTCCCGATCCTGAATTCCCTCAAGACGATTCATCTGGTGGAAACTTCAGAAGGTCTGATGCGATTGCAGCTCAGAGCTATAGAGGAGGCTCTCAAGGCAGCAGGCAAGAAGATTGCCATGCCTCCATCAGATCCTGCCGTGCCTGCGCCTCCCCTCAAGGACAACGAAGTCTCCGTCGAGTATTTTCCCTTGGTAGATGCTGTACCCGTCAAGCCCGACCAATGGACTGCCCTCGTCGGTCACGAGTTCTTCGATGCTCTTCCTATCCACATCTTCGAGAAGACGATCAAGGGCTTCAGGGAAGTCCTGGTGGACGTCAAGCGCGAGACTGTGTATCGGAGTGCCTCCAGCAATTCGCCAGAGACCACGCAGCAGGCTGGTCAATCGGGCGTTACTACCATCAAAGTCTCCGACCTGCGTCGGAACAAGACCACTTCCTCATCACCCGGCTCCGCCTCTGGCACTGCAACTAGCGCTGGTCCTCCAGAATTTCAGTATGTCCTCTCACCTACTGAGACACCCTGGACGAAGCTTCTTGCCTCGTCCAACCCGCGCTTCAAGTCTCTACAGCCTGGACAGAGGGTGGAAATCTCACCAGAGAGCTGGGCCACGGCTCGCAAGATTGGGGAGCTCGTGGCAGGGAAGAAGGCCAAGGTTCCAGAGGAGTCGAGGAAGCTGATGGGGCGCAAGGCAGAAGAGGAGCGCGAGGAGGCAGACGCTGGTGAAAGCTTGGGAGGCGCGGGGCTGATTGTGGACTATGGAGATGAGAAGGCCTTCGGTGGCTCGTTCAGAGTGAGTGTTCGAACGGCAGACATGAAACAGAGACGCCACTTGCTGACATCCGATCGTCTGTCATTGGTGCCCCCGCTGCGCTGCTCTACTCAGGCCTTCAAGTCCCACGCAGTCGTCTCACCTCTTCAAGCCCCCGGCCAAGCAGACTTGACAGCCAACGTGGACTTTGCCTATCTCAAGAATGCTCTCGCAACCACTACTGCCCGCTCGCTGGGTCCCATGTTCCAGTCTCACTTTCTAGCCACACTAGGTCTCGCACCTAGGGTCGAGGCACTAGTAAAGGCAGCTGGCGACAGCGGGAGCGGTACTGGAAGCGGGCGAGCGAAAGAGATTGAGTCGAGTGCCAAGAGGCTGGTAGATCCGACGGGGATGGGAGCGCAATACAAGGTGCTCGGAATTGAGGGCGGTGCAGGGCAGGAGGTTTGGCCGTTTGACTTTGAAGAGCAGCTGAGAGCTTCTGCGAAGCCGTATAAGAAGGAAGAGGAGAAGTAGACTGGTTATTGCATTGTATTCTACCGCCTCTTCGCCATCAATAGACCCTGCCTGGGATCTGGATATCCCACCATGACTGACTGACTGACTGAGGCCCCCCTCTGGGCTCGACGAGTTGCGAATCCAAATCTTGCGAATCTACGCCCTTTCCGTCTGGCGGAGTCCCGACACAGTCGGTGCGCGCTCGCTCGGTCTCAGCCCCTTCCGCCTGGCTGGGTCGTGTGTGGAAATATTTTTGAAGTTGAAGAACTTCCTGCAAGGCATCACCTTCCGATTGAGCATCTCCGTACTCGTACCAGTCGCCTTCTCCTCTACCCTACAAAAGCATCTCTCCTCTCTCTCATTGTGGGAAAGGGAAGACGGCTCAGCTTTCTCCTATCTTTTGAGAGCGCAGCTGGCTCTGAGTCTCCTATTTCTTGCTGGCTCGGACCGCTGCGACTTCAGCAGCGTCTCCCTCCGCCACTAGGGCTCTTCCGCCGTTCCTCTACAATCCTTCCTTTCTAGACAGGGGCTCTTCAGCAGACGGCTACTTTAGCATAGCAGCTAACAGATATGCCCGACGCCTTCTTCCAGAAGAAGCGCAAGCGCTCTACCTCCTCCACAGGCGGAGGCGAGCGATCGCGAGCTAGCGGATCTTCCTCTTCTACAGGCCGGGGCGGTTCTTCCAGCCGCGGCAGGGGAAGAGGAGATAGTAATGGCAGTGGTTCCCGCTCTGGTGCCGGTGCATCGGGAACTTCTCGTCGCAGTCGAGAGGAAGACGATGATGAGGATGACTTCGATGTGGATACGGCGGATACGAGACATCGGTATGATGAGGATGTGGAGAGTGAAGAGGAGAGGGACGCTGAGGAGACGCCTGCCGAGGCGAGGGCGAGGATGGCCAAGATGTATTTGGAGGGACTGAGGGGCAATAGTCTTGGTGAGTTGTACTTCATGTCTGATTCGGATGCTCGAGGGTTGCAGCTTACGCTCTGCTCACCGCCCACATTTCTACAGATCCCGAAGACGCAGATGCTGCTCTGGCCGATCAAGAGAACATTGCTTCGCGTCTACAGAAGGACCTCTCGGAGCACTCAGGCCGCCTGCACATCTTCATTGCATCACGTATAGCAGTCCCTCCTTCGGACGGTTCCTCGAACCTCTTCCTGTCAGGCGGGCATCGAGGACCCCTCACTGCAGCAGTGGCCAGTCAGAATGGTCAATACATCTACACAGCAGGAAAGGATGGGAACCTCTTTCGCTGGAGGATGAGGGATGGCAGAATTGACTTGCTGATGCCTAGGCGGCGGCGAGCCATTGGCAAGAGTAGCGGCAAGGGAAAGGAAAAGGTGGATACAGCCACGATTGAGGAGATGGTGGAGGAGGAGGAGGAAGCTGACGAGCCCGCTGCTGCAGCGCAAGTCGATGCTGAGATGCACGAGCGACCTTCCTCCTCGACACCGAGATCGAAGTCTAGTGGAGCTAGCCGGCGGCAGGCAAGAAGGGCTGGCGCTGCCCTCAACGGGAAGCTCAAGTCATCGAATTTCCCTGCAGCAGCATCTTCGACGGCCACAGGAGGTTTCCATGAGGTGGTGGAGCTAGGACCGGAAGAAGGCCATACGGACGTTCTCTGGTCTCTTGCAGTCAGCAGCGACGGCAAAATTGTGGTTTCCGGAGGAGCCGATCGTCGCATTGGCGTGTGGTCTATCACATCGCCTTCCTCGTCTGAGGACGACCACGCCAACGCCTCGTCGGGACCTTCAGCAAAGTGGGTCAAGGCACTTTACGGCCACAAGGACTCCATCACTGGGCTCAAGTTCCGCATTGGTACCCACGAGCTCTATTCTGCTTCCCTAGACCGAACAATCAAGCTCTTCGACGTCGATCAGCTGTCCTACATCGAGACGCTCTTCGGTCATCAGGAATCTATCACCTCCCTCGATGCTCTCAGAGGCGAATTTGCCTTGACTTCGGGAGGAAGAGATCGGACTGCCCGTTGGTGGAAAGTGAGAGAGGAGTCGCAGTTGGTCTTCCGCGGAGGAGCCAAGAGCAAGATGAGGGACGCAGTGGAAGGAGGAGATCTTCTTGGCGGCGGAGAGGGCGAAGACGGACGCAAGGTCCGCGGTGACAGGGGCGGGACTATCGTCGAGGGAAGTCTGGAATGCGTCGCCATGATCGACGAGGGACATTTCTTGACAGGTGGAGACAGTGGAGCCATCTCCCTCTGGTCGCTCGGAAAGAAGAAGCCCAACTTTAGCAGAGCTGCCACGCACGGATTCGAGTCCACTCCACGTTCCTCGCACACCGCCGAGCTGGTGCAGCCCACCTCGTCATCCTCGGACGACATCTTGACGCCTAGGTGGATCACCTCTCTGGCCGTTCTCCCTTACTCGGACCTCTTTGCCTCCGGATCTTGGGACGGGTCCATCCGCCTTTGGCAGCTGGACTTCCGGTTGCGCTCCTTCAAACCCCTGGGAGAAGTCAAGGTGTGTGGCTTTGTCAACAGTATTCAGATCTTCCAACCGCCGAGGTCTACTCTGCTCGAGGGCAAGCAGGTGCTCAACAAGGAGGAGTGGAAGTGGAGAGCGGGTGCCAAGGGAGCTTATCGACCTCGTTCGGGTGGGGCAGAGGCTCAAGGATCGGTCGAGAGCGACGCTGCGGAGAAGAAGGAGGTCAACGGGATCACCGCCCCCGCAATCAACGGCAGCGGCAAGACATCGTCCTCCACAGGTGCGAGGAAGGAGCTAGTGCCCCCCATCTTGGTCGCTGCGATTGGGGTTGAGCCCCGTACTGGCAGATGGACGAAGTTGAAGGGAAGGCAGTCAGCGGTCAATGGTGCAGTAGTGGTTCCCTTGTCGTTCAAGCCAGTGACTGTCAGGCGGACAGAGGAAGAAGCGGTCGTTTGAGGACAGAAGAGGTGATGAGGGACATCCCTCAACATAGCATCACAATTACAATCACCATCATCATCCTCAATCAACTAACACTGAGCAATCAAGACCCGCCCACCTCGTGTCCCTGTTTAGCGATTTGAGCCCCACCTTGACTCCCCACCCCGGGTAAAGCAGCATGCCATGATCGCCCCCTCCTTGAGATGCGCGCCTCGGGCTTTCTTCCCGCTTCCCCGCGCCGGCCCGCGGGTGGGCTGACTCGAGCCGCGTGTGGCTCTGGCTGAAGCGGGCGGGTGATGGTCTGTCTGTCTGTCCGTCCGTCCGTCGGTTCATCTCCTTCTTCTAATCCTTTGCCTTTCTTCTCGACTTTCTTACTTACTGGGGTACGCACCTTTTGAGCATTTACTCTTCTGCTACTACGGAAGACTTCCTCTCAGGGCATCGGGGCCATCTTCTCCTCACGCCTCTCCTTGCATCGGACAGCCCGCGTCCGGCTGCTTGCTTCATCGCCGCTCTTCCCTGCCTCAGAGGCTACCTCTTGCCGCTTGTCCTTTGCGGCCGCAAACTCCTTGCAAGATTGCCGGCGTGCCTGGGCGAACTCTTTGCCAGTAGCTAGCAGATACTGAGCCTGCGCTGTAGCCCCGACATACAGATCTGCGGAGCGCCCTGATCTGAATTGATCTGCAGAAGACTCAGCCAGTCAGTCATTCGGTCGGTCGGTCGGTCAATCGCTCAGGGCTATAAAGACCAAAGGGGCAGCCTCTCGTCCTTGCCCATCCCTTTCTACCCTCTCACACCACGCCCCAGGCCACACTCATGGCTCCGGCATTGGACCTCTCTTCCTCCTCCTCCACTGCCTCTATCCGTACTGCCCTCGATGAGGGAATTCGCCAGGAGCAGGATCAATCAGAAGAGGCGGCATGTCCTTGCTTGAACGTGAGGGTAAAATATCATGCGGGAAGTGAGGAAGGAGGAAAAGTCCGCTTGGCAGAGGAAGATGGAGTTGTTGTCGTGAGTCTGAACGGTACCTGCCGTTATGTGGCGATTCAACGTACATATATACTGACAAGATGCCTTGCAATCTGCAAACCCTCTTCTCAGGCACTCCCCTCCCTAGTCGGCAAGGAGCTGGCCCAGGTCAGCGCTCTCGGAGCCTCATCCCTACCTCGTACAGCGCTGAGATGCCTACACTGCTCCACCTCCGTCTATGCCGTCGAGAAGGCACTCTCTGCTGGACCTACGCGATCTGTTGGCTTCAGATCTGCTAGCGGCAGCGGCAATGCTCCCTCTGTCACCTCAAGTCCATCTGCAGAGCTAAGGAAAGCCACTCCATCGACAAAAGACGTCCTCGTGAGACCGCAAGATGGCTTCATCTACCTTCTCCCGGGCTCGATTGGGGCGGATGAAATCAGAGAGGCTGAAGTCGATGATGCTTTCTCGCCCATCTACGGTGTTTCTGTCTCTTTGGTCTCGCCTCCTGGATCATCAGCGATGCTTTCAGAGAGCTCATCTTCGGGTAGGCCATCTTTTGCAAAGGCTCAGCATCGTCAGTCATCCTACGGTCAATATACGTCTGCAAGTCAGTACGGACTCCAGGGTCTCCCAAACCACATTGTCATTTCTCCCAGTGCCTCTCCTCGCGCCCGTTCGCCGTCGAACAGCATGTCTGCCAGTGTCAGTGGTGGCTGGATACCACCTACGGGGTCTTCCTCATCGAGCAGTCCTACACCTTCGCCTCTCGCGACACAACTAGACACAGCTGCTCTGGACAGTCTGCGACAGTGGCGGACGGCTGCTGAGCAGGAGATCGTCCAGATGGTTCGAGCCAAGAGACGGGAGTTCGATGATTTGATCAAGCGCGCTAAAGTAGAAGGAGAGGCTATGCTGGAGAGAGTCAAGACCGCCCCTGCCCCCTCACCAGCCACTGCTCTGATGACAGCTCCTTCATCTGTAGAGACGAGGGGTAGAAGTAACGGGCGAAGCAAGGACGGTCGATCTCGGGATTCTTCGCTTGCAGCTCCTGAGAGGAGCGCTGATGACCGGTCTTCGTCTGAGGCTGCTATTGCCGCTAACAAGGCGTCCCAAGAAGCATCCCGCGAAGCCTCGCGAGAGCCCTCTCGAGAGGCATCGCCTACACTCTCTGACGAAGCCTTCCAAAGAAGGCCAACTCAGCTTTCCTCTCGTCACGCGATCTTCAACAATGGTGGTGCTGGCGCACACATTTCGTCGTCACTCTCCGCCCTCAGCGCGTCTTTCGCCATGCGGGGTAGGGAAGCGCCAAGCGCCATGGATGACTGGGCTCAGAAGCGCAGGCTGAAAGAGCGCTACCCCGAGGGCGATCACTCTGTCATGACCTCGGCGGCTACTTCGGCAGCAAACTCTTACAGCGACCAGGGTCATCTGGCAACTCGGGAAGAGGTCGAAGAGGAGGAAAGGAGAGGCAGAGGGAGAGAGCGTGGACCTCGTACGGACAGTCCTGCAAAGGCTGGCTCAACTGCAGAGGCCGGATTGGGCTCGACGCCTGTGCAGAACATCGGATCTGCAATGGTCGCCCCTGGTACTGTCTCTCGACCTACAATGGCTCCTTCGTCACTGAGCGTCAAGCACTTTACGAAGCGACCAGCCGTCATCTCTGTCGATACTGGCGCATCGGCAGATGCAGACACGCCTCGTCCTGGTGGTCCCCTGGGAGGTCTCGCTTCCCCTTCTGCGGACATCCATCTCAGACCTCGCAATCCTCCCCCTCGCGGTGCAGAGGCACTGAAGCCTGCCACTCGAAAGAGCAGGGAGGCTCAGCCGAAGGGTGGAAGCAAGGAGAGGGCGGAACGTAAAGCGGGTGCTGGCGCGGGAGAGAAGAAGGTGGCCTTTGCTGAGACGACTGATCAGGCGGCGAGTAGAAATTACTCTGACAGTGAAGAAGAAGAAGAGAAGGAGCTCGTTGACGAAAGAGGTACGGCTGTCTTTGACATCGATGAAGAGCTTGATGGAGAGGATGAAGCCAAGACCAAGGAGGGATCGCGTACCGATGCCGTCAAGGGCGCTGCTGAAACTCTGCTGGAACAGGAGAGTCAGAGCGAGTCCACAATGTTGGACGGACCGGAAGAAGGCACAGACCTCGACGGAAGTGATGAGGATGGCAGGAGTGACTTGGACGAAGACGATCTGGGCGGCATGAGAGCTAGCGTCGGTGCTCGTCAAGCTGGATCTTTCGCAGCTCTGGCAGAATTTGGTCGAACGCGAGGAAGAGGCCGCAGCTCAGCCTCAGGCGCTTCACACGCAGCTGCATTCGATCCAGCAAGTATCCGCTTGGACGGTAGGGTCGTGGTTCCCGGCGATAGCTCACCCAAGAAACGTTCCGACAGCCGCAGTCGAGAAGAATCACACGATGTACCCCTGGTCCTTCCATCAAGCGACTACGATGGCAACAGCACCAGCGATAAACGGCGTGGCTCTGAATGGGACCGAAGGAAGACGGCCATCGGTTACAGGTCTACCATTGGAGATGCCGAGTTGCGCTTGAGCGGACTGCTTGCTCCCCACGCTCCGTCACATCGACGCTTGTGGATCAAGGAACGCAGGAAGAACGATGAGAAGTACATCTCTGCGACCGACGAACTTGAGGAGAAGGGCGCAAGCGGGAGCAGCAGTGATGGGGAGGACAAGGACAAGCAGTGGTTTGCCTGGCAACAGCGAGCCAAGCAGATCGAAGATGAGGCTGCGAAGCGCCACCGAGACCTCGTCAGCAACACGGGTGCTGCAGGCCTCTTGGCCTCTTCGATGCCTGCCGATCGGGGATCTGGCGCGGTAGGTAGCGTGGGCATTCCAATGTCTCGTCAGGGCACTAGTGGGACGACAGGCGCTGGTTCCACGACTGTCTACGATGCTACATCTGGGTTCGATCGAGAGCCAAAGACTTCGCTACCCTATCAGGAGCGCCAGATGGTGCCCTCACTGCGCAAAGCTACCAGACTTCATCCAAGCACCTCGGGAGCTCTGCTATCTCGTCGATCGAGTCAGCTGCCCACAATTCCAGACGCCGAGGTGGGCGAGAGTTCCACTCGGCCCGCGGCCACTTTCCAGCCTAGCCGGCCTCTTCCTACCTCGAGAGTCAGTGGGACGGGCTCAAGAGTGGCCTCTCCCGAATCTACAAGCCGGGGTACTGGCAGTGCTGCTGGTGCCTTGCCGGGTAGCGTAGTGACAAAGGGCTTTGGCCCGGGTAGCAGTATTTCCCCAGCAGGTCAAGTCACTTCCCAGCCGCAGGTAGTCGCTCCGCAGCCTGTCGTGTCGAACAAGGATCACCGAGGTATTGGATTGGGTCTTGGCCTCGGCCCTGGAGTCGGCAGCGCAGCTCAATCTCCTCTGCTGGGAGTCGATTCGGGCACCGCGACAGGACACTCCACACCAGGTTCTAGAAGTCCTGGAGGCTCTGTACGTCGCTCTCCCCGCCCACCCTACATTCCTCCTCCGCCACCTACCTCTGCATCTATTGTTTTGCAGCCAGATCCGCTCATGAAGCCTTCCCCGCTCAACCTCTTCAAGACGGCTCCTGATATGCGCTTCGCCTACAACGAAGAGGGTGAAGAGGAAGAGACGGATTGGACCAAGGTGCTGAGCTTCATGCATCGCGTCGAGCAGCTCAAGACGAACAAGCGCACTGGCTGGATCCACCATCGTGTGCCCCTCGTGGAGAGCATCGCGGACCACATGTACCGCATGGCGATCCTAGCCATGCTCTGCCCCAATGGCAACAACATCGACTTGGCAAAGTGTGTCATGCTCGCCCTCGTGCATGACTTGGCCGAGGCAGAAGTGGGCGATCTCACACCCCTCGACGGAGTCAGCAAAGAGGAAAAGACTCGTCGCGAGGGTGAAGCCCTAGCCTATCTGGTTCACGACCTTCTAGGTTCCAGCCCCGCCGGTCTACGCATCGAGTCCCTCTGGCACGAGTACGAGGATCGACAAACCCCCGAATCCCTCTTGGTCAAAGATCTCGACCGTTTCGAGTTGTTACTCCAAGCCGTCGAGTACGAGGGGAGGTACGACATTGTGGATCTACAACCCTTCTTTAGTTGTGCGGGAGACATTGGTCATCCGAGGATTAGGAAATGGGCAGTAGAGTTGGCGAGGGAGAGGGAGGAGATGTGGAGAAAGAAGGGACCACAGTGGGCTTATACACAGACGGTGCAGGGGAGCGTTACTGGTCAGGACGTCGAGGGTGAAGAAGGAGGAGGGGAGAAAGAGAAGGGGGGAGAGGCAAAGGTAGAAGTAGGCAAGAGGGATTGAGAGGCCTACTACGCTGAGCGTTCTTTCTGCGGGATACTTTGATCACCTCGCTTCAGTCCTGCTATACAATTTGTACCTCTTTTCATCCACACCAATTCTCGCTCTTCATCCAAAGTATCAGCAATGCAGCACATCACACAATCATGCCACGGCGTATACGACTGCTGAGATCAACGGGATACGACTGCTGAGATCGACGGGAATTGATATGGGTGTTCGTAGATTCCTCGAGTCATGCATGTGTGATGTGTGTTGATGCTTGCAATGAGCTACAGTATATACACTCCCCCCCTCTGCCAGATGTCTTCCTTCCCTCCCTCCCTCCTTTCCTTCCTGCGCCTCGGCGTCAAGACCTCGATATTCGTCACTTCTTCGGCTCCTCCTCCTCCTCCTCTTCGAGCTCCACTCTCGGATTCTCCTTTTCCCACTCCCTCTGTCGTCTCACCCTCCCTTCCCAAGTATCCCAACGTCGTAAAAGAGCCTCGGGGCTAAACCAAGGTGGAGGTGGTGCAGGACCTGGAATGTTCACCTTGGGCTTTTCACCCTCCTTGTCTGCTGCAACGGGTACTGCCGTCGCAGGAGATGAAGCTACGAGGGAGATTGAAGGGAGGACATTCACGATTCGACCTTCCCTGTAGACGCGCGCGGGCTGGATACCGCACCAGCCTGCTTCATCCTCCTCGGGAAGCTTTCTGAGAAGGCTCGCCTTGACCTTTGCTTTTGGGTCGTCTTCGCCATTGACATCCTCGTCAGAAGGAGCGCTGACTGCCTCTACCCAGCTGCACCCGCCTCGCACGTCTAGAGGTGCCAGCAAGCCCCAAAGAAATTGGTCTGCAGCACTCTTGGGACTCTTGGCGAGTACGAGTCCCAGTAGTGGCCAAAGAAGAAGGATGGCTACTCTTCTCAACCACGCAAGAAGAGTGGCTGTGAGACCAGGACTGCTTGCTCGTGAGGATGCGCTAGAAGATGGGCTGGCAGGCGTGGAAGGCCAGATGAACTGCCACACTTCCCCGTCGCGTTCAAAGCCCGGACAGATACTGATGGCATTGATATTCGGATACTTTCCGCCTTTAGTGCCGCCTGCGACTAGCTCGTCCACCGAGGAGATCCTAGCTCCTCCTCCAGGTGCACCGGTTGGATCATTTGAGAGGATTCCAGGCAGTGGGTTGCGCGGACGAGGATCTGCTTCTGCCAAGAGGAGCAGACGACGCTGCAGCTCGTGTAGGAGGAGGATGAATTGCAATGTTGCTGCTCCAGAAGTGGAGATGGAGACGGGAAGGGGAGCAGAGCTCCTCTGCGGCGGTGAGGTGGGACGCGAAGCTGCAGACGTACCCGATTTGGTCTTGTTCCTGCTCTTCGCAGATGTCGACTTTGATCCCACGCTGGAGGCGCTTGATGCTTCCTTCTCAGCAGCACTACTAAGCTCTGCAGCCCGTTCGCCCTCTTCGAAGCGCCTGACGCCGGCAGCGTACCAAGGGCTGACCCAATTGAGAATGCGAATGTCTCGCCCTGGAGGCAAAAGCATCAGGGTACTCAGAAGCGAGTTGACGAGGTGGAATCGTCCGAGCATCTCTCGCTCGCACAGAGTAAGCGACTGCCCACGGAAGCCAGATCTATCCTCTCCAGCTGCGGAGAGCTCGAGCTGCTTCAGCGTGTAGGGGAGGAAGATGATCCCGTCGCATCGTCTGGGAGCTCGTGCTGCTGCTCCGCCTCCTCCCTCTGCACCCCCCTCATCACCGCTTAGCCCAGCATTTCCCATACCACCAAGACCGCTCTCTGCTCTTCCACCAGCGGGTCCAGCACCTGTACCTCCTCCGCCTTCGCCTTCGTTCCAGCGAGCGCAGAAGGCTTCGATGGAGGTGAGATCGAGCATGTCGCACTGTTCAGCGTAGATGAGAACGTTGTTCGTCCCATCGCGCAGAAGCTGAAGGTATTGAAGAGTCGATGAGAGGGCAGTGGGGTGGAAGGATGTGACTGGAAGAAGCAAGAGAAGTTGGGCGCCTCGGGACGACAAGGCCGAAAGGAGGAGGAGCGATGTGGGCGTGAAGTTGCACTGGAATCAGGAGAGAGCAAGTAGACGTAGGGTATACCGTCAATTGGGAGAACAGCTTCTACACTTCCACTGTTAAAGGCTACTCACGACGACGAGGAACGTCAACCCGTGCAAATCCCTCTCGGCCTGTCTCCTTCTGACTCCTTTGCCAACATCATCCCCTGCCCTTCCCATCTTCTCCTTCTCCTTCAATGCCCTCTCTTCTGCATCTTCTTCCTCTTTGGCGCGTAGATGCAAGCGTGCAATAAGGTCTTTTCCGTTACTCCACCTGCGTAGTACCACCAGGGCTACGAGGGAGAGGACGAGGAAGAGGGTATTTGGGTGTATGAGGGAAGCCGAGGTGCGCGAGGAGAGGAGGTAGGGGACCAGATGGACTGGCATCGCGAGCGAGGGACGACGAAGAAGAAGAAGAAGAAGAAGATGGCAGCAGAAGCTGGACAGGTAGAAGAGGGATACGGACGCCCCTCCGCTGATCAGAGGAAGGTACCAACAGAGGAAGCAAGGAAGGAAGGAAGGGTCAGCAGGGAGGGAGTGACACCGCCATGCCGCGTAGCGGGAGCCGAGGTTGCCGCGGGTCATCCTCCTCCACTTCGGCACAAAGTCGCACAGGTCATGGTCCCATACTGGAACCTAGCTAGACTAATCTTCCAACCAATCCTTCTATACCATCTAGACACTACTTTATGACGATATGGCCTCCTCTTCATCTTCATCAGCAGCAGCGGCACCGGCTCAGAAGTTGCGCGTGGGCTACATCCCAGAGCACTTTGCTTCTCCTCTCCTCCTCCTCTCCCGCACACCCTGGGGCGAAGCCAACCTCGAACTCGTCTCCCAACCAGCAGGAACAGGTCAAGTCCTCACTTCCTTCGATGCTTCCTCCGCGGAAGGTCAGAAGATTGATGTGGCCATTGCTCTGACCGAGGCCCTCATTGCCGGTATCGCCAAGGGCCGTCAGGACCTTAAGCTCGTAGGTAGCTACGTCAAGACTCCCCTAGTGTGGGCCGTGAGCACAGGTACTTCCCCTCAAGCCGAAAAGTACCAGAGTATCGATGATCTCCGGGGTACTACGCTGGGCATTTCCCGTGTTGGGTCTGGAAGCCAGATCATGGCAAGCGTAATGGCACTGCAGCGCTCCTGGCCTACAGGTGGCGAAGGCGCTGCCGAAGAGGGTGGTATTAGTTTCCACATCGACAATACCTTCCCCTCTCTGCGATCTTCGGTCAACACCGGACGAACCTCGGCATTCATGTGGGAAACTTTCACCACGAAGCCCTTCTATGACTCGGGCGAGGTGAGAAAGATCGGTGAAGTACCCACCCCTTGGCCCTCTTGGACCATTGCCGCTTCGACGAACACGGCACTTGCCTCGCTTCCCTCAAGGGCGCTCCTAGATGACTTCCTGCATCGTTTACAGGGTGCAATTGTGGACTTTACAAGTCAGGAGAGTTTGAGAGAGTCAAGGCCAGAGGAGTTCATCATCGAAGAGCTGGGCTATCAGAGGAAGGACGTAGAGGACTGGTTGAAGACGGTTAGGTGGGTAGGCGATGGGAGGGGCAGCGTCCCTGATACGCCTACGTTGGGACAAACGACTAGCACGTGAGTACGACAAGCTGGTAGAGTCTACCTTCCCTCTGCTCCACGCAGCTCTCGTACTGGCCGCCGACTCTTCTGACGTGCCTTCCTCCCCTTTCGCAGTGCAACCGTCTCTCGCCAAGTGCTCATCCAGACCCTTCAGACACTGCAGAAAGCCGGAGTGCTCACTTCTGCTCAAGCCGAAGGCGACGGTGCAGACCCAAGCCTGTTCATCGATCCATGGGGTAACGGCGATGTTGGAAGGCTAGTGGAGTAAGGGCCAGGGGTAAGAGAGACTATAGATCGGACGTGCTGCAATACACGCCATACCCCTCTCTCGCTCTCGGTCCCTTTTCATTGATGCTGTGATGATGAAATTGTGAGATTGGATGGCCAATGAGTGTGACCATCTCCGACACGAGCGATGTCCAAGAGTGGGTGAATGAGGAGATAGCCCTTGGCGTACTCCAACAACAAGAGCGTGATTGTCATTCGCGTTCCCTCTCTTCCCCACTGCCCTGCCCTCCCCTCTGGCTCCGCTCTCCAGCCAAGAAGGGAGCTAAGCAAGATACTGGAGCACGTCCCTAGCTCCCTCGACTCTCTCAAGGTACTCCTTTTCAATGAGTGCCTCAATGGCCTTCTTGATCGTCGGCACCGAAGGTTGAAACCGCGATGAGACTTGTGAGACGCACTCCTGGATGAGCTGAGCGTGCTTGAGCGTCTTGCGGGCTTTCATGATCCTGAGAATGGCGAGGCAGGACAGGGGGAAGCGTACAGGAGAAGTGGTCAGCAAAAACTCCTGCAGTGACCAGCCCAGGCTCTGGAGAGTTCTTCTCACCTGACAATGGTAGCTTGCAGCAATAGCTTCCTGTCCTCGTCCACCGTCTTCATCACATCGCTCGTCTCGGCCTTTTGCTCGCTCTTGACAGGCATGTTCAAATTCACCCTCAACTTCTTGAACTTGGCCTTGTCGTTGATCTCGTACTTGTCCGCTCCATCACCACCAGCGTCTCCCTCGACCTTGTTCAGGACCTTTGTCTTGACGAGGGCGCCTAGAGCTCCCTTGAGCGAGGCATCGTTCAGTCTGGTGGAAGTCTGCAGCTCGGTATAGGAGAGAGAGTCGGCAGAATTATACTGCAGCAGGACTGCCGTCTGATAGATGCTGGTGGTGAATATGTGCTTCTGTGACAAGTATGTAGTGGATAGATCTGCTCTGCCTAGTTGCCAGAGCCATGTCAGCTTGCGTCCAGAATGCTTGGCGCCGTAGTATCTCTCAAAGCGTGTGTATGTCGGCAGGAGCTCAGTAGGAATTGAGAACTCTGAAGCAGGCGCAGTCAGAGGCCAGAAACCATTGGCTAGCACTAAAGAGTAGAAGTCAATGTTGGCTTCCGACTTGTCATACTGCTTCGACACCTGCTCCTTGTAGTTGTCGTTGAGCTCCTTGGACAACCCCACATCCGTGAACATTCGCTGCAGCTTGTTCGTGTATTCGAAACCGCAAGTCTCCTTCAGCTTCGAGATCATGCTGGCCTCCGCATCGTCGGATGCAGAGGCAAAGTTGACCAGTCTCTTAGCCAGCATCTTGGAGTAGAACTTCTGGAACACGTCCTTGTCCTCGATGTACTTGAAGACAACCATCTGCAGATGTTGGGGAAGGAGATCGTCAATATTGTCAGTCCCATGCTTTCCGCGGCAGAAAGCCATCTATCGCTGCTCACTACTTGGTTCAGGGCCTCCTCCAGCCCGGCCTCCTCTGCGCTCTTGTTGCTCTTCTTGAGCAGCCCATCAGTATGCTTCGCAAGCAGCTCGGGCGACTTGCTCGTACTTTCTCCCGTCGCCTTGTTCTTGTTCATGTACACCCGGCAAGCCTTGTCCAAGGATGCAAGGAAGCCAGCTTCGCCCCTGAAGGAATTGTTGACGACGGTCAGATACTTTGCGTGGACAGCGAGGAGAGCCTCGACGTAGGCAGCAGGCTCCATTGCCTCTGCATCAGTTCCAACGATGTTCTCGACTGCAGCCGCTCCCTTCTTCTTGACGTATTCCTCGAACCTCTTGCGCAACGGCTCGAGTCCTTCCGTGATACGGAACAAAAGTGTGTACATCCGATAAAGGTCGTCCCCCTTGTCCGTCTCCAGCAAATTCTCGAATCCGTCCCACAACAATTGTGAATGACCTCTGATCAGGACCGAATCGCATCTGGCGATCAGCTTGGACCGTGTGCTTGGGTGGAGGTAGAGCTCCACCCTATCCTCCTCCTCTTTCAGACGAGTTTCTGCCTTTCTCATGTAGTCCGTCACAGAGTTGGCAGCAACAAAGGCATCGCTTTCCGTCTTGTAGTAGACCTCCGTCGAGGCAATGAAGGACGTCTCGAACTCGTACCTGTAGATCTCGACATTTTGCTGTGTGGTATCGTTCTCGTCCAGGCCCAATGAAACAAAGCTGTCCACGACCCTCTTCACCAGGCTTGTATCGATTGTCTCTCCATTTCTCTGCTTCTGAATCTGCTTCAGTACTGCATCTGATAGCCTCTCCTTCGACTGGATCTGTTTGAACATATGGTCCCGCCATTGTACGAGGGCAATCGTGTAGACTGTATAGACGTGTCTCCGGCCTTCGTCCTTTTCCCTCTTGACCCAATATCGATTGAGGTAGGAGAAGACGTGATGTACGAAGTTGGCTCCTCTTGTATATCTTGTCCATTCGGCTGCATAGTACCGAAGTAGAGCCTCGTCAGTGAGCTCAGCAGCACGCTGGGCGGCCTGCAGGGAGTGCTCCTTGAAGTACACCTTGAGGTGGTCGTACAGCTCCGCTCCCATCAGATTTGCCCCTGCCTTGACACCGCTACCCAGACTGCCCCCGCCTGAGGTGTTCATCCTAGAGGAGATACAGTAGTTGTAGACGGCAGTGTAGAGGTTCATGTAGTCCTTGTACTCCATACCTTCGAGTACCTGTTGCATCATGACTTCGATACCTACCTGGAGGAACTTCCAGGTGGCCTTGAGGTCGCCCGCGGGCGGGAGAGGGTTCGGTGGAGGCATAGTGGGCTGCTGTTGCTGAAATTGATGCTATGAAGGTGACTGATGAGAGGAACGATGTGGTGTCTTGGATTTGGCTTTTGTCCCCTGAGGCGAAGGGAGATCAGCCAGAAGAGCGCACCGGAGTGGCACACGGAAGTGGCTGGCTCGTAGGACAGATCCTCCTCGTCGTCGTGGCGAAGCGGATCCTCCTCAGCTCGAACAAGTCAAACAGAGGAGGTCAATGAGTGTAGACTCAGACAGCTTTTGCTGCTGTTCAGTGAGATGGTCGATACAAGGAGGGAGGAAAGGGATATGACGGGACGAGGCAAGACGAGCTGAGGAAGTAAAGACCTCGCGGGTCTAATCAGACGACGTCCACCACCTCGCCTCGCCCCGTCCCGTCGGGTGGAGCAAGCAGGACCGCGCGTCCCGTTCCGCCGGTCCGTCTGGCATCACCTCTCGGGTAGCAGTCGTGATCAAAGTCGCTTGCTAGTGGAATGTATCGAATTATAAGGGTGAGTACACCAAGTGGGTTGTCGTGGAACGTCAAACACGAGGGAGTGAACAGATGGAGCAACAAGAGCAGTGAACGGTAGTGCCAGTGTAGAACAAGAGCACGGTGCTGGAGAGCAGGAGGGTAACGGATATAAGGAGCAAGGGGAAGAATGACGGCCTAGGGGCTGTAGATGGTACTTCAGCAGATAGAGCAAATGATTGTGGTATGTCGAGACTCAGAGCACTCCTCGTACGTCCTTAGATCGTCCTCTGTGGCACAGCCTTCGATGGAACCAGTCTCTTCCACAGACTCCCACTCTCCTTGGGCGTGTGGATGGCTTCTACAGCCGAGACGAGACCGAAAGCTGGCTTCTGTGCCTCACGCGGGGTTCGGCGAGCCAGACCTTTTCCAGGAGTAGGAGTGCGAGTAGAAAGCGATGCAGAGTTTGAGGTAGAGATGGACATCTTGCTAGAGGCAAGCGTCTCGCTGCCATAGTCGAGGGACATGGAAGGGACGTGGCGTTTTTCATTAGCTCCCGAGCTCACTTCAGGTCGAGGCTGCTGCTGCTGCCCGGCGAAAGAGAAGAGCGAGGACAGAGTTGCGGACTTGCTGCGCGAGTGAGATATGCCGCTGATCATTGATGTCGAGCCCACGGCTCCTGCACCTGCAGCGCTGCTTGCAGCCTTGTCCTCGTGGCTAGGGAGCCGTCTGCCTCGAAAAGATGAGAAGCTCCTCTTCAGCTTGGCGGCAGAGCCGCCAGACGGGAGTGCAAATGAATCTGGTCCGTTCACTAGGACAAAGTGGTTCTCCTTATCATTCGATGCCAGCGCCGGGCGCTGTGGCCCACTGACAGACACGACAGTGGGTGAGCGGAACTCTAGACCAGGGTTTCTGATCCTCGTCGTCGTAAGGTTGTGGTGCTGCTCCTGGGGCAGCTGTCGTCGAACGGAGCGAGGTGTGGTAGACCCAACTCGCTCAGCAGTAGACATACTTCGACCGTGCTTGCGAGATGGGGTGGCATGCTGCCTATCTTCTTCTCGATCCTCTTCGCACAGCACTGAAAGGCGGGAGCATGATGCAGAGGAAGGACGCCAGGCTGATCTGTCAGATGTAGCAGACTTGTCGTCGGCCACCTGCTCCTCTGCCTCATGAACAGAGCTCTGACCCTGCGCGAGTGGAACGACTAAACCGTCTTGGCACGTACTCAAGGTGGAGTCATTGGTGGCAGCACTGAATCTGTCTGCAGGCGATTGTCGGTTGCTGTCGTGTTTGAAGGAGTCGCAATCAGCCTCGTACCCCAGCGTCGGAGTGAAGAGTTGACGTAGCAGCGACTGCCGTGAGGCGGCCCGTGAGCTTGCTTGATCGAAAAGGGTCGATTCCGGCTGATAAGGTTCAGCAGAAGCGGCAGGTGGAGGTCGTTGGGTGAAGGACATTTGGTCAAGCTCCTCCCTGGTCTCACGGACCAGGCGCTCGATTGCATCAAGCTTTGCGAGAATGCTTGCTCTCGCGTCCGTGTTTGCCAAGTCGCTCTGTCCCGACTTCAACACCACTGAGGCAGCGACGACTGAGTCCAAGCGCTCAGAGACATTCTTGTGGCGGACGCTGCCATTCTGACTTTCGACCTTGTCTGCTTGGGCGCCGGTTCTCTTGATATGGGTAGCGGCAGGCAGAACGATGGTCGGATCTCCTTCTCCTGCCTTCTCATCTTCGCTGAAGCTCACATCGAAGCCAGACTCGGCATCGCTGCAAAAGCTGGAGTCCTGGTCTGCTTCTCGTTGATCATAGCTTGCCTTCTTGGTGTCCCAGAGATTCTTGCAGACCTCAGCAGCTGTCAGCGCCTCTTGCGCTGCACTGTCAACGGTGGAGGCTAAGACTGAAGGGCAGTCGGAGACTATGCTGGCCGCGTCGCTGGAAGACACTTCGGCAGGCACCCCTTGTGGACGTTCAGGATGGCCTGAAGCTTTTCGTGCTCTGTGCGCCGCAACAAGAAGATCGATGGGCAGCTCAGTGGACACTGGCGACAATACACGAGAAGGCATTGGAGACCCTTGCGAGCCTGCTCGTGGAAGATTACGGAGCGCTTTCGACGGCTCGAGGCCCTTGTTGTGCTGCTGAGGCAGCTTCTTGATGGTGCCCTTCTCCGGGCTGAAACCAACCTTGACATTGCTCGACTGTTGGAGGTTCACTTTGCTTGAAACGTTTTGAAGCGCAAAGCGCAGCGGTGGAGCAGTCTGAGCAGCAGTGGGCTTGACTGTTGCGGTAGAGTGAGGTGTGCAGAGCACAAATTTGTCTCTTTTGGAGACAATGTCGATGGGAACCGCCAACTTGGGAGCTTTGCGTGGCACAGTGTGATTGTGTTGATGACCATGGTAGCTGTGAAGATCTTCAGACTTGAGCGAGACGTCGGCACTGCTGCCCCAAGGGGCTCTCGAGTCGATGAGCTCGGGCTCGAAAGAAAGGTCGTCGAAATCGAGACCTGGTGAGCCTGGGAAAGCAAGACTGCCGGCAGCAATCTTGCTGGCCAAATGCGAGGGCGTCTTCGGTAGATCCTTCTGTTCGCTATGGGAGTGACCACTGCTGCTGTTGAGGAAAGAGTCAGATGACTCGTCCCTTCCCTCCAAGTGAAGCCTATTGTTCTCAAGATCAGAGGGATCATCGCGACTTTCGCGGCGGAAGAAGTCGTGCTGACTGACTTCTGCCAGCGGCAGACGCAGTCGGGGGTTCTTGTGCACCATCAACCGACAGAGTTCGACCAAGTCTTGCGGAAGGTCATCATCAATGTACCACTCATCGTCTTGAATGCGCCGACGGTATTCGCCCATCGATTCCTCGTTGCAAGGTCCCTCGTCTGGCCTCTCGAATGGCGTGCGCCCCGTTGCCATCTCGAAGAATGAGCTACAGAAGGCGAGAAAGGCAGCGGGATGCAGGAATCAGCACATGGGTCGATGGCAAACGTGCCAGACTACTCACACACCAAGAGCCCAGATGTCGCTGAGGCGCTCATCATGGAGTCGGCCTGCTGCACGCTCCGGGCTCAGGTACTCTGCAGTGCCCATCTTGTCCTGTGTCCAAAATTCGGTGCCGCCTCCCGGACGATGATCGGTAGCGAAGCCAAAGTCTGATGTAGTGAAGAGGTCAGATTGAGAAGAGGATACACGAGTGGCTGGTGCTCCTACTCACCAACAAGGATGGGCTCCCCAATCGGGTCTTGTAGATTCCTATCAACGACAATGTTGGCAAGTTTGACGTCGTTGTGGCAGATGCAGTAGGTGTGGAGCCATTCGAGAGCAGACGCGAGCTTGAGGCAGTATGCTCTCAGCATGGCCAGTGGAAGACAGACAGTCATCGGCTCATCGTGTAGTGGTGCTACGAGACAGCCAGTAGCGGGCGTACTGATGAAACAGTCGTGCCTGATGATATTGACATGCCATGGCACTGTGGATGGTATGGTACGAAGAATCTGTGAGGCGGACAATTGCAATGATCAGCCGTAGTCTCAGAACAATTGTTATCGGCAGAACGTACCCTGTATTCCTTCTTCAGCGCCTCGAAACGCTGTCTCGCAGCCTCAGTTGTCACTCCATTGGGGGACCGCGATACCAGCTTGATGGCCTTGATCTGCCCATCGCTTCGCACACGAGCCTCTGGAATGGTACGATACGAGATTGCTTTGGTGAGATGACTTTGAGAGTAGCAGAGTCAGATCATTGCCCAGCTCACCATAGACTGTGGCCCAATTGCCGGACCCCACCTTCTTCCCAAACTGAAAGGCGTCGTACAGCTGTACAGTAACAAAGAGTCGAGTGTAAGTACGTTGAACGCGCTTTTCGGGCGCTGGTTGGTCTCACCTCGTCTTCCTCCATGGTGAAAATGCCGCTCATCTTGGCCACTTGCTTTACCGTGCGCTGCTGCGAGGCGGCCTGCAGCTTGGCCTTTCTCTGAGGGCTACGCTGAGCTTGATGGAAGCGAGAGCCAGAGCTATCACTGCCATTGAATTTGCGCTTCTGACCTGGGTCTACGCGTGCCATCTTGGTGGCTACGGACATCGGATTCCGCGCGATGTGATGTGCTCACTGTGGTCTGTGTATGTCACGACTGCTGACAGACGATGCGTTTGCTGCATGGACAGAGGATGAGTGGTCTTATCGTGAGACAGCGGCAGGTTGAGAGGGTGAGTAATCGCGAAAGGGGGGTACAAGGAAGAGGCGAAAGCGACACTGTAGGATCCGAGAGCTAGGTGTGATTGTGATCGAGATCGAAAGGCAAGGGTCCTCCATTGTTGACTCTCATCTCCTGCTCCACCCTGCTGCGTCGTGGGTCCGCAAAGCGTGTGTGATGCCCTGAAAGTGGTGGCTATATGCGCTTCACCCCCCTCCTCCTGGCCTCCCTTGCATGCGTAAGTCCTTGCCGTGCCGACGTGCCTGGGGGTCCTTTGGTGTTGTTTGCCTCGTGGTTCATGGTGATGATGGTGATAGGTACAGAGTGAAAGTAGCAATCCACTTTCTTCGGAATCGTCGCCCGTCTCCGGAACGCGGAAGCGGAGTTGCGGGAAACTGCAGTTCTCCGTGGAGACGCCCGGGCCACTTGGTTGATAGCGAGCAACCCCGCCTTGCTCTGTACTACGTCACTGTTCACATCCAGATTCACCTGGGTCCGATTCTGCACCGCCTGGCCGTGTACTGGTGTCCTTATAACTCTCACATGCAGTCTATCGTTGGTCCAGCATACTCCCACTACTGACACTCTGACATCCACCTGCTATTGCACCGGTCGCTGATCGACAGCAGAGGTCTGATCTCCACAACGTCCCCTTTCTGAAGGCCATACAATTTTGCCGGGAGTGAGTCTCGCAACTGATTGTGAAGGAAACCTTACCTATGATGGTCAACACCACTTGTCCAGGGACCACCAAGTTGGTCAGTCAGGAACTCGACGCTTCAACACACCGCAGCTTTATGCTGGCCAGCAGCAGCTTCACTCTAGTGGCCACCGTCGCCTCCCTCTGGCTCTTGTGGCAACACTTGTCCAACTATAGCCACCCGCTGCAGCAGCGCAACATCGTAAAGATACTCTTTCTGGTGCCTCTTAACATCATTGCTTCATGGACACGCTATATGTGGTACCCACAGGTGAGCTGCTCAGTACAGGGAAAGCGCTAAATAGTCACCGCTGACCTCTGTGAATGATCCCATCCTGCCGGAGTCTTCTGCCTTCGACGTTATCAGCGCTTGCTATGAAGCCCTCGTCGTCGTGAGCTTCTTTACGCTCCTTTTACAGTATCTTGGGGACACATTCGCTCAGCAAGAGGATGTCTTCCGAAAGGTCAGGCTGCTACAAGGTCCCTTTCCGGGGGGCTGGTGGGAGACTCGAACCAAGTCAGGACTAGGATTTCTCAGATTTATGAAAGGTGAGAAAGTCATGGAACAGTCCTCGACGCCATGTCTTTCTGTCCACTGACTAGAAACTTCCCGTGACCCCTTCCCCCCAGTGGCTATCTTGCAGTATGCGATCTGCCTACCCATTTGTACCGTGGTCGCAATCCCACTTCGATCAGTCCATTGGGACTGTGAAGAATCGTGGCTGCCAGGAGTCATCAATACATGGCTCTCTATCACCTTGCACAGCTCGAGCATCGTAGTGATGTACTGCCTCGTCGTGTTCTACTGCACGATAGCCGACCGCATCAAGTCTCACGGTGCACTTCTCAAGCTCGTCTCCGTCTTAGCTACCATGGTTTTGTGCTTCCTGCCAGGAAAGGTAGTCACGAACAACTGGATAGAGCTTCAAGCCGAGTTGGACAGAGTTTTCTCTGCTGTCAGAATGGCCTTGATTGCCCTTTTGCACCTGAAGGCCTTCAGCTACAGCGCCTATAGAGCTCACGATCAAGCTAAGACATCCAGATGGCGAGCCGCCCTAGATGCAATTAATTGTCGGGATCTCTCTGCGCAGATGGAGGACTTTAGACGGATTGTCACGCGAGACGACCGAGAACATGGCTATATCGTGCTGGACGACGTCAGTACTGAGACATCGCAGCCCCAGGCGACGGCTAGGTCTTGGACTGACATGCCTGAAGAGACCGCCTGAACTACGGCAGAAGGGCAGAACGACGGAGCATGTGTCGAAGCCGGCGATGTCCTTGCTCAAAGCATCGACTGCTTCAACTGCGACAGACTTGTGTGACTGCGATGACGGGGTCCGTCGCCAAGGTGTGTACCACCACTGTAATCAAGCCTTTGGGGGGAAGGCAGAGGATGCTATGTAGAGCAGAAAGTAGATAGTAGTCTTGAGAGAGTCGACCTGTACTTCGTATAAGTCTCGTTGTCGCTGCCCTGTTGTAGTGTACGAGTCTACTAAATATATTACTGGAATCGTGAGCCGGCACCAGTGCAGACATCGGAACGGAGGGAAGCTGGCTGTAGTCTATGCTACTCGAAGCATCACGTCGTCCTGTGCCTCCACATTCGCGAGACGCGCGCAGGAAGGGAGATGCAGTTCCTCGACGATTTGTCGGAAGAAGCTCTATTTTTTCAAAGGTTGCTCCTCCATCCACCCACGTTACCCGTACATCGCACCACTTCATTCCGCACTTCACATATACAACATGGCCACTGAATACTCAAAGCAGGACAAGGAGTTCGACACTGCCACTCGTGAGTACAGCTGAGGGGCCCCCGGGTACCATTCGGCTGGATGCTAACGATATTGCCTCACCTCTGCTCCTACCTCATAGAGGAGAAGCTCGATGCTTGGGGAAAGGAATTGACTCAGGCTGACGCTGTGCTCTTGCGCCAGCGAGAGAAGCTCTACAAGCCACTCTGGGAGAAGAGGGACGAGGTTCTCAGCAAGATCGATGGCTTCTGGCCTCAGGCTGTGAGTAGCGAATGCAAGCGGCTTCGATGGCCGAAGCTTTTCTGCCCTTCGCAATGTTCGATCTGCTCACCCCTTCTACCCCGTGTTCCCCCTCATAGATTGCCAACCACGAGGGCTTTGCTGCCTACTTTGACGACGTCGACCACCCTCTGATCGCCAAGCTCAAGGGCATCAAGATCCACCGCGACACCGAAGACCCCCGAGCCACCAAAATCGAGTTCATCTTCGATGACAATGAGTACCTGTCTGAGAACAGCCTGGTGAAGGAGTTCCAGATCAAATCTGACTCGAAGGACCTGGGTGACTCCGAATTCGACTGGGCCGATGACCTCAAGCCCATCAAGACCGAGATCAAGTGGAAGAGTGACGAGAAGAACCTGTGCAAGCTCAAGCCAACCAGCTACGAGGACGAGGAGACCTTCACTCCCGGCTCCTTCTTCTCCTCCTTCTTCGACTGCACTCACCCCGAGATTGCCAATGGCATTGGTCAGCTCATCGCCGAGAGCTTCTACCCTATGGCTGTCGACTGGTACACCGGTGATGCCGTGGACGATGACGACTTCGACTTCGATGACGAGTCCTTCTCCGATGAGGATGACAGCGAGGAGGAGTCGGAGGACGATGACGCTGCTGAGATTGACCTGGAGGAGAAGGACGAGAAGCCCGCCAAGAGGGCCAGGACTGAGCAATAGAGGGTGGATGTGAAAGCCACATGACGGGAGTTTCAGATCAGTAGCCATGCTCGCAAAAGGGCAAGGATCAGACACGATCTGGGCCACCAGCACTCGCTCGCGTACACACGCACCTCTTCATGTACTCTATCAAGCTCCGTGACCTGTTGCTCGCATCTCTACATATATCCAATAATCGACAGATAGCAACCAAAAGACGATCTGACTCTTGAGGTTTCTTCGTGTCTGTGTCTTCACGCCACGTTCCAATTTCGGACCTCTGGTCTTTGTATCTCCGCACCCCTGCACCTGCACTGGCGCGCTTTCCGTGATGTCCGGCGCCTGTCCGATCTTCTCGATGGAGTTGGTGCCCCATTTCTAGCCTCCTTCTCCTGGATCTCCATTCTTCAGGGTATCTCACCTCACAAGCTCCTGCAGCAGAAGCGCTACAGACGATATGCAGCTCCCCCTCGCCTCTTCGGCGCCTCGAGGAGCGGCAGCGGCAGCCTCAGCAGCAGCAGGCACCTGCCCTCGGCTGAGACATATCCTCACAGGCACCTTCAATACCCTCTTTCTGCATCTCCTCACCTTCGATACCCTCACAAAGGACTTGACCGTAACTCTGTCTGTGCCCGCAAGGGGACCTCATCAGTACTTTGCCCTTGGCGGGTTCATCCCAGAGCTTTCCAGCAGCAGCGGCAGCGGCAGTGGGGTTGGGAGCAGTAGCGCAGCAGGAGGAGCAGCGCATCAAGCATCCCGCATCGTCTACGCAACAACATGGTCAGATGTGCGGGAGCTCTCCGCCTGGAGTGTCTCCCTCGTGCCTGGGCAAGAGAAGGTCAGTCTGATCAATGCGAGGGAGATCCTCGCTGCGGGGAGCTATGTGGCTGTACAGCCGCCGCCGTTCGAGTCCCGCACGAGTCCAGCGTACGGAGTGAAGTCTTCCCTACAGGGCGCTACCTCCAGCTCCAATTCCTCAGGAGGACCCTCACGCTTCCTCTACCAAGCTGGTGGACCCACAGGCGAAGTCTTCGAGTTGGACCCGACGACAGGGGCTATTGGTGTCAAGACGCAGCAGCTCGTCCTTCTCCCAGGAGGGGAAGAGGCGCTTGCGGGAGCAGACAAGAGCAGGAAGAGTTTGAGATACGGAGCTCACAATGTGGACTTTGACATCAATGGACTGGCGTATGTTGCGGATCTGTGAGTAGCCGGAGGTGGGGCGGGAGACGGCCAGAGTGGGATAATACTTCAGAGGGCAGGTTGCTCACTAAGCCGTGCTGTCTGTTCGCCTCTCTCTCCTTCCCAGCGGTCGCAACGCTATCCTAATCTACTCGCGAGACGTCTCTACAGGTCATCTGACACTCCTCTCCTCCAATCCTTCACCGGCCTCGGGGGACGGCCCACGGCACGTTGTTCCCACTGCCTGCGGTCGCTGGGTGTTTGCGGTAACGGAGCACAACTCCTTCGCCGATGCCTACCGGGTGATCCTCCCTAGTGACAGTCAAAGCAAAGTATCCGACGTGCCTCGATTGGAGCACGTCCAACGAGTCTCGCTTCTTGCGACAGGCGCAGATCCGCATGCCTACCGGGGTGACACGATCCGTCTTTCTCCTTGCGGAGGGTACCTCTTTGCAACCACGCGCGGGATGACGACGGCTACCAAGGGGCTCGTGACGGGGTGGAAGGTCGATCTGGAAGATCTTACTGCGCCGATCGTGGAGGAATCAGGAGAGACAGATGGAGCCATAGTCAGATTCGAGACGCCCACTAGCGGTGGTAAAGCCAATGCGTGGGAATGGGCGCCGCGCTACCCTCTCGATGCGCCTCACTACCCTACCTCCTCTTCTTCTTCCACTGAGGAATCTACCTCTGCTTCTGGTCCTGAAGGGGTGGTGCAGGATCTAGCCGTTCTGACCGACGATGAATTGGGGTATATCCTCGTGATGCAATGGGACGGTAGGGATCTTAAGGAGGTTGCGCGGACACAGCTGCCCGGTGTAGGTGGAGGGGAGAGTGCAGCGAGTGTAGGACTCAAAGAAGGGGAGAGGGAAGGGGCGAGTCATGCAATCTGGTTGAGTTAGCCATAGAGTCGAGAACAGAAGAGATCAGAACGACATTGTATGTATGTGCTAGGCTGCTCTATTGGCAGTGAAAAATGCTATTTTGTTATAGGTGGAAAGCAACAAGCTTTGTGCCTCTATCGGTGACAGGTGAGAACCCACACTCTCTCATGTTCGGCAATTCTATCAGGTGCAAAGGGGGGGAGCAAAGCCAGGCCAGGTCAGTCAGTCTGCAACTCGTTTGATCATCCTCCCAAAGATCACCTCGTAATGTACTGTCCCTCCGTTTCTACTCACGTCCAATGCCAATGTAAAGATGTCCTTTCCTCCCACTTCTTCCAATCGATCCATGACCGTGGCCACTTCACTCTTCTTGACCATTGCACTAACTGCGCTCCATCCATCATCTTCCAAAGGACTGACCGTTGCTGCCCTCCTTCCAGGAGTAATAGCCAATGCCGCATCCAAGTTAGATCGATGGATATTGTATTGGCATAGAACGTATTGGGCTGCAGCCATTACTCCACGGATACGGGAGACGATGAGCTTGATCAGGGCTTGGTTGGAGCGAGCGTGTGGGGTGACGGGACGGATTAGGACGGCTTGAGAGGAGAGTAGAGTGGCGATTGCGTGGAGACCACAGGCTCGCATTGTCTCTCCTGACTCGACTAGGTCGACTGCCGACGTAAGGGAAGGGGGAAAGAAAGAGTGAGAGGGTGTCAGTGTACGAACTCTGCGACACGATGAAGACAGCGAGGCTCCCTAGTATACAAGCTGGGCAGCTAGTCCTTTGCATCTCCGATCCTCTTGCCTCTGCCTGCAACTCACCAATACCATCTGCAACTCCCAGCGCACAAGCCGCCTCTACCGATCCTCCCACGTACTCGATTTTAGTCTCTAGCAATTCCACCTCTCTACCCTGAGCCTGTGCCTCTCTCCTCCTCTTCTCATTAACCTGTGCATCCAAATCACCAAAGTACTTTCGACTAAGCACATCAAAACTCGTAGCCACCTTTTTCCCCACTAGAGCCTCTACCGTCTGTAATTCTTCATCTACCTCGGGAACCTGTACTTGAAGTTTACACTTGCCAAATCCAAGTTCCATTTCCTCTGCTACCAAATCCGCCAATCCACTCTCGACGACCATGTCTTGTCCAGTAATTCCCAAGTCTACATTTCCTTCTCCTACAAATCGAGGAATATCGGCTGCAGGGAGGAATACGAGTGCCATTGGGTGGTTCATGACCAGGGCTACATCCAGACGATTTTGACGACGGAATTGAATATCGGCACCTGAGAGAAGCTCGAGACATTTTTCATAGAGGCGACCTTTTTTGGGAATGGCAAAGAGCATACGACCTTGAAGGGCGTCCTTGTTGAAGAGGGTAGTCATGGTGACAGTGGTCGGGTGGTGGAGGTAGTGGGGAGGCGGTAGAGGAGTCCTCAGGAGTGGGGTTGCTCTGTATTATAGAGTCTGGATGGGCACAGCAACCAGCGAATAGGGTGACGGTGGTGGTGGGGGTGGTGGAAGAGGATGTGAGGGACGGGGAGCGTACCGAGTCAAGGTAACGATGGAAAGAGGGACCTAACTGACTGCCTGCTGCTGCTGCTGCTGCTACTGCTCCCTGCACAACGAGTCTTTTCGGGGGAGTGGGATGCGGATGCGGCGGCGGCCGAGGCGTAGAGGTGAATCACGGCGTTTTGGCTGCAGCGTGCCTCGAGGCAGCCAGGGCCTCGCGCCTCGCCTCGCCTCGCCTTCACAGCAGGGAAAAAAACGTGGGCCAAGGCCACTTCCGCTCGCAGCGAGTCATACCTCGGCACATCCACCATCCATGTCAGTGTCACAGGGGAGAGGTAGTCGTCACACATGGTACCCCCTCTTGGATCACCTTGCAAGAGTTCCAGTCATGATCTCACATCACTGATCATGCAGACTTGCTCACACTTCACACTTCGACTTTGGGTTCACTTGGTTGTTTTTGAAGCGATGTTCAAGAGGACAAAGACTGAAATGGGAAGACCAGCGTCGATGAAACGCGGAGATGAGCGTGGGGAGGAAGGACCACGGACTGACTGACTGACTGACTAACTAACTACAACTCAGTACACCTGCCACCTCCTGCGCGCAAGCTACCAAGTACCGCCACCATCTGGAAACACATCCATCAGAGCGGGTCCTCCCCCTACTCCGATGAATTCTAACACCCAAAAGACACTAAAGAAGGGGAGTTGCTTTGCTTGGCAAAACCACCACTTTAGAACTTCATGGCGTGGGGCTTGTCGCCGTTCGACAGAGAGAAGGTCGAGGCCAGGTACTTGGCCATGGTCGGGCCCTCCTTCTTGATGGCAGCCAGAACAGACTTGTCCAGAGCCTTCTGGTCAGCAACCTTGCTCGAGGGGTGGGGCTGCTTGTTGGCGGGGTCGGCAAAGAAGGAAGCCTCGGGCTTGGCACCAGAAACCTTCTCGCGGCGGAAGTAAGAGTCGTTGAGCTTCTCGTCAACCTGGCAGAGGCAAGGGTGGAGGTAGACAGTGATGTCAGCAACGATCGTCTCTGAGGCGAAAAGTGGTCTGCCTTTACGAAGTGATCAAATCTTTCCTGCCAGCTCGATGGCAGTCCGGCAGCTCTCGCTGCCGTACGCCTGCTTCCCACACCAAAGTAGCTGGCCCTCGGACCCCATCCGACAACCAAGTTTCTGTACCCCTCCATCGTATATTCTATCACGACTGTCCAACTTTGCTCACCTTGACATCCGAAACGTTCAGCTTGGTGCTGGTAGCAATGACGTAGGCCTGGTTGACCCTGCGAATGGGCACACCGTTGACCTTGAAGGGACCAGTGACGAGCAGAAGACCAGACTCGAGCTGCTTGAGGAAGACGACACGCTTGCCACGGAATCGGCCAGCGAGGAGAATCAGCACGGTACCGGGCTGGATGGTGGAGCGGAGAGCGGCGGCCTTGTTGGACTTTCGCGAAGCCTTGGGCTTCTTGATGTCCTCCGAAGGGTAGTAGCGCGATGCCTTGGTGGTGGGCACGTTGCGGCTACCTCCCTTCTTGAGCTCCTTGGTCTTGCTCTCGGGGGCGTCAGCGGCCTTGGCAGCTGGGGCCTTGCGAGACTGGGTGAGCTTGTAGGCTCCCTTCTTCTGGAAGGCGCCGGTACGGCTCAGTCGACCGACGTAAGGGGCGATGTCCGAGTTCCTGGCCATTGTGAAGAGAGGGTGGCTGGAGGGGGAAAGGAGTAGAGGGCGAAAGGGTCAGTTGTTTGACCTCAAATACCGATGGGCAGACTGATTCCATCGCAACCTCCGTACTGGAGTCGCCAAAATCGCATCTAGCTAAGTCGATCCTTCTCATTTTTGATGCCCTAGCAGAGGCCGCCGCGGCTCTGCCTCCATCTCTACTACCCCCAATTTCTTCCCTGTCCTGCAAGAGCCCTGCAGGCCTGATGACCATTCCTCCTAGAGCCAGCCACCGAAGACCGATGACGCCGGCTATGGTGTAAAGGCAGCGATAGAATGCTGCTGTAGCATCTGCTAGGGCGACGGAACTGCTCGTCTGGCCATCAGGCTGCTGCGCCTGCTTTCATCTCCTGCCACTTTCATCTTTTCCAACCCCTCGATACCCATGGCCAGCCTGCCTTCGCTTTCCCACTGACGATCCTTCATGATGTATCCCGAACGTAGATACCAACCTTGAGGGGGGGAGGGGTGATGAAGTTTGCGGGTGGAAACGGAGAAGGATGGGTGAAGCGTTGTGAGTCGAGGAGACGCAGTCGGTCAGTTCGTCGCTCGCCCCCGGTGGAATTCTCAGGCGGGGCCGCCGTTGCGGATCGAGGATTTCCTGGTCACGTGAAGCTGCAGCACATGGCGGGCGCTCGCGGTCGGAGTTTCGACGCTCCCTCGGCCTCATCCCCTTCCCGCACGCTTGCCACTACGCACGTCTTCTCACCACAGCGCAACGCAAGAGATCCCTTACCGTTTGGGAAAGTCAGCGTCATCGCCCTTTGAGGCAGCGATGAAAGACTCATTCTCCCTGTTCGCGATTCACACTGCGGTGCTACTCGGCTAATGTATCTTGACTGCGCTGTGATACGCTTCCACCATCTGCTCAGCATCCTGGCCACCGCCAAGCGCACGTTTTGTGCCGCTCCCGCTGCTGACCAAGACGCACGCAGATAGCGGCAGAGGGACCCGTGAGAAAGTCGACTCGGGAGCAGTTTGTCCAATTTCAAAGTGTACTCGTCAGGCTCAGCTGGAAGTGTGGTAGGCGGAATCTGGGTCGAAGGACAACCTGCAGGCCGGCGGTAGCATGTCCCTGACCCCAGTTCGTGCCGAAGTTGCCCCGAGCGCAAGGTGGAGAGATAGCGTAACTGGTGCAGCAGTCCCCCCTCCTTCTCCCCTCTACCCCGCCAGTGCTCGGCAGTAGTGCGTCCCTATCCGAGGCGGCGACGCTGCAGCATCTAGCTCAAGTGTGAATGACTCGACTAGACGGCTTTATGCTGGACCCGCCCGGACCCCAATGAAAGCTCCGAGCACGTTGCTCTGGTCCCTCCCAGTTATTGGTTCGTATCAGGCGATGCCGGCTGAGGCGATGTGCCCTGGCAGAATGTCCCTGCGCTACTGCAACTCCACTGCTACCTAGCCGGCGGGCCCTGGCAATGCTGCGCACCCCTTACCTCGAAATCAACTCTCCCCCGCCCTTGTGCCGCTGCGTTTGCTGTTGCTCCTGCTGCTGCAGGCTGATCCATCCCTCACCCAAGCAAATCCTTGCTGGCATTGTCCCGGTCCTTTCCACATCTCCGAAGGATGTGCCAAGATATATAAAGGCAGGACTGACTGTGCTCGCCATTAGGTCCGTCATTCATCCCAAACCTCAGACTGCCCAACATGGTTCCACCTACTGCCTCCTTCACCTCCTACCCTGCCTCTATTGGCTATGCCGCCCCATCTCCTATCGACCTCAAGGCCGCAAGCCAGGCTAAGACTGTGGCCAAGCTCAGCAAGCCAGACTACTCCCTCGGCAAGTATGACGGCCACCTGGCTATCAAAGCCGGCGAAGAGCCCGTCGAGGACTGGGAGGGCAAGGTGAGTTTTCAGATCGTAGCAATGTCCAGTGAAGCGTCATCGGCTGAATTTCCTCTTGACTTGCCTTGATGTCTACAGTACAAATTCGCCTACATCCATGAGAGCTACACCTCTCGCGCCATGACCAGTCGCTACTTCCAGGACATGATGAACTCGGCCAGTACCGATGTCGTCATCGTCGGTGCCGGCTCTGCGGGCATGTCCTGCGCCTATCATCTGGCCAAGAACCGCCCGGACATTCAGGTCACTATCCTCGAGTCAGGCGTTGCACCAGGTGGTGGCGCCTGGCTCGGCGGTCAGCTTTTCTCTGCCATGGTCATTCGCAAGCCGGCTCATCACTTCCTTGACGAGCTCGAGGTCCCCTACGAGGACGAAGGAACCTACGTCGTCGTTAAGCACGCTGCTCTCTTCACCTCCACTCTCCTCTCCAAGCTTCTCCTTCTACCCAACGTCAAGCTTTACAACGCCACGACTGCCGAGGACTTGATTGTGAAGAGGGACCAGAATGGCGTGCAGCGAGTCGTAGGTGTCGTCTCCAACTGGAATGCAGTGTCCATGTCCCACGGATCCCAGTCCTGCATGGACCCACAGACCATCTCTGCACCTGTCGTCGTCACCGCTGCTGGACATGATGGGCCCTGGGGGGCTTCCTCGGTCAAGCGTCTTCATGCTACGGGATTGCTCAAGATGGGTGAGATGGGACCATTGGACATGACTCGAAGCGAAGGCGAGATTGTCAACCGTACCGGTGAGATCTTCCCGGGCATCATCTGCGCCGGCATGGAGCTCAGTGAAGCTACCTCAGCTCCCGTGAGTAATCGGCGTTGAGAAAGACGATCATGCGCAGCATCTGGACTCAGCGACTGACAGCAATGGCAATTCCTGCCTCTATTTCCATAGCGAATGGGCGCCAGCTTCGGTGGCATGCTGGCCAGTGGTATTCGCGCCGCTAAGGAGGCCATGAAGCTCTTCGACCGCCTCGAAGTCGTCGAAGGCGAGGTCATCCGCGAGCGAATCTGAGCCGTGGTCTACAGCCGCCGTGTCGGAGATAACTCAGCCTTTCAGGAAAGGTAGCATGATCGAATATGGTGCGTTGAAGGAGAAGTACGCTGTGACGTGAAGTCTCGACCCATCTGATAGCAATATGAATGATAGCATTGATTCCAGTGTGCCCTCCCACCCTCGAGTCGCGGGTGTGCGTTGCCGAAGAAGCCTGCAGGCTTGCCGTCGATTTGCTTGATGAAGCCTCCACTTCGCGTTGAAACATGCCTCGCCGCCTTTTCCGAGCCTGAGCCTTATATGAGACGTTGAGTGTCCCCAGCCTAGTAGAAGTCTGTAAGCTTACCATTGGTAATTCTACAGGAGACCCCGTTCACTCCAACCTCACTCAGTCTGAACCGTGACGCCTACGCCAACAACCACGTCCACGCCTTCATAGCTACCACACCGCAAGACCAACATGACTTCTAGCTCTAGCATGCCCACCCTCCCCCTCGGCGGGTCCGCCTCTTCCGAGCACATCTCCCGCATGAATCTCGGTCTCATGGGTCTAACCTGGACCGATCCCAGCCATTTCACTCCCGACGATGAAGCCTTTGCAACTATGCGTGCCTCTCTAGATGCCGGTTGTCGACTCTGGGATGCCGGTCAATTCTACGGCCCTTCAGTCGATCCTCATGCGAATCTAAAGTTGGTGAAGAGGTACTTTGACAAGTACCCAGAGGACAAGGAGAGAGTAGTCCTCTGTGTCAAGGGAGGTGTGGACATCTTTGGAAAGGGAGGTTATGCAGAGAAGAGCATGGCGGGAATGGCGCCAGTGACGAATGTGGACACGTTGCGGGAGACGCTCAAGCAGATTCGTGCTGAGCTGGGCTCGGACAAAGGAGGTAAGGAGCTGGACCTCTGGGAGCCAGCTCGATTCCCAAAGGCTATCTCAGTGGAAGAGGCAATCAAGATGTACATCTCACTGCGAGACGAAGGGCTCTTCAAGCACCTCAGTCTCTCCGAGGTGGGAGGTGAGACTCTCAAGAAGGCCATTGAGGTATCCAACAATGGCATTGCCACTGTAGAGGTGGAGTACAGCCCATTCTGCATGGAGGCAGAGAGCCAAGGCGTTGTTCGAATTTGTGAAGAGAACAGTGAGTCTAGTGATATATTGAGCAGTCGAGCGTGCGTACATGATACAGATGTTGAACAAAAAAATTCGCCGCCTACCCCTTCCCTCTTTCCCGTCTTTCACGTTGAGCAGAGATCCCAATCCTAGCCTACTCGCCCGTAGGCAAGGGTCTGCTCACCGGCTCCGTACGCTCCCGAGACGACCTGCCCAAGGGTGATCCCCGTTTGCATCAGGATTCCTTTTCACCCGAGAACTTCGACCACAATATCACCCTGGCCGATTCCATCAACCGCATCGCCTCCGAGCGCGGCGCCACGGCCGCCCAGATCTGTCTGGCTTGGATCCTACAGCGCTCTCCCATCTTTGCTCCCATTCCTGGCACCAGAAAGGCTGCGTATGCCAAGGAGAATGCAGAAGCGGGCAAGATCACCTTGGATTCGAAGGAGGTGAAGCAGATTGATGAAATCTTGAGCCAATTCAAGAGAAAGGGAGGGAGATATAACGAGCACGCTCGTAACAGCGGATCCCTGTGGGCTTGATGAGTCGTCGAAGCTCCACAGCTGTTGCCAAAATTTCCGAGATGGACAAGAAGTAATGAGCGTCTCAGTGAAGTATTGCGCTTTGCCAATGGTGTATGAGCCCTAGTGCGTCGGATTGAGGGCCGCTTCATACTCAAAATGCTATGAATCTGCCTGCCCAACGACTTGGTGTACTGTACTTGTACTACTCGCGCCCACGTTGAATATCTATGTTCAACGCTTCGTCTGTGGCCTTCTGGGCAGCCCGGCAGTTGCAGGGGCGAGTTTGAGAACGCCCGGCTTGCCTCCATCGGGCTGGCCCGTAGCGGCAGGAGGCCCCTTGTTCTTGGATGCCTTCATGGCTAGCAGGCGAGCTTCCATAGCTGCGATCTTGGCGTCGGTGCTGATTTACCAATTAGGGGAATATGAAGAGTAGATGTCAGCCCTTCATACCTGAGGCCAGTGGTAGCAAGGTTCTCTACTCACCCTTGTGGCTGCTGCGAATTCTTGACAAGGCTGAGCGTTGTGGGCTTGAAGTCTTCGTCTCTGGCGCGGTTGCGTCTCACAGGGCCAGTGGTACTCTGCTCAGCATATTCGGACTGATCGACCCAGGAGGCAAGATACATCAGTCTCTAGCTGTGATTGTCGAGGCCCACTTGTGCGCTTCGTCTCTGACTCACCTTGTTGGCAAAGCTAACAGCGACCTTCCTTCCCCTGACCTCCTTTCCCTCCATCTCCACCTTGGCCAACGCTGCGTCCTCCTCCTTTATATATTCCACGAAGGCATATCCTCTTGGCTTCCCTTTGAAAGGTCCTGACTTGTGGAAGAGCAAATCGAGCTTGCTGATCTTGCCATAAGGGTTGAACAACTGCACGAGGTCGTACTCGGATACGGCGGGGTGGAGGTTGCCGACATAGAGGCGGTGTGAGATGGAAGGGGGAGGAGCCTTGCCGCCGTTGGTGGTTGAAGTGGCTGCGCGAGGAGCTGCTGGTATGTAGAGGGGATTGGTGGTGTGGGTGGCGCTGCTGCTCCTGGGTGGGGAGGCGGTGGTGGAGGAAGAGGGGGAGGATGAGGACGGGCAGGGAGATGCCATCTGTACAAGTGGGCGCGACGAATATCAGAGCTGCCAATGAGGTAGACGCGGGGATGGTTGTGTGTGTCAATGGGCAGCTGTATGGTAAGTATGAGAGGATGAGCGAGTGAGGAGGGCAAAGTGTCCGTGGCAATGGTATGGTATGGCTGTGCGTCTAATATAGTCTACCCCCGAGCCAAGAATCGTGCGGGAGTGGACGGACTGCTGCAGCTCCGCCCAGGTGGAGAGGATGACCACCACTGCACCATTGCCATCCCTCGCTTCTTCTCATCGCAAATCGATACGCACGGCACACTCCTCGATCTTCAGCCCTTTGCCAACAAACGCTGCTGCTGCTGCTGCTCTTGGCCGCTACCATCGACCACGCCTAATCCCTCGGCCGGACCAGTCACAAGCAGTCCTTGCGGCGCTTCCTACCACCTCCCCGCAACCCGCACAGCTGCCGGTCTGACCTATTTCCCACTACTGCGATCCTGCAACGACGATCGAGGGGAAGTAGGTACTGCTCGCAAGCATCTTTGCCGCGCTATTGCCTCACTGGAGCTCCTACATAAGCTGGTAGCGTTCAGGACGAGAGGCTCCGCACCAAAGGTCCGTCCCTGTAGCAACTCTATTGGGCGCACAGGAACAATCTTTCCCCTTTGCTACTGATTGGCCCTGGGGCCCCACACTTGACTTCTTTCCCAGCACTTCTCTCTGGCAACTACGTCTCCCTGCGACCTCTCTTCTGCTGCCTCAAAGGTCCACCGCAACGTAGCAACACAGCAGGGCTTTAGGCGTACAGTCAAGGCAAGCGGGTCGCGACGGAACCATGGCTGCCGTGGCCGAGCCTGCAAAGGTAGCTCGCGCACCAGGGCAAGGCAGCAATGGCGCAGCAGCAGCACTATCGGGAGGTGATCAAAATCGTGCAGTGGGATTTGGCAATGGTGAGTGAGATAACTTCAGGACGATGAGTGGGCGTCAGATGGCCTGAGTAGGCAGGCTGGACTGGTGGACCTGCTCAGCCCGCGATCTGAGCTACGAGCATCGAGCGCTGAATCTTGCCCTCAAACGTGCCTCATTCCCGAAACGTCCATCTCTGCCACTTCTTCTGGGATCTTCTCTCCACTCTACGTCACCAACGGCCATCGCTCTCCCCTACAGAGACGATAAATGACTTCCTCGATCGCCAGCCAGCAGCAACCCTGCGCAACCTTTACAATCGGCCCTCGAATACCCTCGCCGTCTTTCGCTTGCTGCCGCCCATGGCCCGTCAGCTGGTGATGCATCTCCTCTTCCTCGATGCTCCACTCGCACTAGACCAGTACCTCGTGTGGATCAAGCGTGGAGAGGGCAAGAGGCAGCACGAGGAAGGATTGCGCAGGCTGGAGCGACTGCACATCATTATCCTCCAGGCCAGCAAGCTCACCCTCAGCGCCGTCTTCCGGGACAGTCTGCGGACTGCTCTCATGGGAGGCGGGGAGCATCGTTCCTTCGGCGTGCCCAGCGAGCAAGGCACTGAGGACCGGACAGTGGATGTAGCTATGCTGGACGAGTATGCACGTAACAAGTGGGAGAGCATCTTGCATTTCATGGTGGGATCCGAAGGCGCTCCATCCCCAGGCGAAGCAGTCCTCTATCTCCTGCGCCGGTCCGACTTGATGCAGCGAGTAGAGGATTCGAATCGGTTAGGGATCACCTCCAGAGGGTTTCAATTCCTGCTAGAGGACGTGAATACCCAGCTGTGGGATATTCTTCTGCAGTACCTCTCCCTCAGCAATCAACGTCGGATGGACATTGTCGACATCCTCTCCTTCCTCTTCATGCTGGGCTCTCTCACTCTAGGGCAAAGCTACTCTGCCGAGGATCTTCCCGAGAGTCAGCTTCACTGTCTACAAGACTTTGCAGACTATGGTCTGGTATACCAAACGTCACCCAAGCACTTCTACCCCACCCGTCTCGCCACCACGCTCACCAATCACGATGCTCAGCCCTTGCGCGGCGGTAGTGGTTCAGACGAGGAGCAAGGCTTCATTGTCCTCGAGACCAACTACCGATTGTACGCCTATACTTCAAATCCATTGCGTATTGCAGTCCTGCAACTCTTTACCCATATCAAAGCTCGCTTTTCCAATCTAGTCCTAGGATCCCTCACACGTGATTCAATCAAGGCAGCCCTCGCAAAGGGAATTTCGGCAGAACAAGTCATTGCCTATCTCTCCCATCACGCTCATCCTCAAATGATAGCACGTAATGATCCTCTCTTACCAATTACAGTAACGGATCAAGTTCGTCTATGGGAACGTGAAAAGAATCGGGTAGCAGCAGAAGAAGGTTACCTCTACATGGATTTCAGTAGTGCAGAAGATTTCAAATTGGTCAGGGATTATGCCAAGAGTTTGAGCGTTTTACTTTGGCAAGAAGAGAGGAGTAGGAGATTCTTTGTAGAGGCCAGGGGACAGGAACCGGTCAGGGATTTCATTAGGAGGAGATTGGCCTAGCCCGCAGTAGCTGGTGTAGTCTAGCCCGTCGTGGAGAGAGTGGAAAGGCGTGTGGTGCGGACAAGGCGGAAGGCGGAAGGTAGGGGAGAGGACAGAGATAGAGGGACCACTCCTTGTACCAATAGATGAATACACGCATGCATGCATACCTACAATACAGGTCGTACACATGCGCAGCGCAATGCAATGTGTCTACAATGCAACGCACTCCCTTCACCAGCGACCTGCACTGAAATAGGTGTCGACAGACGATGAAGAGAACAGAGCATCTGGATTCATGTTAGAGGAGGAACTTCATCGACACATTCGGGATTTATGCGAAGGAAGAGGGAGGGAGGGAGAGAGCGAGAGGGGTGTGCGGCGGGAGCGTTGACTCAGAGAAAGGAGAGGGCAAGAGCTCTGAACTCGCACGCAATACCTGCCGCTACTGGCCCCACCTGCACCGTCGCCCAACGTGTCCACACTAGCGAAGGCGACGCTGTCCCTCGCAAGTCCGCCGTCCCATCTACCGACCCTGTCCCGACTGGGCCCCAACTCATCCTCTCCAGCATCAAAAAGCGAGCAAGCGGACACTTCCCCCCGCCCACCAGTTCCTCGCAATGCCCAAGCTTCGCCTCTCCTTCTGCCTAGCATCAAACCACGACTTTACAACGCTCAAGCACGTCGCTTGAGGTTGGTGCTGAGCCACTCCAGACCCTCGTACAGACCGTCTCCGGAAGTAGCGCAAGTCGCTTGGATGAACCTAGAGGAGGGGAGAGAAATGAGGAAGCAGTAAGCAATGTGATCCTTCATGCGTCGAATGCGTCTGAAAAGAGACGAAGTTCTCCTCCGAGCTCAATGCCTCGCATCGGTCTCGACGACCTATGTCACAATTCTCCTCGCTTCGTCTACTCACCACTGCCTCTGCCTCAAGCTGTGTAGGCCGAGCTTGTCGGTGATCTCGGCGGCGTTCATTGCATTTGGCAAATCTTGCTTGTTGGCAAAGACCAGCAGGAGGGCGTCTCGCAGCTCGTCCTCGTTGAGCATTCGCTGCAGCTCCTCACGGGCCTCGGATACACGCTCTCGGTCGTTCGAGTCGACGACGAAGATGATACCCTGAGTGTTTTGGAAGTCTGAATGGACGGGCGTGAGAAGGCAACATAGATCAGTACAATGGCTTGAGGGAGCTGCGAGCCCACTCTCGCCTCATCGGAGCGACTCACAGTGCCTCCAGAGAGGTCGGATCTTGTCCTGTCCTCCCACATCCCACACGGTGAAGGAGATGTTCTTGTACTCGACAGTCTCGACGTTGAAACCTGGCATGAAAAGAGATGGTGGACGGGAAAAGTCAGCCTCGGAAGATTGACAATGTGCTGAAAGCTTAATGTCGTTGTGCTCACCGATGGTGGGGATGGTGGTGACGATCTCTCCGAGCTTCAGCTTGTAGAGAATGGCTGGTAGAGGCAAGTGAACGGAAGACATCTTTAGTCGCGCGATCGCGGAAGACTATATTGCAGCTGGGCCCCGTGTAAATACTCACTGGTCTTACCGGCGGCATCGAGTCCGACCATGAGAATACCTGTGAGCGAGGAGGGAGGTATGTGCGAAGGTCAGCCAAGCTCTGTGGCAGATGTGGACGAGTGTATGCCTTTGGCATGAAAATGCTGAGCCATAGCCTCTACGTTGCCCCTCTTTCAGCGCGAAGGTTTGACCAAGACTCCTCGAGGCGTGGGTCAGACCATGCAGTTTGCCGGTCATGGTGACCAATGCGAGTTGGCCACCCTGAGGAATCGAGGTTTCCACCGCCCTCCGCTTCTTGATAACGCATACAGAAGAAATGAGGGCAATCTGCCGCCACTGGGTATTGCTGTCTCACCAGACCTGACTCCACCTCAGAATTGCCATTGGGCTACGCCAATGCGAGTCTACTCACGCATCTCCTTCTTTCCGAACAGTCCACTAAGCAGTCGAGATACAGAGAGACCCATTGTCCTGTGGGGGGAGAAAAGGAGGAGTGAGGGTGGAAGATGGAATGGGCTACGAATCAGTATCGCTGTCCTGGCAGTGTGTTGCCCCTATTGATGGCGTTGCCCAGCCGGGAGGCGATGCGGAGACTGTGTGTATGCTGACTGACACTGACGATTAAGATATTTGGGGGGGGCGGGTTCAGGGGAAGAAGTGGATGTGATGTCTGGTCTCTTCGGGTATCTGCAGGTGCGGTTGTGCAATCTGTGCAATGCTTCTACGACGGTGGAAGAGGTGTGCGAGTGCCAAAGGGGGGTGATGGGAGTAAGTGTGAGGTTGGTATTGATTGGTAGGAAGGTTGTGTGCGAGAGTGGATTCTGGGGCGGCCTGCCTTGGTCGATGGTTGCCAGTTGTGTGCGTGTGTGTGTGTGCGGGCGTGTGTGTGCGTGTGTGTGTGCGTCTGCGTGTGCGTGTGTGCGTCGCTGTCTGTCTGTGTCCAGGGGGGGGCGACGACTCGTCTGCCTGTCCTGCCTGCCTGCCTGCCCCGCCTGCCCCGCCTGCATTTGCGCGCGGTTCCACGCAGACGATCCTCCCCCGCCTAGCCAGCCCCCTCACCGCGCCCGCCCCTTCCGCTCCGCTTCCCGCCCACGCGAGCCACTTCTTCGCAGATGCAGGCCACACGGACAGGAGAATTATTTCCTTCTTGCAGGCCACCTTCCCTTCTTCTTGAATCCCCACCTTTTTTCCCCCTTGGGCATACAATCGATCCCACTCCATCTCAAAGCCTGCTCTACTAGGTGGCGTTTGAGACTCTGAAGTTTGATCCGTCGAGCTACAAGGCAATGAGATCTCGCCGCTAAGACAGGCTAGCTGTGATTCGTGCCTGCCTCGCACCATCCCTTCCCCTCCCCATCTCCCCTTGCTCCTCCCCACCCCATCCCACCCCTTCCCCCTTCCCCGCCTCCCATTACCAAGCCCAACACTCGCAAAATGCATCTAGAGCGTATGGGTCTGAAGGGAGGCGTAGAACACATTGTCTCTCCCTGCCCTAGTAGGGGTTAAAAGGGGGAGGGGCATGCCTGATTCTCCTCAAGTACCTTACATAACTTGCAGGGGATGTCAGGTGGGGACTTCTAATAATGCCTCGTCGCTACTCTTCTTTTTAGAGAAGATTAAAGGTGACGAGCGCTTCGCTTTGTTCCTACATACTTTACCTATGTTTGAGGGGAGGTGAAGGAGGCGAGATGACTTGACTTGACCTGATCACCCGAGGTACTTACAGATGCTCACCAGATCCGTTCAGATGGTCAAGCCTTCCCTTCCCTTTCGGAAACCCATACCTCTGCAATGAGATCATGTTCACAGCACACATGTTCACCGTCGCATCCTACAGGCTCGTCGATTTATGTGCCAATGACCTCGAGAAATGAATGACTCTGCAGACAGATTAGTATGAAACAGGCAACGCTATGCGTCTAGCCAGTAGACGACGAAAGAGTGGAGTGTAGAAAGGAAAGAATAACGGACTCGAATGATAGGACCGAGAGTAGAGTCGCCCCGATAGTCGTTCCCTCTGGAATGACCGGGGAGGCAAACACAACAGTTGCCTGTCGTGTAGATGATATCTGTGCGTGCGCCGCTTTGCGATGCTATCCTTGAAACGCTAAGTGCTACGCCTGTCCTGCAGCCTGCTCGCCTCAAGCCCTTCCAGCTGCTTCTCCGCCGCCCTCTTCTTCAATGCTAAAGGTAACAGAGCGTCCTTTGCTCTCCCGCGTAGCACGCGAAGCAGCCCTCTCCATTCCGCAGGCTGCGTCAAGGTCATCCTGACTAGTCGGGAAGGGACACATTCCGACGGCAAAGTCACGCTTGTCAGGGACGATGTTCTTGGTTGCTGGCATATCGAACGTTATACCGGAAGCTCCCTGAGCTTTTACTGCTTGTCGTGATCGTCGACGCCTTGAGTCACTTGTCGTGGGTCTTCGCTGCACCTCTGGCTGGTCCAAAGAGTGAGCGGGGCCTCCGGCTCGCACGGCACTTGTCTTGCCATCGCTAGTCAGGGGAACGCCCTCCATGCTCAAGAGAGAATTGATACGAAGCCTGTAGTCTTCGTGTAAAGGTCCGCCATCGGGAACGTGGTGATAGTTGCCCTGAATGTCTTGGTCAATATCGCTGTTGCACGAGGAGACAGCCTCCAAACATTCCCCATCGAAAACGCTGTGGCCCAGCTTACTAGCGGTGAAGACCTTTGAGTTCCGAGATCGAGACTGTGCAGAACTTCCGGCTCCACATCCCGAGGTAGAAGACGGACGACTCGCGTGCCTGGAGGCTTGCGTGGTCACAGATTGACCACGGATGTGTTGACCGAGATGGAATGGGATCGGTAACATGGGAGGCGGGGCTGGAAACTGGTTGAAGAAGCTGTGGGTAAGGGTATAGGTGTAATACCGTTCAGCCTCCATACAGTGTCCGTGCCACTCAACCTATGCACAATCTGTTTACCTTGTCACGGTCAGGTGGGTCATGTCAGAGCTAGCACTACGTGCGCGTCGATGTTTCTCGGCCTGTGCCCTGCCTTCATAGCGACGTTTCATCGCCATGAATGTGTCGTGACTCGTTCTTCTGGTCAGCGCATCTCCCAGGGAGGAACTTCGCCCTCGGTGTGAGAGCTTCCCGTTGCTAGTGTTCGGCTTGGGAAGGCCCATGACAAGATCGGACAGGCTCGGACCCCCTCCGTGCGACGAAGGCGTAGTTGGAAGCCTGTTGAGCGGCAGACTGATCGCACGCTCCCTTGGACCAGAAGCTAGATACTCTGCTCGCATGGAATCTAGGTACATGCTAGGCGTCTCGGCAGGCAGATAGACACTTGAAGGCACGCCAGCTGGCGTCGATGGGGGTACCGGAAAGGCACTTGAACCCTCGACGAGAGGTTGCTTGCGTCGAGGCGTACGCATCAAGGCGAGACCTTGCGGCTGTCCGTCTGAGAGCCCCGGCGTCACATCCATCGCTTGCGCTGCTTCATTACTCCCTCGATGAGTCAGTGCTGCCGCCACATTTGTCAACCGTCGGCCGTTGTGAACCTCGCCTGGTATGCAAGGCAGAGGCTTCTCGATGACGACACCTTTGAATTCGCCGACTTGCTCGGCATCATGTCTCTGCTCCATGACATGGAGAGAAATAGCGGTGATCGTGAAGCAGACAAGCTGAAGAAGCCAGAGCAGTCTACCTAGAGGTGACTCGCAGAAGCCCAAGATCCTGAAAGCAGCGGCAAGGCGACCTGTGCCAACAGCCCATCCAATGAAGAGACAGGAGGTAGCTAGCCAGTGGAAGACGTCTCGAGCCTGCTGGCACTCGATCCATTCGTAGCTGCAAAAGCGCGCTACAGGAATTCCCACCAAGAGGAGGAAAATGAATTGCAACATCGTGCTAGTTTGTTGAAGGTGCCAGCCAATCGAGTAGTCGCGCACTAAAGTAATTCGCCAGCACACTTCAAAGAGGCCGATCAGGAAGGTGAGGACGCCACTGATCAAGCGTGTTGTCCGGACGAGTTCGGGATACTGCTCTTGCGTTTGCCTGTCCGTCAACAATGCCGAAGGCGATGGCTGAGAGAGCTGTTCCTCCGTAGACTTTTGAAAGATGACAAGGTGAGCCCAAGCGTAGGTGGCCCAGGTAGCCCCGGCGTAGGCCAAGGCAGAACAGATGCAGCGTCCGTAGGAGCGACTGTCGCTGTGAGAGTAGATGGTGCCCATGCTGAGGTCCACACTGGCGCCTATCATCAGTACAAGACAAGTGACCATAATTAGGAAGAGATGGCTATTAGGGAGAGGACAGTGTTCAGTGTCATGCCAACATTCGTAGCACCCACACCGGCAAGGCTGTCTCACCTTGTGATGTGGATACGCAATGCTAGTGCCGTCATAAGGGCAATAGTACCGAGCTGTGAGGTGTGTCAGGAGCCAAGGTCAGTGTAGTCTTGTGAACCGTCTTGTGAAGCGTCAGAGACTTGAGCATTATACTCACTAATCCCAGTGCAAGCAAACCACCGCTGCCAGGCCAGCTGACGAAGTCTTTCTGCTCACTGCCCAGGCGTACATGCGAGGACCACAGGGACACTTCGCTCTCCTGAGGTGTGAGAGTGACGGGTAAGGGAGGGGTATGTGAAACCTGGTCTACTACTGATCGAGTATAGATATGAGATGTCCTTTGCGAGGTAACGGAGAGTGTATGCTCTGCCACAGCGGTAGAATCTGGTATCAAGGTGGAGAGGGTGGAGACCATGTCTACTGTCAGGGACGCCCTCCGCTCCATGCGCAGGCGGTGACTGGACCGATGGGCGAGAAAGGAGTGGTCTTTGTGGCCAGGAACATCTTGCTGGTCGGCGTATGAGACCACCTTGGCCAGGACTGGAGGGTGGGTGAGAGCCTGTGTGAGGATAGCGAAGGCTAGAAGGAGTTTGAGTGCTAAATGTAGCGAGAGGCTGAGGGAACCCTCCGCCGTCATCGTCGAATTAATCAGCGGTGGGAAAAGAAGAGTAGCGGGGTAGCATAGAGCTCAGCTCAGGAAGTGATTCAGCTGGGTCTCCAGGGACAGCAGCAGCCTTCGGGCCGATCAGCTTGGCCAACCCCGAGGCACTTCTCGGCCGATTCAGCGCTCTGTCTTTCGTGCATCCTCCGTCGTCCGCCGATCCGAGTGAGTGCTCAATTCTGATGAGTCTCTACAGCTGATGCTACCCTGAACTTGAAAAGCAGCCCAATCCTGGCATGACTGCTCATCGTTCATTGTCTTCCTTAGTGTACCATCATTTCCATACTGTAGCCTCGCTCCTCATCATCCTCTCTGCTTTCAAGCTCCGCGCTCCACATGACGGAAAGAGCACCATGACGGAAAGAGACTTGTTCCGGACTTCCTCTACCACCACACAATCCACCCTTCTACTCAATCGTTGTCTTGTCTTCGGGTATGTCTGCCGAGGGTGATAGCGGCACCATCGGAGGGAGGGAGCCAGCTCGGGCTATGGAGGTGGGAGAGACTATCAAGGTGAGATCAATCGTGGGCCAAGCATCGGCGGAGCACGACATTGCCCCTCCGTATTCATTGCTTAACCCCGCCACCTCTCTGATGTCTTACCCAGGTCGCAGGCAGTGGTACTTCAGAGTATACGATCAAGCGTCATGTGAATCATTACTCCTGCACATGTCCTGCCTGGCTATTCTACGGCGGCGAAAGCAATATCAGAACCTGCAAGGTGAGCATACATCGGCAATGAGCTGTCCTCCGCAGATACGATATGAAGCTGAAGTGAACGTTTTGTCCCCTCACAGCATCTGAATGCTGTACTTGGCGAGGCCTTTGAAGCAGCCCGCGTCCCTCCACGCTCTCCCTCTTCAAAGGGTAGGGGCAAGAAGGCTACCGCTTCAAAGCGAACCCGGCTTGTGGATGATTTTGAAGGCGACACTGCTTCACCGACGCACTCTCCCTCTTCGAGCAATAGCAAAAGAGTGAAGAGCGACGCTGCTTTCAACGACCTTACAAGGGAAAGTGACACTCTCGGTGAGAACGGGAAGGGGCCAATAGAGGTCATGCTGGCCAAGACCTGGGAGCTTGATGGGCGAGCATCACCACAGGGCCTCTGGGCCGCCGAGAAGATAGACGGAGTACGGTGAGTGCGAGCATTTCAGGCAACGCAGAGGTGCGCGAAGCTGGAGGGAGATGGCTGACCTTACCGGCTTCACCCTCGCTTCTCTGGGCATAGAGCATATTGGGATGGAGAGAGCATGTGGTCTCGCAACCGCAACAAGTACGAGCCTCCGACATGGTGGAAAGAGCGTCTGCCAAAGGATACTCCTCTAGATGGCGAACTCTTCGCCGGGCGTGACAGCTTCGATCGATGTTCCGGTCTCGTCCGCTCAGGTCCGGGTCCACACTGGAAGTCCATCCACTACCTCGTGTTTGATGCGGTGATGGAAGGTACAGTGGAAGAGAGATGGCGAGTGGCCAAAGCAAAGTGTGTAGACGGACAAATGTCACCCGATGATGTCCTGAAGAGCATCACAAGTTGCATTGCATTTCTGCCACAGACGGAAGTCAAGTCAAAGGAGCACCTGCTTCAATTGCTGGCCGAGGTGCACAAAGTTGGCGGAGAAGGGTGAGTTGGAAGGGTAGTAACGCTATCATGCGCCCGAATACGGATTGCTGACTCGTCTTCTCAAACCTTTATACCAGACTCATGCTTCGCAGGCCAGGAAGCCGATACACGGGTGGCAAGACGAGCGACTTGTACAAGGTCAAGACATGGTATGATGCCGAGGGCATCGTCGTGGGCTACAATGTCGGCGAAGGGCGAAATAGCCACCGCACTGGCAGTCTACGCCTCTTGATGGAGTGCGGTCATGAATTCGACTGCGGAGGAGGACGTGAGTATGATGGTGAAATCTTCTGTATACGACCTATTGACCTCAAGTGTACGCTTTCTCTTTCCGCAGTGACGGACTCTTTGCGGGATCACCCACCAAGTATCGGGACAGTGGTAGTCTACAAGTTTCAAGAGCTCTCACACGAAGGCACTCCCCGCTTTCCCATCTACTGTGGAGTGTCTGCGGACAAGGGCGTTGCCAAGGATGCCATTGTTCGATCAACTCAGCTGCGAGCTGACCAGGCTGTTGGGGCTGGGAGCGAGGCATAACCATTACTCAAGTATACCTGCCATCATTAGCATCGTCAATGAGGATACCCAACTGTCAACCCATTTTCATGTCACCTTTCGATTCTCGCAAACTATAGGATATGCCTATGCTGTCGTCTGGCTACCCATGAGTCGTACCTGAGCATCGTGATTCGCCAAGTGAGACTGGCGGATGCATTGACTGTCTCAGTCTGTCTTCGGCTGGGAGTAGGGAAGGAGAGGGGGTGGGGGGGGGGGGGGGGAAAGGTGCGGATGCGGGTTGACGTGGCGCGCATTGGGATCGGATCTAGCTGTGCGAGACATAGATGGAATGTGGGGTGATAAGGCTAGGGTCAAGTAAAGACAATGCCCTTGTGCCTGGCTAGAGTGCTGCAAGGGCGACTTGGCTGTATGCATTCGTTCCACAAGGAGGGCACAGCAGCAGAGGGCGAGTGAGGAGAAGGGAGGGGTTCAAAGAAGACGGCTGTGTAGGCGATGCTGCAATGAGGAAGCGAAACGGGGGAGAAGCGTGGTGAGACCTGAGCTGGTTGCTCCGACGCGTCGCGAGGGTGAGTGGTGAGATGGCTGAACTTGTCTACTTCCAAAAGTCCCGGCGGCGCTTGGAAGGTGGAACATGGTCGTGGGAGTCCATCGGGGAGAAAGGAGCGCAGAGGGCAGCACTAGAGGACGAGGACGTGGGGGGGGAGGCCAGGGCGGAAGCTCAGTCGTGGGCCTGGTGAGCCTTGTCTCGGCAGCCGCTTGTGTGCGGAAGGGGTGGCGCGTGGGCAGAGGCACTTTAGCCCTTGACGCGCCGTGGCGGAGATGCGCGTCCTTGGCTGCCCCCCTTTCCCTATCGCTGCCGCCCTGCCCCGCACCCACCGCTTGGCTGAGCAGACGCCAAATGCACCGACGCACTCCTACTGCCCGCACGCACGCACGCACGCCTAAGCACACACACACACACACACACGCCCCTCCCCCCCCCCTCCCCCACCCCTGGCCACTGAGCCCCTTTCTTCCTGTTCTTCCTACCCATACAATTCCCTACTTTGCCATCATCTCACACTCATATACCACAACATCGCCTTCAGAGCTACTCCCGCGATCAATCCACTGCTTCCTATCCACAATTGAGCAGCCCTCCACCCGGCCCGGCCCTTTGATTGGATCAACGCTCTGACTCACACCCCGCCTACCGCGACCGCCGTTGCCCCAACGGACCTGCGCCGCTTCCAAACGACACCACGCCGTCTCCCCATTCGCGGATACAAACAGCTCTGCGTCCTCCCCTTCGCCCTCGGTCCGGCTCTCACCATCAAGCATCCTTCGGCCCGACCGCTTCCCTTCACTCCGGGCGTTAGGACATTCGCGGCTACACAGCCACCAGCCACACCGCACGGCCGCCACAAGCCCATTCTCAGCCCTTGACATCAGCCTGTCTCGGAGTCACTGTAGCTTCATCCATCTAGGTCCCTCACAAGGGTTCGATACGATTCGCCACCTTCGCATCCGGCTCGTGCTTCGTCGTTCATTCTAGAATTACAACGACGCCTCCCTTTCGGCATGGCCGCCACCATCAATCCGGTCCAGTCTACCGACTCTGCATCTTCCACCTCTTCCACCATCCGCGCCAAATCTCCTCTGCGACAAAACGGTTTTGCCGTCGCACACCTCCCTTCCTCCTCCTCCACTTCGAATACTCACAACCACACTTCAGGAATGACTGCCAACGGAGATCACAATCCCACTGGCCAGTATCTCAGTCGATCTAGGACCACGACTGGGAGCAGCACAATCACACTCAAGCCACAATCTCACTCAAGACCACCCACCCATAGCACAGGCGCAATGGGCAATGGTGGTTCGGCAGACAGCGACGGAGACGTCGAGATGGAAGAAGGCGGAGCATCAGCAGGCGCTGATCAGGTGAGTTGTCGCAGGTGACTGGGCATTTGCATCTTCGCATCGCACCGAGCGCATCCTCTTACTTGAGCCCCTTCCTTTGACTTTACAGTACTCTTCGAGTTCTCAGCAACCGCTACCCATCCCACGTGTTCAGGAGCCCAGATCTGTAGAGACTCGAGCTGGGACCACGGCCTCGCAAACACCTAGCGACCTGTCTACACCTCCTGATGTGGTAGCCCGCGGTCACCATGGCTCCGAGGTAGGACTCAAGACACCTTCTTCGTCCAGCTCTGCCAGTCGCAGCGGCGGCGTGAAGCTGCCGCCTCTGTCCTCGATGAGTCCCAGCTTTGCAAGTACCCACAGAGTCTCTGCACACTGGTCACCAAGCCGTGGTTCGGACCCTCACCTATACTCCATCTCGAGCGGCAGCTTCTCCTATTCGAGCGTCAAGCCATACTTGAGCACCTCATTCAGGACTTCTGCTGAGCGCTCCGGCTCTGCACAAGTCGACGATCAGGACGATGAGGATCTCGACGATGACGTCTTCGGTCACACTTCAGGAGGACTGGTGCTGCAGGATCCGAATCCAGGCTATTCGTCTCGAGGTAGGGCACGAGGAGCTGCTGGAGCACCGGGGGACTTGGAAGGCGAAGGTGACATGGCCGGCGTCTTTAGCTTCTCGAGTCCCTACCTTCGGCCTCAATCGGCAGACGATCACGTCCCCGGTCTACCGCCCTCGCCCCCTGAGAGTCATGCTCGTTCGAGCTCGAAGCAACGAGGAGCGCCTCCCCCCGATCGCGTCCTCTCGCCCAGCTGGACAGCGAAGTCGCTTCAGCGGATGACGATCGGTGGCGGTGGGGTTGAAATGACCCCTTCGACAAGCGTTGGTGCGGGGTCTTCCTCCAACACGCCGGGCAGCAGTGGCGTAGGCGCAAACAGGCGATACGATCGGACTGCCCGTCCCTCGCACATGCACCATCCTCACTCGTACGCACATTCGCACTCGGCATTCAGCAAGTCGTTGCCTTCTGGCTCTGCACAAGCGGCACGTAGGTTGTCCTCGAGTCGCCTACCAAGACCCGCAATGCCTCCGACCTCTGTCAGCGCCTACTCCACAAGTCCTGGAGGGGCAGCGACTTTCGGCAGTGCTACCCTCTACTCGCGCAGTCCTTCCAACAATAGCCCATATGCGAGGAGTCCTGGTACAGGAGTAGGCTTTGCGGGTGGTCTCCGTCCTTCTCCGTATCATACTTCCTCGAGCAGTCGTGTAGCTGGTGTGAACACGACGTATGCCATGGACGTGCCTCGTGGACGAGAGCGATCCAGATCAAGACAGCGTTGGGCTATCCCTCGACCCGAGGCTAACAGAGCGTACGGCGAAGACGACGAGGGTGAGGAAGATGACGATGATGAGACGGACGATGAGATGATGCTCCCTGGACAAGTCGACGACGACATCGACGTTGACCACGACAGTGATGCGAGGACTGCCCGACCACGTATGGCTGCCATCGGTATTGCCGGCTCCTCCCCGCGCAATGACCAGAGACGCTTCGCCCCGTCCTCCATGCCAAACTACGCTGCTCCAGTCTCGAGCAATCGCCTCTCTGGTGGAGCTCATCCTCCCTCTGCCGCTGGCGCTGCCGCTGCAAAAGCAAGCTACGCAAGCGAGGTAGACGACGACGGTACTGGTCCCGCTCCAGATGAGATGACTGAAGTGTCCCTCATCCGTGACCGTCTTGGCGGAGCCGCCAACTGTGCCGCTTTTATTGCCAAGCTCTGGTTCCTCGTCACTCGCCCAGGGCGCTATGGGCGTTACTTGCACTGGAACACGACAGGCTCGACTGTCATCCTTACTACGGACCCGGACATCTCGAATGAGTTTGCCTCCGAGGTGCTGCCGAGGTTGTGGAACCATGCAAATTACTCGAGCTTCATACGACAGATGAACCTGTATGGATTCCAGCGACTGCCCTCTTCCCGCATACTAGAAGGCGCTGAAGTGCAAGCGGCGCATGAAGCTGGACTAAAGGCCTTTGGCTCTGCCACCTCTGCTGCTTCTAGTGGTGGTGAGCAAACCAACAGTATCAATGAATTCAGCACAGCACAACAGCTCTATGGTCCCCACAGCTCCTTTTTGCACCCCAAGTTCGTCAGGGGTCGAGAGGACTTACTGCCCATGCTCAAGCCGAGGAATGCAAAGAAGCCCAAGGCGGGAGGAGGAGGAGGTGTGGGAGGAGCTGCAGGCGCGGGCGGGGGAGGAGCAGGAGGGGTGGAGGGTGGAGATGATGAGTGAGCGAGTGAGTGAGCGAGCAAACGGTCAGAGCGGCTACGAGGAGCGAGAGAAAAGATGGAGATGGAGATGGAACCGGTCTCACATCTACACCCTCTCGTCCGATCCGGATCCGGATCCGGATCCGATGGAGCAAGTTGGGGGAACGAAGATCTCCTCTGCCCTCCTCTTCTCTTCTCTCCTCTTCTCTCCTCTCCTCTCCTCTTCTCTTCTCTCCTCTCCTCTCCTCTTCTCTTCTCTGCCTTGCCTCGCCTCTGCCTCTGCCTTGCTCTAATGGGCTGGCTACCTCTGCTCTGCTCCTATCTGTCTCCCTGTCTGTGTATACTGGTTCGCTGGCTGGCTGGCTGGCTAGTCGACGTCGGCGCCTGCTTTCTTCGAACTTGAACGTGAACGTGAACGACCTTGAACTTTATACCTCTTCTCTGTCTTCCGTCTTGATATTGTTGTTGTTGGTGATATTGGTGGTGGTGATGACTCTATAAACGAATCTTGATTATACCTTTCTTTTGGTTGTTTGTTTGTTGCCCACTCAGGACTGAGGACCGAGGGTGTTGGCATTACAGAGAGAGGCCGGGCGAGCGAGCGAGGAGACGCCCGCCCGCTCGCCCGCACGCACGCACGCACGCCTACGGTGCAAAGATCGAGGACAAATTCGAGCACAAGAGCACAAGAGCACAAAGGCACAAGGAGAGGTCACAACGATGGACATGTAAAAAAGTGAGTGTGTGTGTGTGTGTATTCCGCATCTGGACTTGGCCGCCTCTGCGAGACCTCTGCGAGAGGTGCTATCTCGTTGTGGGGAATGAAGTAGACACGACGACAGGGAGACAGGAAGAGAGGAACGGTGCTGGGTTGGTTGAGTTGAGTTTTGGGTCTGGTGAGGGAGGATGAGGGAAAGGGGACAAAGGAGAGAAGGTAGGCAAGGAGGGTAGGGCAGGGGAGGGGTAAGACAAGGATAGCAGGGCGTGCCAGGGCACACTGCACTGCATTGCATCAAGCATGCACATCCTGTCGAGAGCAGGCCCTAAATCTGAAGAGCAGGCCCTAAATCTGAATCTCCCTTCACCTTCTCACATCTCCTCTTCGCCCCTCCAGTCTTGTCCCGCCCCCTCCTTCTCCTTGCCAGTCTCGCGATCGATCAATCCCTCGAGTGTGCTCTGCAGACTACCCATGCTGAGAAAATGGCGGTGATGTACCCACCCAGGTCCAAACTCCTTCCCCGCCCCGGCTCCAACTCCAGCTCCAGCTCCAAATTCAGCTTCAAGTCCAGCACCGACCTCGGTCTCGCTTTCGTGCTGCTCTGTACCTTGACTGGTCTGGGAGAGGTAGCGAATCACGACTTCCAGTGAGCTCCGTGCTTGCAAGAGGGAGATGCTTGATGCCTGACCCATCTGCGCGCAGGGCTTCTTCGCATTGTTGCTCGCTGAAGCAGCGCTGCGACGGTGGCTCTGAGCGGCCTCGTCTTTGCCGCTGTCGTGAGTGGCAGACGGGGCAGGCAGGTCCGAGGGAAATGGCACGCGGTGCTCTGCATGGTTCGTACTCGAGTCCGGGAGGTCGGACCAGGCGCCTGCAGTGCGCTCTGCTCTAGAGCCAGTGGCGAGGACATTCTCTTTGTCTTGCTGCAAGGTGCTACTGCCGGTGTTAGATGAGGTGCTGACTGCCTGAGTCTGGGGCTCCACGTCATTCCGGACCTCGGAGCCTACTGCACCTGTTGAACCTTGAGCGTAGCCCTCCACGATGGAGAGAGATGCGCCTGCTCCTTGCTTCTGTGAGTGCTGAGGCCCAGGAGCAGAAGATGGCACCCGTGTCACTCGCTGACAAGGATCCTTGTTGCGAGGACGGAGTACACGGCGCGAAGAAGTCTGAACAATTGCTGCTGATGGAGCCTGAGCAAAAGTTGACGATGCAGTCGCATCAAAGTGAGGAGCAGGGGGTTGCTCAAGCTTGATAAGGGTGGGGCCCGCGTTCTGTCCAGTGAGACCGCTGCGATTTTCCTGTTCGGACTCTACGATGTTGATTCGTGCACGCTCACTGAGAGCGGCCGGTCCGTTGAGACGTCGACGACGCTTTGCAGGCTCGACTATGGGCGACTCGGGGAGGTGGAAGAAGTCTTCGTGCTTAAGAGCGCCCATGAGTTCCTCAGCGGGGCCAGTCGGCTGTGCACGAGAGGTTATCGCATTGTGTGGACGTTTCGCTGGGAGCGGTGGGATAGGCTGAGAATTGGAACCAGGCCCACTGTGCACACCGCAGGCTGGGTGATCCGCGGCGCCTCCTTGCACGTGGTGTTGGTGCCTTGCGGCGGCCGCCGTCGTCCTTGTCTTGCGATGCCTCCTTGGGGGCGCACTAGATGCTGCAGCACCCGCCACTTTGCCCTGCGTCGTTTTGGACACCCCACTGTCCTCTTGCAACGATACAGACCCATGCCTGGATAGAGCTGCCCTTTCCTTGAACTTTTCAATCCAGCCTTGTGATCCTTTGAAATTGCCTATATCTCCATAGAGGGTCTGTGCCATCTCCAGTGCCTTCTCCCTGATCGTAGAGTCAGTCACTGTACTTCCTTGACTCTCCACCTCGAACATCCAGTCGCCCAATTGCTGCTCAAGAACAGGCCACTTCGGCGGGCGACTGCGGGCCGCAGTGGGCTGTAAAGGCGAATCCTCTGGCATGGACAGCCACTTTTCCTTCTCCTTCAGAATCTTGGACACTGTGCTGCGCTCCACTCCGAACTCTCTCGCCAGTTGTTCCTGCTTCTGGGTAGGGTTCTCTAGGTGTCGCAGACAGACCAGCTTGCGGTCACCAACCGTCAATCGCTTCTTGCCCTGAAGACGTCGCACCTCTACTCGCTTCACACCGCCTTCTGAGTCTTTAGCGATAGAGGAAGCACGGCTGAGGCGATCCGTGCCGGAAGACGATGTGAAGCTTTCATCTAGTGACATTGAGTTGCTGCTAGATGCCATTGTCGACGGTGGCCCAAAGAAACGTGTCATATCGCCAAATGATGCAGGTGTGACGGGGGAGTGCCGCGCAGAGTCCGCATCTCTGGTTTGAAAGACTGAAGAAGGTGTGGTCGATGGCGAGACGAGGCTCTGACCTGGTGAAGGCGGGCTTGACATGAAAGGGTGACCTGAAGAAAGAGTCCGGAGGAAGGCTGCCCTATCGCTGCTCATGCGAGAACTGGGTCCAGTCGAGAGGGGTGCTGAACTTGGGCCGATGAGTCGCTTCTCATGGCCAGGTGCCGACATGGTCAAGTAAGGCTGGTCTATGCGGCGGATTGGAGTCATTGTCTGAAGACGAAGCAATTGCTCCTGCTGATGACGAGCGGCAGTCATATGATCGAAGCTAGCGTGGCGACTATGACCATGACTCTGAGCAATCGGCTGGAATGGAGAATCTGAGCTCGAAATGTACAAGCCTCGCGACGGCTCAGAGCAGAGAGCGTACATTGCAGCACTACCTTGGGGCGAGTTGCTTTGCCCGGGGAATGAGACATTGAGATTGACGCCTGCTTCACTGTGGTCTTGCATATGAGTGCTAGAGGCCAATCCAAATGGATGCCTCGCCATATGGATCATTTGCTGCATTGTAGCGTGCGTGTCCTGAGATGGCGCATAGAAGTTCGAGTTCCCCAGTTGACGGCTTGCACCCTCCCAGTCTCGCTCTTTCGATTGGGGTGAAGATTGCTGCAGCTGCCTCATGATGTCCAACTGCAGTGCTTGAGAAGAGGCAGGTCTCGCCAGGGAAGCATAGTGCTGTGAGTCTTGAGTGGAGCGCCGACTGTCGGCCAGCTCGAGTGGTGTAACGGTGCTCCAGGTAGGAGCTTGATGGCCCGCAATGAGCTGATCGACATTAGGACCAGGTGGGTACCATGACGCGAGATTGTCTGCTACCTCGGTAGAAGAGCCCTGGCTATCCACCTGTTGAATAGCTTCTTCGACCAGTCCTTGCCCCCTGACGGTATTTGCACGTGTGACCGGCATGGCCTGATCGAGGAAAAGCAGATGCAAGGCAAAGTCTCGGGAGGCTGTCGCGTGCTGGAGGAAGAGTAGATCAGAGTTGCAGATATTGTTTTGCCAAGAGGCTGGGTATACGAAGTGACGATCGATGAAAAATTCTCCTATGAGTAGTGAGGTGTGGGGCTGTTTCCTGCGTCCGAGCGCTGCCGACGATGTATGCTGGGGTATCTGGAGTTGCGAAGAGTCGTATTAGGGGTGTAGTATCTGTCTGGTAATGCGATCGCCCTTGATGGAAGCACCTTGTGAAGACCGAAAGCCAGCCGAGGGAAGAAAGAATGGGAATGACTAGCCACTTCTTCCCTACAGAAAAGGGCAGCGAGGCTTGCCAGGCAGTTGCAGGGACGAGAGCCGCTAGGATCTGACTCGAGATGGACCTAAACAGTCCAAGCTCCAGTAGAGTAGAGGCTAAAGGTGGCGAGGACAATTGAAGAGAGCAAGCTCAGGTAGGTCAAGAAGCAGGCAGTACAAGTGCAGCTACTTCTTTTCCCTTCCTCAGCTCTACTCTTCTCAAGAGTCAAGAACGCAAGAGGAAGAAAAAAAGGCGGAAGAGGATGCGATCCGTCTTGACCACTTGTCTCCTTTCTGCGTACTGCAAGGTCCGCCCGGGTTCGGAACGGTTGCAAAGTCGTACAGTCCCGGGTTCGTGTGCCTGTCTTTTCCTCCCAATGTACTTCCACCTTGTACTCAGGGGTCAGATGAGGATCTCAGGGTTGCTGATTGACGAGCCCTGAGCTCCTGGAGGATGACAAGGATACCCACCAGGGCAGATGAGCCAAAGTCCGGATAAGCCGCGCTCTGAAGAGTGCAAGTGCTGCAGCTTGATGCCTCGATGCCCTGGCAGCTGCTCTGGAGATCGTGGGGTCCTTATGATCCGGAGGAATGGAGGAGACTACAGGAAAAGAGTAGATGGCAAGGAAAGATTCCCGGCTGCCCACGTCTAGGAGAGGTACTGAGAGTACAGCTGATGCGGTTGAGAGAGAGAAAGAAGCGTTTGCAAGATAGTGGACTTGCTTTGCGGCCTTTAGCTGCAGTCCTCCAGCGAAGGTAGAGGATGAGTATGTCTGGACTGGGTGGTATGGACCCTGGATTCTATTTCTGCTTCAGATCCCCCCACTCTCACGAGGTTTAAGATGATGAGCCCCGGATAGCACAGAGGAGAGCAAGGCAGGAGCGAGGCGCTGCGCCCTGGAGCGTAGCTGCAAGGCCCTTGCGTGCAGTCCATGAAAGGAGCAAGGCGAGGGACCCGAGCCACCTGAATTTTCTCCCCCCACCCCCACCCCTTGGCCTGCACCCTCCCTCCGGCAGGGACACGGCGGTGCAGCCACTTGCCTAGAGCGAATGCGTCGGCATGGTGTGCCCTCCTCAATGGCCAAATATAGCGTCGGGACGGGAGAGCACAACACATTTGTCCCACTGCCAATGAGACCACATCTACGACGTCCCTTTGATCGAGCTCATCCCTGCCCCCGCAATTTCGAGACCAACACTCCGCGTTTTTCAAAGACCGCTCACCTGTTGGTCTTCCGCTCACACGAGCAAAATTCTCCTCTCCTGAGGCTCAGACGGAGAGGAGAAATGGTGACATTGACATTGACAAGGGACACATCATGCGTGACATGCAACGGCTTGGAGCAGCTCGTTGATTTTGGCATGGCTGAATCTGTGTAGAAAAACCGGGAAAGGAAAAGAGACGGAGACCTGTCACATCGTCTTGGCTTTCATGGACTGAGAGTGCACCCAGGGTGTACTGACAAAGACTCCAGCAGATGAGCTCTCAGACAGCCCTGCTTCCCATGTTGCGCGTCATCTGCTTGAACCACAGATTCCACATCTCCAGTTCCTCAATCTTCTTGAGTATCGGGGCAATCGCGATCCACTTTGCACCCTCGTATCGCCTGTGAGTCCAATGCTCGCCACCTTCAGCATTGTTGCGGCGCAAATTGCTAACAGCGGGCGACTTGACTTCCTCGAACATCTCAGACGCTCGGATCCACCTGGCCAATCGAATGACCAGATACTGGACAAAGTCCTTGTCGGCCTTGAGGCGCGCCATCTTCGCCTCTCGCTCGCCCTCTGGCGTGGTATAATTCCAAGATAGATCTCGGAGACTCTTGGGGGTGATGCGGGGCTCGTTCCACTCTTGCGTGTCGCAGAAGTTGCTCATCGTCTGGTCAATCAGGCCCGAGATGTCATCTTTGAGGCCTATCTGAGCCGAGTAGCCACGGGAGCCAGTGAAGCGCGTACCGAATCTAGAGAGGATGACACCCATGAAGCACTCTTCTTCCGAGAGATCCTCACGACGTCTCTCAGGGCTAAGGAGAGAAGAGAGGCCGAAGCTGTCAGGCTTCTCTGGAGACCTTGACCACTATACTGCGACCACAATTGCTACTCACGCATAGTCGTTGGCATAGCCGTCCAGCAAAGAATAGTAGACCTGCACCGCGGCCATGTCCTCATCTCCACCAGGGAGCCAATTGTCCGGGAGCCAAGGACGAATCTTGTTCCAGTAGAGGAGCCGAATCTCCGACTCACTCTTCACTGGAGAGATGTTCCTGCCCCAGCTGTCGATGTCAGCGCTGACAGAGATCGCTCGGAACATCTGACCTAGAGCCTTGGGAGACTCGTAGTAGCCCAGGTTCAGCCTCGCCCACCGACTGCGCTCTTTGGCTCGACGGCCTTCGACGCGATGCTCGCTCTGACAGAAGTCCGGTCTGGCAGGGTCCTCGAGACGAGGGATGTTGCGAAGATCAGGGGGGACGCCTGTCTTCTGATAGTCTACCGCGACCGACGCAAGCTGAGCTAGCTTCTCGCACTGGCGGTCCTCGACACCGAATGCTGAACGGTCCGCGATGCACAGGTGACGATCGGCAATCATGCCCAATCTGTCCGTCTGACAGTAGAGCAAGAAGAAGTTCACAACGTCTTCCCATGTGACTGGACGAGGAAGCGATTTTGGAGTCTCGCTGTCGAACTCTCCAGCGGGACGAGTCTTGGGTGGCATCAAGAGCGGATTCTGAAAGACGTTATAGAGATCGCCGTCCAAATCACCTCCGCTGAGCATCGATGGCAGTGGCCTGCGGCCTCTTCGACTGAACACGACGCAATTGTGCAAGTTCAGGAGAGGATGTCCAGGAGGTGGCCTTCCAATCAATGTGGCATACTGGACATCTCCAGCCGCAAGGTAAGGACTTCGCCCGACGAGACACCATCCTTTGAGGAACTGAGGGTTAGCATCCTGACCTTCTCTCAGCTGAACATACACTTGTCCTTCGTCCAAAAGGCCGCTCTCGTCCATGATGCCAATTAGCGTCCACGCTTGGTCAACTTTGCATCGTGCCTTGTACTTGATCATACGTAGGGCGCTTGTCAGCACTGTCAGATTGCACCTCTTGAGGAAGGCCACGTCGGTGATTCCTTTGATGCCCAAAACGCGATGGAGGGTCTGCAAAAGGTCAGAGCTCTCAGCGGCAATGCCGACGCCGTAGCTGCGATAAAGTCGCAGAGCCGCTACTGTGTCTGTGACTGCGAAGCGAAGGTCGGCAACGGCCTGCTCTTGAATGCGTAGGAAGTTGCTAGGCGGCACACCAAGTGTCTCGAGTAGTGCTACGAGGGGTCGGTTGAGGTTCGTGCTCAATGGCGCATCCGCACTGGAGGCGACTTCAAGTGAGATTGCATGGGGATGGTCAACTTCGTTCGTCTCGAACTTCACCATGCTTTCGCGAAGCATCACGTCAGAGCCGGTCTGCTCAGAATTGAGAGACAACACGCCCTTCGCACCACCAATACGGACTTGGAAGACGACAGGTAGTGTAGTCTTTCGCTTGTTTCTCCTGATCCTTGCGTCCTTTTCGTGCAGTTTCTCCATGGTGGCGCGTGATAGGGTGCCACAGCCGTCTGAAAAGATGTACTCGCGAGAAACGACGTTGCCAATGCTATTGTAGCGCTTCGTACCTATCTTGACATCTTCGACGATGAGTCTCCTCTCGAATGGAACATCGATCTGGAAGGCTGTGGAAGTGAACGCCTGACCCATGCGAGCCGCATATCTGGCCGGTACCTTGATGTTAGACAAGTCGCCGATCGTCGCTCGGATCGAGTCGGCAGACACAGCCTCACCCTCATAGACGAAGTCGGACACGAACCACGTGGAGTGCTCTCGCAAGCTTGAAGTTGAGAAGCCCAAGAAACGGAAGAGCCTGCCGCCGACCCTTAGACCTTCGAGGAAGAGCTTTTGCACTTTGCCACTGAAGATCTGCTCGTCTTGGTCAACTTCTCGGGAGTCTCGAATAAGATCGCCCGACTCGTCCTGGATTCGTACGCGCAGGAAGTGAGTCTCCTTGCCAGGGTAAGCCCGGACGATTCTGTTTCCCGTGTCACGCTGAGGTCCGTCTAGCCACAGTCCAGCAGGTGTGATGACAGCGGCATGTATCTGATGGTAGCCAGTGTCCTCGTGTACAGTCTTGAACGGCGATCGTTGAGCCTCTTCGGCTTGCCAGAGCTGCTCCTTCAATCGCTGAGCGAATGCGTCTGCATCAGAGACAGAGACTTCACCAGGCATGTGGTGTCGCAGGCCGCTGCGAGCGGTTCGCACGACGACTGCTGCCGTCGGAGGATCGAGGCGTCGATCGATCTCTTTGAACAGCAGAGTGAGCTCCCATACCTCAAGAGGAGTGAGGAGACCCGACTGGACAAGACCATGCACTTGAAAGCTGAGTTCAAACGAAGTACTGGCGTACCATTCGTTGAGCTTTCTCAAGATGCCGTTGCGGTAGGGCTGATCCGTATTCTGCTCGATGTCAATGTAGGCGACAATGTCGATAAGCTTGCGTCTCCATCGCAGCAGGAAGTGGTCCAGATCTGCTCTGTTCGTACACCGGACTTTGACGACGTAGCAGAATGGTGCGATCTTCTCGTGGGCACTATCGAGACCCGGCGTTCTGACAAATTTCGCCACTGAGTCCAGCCCATTGAACTTCATGATCCCGACTCTGCGGGTGAGCGAGGCAATGCCGCCAGTGATGTCCTGCAGGTACGTGGGCAGTGCAGTAGTGTAGATGTAGAGGTCCTTTCCGTGTACGACCAGCTTCTCCACGCTGTACAGAGATATGCTGATGAGTCGGTCGCTGAGGCGGACTGTGAGCTTGGCAGAGTCTCCATCTAGATCTACGACAGAGTAGTGGTCATCCAAGACATTGCTCTTCCAGGCAGAAGCGAAGCGCCCTTTTGAATCCCAGCCTCCGAGCTCGCACTCGAGCACGTAGAGGTCCTTGGCTCTTTCTTCGTCGCTGTTCTCGTAGTCGGAATGTGTATCGACAGCCACAGTATTTGGCTTGAAGATAAGGGACTTGATTTCCTGCTCGGTGATGCGAACAGTTCCTGGCTTGGGCCTCTCGAAGCGCAATCTATGCTTGGCAATCTCGACAGAATCACGTGCTTGAGGTCCATACCAGCGCATGAATATGTTGCAGCAGTCTAGGTTAGGGAAAGTGACCTGCCCGAATTCTACTGTCCCACGTTTAGACCTGACTGTAGCTCTGAAGGTCGGAGGATCTGGGAAGGCCTTCTTGATGGCGGCGCCGACTGCCTTTCGAAAGACGCGTGCATAGGTGTTCTGAGGCAATTGGTAGCACACCAACACTGGTTCTTGAGGTCGTTCGTAGTCTGGCAGATTTTGACCTCTGGAGCCTTGTGTGGATCTTGGGCCTCTCTGCTGATGGTTCTGACGCTGAGTTTGCTGATTTTGTGATCGTTGCTGATGACCGGAGGTACTTTGACGGCCTTGAGTTCGACCAGCAGTGCCTGTTGACGAAGCAGCGGAGGGTGCAGTCCTGAGCTCTGAGCTTGCGAGGTTGTTCTGTCGAAGAAGCCATGGCGGAGGAAGAGGAGCTTGGGCTGAAGGACGGGTGACTGGGAGGCCACTGCTGGTTTTGGGTGTACGAAAGCCAGATGAGGACGAAGAGGCGTTGGAGCTTATGCTTGTGACAGCACTACCCAAGTCTCTGATCGAATTGATGTCCAGCTGAGTGAGAGCATGTTCGAGGGCGGGCATGTTGAGAGAAGGGGCCCGTGAGAGAGAAGAGTGTCATATGACCTGGGGGTGTGGGCTGGCTTGGGGAGGACGAGATTGCGATGGTCAGGAGGACAAGGTGCAGACAGCACGGCGGACGAGGAGAGCCATGTCTCCTCACACAGAGGCTGCGAGCGAAGAAGTCATCAGGCACGGCGGAGGTAGAGTGCTTGCGGTCAATCCTGCCGACGAAGAACGACGTTGAGTGGCAGCAAGAGCAATCGAGGCACGCGCTCCAATCAATTACTTCGACGGAAAGAGACACGCGTTCAGACTCCGCTCCACTCCGCTCCACCCAGAACTCGGCAACGGCAAAAGATGGAATGACGAGGTACGATACTTGGCAACCAGACACATCCTAGCACTGAGCACCCAATCGATTGCCACACCTCAGACAGCACCCATGCCTACAGCGGTACCCAAGCCTGGTGGCTCTCAATCGCCGCCGGAGCAAGCAGCTCATCCCACACGGCTGCCCACCGCCTCGTCGTCGCTGCGGGTACAGCTCCCCCCTTCATCCTTCCTCAGTGCCTTTGGGAACAACGAAGCCTCCTCGACCTCTCAGCTCAGTAGGTCTAGGCCAGATCAGAGAGCTCGGAGATCCTCCGGAGGTTCTGGTACTGCTACACCAGCAGCAGCAGGGTCATCCTCTTCATCCTCAAGACCTGCTGGCGTGCCGCCCCCTCCTCAGACGAGCGATGCATCGCTGCTGGCCCAGGGCATCCTTGAACAGCAAAGGAAGGCAAAGGAGATCTTGACTTGGCAAGAGAAGTTGATGGAGGACAGGCAGATCTCCAGGGAGGAGCTCAAGAAAGGGGTGAGTGGGAGCAGAGGCCTTGCTATGCGGACATAGTGCATATACTCAGTCTGAAATTTGTCTTCCCTCCTCCTCCTCGTCTGGTACGATCCACAGCTCACCCGCCTTTCAATTCCGTACTGGCTGCAAATACTCCAAGAGAGGTCCATCTACAACCTCTGCGGCTATCCAACATGTCGGAATCGATTGTCGTCGTCCGGCCCTGCCACCACTAATCCGACACCTCGCTTCCGGATCAGTGTCTCTCGCCGTGCCATTGAACGAGACACGTCCGACGAGCCAGGCGGACGCAACAATTTCTGTTCTGCCACCTGTCATGCCCGGTCCGAATGGGTCCGACGATGGGTCTTGAATCCATCCTCTTCCGTAGGCGACGCTGATTCGGCTAGTGCGAGAGGAAGGGACCCGGTCTTGGCTGACCCTGTGGCAGAACAGATGCGGAGGATCGGGCAAGAGCAGGCTTTGCAGGGTGGCAAGTGGGAGGCTCTGATGAGCAGAAGAGAGGATCAGTGGAGCGAGATCGAGCTTTTGGAGGATCTGGAGGACCAGGGGGAGCTCGATGGTTGGGAGGGCTTTGGAAGCACTAGCGGCGCAACACAGCCAGGAGCGCTGTCCAAGGAGGAGGATAAAATGCACAAGAGCACACCTCCTACACCAACGACTGCAGCGAACACATCTACAGCCGCACCAAAGAACACTGCCGCTTCTCGTCTCGGCCCTCTAACAATCTCCGAGCGCGATCCCTCCTCATCCGCAAGCACCTCTGCTGCCTCTCACCCTCCAGCAAGCAAAGATACGCCTCTCCCACGTCGATTCCACGGCTCTACAAGCCGGGCTAGATTATCCGCATCCGCACAGGCAGCAGCTACAGACGAGGACTTGGACTCCTTTTTCGACCTGGGCTCATCCGCAGCGCTCAAGCGCTCCATCCAGGATGTTTCGAGCAGGCTTAATGCGACGCGATTGGATAGCCTACCTGTAGCTACTGCCGGTGGTGGTACCGGCGGTGTGGATGGTGAAGAGGAGGGAGTGGACGAGGAGGAAGAGGAGGAAGGAGAGGCCGTCTCTGGGGAAGAGGACGAAGGGATGGACGAGGAGACGCGCCGGGCTCGAAAGGATGAAAGACGTATGCTGAAAGAGGCTCTGCAGCTCCGGGACGAGATGAGGGAGAGAGGCGAGCTGGACTGAGGACTGACCAAAGACAGCGGACAGCGGACAGCGGACAGCGCTACTGTGTTGCAGTACGCCTTTTGGCTGATGGAAGATACCCCTTGTACGACGTAGCAATATCATCACTATCGCGCATTGCAGAGACGCAAAATTGTTGTGACATGGTGCGTAGTAGCATTACAAAGCCTAGAGTAGACGCCCGAAAGCTGCAAGGCAAATAAAATACACCGAGAACGCGAGTCGGATTCAAGACCGTATCTATAAACCAGGAAGAAGGAGGAGGATCCAGGCCTGCTGTGAAACAGTCCCTCTAGAGCACGAAGGTTTCCCTTCCTTACCTCCCATTGCACCTACCCTCAATTCCTCGAAGGTGCAGGCGCAAATGCCACACTCCCCGTCGCCGGCATCGACGCGCCCTCAGTAGGGGTATTCACTCCACTCCCTCTCTCCGGCGTGCTCAAGATCCCCTCACTCCGTCCTTCATGAGCCTCCAAGTGCGTCCGCACGGTAGGTCCAGGTGTAGCACCACGACTGTGTGAGCGGGAATCACCACTGCCACTGCCGCTACCGCTGCCGGGTGTTTGACCACCAGTGCCGCCCTGCCCTTCTTCTCCTACTGCTGCATCTCCACGACTGCGAGAATTGAGAGCTTCAAGAGCAGCGAGGACTTCGGGGTTCTCGTTTGCTGCAGAGGAAGGAGGGAGCTGGAAGGCCTGGATACCACCGGTGGAACCTAGACCAGAACCAGAGGTGGGACGTCCCCGCTCCGGCTGGGACACGTCAGGTGCCGCCGAAGCCGAGGAGTCTTCTTCGCGAGAAGTTGCAGAGGTGAGTTGCGAGTGGGATTGGGAGCCAGAAGAGGACGAGGAGGCGGTGAAAGAGCTCAGGAAGGCGCTTAGTCTTCCCGGTGCCTTCTTTCCCTTTGAGCTGCCCTTGCCTGATCTCGAAGATCCCTCGTCGACTGAATTGTCGATAGGGTTCTCGCGCTCATCAAGAGGACTGGTGAACGTCAGCGTCGTGGGACCTTCAGCTTGTGGGGATTGGGGCGCAGATCGACTGCTGCTCCCACCACTGAGACCTTCACCAGCGCTGTTGATGCGTGAGATGGCCTTGTCCTTGAAGGAGGGCTCCTTGTCTTGAGAGCCGGAAGGTTGCGAAGCAGATGACTTTGGTCCAGTAGCAGCACTGCTTCGCCCTTCCTTGCGCTTCCGGAACGAGCCTTGCTTTCTGGGAGCACCACAGGCAGCCCCATCGACTCGGTCATGCCGAGTATCGCCCGTGTCCAGGAAAGACACAGAGGCAGACGGCGCACGATTGGCGGCGCGGTCGCGTTGACTCGATCTCACGTCCTCGGGCGTCCTCAGAAGGCCTGAAGACCCGCTGGTGGTCATTTCTTGCCGCGAGTCTTGGCTGCTCGGCTCTTCGTCGACGTAGTCTTCAGCATTGTCGTTGCCATCGGCAAGACTGCCGGAAGCATCCTGACCTCCCAGGTAGCCCTTGCCGGCCAGGACCTTGCGCCTCATGGAGGCTCGGCGACCACCATGTGCGAGATGTTGGCGCGGTTGAGGAGGTCTTGAAGAATTCACATCACTGCTACTTCTCCTTCCAAGCGCTGGAGGAGATTTGGAGCGATTAGGCGAGGCATTGAAAGGACTCCTGGGAGCAGGCAGTGTACCCTCGGCATCAGACGCAGATGCAGATGCAGAGGACACTGCCGTCTCATCCCGACTGCGATTATTTGAGCCTGGCGTGGCTGTGGACCGCTCATCGTCACCATCGCCTTCCTCGCCCTTTCGCCAATTCATTGCCTCGTACATCATCGCAGCTCGATCTTGTCGCTCCTGCTCGGTCTCTTCCTGTGACTGATCACGATCGGCATTGCCAGTCTTGCTGCTCTTGTTCCTACCGCTGCGATCGCCCTTGGCAGACGACATCCAGCTCTGAAGCGCTCCCGTAGCGACGAGCTTACGAGCAGCTTCGGCAGGGTGCCACTCCCGATGAGCACTGTCTTCGACGTGGTCGTCCAGCTCATCTCGATGTGCGTACATCCAGCTTGCGGCAACAGTGTTCTCTTCGTCTTGAGAGCAGAGAGCGATTCGTTCTGCTTCTTCCGAGCTGAGCTCGACGACGCGCACCAGAGGCTCAGAGCTTTTGTGCTCCATGTACTCAATGACAAGCTGGGTCCCTTCAAGCCATGATCTTGCCTTAGGGTACCGCTCTGATTCGTCACGGAACTTGTCCATGGACTTCCTCTCTTCTTCGTCCTTTGCATCGACAATTCCTGGTCGATGGCGTCGGTGGCCTTCCTTGTCCTTGCGGACATCCTCGTCCTCGTCAGACTCATCGATCTCGCCAGAAATGAGCTCGCGGTCCATGGGAGCATCACCCATGTCGCCGTCATCATCCTCTCGCTCTCGTTGTCTTTGCTTTCTCCTAGCCTCTCTCCTCTCAGCTTGCTTTGCCTTGAAGAGCTTCAACTCTGCCGTATTGTCACCTCCCCACTCGCAGCTGGGGTCTTCCATCTCATCGGCTTCCCAGTCATCCAAGTCGTCGCACTCTTCCCTCGTGCAATTGTGCCTGTCTCTCTTACTCTTGGCGCTGCGCTGAGGAGTATCCTCACCATCGGCCTTCTCGTTGAGATCGCCCTCTGCCAGCTCCAAATCCCTCTCTGTGCGCGTGTTGAGCAGGCCGAACCTGGTTCTCGACCCACTAGAATCATCGCCACTGCCATCGGCGCTTTGCCCATTCGAGGAAGACTCTCCTCTGAGCTCCTTTTCGGCATCGCCGCCGATGGCTCCCTTTCCGATGACGCCCAATTGAGCGTTGAGCACTCGCTGGATCTCGGTCATGCCATCTGTATTGCCGTCCTCATTGACAGATCGCATCGTATCGCCAGTGGTGTATCTCTTGAGCCTGCCCAGCCATCCAGGCTCGCCCCCGTCCGCCATGGAAGGGTGTCTACTCCAGGTTCTTGTGATCGTCGTCGCCCTCTTGGAGAAGGCGAAGAAGGGCACGGTCAACCCATGTACAGCGACAGAGCACAGGACGAGGAAGAAGACGATAGGCTGGATGGTGAGGGCGAGAACATCGTTGCTGGTCTCAGGAGGTTCAGGGATCTCTTCCGGCAGCTCATGACGACCGAGAGTAGCGATGAAGATGGCTCCGACTCCCATAGGGCCGAAGTGACCTGAGAACATGGCCTCGCGGAATGTCTTGATGTCCGGAATCCACCTCCACAGGGCGAGAATGATTGGGATACGCTTGAGCATGAGTACTGCGATTGCCAGAACGATGCACCTCCAGACGTTGAGAGAGCCAGCAGCATGTGCAAACTCATACCAGGGCATAAGAGCGCCAATGTAGATGAAGGTAGCAGTGTTGAAGAGCAGATCGACGATGTTACTGAAATTCGAGTCTTCCGTCTGCTTTGTGAACCATCCGTCCCAGGCAAAGGCGGTACCGCAAGCAAATGCTGCAAGAAGATCATCACTGCCGAGGAGTACATTGACTCCCATACTGGCAATGGCTAGACTGACGTACTGCGCGACAAACGACTCTCGGTCCACCAGTCGGCGCCTTTCTGAGAAGCGCATTGCCTTGCGAGCAGCCCAACCGATGACAGCTCCTAGGATGGTACCAAAGATGATCTGGTATGCAAGAGCGTCGTAGAACCATTCGGCGATACCTTTACTCTCGTTTCCACGAGTCGTGGTGAGGAAGAGGGCGAGGTACAGAAAGGGGAATGCGGCTCCGTCGTTGCAGCCAGACTCGCACTGTAGCATGTGCCTCAGATGGGCAGGCACGTGTTTCTCGGCCCAGGGACCACCCACAACGGCTTGTGCCAGAATGGGATCGGTAGGAGTGACGCAGGCTGCCACCACGAGACTGTTGAGGAAGTCCATGCCGGGCACGAGGAGGAGGATGAATCCGGCAGTGACGAGCCAACCCCAGACCATGACTGGGCCGAGGAGCATTGCAATACTCCTCCAATGACGGAGGAGGTACTTCTTAGGCAATTCGACACCGACTGCAAAGACGGAGAGTGCAATCGTGACTCTCATGACCTCCAAGGTGACCTCGTTGGTGACGTAGCCACCGGGAGCCCGAGTGGACGAGCCATCTCCCCATGATATCGGATTGAAGACGTTCGCCGCGGCAGGACCTGCATCCAAGAGAAGCGTACGCTGTCAGACATGGAGGGCGATGGCAAGGATGCGAGCGAGGCGCAATGGAACCCTATCTTATACTCACCTACGATGATACCAAAGATCAAAGCCAGAGGGGCTTCACCCATGTATAGTTTCTCCTTGATGAACAAGGATAGCATGCCAAAGACGACGATGAACAGTCCCAGGCCCACATAAATGACATGAGGCGCCGAGACCTCAAAGGGATCGAAGGACCCCATGTTGCCAATTGACAAGTCTTGGTGTTCCCGCTGAGTCTCTTTGATTTAGTCCGAGCCCAGAGACCTTAAGACAGGTCGAGTCAGAAGGCTGAGCCGGTGGCTCTGACCTACGAGGTAGGCAGAGGATTCGATGGAGGAAGAATTACGGATGAATGGCTTGCAACATTGAAGTAGAGCTGATCGAGTGATAGGAGCGAGCCCAGCTTGACGGCTATGAGTGTCGTCTCACGTGTCCCTGAGTGTGTTTGCACGACTTGGCCTGTAATTGTCCGAGGCCGGTAGTGTGTAGCCCTGACCGCGAAGTAAGGATGCGAGGCGGAAGGGAGGACGCCGAGTGAGGCAGAGGAATCTCGAGGAAGAGGTGGCGATGAAGCAACCCGCGTGGGCAGAGTAGTAGGGAAATGGCGCTTTAGATGAAGGCGACGAGGCCGAGGCAGAGGCGAGTGAGTAGCGAGGGCCAAGAAATCAATCGGACGTCAGGCTTCCGCCCGATGCCTCGTGCGCTTATCAAAAAATCACGGCACAGGGGCAGGCAGCAACGGGCCGCCCTGAGAGAGGACAATTAAGGGGCGCGGGCGGGGCTCACACTGCCGCCCCTCGCAGGCGCAGGCAGGCAGTGGAATATTATGCCGCGCCAAGGCAGAGCCTACACGGCACAGAGCCGGGCAACGGACTACACCAAGTACCATGGCACGATCATCTTACTCCTCGGCTCAGGAGGCTCCATGACTCATCCAAGCTACCTAGTATTACCGTTGATCGCGACAATGGGCTGTTGATCTCGAATCTGGGTGCGACTTTGTTCTCGCCCACTCTGCAGGCGGCGATTTGGTGCCTGGCTACCCAGACGCCGGGACGATCTCTGCCGCGTGGTATCGAACCCCTTGAGCACTGACAATGTCTGACCAATCAGTCACCTCTCGCACTTGCACTGCAAGACCACCCTTCTATTCTCGAGCGGGGCTTATGCTTGCAGAGAAGCATAACAGGTGCTCGGCGCCATTCTGTTCATTCCTGCAAGACCCCAAGGTGCAAGCCGAGTGACATCACTCTACGGCGATTGGTACCGCTTCATTTCATTTCTTCCCGCCTGGTCGAGAGGACGCGATGACACGGCGCGAGACACGACAGTGGGACGCGACAATGGGCGAGCGAGAAAACAGGCATGAGTGGCCTATGGACTGCCATGACTTGCTTGAAGCGGATCGTGCTAGCTGGCCACATCTTCCTAGTGGAGACGAGAGATCCCCGCTGGCTGCTCTCCTCTGCTGCCTGGCTTGACCATCGGCCACTGAGCACGAGCCAAGGCGGGGGGGAAGAAGCGCGGGCTGGGCCGAGCGCGTGCCTCCACGGTAGACTAGAATGGGTTTCAGGCAGGAGGCACTGCAGCAGAGTCATCGCTTACGCATTGATCAGACGAGATACACCTCGCCCCGGGGTCTTCGCCCTGCCCTTCGCGCTGCCTGGCCCAGTCGCCTATTGCTGCCAGAGCTCGCCCTCTTCTTCTTCTCACCTCTACTGCACTCCACTCCACTGCCCCTGCTTCTGTCTCTGCTTCTTCTCGCAGCACCCAAACATCTAGACACTACACGCGTACCCTGCAGTCCTCATCCACACTCTTTGCTTCCCTTCTCCTTCTTTCTCTCTTTCATCCTCTCTCGCATCTTCCTTCTCCCCCTCACACACAATGGCAAGCGAAGCAACCACCACGGGCGGAGGACCCGCTTCAAAGGAGCAGCCTCAACGTCAGGCTGCTCAAAAGGCTGAGAAGAATGTGACCGAGGAGCTCCTTGGAGAGGACGAAGATGATGAAGATGAGGAGGACGATGAAGATTTCGTGAGTAGACTCGGACTGGAGCGTGAGTGCGCTGGGCCGGAAGGCCCGAGGGACAATGGAAGCTTGCCGGCATTGAAGGTACGGGTGGGAGGAGGAGCTACGGAGCGCACACAATCCAGCATGAGAGGGGGCAATGTGGTCTTACAGAGGCGTCTGTTCTCACAATCTGACACAATCAAAATCTCTGCCTTTGCTCCTAATCGCACCTCTACAGCAAGAGGGAGACGACGACGAAGAGTGAGTAGACGGACACAGCACCTTTACGCAGCTTCCGCAAAGACAACATCCTCTGACTTCTCTTTGCGCTCCTTACCGCGTCAATCTTTCGCAGCGAGGAGGATGTCAGCGATGACGACGAGGAAGAGGGTGACGAAGACGAGGAAGAGTGAGTTCCCCAGCTATGCCAATCCAACTCAACTGGCTTCCAATCCTCTGTATATCTTTGCTCACCTCACCCACTTTCCTCCGCATTTCCACAGGCAAACCGGTGCCGGCTCCAAGCGCAAAGCAGGTGCTCAGGGTGGATCAAAGGACAAGGCTGCAAAGGGCGGCGATGACGATGACGATGACGAGGAGGAGGAGGACGAAGATGAGGAAGAGGAGGATGGAGGAGACGATGAGGAGGAAGAAGAGGAAGAGGCAGGTGCGGAGGATGATGCACCTGATGCTGCTGCTGGAGATGATGATGGAGAAGAGGCAGAGGCGGATGATGCTGATCCCGAGGAGGAGTAGAGGTAGAGCGGTAAAGGCTCTCCTAATACGACTCGAAGGGTCAGGAGGGGAAAGACAGGTGTGGAAGAAACAAGAACTTGTGGCATGTGGCAGGCAAGGAGAATGTCGCAGGAGGTCATGCTGTCAAGCAAAGATACAAATCAAGATATGTTCATCTGCACTTGTTCGACTCGCACGGACGGATGGTACAATCAGTCTGCATTGCCTGCAGTTTGAATCGATCGGAACGGCCAATGGCGCAGCTTTTCGGAGTGACACTTACTTCCGAGATGTCAGTTCAGAGAGTCTCTCTCGGCTAAATGCCAAATAGATAGTCGTCACACCTCAGACAGATGGGATGTAGACGAGAGATGCGCAGGTAATCCCATTGGCACGCAGCAGAGCATCTCTTCTTACAAGTCTCACTCTACTTTCAAGACTCCGTCCACCTTTGGGGAATCAGTGCTGAAAATCCTTTTTCTCCGTCTAAGGGTTCTCGGCACACCACGAGACACCCTTCTCGATGTTCTTCTTCAGCTCGGGGACACAGGCCTCAATGAGCTTCTCCTCCTCGGACGAGATCTTGCCAACGGGGTGGATCTCCTCTACACCATCGGTGCCGAGGGTGACGGGGGTGGCAAAGAAGTCCACACCCTGGTCCTTGTAGAGGGGCGACTCAACGTAGGCGCACTCCTTTACGCCCTTCTCACCATTGAGAGCCCTGAGGAGCGAGTTGGTGAAGACAGCGGCGGCGTAGGCCATAGAGAGGGTGGCGGAACCAGCTCCGTCCTTGGCCTTGACGACCTCGTCTCCTCCGAACTGAATTCGGTGCACGAGCTTCTCGTACTGCTCACCAGCCTGCACAGATGAGCCCTGAGCGGCTTGCGAGAGCAGAGGGACAATGGTGACACCGGAGTGGCCACCGACGACGGGGACGATGGTCTCGGAAGGCTTGGCACCGGAGATACCCGAGAGGAAGGTGGAGGCTCGGGTGACGTCGAGGGTGGTTACACCGTACAGCCTAGATTAAGGAGGGAGGAGGAGAAGGGATCAGCGATCAGACCCGATACTCCTGATTGGCTACGTGGCTGTCCGGTCCTACTCACTTCTTGGGGTCGTAGACACCGGCCTTCTTGAAGACCTCTCGGCAGATGGGCACAGTCGAGTTGACGGGGTTGGAGATGATGCAGAGGTGGGCCTTGGGGGCGACCTTGGCAGCAACCTTGGCCAGGTCACGAACGATGGAAGCGTTGGTCTAGCAGGATTGAAAAGGTGTGTGAGGCTGACTTGTCAGCTGCTCGCTCCGATCGGTCATCGGCATACTGCACTTCTCGGTCCACTCACGTTGAACAAGTCGTCACGGGTCATTCCTGGCTTTCGGGGGACTCCAGCTGGGATGACGATGACCTCAGCACCCTCAAGAGCCTTCTCGAGGCCTCCCTCGGGTCCATCTGGGGAGTAGCCGGTGGTCTAGTAATGCAATCGGGGAGATCGAGGCAGGGTCTTGGTTAGTGATAGCCCTTTGAGGCCAGCCAAACGTCTACATCCTCACTCTTACTCACGACGGCGGGAGTGTTGACGTGACCAATGTCAGCAGCGACACCGGGGGCGAGTCGCACATCAAAGAGCCGCAACTGGGTGACCAGAGGGTCGTTCTTGAGCAGGAGGGACAGAGGCTGTCCGATTCCTCCAGAGGCACCGAGGACGGCGACGGCCCTGTTGCTGGCTGCGCTGCTCGAGAAGAGTCGGGCAGAGGTGGGGGTGCGGAGAGCACTTCGGAGGGCGGTACGACCGATCATGACGAAGATTGTTAGGTGAGGTGAGGGTGGAATGGTGGGGCAACCGGAAGGGAATGAATGAGAATCTCCGTCTCGGTCAGACGCTGCGAGGCGACGGGGAGCCGTGCGCGAGAAGAGGCGGCTGGAATCACTCGGGCAGAGAGGCCCGCATCCCAACTGAGGCGGCGGCACCGGACCAGTCAGCAGATGGCACACACTCGGTCGAAGCCGGGAAATGAAACAGGCGCAACATCAGCGACCCAAGAAGAGAGCAAGGAAGGCAGACAGGTGACCATCTAACAGCAGAGGCCTGGAGCACATCAGTACGGGTGACAAGGTAGCTAAGTCCAGTATACAGTCGCAGCGCAAGCCAACTCATGGCTTGGCTGTTCTCACACAGCGCTCTCGAAGGGGACAGAGAGGTACGACGGACAGCAAGGAAGATGAGATTGAGACGCAGCTCCAGAAATCACAGTCCTCCTTGAGTCCATACTTGTCGAGAGAGCAGTGTCAGTCGTAAACGACCCTGGTGATCCTTGGTGAGCTCCCTTCTGGTCACAAGGGTGAGCAGCTTCGATGACGCCTAGGCGTGGCTAGCCTTGGCTCGCGGGGCGGCTCTGGACTTGGCCGTGGTGATCGGAAGGGGCGAGTGCGCGCGCCGTACAGCGGCACCGTAGTCGAGAGAACCTTTCGAGGTCCGCCCACAGGAAGCGGGTGGCTCGGTCAAACGCACTGAACCCACGCTTAGCACCTTCGCACTTTTTCCCTCACGACACCACCTCACCCTCATCGTCCCCTCATCAAGCAACTTTACAACAATGGTGATTATCAAGACATAGCACGGCATTTGCCACTTTCTCTTCTATCCCCTTCGAAGCCAACATGGCTTTACCCACGCATCATGCCGTAGTCGCTTGACTCGGCGCATCCTCGCTTCCTTTGCGATGGTGTGAATGCTGCTGTTGCTGCCGATGCTACAACATCAGGCGGTCAGCTTTTCCTGTGGAGGAAGAGGTACACGGCTTGAAGCTATCGAGTAGAGCAGATCATAGCATCTGTCTTGTTCTCGATGGTCGATTGTCAGACGGCCTCTTCTGATGAAGCAGATGACTTTAGGGGATGGTGTAGAGCCCTGTCTTCCCACGTGAAGACATCTCTCACCAGCTAGGGCTCCGAGCTAGGAGGATTGCCATCTGGTTACACAGCGACAGTGAAAGCAGACTGAGAGATGATCAGCGTGCATGCGCTGCCTCTTCTCAGTCTCGTCCTTCACTCATCTCTGTCGTAGCCGGTGGAATGCCGACTGTGCTGTCTCGACCCAATGACCCCGCTTCAGTTTTAGCTGACCTTACGGAACCTCTGTCCCTTTGTATTTCCCACAGTCGAAGGCACCCAAGTCTGGATCCAAGAAGGCCGCTCCCGCCCCCTACTCCAAGGGTGGCAAGGCCGCCGCCAAGGCACCCAAGGACACCCGCTTCGAGAAGCGATCCAAGTCGTTCGGTATCGGCCAGGACATCCAGCCTCCCCGTGATCTGACCCGCTTCGTCAAGTGGCCCGAATACGTTCGTCTGCAGCGCCAGAAGGTCATCCTCAACCAGCGCCTGAAGGTCCCACCTGCCATTGGCCAGTTCTCCCACACCCTGGACAAGAACACCGCCACCAACCTCTTCAAGCTGCTCAACGCTCACCGCCCCGAGTCGAAGCAGGAGAAGAAGGCACGTCTCGATGCCGTCGCCAAGGACGTTGCCGCTGGCAGCAAGACTGACACCAAGACTGGCCCCAAGCCCATCACTGCCAAGTACGGTCTGAACCACGTCGTTGCCCTGATTGAGAACAAGAAGGCCCAGCTCGTTGCCATCGCTGACGATGTTGAGCCCATTGAGCTCGTCATCTTCCTGCCCGCTCTCTGCCGCAAGTTCGGTGTGCCTTACGTCATCGTCAAGGGTGGTAAGGCTCGTCTCGGCACAGTCGTCCACAAGAAGACTGCCGCCGTCGTTGCCATCACCGATGTCAAGAGCGAGTCTCAGCGTGACCTCGCTGCTCTCGTCTCTGCCGCCAAGGCCAACTACCTCGAGAAGGCCGCCCAGCACTCGCGACAGTGGACTGGTGGTCACCGTGGACAGAAGTCGGCCGCCAAGATGGCAAAGAGGGCCAAGGTTGCCGGTGCCGCCGCTGCCGCCGTGCCATCGGGTGCTCCCATCAACACCGAGTAAGCGGGAAACCTCCTCCCTCACCTCACTCAGTCTCGATTCTTGCACCTTCTCTTGTGACCCACACTTTGTACAACCTCTCATCTTGACTTTTCGACGGCTACCAATGTCATCATCATTTCCAGCGTCTTTTCGTATGATCCGATGTGCTTGCTTGCTCGATCAAAGAAGCATCCCTGTGCCATGCGCCCTTACGCTGGGAAGTCATTCGCGCGTACTTGCAGCACCACGATCGGGAGGGCCAGGAAGAGTGCGAGTACTTGTTCTTTTCAATCGTCTCTGACACCTCATAGAATCACTCAAGGCATACACAGTCGAGCGCATGTCCTCAAATCACTGCAAAAGAAGAAGCAGGAAGTCGCTGATGAGTGTCTGTATTGCGTTGCTAGCGAGGCAAGCGAGAGAGAGACGATGTGAAGAGAGAGAAGAAAGTACACATGTGAAGGAAGATTTCACCACGAACGAGACAATCGATTGGTACAAAGTGTCACAAATGCCAAAGAACAGAGTGCGAAGGGGTGGTGAATCATACCAAACAGCCAGAGGTTGCTGAGGAAAATGCCAGACACCAAGGGCCGTCCTTCGTCAAAGACTCGCACTTTGCATTTAGTGACCAGCACGTCGCTGCTCGGCAATGGTGTTGGTCAGCCTCTCCATTGTGAACTTGGCACGGCGGAGAGTGCCCAGACGGCGCTTCATGAACTTCCTGGCGCGCTTGTCCTGGGAGGATGGAGAGGAGTTGAGGGAAGGATGTCAGTCTATACTGCTCATCCATCTGCGGGAACATGACGAGATTCTCTGCTCGAAGGCCATTTCCAGCATGACCGAACCTCGATAGACGGATGCTCATGGACACCGTGTATCAATCCACTAGCCTTCCTTATTGCTGCCAGCCCTGCAGTTGCTCTCCTTCTTCATGTCACCCCCGAGTCCCTGTTCTCTATGACATGCCCTCCGATGTGACCTCCCGTTCGGCGATGTCGACTTGCAGTCCTTGGCCAACGCATCCCCTGCCATCCAACGCACTTCACTTTCACCACCCCAATTGCCTAGCCCTGCCGAATGTCCCTTCCTCTTGTCCCTGTCTCATATCTTCCAGTCTTCGATAACTCACCTTGGAGTTTCGGATCAGCTCCATTGCCCTTCGCTCGTAGGGAGCGAAACCAGCCACCTCACGAACGACGGACTTGACGATCTGTGTTCGCTGAGTCTGGGCACCCTTCCTTCGGGAGGGGCGCTGAGGAAGAACTCGTCGCTCAGTCTTGTGTCCACGGTTGATACCCCAAACGAGACCTGTGAAGGAGGGACAGAGAAGGGGTCAGCGCCCATTACACACATCGATGATAGCTGCAGAGTGTGACTCACCAGTTCGGGGTACGCCTGCCTTGTGTGCGGGGTTGGAAGAGTTGCCCATCTTGAAGTTGTTGAGGTTGGTAGAGTGTGAGTGGTAGAGACAGAGGGGGAAAATCTCCAGCTTCGCATGGCCCGCTGCCGCGCCGCACACTCGACTCAGCTGGAAAAGCCGCACGTGACATTTGAGACTCCGCGCCTCACCTTCTTGGACTCGACGCTACGCCTTTCCTCCCTCTTTCCGTCAAGGCTGCCCCGCATACACGCACCCGCCTGGCCTCGCCTACCAAGCTGCAAGCCTATTCACTTTAATGACAGCAATGCTCTGACCTCACGATCCCTCATGGCTACACGCCATCGCTCTTCCTCTTCCCGTCGCCCCCGATGTGGTCAATGTGGCTCCCGTCGCTTCCGCAGGGATCCTGACACTGGCCTGGTCATTTGTCAGGAAGGTCACGTCCTGCAAGGGTACCGAGAGGAGGAAGTTCAGGAAGACGGTGACTTTGTCAACGTCTCCAGCCAGAAACGATATGTGCGCAAGGGCGACAGGACCAAGAAGAGGAAGCTTCACAAGGACGTCTACGGCACAGAGCGTGGAAGCTTCTTAGTCTACGAGTGCCTGCAACTCATCTTACGACTGCAGCTCAAGTCACTGCGACAGGAATGGCCCCACCTGCCGCCAGAGATCGAGGCCATCGCCAGAGACCTTTGGGCTATGTTCGTATCCATGGTACCTTCCTTGAAGCCAACGCCGTACTCTGAAAATCTGGACTATGTCACAGGTCAGATCAGGACCGCCCGCGAAGAATCGAGAGCCAGGTCTGAATCTAGAAGTCGCAGTCGCAGTAGGGCAAGATCGCAAGGCACAGCCGTGAGCAGCTCGCAGGCAAATGAGGAGGAACAAATTGAGGCAGAAGAGGAGAGACAGCTAGAAGCAGAGATACGACGTATCAACGATGGCCGTCCGCAAGATACCGACGAAGACATCGATACTGAAGCCACTTCACAGGACTCGCCCCGCCTCTCACGACCTTGGGCAAGAGCAGGCAATGAGCCAATGCTGGTGCTGGCAGCCATCATCTACTTGTCTCTCATCACTGCTCGCGTCCCTGTCCTCTGGGGCGATCTGCGCCGCCTCTTCGCATCCAGCAGGGTACCGTTCCTCTCCGTCGTGTCTCTACTACCCTCGGCAATGACGGCTAAGCTTCCGGAGAAGGAGCTCAGGAGGCTTGAGAGAGACAGCGTACCGTCCATCTTCACCTTCCAACTACGGACATTCCGCTTTGCTGCCAACCTCACAGATCGCTTCTCTCAGTCCATCCAATTCCCTGAGCTGAATGCCCCTTCAGTCCTCTGGCGATGCGTCAAAGATATGGGCCTACCCCCGACGTTCTACGAGGTAGCATTGGGCTTGCTTACCTATCTTGGGATTCCTCTGGCCGTAGTTCCACCCTCTTCGGTTTCTGACCCATGGTCCCTCCTTGGCTCCTTTGACAAGGATCCCGATGAGGCAGGGCTACCTGCCCTGCCACCCCTTCCTCCTCGACTGAATTTGTACGCACAACCGCCATGTGCTACGAGATGCACTATCATAATGGCTGCAGTGGTCATTGCTGCAAAAATGCGCTATGGACTGGACGGCATGGAGAGGTGAGCAGTGTAGAGCAGAGCTTGTGATGAGTAGCAAGGACTGCCCTTTGACGACCTCATCTTTGCCTGCCCCTTTCCTGCAGAGTCGCAGAGCTTTCTCCTTTGGCAATGGTGACAGACGCTCCGTCTTTGCCTCAATGGCTGGAAGCTCTCACAGCTTCCCAGGCAGATCGTTGCGCCGACCCTCACTTCGCATACGAGCTGGCTCAGCCCCCCTCTGTGCTGACCGGCGACCAGATAGACTCCCTGTTGGACTTTGCCGAGGAGACGTTCACGGAGACCGTTCAGCCCAACGTCCGATCTGTGTGGCAGAAGGAGCCCGTGGATGGACTCTTCGGCGATCGACTGCCCACTCGCACGATCCCCCGATGTGTCCGGCCGTACGACTACGAAGGCAACGATGCCCCCCTACCTCGCAAGACACTTCTAGCTGCTCAGAATGAATGGCGAGAGAAGCTTCACAAGAGGCTCTATCCGCTCCCAAGCACCGATACCACCGCACAATCCTCGACTCGCAGGGATCCCTTGAGACCTGGCGAGGCCTACACTGACCCTTCTGTCGACCATGAAGGAATCGTCCACCCTTACTACGAGCGCATTCTCAGGCAGGCAGCAATGTGCGTCGGTCTGTCTGGGTCCGGTCAAGACGAAGAAGAAGGCTGGAAGGAGATGGGCGAGGTGGTCAGAGACATGGAGCTGACGCTGCTGAGACGTTTGCGCAAGGAGGCCCGACTTCCTCACTCGCAGGCGGTCAGCATTATGATTGATCGAGTGATAAAGAAGCGCGGCAGGCCTTTGAAGGTGCAAAGGGATGAAAGTGCACAGATTGTTTCTGACGAAGAGGAGGAGCCGGACGAGGGTGATAACGAGCGCAATGATGATGAGGGCGACTCTGAGAGTCAGAATGCAGAAGAGGACGAGGACGATTCAATGGACGACTGAGCGCCACTTCCAGTATACCACTATGTCATGCTACTTCATTGCTATTGTACTAATACATTTGGATCGTTGCACACTACCGTCGTTATAATTTTGCTTGTTGATTTTGGGCCAGGGCTTGTCTAGCTTTAGCCAGAAGTGCCTTACCAGCTCTGCTATTGTTCTCCTTTCCCACGGCCTTTGCGATCCACTCTCCCGCCTCTGCAGTCTTGATCAGATCATAACCAGTCTCGTACCCTTCTTGATGCAGAGCATAAATAACGCTCTCTGTATCGATGTTCCCTGTAGCGCCGGGGGAGTAAGGACATCCTCCCAGTCCACCAACGGCGGCATCTACGGTCTTTACGCCAGCTTTAACCATTGCCAGTACATTTGCTAAGCCTGTACCAAAAGTATCATGGCAGTGAGCGGCATGGAGTGCAGGTGGATTGTACTTTGCGCAAGCCTCTAGAACAGCCAACATCGAAGCTGGATGGCCCACACCGACTGTATCTCCCAGACTGACCTCGTAGCATCCCATGTCGAAGAGCTGTTTAGAGATGCTCCCCACCACTTGCGGATCTACGGCCCCCTCGTATGGACAACCAGCAACGACGGAGATGTACCCGCGCACTTTGAGCCCACGGGCTAGAGCCTGCTCTGTCACTCTTGCGAGCCGGTCGATGGACTCGGCAATGGAGACATTGGTATTGCGCTTGGTGAAAGACTCGGTCGCGGCGGTGAAGATGGCAATCTCGTCTGTCAGAGGCGGTTGCGTTGAGTCTGCCTTTGAGAGGAGCGCGAGGAGATCCTCCAGACCTCTTGCATTGGGCACGAGGACCGGATAGCTCACTCCTGGCTTGATTGGCATCGAAGAGAGGACAGCTGCCGTGTCTGCCATCTGCGGCACCCACTTGGGACTAACAAAGCTTCCCGCCTCGATACAAGCAGCCCCAGCCTCTTGCAACCTCCTAATCAACTCCACCTTGGTCTCTACGCTTACGACGTTCTTCTCATTCTGTAGACCATCTCTAGGAGATACTTCTACAATTTTGACAAAGCGGTCCTCGGATCCCGGCATGGTCCCTCCCTTTGAAGTGGGCTGCACGGCGGCTAGACATCTGCGAGCGGTGGAATGTAAATCGCGGACTGCTGGTGGGGACGAAGCGGCTCTGCTGCCGCTGGCCAGGGCGGTACGGAGCAGCCGCGAAGACGTGGCTAGGCCTTGTAAGGGTAGCATTGCGGACGTGCGAGGGAGTCTGCGGGTGTAAGGAGCAAGACCGGGTAGGAAGTAGCCCCCTTAACTCCCTAGACGCCGTGAGCGTGGGATGGGGAAGTGTGCCGCTGAGAAGTCGCCGGGATATTCGGAGTGATGGGCCTCGGGATGTTCCGTTCGTCGGTGATCGGGGCCGTGGAGAAGCGAGGGATCGATGCTAAGCCTTTTGGAGGAGATGACGTGGGTGAGATTGCCTTTGCAGTTGCATTGCCGGCTCAGTCGCGTGCCGGGGGGGAGGCAGGGTCCAGCAGGGCGGATGGCCAATGGCAGGCAGATGCCGGAAGGGCGGATGCGGATGACGTCGAGATGCGCCAGGGAAAAGTTGGCAGGCCAATCTATCCTCCCGCATCAGGCGCCTCTGCACTGCCGCCCCTCCCTCCGCACATGGCAGCAGTCAGCCCACAAGGGGTCAAGGAAGTTTTCCCCGGGCCAAGAGCACCGACAGGAAGGAGAGGCAGTGCAGGCAGGCAACGGCGGGCAGGCGATCCATTCTACAGCATGCGTTCAGTCCTTGCACCTTTCATCATCGTCGGTCCACTTTCACCTTACATACAAGGCCGCCTGGAATACTTGCGCCGTCATTCTCCCTCCTCCGTTTCCTCCATCAGTTTTTACTTGTTCGCAAGACTTTATCACCTCTACATCTTGCTTCCTCGAGTCCACTCAAGCATTGTACTCTGTCCCGCCCACATTGTAAAAGTATCTCAGGTGTCCCTCGTCCTCAAACGAATCGCACTAGCACGCCATGCTCGGCATTCATTACTGGGCCTTTGTGCTCCCTATAGTCACAGCAGCAGTATGGCTCGTAGACATCGTTGGTCTTCTAGTCCTCTGGTCCCGAGATGGCTTTCCTCAATACAAGCAATCCGACGCTAGCATCGTATTCATTTCCGATGTCGGAGCCAACCACACCACCTGGTTCATCATCTTCTCCGTCCTAACCGGCTGCTTCTACATCGCGACTGCATTTGCAGAGCGATATTTGCGCTCTTCGCGACGTATCCCCGGTTCGGTCAAGAAGAGGCAGACCATCTACGATATCCTCTCGGTCATCTTTGCCTGCCTTGGATCCCTCTTCCTTGGACTCCTCTCTGGTTTCAATGACGAAGACTACTCGACTGTCCATTGGTCCTGCACACTCCTCTTCATCGTCTGTGTTGGTATTTCCGTCTTTTTCCAAATCTTGGAGCTCTTCTCCCTCTCCCACTGGCACAATCCTCAAGTGCGACATTTGAAGATCAACGCCATCTTCAAGGCCTTTTTGCTCATCTTTGCCGTCGTAGTCCTACTTTGCTTTGTGGGCCTCTACGCCGATTGTCAAGGAGATGCACCAGGCTATAACACTAGCACAAAGTGCAACAAGGTCACTTCTGCCGCAGGTGTCTTCGAATGGGCATGCGCCTTTATCCTCTTCTTCTTCTTCCTCTCCTACATTGTTGATCTTTGGCCACGAAACTACTACGGAAAACAACAGGCAATGGCTGAAAAGCGAGCTTCCAAGCATGGAGGTATTGATCCAGAAATGGCCTCTGTTGGCGGTACAGGATCTAGTGCCAATGTTGGAGCTGGTCATGAGCAATATCAGTCGAATGGCGATTACAGCGTTGAGCCATACGTAAATGCTCCTCAGGACAGCTATGGTACTGTCAATGGTGTGCCACAAAGCAATGGCTACCACAATGGCGCTGCCGATGCCGGAGGCAACTACAACTACAATGGAGGTGGTGGCTACGCTGCTCACAATGGTACCATGGGCAGGGACAGTACTGGCGCTGCCCCTTCGCTGCAGCAGCCACCCCTTGCCGAGCACAACTACAATGGAGGCTACAGGTAGAAGCGATCGATTGTCCCCGTTTCGTTTTGTGACATAGAGATTCGTTCTTCTTTCCCCCCGCACGCGCTTTTGTCAGCCCGATATCCTCTTCGTTGTCTCTGCTAATGTACTGTTCAATTACAAGCGAGCATCTTTTCTACGTTTGACGACTGCCGAGGTCTGAGCTGTGTGCACTTGTACGGGTATTGTCCTACAAGATCAGTGTTTGTTGGCACTTGCTTCTTAAGGGCAAGGTTGACTTATATGCTATTGGGGTGAAAGCAGCTTAGACAAGACAGGGTGTGTGCTCAAATCCCTATCCTGGCCCTCTTTGATCCTCACGCCCAGTCTAATCTAATTATCATAAAATCCTCCCTTTTCGCTCTTCTTTCCCAACCTACCCTCCGCCACGAGCTTCTCAAGTAGAGGTGTAGCCTTGACAATCTCCTCTGCAATCTCTCCCGTGTCCACACGGGTCTCTCTCCATCCTTGAGAAATGTGCTGCAGGGTGTCGAGACCGACTAGGTCGGCCAGCTCGAATGGTCCCATTGGGTAGCCAGCACCGAGCTTCATGGCCGTGTCCACATCACGAGGAGTGGCTTCGCCGCGCTCGACGAGTCGGATAGCCTCGAGCATGTAGGGGACGAGGAGACGGTTGACGATGAAGCCTGGAGCATCCACGCATGCCACGGGCGTCTTGCCCATCTTCTTGGCCACGTCCATTAGCGCATCAAAGGTCTCGTCGGAGGTGTCCTTTGTACGCACCACCTCCACCAGCTTCATTTGCGGCACAGGGTTGAAGGCATGGAAGCCTAGAGGACAGGCACAGCGGCAAGGGGGGTGGGAGCGTCAGTAATCAAGTACACCCACACTATGGCAGTGACTCGTTGCTCTGCTGCAAGGGGGACTGACTCACCTCCGAAGCGATCCTTCCTGGACGATGTCTGAGCAATATCCGTCACACTGAGCGAGCTTGTGTTGCTAGCAAAGATGGTCTCCTTGGGAGCCTTTCCATCAAGAAACTTGAACAACTCCTGCTTTACTCCCACATTCTCAATGATAGCTTCAATTACCAAATCCGTCTTTTCCACTGCTTGACCCGCATCAGTAGTAATCTTAATTGAATCCACGATTGACTTGACAAAGTGAGCTTGCTCCTCTTCGGACTTGTCTGCCATGGACTTCTTGGCGATACGAGTGAGGGATTTGGAGATGATCTTTTGACCATTGCCGAGAGCCTTGTCCGTCACGTCGGCAAGGGTGACATTGTACCCTCCCTTGTGTGCGAGGACTTGAGCAATCCCTGCTCCCATTAGACCAGCACCAAATACAGTCACATTCTTGACTTCACGAGACGTTACTAGAGAGCTAGAGAAGGTACGGGCGAGGGAAGGTGAGGAGGAGGAGGAGGAGGTATTGCGAGGAGAGAGGAGGCTAGGGGCTGCATTGAGCAAGGCTGGACCGACCCGGGAGGTATTGCCGGCTAGGTGGCCGGTCAGCATTCGAGTACGGGCAGCGGCGGGGAGCATGATGTAGATGAGGTGATGAAAATGAAGGTTAATATGGGAACAGACAAGGGATATAGAGGGCCGGTTGTTTTGTGTTAGGAGAATTTGCGAAAGCAGTCGATGTCGGAAGGATGTCAAAGCCCTACTCTGCCCTCGGCGGTGGAGGCACAAAGCGAGCCGACCGGACCGGCCGGGCGGCGTCGGCGTCAGCGGCCCCTATCACATGCAGGGCAGCAGCGCGATCATCCTTTGTTCCCTGGCTGACTACAATGACTTCTCATCAGCATCAATACAGATCAGTGCAAAAGTATTTGTGTAGCGAATATATCATTGCGACCAAGCAAAAGTGCGGTCAAAGCTTTTAGTGAGCGAGAGAGTTAGAGAGAGACCAATGTAGGCATGAGAGAGGCAAAAAAGGTGACGAGTGTGGGACCAAGAATTGTACAAATTTGGAGTGACAGGCATCTATTACGCCTTCAGAACATGACGACAAGGAAAAGATGAACATGAAGCATCAGCGAGAGCCGATGTTGCACAAGCAGAGAGTGTCTAGTAGTCCCTAGCACGAGATTTGTCGGTGACAGCAGAGGCGAGAGCGGCGGAGAGATCCAGGTGGAAGAAGGGAGTGAGATCCTGACCCCACATGATAGGTGCAGAAGAATGCGAGCCAGCGACGGGGATGCCCTCCTCTGCAAGACGGTCTTTGTTGTCCGACGACGCCGATTGGCTGTCGGACGGAGTGCCTCCTTGTCTCCTCTGTTCCAGCTTGTGCACGGCCTCAAATTCAGAGTCCTGCTTGGAATAGCTTGGATACCGCCTGGCGTACGCGTGAATCTGTGCAAGATTGGCTTCCTCCTTGTTGTGCGGGTCGCTGAGCACGACGGGTGCAATCTCGGTGATGTGTCGAGAAGAAGCACCGGTACCGAATCCACCAGCCAGAAGACCTCGTCGGATCCAGGGTGACAAGATGCTTGCAAAGTGGAACTCGACAGGGCCATTGGCGTAGCGCTCAAGCGAAACACGGATGTCGACGAGAGTCTGAACTGAAGTCGTATCGACGTTGCTGACGGCACCAAAGTCGAGGATGAGTGACTTGAGCAGAGGGCGAGGGTCATGCTCAACCTCTGCGCTGGACTCGTCGATCTTGTCGGTAAGCTTGCGCTTGGCGCTGCCGAAGGTGAAGGGTCGCAGCACCCTGCCCAAGTAGGGGTTGATCGGTCCAGGGTCGTTCCATGGCCGGTCGCCAGGCTTCTTGTAAATCTGTGTGCTACCTGGTCGTGTATGCGTCTTGATGTAGTCGACGATCAGGTCGGCAAGATGAGAAGCGTTGGGGTAGGTGAACGACTCTTCGAATCGGTAGATGAATACACCTGCCGGGGGTGCCTCTACGCGAATAGAAGGGTCTCGCAAACCGTCCTTGTCATCGAGGGGAACGAAGACCTCACGAACAGCCTCTCCGTCGGCAACAGTAACAGTGGGCGAGTCGCCGTGGTGGATAGTGACCTTGCCCAGCCAGCGACCACGAGGGTGCGCAATGCGGATCAGGAGAAGAGCGAGGGAAGCGCCAACGGAGACGTACACACCGACCTCCAGGGTGTCGAAGATCGAGGCGATGACGGCCGCAGCGAAAATGAGACACTCCAGAGGACTGACATACCAGAACTGGGCGATGACGCGTGGGGAAGCAATCAGGTCACCGACAGCGTGGATGATGACAGCTGAGAGACCGGCACTTGGGATCCAGTAGAAGACACCCGTGAGAGCATAGATCGAGATGAGGACCAAGATACCAGTGAGCCATCCAGCGAGAGGGGTTCGTACACCGGACTTGGCCTTGATGGCACTACGCGAGAAAGAACCAGTGGCCGGGTAAGCTCCGAAGCAAGGTCCGACCAAGTTGGTGACACCAATAGCCAGAAGTTCTTGATTGGGGTTGATCTTGTAGTTGTTCAATCGACCGAAGGACTTGGCGATGGCAATGTGCTCAAGGAGCAGAATGATGACGGAGACTGGCAATTGGCTACCCATGGCACTGAAGAGGCCGGTGTTGAGGTTGGGTCGACCCACGTGCTGGAATCCAGAGGGGACAGTCTTCAGAATGGAGATTGGGTAGGGTCCCTTGGGGCCGTGGGGACCACAGTAGAGCCTCGACGCGATGGTGAGGACGATGAGGACAAAGGCATTTCGGAAGACGGAGATGAAGAAGCAAGGACGTGCAAGCTTGGGGTATCGTCGAGGGATATGAATGCAGGCCGAACGGATTGCGTAAAGGGCAAAGAGGGCAACGAATCCAAAGGCCGCATCGATGTGGGTTCGAGGCAGTCCCTTGAGTGTATTGATGATGACCAAGTAGCAAGGTACTCCGGTGGTCGAGACATTGGTAATGCCCATGAGGGTCTTGACCTGACCAGCGGCAATGGTGAAGGCGCTCCCTGTCATGAAGCCACTGACTGCCGGCGCGGGAATGAATTCGACAAGCCAGCCAAGTCGCAGCAAGCCGATACCGAGGGTGACGACACCGCAGAGGAATGCCAGTGCCGAAGCAATGACAGGGCCACTCCACTCGTTGCTCTGTTTTGTCACCGAGACGATGACGTTGGCGACCTGTAGGGACATGACGGCGACTGGACCAATGGTGACATCCTTGGAGGTAGCGAAGAAGGCGTAGATCATGACACCGACAAAGGACGAGTAGAGACCGTACTCGGCAGGTAGAGTTGCGACGATTGCGTAGGACATGGACTGAGGTACGAGGACGAGGGCGACGGTAAGACCGGCAATGCAGTCACCGAAGGCCCATGACAAGTTGTAAGATCCGATCCATCTGGTGAAGGGGAACAATGAACCTAGATAGGTGGAGACCTTGGAACCAGGGTTGGAGAACCAGCCTTCGAAGTAGTCGGGCACGCTGACCATGGGGACGCCAATTCGGTTGGCCTCGACATTGTTGTAGCCGATAAGCCACTGCCAGGCGTTCTGGGAACGTCCCACAGAGGTGACGCCGTGGGGCTGGTCGGCGGGGAGGTCCTGTGGCTCGGTTGCCTCGGCGTGGGTCTTGAAGAACCGGACCATGGCGGCGAGGCGAGGTGGAGTAGGGAAGGAGGTAGTGATGGAAGATGGTACGGATGTGAAACCGAAGGGGTTTGGGGCCACAGTGTCGCTACTTCGAGTACATATACAGAAGAGGTGGAGCTCAGGGGTCTGTCAGGAACATGCAAACTTTGCTTCAGGTTCTGAGATGTGGCGCGGGGAGAAGAGTTGGCTTCGCCACGAGAATAGCGTGCTCCTATGTCCGAGTAAAGGTCGCAAGAAGGAAGGGGCTTGAGAGGGTGGACGAGGGTCGAGGGCCAAGGGCCGAGGGCCACGAAGGCAGTGGGCATCAGTACCGGCCGCCTCGTGCAGCATCGAGGGTGGGTGGGGGTGCGGTGCCCGCAAATTTACCAGAGATTCCTTGCCGCTCCGCAATGCTTCCGTCAGTGTGGAGACATCGCACGCCATAATTTCGCGCCCCGCACATCTTCCCTGCACCTCATCTCCCTCAGGCCATCCACCAACAGTCTCGCCCCGCCCCCCTTCTGTCAAGGCCGCTTCTCACGGGCGCTACCCGCTCTCGCCACCCGCGCCCCGCAAGGGCGGTGAAGAGTCGCCCCGCGGGTCGCCGACGGCGCTGCAGCATCAGAATACGGCAGGCGAGGCTGATCGGCAAAGGCGGACATCCAGACTCAGCCAAGTGGCGCTCAGATCAGCAAGATCACACCACCGACGCGACAAAGGGCCCTGGCAAGCTCGACATTGCCATCAAACTGCCGTGCTACCCACACGATTCAGGCGCAAGGTCCACACATCTGGCTTTACGCTCGTGGGCGTACAGCAATGCGTGGCGCTCACAGCTCAATCATCCCTTTTGGCGAGGTTAGCCGAGAAAGCAGGGCGAAAGTCGAACGGTGCCTGAAAGGCAAGTCGTGTCGTATCGACCAGTGATCTGCACTGCCGTCTTACCAGATATCACCTATGGATCAGGAACACAACCTGCATCGGCCTTTTTGTTTCACCCGAAGGCTGTAGCAGTACATAGGCCTTATCTTTGATTTCGCAATCAGATGTCGCAATGTCTATGCTGTGCGACGCCTTGCGCCAGACCATACCTGTCAAACATGTCCTGGTATCAATGGTCTCCTCCCTAACTTGACTTTTTCGTCTTCGTCTTCTTTGGCGAGTCATCGACATCTGCCGAACTCCCACCTTTCCGTTTAGTGCCCCCAGCTGGCGATTGGGCGTGGCCACCCTTGACGTCAGCCTTGTCATCCGATGGCGCCTCCTCCCCATCGTCGTGAAGATCAGCTTCGTGGCCGTGCATTTCATCGGGATCCTCTTCGTGCTCGTCTTCGTGATTGGTGGCGTTGTTCTGGCCAGACACAGAGTCGCCCGGGTTGCCGCCCTTGGCCAGACCAGGATTGCCTTCATGACCTGCTCGAGCCCAAGCGGGACTGAAGAGGCAAGGTAGATTAGCTATGGCGTGCTCGGGGTGGGGAAAAGAAGGCGGCGGCGCCTGCCTGTCCTTGCTCGACTGGAACAGACACCCAACTTCGCTACTCACATTTTATTGGCAGCATTCTCCTTGTAGTTGAAGTTCTTGGGGTCCGGCACTCCATGCTTCTTGCGTAGCATACCCTCGGCCTTGCCTTCCAGCACCTCTTTGCTGTTGCCGAACAGCTTCGAGTCATACGCGGCCTTGCAACGATCCAGGCAGTGCTTCTTCTCTTCCTTCTCATCCAGCACAGGGAACGGATAATCCTTGCCGATGATACACTTGGCCTTCTCCTGAACCTCCTTCGGTGCTGTGTGAGGGGCATAGATGTACTTGTCTGGGAAGTCCTTGAGCTCCGGGCAGTACTTCCTCACGATATAGCCATGCTTGTCATACTTTGCAGGGAACGTGGTCAGGCCGTAGACTCGGAAATACTGGGAAAAGAAGGCAGACGCTGATAACCACATCCAGTTACCGTCGTTCGACGCATCGTCGGTATCTATCAGGAATTCATGGAAGATCTCAGCTCCTCGCTCCCAAGAGATCCAGCACTGGGCTCGAGTCAGATATGCAGCGACCGAATGTCTCCCCAAATGATGGATCCAACCGGTCATCCGCAACTGCCGCATGAGGGCGTCGATCCAGGGGAAGCCAGTCTGACCCTCCTTGAAGGTACGAAGGCGCTCTTCGGAGACATCGTCACCACGAGGCCTCGGCTCCACCTGCTTGCCATCCTTGTCGTAGACGGTCGGCAGATACCAATCCATGTAGTGGGAGATCTTGTTGCCCCGCACACCGTGGAAGGCATCGCCAACAGCAGCCTCGCAGACCGCATACATGTCCCTGAATAGGAGCTGTCCCTCCATGCCTTCAGGAACGTCAGTTTTCGCACCCTTGTGCTTCTTCTTCGTCTCCTTGACCGTATGCCAATAGTGACGAATTCCGAGGCAGCCAAACTTGATGTATGGCGAAAGAAGGGTAGTGCTTGGCGCATCAGGGTCGGTAGACGGCGAGGTCTGAGGCTTTGCAAAGGTGGACAAGTAGGCAGGGTCTTCGGTGAGCTTCTTGAGCCTGCGCAAAGCTTCTGTAGTACCGCCTCGGATTGGTTCGGCGAGCTTGACCTCTGGCTCTTCCATGCCTAGCGAGGCAAGAGTGGGGACAGCAAAAGGGCTCTTTTCTTCCTTGTACTTTGACTTCTCCCCAGCTGCAACCGTGTCGTAGGATGTGACCTCACCATCCGGGCCTGACTTTCGCTGACCGCCGAGCTCCGCCGCATTGAGGTCAACATCGGGTGTACCGACTTCCTCCTTGTACGATGACAAGTCGCTGATCAGGTCGAAAAGCTTCTTGATGTCAGCCTTGTCAGAGCCAGGAGGGCAAGGACTGGGAAGTGACGTGGGTGTCTCGGCTGGCTGTGCGACATCGCCGAGGCTTGCGACCGCTTTCTGGAGCTGACTCATACTTGTAGGGGGCTGTCCCTTCGTGTTCTTCAGTACCTCCTTGATAGGGTACAGGTGTCGGCCCTCCTGACTGATCACCTCTATGTTGGCCGCCTTGAGAGACTCGACGACGGCTGCATCCCTATGTCTGGCATAGGCATTGTGGTCCTCCTCAAAGGCGACGTGAGTGATCTGCCATTTCTCGCAAAGCTCTCGAATGCGAGTCTGGGGAGCTCCGCGTGTCAGCAAAAGCTGGCTGTCGCCGTTGAGCTTCTTGATCTCATTGCTGAGGTCTTGCAGAGATTCTAGCAAGAATCTGAAACGATTGATTCCTACCCGATGACCGTAGATGTAATTGGGGTCCCAATTGAAGATCGGAAAGAGGGCCGAAGGAGACAGGGACAACGCCTTTGCAAGAGCTGGCGAGTCGTGAAGGCGCAGGTCTGTCCTGAACCAATACAGAACACGCGGGCCTTGACCGGAAGATGGCATTCTGAGTATTTCGTCTTGATGTTGCTAAGCAGCGATGCACCTTTGGTAACCTCTACCCACTTTGACCCTTCTTGACGGGCGAGGTGAGGCGCGTTTAGGTAAGCGTCTCGCGTAAATGAGACCTTCTGTTCCCTTTCCGCTGATGTCCCACGTGTGGAGGCGGAACGCCGCCGGCCCAAAGTCCTCGCCAGGCGGAGCTTGATGCTCGATTGGATGCATTTTGCGAGGGACCCTAACGCCGCAAAGGCGCCCAGACGCCCAGACGCCCAAAGGCCGACGCCCACGTCTGGCATTCTGAGCCTGTCCTTGATTTGATCCTTGGCAACGTTGACCGTCCTACCATCAACCCCTCACGGTGAACCACCAGCATGAGCAATACCTACGCAATGCAGCCGCCGTACTACGGCCCTGGCGCACCGAATTACGGTGGTCAGGAGCAGTATGCGCAACAACAGGCTCAACCTGGCGGCTACCAACAAGATCCGCGGCATCAGGGGGGCTATGCAGACAACAAGATGGCTCTGGCTCCCAACGACTATCAAGGCGAACGCTTCAAGCCAGCGAGACCCAAGATCCGTGATGTGAGTCAATTTTATGTCCGAACAGCTCCTGTTACTACAAGCCGAGGCTAACGATCAGATCCACTCTGGACAGCCCTTCTTCGCTCTGCTCTTCATCATTGTCTTCCTGGGATACACAGGTCTTTCGGTCTATGTCCTTCGCGAGTATGCGATCAGCGGCGTTTCTGGAGGTCTTGGGGGCAACACTGGCGCATCGGGTACTCTCAACAGTCACACCGCATTGCTCCTGACCTTCAGCTGTGCGCTTGCTCTCGTTCTGTCCGGCCTTTACCTGCTGCTCGTCCGTGTTGCTACCCGCTTCATCCTGGAGATCACATTGCTGCTCTCGGTCATTTCCTCGGTGGCATACGCTGCTTACCTCTGGTACGAAGGTTTCACCTCTGCAGCCATCATGGCCACCATCTTTGCCGTCTTGGCCGTCGTAAGCTACTTTTTCATGCGGAGCAGGATCCCCCTTACCCGACTCTTGCTCAAGACGACCATTGATGCTACCAGAGTGTACCCATCTGTGTACTTGTGGGCTCTCACCGGTCTCGTTGCGCAGACGCTGTTCAGCATTTGGGTCTCCTGGACCCTCATTGCTGTTTACCAGCGCTTCTCGCCGTCAGGCGCTGCTGCAGGCAGCTCGTCGTCCAGTGGAGCAGTCACTGGACTGGTCGTCTTCATCGGATTTGCTGTGAGTTCCCCCGGTTCATGAGCTGTTTTTTGGGAGCGATTCTGATAAGCAATGAACTCTCACTCCATACCTTCAGTTCTACTGGATCTCAGAGACGATCAAGGCTATCTTCTTTTCGACTGTCTGCGCAATCTTTGGCACCCACTACTACTCTCTCGACAATCAAAAGCAGCGCGGCGCTGGCATTAAAGCTTTCGGACGCGCAACTTCCTTCTCGCTCGGCTCACTTGCCTTCGGCTCGCTCATTGTCGCCATTCTTGACATAATCCGTGGGCTGGTCTCCATTATCCAGCAGACGGAAGCGTCACAGGGCGACATGGTGGGAGCAGCCATTGCCTGTGTTGCAGGCTGCATCATCAGCTGCATCGCCTGGCTCATAGAATTGTAAGTTGATGCCTTTTCAGATGAGCCTCTTACTATGATGCTGACTATACTTCGATCTGCCACACAGCTTCAACAAGTACGCACTAATCAATGTCAGTCTGTATGGCAACAGCTACATCACGGCCGCCAAAGAGACTTGGAGACTCATGAAGGACCGAGGCATCGATGCTTTAGCAACAGACTCGCTCGTCAACATCGTTTGGACCTACGGCTCAATTGTCGTGGGTATCCTGGTGGGCATCTTTGCCTATGTCTATGAGAAGCAGACCGACCCCGAGGCGCTCAACCAGACATCTAGCTACTACTCTATTATTCTGTTGGCCGCCGTCGCGTTGGCCACCCAAATCTGCCTCACCTTGGGACAAGGTTCGATCGGCAGTGGGACTGCCACTCTGTTCGTCGCCTTGGCCGAAGATCCTCAGACCATGGCTCAAAAGGAGCCTCAGCTGTTCGAGCTGATCAGGCGGTCGTACCCTCGAGTCGTACAAGGTGTTGCATGATCAGCAGACGACACTGCTGCATTGCCAATGACAGCGCTGACACATCGCGAATGTTCGCTCGGTCTTTCCGTAAGAGCTACCAGCATCCTGGGTTTGGTCTAAAATTGGTCACATGTGTCTGTACATCGGAACTTTTGCAATGTTACGTAATCGTGCGTCTTTCTTTTTCGAGGTCCGCCATGCAGGTGACCCGATATGCGGAAAGGGCATCTTGTGAAAGGCCTGCCGCACTTGGTACCCGCTGACCGGTGCATCCACATCTCTCCTAAGCTCTCACACACGATGCTCCATTAGAAGCAGCTGCTGAGCCCAGTAGCGCCTCTGAGCTGGCCGAAATTTCCCGGCGTACCACTATACCCCTTCGGCTACTCTTACAGTTCCTGCAGCTCTGATCATTAGTCCCTGCCAGCTACTTGGGCTCTGCGTCGCTCAAAAATAGCCTAGGCTCCCAGGCCCTTCGGTAACCGGATGCAAGGAAACTCTCGAGCCGCTCTGTGGGTCTGTACTCCCACCTCTTATCTCGCTCGGCAGAAGTGGCTCGTGGCTCGCATCATCGAATCGATCGGCTCTTGCGGTGGCCTTTGATTGCGAGATCCGGCAGCCACAGCATTCGTTTCACATTCTCGTCTTGGACCGGTCTGAGCAGCCCTGGCAGCCATGGACGAGGATGGTGAGCCGCCTCACAGAGCGCAAAGCTCTCCGTCATCAATGGTCTCACAAAAGTCGGGCCACGTACCCCTATATCCATCCTCATCTTCCCATCCACACCCAATCTCTCCATTAACCACACCATCTACACATGAGGAGGCAGATACTTCTGCTGAATCTTACATGCAACCAGGACGGCTATACTCACGAAGACATAGTGCGGGCTCCTATGGTAATCTTGAAGATGTCGACGAGGTGGATGCGGGGACCGCCTCACCAACAAAGCGGCGAAGCCCAGGCAAAGTGGCCCAGTTCTTCGACAAGCTGAGGCCTACCCACAAGCACAGTGGCAATGCCAGTGCCGGACTTGCGACAGACCAAGACGCTCAAGACCCCAATACAAAGTCGCTACGATCTTCTCGCAACCAGAGCGGCAAGGACACTCCTGCACAGGATGCTCAAGGCGACTTTGGACAATTCATCAAGGCAGCTGAACTCAAAGAGCGCCTCGAAGTGGAAAAGATCAGAGAGGTGGAAGAAGAGTTGAAGTTGGCCAAAAAGAAGAAGAAAAAGGGAGGCAAATCTTCGGCAGCTGCAGACCATTCTCGGCCACCCTCGGCTGATGCTTTGATGCCTTCAGCGCCTCCGCTGGAGGACTCGAAGGAGTTCCCTGGGGGCTTTGGGGACGATGCACATCCGAGAACCATATTGCCCGCCGGCACTGCTCGCAATGTGCGGCCGAAGTACTCTCCAAGAGACTCGCGACAGACTGGTACCTCCTCTTCCTTCAACGTATGCGGGGCCGATCTGTCTTCGGATGAGAACGACGAGGTGGAAGACAACGTCGATGCGTCGCCGAGAGCAACGACGGATACACTCGTTGATGAAGCTGGCGGCGACAACTCCGGTGAAAGGGGGGAAAAGGCGATCCTGCAAAGATCAGGCTCCAGCTCCTCTATCTCATCCAGTGGCAGTCTTGTTGGTGACTACGACGATGCTTTGCCGATGCGGGCAGGTCCTCAGGAGAAGAGCGCCTCCATCGTCAGCCTCAAGAGCTGGGGCTCCTCGGCTTCACCTGACACCAAGAGCCTCGCCAGCGGAGGCGCTGATCCTCGGCTTGCTGCTCCGCTCCTAGAGCTGGAAGAGCTAGAACTCAAGTCATTCCTCAAGAATTTCAACCGCCATACACGAGAGATCAGGGTTCCCGCTTCGGCTCATTTCCCACGCCGCCGTATGCCTCGGTGGGACGACTTCGTGATTCCGCCTGGAGAGGCAGCTTTGGCTGCTCGCGAAGGCAAGCGCGTCACCGTTCTCACGCACGTGGATCGAGGCCTGCAAACGCTGGCAAGGGAAGAAGGCGAAGGAGGCCCAGAACCTCGTCCTGCTCCGGAGCCTAGTGGCAAGAAGTCGAAGAAGCAGCTAGCCAAAAGTCACAATGCCGCTGACGAAGAGCTTCAGCAGAAGAAGGTCACTTGGGCTCCGGAGACTGGTTTCATGCCCGAGGGTTTGTCGACTGGACTGTCTGGCGAGGATGAGATCTCAGCATCTGTCTTCGGCGGAGGGCTTCGGAATCGAACAATCGAAAAGAGCGAGCGCAAGGCCAAAGAAATGGAAAGCGGCAAGGAGGGCCACACCGGCAAGTCTGGTTCCACAACGGACTCGTCGGCCAGAGCGCCCCTCACTCATGGCTTGCTGGACACAGATCAGGCTGGGACATCTGATATCCACGACGACCGAACGGAGCTTCGGCCCTCGCGGGACACTCCTGAGGAGGCGGAACTGACAGAGGGTACCTGGGAACTCATTGATGGCAATGCTGAGCATGAAGCGATCTATGATGCTTCTGGCACGGACAGAGTAGATGGAGTCGCCTTCTGCATCGCGTACATCTTAGCTCTCGTCGAGAGGTATGCTCCCGAGGAGCTAGACAACACTCCTGACCAGACGTATCGAGAAGGTCGCGCCCGTAGCCATCTCGAGCGACTCTACATCATTGCGCCCTTCTGGGAGCGGCTAGGCGGAGGTCTGCGCAAGCTCTACCGCTGGGACAATCCTCGACGGTCAGCGACGGCTGCGATGATATACTTCGTCCTCTGGTGGACTGACCTTCTACCTACAGCCTTCTTTCTGATGCTTATTTACTACATTCTGCAATTCCGCTTCTTCCCTCCTGAGGCCTCTTTCCTCCATGAGCGCGTCCGAGATCGGATGGCTCGAGGAGTCGAGGCCGACAAGTTGGCGGAACGTTTGCGAAGACGCTCTCGACTGGACATTCTTGAGATCTATCGGCGTTTCACGCTCAAGTACGGTCTCGAAGTACAATTGGCAGCTGGCGATATCGCCGATTTCCACGAGAAGGTCAAGAATCTCATTCTGTGGAGAAATCCTCAGGCTACCTGGAGAACCCTTGCCCTCTTCTGCACCATCACAGTCTTTGTGACCTTTGCCCCAGCCTACTACATCTGGAAAGCCTTCTTCTTCTTTACCGGATTCACATTCTTCTGCCTTCTACCATTGCAGTCTCATTATCCACGATACCGACGACCTTTATCCCCCGCATGGTGGGCTCTATGGGGCTCGCCTACCGATGCGCAATTTGCAGTACAAATCTTGCGAAGGAGACATCTCGAGCGGGCCCAGGCCGACCTTTCGAAATCGAGTGGGAAGGATGGAAGGAGAAGGAGCAGTGCTGGGGGCGGCAGATTGGCTGGACTTCGCTCCGAGGCGGCTCATGCGGTCAAGGGCGGCGCGATGAGGCCCATGAAAGAGAAGCCAGAAGAGGCTCTCTTTGGCTTGGAGGAAGAGATCGAGGGTGAGGATGAGAATGGGGAGAAGCGGTTCAGACCCAAGAAGCTTGGCAGCTTCTTTTGCCAGCATCATGGCGTGCCAGGGTGAGTAATTGAGAACGAGATCGCAAGTAGTTCAGAGGCCCTGTACACTGACAAGACTTGCCTTTCCCGCAAAATCTTTGAACTCAGTCATCTCACCATCACCACCCGTCAAATCTACTTCCGTGGTCTGGGCCGCTCAAAGACCTGCAAGACCCCGCTTGAAGAGGTCGCTGGGCTGGCCAAGACGAAATCACTGCAGCTCTTTGTCTGGTATTCGTCTGGGCTGCAGATCGCTCGCAGCAACAAGCGCAGCCTCTTCTTCAGTAATATGGTCAAGCGCGACGAGTGCTTCAATCTTATCTTGGCCGTGGGTAGTGAAGGTGAGTAGTCGTGGCAAAGAGCTCGGGAGGAAGGGGCGGCTGGCGCGATTGCCCATGCTACCGTGCAGCAGCAGCTTCACTGACCTGGCTCTTGCACTCTTATCTTTTCCCCCCTCTTCTGTGCATCCCTATCTCACACTCGCAGTGTGGACGAAATGATAAGCCTCGTATATCCTGGCCAGCGTCTTCCATCCGTCCGCCTCTCCATCTCAGGTACGACTGACCGAGAGACAGGCATGGGAAGCCGCCTTGTTCGGAGACTCGGACGGTCCCCTTGTCATTGTATCCTTCCGTATCTCTGCTTCGCTTTGTATAACCATCTGTATCAGTAGCTCCCTGCGGTGTGATAAGCTGCCTGGAGTCACCGGGCCGGACGGGTAGCTGTTTTCGCCCTAGCACGCGGCACGGAGCAAGAACCTCATCGGTCCCTGCGTTTCGTGCGTGCCTGGCGTGAGAGCTGCGAGGGGGACTTGGGGGGCCCGGCAATCTCTCTGCATGACACAAGAACGGCTCACTCCGGTCAGGACGAACCATTGTAGGAGCAAAGATCACATAGGTGCCTCTCATGTAAATTGACGAGAAAGGGGCAGGAACAGCGGCCCGGAGGCCACTTTGGCCCTGATGGGCTTGGCGGTGCCACGCTCAGGGGTGCACCATTCTTCCTTCTTGGGGTCGCATCTCCTGGCCTTGCATGGCGCTTTGCTCTGAAACCTTGAAGCAAAGTGAGTAATCAAATGGGCAGAAACCCTTGGGGTCTCGGGCGCCGGACGTCGGGCGCCGGTGCCAGCTGAGCCAGGGGGGCACGGATCGAGGCGCTGCATCATCACTCGGAGGGGGACCTGAATGGTTCACACACTCACACGCACGGCGCTTCTGGCGAGCACCGGCCCTAATGAGCTGAAGGGCATGGAGACGAGTCATGCAGAAGAAGAAGAATCCTGAAAGAAGATGGTATTGTGCCATCCGATACCATACAAGGACTCAAGGATATGAGGGGAAACGAACCCCTCTAGCCCTGCACCTATCCACGCGTGGGCTCACTCCCGCCTGGCCCATTCGCAGCACGCCATTCAGCACGCGGCAGGCACCATCGAGCACCTTCATCTCACCAGAGGCAACACAAGCGGACCCTACCAGCTACGCATGCACAGATAGGAGTGATTCAGCACGTTGCAAGGCTCAGAGGGTGGTCACCTCTTCTGAGCCGGCATTCGCAGCATTTTGGTGTCATCGGGAGAAAGATCATCACGAACTGCAACGACGCCACACTGGCCTGTGATGACTCGAACCATTGTCACGGCACGAATCGCAAGTTGTTCAAGTAGTGATAGCGAGACTTCGCACAAGACTGAAAAAGGTCCTCACGCACCCACCTTGAACGCTCTTGCCAACATGAATCTGTTGCAGAGAAGAACCGCCGACGTAAGCAACGATCTCGACTTGTTTGTCTATGACTCGTCCGACCACGAGCTCGACAGTCAAGCCGGGCTGAGCGAATCTCGAGGCCGACCAAGAGGGAGTGTCAAGCGCAGAGGATCACTGCTGAGAAGAAGTCCAGAAGTTGGCCTGGATCTCAAGTATCCTCAAATTCGGAGAGGCAGGAGTGCGGGACCAAAGGCTAAGCTGCTGCACAAGGCCAAGGGAGAAGCCGAGATCGAGGCCCAGAGGCAGCAGGAAGCCCAGGACGACTATGAGATAGCGGACTTCATCACAGTTCCTCCTCTATACTCAGCCAAGCGAGACCGTGGGACCATCCTGCCCGATCGCCAGGATCGTCTCGTCTCTTCGACTACTCTGTTGATCCCTGGCACCCAGCCTTTGCCGTCGATCTTGCGCAGCCCACAGACTATCGACGTGGCTGTGGAGACCGTACCTCGGCTCACTTTTGCGCGTAGGCCGAGCAACACAGCAGGGAGCGATTCTTTAACTCCATCCCCAATGCACGCCTCGACTTCGAGGATGACGGCAAGCCCAGCTTCGCCCAGAGAGACAAGGAGACTGTCCTTCGCCGTCGACTGCACCAAACCAATCAAAGTCAGGAGGCGGAACAAGTCTGCAACAGAAGTATCCTATGGAGCCCTCAGGTCTGAAGGTGAAGCTGTCCACAAGCAGAAGTCTCGTCGTCCTTCGAGTGGCAGTCTTTCCGGTAGCAATCTCGCCCTAGATTCGCCCACTATCAGCATCGGCAGCTACACTTCCACGGGGCCCTCGACCTCACGCCCTATGCCGGCCTCAGCATTGTCACTTCCTTCTCTCAACATCAACACCCCAAGGAAGAGCAGGTCCGCTTCTGGCAGCCGCTCTCGCTCTGCGTCATTCTCTTCCCCCTCTCCAATCTTCTTCCTACCTTTTGCGGGCAAAGCGGCAACTCAAAGCGAGGGGTCATCCGCAGGGCTGAGCCCCACTCGACTCCTCGCGAGTGCAGCTTCCACAGTCACACTCTGCAAGATCTGCGCTACATATCATTCGCCTACGAGCCAGAGCAGTACCAAGCAAGCCGGAGAAGACTCCGAGAGCGTCACAACGACCGATGCCACTTGGTGGGGTGCAACACCACGACGTCGCAGTCTACCCGAATTGCTCCTGTACGCTGGTGGAGCCAAGAGGGGGAATGAAGCTCTGAACCATTTCGAAAGTTCTGGCAAACAAAGTCATACCCCAACTGCGAGCAGCACAAAGGTTGGAAGTGTCAGGGGCAGAATCATGGGAAGGGGAAGGAGCGAGTCGGACACGCGTGCCCTGCTGTGGAGTATCCAGGCTTCGGCGGGCAAAATCCTGTGAGAGGTCATCATCAACAAATGTGTGCTGTCTGTTTTGTCCGTAATTGTCATGCTAATGAATCCGATGACGTCGATGTCAGCCCGAATGTGAAGGCGAAGGAGGTGGTGCAGTCGCCGTGGCTGGAGGGTGATGGTGTCTCCCTGTGGTGTTGCTCTACCGTCCTCTTTGCTCCGTCAGGGTGGTGCGGGGGCGTCGGAACTCCACAGCCGCCAGGCGCGAGGGGCGGGGCGAGGAGAAGAGGCGAGGAGGGGCTTCCTTTTCCCGTTTGCTCCGAGGAGCGCCTTCCTGTGTGAGGCACTCACTCACTCACACGCACTCGTATATATATCTTGCACCTTGCTGACCTCCTTCGTTCGTACGTTGTCTGGTTCAGTCCTACACCTCACCTTCCCAATCACCAGCCACCTCGTCGTCGCGCTCTAAGCAGACTTGCTTCCTGCCCAGCCACGCCCCTTGCTTTGTCCCGCCTGGCCTTGGCTGCACCTCGCCCTTTCACTCCGTCACTCACTCCACTTTGCCTGCACACTCGCACACGCACACACCCGCCTCACAGCGCCCTCTCCTGCCTTTTGCCCCTCACCGCAACTGAGATTCCTCTGAGCTGGTCGATACTACAACACTCCCTTTCCCGTCTCTGCAAGGGTCAGCCATTCCTACTCTCACCCCACACCCATTTCCACCACCACCACCATGTCCCACTCGCACTCCTCTTCGTCCTCCTCAGGACCCAGCGGCAGCAGCACCGGCCCCGCTCGTACCCCGTACTCCGTCCTCGGCCAGACCTTCCTCATCGATTCAGCCTACAGCATCTCAAAGGAGCTCGGTCAAGGCGCCTATGGATGTGTCGCAGCTGCAACCCACAATGCCACTGGGGAGAGTGTGGCAATCAAGAAGATCACAAACGTCTTTAGCAAGCGCATCTTGACCAAGCGAGCTCTCAGGGAAATTAAGCTGCTACGGCATTTCCGCTACCACAAGAACATCACATCCCTCTTTGACATGGACGTCATCGACCCGCGGCAATTCAATGAGGTGTACCTATACGAGGAGTTGATGGAGGCAGACCTCCACGCCATTATTCGCTCAGGTCAACCCCTATCAGATGCCCACTTCCAGAGCTTCATCTACCAGACGCTATGCGGACTCAAGTACATTCACTCGGCCAGTGTGCTACACAGAGATCTCAAACCCGGAAACCTCCTCGTCAATGCCGACTGTGAGCTCAAGATCTGCGACTTTGGCCTGGCACGAGGATTCGAGACGGACCCTGAAGCAGCTAGCAAGCAAGCAGGAGGAGGATTCATGACAGAGTACGTCGCCACACGGTGGTATCGAGCACCAGAGATCATGTTGAGCTTCCAGAACTACACGACAGCCATTGACGTCTGGTCGGTGGGCTGCATCCTCGCCGAGCTTCTAGGGGGCAAGCCCATCTTCAAGGGAAGAGACTATGTAGACCAGCTGAACCAGATCCTTCACTACCTCGGTACTCCGTCGGAGGAAACACTACGTCGTGTTGGCTCGCCACGAGCACAAGAGTACATCCGTTCCCTGCCATACAAGCAGCGCATCCCTTTCAGCACCCTGTACCCCAATGCCAATCCGCTGGCGCTGGATCTTCTGGAGAAGATGCTCGCCTTTGACCCTGCTCTCCGGATAAGCTGTGAAGAAGCTTTACAGCACCCTTACCTGGCCGTCTGGCACGACCCCATCGACGAGCCTCTGTGCCCGCGCAAGTTTGACTTTGGATTCGAGGCAGTAGACGATACAGAGGGAATGAAGGCCCTCATCCTTGAAGAGGTCAGAAGCTTCCGTCAGGAGGTCAGGCAGAGCGCAGCCGCCGCCGCTGCAGCCGACGAGGCAAACGCTGCTGCTGAAGCTGCCGCTACTGCTGCTGCTGCCAACCAAACGTCTTCTTCATCTGGTAGTGGTGCAAGGAGGCAAGACTCCTTGCCTATTCCTACGCGCGAGGAGATTCAGAAGAGTAGCCCGACGACAATGGATGACGTTATGAGCTATGGAGGAGGAGGAGGAGGAGGAGGAGGCGTAGGTCATTCACATCACAACCAGCAGCAGCAGCAGCAGCAGAACGTCTATCAGCAACCACAATATCAGCAGCAAAGCTATCAGCACCATCAGCACTCTCATCATCAAGGAGGTGGACAACAACAACAGGTCTTGGGAGCAAGTGCAGGTTTGGTCTATGCTGGTGGAGATGAAATGACCGAGGAACCTAACGAGGCGCTGGAGAGGGAATTGAGCGGACAGTAGAATTTTCAAGACTTTTTTGTTGAGTAGAGTAGAGTAGAGAGGAGAGGAGAACGAGTAGATGGAAGCGTAAGAGGCACACAGAAGCGCAACGCAGAAAGAGAATTCGCCGCTACACCATGACAGAGGGTAGATGTCAACTTTGATATCATTTGGGCGAGAAGTGGATAAGCGAGCGAGCGAGCGAGCCAGTCAGCCAGTCAGCATCGAAGAGCAAATAGGCAGAGACAAGAGGGGAGCCGGGGGGGGGGGGGATTGTGTGTGTGTGTGCGGGCAGCAAGAATTCATTGTTTCCTCTTTCCCCATCATCGATCCAACTGATCAAGTCATTCCAATCCATTCAATCAAAATCCTGTCATCCCCAATCGCCTTGTCTTGAATGTGCACTGCGCCGCACTGCGCTCCCTCAATCTCCACCAGCCTGCCCAGCTCCTTCACTCCCTTCCTCCCCGGCAGCCCCACCAGCCGCTCCCTCCATGAGCGAGTACTGCTTGAGCAGTGCCCCCTCTCCTCCCTTTTCCAAGTCAAGATTATAAGTGTAGAACCACCCTTCGGAGGTGCATACCATTACTTGCGGGGTGGTGGGGGAAATGGCCACTACGGAGCTCACGCCTGGAGTGGGGAGCTTGAGATAGGCAAAGTCCCGTTGGGGCTCCCACATGCTTGAGAGGGTGCTGGGGAGGTAGCCGCCCACAGAGGCAGATGCCAGCCGGCCGAGGGCGGCGGAGCGCTTGCGGAGGGAGCCTCTGCAAAGAAGTGACAGGGGGTCAAAGATCAGAGGTCAGAAAGCGCCGGACGGGAGAGAATCGCCTAGGTGTAGTCGGCTCCACTCACTTAAGTCCAGATCCCTTCTTCTTGTCGTCGATCATCCCTTCGTACCCTCCCCTGCCCGCACCATTCTCACTGCCGTCCTCGCTCCCCAGGCTCGGTGAGCTGGCTCCTCCGCCCGCTGGCGAAGCCAAGGCTGACCTTGTCGACAGGGAGGGGGACCCAGCAGGTGCTCCGCCAGCGCCTGTGAGCTTGTAGATGTGCACCGTTTCTGTATCTGACGAGACGGACAAGAGGGTGGAGACGGCGTTGAAGCTGATGGAGTAAATCTTGGCCGGATAGGCTCCTCTCCTGAATTGTGCTACAGGCGTGGCCGTGGGCACTGAGAACACGCGGATGACAGTACCCTTGTCCGAGGCGGTGGCCAGAAGGGTGCCCGTGGAGTTCATGGCTAGATGGGCAATGGGCATCTTGTGGGCCTGGATGATATTGGAGACTTGCAGAGAGAGGAGGTCGAATATCAGCACGTCGCCCGGAGATTGAGCGCCATTGGCCAGCGGCGAGGAGGGCGAGGGGGTAGGGGAGGGGTATGCTAGGTAGCAGGGGTCCGAAGAAGGGGAGAGGGCGCAGATGGCTAGGTATGGGAAGAAGGAGCGAGACTGAGTCAGATTACCCAATCTAGGCCTCCCCTTAGTATCGCCAGCTCACCTTGTGGGTTGGGGCTAGTCTCAATGGTATGCAGCAACTTCATGTTGCTGATGTCGTAGATGTAAATTTCGTCCTCCAAGACGACGACCAATCGTCTCCTGTTCAGCTTCACTGCCAGGATTGTTGTGGGAAAGAGGAGCTCGCAGATGGTGGATTGACGCTGAGAGGATAGGAGAGGGGAGAGACGCTCAGCTCTGGCGGCCACGCAATCTCAGGAGCTGACTGGCAGTCCAGCGTTGCCCTGCTTCTTTCTCACCTTTGTATTGACGATCTGCAATCTCCGTGGGCTTGCGCTAGGTCCTGAATCGGCCGTACCTACGATTGCGACGAGGGAGGTGCAGAAGAGCATCTCCACTATCGATACTGGCCCCACATCTGATCAAGGCGTGAAGAGGAGGTCAAAGAAACAGTCAGCTCCCCATTCCCGTTGGTTGGAAGAGGATACCTTTTCCAAGTCAGCTCCTACTCACTCTTTGAATATACTTTGCCAAAGGGCTCGCAATTTGTGATGGAGTAGCCCGTCCGTGTGCCTACCGCTACACAGCTTGCATCCTGGTTGAAGTTTACCGAAAAGAGGTCATTGCTTGCCTTGTGTGGGTTTGCACCCAGCAATCGAGACATGGCTGGGTATGAAGTGGAGGAGAGAGGGGGGTATGTGGCCGACTGGGCAGCGCTGAACTAGTCTAGAACTGAGGCTGGGAGGCTACGAGTAGGCAGGTGATGCTGCTGCTGCTGCTGCAGAGGCGACGAGGAATCTCCTTCTATCCCTCTTGTTTACTGCTGAGCTGAGTAGGGCAATGGTAGCGCACGAGGCTAGGAAGGTGATGAAGCGGAAGAATGCCCTTCTGGAAACGGCGCGTTCCTCGAGGGGTGTTCTGGACGAGGAGAAGATGCGACGGAGGTTGGGCAATGCCATCCAAGGCGGGGATGGTTGGTGGTGGGTGAGTTACGAGCGAGGTGGTGTGTGTATGCTCGTGAATGGAGTGGTGGATGGGGGATGTGAGGTGAAGCTGTTTGATGTTGATGGTGATGGGTAGGGGCGAGGCAGAGGTGTGTGATCCTTGGCTGGTACTTTGTGGTGCCGGTGGATGCGGGCGTAGTGTCGTCCAGTCTTGGCTGCGCGTGTGTGTGGGGGCAGCAGAGTGACTGACCCAAGGCGGTCTGTGCTCGGCGGTGCCTCTGCGCGCCCACAGCCACGTTTCCCTTTCCGCTTGGCAAAAGGCTCACCCACTCACTTCTTCCACCACTACTCATATTCCGCAATCAAAGCCAAGGCAGGTCCTGCTGCAGCTCCTACCCACCCGTACCATCACCAGGTCATGGCAGCCGCAGCCAGGCATGGCGTAGCAGCGCACCTGTACAGTCACCCTTCCACCTCACGGCTGGACCTCCGCCCTGCCCTTCAGTACACAAGGCATCCTTCACTACCCTCCCCTCCCCATCCACGCACCTTTCATCAATCACCCTCATCTCGCGTCCCATCAGGAGCCATACAGATAGTATCCCCGAAGCTACCAGAAGATCCCAAGATCAAGCCAGATCTCCCTCCAAGCAAGCCACCTCGTCTACGATTCGCACCTTCACCCACTGGACAGCTGCATTTGGGTGGACTACGCACGGCCCTCTTCAATCACCTCTTTGCAAGGAGATTTGGTGGCAAATGGTTACTCAGGATTGAGGATACGGATCAGGTGAGAACCCTGAAGCATAGGTGATCTGTCAAACTCTGTCTGGCTGGCGTGACTGACCGACAGTCTGCTCACACCCCCTCTCGTCCTTGCAGACCCGCTTGGTACCTGGCTCATTAGAGTCGATGCAAGAGATACTTCAATGGGCAGGCCTAGACTGGGACGAAGGGCCAAGCTCCTCCTCCAGTAGCAGCAGTGGTCCATATGTTCAGTCACAGCGCCTAGACATCTACAGGCATTACTCGGAGGAGCTCATCAAACGAGGAAAAGCCTACCGGGACTTTCGAGCCCATCAGGACGAGGATCCTGATGCCGAGGTGGCAAGGAGGGCCGTGGCACGGGGGAACATGAAGCGCAATGCCCAGGAAGTCAAGAGAGATAACGAACGAGCGCGGATTGTAGCCCGGAAGGGCGTGCAGCAGTATGTTCCCCCTGACGAGGAGCACGCTCAAAAGCTCATCAAGTCGGGCAAAGGGTACTGCGTCAGGCTGAGGGTAAGCAGAGGGGATACTGTGTAGCATCTTTCAGCAGAACCAACCCACACCGACACTCTCTTTTCTTCGCTTCACGCAGATGGAACCAAAAGAGACAATGTTCCACGACGGAGTGTCCGGCCGCCTCCTCTTCAAGCCCGACATTGGAGTCCATGACCCAATTCTGATGAAGACCGATGGCTGGCCGACGTATCACTTGGCCAGCGTCGTAGATGATCACCTCATGGGCATCACGCACGTTCTGCGCGGCGAAGAGTGGCTGCCTTCGGTGCCCAAGCATCTCGCCATCTATTCCGCCTTTGGCTTCACCCCGCCTACGTTCATGCATCTGCCTTTGCTGATGAACAAAGATGGCACGAAGCTGAGCAAAAAGACGCAGGACGTACATGTGTCAGTATGGAGGGAGATGGGATATGAGCCCGATGCGGTACTCAACTACGTTTCGTTGATGGGCTATAACCACCACGGTGAAGAGCCTGTAGAACATACCGAAGGGGAGGGCAATGCAAGAGAGGTCCTGACCTTGAAGGACCTGATAGAATCGGTAAGTGTCCAAAGAGCAGACACTGAGATTCTCCGCTCACACCCCACACTCTCGTGTGCGCCCCAGTTCGATCCGTTGAGGATATCCCGCCATCGAGCAGTCCCTTTCCCGCCTAAGCTAGACTATCTCAACAAGCGGCACCTCCTTCTCAAGGCCAACGGTCCCCCCACCTCCTCTCCCGCCAGCCAGTCTCCGGATGACAGCAGTCGAGACGGTCTACACGCTCTCTATCTACGGGCCCTACCCGCTCTAAAGGAGCGCTTCTCAGGGGCAGAACAGGCTGGTCTCCTGACCGAATCGTACATCAAGCCCGTCATCCAGGAGATGATCGGTCGCGTCCTCCTCTTCAAGGACCTGCCATACGAAGCCCGCTACCTCTTTGAAGAACCAGATTACGGCGCCATTCTTTCCCCCGAGCAAATTAAGAAGAAGGGTGTCGCGGGAGAATCAGGAGGAAGTGCGGTCTCGGCTGCGGCTGCAGCGATTGCGACTGGGGAGAAGCCTGATCCCTTTACGGAGTACAAGACGAGAAAGGTTCGCAAAGGGACAGCAGCGGCTGCACGATTGCCGCGCTTTGGTGAATTCATCGAGCGGGCTTACAAGACGATGGAGGGTCTTAGCACCAGTGGAGGCAATGAAGGAGGAGAATGGGCGGATCGAGAGACGTTGCGCTCCACTTTCGACCGACTTCTCGAGGAGCTGGACGCTGAGCAGGCTCCTCGCGAGTCGGGAAGCGATCGGATCGACATGATGAGGATACTCCGGTTTGCCCTCTTTGGCGGAAAAGTGAGTAATGAAGCTCGCCGCTGCTTGGGAAGCTCCACTTTTGCAAGAGGGAAAGTACTGATGCCCTTTCCCCGCTCTCTCTCTGCCTTTTTCTCCTCCGTTTGACTTGTGCTGAAAAAGCCCGGCCCGGATACCGCGACACTCTTCTTTTTGCTGGGGAGGGAGCGCACCCTTGCACGTCTACAGCGGGCGAAGCAGTGGAAGGAGGAGGCGGATGTGGCGCAACAGTCGTAGCGAGAGGAGCAGGCGAAGACAGAGGAGCGATACAAGAGGTGAGGGAGGGGGAGGGGGGGGGGAAGGGCAGCGCAAGCACAGCCGTGAAAAGGAGAGACTCTTGATTCAAAGTGTCTGGGTTCATGATCATGATGATGAATAATGCTATTTGGCGCAGAAAAGAGACTGGGAAATACTCGCAGCACAGCTTACGACCCAATAGCCCATTAGCAAAGACCGCACCTCCCTCCCTACCAGATTTCGACCTGTAATCTACTCTGTCTTCCCCACCTCCCAGCTCTTCCATCTCCCTCTCCGCCTTGCACGCCCACGTCCGCCCCGCGCGCCCGCTCACTTGTAAACACTAACGAACTCCTTCCTCGGCTTGGGATGCAAGTTCGCATGGCTGAAAGCTCCCTCTACACGATGCGTCGCATTCAAATTCTTCTGTGTAGTGATTTGAAAGACGCTACTTCCACCTTCGCGGGCAATGATGACCGAGCTGGCCAAAAAGTAGACCCAGATCCTCCATAGGCGATCACCGTATTTTGCTCGGACTTTCTCCTCATTGACGTACCAGTTTTCCAACCAGCGCGAAATGGTGGCACTGTAGTGCACGCCTAGAACATCGCAGCTTCGCACTTCGAAGCCGGCTTTCTCTAGTTGCGTAATGACCCACCCGACATGCAAGGAGGCGTCAGCACCGCGGAAGATGTACTTGTTCATGAATAGTCCCCAGATGAGATCACCGAATTGCCACTGGGGTCGTAGACCTGCGACTTGCAAGAGGAAAGTCCCATCATCGTTCAGGCGCTCGTAGATACTCTTGAGGAATCGACCATAGTGACGGATACCCACGTGCTCGGCCATTTCAAGGGAGACGACCTTGTCGTAGTAGCCCTTTTCCACGGGAACGTCGCGGTAGTCGGTGCAGAGAATACGTGCTCGCGAAGGGTCGATGCCGTTGCGCTTGATGCGGTCGTTACCGAAATGCGTCTGTTCCCGCGAGAGGGTTACACCGGTCGCGTCGCAGCCAAAATTCTTGGCCGCAAAGGCAGTCAGGGTTCCCCAACCACAGCCAATGTCCAGGAGCTTATCGGTAGGTTGCAGGTTCAGCTTGGAGCAAACGACTGACAACTTGTTGTCTTGTAGCTCCTCGAGAGTCTCCTTGCGGGTAGGGTCGGAGATCATTCCAGACGTGTAGATCATCTGCGGTCCCAGGAACCACTCGTAGAAGTCGTTGCCTCGGTCGTAATGGTCACGGACTTGCTCCTCGTCCTGTCGAGCAGAGTGAGAAAGGACATCGGGGATCAAGGTAGTGAAGACGAACTTGAACAAGTCGGCAGTAAAGACCATGCTGGCCCAGTCCATTCGGTACTCGAGGACATTGAGCATATTGGCGTCACCGCCCACGATGTCAATCTTCTTGTCAAAGTAAGCCTCGTAGAAGATGGCCATTGGGATTTTGTTACGACCATTGTACTTGGCCTTGAGCTCAGGGTCTTTGATGGTGATGTAGCTCTCAATTGGCTTGCCAGGGAGGATTACCTTCTCATTCTTGCGCGATCCAATTCGGCTCATGACCCACCAATAGGCCACCGAAACCGGAGAGGCGAGGAGGGCTGCAAGGACGATGTAGAGCCACCATGGTACCCAGCTAGGCTTAAAGAAGGGGATCAGTCGGGTGAGAAGTGCCGGTGAGAACCAAATCAGGAGGCCGAGATGCAGATTCGAGAATTGGCCATTGCCCTCGGCAGGCAGGAGAGCATTGTCGATGGCAGGATACTGGGTCAGGCGAACCTTTCCTCCCGGAGCCACACTGGCATTGGCCATGCGGTTGATGACGTCCTCTGCCTGTGCCTCGAGCCCTTGGGGAGCCACCTTGGCGTGGTTGGTGGAAGACTTGGCTGGTAGGGCGCTGGGGGCTGCCGCACTGTTTCCAGTCTGGGCAGCTACTCCACCGTTGGGGAAAGGTGCAGACGGTGCCGAGGGAGGTGGGATAGAAGCAGATGTCTCTGGCACCGCTGGTGCGCTCGAGAAGGAAGCACCATCGCGAGCTTGCTCTTTCACGTCTTGAAGGAAAGGGTTGGTATTGGCATTGCTCAAGCCAGCAGAGATGGCAGAAGGCTGAATGACATCGGCAAGTGCGCTGGTCTCTGCGGTTGTTGGAACCTGTGAGACTCCCTGTGCGATGGGCTCTTGGCCTGTGATGAGGCTGGACTCATCGTCGCCGAGGAGATCCTGCTGATAAGCCATGCTGAGGATGGCTGATAGTTGAGGGGTTTGTGTACGGTGGAGAGAAGGAGCAAAGGGGAAGAAGAAGAAGAAGCGACGCGGCGGGGGCAAGAGGCAAAGAGGGGCCACCAGGCACAGGAAGAAGTGCGTCGGGGTTGGTTGCCTGGCCAGCGCGTGTGTTGCTCCGCACAGGGCAACGCAACAGATCACCCCCCGCTCACGTGGCAGCACCCACCGGGCCAGGCAGCAACATCGAGGTGACCATGACACCAACCGCAACCGTACCTGCATACATACACACTGCCAAAGTCACACAAGTTCCAGGTGCGAGAGCAACATCGCCTTTCTTCGGGAAGAGCCATCGATACACCGCCTGGCGTCCCAGAGCCCCCCGACTACCTCTACCTCTTCACGTCCCCCTCCTTCTTCGCAATCCATACCCTCCGACTACCAATCGTTCCACTCTTGGGTATGTCGATCCACAGTCGCCTGTACTCCCACTTGCCACTCTCTGCGTCCATCTTCAGCTCCGCATGCACCTCGCCAGAGGAGAAGGTTCCCGGCTCACGTTTGCCCTTGAGCGATTTCGAGGCGCCAGAAGTGGAGAAGGAGGGAGTAAGCCAGGATAGACCGCTTGAGAGGGTACGGCTAAAGACACCAGGCTCGGAGGTAGAGGAGCTAGACTTTGACTCGTCGGTTGTTGTAGCGTCCCGTAGCGAAGCCAGCGGGGAACGACCTCCTTCGCCCTCTTCTACCTCCTCGCCCGCCAGCTTCTCCCTGATCGTCTCCACCAGCTGCACTGCCTCACTCGTCACCCATCGACTTTGATCCCGTACCCAGTCTCGACTCCTCTCCAGGTAGCTCCAATCCCTGTCCTTGTCCCGCGCCTCGACAAAGAAGCGCAGCAGCATCACATCTCCCTGACCAGATTTGTCCGCCACTACCACCGAGCTGGGCAAGGGGGAGGCTCGACGACGACCAGATGGAAGATTGGTTGGAGAGGAGGCAACGGGGGAAAGTGAATGCGTATGGAACTTGAAGGGCGGCAGAAGATGCTCATAGATCTAAGGAAGAAAGGGAAGGCTTGCGTCAGCGATCCTATGCCCTGCGCTAAACGCCTGCAATTTGCAGTGCTTGCTCACCTCCTTGTTGTCCTCCACTCTCCTGCAAGCATCCTTGTAGATGACCGTAGGACTGTTCGGCGCGAACAGCTCACTCAGTAGCGCATACGAAATCACCAGTGTGAATGCACTGCCAAAGAGGACCAGTCCCACCTGCGATCCCTTGAAAGCGGTCCTAGCCACCTTCTGCCCCGTCTTCAATTCCTGCCAAGATTGACCCTCGCCAGTCGCCTTGGCAACCAGACCTCGACGACGAGGGAGAGGATAGTCGCCTAGTAGAGAGCCTCCAAGGCCGGGAGGCATGGGCGCCCGCTGTCCCTGTGAGTCGAGGAGACGCTCGGCTGTTGCATTTGGCTGCGAGGGGAAACGAGCTGCAGCTGCTGAGGAAGAAGAGGAGGAGGCGGCCTGCCGTAGCTCATCGAGCAGCTGGCGTTGCTCCGCTGCTGAGCGGGACGATGAAGCAGCGGATGAAGCGGAGGAAGAGGAAGATGATGATAGTGAAGGGTCGAGCTTGAACTCCTTCATCTTGTAAAGCGGGCGAGAAGTATGCAGTGATCGCTGCTGCACGACCGTCACAGATTCGCGCAGCAGAGCCCAGCTGCTCCCATGTTCCAAGACGGTGAGCATCTGTCGCGATTGAGAGCACCTGAGAACCATAGTGGGTGGTGGTCGAAACGTACGGATGATATGAAGATCTGCGCTACGCGGAGAAGTGTCAGGAAGGAGTGGATGATATAGCGGAAGTGAAGCCGACACAGATGCAGAGCTGCTCCACTTCGGGAAAAAAGTCGAGGCGCGGGGTCACAAGGCGAGACAGGCATGTAGAGATGAAGCACAATGTAGATCAGAGCAAGGTATGTTGACAACGATGATGAGGTATGAGAGACAACAACATCTAGAAGATAACGGGCACTCCTCTACGCTTGAGAGCTCTTCGCCCTTCAGCCTCCCAGAACGCCTCGGTCTTTTCCGATGTCTTAGCGTCGAGCAAAGGAAGGTCTTCCGCTTCCTTGCCCTCAATCTTCTTGTTCTTTCCCCCCTCTTTGCTTGCACCTCGTTTGACCGCATTACCGCCTGGGTGCTCCATTCCAGCGAAAGAGCCCAAACCGCCATGCCTAATCCAGGCGGCTACGCTGGTCTGCCAGCGAGCATGCTCCAACACACCAACAGCCTGCAACAGAACGGTATCTGGTTCGGGGCCCAGGTCTTCCTCTAGCTCCGGTTCACTAGATGACTCTGCTATAGATTCGGAAGCAGTCTTTGTAGCGTCCATCTCTACATCCGGAGCAATTGGTTGCAACGCTTCCTGCTCGGCGGCCAGCGCGGCTCGAGCGCGTTGCCGAATCCGCTGCTTGGCTCTTCTGCTTTCGCCTTCTAGCTGCAAGTCGTCCACCGTCTGGGACAACGTGCTCAAGCGTTGACCATCGCCCGACTTGTCCTCGTGAGTTGACGCTTGCGCCTCATCACCCTCTTGCTGACGCTGGCGATGCAGAGCGACTAGCTTTTCTCGATACGCCCGAGTGCCAGCAGCCCTCTCGTGATCGAATTCGGGAATGAGCAGGTGATTGTACGGCTGCATCCTGGCCTTGTCGGTAGAGTCATCCAAGAGCAGAGTGTTGTGGAAGCCGAAACCTCTGCTCTCCTGCCACTGTCTCGCAGCAGAGAGTTTTGGCTGCTTGACGTACTGTAGAGACGCCAGATGAGCTACGTGAGCTGCTCCACGTCGCTTGCCGCGTGAGGGAGGTGCATATTTTCCCGAGCCAGATTTACCGTGACCCTTCTTGCCACTGGAGTCAGAATCGGATTCGGATTCTGAGCCGTCTGGATACTTGTGATCAGTCCTATCACGGTACTCTGCGTTCACACGGCGCTCGCCCTCGTGTACCTCTGCCGGTTCCGTTGAGGACTGCTCTGCTTTCACGTCGAAGGCGGCAGCATGATTGAGTGCATTCCATATCACCTCAAGGTCTTTGATGGAAGGGCTCTTATGCTTGTATAGACGCTGAGGTACCAGAGTGTCGCGTGCCCATACTCGGACTAGCTGTGCCGCCTGAGCAGGATGTAGGATCGCTTGCACCATCGAGTCAACGTTCTGTGGCTGGGCAGAGGACCAGACCAGAAGTCTTTGAGTTGCTACGACGTCTGTGGCGCTCTCGGAAGCGCCTGGATCTGTCGCTTGGTAGTGAAGTCCATGAAGATCATTGCTTACTCGACCACGTAGACTTGGACCACGTATCAGCCATTCCTTTCTCCGATAAATTGCCGCCGCATCGTCGACATCTGTAGCGCTCAAGTTCGTGTCATCTTCTTCTGCGTGCTGAAAAGAGGGATCTTTGACGCCAAGGCAGTACTGTAGGAAGCTCGACAGATAAGGTCTGCGAGTGGGGTGCTGCGCTCCGACTACTCTGTTGTGCCCCCGATGGACGAGCGTGCCATTGAGGTCTAGAACAAGCAGAGGCAGTGTTGGGGGAGGTCCAGCAGCGAGCGAAAATGTCGAAGGCATCATTCCCGTGCCTCTGCGATAAGACTTGCGAGGTCCGCTACGGATGGACACTTGCCGTATCGAGTCACTGGCTGGCAAATTCGACGTCGTGCTATGAGTCTGGTGTTGCGGAGGACGGTACACCTGTTGCGCAGCGTCAGATGAGTGAGACATGTGGGGAGGCGGTCTTGGTGGCCTTCCTGGATGAGGGGGTCGACCGTGTTCCTGCCCTTGCCAGCGAGACGGACGCGCGTCGTGTCGAGGTTGGGACCGCCAATGATCATCGGAGGAGGTGGACTGAGTAGTTGGCTCTATATCCCATCGAGAGGGTGGCCTGCTCGGAAGCTCGCGAGGTTGATACCCGCGGGAAGACTGCTGGTTCCCCGGGGCATCGGAAGTGTCGTAGTATCCGTACTCCTTCCTCCAGGATCGTCTTTGGGCACTTCCGGCGTCATGATAAGCCTCCCAATGGTCGCCGTACCGATCAGCTTGCCTCTCTGATGCCCATGCTGGGACGTTGTCAGTAAAAGCATGCGGCAACTGAGAGTCCTCGACATCTCTAGATCGAGCTTGAGGTGCCCATCCTATTGATGCGCCGGAACGATGTCGCTGATCCCGTTGAGCACTGCCCTCGGCGTAGGCTTCATTTGGGGTGAAGAACTCTCCATCGAGCCGCTCTCGGCGCGTATCCCTTCGCCATGAGCTCATGTCGGTCTGGTCGTGCACAGCAGAAAGGTCAAGAGACTTTTGCTCTGGCGTGCGGCTGGCCGGGGAAGGCACCTGCGTAGGGCTGCGTCGGAAACCTGGACGCAACAGTCGGGCACTCAGTTCGAGCAAGGAACGTGAGGCCGTAAAAGGGGGCATTCATGGACAAGGAAGACTGATATACTCTTCCTGACCAGTGCGACCTGCGGGATAGATGCGGTAAGACTAGCGCTGATGTGTGCGAGGTGGGTGGTACCAAAGGTATTTGCGGAAGCAAGAGCCAAGAAGCGGCAGTGGCAGCCTCGACGCACGTCAAGGATGAGCCGCGGCAAAGACAAACACGGCGGTGAGCACAAGCCCCTCCCTCAGACCAACTCATGTCCGCCAGAGTGACACTTCCCACCCCAACCCACCACTCCCTCCCCTCCCCTCACTCCTTCGATACCCTCCTTGCTACCAGTGTACTCAGAATTCCATACCCTGCTTGGTCTACCACAACCAACACCACCCCAACCTGAACCATTGGCCCATCGCAATCACCCGCCGTCGGAGACGCGCCATCAATACCACTCGCCATGTCTTCGCAAGCGAGCTCCTCTTCTTCGCCCGCATTGGATGGCCTCTCTTCACAACTCGTGTCTCTCTCTGCTTTCTTGTCAGAGACCTTCACCAAACTCCCAGGCTCCCCCATTGTAAGACGATACATTGCCTCATCGTATCAGGATGACCCTATCCGATCTCTGCTGGAGCTCTTCCTGGTAGTCTTTGCCATTCGGACCATAGCGCAAAGCAGGACTAGAGGCACGACGAGCGGCAGCAACTTCGTCAAATTAGACCAGAAGGTAAGACAGGGAGCGAGCTGACATAAAGTGCACGGGGCTGCACCTTCTGAACCTTGCCATCATTCATTGCGCTTTCTGTCCCTACAGGAAATTGATGAGCTCGTGGAAGACTTTAACCCTGTGCCACTGTGCGAGCCCCTCGGCCAGGCAGATTATGACAATCTCTCCTCTGTGGCCACCATCATCGGAGGCACTTCTCCAAGGCCCAAGGTACTGATGCCCAACTTGAACGGCGGCAAGCCCAAGGACGTCCTGAACCTGGGAAGCTACAATTTCGCGGACCTGGCTGGTGACGAGAAGGTCAAGGAAGCCGCGATTCAGACGCTCAGGACCTATGGAGTGGGAAGTTGTAGTCCGCCCGGATTCTACGGGACCATTGGTGAGTGTCGATCAGCACACTATGTCCCCCTCCTGCCTCTCTGCTGAACCCGTCCCTTGCCCTGCCGTAGACGTACACATGGCACTGGAGACCGACATCGCTCGCTTCCTGGGCACGGAGAAAGCCATCATCTACGCTCAAGGCTTCTCGACGATTTCTTCGGTCATTCCTGCCTTTTCAAAGCGTGGAGACATCATCGTAGCGGACAAAGGTGTCAACTTTGCCATTCAGAAGGGCATCCAGATCTCGCGCTCAACCACAAAATACTATGACCACAACAATCTCGACTCGCTCGAGGCGACGCTGAAGTCAGTTGTCGCACAATACAAGAGGAAGAGACCCCTCACTCGCCGCTTCATCATCACAGAGGGCATCTTTGAGAATGACGGTCAGATCTCCAATCTCAAGAGGCTAGTAGAGCTCAAGAGAAAATACAAGTTCAGGCTCATCTTGGATGAGAGTCTGAGCGTAGGTACCATGGGACGTAACGGAAGGGGCTTGACAGAGCTCTGTGACGTTCCAGTGAGTCTGCAAGCTGGAGCGGGCCGAACAGCATCTCAAAGGCTTTGCGCTGATGTCTCACACCCCTCTGCTCCCTCTGACAGGCCAGCGAAGTGGACATGATTGTTGGATCGATGGCGAATACCATGGGAGCCGCAGGAGGTTTCTGTGCGGGCAGTACAGAGGTCATCTTCCATCAGAGGATCAATGGACCGTCGTATGTGTACTCGGCAGCTTTGCCTGCGATGTTGGCAGTAGCCTCAAGCTTGGCCATCAACAAGGTCCTCACCAACGAAGACGATGTGCTAGGAAGGCTTCGCGAGAATATTCGTGCACTTCGAGGTGTCGTGGACCACATCGAATCACTCTACATCCCTAGCGCCGACGATTCTCCAATTATTCACTTGCAGATCAGGCCGAAGGGCCTCCGTCACCCGGATACGTCGGAGGAGAAATTCGAGAGGGAAAGGAGCAGGGCTACGATCACCCCTGCTACTTCAGCCGAAGAGGTCAGAGCTAGAGCGAATGACCCAGAGCACGATCTGCTGCCCTCTCAGCAAGTCGCCCTGCTCAAGGCTATTCTAGACGATGCTTTCGAACACGGCGTCTTTGCCGTTCTGCACAAGCGACTGCCTTCGATTAAGCCCGAAGTGCTAGAGCGGGGTGTTGTTAGCCGACCTTCGATACGTCTCGGTGTGACGGCTGGGCTGAGCAAAAAGGACACGGAGAAGGCGGCGAACGTACTGAAGGCTAGTGTTGTCAAGCTCGTGGGTAAGCGGAGGATCTAGGGTTTACATCATTCGGGCATGTTTCCAAGCTCCGGTATCGTTATTGGGATTTTCCGCGGCAGCGGATCGGAAATTATAGCATCCAACTATCGTATGAGGATCCGTTTGGAGAGAGCGAATGTGTGAAGCCAACAGAGACGCCGTGGCGCCGGAGATCTGACCTTGATGGGCGCGCAAAGGCCGTGAGGCCAACAGGACACTAGCGCCGCTCCCTGGGAAGTCGTCACTGACCGCTGGATGTGCCACGAGGATGCCGCTGAACCTCGGCCTGTTTGCACCATACTGCCGGGCTGGGGGCACCAACGCGGGACTGATCACAAGGAAGAAAATGCGGTGGCGTCCTGGAGCTTCGGGACGAAAAATTGAGAGAGCGCCAACGCGTCATACCGATGCCTCTGCTGCAAGTGCCCAGCGCCAGCGGTGCTAGCGGACCAACAGCATCATGGAGGTCGAGCTCCAGCATCCCCTCGGCCTCCGTGCGCGAGCGTCTGCCTGGCTCCTCGCCCTTGCAGTGGCACCGTTGCCCAATTCCGCCAGAGGAGAATGCGGGGAGCGAGACAGCACAACTGCTAGCTAAAGCCACGCAACATTCAAGACGTGCAGAGAAGGGGCGTGGCTGCGTGCGTGGCTAGCTGCCTGTCTGCCTGTCTGAGCCCGTAGCAGTCCAAGCGTGGGAAGGGCCCGCGCCTGGTCGTCTGGCTTGGTCTCCCTGGGCCATTGTACCACTTACTGCTCACTTTGCTACCTTCTCCTTTGTGTTCCTCGTTGCCTCTGCCTTTGCCTGATTGTCATCATCAGAGTTAAACTCTCCGTATCGTCGTAGACAGTTCCGGTCTTCTCCGGCTCCTCCTCCTTCCTCGTCATACACTTCCCCCGCAATCTCTCTCTCTCTGCCGAGCCGCACATATAGGAAGCAGGCATTCATTCTCGCCCAAAAAGCCTTACGAACCGGAGGCGAGAAGCTCCTCATCATAACCTGCTAGCCCGCTGACGTCGCAGTCTCCTCGACCGACGGTGGCAGCCGTTCGTCTTTCTTTGTACACTGCGCCCCCACCTTTACCCGCCTGGGTCTGTCCAATATGCCACAGCGGCTGAATATGAGGGATGATGAGCTCTCAGCCATCATCCAGTTCGCACCCGTAGCACTCGTGGTCTTGGACAGAAACCGGAACTTGAAGAGAGTCAACAAGTTTGCCGAGACTGTGCGTATGAAGTCTCTTTCTCATGATAGACGCGGCGGAATTCAAGGCTCTATCTCCTGACGTGCTCTCCCCTTCCACTGTCTGCACAGATGCTCGGGCTAGATGCAAAGATGTGTACTGGTGCCCCCTTCAATGCTTGGGTGGCCGAGAGTACGCGGCCGACAGTGACAAGGGCCATTCGATATGCTGCTGAGTCCAAGTGGGGAGAGTCTGAGCACGGCTCGCCGTGGGCTCAGCCTGCACAGTCCACCGTAGCTCTCACCCCACGTCGGACGCCCGAGGATCGGGCAGGTAGAGTGAGTACGATAGCAGAACTTTCGGCCAGTCGCATGGCCGCACGCTGAACTCGCCTCTGGCCCACCTTCCGATGAAAAGCCCTTCTGGTGCGGCATCACCATTGCAGCCTGTTTCGACACACCTGCAAATTCGTCCAAGCTGTATATGCACGAAGCCTGGTACATCATCACAATCACATTATTGTCCAGCTCAACGACGAAACCTCCGAGCCTGCCGAACTTCACGACTCCAGTCGAAGTAGCTCCAGAAGAGGAGGCCGTATTAGAAACGGCTAAACAAGTCGCAGCAGCTAATCTCGGCCCTGATCAAGAAGTAGAGTCTGCCGTCGACGATGACAGAGGTCCCTTCGACGATTTGGCGGATCCGCCTCTTCAGACATCTCTCCTGGCCGAGGCTGTTGCATACAATATCGATTACGCAGTGGTTTGCATGTCGAGGTGAGCCGTCACGAAACCACAGGGGCGGTGATTGTGCAGTTGCGACTGACCATTCGTATCCCATCGCATCTCTAACGAACGACTCTACTGACGCCGCTGCTTCTTCTTCACTACAATAGCGACGGACACACCGCAGTTCGAAATCGGACAGCGGACAGTTTACTTGAGCGTATCAGCGCGGGCCCTGGCGGCGGCATGTATGAGGAAAACGTCGAAAATCCTCCAGCCGCTCCTCCATCGGACAGAACAGCCGACTCTGCTCCTCTCGAGGGGGAGGTCGATACAGCTTGGCTTCTATCGCACTTCAACTGCTACGACGCATCCTTTTCTCAGCTACTCAATTTCCGCGACTACCCTTTGTACAGATGTGCAATCCTGGGCCAGAAGATCGTAAATGAACAGATTGGTGTCATCGCCAAAGACGGCACCAGGTACGTTCTGGAAGTCACTGGAATCCCTCTCTTCGACTCCGGGGGGGATGGAAGGTACATAGGTGGAGCTCTTTTCCTGAAAGACGTCACGAGAGAATCTTTCCGTGCGAGCAGCATGAGTGTGGCAGAAGTGGCACTTGTGGATGACAGCGGATCAGTCGACACCATTGCTAGCTTCAAGCGGGTCTGTGAAGACCTACCAGAGATTGCTTGGATTGCCAACAGTGATGGCTACCTGGAATGGTACAATCATCGCTGGTACGAGTATACTGGGTCTTCCTTTGAGACCTCGAAGGGTTCCAGCTGGACAGACTATGTACATCCTGCCGATCTGCCTTCGGTAGGCAAGGCATGGAGCAAGGCACTCCGTCAGGAATCCCGCTATGAGGTGCAAGAACGGATCTTGGCGAAAGACGGAACGTACAAGTGGATGCTTTGTCGAGCGCACCCGGTCCGAAACAGCGAAGGCAAGGTGCTGAGGTGGTTCGGAATGTTGACAGGTGAGTTCTCCTAGGCGAATTCCACACTTTAGATAGTCAGAGCCAATCTAACACTTTCCCCGGCTATACCTGAATTCCTCTTACAGACGTTCACGCGACACTGAATGCTCTTGCATCAAACCGAGAGGCTAGGGAGAACCTTTCCGATGCTGTGCGAGGCGCTGATATCACTCTGTGGGCAGTGAACACAGAAGGTATCTTCACACTGGCGGAGGGCCCTCTTGCCAGCTTGGACGCTGCGAAGGGCTCGAGTATCTCAGGCTCAAGTGCTCACTCAATCTCTGCCGGCTCAAGCGGTTCGGAGGATGCTAGAACAGATCTGCCCCACCTTCGAGAGCCTACGAAAGCACCCATTGTCGGTCGTAGCATCTTCGAAGAATGGGGTGGGCAGAGGAAGGATCCAATCATGCAGGCATTGCAGGGAGAGCACGTCACAGAGGAGAGCACAATTAGAGGGCGGACTTACCGTACAATGTACAGGCCCACGAGGGCTCAGATGAACGCTCCGACCAGCTTCTTGCTCACTCACGAAGATGACGAGGCTCCGATCATCGGAGTGACCGGCATGAGCTTCGATATCACAGAGCGACTTATCATGGAGAAGAAGTTTGAGGAGAGCGCCAGGGAGGTCGCCCGTGCAGAAGCGGCTAGCTCGGCGGCAAAGGAGGCGAGCAGAATGAAGAGTCAATTTTTGGCAGTGAGTAAAGAGAGACGCACGAGCTAGAGGTGTCCCTTGATTACTCTGATCTCACCTACTTCATGCCCTCTGTTCCACGCAGGTCATCAGCCACGAGATTCGTACGCCTCTCAATGGTGTCGTTGGTCTGAGTGAGCTGTTGCTTGACATCGACAGTCTCACGGCCGAGGCGCAAGATTTGGTCCATTCCATCCTGCGTTCCTCGGGTGCTCTCCTGACGGTCATCAACGATGTGCTGGACTTCAGCAAGGTTGAAGCCGGAAAGTTGGATCTAGTGTCTCTGCCCTTCTCTCTTCAGCTGGTATGCGAAGACTCCGCGCGTGACTTCCAGAAGTTGATGCTCTCGAAGGGTCTGGAGCTCATCAAGGACATAGACCTGCCAGATGAAATCGTGCTTGGAGATGCGGGGCGGATAACGCAGGTCTTGAACAATCTCCTTGCGAATGCAGGCAAATTCACAGAGCGAGGCAGCGTCATGCTGAAAGCAAGCAAGACCCGGGAGGAGAGCGGCATTTGCTACTACTCTTTCAAGGTTGCGGATTCGGGCTGCGGAATTCCTCAGGCTCAGCTGAGCAGTCTGTTCCAGCCCTTCCGCCAAGCTGACCCATCGACCTCACGCAAGTACGGTGGCTCAGGCCTAGGACTGGCTATCTGCCGCAACCTCATCGAGTTGATGGGAGGGGAGATCTCCCTCGAGTCCGAGGAGGGAGTGGGCACGACAGTGACCTTCACAGTCCCTTTGCTGAAGTCTGCCACCTCGGACCCCCAGAATCCTCGAGAAGAATTGCAAAGCATGTTTTCCACCTACCAGATTGGTGAGAGGACTGCGATGCTGACCCAAACTACGACCACTACCAAAACGACGGCTTGCCACACCTTTGCACCTGGCCCTGCTTCAGGTGCAGGTACCGCAGCGCCTTCTGAAGATTATCTTGGCTTCAGGAGATCTTCTCTCGTCTCGACCACGACAAAGAGCAACTCCGTCAAGAAAGCTCGCATTCTTCTTGCGGAAGACAATCCTGTCAACTCGCAGATTGCGATCAAGACGCTGCAGAAGCTAGGGTATGAGGTCGACCATGCAGAGAATGGCGCAGAGGTGCTGGAATTCTACAAAAAGAATGAGGAGTACGCCCTGGTCCTCATGGACTGCATGATGCCCACGATGGTGAGTGACCAAAGAGCTCTGAGGATCCAAATAGACGTCGCTGACCCGATTCCTCGGTGACTTTGCAGGACGGCTTCCAAGCGACACGATTGATGAGAGCGTCCTCTTCGCTCGCCATGCGGAAAGTCCCCATTATCGCCCTCACAGCAGCGGCAATCAAGGGCAGGGACATCTGTCTCGCCGCAGGCATGTCCGATTTCCTTTCCAAGCCAGTGCGGAGAGCAACGCTAGACGCCATGCTGCAGAAGTGGGTCGGACTAGAGCACGACACAACGACGCTGATGACGCCTTCGATGAGCAACCAGGATGCTACCACTCCTGTCTTCGAATAGACGATCTGTCGCGTCCCACTGGGATGGACAGTCTTGCACTGTAGACCTTCCTCTGAAGCTTTGTACATTACCACCTTTGCCACACCTTCCCCCCCTTTTTCCTCTCCCTGCCCCCTTTCACGGAGCTCGACCTGATACCGGTGTTCACTCCCGGCACCTCCCTCCCTTTCTTCTCTACTCCTTGTTCGCCCATGATGACACCAGGGATTCGTTGCATCATCATATGTATTCTCCCTCTCAGCCTTCTCTGCACGTACGAAATCTACTCTTCTACTTCACATATTAGCCCAAATCGAGATAGGGGCTGCAGGCAGATACGAGATCAGGACGGAGCATCGCAACAGTCTATGTGAGGCGATTACTCCTCCCGAGCAGCCAGTGGAACACGAAGCGATTCAGTGCAAGTGGAGCAAGAAGCGATTTGGTGAAAGCTAGCGAAGTCTACATGATGAGGAAGTCTGCCGAACTATCTAGTCCTCCTCGTCTACGATGAGCGTCTTGACGGAGAAGACATTACGGTCGGCAGAGTGCTCCACGGCCTCCTTTGCCTTCTCCAAGGGGAAAGTGTGGGTGACAATCTGCTTCAGCGAGGGAATCTTGCCCGAGGCTACGAGACGGATGGCCTTTGGCCAGGTGTCGCGCTGTGAAGGGCAGAGGGAGGCAGCGTCAGCTGTCCGCTGATTCTACTTTCGCTTCTCTGTGACTTCGAGCAACTCACGTATCGGAATAGGAACTTGAGGTCAATCTCGTTCGTGGAAAGGTGCATGAACGGAATGCTCAGATGCGACTTGCCTACACCCAGAACAAAGATGAGACCTGCGGGCTGGCAGGCGTAAGAAGCCACGGCAATCGAGCTCTCCACACCAGTGCACTCCAAGACCTTCGAAGGCATCGTCTCTCCTCCCACGCCGTGGGTAGCGGCTGTGAAAAGCTTGACGATCTGGCGAGCAGACTCCTCTGGTGTCAGAGCCAGATCGATCTTGAAGGGGTGCACTTCTGGGCAGAGCTTCTTGGCAAAGTCGAGACGCTCCTGTGCCAAGTCAGTGATGACAATGGGAGAGGCACCAGCGGCAGCGGCACACAGCAGCTGGCAGACTCCGATAGGGCCAGCTCCGGTGACTTTTGCAAGATCAACAAGACTCAGAAGTCAGCTCAAGGTGTACGTTGCATCAGCCGAAATTGCTCGTACTCACTCAGCACTGGGTCTCCGAGCCTGATGTCAGCTCGGTCAGTGGCTCGCAGCACGACACTAAGAGGCTCGAGAAGGGCGATCTCAGGGTACGACATGGAGTCGGGGACCTTGTGCAGCCAAGCGGCCGGGTGAACGTGGTACCTTGTCAAAGTACCATCCATGGGGGGAACCGAGTAGAAGTCGACAGTGGGGCACAGGTTGTATTGACCACTTCGGCAGTAAGTGCAGGTGACCTGAGTATCGCAAAGGGAGGAGAGTTAGACAGGAGCGTGGACAAGGTTCCGCAGGCAATCAGCAGCACGCACCTTTCCACAGGGGACTCCGGGCTCAATGGCGACCCTGTCTCCAACCTTGACGTGCTCGACACCGGGACCAATGGCAATGACGATACCGCCAGATTCGTGGCCGAGAGCGGTCTTGTCGGTGATCTTCCAGGGGCCGAGTCCAGCATGCTTCCAGAAGTGCACGTCAGAACCGCACACACTGGCAGGCGGTGAATGGCAGAATCGCAACAGTCAGTGCTTAGAGTCCTGAGGTGAGTGACGCTTCTCTCACACACTCACCCTGTAGCCTTGACGTGTACCAGAGCTTGGCCCTCTCCGGGAAGCTTGGGCTCACTACGGATCAGCTCGAGCTTGGACTCGTGTGTGGCTTTGAGAGTGAGGTTCTCTTTGAGTACGGGGGCAGTAGCAGAAGGAGACATGATCAATGAGTTCTTTGGTATGGCAGAGGGTGAATGTATGAGTGTGATGAAGAAGGAGGAGAAGAGATGTCCGGGGAAAAAAAGGGAGACGACACTTGTAAGCAGGCCGAGTCTTATTGAGCCGGACAGAAGCTCCACTGCAGCCACTTTTCCGACTTCGTCGGGACCCCCGCTTCGGGAAACCAGATTACCGAGCCGGCTGGCGCCTCCCTCGGACACCGGCGGCCGACACAAAGATCGGATCGGAAGCAGCACGACCAGAAAGCGTGGGTCAAAGCATAGAGCACACGCCAGTCACTTCTTCCCGTCACCTTGCGGCTACCATGTCCGCCTCCTACGCCTCCTTCGACCAGATCCTACCGGCTACATCCCCGTCTCATGCAGTCTCGTGTCAGCTTGCGCGGCCCTCGTCGTCATCTGCGTCGTACCCTACTTCACGCGGCGTCGTACTCTCACATCTGGTCACAGCGCGAGATGAAACATTGCAGGTCTGGGAAGTGAGGGCGAGCAAGGAAGGCTTGGGGCGACCAAAGCTATGGCATGTGAGGACAAAGACTCTATTCGGATCCATCACAGGACTACAACGTACCAAGACTATCGAGTCGGAGGCAGACAGTAAGGATCGTCTGCTGGTCTCGTTCAGGGACGCCAAGATTGCGCTCCTCGAATGGGACGAGGCGAGCCAAGATCTCGCTACAGTCAGTGTACATACTTATGAGAGGGCGTCGCAGCTATCCGCTGGTCTACCACAGAATTTTCGTCCTGCCTTGTCACTGGATCCTGCCTACAGATGCGCTACGCTTCTGCTGCCCCAGGATGCCATTGCGGTGTTGCCTTTGATGTCCTCATCGGACCTGGACCTTCTGGACCAAGACGATGACTTCGAAGAGCTGTACGGCGCATCAAGCGCTACCCAAGGCAACGGACAAGAGCGGAAAATACTGCCCTACACCCCCTCTTTTGTCCTGCCTCTGTCCGAAGTAGATGATGGTCTGCGGAACATTCGAGACATTGTCTTTCTCCCAAACTTCCAGAAGCCTACAGCTGCTTTCCTGTGCGAACCGACTTCGCAGAGCTGGACCGCTTCTCTCGGCACAGAACGCGATACAGTCCATCTATACCTCATCACACTAGACCTAGCGGCTACAAGTCACTCCATCCTCTCACACATCTCGAATCTCCCATACGATACCCTTTATACACAGCCGAGTCCAAGCTTAGGTGGTGTATTTGTTGTCACAACGACAGCAATCTTCCATGCTGACCAAAATGGCAAGCTGAGTGGTGTAAGAGTCAATGGATGGACGGAGCGCATAACTACGAATGAGGCTATTCTGGCAATGCCCGAGTGGAAGCGAGCAGATGAGAACAGGCATCTCGACCTGAGCAACTCTCACCTCATATGGACCGAAGGCATGCCTTTGCCGGGAGAGAGTTCGGAGGAGTCGGTCCGGCCATCACCTGGTAGTGGCCTACTCCTTCTGCAGGATGGAACTGTTCTCAGTCTGCGGTGCTCCCTTGATGGTCGAGCAGTCTCCACGATCCACCTGGACTTCGTACAAAGCCCACCAAGCCTCGCAGGTGTACGCTCCAGTCTCGCAACATGGATCGAGGCATCTCAAGCGCTCGACGATGTCGATGCGCCTCTGCTCTTTGTCGGCTCGATGGTGGGTGAATCGAAAGTCCTAAGTATTGGCGGTAAAGCGAAGCAAGAGGCTGAGCAGAATGGCTCTCATCAAGCATCTTTCGAAAGATCGACGAATGCGTCTAAAGAGAAGATGGAAGTTGACGATGACGATGACGCTGATCTTTATGGAGAATCTGTCCTGCCGACGACGTCTAACGAGGTATCGAGAACTGGCGCTGCTACGTCGGCAAGCGTCGAATACTGTCTCACTTGTATAGACTCACTGCCTGGGCTGGGACCCATCTCGGACATCAGCCTTGCTGTTGTACGAGACAAGAACCAAGGAGACGTCGTGAAAACTGTCGTTGCTCATGGTGCTGGTATTTCCGCTGGACTCAGTCAGCTGGAGACGCGCTTGCGGCCGAGAAAACAGCAGGATCTCATCTATGGCGGCGAGCAGACAAATGTATTGCACGTCGGCGACCAGACCGTGATATTTGATGCTGGCGTCGGGGAAGAAAGTCTGGTTTGTCGCATCGAAGATCAGCACGGTCAAATGTCGCAACTCGGATTCGTCTCTGGTGGAATCTTGGCTGCAGGGAAGCTGGCTTCCGATGAGACTACATTTGCTATCGTTCGGGAGAGCACTCTAGAAGCTTTCGACCTCTCAAAATTGGACGAAGGACCGATTCATTTCATCGAGGCGCCAAGCACAATATTGCAGGCCACAGTCGAAGCCCACGCAGATGGAGGCGCATACTATATTACTTTCACCACAGCCGATGGAGTGCCCCACATCTATCGCTGGAGCAGGGGTAGGAAGCTTCTGACAAAGCTATCACTATCTCGGCCTGGCCTGGACAAGGCTCAAGCAACTCAGGTGTTTAGGGACGTGAGCGGAGCAACAGACGCCGCGCCCACCTCAGCAGCGCAAGAGACGTCGGATGGGGCCCATCCAGCTCCATTGTCAGCAGTGCCAGCAGCTGACGATGAGGAGGTGGACTATGGCGAAGACGACGATGAAGAGATGCAGAACTCGCTCGATGTGGCAGACATATCTGACGACAGACTCTCACCTTCGGCTGCGGATGGAGGGAGCAGACGGCTTGCCGTCATAACAGTCACTGGCAGCCTCGAGGTGTACACACTACCATCGTTGGAGCTGCTATGGCGTTCGAATACTTTGTGGGACTCGCCGATGACATTAGAAGGTCTCACTTCAGCTGAGAGTATCCTTGTCTGTTCGCAAGCGATTGATCCGGCGCAACAGGCAGTGTGGATTGGGCCTCTGGCGGACAAATTGGGAGTCACCATGGTAGGAGACGATGGTCTTTTGACGTGCTGGGAAGCAGCGCTTCTGGAGCCAGAGGCCAGCGAAGGCAGCGCCGCCTCAACAGGGCAACGACTCATCTTCGTCAAAACTTTCGCAAAGCAGCTGGAACCCTCGCGCGAGTCATACATGAACCCGCCTGACGGTGAGCTTCGTGCCCAAGCACGTATTTCGATTGTGCAGCGGCCCCGAAGCGATGTAGATGAGGGTCCCGCCCTCTTCATTTCCGGTCGCCAGCCGGGTTTTATCAGCAAGACTAGCAAAGGCGGTCTTTGCTTCCTGGAGAGCTCCATTGAGGACATCAATAGTCTTGTATGGCTGAGCGACACGCGCTACGTTGCCTCCCATCTCGGTGGTATCTCCGCAGCTGAGCTCCCCGACGACCTGAATTACGATCTTGCGCTCGCACGATCGACTTTCTCTACCGGGCGAGAGTACACCCATGTCCGTCCTTACCCTGCCATTAGAGCGCTTGTCGCTGCCTCGAGTGTCGAGGCCCCATTTGCCCTCTTCGACACCGAAGACAATGAGATCATCCGCTCTTTGGAAGCGGATCCCACGCCTGCCATGAGTCGGCGAGGAGCTATAGAGCTCTTCAAGGACGACTGGTCTGAGCCAATCGATGGCTTTGAGCTGGAGCAGAATGAGACGGTGTCAGCGCTGGAGCTTCTGACTCTTACCTCAGCTTCTACTGCCACCGGCCTAAAGGAGTTCATTGCGGTCGGCACGACGATTTTCCACGGCGAGGATAGACCTACTAGGGGAGCGACCTACATCTTCGACATTGTAGAAACGGTGCCGAACCTCGATGATCCCCTGGCGAATGCTCGCCTCAAGCTCTTGCTCAAAGAAGACGCAAGAGGACCTGTGACAGCTTTGTCGGACATTTCTGGTTACCTTGTATGCGCCATGGGACAGAAGCTCTACATCCGTGCCTTTGAGAACCATGAAGTGCTGATCCACATTGCATTCCTCGATACCAACTACCTCACGACCTCGATCCGTCGCTTGGGATCCACCCTCCTCTTGAGCGACCTCAAAAAATCTCTGACATTCGTCGGCTTCCAGGAGGATCCCTTCAAGTTGACGATCTTCTCTAGAGACTTCAACGACTCGTATGCGACTACGGGCAACTACCTCATATCTGGAGACTCTCTCTCCTTCATTTCGACAGACGTATCCGGCTCCGTGCGTCTCCTGGACTACAACCCTAACATCCCCTCGACGCAGGGTGGACAGAGGCTGGTGCTACGTACCGAGTTCCAGACGCCGACGGAGTACACTGCCTCTACCACCCTCTCCGGCCCCACGACGACCGAGTCGGGTGGTCTAGCGCTGAGCAACCAGGTCCTGCTCGGTGGCCTTAACGGCTCCCTGTCCCTCGTCAAACCAGTGCGTGAGGAGATCTTCGCGCGGTTGAACCCACTGCAGAGCACAATGGCTCGACACGTCCAGCACCTCGGAGGACTCAACCCTCGCGGTTTCCGCATCGTGCGAAATGAAATGGCAAGCAGACCCATCAACAAGGGTGTTCTGGACGGAGCGCTGCTCAGACGCTTTATCGAGGGTGTGGGGAGACCGAAGATGGAAGAGCTACTCACCCTCTCGAAGGGTGGTGGAGGGGCGGCGAGTGCCCTGGATGAAGGGGATGGTGGAGAGGATGCGAGCGGAAAGGCTCTGGTGAGAGTGTTGAGTGATCTGAAGCAGGTCCTGCAATGAGTGAAGGCGGACGCCGGGTAACTGATGTCCCGCTTGGAAGACTTTGCGTTCGGATCGTGATGTACAAACAGGGGTAGTCGAGCATCAGTAGATTGTAACAGCAAATGCTAGACATATTTACCTCCTTTTATGTGAACATACAGCGCCGTCAACATTCACAATTTGCTCCTTGCCTTCTCAGCTAGGTGGGCCTCTCCCCCTCAACTTCCTCGTAGCCCAGCAGATAGCACGATTGGTGCACTTGAACCCGTCCTCACAAGGACAAGCGCTATTTCCAAGCAGTCCTCCTCCTGCACGACCTTGTCCTGCGCCACCACGCCCGGTACTGCGCGCCCTCGTATGGGTTCTCGGCAACGAGGGAGCTGAAGAGGCGGCGAGCTCCCCCGCATTATTGTGCTCATGGTCAATCTTACTGCCCTTTGAACAGAAGCTCTGATCTTTCCTGCCCTCTGCACTCTGTGCCTTGACTTCGCACTTTCCCAGCGTCGTGAGGTTCGTAGTGACCCTTAGCGAGGGTCGCCTTCCACGATCTGTCCTTTGACTGCCAGTGCTGCTGTCCCGAGGCTTCACGTCCAGACGCTTGCGCTGCTCACCCTCAACCTCGGCCTTCTGCTGCTGCTGCTGCTCTTGCTGCCTGAAGATTGCCCTTAGCAGACGACTGCTGCTTCTGTGCAAACGAGCAGATCGTGAGAGAGACGGAGTAGTCGAAGGTGGGGAGCGAGAGCGGGACGGGGCTACCCTTCCTTGAGATCCTTCGTGGCTATTGTCTTGCCTGGTCACACTCGTGCCGCGAGAGATGGAAAATGGGGAGCGGCTGTCGAGGCTCGCCTGTCGGTATGAGCCAGGGGAGTGAAAGGATGCCGGACTTGAGACAATGTCACCACGAACAGAGTCGTGAGGTAGCGATGGCTCTGCGCTCGTATCGCTCGGCGCTTCTTGCTGGATACTAGCGGAAAATCCGTGGGGCTCTCGAAGACTGTCGGAAGCACTGCGCTCATCACCCTGAGCGACCAGATGCCTTTCCAGTCTTCTCTCTTTACTCTTGCCCCGAGAAGGCTCAACGTGCCCTGTTGGTGCCAGTCGCAGAGCCTCGTACTCTTTGAGAAGCTTGTCTTGCTCCTCGATCCTTCTCAAATGCGTCTCTTGTGCCCGGCGACACTCTTCGAGTACTTGGTCGTGTCGGGTCTCCATCTCGCGCTGAAGCACCCTCTCGGCTTCTCTCTGAGCTTTGATTTCCTTTCGGACGAGGTCCTCAGCAATGCGCCGTCGTCGGCACATCTCCTCCTGCTGACGTTGACGATCGAAGGCGTTGCTTGTTCGATAGTCTTGAGCGTGCCTTGCAGACCTCTGCATTGACCTGGCGCCAGTGTGACCACTAGGAGATTTGGGTGATGAGCTACGGCGCGGTCGCGAGGTCGACATGTTCGGGGTAGAAGTGGTAATCCTGACCATCTTTCCCATCTTCTTGCCACACGAGGAGCCCTCTCTCCCTTCCTGGGACCCGTGAGAGGAGCAAGTCTTCTTCAGAATAGAATTTGAGCTTGCTGTAGAGGGGGGCGAGCTACCCTCCCTTCTGCTTTCGGGTGAGGGGATTGCGTAGCCATTCCTTGCAGATCGGGGGCTGGCGACAGCCGCTTGATTCATATGATGATAGTGATGATGGCTTCGCAGTAATCTGAGTCTGGCCGGCAGCTCAGGTAGAAGTGTGTTTCTCTGTGGTGAGTCGAGGCCATGGGACTGGTGAGAAACGCTTTCGCATGCCATGGTAGAGCCAAGAGAGAGCACCTCTTCACGTCCTCCTTCGCTGTGCGGTGAGGAGCTCACCATCTCAAGACTGTGTCTAGAAGGCTGCTGTGGGGTGGAGCCGTCTATACAAGGCTTGGCTCTATGGCGTAGAATACGAAGATCATCCATACTCTTTGTCCTCACCGCTTCGGCTTCATCGTCGTGCCTTCCGCACTGCGGACAGCTGCCGTCTTGCGTACTGCTTGACGGCCCAGCGGACTCTGCCTGCTTCGAACAGCTTCTGGCCACTTTCTTCGCAGAACAGCCAGTATCTGTTTTAGTCTTCGACGAATCGATGGCGGCTGTGCGGTAGGGAGTCGAATGTACAATGAGTATCCCGCCCTTTTTGCTCCGTTGATCATTGCACGGTCAGCGTAGTCTGTCACTCACTCTGCCAAGCGGCATAATCGACATGTACGTAGATCCCAAAGGCTCTCAGAGCTGCTGCTCCTCTCTTGAGTTGCTTGACTGTAAGATCTGGAGGGACCTTACCATCGGGCAGCACTTGCTCCGAGGGTGTCACTGAGGGTAGTGGAGTCTTCATACTAGGTGACCTTGCAGCAATGGGGAGAGAAGAGGTGAGCAGGTGAAGCTAGTGGGGAAAGGATGGATCCTCATGGAGGGAGGGACTGATAGCATAGATGGTTGGGAGTGATCATCACATAGGAGAAGGTGCAAGTCTCTCGAAGCGAGGTAAAGGTACAGAGTGGTGCAGGGCTGCGCAGCATCTGTTCTGCCGCTCCCGCCGACGCCCACTCGGAGCCCGCTACGGCAAAGAGCAACGGCGTGACAGCCAGACCACGCCATTGGCACAGCTGCAATTCGATAAGTCATGTTCGCAAAGTAGATCCTCCTGATGAGATGCTACAGCGGCGTATGCGTTACATTGCCGCCCTTCCCTGCTGACTGCTCTGCGTTACAGCTTCCGATCTGGTCCCTCGTAGTCCCTTGCCCTTGCCCAGTCCCACCCCATCGACATCGGTCAATCCAACGCTTCCCTCCAGAATCTTGATCTGCCTGCCGCCCTGAGCCATCAAATCTCTGATCTTCTGCAGGTCCCTCTCGTTCCTCTCCCTCTCCATCTCAGACCGATACCACTGAATCGTCTCCCACCTGGCTGCCGGGTTGGGGATGGGACGCGTAGCACGCAGTAGCCGGCGGTAGAGGGAGAGGACAGAGGAGTGCATGAGAAAGTGTTGCAGAGTTGGCGTAAAGTCACTAGAGGGTGCTCTTGCGCTGCTGCGAACAGAAGTTGAGAAGGAGCGGGTGCCCTCTGGCGTGCTACTTGCCGATGGCGAAGCAGTGGGGATAGCTTCTGTCCTCCTGACAGTGGAATCGGAATCGGCCAACTGTGCGTCTTCACTGCCCGTCTGCCTCTCTAGAGGACCCCTTTTCGACGGGATGAGAGCACATGCCACTTTCCTGCCTTCCTCTGCTAGTACATTGAACGTGCTTGCTGCGTTTTGCGAGGACTGACAGTCGACTTGGATGCCCAGCTCGGCCATGTGAGTGCGAATCTTCGATGGCAGAGGCAGGACTCGTGAGCCTGTACCAAAGAGAAGAATCTCTGAGAGCGCAAAAGGCAGAAGGAGTAGTCAGTAGGGTCGCCACAAGATTCTCTGAACAGCGAGCTTTCCTGCCTAGTACCCACCAGGCTTGGGCTCAAGCACTTCGAAGAGCTTCCAGACCTCCTCTACTCTTCCCTCTCCTTGCAGCCACTCTTCCCAACCAACCCCACTCGGTAGCGCCTTGTCTGAATCAAGCGGCGGAGCATCCCACATGAAACAGCTACCATTGACCAATATCAGGCCGCTCGTCACCACGAGTCCGTCTGACAGTGTGATGCGTTCGGGGGTGATGGATTCGATGGACAGGGCAGGTATCTGATCGGGGTCGGTGGATTCCAAAAGATTGTAAAAGTCATCGTATACGGTTGGATGGGAACCGTCGTTTGGCTTGCCACCTGGGTCGTCCGATCGAGCTAAGCTGCGAGAGGTGTGGAAGGAGGCCAGAGTACAAGGGGCTTGACGAGGCCTGACTGGTCGAGTGCGGAGCATAGGTGTAGCTGCTGACGAGATACGGCGTGCAGATGAGATTGCGATGGTCTGCACAGCACGACTACTGGAGCCGAGCGTGGAGATCCTCATGAGAAGATCGCTACTGCTGCTACGTACGAGTGAAGCCATGCTGGTGGGTGGTAGAGGTTGTTCGAAAGGATGGAACCAAGGTTTAGTCAGTCAGTCGTGGCTCGCTTCGGAAGTGGAGTGGAAGATCTCACTCCGCCTGGCGACTCCGCCGCATCTTCCCGGGCCCTACGAGCACCCAAAAAGTCATCCTCACCCCAGCAACTCTCGAGGTGATCCCTCTGTATCCCTCACTCCATTCCAGACGACCAAGCAGAGCGTCAGGTCCATTCCTTCCCATTCTCTTCCGCCCGAGATGATCGGCTCTTCCTCATCCTCACTGGACGGCTTCCTGGTCCGGCTCACCGGAATGCAGAACTACTCGCTCTTGACTGTACCTATGGCCTGGTTGGTGTGTATCGCGCCGCTCACCTATGCCATTCACCTCACAAGGGGCAACTACACACAAGCGGACCCCAGAACTGTGAGTACAGATCGAGTTCGGGCATGAGGGAAGGACGGCCTGCTCCAGATACACTAGTGGGAGCTTGCTGAGCTTTTGTATCCTTCTCCTCCGCCCACTACCTCCCTGCTCTCCACTTCGAGTACACGGCTCTCATGCAAAAGAAGCAGAACAAGAGTCCCACAGACCACAAGTACCTCCGCGCTCAAGCAGCCCACCACAATGGCATGGAGAATCTTGCTCTCTATGCAGTAGCCATGGTACTTGGTAATCTGTCTGGCCTGCCGGCCAGTCAACTTAACATGCTCGGACTTGGTTACCTGGTCTCAAGATCGTTGTACAACATCTTGTACATCAGCAGCAGTGATTCAGTGTGGTGGAGTCGCACTGTGGCACACTACACGGGCATGGCTATCATCACCAGAATATTCTACACCTCGGCTCGAATTCTGCAATAGGTGTGCAGGAGATCGACCCGGGTTGGAAACGATGATTTAGCAGGGTGCAGCAATAGATGGCTTTTACCAGTTTGAAGCTACATCTCGCATGGGATTGCACTGTGCTATCGCAGAATGGTATCGGGATTCGTCTTACCATTGCATTGCGCTGCCCGTGACAGCATTGTGACACATCGCATAGCATGGGACAAGTCGAAGTGGATGCCCAAGCCGCCCTCTGAGTATTCTTGAGAGACGGTCAGCACCTCAAATCGAGTGCAAAGACCCACCTCAGAAAGGAGACGGTGTCGACTGTTGCAATCGGTTCTAGAACCCTTTCAGCCATCGTCCTCGCTTCGCCCTTCCGCTGCTTAACCCCGACTCGACTCGGCTCGGCTCGGCTTCTGGGGCCTCTACTCACCCCGCCTGCCCTTGATACTCACCCACACCCCACCATCCCAATTCCTTGACGCTCCTTGCTCAGAACACTGTCGTTTCTCCTTGTGCTCCTACTCACTCCATTCCTATTTCGTCGTCCCAAGCAAAGATGGCCCGCGCCAACAGCCGCATCGAGCTTCTCCTGGTCAATCTCACCGGCCTTCAGAACTTCTCCCTCCTGACGGTCCTGGTCGCCTTCTTCCTCTGTCTAGCTCCACATGTCTACGCTGTCAGCCTCACCCGGGGCAACTTCAAAGCTGATGCGCCACGAAGCGTGAGTTGAGACGAAACAAATTTCAAAAGCAGCAGCATTGAGCAGTTGATGAGCCGTGGCACGAGAGCTGATATCCGCAAGTACCGCACCTCCACCTCATTCCCCGCTTCTCTGCAATGACAGTACGTTGCCTCTATGCAGAAGAAGCAGAACAAGACAGAAACGGATCTCAGGTTCCTCCGCGCTGAGGCGGCCCACCTGAACGGTTTCGAGACGCTAGCGCTGTACGCAGTGGCCATCTCCATCGGCAATGTAGCTGGGGTAAGTAGCGAGACATTTCTGGGAGAAGGAAGGTCTGCTCGCCTTCGACTGCGACTAACCACTTTCTCTGGCTTGTCCTCTTGCGGCCTTCACAGCTCCCCACGAGCCAATTGAACAGCCTCAGTCTCTTCTACATCCTCTCACGCATCATCTTCATCCTCTCCTACATCTTCCTCTCCACCCCTACCCTGTGGTGGATTCGCTCCCTCAGCTACTTTGGCGGGATAGCAGTCATCTTCAGACTCTTCTGGTCTGCAGCAGCGGCCCTGCAGTAGTCACAGAGATGCAGAGGAAGAAGAGAGGGAGTGGAGATGAGCAGGAGCCGGCAAACGGAGGAAGAGAAGCTACGAGGGTCGAGCAGGTGTGGAGGGTCGAAGGCAAAGAGGGGCTGGCCGGCCATATGCCAGCCCGCTGAGGGCCAATGTTGTGATATCCTTGGACAATGTGATACAATTACACAGGCTTCACGAGACTACGTGAGAGACCTTGAGCCACTTCAGGCGATCTTGAGAGCTTTGTCTGGAGAGTACAGTGTTACCATTGCAAGACGTGCATGAGCTGTGTCAGTGCGTCATCGGTAAGTCATGACCATCTCTCGCTCCCTCTACTACTCACCTCTTGTCCTGCAACGGTACAAGAATCCCACGACCACCTCTCCTTCTTTTGGCTGAGGCTGCCCGGCGAAATGCTTCTGGGCAATCGCGCTGAGGTAGCTCTTGGCATCCTCATCATCAAAGAAGCGATCCGGGCACTCCTCGTCTTCCTCCCCTATACCTCCTGCCTCTCCATCCGCCCCACTCTTCTCCCCATGAGCATTATGAGCTTGAGCAGCCGTCCTCTTCCTCGAGCCTGAGGTGCCATTGCCATTAGTATTCGTAGTCGTAGCAGGAGGAGAGCGAGCTCGAAAACGTTCGCTACGCGGTCCGTACGAAGTAGATGTAGCTGCTGCCGAAGCTAGGGCCGCTCTCCTCTTACCACTGGCTTCGGCCAAGACCTCTTCCTCCGTCCTAGCGTCCACTCCTTCTCCTTCTTCGCCCGCCTCGCCTTCCTCCTCTTCCTCATCGTCTTCCTCGTCCTCAGAGCCTGATGAGGATGAGTGGGAGGAGGCGCGCGGCGCTGGTGGGGGTGGGTAGGCGGGAGCGAGGTTGTAGTGCTCGATATACGATGTCAAGGCCGAGGTGGGGAATGTGTTGAAGTCGATGAGGGGTCCAAGTGGCACTGCCGGTGCAGCTGCTAGAGTCGGGAGGTGGACACGGTCAGGCAAAGAGGGTTAAGGTAAAGAGGAGGTAGAGCAAGAGCGCACGGCCGTCAGAGTTCAGCAGCGCCTATTGCTAGCGCCAGCCCATCATTGCCATTGAGATACCTTTGAGACGCCAACTCACCCTTATCCTTATCTGCTGCTGTAGCCATGATGTCCTAAGCAAGGGTAGAATGATACTGGCCGGCTGGAATGAGCGGAAGCGTGCAACGAGGGTCTGTACGGAAACACGGACAGTCTAGTCTAGACTGGCACGAGCGGAAGTGGCACCGGGACGGAAGTGCGCGCCTCGGGCGTACGGCATGGCGGACAGGGTGAACAGTGGCATGATAGAGCGTAACGTTTTTTTACAGAAGCATGGTATACAAGGAGACACATGGACTTGGAGACTTCATTTGGCACTCTACCGAGGAAAGTATTCTGGACAAATCATCGGATCCTCTCCCTCTCAATGATGCTCTTCATCGACGCATCTCGACTGACACGCCAGTAGTGATCAATCGACGTCGACTGAGCGAGCAAGTTCAGGAATTGTGGGTCATGCGTGACGACTAGAAGCTGCGTGCTCGGTCGCTCCTTAATGATGTCTCCTAGAGATCGAGCCAACGCCTCGACGGTCTCCTGATCGAGACATAGCGTGGGCTCATCGAGGGCCATGAATCGGCAATTGGTTGCAAAGCTGTCAGCAAGTGCTAGTCGAATGATGATGGAAGCCAGTACTTTCTGCCCTGCAGAGCAACGGCCTCGCATGTCCATCTTGACCGTGTCCTTCATCATGCAGACCCGATAGTTGTATGATCTGTTTCCGACCTTCTCCCCGTCAGACTCGATGGAGATGGAGTCAATGTCTGTGCCCTGGTAGGTTTTTGCCCACAGATACCTGATCTGTTCGTTGATCTCTTGCATCTTAAGACCGTGAAAGCGAATGATAGCCGCATCCAGAGCCTTTGCGTACTTCTCCAGATCGGAGTTGGCGATCTCCGAGGTCTTCACTTCGACGAGCTTCTGCGAGAAGCGCTTGGCAACATCCTTATAATCCTTCTTCAACTCGTCATCTCGGGCATTGAGTTGCTCCTGAAGCGATGCTATCTCACCAGAGAGATGCTGAGATTCTCCATTGAGCTTGTTGACCTCTTGGTTCTGAGCGTGATACTTGCTCTCGAATTCTCTGCGATTCTTCGACGCTTCGTCGAGGTCAAGCTGGCCCAGATCTTCCTCGATTTTCCGAACGTCCTTGCCAAGCTGTCGGTATTGAAGATTGTCCACGATGTTGCGCTCAGTTGCTTTTGACTCATTGAGGTCCTTGTCGATCTTCGAAATATCAGACTCCACCTCTTTGATGCGGTCATTGATATCCTGTATCTGGCCTTGTAGATCTCGAATGGTGTCGATGCAGTCCGCAAGCTTGTGAGCACCACGCTGATCGACATAACGCTGAATCTGTTGCTGACAATCTTGCAGGATCCTCAGCTTGGCCTGGTAGGTGTCCACCCGCCCAGCGCGCTTTGATTCTTCTTGCGCATTATCACTCTTCAGTTGCTCTAGCTCGTCCTTCACCTTTTTTATTGGAGCACTATAGCCATCGATAGCCTCGTCTAGTGCTTTCAGCATCTCAGTGCCTTCGGTGTACTCCTCTTTGAGCTCGTCGATGCGCTTCTGTAGGCTTCGACGTCGAGCAACTTCTTGCTCCTTCTCCGAGACGACTTTCTCACTCCGGAAGCTTGCTCTCTCAGCGTTGTTGAGATCAGTACGCTTGGCTTCTCGATTGCGCTCAATGGTCTGGCACTCTCGCTTCAATCGCTTGATGTTGTCCGCCATCTCATTGATGGCTGTCTGGACTTGATCGCCAGTCTGTATGCTACCTGTGCTGGCCAGATCGTCTTCCAGAGTTGAAATTTCTGAATTGAGAATCGAGACTTCGTTCAACAGCCGAGCGGCATCGGCAGCGACTCGCTTCAAGTTGGAGATCTCTTCCACCTCGTCCTTGAGCGACTTAAGAGCATGACTTGCCTCCTCAGCAACCTTGCTCTTACCGCTAAGGTCATCGGTTTGTTCGTCGATCTTCTTCTCGAGCTGAAGAATGTCGATACTCTTGATGTTGCGCGCTAGCTCTTCCTTAGGCAGCATTACCTTCGCTCGAGAAACAACGGCTTTCCAGTCATCCACTTGTGTCTGTAACTCCTCCTGTCCTTCACTGCCCAAGCGTTTGATCTGAAGGCTGACATATTTGTCAAAACCGGCCATGTCGTCTTGTTTCAACGCACGGTCACAGCCAAAGCACTTGTGCTGATTTTGACCCATTTTCTGCACATTGAGGAAAAAGTTGTGAGCCGCTGTAGAGTTGTTGAGCTCATCCTCGGCATAGGACAATTGTTCTTCGGCCTGCTGAAGTGCTTGCTTAACAGATTCGGCATCCTCTTCTTTGTCGAGGAAAGACTTGAGTTCCGCCTCGAGAGAAGCCAGCTGGTCTCTCTTCTCCTTCAGCTGCCCGCGAGAGATAGAAAGCGTAGATTCGAGATGCTGTACAATGCGAGTCTTCTCTGCTTCACTCTTGCTTGCCGTTGCCACTTGTGCATCCTTGGCAGTACCCGCCAAGGTCAGATCGCGTTCGAAAGTGCCAGCTGTGACTTCTGTCCCGGTGAGCTTCTTACAAGCACCCAGATTGCGCTCAATGAGCGCCTTTGCCGCCTTGCTCTTCTGCTCGCTTTCTTTCTTCTTCATGTCTAGCTTGGCTCTTGCTTCCGCCTGCCGATTCAAGGCGTTCAGTTCGGCAGTGAGCTCCTCGCGGCGATCATCTGAGTTACGAATTTCGATGTTCTTGTTGCGGATTTGTTCTTCGTAGTTGGCCTCTTCAATCTCACGACGAAGTCGGTCTGCCTTCTGGGCGGCCTCAGTGTGACCGTCTCGAGCAGCGGTCAAGTCCGCATCCGTGACTACGACAGCGTCTAGCTCATCCTGCGCCTGCTTCATCTTTTCCTTGAGCCGCTTGTTGTTGTTTGCAGTCGTCTCGCGAGACGAGGCTTTGCTACTCTTCTCGGTACGGAGCTCTTGGAATCTCAAGGACAGATCATCCTCCTGCTTGAGACTTGTCTGTCTCCACGCTTGCAGGTCCGCCTCCGCGCTTCGAGAGGAATCGGTGATGCGAGTGGTGAAGTCGGAAATCTGCGCCTGAGAGGGCTCAGCAACGTCAAAGCCCTTGATACCGAGTTCCAATGACATAGCACGGATCTCCTCTTCCTGGCGCGCTATGGCTTGTTCGTGGTGCTTTCTATCGTTTTCGAGAGCACCTCGTTCACTCAGCTTTCTATTGTACCGCTCCTCTAACTGGCAGAGCTCGTCTCGCCTGTTGTCGATCTTGCGGACATGCTCATTCCTTCGCCGGCGTTGCTTCTCGAGATGGTCCTGAAAGCTATCCTTGCGGGATTGCAACTCGTTATCGGCCTCGTCGGATTCGGTCATTGACATGCGCAACTGCTCACGAGCCTCGACCTTGAGTTTCCTCTTGTCTTCGAGCAGCTCAGCCTTGCTCACGATCTCTCGAAACTTTACCGCAGAGTCGTAGAAGGTCTTGTTCTCTTTGGTGAGACGCCGAATCTCCTCATCAAGGTCATCCAGCCGCGCCTGCTTTTCGGTGAGGTTGCCCATCAGCTTGGACCTGGTCTCCTTGAGAGCCGTAGACCTGTCTCTGTCTGTCTTGAGAGCATCGAGTTGGACCTTCAGCACTTTGAGCTCCTGGGCGCGGTCTTTGCGGATGGCCTTGATATTGTCAAGAGCCTTGGTATACCGAGTTGCATCGAAAATATCGTCGAATTTCTTCTTCAATACGGAGGCTTCCGATAGAGGCCAATTGCTCTCCTCTTGATGACAAAAGATGACGTTCTCCAGTATGGAGCGCGACACCCCCAAGAGGCGTGGCATCTCCTCGTCCAATTCTGCACATTTGGTAGAGATGACCGCCCGCTTGTTCTTTGCCACTTCGGCATCGTCGATCTGCAACAGTCCTTCCAATGTCTTCAGAGTCAAACCGCCGCCCTTCTTCACACTGACTTGGAGATTGCGCACACAATTCATCCGGACTTTGTTGGTGTTGAAAAAACGCAGCCTTACTTGAGCCTTGACCTCGTTCGAGGTTGCCATCTTGGGATCGTGCACGAAGGCCCCTCCCTTGGTGTTGGGGGGCATGTCACCCGTCGTTGCATACTTGAGGCATTCAATGATGGTCGTCTTGCCGCTGCCATTGTAGCCGACAATGACAGTCAGAGGAGTGAAAAATTGGATGATATTGACCCCCTTATCGTCAAAGCTCCGGATCCCCCTGATAGCGAGCTCTGAGCGAACCAGGCGAGTAGGGTATGGAAGGTCAGCCTCTGCATGTATGCCAGATTATGAACATCAAGACTTACTGTCGAGGGTAGCCATCGAGACTTCGAGCTATCGCAGGCCGCAATGCTCTACTGGGAGGCTGTTTCAAGAGCTCACGAGTGGGACAAATGATGCCAGTCAGTAGTTCGAGAAAGGCTGGTAGGGAAGGGGACCGTGATACTTTCTCCCCACCTCGCTTCACACGGAAAGGGAGTCGCGATGTGGAGAGACGCCGAGTGCCGAGGCGAATCGCCGCAAAGGACAGCTTCAAAGCAACTCTCCAGCCTCTGCCTCTACCACCCTTGACCACCTGCCCTTGCAAGACCTTCATCGTTAGCAGGTTCTGCACGTCCCACCCTCGCAGGCCATGCCCCCCTTAGCATCGCTCCTGGGCGGTCAAGGCTCTGCGCCGCAGATCAACGTCGATGCCATCAACTGGTCAGGTTCATTGGCCAGTAATGCACAGTCCATCCTCGGCGAGGCTCTGCTACACGATGGCCTCGTACTTCCGGGCGAGATATCTGCCTTGGCTGTAGATCCAGTGCAGGGATTCTTGGCAGTCGGCACTTCAGCAGGCACTGTACATCTCTTCGGCTCCCCTGCTGTACAATTGGCATGGACTCTCAAGCCAGCCCTGCCTGTACAGTATCTCCTCTTCAAGCCCGGAACTCCCTTGCTGGTCTGCGCTGATGGTAAGGGCAACCTCTCCATCTACGATTTGTCCAGGCCAGATCCGGCAGCACAAGCAGGCTCTCAGTCCTCATCTCTTCCAACTTCGCGCCGAATGAGTCACTCTCAGTCCGGTATCGGGGGTCATCAGCCTCACCCGGATACGCCGACGAGAGTCGCGGCTCATGTAGCGAGGAACACGATCACTTGCTTGCATCTCAGTCCTAGTCATTCTCATCTTCTCCTCGGTCTGAGGGACGGTACGGTCGATGCCTACGATCTTGACCGGCTGGCACCGGCCCCTTTCCGCATACCTAATTGCTGGTATGAAGAAGAGGAACTGCTTCGCAAGTCACAGGCCATCGACGCCCCAAGCCGGAGACACGTGCCTCTGATCGTAGACATGGCTCATTCGCCACAAGACCTCAACACAATGCTGCTGGCGTACGAGGGGGGAGCTGTGCTGCTTAATATCAAGGAGCTTTCTGTCACTGCAAGCTTCTCCCTTAGATTGCTTCCAGGGGCTCCAGGTGCTGGTGGCATCAGTGCAGATGCTATATGGTCAGAGAGAGGGAGTCCAGTCACCTGCGTGGCGTGGCGTCCCGACGGTCTGGTGCTTGCTCTCGGCCACGAGGACGGCCTAATCTCCTTCTGGTCGCCCGCGGATGATACCAAGCCCTTACTCGTGCGATCACTCACCGAGCTTGACCTGGACAAGCCGACCGTCGAAGAACTTGGCCCACGAGCAGCTCGAGAACCCATCTTCAAACTTGCCTGGGCAGGCTTCTCAGGGAAAAGCTGGCTGGAGTCATTCTCTCCAACTGGTGACACCAGCGAGGCTCAGAATCCCTCGACCAGTGATATGGGTAGCGGATCCACCATCCTGACCGTCTTGGGAGGAGCAGTCGCTGGGCAAGACCCACCGGGAGTGGCAACTATGACCTTTGCGCCATTCAGTCCTGCCCTCGTTGGTCAAAGTTTCTGGGGAACCAAGGAACGTACTCCGGATGTAGTCAACAAGAGTCGTCAAAGCCTCAGAGCCAGTCTGAACCCTACACGGGAGGGACGCATTCTGTCGAGCGGCGTGGTGCAAGACTTTGTGCTCCTGCCGCGGTCTTCGCCTCACTACTCAATGGCGTGGGATCCGGTTGCCATCATCATGCTGAACGACATTCCGCACGGTCTCCCTCCGCTGGCACCGCCATCTGCTCAGAGAGGACTGATGGCAGCAGCCTTCCCTCCACTTCCGCCTCCGGGTACTCGATCCCGCCCTACCAGTACAATTCCCACTCCCATGGAGCTATCGAATAGTGCTGCTGGCCCAACAGCAGCGCTGCCAGTAGACTTTTCATCTCCTCATTTATTCTCTCTCCCGTTCGCACTGGCCTGCTCAGGCGCCGGCGCGATCATCGGAGCCCAAGTGGTCACGGTCCCCCTCGCCACTTACCGCAAGCTCGTGGGAATCCCAGTTGGCAGCCATGCGGCACATGGCGACGAGGGCGAGACAGTTGCTCACACTGATTCAGCCCACCCACCTTTGCCATTGAGAGGCGGACTGGCAGCAGCACGGATTTCAGACGATCGGGCTTTCCATTCCCTCAGCAAGACGTCTGGACTTTTCCAGCTCATGATCAGCCAACATTTGGACGGTTCGATCCGCTTTTCTGACATCAGCCCTCATCTCATGCTTGCACCCAAAGCAGGGCCCAGCTTACAAAAGACTCCTCAAGACTCTTCACAGCCCGAAAACGCTCCTCCTTCGCGGGTACAGTTCCTCGATCAGACCTTCCCATTGCCTCTCCCGCATCTTACCATCCATCTGCCACAGACGCTGTTACATCCCTCTTTCCAGGGCCATCCGCGTCTATCAAGATTCGTCCATAATCGGGAAAATCTGCGCATCTCCTCTATCCAATTTGCCATCGAGACACTTGAGCTCAGTGTGCTTCTTTGGGGCGGCCTGCTGGTTCACTATCGCTACGGCCAAGCTCGCTTCAGCCAGTCTGACGCAGTAGAGGCCGAAGTCCAGGCGGAAGTGCAAAGAGAGCGGGAGGGCGCTGAACAGTCGGCATACGTAGCTCTGGGGACAAGAATGGATCGGATGTCCCTTTCTGGACAGCCACTTTCTCATCAAAAGAGGGAGAACGAGCTGCAGCATTTGCACGAACGGGACGACAAAGAGCTTGGAGAAAGGCTGGAAGGAGATATGCGCCGTGCTCTGCGAGATCTAGACTCGCCGCGCTCGCAGTCTCCCGCTCCCGGATCTTCATCGTTCCCTGGCCCCTCGTCGTCCTCAGCGCTTGGTACGCCTCCTCCGCGACCTAAGAGAGACCCCAACCGAGGCGGAGTGATGCGGCGCTTCCGTCGCCAAGGCGAAGAAGAAGGGCCACCTCCAATGCCAGCACCACAAGGACCTGCTGGGATGGAAAACGCAGGACAGATGGAAGACACTGATGCAGGTGACGAATTCACTGATCTGGATGAGGCCAATGATTGGTCAGAGGACGGCTTCAAGGCGAACTTGCTCATCGATCTAGGCCGAGGGGAGATCACGCAAGTAGCTCATTCGGACATTGGTTTCCTTGCTATTGCGTGTGGGGCAGGCCTGGCGATCATCGACCTCAGAGGACCAGAGATTTTGCTGCGAGAGGGGCTGGGCGATGACTTCTCTGTGGCCGCCCCAAGTACCAAGGGTAGAGAGGGCAGATCGGCAAAGAAGCTACTTGAAGCCGAGAGTAAAGCTCCGATCACTAGCCTCGCTTGGACGATCTGTAGGCTTCCAGGTGCCAAACCCGTCAACCACACTGTCCTCGCTCCTCGGCTGGTCGTGGGAAGAGGTAATGGCCTGGTGACTGTTTGGACCTCGATGCAGGCCCTTTCCATGTGGCTCCCAGAGCGTACGGGAGCTATCAAAGTCGACGAGCTAGACTACGAAAGCTCACGGCCTAGTCAGCTGTCGCCACGATGCTCTTTGCAAGTGCTCGATGTTGCAGGCAATTCAGCTGTTGCTGTTCCGGTGGAGCTTCAGCGAGCCATCCGTGAGCAGAGCCGTAGCCTGGGTCGAGAGGAAGACGCGCTGCTGTCAGACGTTCCCCTGCTGTTCGGGTGGAGCGATCACTCGCTGTTCATCCGAAGCGGTCTACTGGGTCCCAGGATCGCAAAGGCTGACACGACCGAGGCAATCTTGAGAGCCGCATTGGTCGAACGAGGCACCGAGAAGCTTGCGGTTGCTGTCTCGAAGACCAGCATCAGGGTCTACAGTACCCCTGGACTTGAGCTTGTGCAAAGGATACAGAGGCATGGTCACGACTTTGGGGAGCAGACGACGAGCCAGCAGAGTGTGTCCATAGATCGGGGTCCCTCCGGCGTATTTTTGGAGGTCCTTTCTTCGCTCGATGCGCGTCTCTGGACCTTCTTTGCTCAAGCACCGCGTCCAATGACCCCTTCTCTGCTCCTCCATGCTCCCAAAGCTATGCCTGCACACCCAGGCGCAGGTGCTGTGAGCGCTGTGGCTAGTTGGTTCTCCACCAAGGCGGCAACGACTAGCTCGCTGGATGACGTCTTCGCTGGGCCGCACAGACCCGAGGCTCCGAGACTACCTCCTATGAAGACCAAGGAGACTTTTGTAGCCGACCTCGCTGGAGAAGACCCTTCTCCGAAATCGCCGGCTTCTGGCAGCACGCCTTTGTCCCCATCTGTCGACGGGCGAGCGAGAGGAGCTGCTGCACGCCATCACGCTACAGCAGCCACCGTAGCACAGACGCAAGGGACGAGGGATCAGATGGGATGGAACCTCGACCTTGCGCGAAGGAGGGGTGAGGCCATGGCTGGTTTGGAGAATAGTCTGGCCAGCTTGGAGAAGAGCACGAGTGATTGGGTGAAAGAGTAAGTACACTGCACACGCATAGATCTGGCACGACCAGAACTATACCGCTGACGCCAGAGCCCCCACCCTCTCTCTACAGGTCGAAGTCTGCCCTGATCAAGTCTGCTGCAAAGGACAAGCTGTCGAAGTTTGGCTTTTAGACGAGACCGTGCCGTTAGTTTCCTCGAAGGGAGCCCGTATTGGCCGCCGCGCCGATTCCGCGTGGCGCCTCCACTTTGGCTCTGCTTGCGAGAAGGCGATGTTTCCGTGAGCTGTTCCGTTCAACCTTTACCAACTTGTCCATAGTCTGCCCTCATATACTTTCCTGTCCTACGAACGAATGATCACTGCCTCACAATAGGACATCGTCGCAGTCCGATCATGGTGACTCTACAGTGCGCTACGGTCTTGCGCCGTGGCTCTCCCTTCAGTTCCGCTTGCCAGATCTTCTCGTCTGCTTCTCCTTACGCATCCTCATCGTCGTCCCTCCTACAGCCTCGGATAGCCTCTGCGACCTGTGTCTCTTCGTCCTCCTCTTCATCGTCTTTGTACCAGCGTCGCCTCTTCACTACAAATCGAAGGGACGATGGCAACCCTACTTCGCAAGACTTTTACGCTCCTGGTCCAGAGCCAACAAGTGGTCCCTCTGTCCTCCCTCATACCAACCAAACAACCTCTTTTCCTCCCAAGAACTTCCCCTCGGCCTTTGGTTCCAACCAGGTATTGCCTGTACCAGAAGACAATCAGGAGCGTCTAGCGAAGATTCTCTCTGCATTCGATGCACCGATCCGTTTTGCATTCGCGTATGGCTCGGGCGTCTTTCCGCAGGAAGAAGCTGGGCCGGAACATGCAAAGAGGCCGGAGATCAAGGAGCCAAAGACGGGCAAACCGAGGAAGATGGTGGATCTAGTCCTCGCTGTTGCTCACCCTGAACATTGGCATGGACTCAACAAGCAGCGGTTCCCCAAGCACTATTCATGGATTAGCCGACTGACGGGCGCTGAGCTCATTACGGGATGGGTACAGCGACTAGGCGCGGGTCTGTGGTACATTCCCTATGTGAAGATCGAGGACGACTTGGTCAAGTATGGAGTGATGGACATTGACACCCTCTGTGACGATCTACTGGACTGGGATACACTCTACGTCTCCGGTAGGATGCACAAGCCTGTAGCCATGCTCATTACCGATCCTCGAGTGCGGCTAGCCCAGCAAGTCAACCTCGCTTCTGCTTTGCGCGTGTCCCTCCTCTTGCTGCCAGAAACCTTCACAGAGGTAGAGCTCTACACGCGAATCGCAAGTTTATCCTATACGGGTGACTTCCGAATGTCTGTGCCAGGAGGGGAGAATGCGAACAAGGTACGGAACATCGTCCTTGCGCAACGCTCGCAGTTCCGAAGACTCTACTCTGGTCTCATCGGGAGTCTAGGAACAGTCGAAGTCAAGGAGAGCAGGGAGGACCGGTACTACATGATTCAGGATCGATCGGCTAAAGCCAGATCGCAAATGGCTGAACGACTACCATTGCGTCTGCGAGAAAAAGTAATGGCGCACTACCTTGCCCATCCAGAGCTGGACAAGGCCTTCCTCGAGCTTTCCCTCAGCACAAAGGACGATGAAATCGGACGAGAACCACGTCCACTCTCCACGACTCGACCTGATAAAGATGAGGTGAAAGCGGACGCCTCAATCACCTCTCGTGAAGCTCCGCAGCACTTACTCGACGCTTTTTGGCTTGCTGCTGTGCAGAGGCAAGACTTTGAGACGATTCTTCTTGGAGAAATCTCACGGACGGTCAAAGGCGCGGCTTGGTCACAGAGTCTCAAGGGGCTTTACACTGCAGGACTACCCAAGACGTTCCGCTATGTGTGGGCAAAGGTGGGCAAGTACTTTGAGGGCAAGAAGGATGGGAAGAAGGAGAACGAGGAGGGGAATACAACCACAAGGGAGCAGGAAAAGAAGTAATGCAACGGCCAATCTCTCGTTATGATTTACAATGTAATCTGTTCATACATGCATCTAGCTTAGCAGTGCTGCCTTGCAACCTCACCTAGGCTCAGGATGTGTCCGCTGCTCCCTCGCTGCTCGCTCTCCATCGAAGCCAAAAGAGGCATGAGCTACCTCCCCTCCGAACGCCTGACCAAACCCGTCCGAGACCGGTCGCGAGGCAGCAAAGACCGTAGAGTCGTTATGACCTGCACCTTCCTCCACAGCGAGGACAAGGTCGAGTTCGTGCATCATCGACTCTTCTGCTTGTGCCTGACTGACACTCGAGGGCATGTGCTGATCCATCAGGGTCGAGGTAGATCGGCCTTTCCCTAGGCCCTTTGTGCGGAGGAAAGATCGGACAGCATGACGATCGTAGTCGGGGATCTCAAAGATCCGTCGTCCGCTCATGTCGCCAGCATTGATTTGCCCCTCCAATTGCGCTTGCAACGACTGCTTCAGACTGTCTATCAATGAGATGGGAGGGCGTGGAGGAAGCTGTAGCGTGCTGACGTCCTTCTGTTCCTCAGCCTGTGGAAGTAAGCCCGAAGCCTCCCGCTCGCCGTCATGAGGTAAGCTTGACTTGATCCCCGCAATTCGCAATGCTCTCTTCGCATCGGGTGGGTTTCGGAAGACGGCGCGAGCTCTAGAAAGCTCAGCGCCATAGTCCTTCCAGTCCAGTCCCTCGGGAGGCTTGTACTTGCTCGCTGCACCCCCACTCTTGAGGATTCCCCGGATGGTTTGGTGTTCCCTCAATAGTCGCAAGGCGCCGCGAGATGCCAGACCGGGGATAGTGCGGTTGTAATCTGTGCCGCACAAGAGGGCAAATTCGAGCATGGCATAGCGGGAGAGCTTGTCCGCTCGTGACAGTGCGGCGAGCCTCTCTGTCTCTTGTTCATCGACTCTCATCTCCACTTCTGCTTCGTCGCTTTTGGGGGAACGCGATTTCTTGACTGCCAATGATGGCTCTACCACCTTGATCGGGAACAGTCCAATTCGAGCCGCTCTCGAGTCCACTAGCTCCATAGGCTTCTTGGTACCGGTGAGATGTCGTATCAGTGGCACCTCTGCTAGCAAGACATCACTGTCCTCGGTTGCTACAGCGTCTGCCTCTCCAATGGTGACCAGACTGGCGGCAAGGGCTTCTGCTTCCCCCTTTGCCCCTCCATAAGGTGATCCCGAGCCTGTCCAGAGGACGGGTACTTGGAGGAGCGCGCACAGAGTGGCGCAGTCGTCGAAGACGTTTGAGGAGAGAGGCGAGGAGGATCGTGCGTAGCTTCGTTGAAGTGTGCGAGAGCGCTCCCGTATCAGCTCTAACGAAGCCAGAGGCTGATCGCGAGCCTCTTGCGCAGGCGGCTCTTCTACCTTCGTGGGCACCTCGCTCGATTGACTCGCGGTAGCCTCTGCGTCATCGCCTTCGTCCCGTGTGCTCTGCTCGATGTCCAAGTCTGCCTCCTGAGCCTCCTTTATAGACTCATCCATCTTGGCCTCGACCATCTTCCAAGTGAGATCAGCTGGCTCTTCGAGTGACCCAATATCTGCCCCGCCTGCCAAGGCGTTATACAGCTTCTCCTCCACCTCGTCCATCTTCATCTGCGCTGCCGTGTGAGGATGCCGTGGAGCTGTGGTGACGCCTTGCGATGGTGCAATACTGTCGGTTTGAGTCTGCTGAAGCTTCTGAAAGTCCTGACGGAGGTCATCGATGCGTGCAGCAATAGCGTAGGCTGAAGAAGTCTGATCTTCATACATGGTCTGCCACTCGTCTAGATCTTGCCGCACATCGGCATCGAGACGCGAGATCGAATTTGCCTGAGTGCTGGCGTCTTTGATACCGGACAGTATACTCTCGAGAAGGCCTTCCGATGTGTCGTCAGCGCGTGTGATGCTGTGCTTGGTGGGCAGACTCAACTGGTCCAGCTGTATCCGAAAGGAATCCCAGTCACTGATGCCTTGCGAGTCGATGGGGGCCAAGTCGTCCATCATAGTATCAACCTGTGCTTGCTCACTCGGATCTTTGAGCCTCTCTGTCTCGCGCCAAAGCTTGAGTAGATTGCTGACGACGCCCTTTTCCTGTTCGTCCAATTCCTTGATCCTGCCCAAGCTGGTGTTCAGCACTCTCAATCTCCAAGCCCTCCTCAGTTCCACCCTCATCCTCGCCCTCACCCTTCCTCTAGCCTCCCTCCTCTTCTCCGTCTCCCTAGCCTTGGCGGATATGCGCGAGGTGAGGTGATCAAAGACAAAGATTGGGTAGACGTTGGCTGTCCTTAGCGCGGCGATGAGGCGGTGGAAGCCAATGAGGTGGCGGGCGGGATGCTCATCGTCGGAAAAGTGAAAGCGTTGGACGAGGAGAGTGGCATCGATTGCGATACGATAACCGCTCAGAGAGGCGAAGCGATGAGGGTAGTAGATGGACTGGGGGCATTCCTTCTTGATCAAGGGGAAGATGCCCTTGATGCCGAAGACCAGAGAGGAAGGACGCATGATGGGCGTAGGAGGGCCACTCGGCGGGGGGAGAAGAAGAGACGACCAGACCTCGAGAGACAAGTGGTCTATGAACTAGTGATACGAAGTGGAGAGCATCTCGTAGTACCTGGTCGTGCAAGAAGCATGCTATGCAGCATATATCCTGAGCCAAGGGCGACCCTTGAAGTGGTTGTGCAATCAATCAAGACCAACACGAACCCGCGTCTGAGCCACTTTGCCAACTTTTCCCGACCCGCCGCCTTTCCGCACAATTCCACCTCGACTCGACTCCACTCCACCTGGCTTGGCGGCGCACACGCTTCCGCTTCAAGGTCAGTACCGACGGCATTTGTACGCCCTGCCTTCGTCTACTGCTCGAACACCTTTCCTCGATCACATCGGCGCCTAGCAGTCATGCCTCCTCCTTGTCCGCCCTTCACCGAAGAGACAGCCCGACAGAAGGTAAAGGTGAGCTCATCGTGCCTTGTCCTCTGCTGCAAGACGCCATCCGTAGTCATGTCTCACAGTACACCATGACCCTCCCTTCTTCCCCTTCCGCACACGGCACCGCTCGCACTACAGACGGCGCAGCACGCCTGGAATGGCCAAGATCCGGACAAGGTGGTATTGGCGTACACAGAGGATACCATCTGGCGGAATCGAGATGAGTTTCTCCATGGCCGCGAAGAGATCAGAGAGTACGTAGAGCTTGCTGGGGCTGGATTGCTTCCAGGGAAAGGCGGAGCTGACTGCTCTGTCCTGCCCTGCTTCCTCTTGCACAGGTTCCTCAAGCGCAAATGGTCAAAAGAGACGGTGAGTCCTCATCGAAGACTCCAGAAGCAACACGCCTCAGAGCTCACTTGCTGAAAGTTCCTCCTCCTCCTTCGCCCACCCCTTAGCACTACCGACTCCGTAAGGAGCTCTTTGCCTTTACCAGCAACAAGATTGCCGTTCAATTCTGGTACGAATATTGGAACGATTCCCTCTCCACCTGGCGTAGATGCTATGGTCTGGAAGACTGGACCTTTGCTGATGATGGGAGGATGAGGAAGAGGATGATGAGTGGGAATGAAATCTCAATCCAGGAGGGGGAGAGGTGGTTTACCGGGGCTGGAGAGGAGGAGTGGGATCGGGTGGAGATTAGTGAAAGACATTGGTGAGCCAGTGTTGTGATGATTGGATAGCTATGTTTTGAGTAGAAGTACAAAATGGATGGAAGTGGATGTACAGGTTCGCTGGATTCTCCGCTGTCGCCTTGTCTATTTCATGTATTTGGCGCAGGCTGTGGTCGTCCCTCGACGAGTCGCGTACTGAGCACCGCAAGTCAAAGGGAAAAATTCTGTCAGCATCATCGAAGCCATCATTCCATTGATCAAGCTGCACTTACAACAATGCTGGAGTCTTGAGGAAGTGTCTGCCCCCTGATCGAACCTCTCTGGGCCAGACGTCGGCGAAGAAGTAGTCTGAAGAGCGAGAGTATCGATTATAAGCATCAAAGACTGCCCCAAGGCTTTTGTAAGCGCTATGACAGTACTCACAGACATGTCCCACTGCCAATCCCAAGAGATCGCCCTTGACAGCCTGAGCGCTTCCGGTCAAGATCCAGCTGAAAGCACACAGTGCAATGGGCAGGTACGGTGCGGTGATGACCAGTACTCCAAACAAGCTGAGCCTTATATGTCTATTCCTTCTACTCCATATATACACCAGCGTAAATGCCAGTGGACTTGACAAGAAGGGCAGAGGAGGCGTGATCAGTGGGCTCGTGAGCAGCAGCAGCGAGCCACACACCACCACCAGCCAGGCAAAGTCGGCTGTGTGTCCCGCATAGTGATTCTCCTCTAGCATCCTCGAGTACCGGATAAAGAAGAAGAGATGGAAGAGAAAGTCTATACCGAATTCTCCAAAGTAGAGGAAGGAAGTGATGCAACGATAGATTTGAGGAGAGGTGAGGTTGAAGGTGAGCGAGGGCGAGTAGAAGAGGGAGTACCGGGAGAGGAGGGAGATGTGCTCTGCTAGGGAGACTGCGAGGGACGAGAAGGCCCACAAGCGGGTGACGGGGGGCATGGAGCCGATGTCCATCCTGAGCTGAGTGAGTGGATGGGATCGGGGACACGACGTCGATGGTGGTCAGTATGCCAGCCTCGAGGAGGTGGCAGTCAGAGGGAGTGGCAGGCAGGGTTCAGGCGCAAGTGGCCGACGTGGAACGCCTGGTGCTCGCGTCTCGGCCAGACGGAAAGAGAAAGTCGAGGATTGCCTGCATCCATTCTCCACATCACCCTAGCATTCCCTCCCCTTTGCCTTTGTACCCCTTCGATTCGTCCATCCCGTACTGTGGCAACCTAGCATCTCTCCCTGCCACACCAACCAGTCCCTGATCCGGTTCAAGATGGCTCCTCTTCCCGATTACTATGCCGTCCTGGGCGTCTCTCCTACCGCTACGCCCTCCGAGGTTCGAGAGGCATACAAGCGACAGTCCCTGCAATGCCATCCAGACCGATTCCCCAATGTGCCAGAGGCAGAGAAGCAGAGGCTCACAACAAAGTTCCAGTCGCTTGCTGATGCATGTGAGTATGAATGATCAGTCTCCAAGCACGAAGACGGGCTTCGCAGAAGTGGCGTTGGGCTCGTAGCCCTCCTCCGTACTTTGCATCGCTGACCCTTCCTGACTATTACTCTGCTCTCCACCACAGACTACGTCCTGAGCAACGCAGAGAGACGCGAGGAGTATGATGGTCTACGGGGATCACAAGGATTCCATGCCTTTGGCGAGGGAGAGGAAGAAAAGGAGCAACGGTCGAGTGCGAGCTTCTTCAGCAGCTTCTTCCAGGCTGCTGCTGGAGCTGCTGCTAGTGCTGGTGCAGGAGGTACAAGCGAGGGTACGACTCCTTCAGGACAGCCAGAAGGTGAGTCAGCCATTCCATGAGTCGCAGGTGTTAGCGATCTTGACGCTGAATACCTCCCCTGCTATGTCTCTCACTGCAGCTGCCGGTACTTTCAACGATGTCTTTGCCGAGCTGCTACGCCCAGAGGTACAAAGGGTAGTTCCGATCTGGAAGGTGAGTCCGGTGCTGGCCTCGACTGACATTTTCATCGTTTCGCTGATGATGTCCTCCACTTTCTTACTGTAGTGGGTAGGCAGTGCATCGGGAGCTGGTCTGGGCTTCATCCTAGCGAACATTCCCGGTGCCATCGGAGGAGCCGTGGTGGGCAACCGGATTGGAGCGATTAGAGATGCAAAGGGAAAGTCTGTGGGAGCCGTGTTTATGAATCTGTCAGCCGGCGACCGAGCTGCAGTGCTGGTGAGTTGTTCCATCAAGGGTCGTGGGCCATGCCCTCTACGTGGCGTGAGACTCAGAGTTGTGGATGCCTTTGCTGATGATCTCTCTCCTTATCTGGCGTCGACAGAAAGCACTTGCGGTCAAGGTACTGGGTTCCCTCGGATGATTAGCAATGGGACTATCACTCGTTAGGATATGCCCTCCTCGGCCGGGCCATTCTCCCCAGCCACCCCGCAAAGGCGGGCTAGATACCCCCTTCTCCTCTGTCCTGGCCACGACCATGCCTGTCTCATAGTCTGATTTTCACTTGTCATTGTCATGTCTGCCTGCTGCGATGCCTGGGATCCGAATGTCTGGTCGAAGTGCAATTTGAGTTTGTGGGTGGTACGGGGGGGTTGAGCGGCGTCTAAAGCAGGGCCGGGTGCGGTGATGACGCTGGCCAGCCACGGCAGAGTCGCGTTGCTGGAGGGGCGAGGGTGTGCGTGTGTGTGCGTGTGCGTGTGCGTGTGCGTGTGTGCGATTTGAGTTGGTCGTCCGTCGTTCTGCCTTGGACCCCCCTTGCCTGGCCGCCTACCCACCAACCACTCCTTCGATACCATACACATCGAGGTGACAAGGGGCAAAGTACTCATTGGCCTCACCCTCGCTGAACTACTCTACCTCATTCCAATCCGCCTTTTGTCTCCCGCCCCCCTTTGGGTTATCCATTGCTCTCTCACCTCACCCACAACCCCTGCCCAAGACACTCCGCGAGCAACACCTCTTCCTCACGCCACTTCCTCTTCACGGACCAGCTTCACGACCACTCCATCTTCTATACGATACCTTCAATCAACGCTGGTCACTCAAGTGCCCCACGACAAACGTACGCTGCTCTAGACGACTCAAGCCTCTGGTGCATTCTCCCTGAGCTATAGTGCATTGGCCGATCTTCGCAAAGGAAGGAACGAACAGCTTCCAGTCCTTACGTCACGGCACTCCCCTCAGCGTCCCACCGCACGCAACCTCCTCGCTCAGCTGCAACCCTCAGCACTGCCGCTCTCAAGCCATTGCTTGATTGAGCTCGCTAACCCGTCTTACAGACCGCTCCTCACTCCCCGCATTCCCCTCCACCATGGCTTCCAACGCTTCCCACAACAAGCAGCTCTACCAGAATGCCTTTTCTTCCATTCGCAACAAGGCAGCTCCACCTGAGATCGACTTCACCATTCATGTTCAAGACGATGGAACCCAAGTCTCAACACAAGAGCGCGTGGTAAAGGATGTGCAAGCACCAGCTTTTCGGAAACCCACTGATGCAGAATTCTGGTCGGATACAGAGCCTGGCAAACCCGACATTGCCTTTTTGAAGAACCACTTCTACCGAGAGGGCAGGCTGACGGACGAGCAAGCCCTGTACATCATCAGAAGTGCAACTCAGATCCTCAAGAGTGAGCCAAACGTACTGGAGGTAGACGCTCCCATCACCGTGTGCGGTGACATTCATGGCCAATACTTCGATCTGATGAAGCTCTTCGAAGTTGGAGGCAACCCAGCGGAGACAAGATATCTGTTTTTGGGAGATTACGTGGACCGAGGCTACTTCTCCATCGAGTGTGTCCTGTACCTCTGGGCTCTGAAAATCTGGTACCCCGAGACTCTGTTCCTGCTACGAGGCAATCACGAGTGTCGTCATCTGACAGACTACTTCACCTTCAAATTGGAATGCAAGCACAAATACTCGGAACAGATCTACGACGAATGCATGGAGTCATTCTGCACCCTGCCTCTAGCTGCCGTCATGAACAAGCAATTCCTCTGCATTCACGGAGGTATCTCTCCAGAGCTGCAGACTCTAGACGATCTCAGGAACATCAACCGATTCCGAGAACCGCCCACACATGGCTTGATGTGCGACGTCCTCTGGGCCGACCCTCTCGAAGACTTTGGTACGGAAAAGACGAATGAGAGTTTCCTCCACAACCACGTGCGAGGCTGCTCATATTTCTTCACATACCAAGCCGCCTGTCAATTCTTGGAACGCAACAATCTCCTTTCCATCATTAGAGCTCATGAAGCGCAAGATGCTGGCTACCGAATGTACCGCAAGACAAAGACGACTGGATTCCCATCTGTCATGACCATCTTCTCGGCTCCCAATTACCTCGATGTGTATAACAACAAGGCAGCCGTCTTGAAGTACGAGAACAACGTGATGAACATTCGACAGTTCAACTGCACGCCTCACCCTTACTGGCTGCCCAACTTCATGGACGTCTTCACCTGGAGTCTGCCATTCGTCGGAGAGAAGAGTGAGTTTGTGCGAGGTGCAGAGAGATCGGAGAATCACTTACTAATTTCACACCCCTGCCCCACTGCGTCTCCGCTTCACCAGTCACCGACATGCTCATCTCGATACTTAACGTCTGCAGCAAGGAGGAGCTCGATGAGGAAGAAGAGGAAGAGGAGGCCAGCATGGCTCTGCAGGAGATTGGCGATGATGGCGAGGTGCTAGAAGGCGAAGAAGACGAGATGTCCGACGACAGACGAGCAGTCGTCAAGCAAAAGATCCTCGCAGTGGGCAGGATGAGCAGAGTCTTTGGACTGTTGCGAGAGGAGGCGGAAAGGGTCTCGGAGCTCAAGGGTGCCTCGCCTACTGGCAAGCTGCCGTACGGCCAGTTGGCCTCGGGCTCGGAAGGCATCAAGGAGTCGATTGAGAACTATGATGACGCGAGAAAGGCTGATATTGAGAATGAGAGGGTGAGTAGAGAGCGGTAGAGTCAGATGTGCACACAAGAGAGCCAAAAGTCTGACATGATCCTATCGTCCGTCCACAGCTTCCGCCCGATCTCATCGATGCCGATGAGGCCAGTCTGGCCAGTCTAGAGGGACGCTCCTTCGACGAGTCTCGTTCCTCCGACTCTGGCGGACCTGTCACTCCCGGCTCACCAGGCTACATCCCTTCCAGCAGCCCGGACCCCATCAGCTCTCCCGGCGGCGGCAGCGGTCCTCCTCCGGCCCGGCACCGTCGCGGGCACAGCAGGAATAGTTCATTGGGCACTACCAATACCAGTTCTCCTTCCAACCGAAGAAGATCACTGGAGACTACTGTGCACATGATTCGAGAAGCGCTTGCTGGAGAGGAAGGATCAGAGGATACTGGATTGGATAAGATTGCAGAGGCAGTCTCTTCGCCGACTTCGCCAAGGCATGGGAGAAAGGCTTCTGGAGCTGGAGCTGGAATGGGAGATGCGGGAGGATTCAAGTTTGGAGGAGCACCTCGATCTTCGTAGCCCTGCGGTTGTGTCTCTCGGAGATGTAGGCTAGGCGTAAATGGGAGGGGGAGACTTTATTGGTTAGGCTAAGGACTGGAGGTCCGGCTTCCCTTCCTTTCCCCATCATTCATCGGCGTCAACAACACCCCCGATCTGTCCATCACCTCGCTTGCGGCTCGTCGTCATCCTCCTCCTCCTCCTCGTTTCCGCTTGTACCTGTGAAGCCTATTCCAGTCCAGTCCAGTCCATTCTATTCGATTTTTTCATTCCAGTCCAGTCCAGTTTCATCTGCCTAGACGTCTGCACGTATCGCGCGTTGAGAACATTTTGAGATGAGATGAGATGAGAGGAGAGGAGAGGAGCTGAGATGAGCTGGGAGGAGCTGAGATGAGCTGCACACATTCAATCAGAAGTACAGAGAGGGGGAAGCAGTAGTGACGTTTTATGATTTTAATCCATGTAAGAATCTGAATGCAGAGAGAAAGAAAGAAAGACAGAAGACGAAGAGAAGAAGACGAAGAGAAGAGGGAAGAAGAGGGGAAAAGAAGGAGAGAAAGAGAGAGAAGACGAAGAGAGAAGAGAACTACGAAGGATGCTGGATAATGATAATGACAGGTGGAGATGGAGCTAGGTGGAATAGAGTAGGATGGTAGTGGTAGTGGTAGTGCTAGTGGTTGTGCTGGGAGGATGAGTGTGTGCGCAATGGCAAGGCATGGAGTAGGGCGGGCCAGTGGCAGTACTAATGGTGGCCAGCGGGACGAGAGGAAGAAGAAGCCGAAGGTGAGGTGGTGGAGAGGAGGAGCAGCAGGATACGCCACCTCCGCCTCCTCCTCTTCAAACTCTCCCCTTTCCCTACTTCACTTCACTTCACTTGACTTCTTACTTTCCAAAAATGGCACGTAGCGCCTGTACGCTTCCAAGCATCTTGCTCGCTGAATGTCCCACTCTAGGAACCACTGTAAGCTGGTGATTGAACGTCGTTGTACGAAAAGTGGCTTGAATTTCAGAGGAACTGACTGGGTAGAGGGAGGTACCTGTGCTCGTGCTTGTGCTCGGGTCGCTAGTGTCGTCACCGTCGTTGTCACCAGAATCGTCGTCGTCGTCGTCATCGTTGTTGTCGTCGTCGCCATCCCCTGTAGGGTCAGCAGCTAGCGTGATATTCTTGGCCACCACTCCCGCCGGGTCCAGTGCCGGGAAGATTCCAGGGTACTTAGGCACGCTCCCTGTCCCACTAAGGAGGTGCAGGTAAGCCCAATAGTCCAAGTTCCTATCTCGTCGATGCACTCCACCCGCCGCTAGCGCAGCACAATTCTGATCTCCCTCATCGTCTTTCGTATCGGCATCTCCGACGAGGTAGCGCACATCTCTAGAGAGGTATCGTTTGAAGAGATTGACATCACTTAGTGTTTTTGGGTAGGGTGAATCGTACGATTCTAGCCCGTACCGGAAGTCATTGAAGTAAGGACAGGCGGCAGGGTTCACTGGTTGAGGTCGATCGATTGTAAAGTAGAGATTGGTGGATGGGTTGGCGACTACGTATCGCACCTTTAAAGAGGCACGAGAGGGGTCTTTGCCTAGAACGGCATAGCGCTGTACTGCTTGTGCACCAGCTCCATGTCCTACAAAGACGACGGTGTCCAGCAGTGGGTAAGTGGCCTTGTTTGAGAAAGAGTCGAGATAGTAGTCCAATATGGCAGCTAGATTAGCAGTGGCATTGACGGGAGCAGTAGCTGCATCTCCACCTGACCAACCATCTTGATCTGCCCAGCCAAGTCGAGTGCCAGTGCGTACTTTTGGATCCATTCTTGTAGAGAGGAATTCGGGAGCAATACGAATCGAATTCGCATCATCTGCAATGCCCGCTTTTCGAGCTGCATTCCAGGCCGTGTTGAGCAGACTCCAGTAGACGGACCCGTCGCGCTTTACACCGTGGACAATGATGTAGGCTCGGCGGGCCAGTCGAGGCCGCGTGGGTGTCAATCCACGAAAAGTGGGAATGTCACCTCCGCCGACACGGTAGGAAGTGAGAGTGGCGGCGGTTGGAGCCTTGAGAGAGGTGACATGGACGGTATCTCCATTTGGATCCGAATGGATAGTATGTGCATCGCGCTGGCTTAGTGGGTGCGGCCAGTCCCTCTCGACCAGGCTTTCCTCTGTGAAGACATTACCGTCCTCGATGGACACTGGGAAGGCTCTTCCTGGCGTCGCGGTGAGGAAGAGAGCCAGGATAGGGAGAAGGAGCAGCAAAAGAGTCCTCACGGGTGAAGACTGTACCATCTTGAGTTTTGCTCAGAGTGAGAGGGAACGGGGAAGAAGGGGTGTTTGATGCTGAGGAGTGGGTAGGGAGGTAAGGGTCAGTCTGCAATCATCTGGAACAGCAAGACAAAAGGCTGATTCTTGCTTTGCACTTCTCAAGGTCAAATAGCAGCTCGAATTCTTTCCCCCTTGGCGAGCGGGAGTGTCAGTTGTGCGGGCAGTAGCAACATCCACATCCCCGGAGAGAGGCTGGTTGGTCGGAGCAAGGGAGGCGATAAGCGCGGCTTTGCTAGCAATACGATGCGATGTGATGGGCAGCTCGGCCAACAGCAGCGCAATGGAGAGACGCCATGAGGAATGCCTGTGTGTCTCTGATCTCGAAGTTCGGGTCTTCTACGGTGGCGGTAAAGTCGTCCGTGGCTTCTACTGATGGTCGCTCCGCGGTAGCTAGCGAGTTGCGGGGTAGTGGGCACAATCAGCGGAGTGGATCGGGTCATCTGATTGCGGAGTGGGGGAAGGAGGGGACCAGGGGTGCGGGTGATATGATCTGTCTGATGTATTCCGATCCTCAGGCTTCCACCATTTCACTTCATTGCTCGTCTTGCGTCTTGGCAAAGCGTCGCCTTTACCCGTAGAGGGGCAGCGCGTGTGTGTGTGCGGGTGACCTTTACAGAGGGAATGTTCATCGGAGTGTGGGGGTGGGTGGAGCGGAGTGGGCGGCGTGGCGTGGCGTGGGCGTGATTGTCGGAACGGATGGCTGGCTGGCTGGCTGGGGCTGCTGGGGTTGGGCGATGGCTTCCGTTGGGTTTTGTCCATCTTCCCTTCCGTCGCCGGGGCGGAGCGGCAAGGGGATACCATCGATCAGGAAGGCAGTGGGACCTTCCATTCTTCCATCTACCTCGCCCACCTTCACCCTCGCCTTCCACCCCACCGCTTCCCCTCCGTCTCTCTCATTCCTCCACTTCCCTCGACCATTGGACACGATGATCGTAGCAAGGGGATGGACAGCCGCAAGGCAGCTCCTCAGGCCTGCCGCCGATCAAATTCACGCAAGAGGTGAGACACATCCCACACCAACACCAACAACAACACTAACCCTGGTGCTCTTCCTAGTTGCCTGCACCTTACTCACAACCTCTTCTCCCCTTCTCCTTCCCCCTACCCTCTCCGCTTTAGCCTTCCATGCCTCACCCGCCAGCTCCGCCTTCCAGAAATTCACCATGCCCGCAATGTCCCCCACCATGACCGAGGGCGGTCTGGCCACCTGGAAGGTAGACGAAGGCAAGCCCTTCAGCGCTGGCGATGTCCTTCTTGAAATCGAGACGGACAAGGCAACAATGGATGTAGAGGCTCAAGATGATGGAGTCATGGCAAAGATTCTCGTACAGGCTGGAGAGAAGAATGTAGCAGTGGGGAAAATCATTGCAGTTCTAGCTGAAGAAGGGGATGAATTGAGCAAATGGGAGAGTGAAGTGGACTTGAAAGACGAAGGGGGAGCGAGTAAGAAGGAAGAACAGCCAAAGAAAGAGGAGCCAAAGAAGCAAGAAGCTTCCTCTTCCTCCTCCTCCTCTGGCTCCTCTTCGTCCTCGTCGAACCCTGCCCCTTCTTCATCGACGCCAGATAGGCACTCGGCCACTCCCACCACCTCGACAAAGTCACACACCGACCATCCCAACGCCCCCATGTTCCCCTCTGTCCTCCGTGTCCTCCGAGAGAACAACCTCTCCATCGATGATGCCACTTCCAAGATCAAGGGAACAGGACTCAAGGGAATGCTCACAAAAGGAGATGTGCTCTCCTACTTGGGCAAGGCGTCGAGCCCTACAGGAACTTACAAGGCACCTAGGTTGGGAATTGCGGCTCAGGGTGGTCCGCCGGACAAGTTGGGAGGAAAGGCCGAGGCGGGAGCAGTGGACAAGAGCGAGGTGAGTTGGAAGAGGCGAGAATAGGCAGACCCACTCCAGACCCATCGCGAGGCTGACTCACTCCCTCTTTACCCCTTTCTTCCATCTTGCTTCTCACAGCCCCTCACCGCAACTCAATTGCGCGCTGCCATTCTGAGAGGTCTCGCCAGCTCTTCTCGTTCTCACATTTCCCGATCAGCAGCAAGTGCCACTTCACCTGCTCTCCTCACTCCAGCAAGAGATTCCTTGCAAGAGGTATTGGCAGATTATGTCCTTGTAGAAGAGCAACCCGCAGCTGCGTCCCTTGCAGCGAGGAAAATTGGTGGAGCGGGGAAGAGGAGAGATTGGCTCGATGGGCTGATCTGAGCTCAGCGAAGAGGAGAGGAGGAGAGGGGGAAGAGCTGGTGTGCGATTGCGGCTGTGGAGACAGAGGGGGGGAGCACTAGACTTGACGCCAAGAGGGCGGCAGAAGCAGCCAAATCTGCGAGGTTTCGCAGATTTCTGCCCCCCAGGAGTGGTATCTCACTCAATCCATATTTCACATCTCATCAGTACACGGTTGTATAGAAGTACATTGCACATCAGAGGGGAGCGATAAAAGAGGACAAAGAATGCCCTCTCTCTCTCTCCGGCCACCCTCCTTGCTCCATCTCGTTGCGCCCTCCAGCTCACTTCTTGCCCGCAGGCAAACTGCTCCTCGCTTTCCCACTCCTCGTCGTCCCCGAAGGCAATGCAAGCGCGCGAGCCAGAACGGCCTGTTCGTCGCCAGGTGCGATGCCTAGGGCGGCTAGATGCGGGGGAACTTCTTCCACTGCTGGTGCTGCTGGTGCTGCTGTTGGGGTGCGAGACGAGAGGGTAGGTGCAGCTTGTGCTGCCGAGGGAGCAGGAGAAGGTGCGCTAGAGGCAGAGATGGGCGTAGCGGGAGAGGCGTGCTGCGATGCTCGGCCTGCGGCTGTCTTCTTTGCGCTGGCCGCACGGGAGGTTCCTGGGGAGGCCATTGCTGAGACTTTACGCTTGAGGGATGCTTTACCCTGCAGTGCACTAGCAGGAGCAGGGGCAGTAGTGGACGAAGCCTCTCCCGTAGCCTGTGTCGCAGTCGTCTGGGCGCCCCCTCCTGAGGGTCTGGGTTGAGCTAGGATCCAGAAGCCAGTCTTGCCCTGTCCATCCCCGCCGGCAGAGCCGTCTGTGATCTTCTTTGCGCTCTTCTTGACCTTTTTCACAGCCCCATCTTCAGCGTCACCGGTAGTGCCAGCATCACCGACCTTCGTCTGGTCGGCCTTGGTCTTGCTACCGCTCTCGGCCCTCTTGACATCGATGTCCACCTCGCACCACTCCCATTGCTCCTCGCCTAGCGCCCGCAGCACCCTCGCAGCCTTCACGTCTGCAAAGGGAATGCCGGTCTTTGCGTCCTTGTAACGAGCCATCTTGCCAGTGATGGCACAGAGAGAGGCGCGTGGTTTCGAGGGGCGATTGCGAGCAGGAACGACGTGCGTTGTCGCCCAATTCGTATGAGATCCGAGAAGAGAGGCCCATTGCTCCGGCCAGGGAGGCGCTGGACGAGTGGTATAGTGGAGGGACACGAGTGACCGAGCTTCGAGCTCTGTAGGTGGTACATCAGCTCCTTGAGTGTTCGAGGACGATGCTTCGGCAGCCTTCTGGGACGCTGCCGCCGCGGCCGCGGCTGCTGCTGCTTCCTTGCGAGCTTGAAGTACAGGGTCCAACGTGAAGTCGACCCGTTGTGACATTGTCTGGGGCGATGTTGAGCGTGATGTTTGGTGTGGCAGGACGGGTCCTGATACATCTGCCTGAATCTCATCTGCAATGACCTGCATCGAGTCGTTCGCAGTTGCATCGGCCTCTCCGATCACCTGAGTCGACTCGTCTGCTTGGGGCTCGGCGATCTGGATTGACTCTTGTGCCTGTACATCGGCAGCTGGTATCACTGGTCCTGACATATCCGCTTCTTGTTCGGCGGTCGGCTCTGGTTTCGTGACCACATCGACTACCGAATCATTTGCAACTAGAGCCTCCTTTTCGTCCGCATCGGCCGGCTGCGTTGGCGGCTCCAGAACGATGATGGGCCGCTCTATAGGCACTTCTGATCTAACGCTCCGCCAGCGTATCCAGCTCGAGGGCAATGCCCTCTTCTCTCTGCCTAGCTCTTTCCTCTTCCTCTCCTCTTCGACCTCCATCCACTCCTTGAGACTCTTGCGATTTTCCTCTTCTCTCTCCAGAGCCAGCTCGATGAGCTCAGCCTGGTTGAGTGAAGGCTTCTTGACGGAGGAGGGAGGGTTGCGGACGTTGGGATGTTGCAGACGACGGGCCTCTGCCTCCTCTATACGGACTTGAGAGTCGAGCCCAGCTTGCACTGTAGCTCGGCGTGAGGAGATTCGCCGAGAGGAGGAATTGGGGTCGACAGAGGTGTCCCCTGCTCTCGCATCAGGGGCGAATGAGATTCTGCGAGATGTACGAGTTGGTCGGGATGGTCCAGCTTCAGCTTGCACATCCTCGTCGCGAGATCCCGAGTGCAGAGCGGAGGGAGGTGGCTTTGCCTTGGCTGGTCTCCGTACCACGCTAGGCGCCATCCTGCTCGCCTGCTGAGGGTTTTACGGTGAGAGAAGAAGGTCCGTCAGCTCAGGTGTATCTCTTGCTTTGCTCGATCTCATCGTCTTGCGCAACCGTACTCACCTTCCGAGCAGCTTTCCTCTTTCTCTCCTCCTCAGCCTCCAACTCCCTCTCTCCCTCACTCTCATCATCCCCTCCCTTCTTCCTCCCGTCCTGACCCTCCTCATCCGAACTATCTCCAAAGTCCGAATCGAAGACGTCTTCCTCTTCCCTCTGAGGAGCAGCAAACTCAACATCATTGTCCTCTTCGCGGAAGATCTCGTCGGCTTCGTCGGTGGTGGAGAGGTTATGCTGCTGGTCTAGTAGGGCGCGCATACGGTTGCCGGCCGTGGAGCGCTTGGAGCGACCGGCCACCAGGCTCACAGCGCCCTCGCCTGGAGGTGAGTCTGCCATGGCGGACGAGCGACCGACGGGGATGGCGGCAGGAGGTGAGCTCACTCGAGAGGCTTGAATGTATGAGTAGGATGTTGAATGGGAGGATTCAGCGGAAAGGGGGCGGACGGACAGACGGACGGACTGGATTTTGAGACGTTGCGGGATTTTGGGTGGGCGCGTGCGTCAGTGAGAAGTACAGATTGCAGCCAGAATACGTGTGGACAAGGTAAGAATGAGGACGACGCAGCTCTGCTCATCCTGTCCTTCTCTTCTCCTTCTTGCTCGGCTCTACCACCCTCACCCTCTTCTTCGCAGACACGACAGGGCCGAGAGCCGCCAGCGACTTTGCCTTTGCCTGGCGGGAGGCTTGCCTCAGGGCGGACTTGGGCAGAGGAACTGCCTCTGCTTCCTCCTCCTCCTCTTCATCTTCGTCTTCCTCCTCGTCCTCATCGAACATCTCTTCATCATCTCCCTCTTCATCGTCACTGGCCATGAGGCCCTCGATCTCATCTTCATCCTCCTCATCTTCCTCGACATCTTGAATGATCTCCCGTGGTCGCCAGAACTCAAAAGACTCGGCTTCCAGCCCTGCAAGAGCTCCTCGACCAGCCGACTTCAGCCTCAGCTCACCCACAGCCGGGCTGGGGTGCAGGTCCCTCCTCTCCTTTTGCGCCTCGATGAAAGACTTCCTCCAGTCCTTCCTGCTCTGCACCACCTTGCCAAGGCCTTTCTTCTCCAAGTCTGCCCGAATCTTGAGAGTGATCTGCTCCCTCTCCGCCTTGGCAATCTTAGTCCATCCGCTAGCAGTAGTGTAGTAGCCTAAGCACCCAGCGCTCCAGTCTCGCAGCACCACGCGAGCAGCAGCAGTCACGTCTGGGATGCCGTGCTTCCTTGCTCTGCCTTGCACCCTGGCTAGGCCGATCAAGAATTCCTCTGTGTCTTTGCAGATCTTGTTATTGAGCTCAGACCGGGCGTGAAGGTCTTTCTCTGTCTCAGTCAGGTCCCCGTCCGTAGGGGGAAGCGACGGACGATAGGAGCCGAATGCTGGGACATTGTAGAGCAGCATCAGGTCCTCGCTTTGCGAGACCAAGGGAAGCAGAGCCCAAAGCAGCGGCAGGGGGTCTTTTGTCCTCTCCACTTTGCCTTTATTCCGCATGAGCAGACGGTAGGCGTTGCTACGCTGCGAGTCGAAGTCGTCCGAACCATCATAGGCATCCTCCTCATCTTCTTCCTCGTCCTCGTCCTCTAGCTCCTCGTCTTCGTCGTCGTCTTCCTCACTGGTGCTGCTGCGCCTAATGGGTAGTAGATGCGTCGTATCGTAGACCTTCACAGAGCCATTCTCGCCCAGCTCGTTGGAAGCTAGAGTGGCCAGAGCGGAGCGGCCAGAATTTTCAAAGCCCACAAAGGCCGAGCCGCCTTTGCCTTTGAGTGTACCGATGAGGGAGGAAGCTCCTCCAGCAGAACGGGCAGAGACGGTGTGGATTGGTGATGATGACGATGTCGTGAGGGTGTGCAAGTGCGAGACGAGGGCCTCGAGGGGGACTAGGTCTGAAGAGCCGGCAGGACGATGTCATATGATCAGTACAGAAAACCTAGATCCATGCTTACGAGCTCCAGCATTCACTACTCACCACACCTCGTCACGGCCAGATGGACAGCCTTGCCCTTGCCCTTTGCGGCGCTCTCCACCTGCTCGCACCTCCACGCCTCAGGATCCCTAGCGTCTAGAGCAAACACAATGTTCTTGACCTCATCATCGTCAAGTAGCTCCTGTAGCGATCCGGTATAGACAGGCGCATTGGTGGGCTTGGCGAGAGCAGGCGACTCCTCCTCCTCCTCGTTCGCCAGCATGGCATCGTCCTCATCGTCTTCGTCCTCGTCATCCGAAGCAGGCGCCTTGCCCTTCTTCCTCTCTGCAATCCTCCTTTCTCTCTCCTCCAACTTTCGCTGTTCCTCCCGATCTCTCCTCATCTGAATCTCATCCAGGAGCTGCTCCTTGTAGGGAAAGGAGTTGGGAATGCCCGGGTCGGCCTGCTTCTTGGTACGCCATTGAGGGTTCTTCTTTGCCTCTCGGCGCTGCTTGCGGTGGTGCTCGCGGACCTTCTTCTCGACCTTGACACGCTGCTTGGTCGAGGTCCTCTTCGAGGCTCTCTTAGGTCCCTTTGCCATCTTCGAAGCGGAAGAGGGGTGCGAGGGTGGGGTTGCAAGGAGGAGTGGGACTGGCCGATGGAGCCAAAGGTGGGGAAACGGATGAAGAACCGGACGCTTGCTGCCAAAAATTTCGCTCACGGACGCACACCAGAGATTTCAGACTCCGACAGGAAGTGCGTCCCTTTCCGATGTCCGAGTGCAGTCAGGAAAGGCGTACTACTGTGACCTCACGACGCTGCTCGGCCATGGTAACGACAGGAGCTACACAGTGCCAAGGAGGAAATTCATTTTGGTTCAAGACTATGGAACAGATCACGAAGAAAGAGTCGGAATACATTGGGGACAAGTGGGGACGCGTGAGGGAACAGTGTGGCCTCCAGTCAGGTACACAGCCTCGCCTCTACTCCGAGATGAAGATACCCGCCTGGCCCATGCCGAGTCCGATACAAGCCGCGGCACATGCCACTCCTCCCTTCTTTTCTGCCCTCGCAAGCTGAGTGAGGGCAGTAATCGAAAGTCGCAGGGCTGAGCTTCCAAGAGGGTGGCCCAGAGCAATAGCTCCTCCCTGGGGGTTGAGCTTCTCGTCTGGAATCTCGAGCTTCTGCTGGCAGTAGACGAGCATGGATGCAAAGGCCTCATTGATCTCGTAGACGTCCACCTCCTCTGGCTTGATCCCAGTCAGTTCGAGGACTTTGGGAATGGCAATGGTAGGTCCGATGCCCATGATGCGGGGAGGCAGACCAGCGACAGCACTGCCGACATACTTGGCCAGGGGCTTCTTGCCGAGCTTGTTGGCCAGCGATCGTCTCATGAGAATCATAGCGGCGCCTCCGTCGGTGATTTGACTGTCGCAGACACGGAGAGCAAAGGGTGAGTAACCTCATTCATCGGTCATCTTGCCAAATGCCATTCATCAATCATCTTGCCAACTGCCAGTGCTCCTTTTACTCACCTGGCATTGCCACCAGTGGTCTGGGCAGGCTCCCACTGTGGGAAAGCTGGCTTAATCTTGGACAGTCCCTCGGGTGTCGAGTTCTCTCGGATACCGTCATCATGCTCTACGACTTTCCAGCCGCCATTTCCATCCGGTACGGTAATGGGGAAGATCTCCTCGGCGAACTTGCCTGACTTCTGTGCCTTGAAAGCTCGGCTGTGAGAGCGAGCAGCGATGGTGTCCATCTGGGCCCTGGTAATCTTGAATTCCTTGGCCACATTCTCCGATGTCCATCCCATGGGCATGATGCAGTCTGCTGCCTCTTGGTGAGAGTTCCTGATGACCTCGGAGAAGTTGAAGTCCCTCTTGGGGTGGTTGCTCATGCTCTCTACGCCTAGAGCCATTCCGCACTCGATCTCTCCCACCTGGATCTGGTTGGCAATGGTACGCAAAGACTGCAGTCCACTGGCACAGAAGCGGTTGAGGACATGAGTGGGGGCAGTATTGGGGATACCAGCAGCGAGAGCAGCTGCTCGGATGTCGTAGTGGTTGTCTACATTGCGAACGTTTCCAACGGCTGTGAAGATGGATCGTCAAAGATGTGTCGTGTGAGAGCCCGCTAATGCTGAAAGAAGCTTGGCCTCCTACACCGCAATATATCTCGCCACAATGCCTACTCACAGACCTCTTGGATGAGGGAAGGGTCCATGTCAGCACGACCGAGAACTCCCTTGAATGTCTCGTAGCACAAGATGTCAAAAGGACAGTCCTTCAGCCCTCCTTTGAAGGCCTTGCAGTAGGGAGTCCGGCCCATTGCAACGATGACTACATCAGAGTCACTCTTGACCTGGGCGGCTGCCAGGCCCTTGCCGGACCATGTTCGGGGGTCAAGGTGACCCGCAAGCTGGGAGATTCGTTCAGTAGAGGAGGCCATTGTGGACGACACTATCAATGGTGATGAGACTGGAGAAGATGTCTTGTGATCAGAGGGTGCAAGATAATGCTTGATGGCAAGGAGAGACAGAGAAGGCGAACAAGGGGCAAGATGGGGACCACCCTGCCATCCGGGGTAAATGGATAGCCGGAGTTGAACACCCCGCGTTTGCCGGTCGGCCCAGGCACAAGCCCAAGAAGGACCACATGACGCGCCACAGGCTTGGCGGAGGCGCATGGCGAAGTCAGTCAGACAGGTCAATTCAGCAGGGCAATCGGTGCTAATCGGTCAACTACTCTTGACATCCGAAATTCTCAGAGGAGACAGTGGTGCAATTGTAATGAAATGTTATACAGGTAGCGTCATTCCTCGTGGTGTGAAGCAAGATCCGACTCTGCTGCCCAGAAGATGTCTGCCCGCCGCTCCAAACTTCCCTCCACGAAGTCTCTTGCAGATACGTCTTAGAAGCCAGGAGGTCGGATTCCGCCCTGCTGTTGCTGGCCTTGACCGTCGAGACCGCCGGGAGCGCCGCCGCCGAGCATCTAAAAGAAAGATAGAGGAATGAGCAAGAGAAGTAAGCACAGTGCTTCGTCGTAGTGCTGACAATGACCGCGAATACAAGCGGAGACCGCTCTCCAATGTCCCAGCCAGCCTTGTTGCTCGATCTGATGCTTGGTCACTGCATGCCCAGGCACTCAACAGCAAATGTGCTGGCAGTACGATGCGGCACATCAATCTTCTTCCAGCCTACACATTCTACCCCTGAGACAGACTGCCGTTCTCCTTTCTCCTGCACCAGTCGGCCTCCTCTGACAATCTGCCTATTCAACTCACCTGCTGAGCTCCGTTCTGCTGCTGGGCGTATTCCCTCTCCTGCTGGACGATCATGGCCTCGCCCTCAGAAGCGAGTGTGTATGGCAGTCCGACCAAGATTGCGGTAGTAATGACCATCCAGCCCAGATTGCCAACGACCTTGCCACCGAACGAAGCATAAGTTGACGCTGTCTGGAAGCGAAGAGCCAGACTGCGACGGGTGGACGGCGGAACGATGTCCTTCAGGGCGGCGATACGCTGGGCAAGCGTCTCTTTGCGAACGGCCAGTCCTCGCTCCGAGACGTCATCATCGTCTTCGTCTTCGTCGTCAGAGAGATCGTCCGATAGCTGTCATGAAGTAAGTGGCGTGCAGAGAAAATCATCAGCACAACAATACCTTAGAAGACTCCAATGAAACAGGGTGTAATGTACCCCTAGCTTCTGAACCTCCAAATATCGAAGCCAATCCTCCGCTCCGATGGCACACAGACCAATGTGAGATTGTGACAATGAGTCCTATCGACATCGATACCAGGCTTCGTACCTCTCCTGGGGCTCAAAGCTACATCGACGCAACTTTGCATCTTGCAAAAGCGTATTGCTACTCACAGCTTCGCTGTCGTTCTCCCATGCCTCTTCATCCTCTTGTCCGACATTGGACCTCCTGACCGACTCGTCGGTGACTTCTGTCAGTTGAACCATTGTCTACGTATGAGCTCTTGTGCGTGAAAAAGCGTCCTCGTTGTTCGTTTTGAGGCGATAGGTGGAGTGAGATTAGGTGGTGAAATGAAAGGAGGAAAGGAAGACTACTTGCGAAGTGCGATGATCGGATCGGAGCTTGAGGAGTAAAATTGCCTCAGCCCCTGACGGAAGGACACTCCACCTCACTCGCGCCTTTCCGCATCTGCAGCGTCTCCGCCCTCCGGACCGGGCTTCCCACTCGTACTCCTCTTGAGAGCATGACCTATCCTCGGCCAGAGCCGGTAGGCTGACCTTCACCGCCGCAATGTGTGGTCGTTTGTGAGTACGACTCAGGAGCGCCCTGTTCGAGAAGCTCTCCGCTGACGACTAGCGTCTCACAGCCCGCAGGCGCATCCGGCGCAGCAGTACAGAGCCGCCGTGGCACCTCAACTCCCACGGCGGCGCCGACCCCGCCAGACAAGAGGCTCTGATACGTACCACGCTTCTCATAATGTAGCACCAAACTCATATGTACCTGTAGTAAGGCATGTCCTTCCGAAGGAGGACACTTCTTCTCTGCAGATTGAGATGGACGAGGAAGAGCAGGATGAGAAGGAGGAGGCAGGTAGTGCAATTATGCAGACGATGCGGTGGGGCTTGCTTCCACCTCACCAGAAGCAGCTTCCAACTTTCAAAGATACCATGAACACTATTAATGCTCGAGACGATACTCTATTGTCGGGCTCGCCACTCTGGTCACGCCCATTCAACAAAGGCCAGCGCTGCGTCGTCTTCGTACAGGGCTTCTACGAGTGGCTCAAGAAGACCAAAGGCTCAGGCGTGGAGCGCATTCCTCACTTCATCGGCATGGAGCAATCTGGAGTAGGAAGAAAGGACAGAGAGGGTAAAGAGAAGATGATGATGCCATTGGCAGGCCTCTGGGAGCGGTGTCGTCCAGATGGCGAGAGCGAAGAGAGGTTCACCTTCACCATCATCACCACGGAAGTGTCTTCCCAGCTGGACTTCTTGCACGACAGACAACCTCTCATTCTCCCCTCTGAAGAAGCCATTGCTATATGGCTGGATCCAAATACCCCCTTGGCCGAGGTCAAGAAGCTGGTCAAGACGTATAATGGCAAGCTAGAATTCTACAAGGTCCCCAAAGAGGTAGGCAAAGTAGGCAATGATAATCCCAGCTTCTTGCTGCCAGTCGAGGATCGCAAAGATGGCCTCATGGCTGCGTTTGGTCGAGCGCAAAAGTCCGGCAAGACCGAGACCAACGAGGGAAGCCGTGACAAGAAGGCGGCAGCCGACACAAATTCCGAGACGAATGCCCCTGCTCCGCAGGAAGGCGAGGTCGCTGGAGAAGATGTTCGAAAGGGCAGGCTTAGAGAGGAAGGGGAAGGAGACGATCATGCGTTACTTGAGGTCACCAAACAAGAAGAAGAGATCCAGCAAGCACAAGAGGAGGGGAAGGACATTCCTCATGACGAGCTGCTGGCTGCTACAAAAGCTGCAGAGTCCCACGATACCCACACGTCTGCCACTGGCAATGGGAGCAAGAAAGAAGGCAAGGACAGCTCTACATCGATGCCCCCCTCTTCGCGCTGGTCTCCGGACCCATGGAACCCTCCAGTTTCCCCGGATCGGCCCAACGGCGGATACTCGACTCTGGACGAGCCTCACGGCGGCCTGAGCAAGTACGGCAGCGTAAAGAGGGAGGAAGGCCATGGCTCTCCATTCAAGCGGGAAGCTCCCGAGGTCAAGATGGGAGAGGGGGCATTGGAGAATTCCTTCAAGAAGCAGAAGGTGAAGAAGGAGACGGAGGAGGAGCTGGGATTGGGTGCCGAGGTCGAGGGGCGGCATGAGATTTCGCCTAGTGGCATGGAACCTACCTCGCCGCCACGTCCGCAAGGTAGTGGTGCGCCCACTACTCCATCCAAGAAGACTACCGATGATGCGAAGAAGGGCCACGCGAATTCACCGAAGAAGCGCAAAGGTCAAGGCGATATTAGGAATTTCTTTGCAAGTCCGTAGACCTTTTGGTCATATTGTCCTATCTGCTACGTGTATACCTCATCAGCTCAATGTACAGTACGATTCTTTCCGCGGTATCTTTGCCAGCCCCATGAAGGACTAGCTCACGCCAATGACTTGCCGATCCTTTCACCGACCTTGACGATGGTCTCCCTACCTCCTTGAGACGTCTTCAGCAGATCAGCGTCCCACTGCACCTTGGCCTCAGGTGGGAAGACGGCAATGCAGGTCGAGCCGCCGTACTGGAACCATCCCAGTTCCTGACCTCTGTTGGCAGGAGATCCCTCGGCGGCGCCTTCTGACCAGCCGATGCTCCCGACTAGCATAGCGCCGATAGCTACGAGCGCGTAGGGAATACCTTGAGCTCCTTGCTTTGGTGTCCAGGTGTTGAGAAGGACGTCCCTCTTGTTGTTGGTGAACACATCAAAGTTCTCATTGACAACAGTAGCTGCGCAGAAGGAAAATGCCAATCAGCTAAAGGCACTTTGCAAGGCGTAAGGTACACCGCCTGAACTTTACCAACTCACCATTGACAGTCAGGTAGTCTCCCTTGATATGCTTCGTGGCGCCAGCGACAGAGGGTCCAACGGGCGAATGGTAGCGATGATAGTCAGCAGGCGCCAAGCGGAAGATGGCCAGCGAGCTACCAGGAGGGAACTTGCTCGCAGTGGACTCGTCGCCCAGGAGGCTCGGTACGGAGAAGTTCTTCCCTTTGATCCAGAAGCGAGTTGCCTCGTCCACAGTAGAGAAGACGGTCAGACGACAGTCTGCCGCAGAGGAGATGACGGTTGGATCGGTGTGTTCTGCAACGGGGCGTGCATCCCCTCTGAGCCGGCGAGCGAAAAAGGCATTGAAGTTGCGGTAGCTAGAAAGGTCTGGCTGCAGAAGCTCATCGAGTGGGATGGCATAGGTAGCAACGAAGCTCTTGATGTGCTCCAGGACTGCCGCCGGATCGCTCTCATCGTCATAGGCCTTGCCTTGACTGACGCTTAGCTCTTCGAGGAGGTGGTCTACAGACTGATATCTGAGGAGACTACTCTTCTTGGAGTGAAGGAAGAGTATATGCATGCCCAGTCGAACTGTTTTTTTGAGACCGTCATCGTTAGCTCTGGCGGTACAAGACTGCAGTCACAGTCACAGTTGCTCAAGACCTACTCACCATAGATGGGCATAGACTCGAAGACCTGCTCTCCAGTGCTTCGATTGACGACCCAATTCCCGAGGTTCTCTTTGGCAAAGAGCTCGTCAACCCGCTCTTCTGAAGGGAAGAAGCGAGAATACCAGCTGCGCTGCTGTGAGGTGGCTGCATGTGCGGGCGTCAGAGCGTGGTGTTGCACATTGTGATCGGTGAGGGTAGGTGAGGAAGCAGTTGCACCTTGTCCGGACTTGTGCCCGCAAAGATGTTCAAGAGAGGACACCAATCCCTCCTTTTCTTGATCTAGCTTCTCCTGACTATGCGTCATGTTGGATGATGAAGGAGTGAAGGAACGAGTTATCCGAAAGGGAAGTGGTGAATGCCATGGGGAAATAAGACTGTGAGTAGCGTGGGAAGCGGGGGTGCGGTGGAGCTGCTCCACCTGTCTGGAGATGCCGATTGTGCCGAAGCGGCGGAAAGAGACTCAGGCACATCCATCCCCGACATGGAGAGGCGCACTTGCCAGCTTGAGCGTAGTCTGTGCTATATTCGGCGACGCAACGAGGATTCACATCCAAGGTACATGCTGCGACAGGAATAGAAGCTTTCTGCATTGCTCCTCTGTGTGGGAATCTAGGCTCTCGATCATCCCGCACCAGCACACGTGGGAGTCCTACCAAGAGGGGGCGATGCGGTGGCCAGGCCGGGACGGCGGAAAGAGGACGAGAGCTTTGAACGTCGCGCGTGTCGCCGAGCAACACTTCCTCGGACCGCATTGCTCCACTCACACCTCGGCGATACAGTCTACGCGGGAACATCACTCCTTCAGTCATTTCCAGACAGTCGTCGGTGCAGCCGGATCAGCAGCCGGACTTTCTCATTCTACAATACCCGAGAGGTGACAGCAAGGATGGCGTCGTCTTCATCCAGCTCCGCTGCTCCCTCTCGCCCCACCTCGGTTGCGTCTTTCCGCTCCAACACAAGGCGTACCGCCTCACCTAGGACGAATCTCATCCTCGGCGTGGCAGTCGTCAACTTCGACCACAACTTGGGACCCATAGTAGAATGGGCCTATCCTGCCGCATTCTCCGATTCCGAGACCCATCCGGATCTCACATCCTCTCTGCCCTTTTGCGCTCTGCCGGATGGCAGCCACCTTTCAGATGAAGACTTTGCCCACTTTCACTTGCACTGCCCCACCATCTCCAAGCATTCCACCGTCTTCGGTATCAGCTGCAATCGGCAAATCGCCAGCGAAAAGCTGCTAGTGAGAGGCAAGGATGTGACTCGCAGTACAGTCCAGAAAGCAGTCGTCGTTCTGGCCCGGCAGGTGGGTCCTTCAGCTCGTGGAGGGTACAGACGGGACACATGTAAGAAACACAGGCTTACCTTCTTTTTGCAACACTCTTTTCCAGCCTGTATTCGCTCCGCTGCGAGAGAAGCTAGGCATTGTCACGAGAGCATTCTTCGCTCAAGGCGACCTCGCCGATACGGCCATTCTAGTCGACTTTCATGACACATTGGAGGCCGGATTGAGGGCGGCTGGACTGAAGGGCGAAGATGTAGCAGAAGATGACGACTTCACAGAAGAGGATGCTGACGACACGATATCAGCTCAAGACGCGGTGGTAGGGGCAGAAGGTGGAGAGCAGACGGCGACTCAGGACGGCTTCCCCGGGAACAAGACAGACAAGGACAGCCTGAGAGAAGGGGTCATGTACATGGGTAAGTCTCACAGCGATGTGAATGCGTCCGCTCCAAGCTGACTTATACTGACATCTCCGACCTACTAGGAACTTCTTTGAGGGAGCTCATATACAACTTCCGCTTCAAGACACTTGTCCTCGTCAAGCTACTGCTCTTGCAAAAGCGGATCATGTTCTTCGGCTACCCAGTCGAAAAGCTCTGCGTATTCGAGTACACGCTGGTGTCTCTCATACCAGGCCTTTTGCTGTCCCTCTCGGACTGCTCATCTCCAGAGCTAGACTACACACGTCGCAGAGAGCCCAAGGTCGCGGAAAGCGTCAAGACGAGCGACAGGAGAAGCTTGCTGCGTTTCTGTGGTTGTCCTCTGAGACTCTTCGGCGAGGATGCCTTCTTTCAGCCCTACCTCCCGTTGCAGCAGATCGACATGCTGAAAGCCGAGTCGTGGCTCGTAGGGACAACGAACCTCATCTTCAAGCAGCAAAGAGAATTCAAGCCGGATGTCATTGTCGATCTGGAGACCTCGACTCTGGAATTTCCCGTGCTTCCTCCTTCAGCCGCCGACAAAGCTACCACAACACCAGCGGATCCTAACCAGCCACCACCACCGTCCTTGCAATCTCTGGTCACGCTATCCCCCGCAGACAGAAAGTGGATGGACGAGCTCGTTCACGTCGTGGTCGAGTCATATAATCCAGCAGATCCTGCACGTCCGACAACGATGAAGTATGAAGGCTCAGAGGATTGGGTGAGAGCCAAGTTTGAGGACTACATCTGCTCTATGCTGGCTTGCGTCAAATACTCTGACTTCCTCGCCAAGTCCGGGGGCGGCTCGGTGACGTCCGGGGTCACTCAGGGCATAGCTCGACAGCAATCTGGAACGTCGACGCCTCTAGGCGGAACGGCTCCTGGTACAACTATCGAGGTCAGCGATGCCGATGTGCTCGCTTCGTACAACGCCCACTTCATCTCCGCGTTCAAGCGGACAAGAGCATATAGCTTGTGGGATCGTGCCACATCACCGCTGCTGTTCGACCTGGTACCGTACAAACACCCATGCAGCGGCAAAGTATCAGCTCTGGAAGATGTGAGTTTGAGGCTCACAGCAGGTCTCCATGACCTGCGATTGGAAGAGCAAATGGCAAGCGGCAGGGAAGCATTGGGCAACGCTGGGCGGGGCTTATACAACATGGCGAACACTTTTGGCATGGAGGTCGCAAAGAGGCGGAGGGACTGGTTTGCACAACAGGCGGCTCAGCAGCAGGCTCAGCAGAGCAGCGGTACAGCAGCGCCCAAGGCTGGGGTCTTGAGCTCGGCCAGCGACCCAACGGGGACAGCCACTACCACTACCCCACAAGGCCTTGAGCTGCCGGCTTCTCTTGCGCCTCATGCTCAAGCAGCTCAACAGGCTGCACTGGCAGCTTCTACGGAGATCAGAGGCGCACTGGGGAGATTTGGTAATTACTTGGGGAGTAGAGGCTGGGGAGCAGGAGCGGGAGCAGCGGGTACGGCAGGCGCAAAGCCGCCCGTCGCCCCAGCCTCGCAAGGCCGGGCAAGTAGCGATAACACCGCCGCTACATATCCACCATCCTCCCATTAGTAGTCTCGAAGCAGGGGTGGTATCATGGATCTTTTGGCTCGACCGCGCGAGACAGGAGCCTTTTCAGTGAATTGTACAATATGCATTTCGTCCATAGAGTATACAAACTTTCTGACCAGCAACTAGAATGCATTGTCAGCGCGGCAGGAGCCTGGTGTCGCATAGTCCGTCTCTATGCTCCTCTCTGTGGAGACTGATGTCTTGACCCCCACCTTTCTCTTTTGATCCACTCATGCTGAGGTCGCTAGTTATGCCGCACATCGGGTATACCATCCACGTTGAGAGTCTTCCAGTCTATACTTGCGTCTTTTGCGGGATCTATGTCGCCAATCAGACAGCTGTCAAAGACCAAGGCAACATCGTAACAAAAGTAGTCAGTACCTCGCCTTCTCGTCCTCCCGCGACCGTTCGGCTCTCCGCAGAGCTGCGAAGAAGCGATACCTCGTCCGGCTACTCACATAGCGTCCCCCCTCAGCACATACAATCCCAGTTCCACCTCTTCCACTCCTCCTCCTTCCTCTCCTTCATCCACAGCGTTGAATATCCGCTCAATCGTATTGCTCAAAATCACACTGCCCATGTTGTCGAAGCCTTGCAGTACACCCAGTAGCAGCCGACCGTCTTGTGTCAGAAGCATGACTTGCTGTGTGAGGTAGAGACCGAGCCCAGGGGCTGCGCCTGAGGAAGAGGAGGTGGGAGCAGTCGCCATGATTCTACAATGACAGGACGATGGATGAGAGCAAGAGCCGATCACAAGTCTATGTAGGTGGTCCCCTGATACAGAAGGAGAGCCGACACGCTACCACCCTGGCTGGCTGCGACTGCTCCGCGTGAAGCACCCGCCTGTATCCTCTGGCAATCGCGGTAGCAGAGGAAGGGCGCGCTCTTGGGCCTCCAAGCTCTAGTCAGCGTGGCACGAAAGCTGCTTGATGGGAGCTGAGGGACTTGTTGGTCGTGGTGGAGCGGCGTGGAAGGAGACACAAAAGGTAGAAGTCCATCTTCGAGCTCGAGACACGAGAAGATCCTCTTCCCTTCCGTATGGCTGCTCCACTCCTTCCGCCGCGCGTCTGCCTACGAATATTGTGCCAATCATTCTAGCATCACTTCTTCTCCTTCCCAACTCACTCCCTCTCGCCGCCCGCCATACTTGTTACCTCCGAGATGTCTTCTTCAGACATCAAGATCAGACCAATCTCGGAACCGCCGGCCTATCTCACTCCAGAGCAGCACGAGGCCGCGACAAGTACCACGCCCGACTCCTTCTCGAACATTTCGCCAAAGCTCGTTCTTGGACTGGAGCAAGTGACAATACACGCCGAGCCGAGCTTGGCTGGAATTCTAAATGGAAGTGGACGTTTCTGGGTGACAGAAGAGTGAATATGACGATGAAAATGCTCATGAAAAAAGGCTGGTTCAATTGACTTTCATGTGATGGTCTTCTGCTCCCCACCTCAGATCTGTATCCTACCTACCCTCTTCCTCTCAAGGCTTCTCCCTTCCCTATCCTCTGATCGCTCTTCACGCAGTGTCCTCAACTTTACCTGCAGCGCTCAGCTCGACTGGGCAGACGCAGTGTATTTACTGCCAGATTGATGATGCAGGGGCTGAGCTGCAAGATGGCCAGACTGAAGACGAGGATGGAGTCGAGGAAGAGATGGGTTTGAGGGAAATGTGGATCGTTCCTAGCAGAAGTGAAGATGGTAAGTGGAGCGTTCGGACGACCAAGACAAGAAAGCTTTGACTGAATTTCTGGGTCCCTCTATTCCCTGCTAGTCGAGCCGCTGTTCCTCGCACTATCCCACTGCGCCTCTCTCCACCCTTCAACATCAGACGGCGACGACGATGGCAACCCCTTTGCTAGCATGGGTCCCTTTGGTACCGGAGCAAACGGCAGTGAAGGAGGCTTGCAGTTCGAAGATGCAGAAGAAGAGGGAGGAGCAGAGTTGAGTGATACAGGCAGGGTGAGGACCGACTTTCAGACGCCTGATGCGAGGTATAGGCCATACTAGAGGGAGGGCAGAGTGAGTGGCATGATATCGACATAGGACATTGGCTGTCGGCGTAGGGTTTAGGCAGGGAGGCTCAAACATTCGCAGATTTTCAGTGAGAAGAGCTGGCAATTGACTCGCTCTCACATCTCCTTCGCGACTGCAGTTTCAGCTTGCTAGGTTAGATGCTATGCTAGGGGGCGACAGCGATGAGGACGAAGAAGAGCGGACTTCCTCGTTCGCTCGTGCGTCAAGCCCGGAGCTAGGCCAAGCCTCAGTAGTTGAAGGGTCGCAAGAGACTACCAATGCTCTTCTTCTCGTATCTCATCCTCAACCTTTGCCATCTCTCTTCTCTGCGCCGCTCCTCCAATCCCTTCTCGCACTGTTGGACGCCTATGCGCCAGTCGTCGGATGGGATCCTCACCCAGATGAAGGCCGCATGAGGGTCGTCTTCGATGACCGAGTTGGCTCGAGCGAGAACCGGAAGGCTACGAGTGGCTCTGCCGACTCACCCATCAGCCGCATCATTCAGACTTTGAATGGGCTAGCGCTAGAGACGACCGAGGAGCATCAAGGTCCCGACCCTACACTAGTCGTAGAGCGACTACCTCGGGTTGACATTACGTCACTCCTCCCATCGCAACTTTCGGGCGGACTGCCGTCAATTGCGGTGCCCGCCACTACTTTGCACTCGACTTCGACATTCCACCCGACAGACCATCTTCTCCCTCCTATTACGGATCGAAACTTCCTTATCTCACCACCAGGCTCCCCTCCTATCGGCTGGGAACCTATCAAGGAGGATCCACCCAACAGAGAGACGCTAGCGGTGGACCTAATGGAGGCTTTGAGGAAGCTTGGCAGAGAAATGGGCGCCGACGAAGCGGCTGACGACGACCAGGAAGGAGAAAGGGCAGCAGAGGCAGAGGCGAATGACTCCAAAGGGCGCCGTTCGGCTGGACCAGGTCACGTGCACGTCGTCTTGCCCGCTACCCATCGTCGGCTTCCCTCCCTTGCAGGAGATGAAAGCCCACTCATCCCGGCCGTGACAGTTCAGGCGTACGACGATGATGAGGCAGGTGAAAATGTAAGTGCGAACAAGAGTAAGCCTGATATCACACAGGTCAAGGCGACGGTCGATGCTCTGCGAGGTCCTTCGGAAGGGTATGGCGAGGGCTTGGGGCTAGGAGGTGGCAACAGGATCACACCGACCGGGAGACCACCTCTTGCCTAGTTGCTGGCATGTCCGTCTTTCTTCATACATAGACCGTGTTTGTCACCCGTCCGCCATTGTCTTCAATTTCAGATGTCTATATTGAGTCCGAACACATTACAGCTTGCAACCAATCCAAATGGTGGCGATGCCTCCAGTCAAATCCTCCCACTCGCCCTGCCCGCTGCCACCCCACTCCTCTCCATCCAGTCCCTCTTGCCTCAATCTCCTCTCCCCCTCTTCACTACCCGGAAGGACAAAGCCGACCTTCTTCATCATATTGGCAAACTGCTGCTGCGTGGGGAATCTCTCGATGGACTCTACGAGGTATTGGTAGGAGTCACGATCGGAGGCAAGGATGTGACCGAGGGAGGGGAGGACCTGGAAGGAGTATTGCTTGTAGATTCTGCCCAAGAGGAAGAGGATGGAGTGCGAGTCAGTAAGCAGCAGTTGGCAGGACGCCATCAGCCAGATCTCCATCGGTGGACTCACTGAGCTAGCAACGGATTGTTGACTTTGCCAAATTCCAGACAAGCAAAGACACCACCCGGCTTGAGCACCCGGTAGGCCTCTTCTAGCACCTTATCGATGTGTGTGCAATTCCGAATACCAAAGGCAATCGTGTACAAGTCCACACTCTCATCCTCTGTCCGCTGACTCTTCAAAGGAGGAAGCGTCTTGTGTCCCTTTCTCGGTGGCGGAATCTCCATACTGCTGTGAAGTGCCTCTGCGTTTCCCAATTGATAATCGATCTGGGGCGTGTTCCAGTACATGGACTCGCGCTTGATGCGCTTCATGCCTTCGCGCAGCATCTCTGGGTTGATATCCAGCATGGTCACCTTAGTCTCCCGATCGATGTGCTTCAGTCTTGCGTGGTCGAGGATACGCAGAGCAATGTCGCCCGTACCGCCAGCGACATCGAGGACGTTAATTCCCCCGCGTGGGTCGAGCTTGGAGACAAAGTGGGCCTTCCAAAGACGGTGAATGCCAAGAGACATTGCATCGTTCATGAGGTCGTAGGAGGAGGCGACGGAGGAGAAGACGCTCGCTACGAGACCCTCCTTGGACGAAGAAGGGATGTCACGGTAGCCAAAGTGGGTGGTACCATCTTCGTCTGGCTTTGGAGAAGCGCCGACTGGTGAAGAGGTTGGAGTGGGAGACTTGGGAGGAGTGGGGTCTGACGGAGTGGGCCGTAGGAGGCTAGAAGAGGAGGAGAGGGTTCGAGCCCAGGGCTGAGACTGCCGTAGCACGGATCGCCGTAGCGAAGCTGATGACGACGATGCTGCTGCTCTGAACATTGCGATGGCAGAGCTGTAAGGGAAGTTGCAAGGTTGGTATCCGCCCCAGAGGGAGGAAGAAGTGGATGAGCTCATTCCGCTTCCTGCAAAAAGTTGGCCCGAGCATTCCGCAACGCAACAAAATCAGTGGCAGCTTCCGCTACTCTGTTCCTGACTTGGTACCCACCTCCTCCTAGGAATCGCTACTCGTACGATGAAGGCAGAGGTGAGATGATATGAGCATCTTGCCATACCATACACAACAGCATCAGCAGCACGCCTCATTTCTGCGGCGACCCACAGCTGCTGGTGAAGAGACGATGGCATCGCAGCGGGCTCGGCCCTCCGCAAGGCGCAGAGGTTCCTACCTGTCCCTTGCCCGTCTGATAGCCCCTGCCCTACTATTCATCTTCGGCCTGGCACTCCTCTTCGTCAACTATGGAGCATACACTGCGCTCCCGGAGGCGCTATCACTGCGTCAAGAATGTCGGATGTCTCGCATGTGGCCCTCCTACGAGCTACATCACCCTCCCTCTCCCTCTGGCCAAGGCAAAAAGTACAGGCTCTACCTCTATCGCGAGAATCCTCATGGCAGGGGAGCCATCACGGCTCCCAGGCGCAAACCGGCTCTCTTCATTCCCGGCAATGCTGGCAGCTATGGTCAAGTCAGGAGCGTGGCGAGCTGGAGCTGGCATGACTACCAGCGGGAGGTCAAGGAGAAGGGCAAATATCAGGCAGCAGAGACGGACTGGTGGTCCATAGACTTCAATGAAGACTTTTCAGCACTACATTCGACGACACTCGAGGGGCAGTCAATCTATGTCAATGAGGCCCTCGAGTATATCGTGAGTTTTTATATCCCTTCGGCAACCATCAGCATTCCAATCCTTGCCCACTCGATGGGAGGCATCGTGGCACGCTCAGCTCTGCTGCAGGGCAATCACCCAGCTGTCTCGCCGGTTAAGACCATCATCACGCTCTCGACACCACACCACGTCCCGCCGGCTCCAATCGAGAGGGACATGGACCGCATCTACCAGATGATCAATGGGGACCCGGCAGCAGCACAGGTACAACAAAAAGTACTGCTGGTCTCGCTCAGTGGAGGCATACTCGACACTCAGCTCCCCTCGGAGTACAGCACTCTGCCATCGGACTGGGCTCCGCATGTCCTGCAACACTTCACCTCCGATCTGCCAGCTTTGTGGTCCAACGTCGATCATCTAGCTATGATGTGGTGTGATCAGCTCAGGAGAAGAGTCGCCGTAGGTGTCGCTGGCGAGAAGCTCTCTGTGTCGGAAGAGCCAATGGCACAGCGCAAGCAAAGATGGTCTCAAGTACTGCAGGTTGCCGATCATAGCAGTGGCAAACTCTCCCAGTGGACAAGCGATGCTCCAACTGTCACGATATTGTCGAACTCTACTACCAACGTCGACGCCGCCGCGGCCTCCAATCATCGGGTGTTCACCCTCTTGACATCGCTGCGGCCACTAGAGCAGGTCACAGTACTGCTCTGTCGGTCAGAGCAAGACGAGGAGCAGACCTGCCAACCCCTTCCTCCATGGGCTTTCGGTGTGATCCCGCCTTCCCGACACGGCGAATCATGGACACAATTTCCCAAGGCCGAAAAATATTACGAGGCCGCTGGCGAAGGCCTGTGGGTCCTCGATCTTGACAGGCAAGAGCTGGTCTCGTTGGGATGGGATACAATCAGCATTCAAGAAAGCAGCGAGCTCAAAGGTCAAGGCTGGTGGGAGGCAGGCTGGAGCGGACCGGAGATGAGCAGTATCGGTGTCCGGAGCTCAGAAGGTCTGACCTTCGATCTTACACGCCGGCCCCTTGTTGTACAGTCGCCTGTGACAAGCATTCACCTGCCGCAGGTGGCCTCAAGTCTCTTCGTCTATGACTTCACGTTCACTTCGAGCTGCCAGAACTCCGATGCAAGCGCTCGCTTTGCGGCCATGGTGCACATCTATAATTCTGAGACTGGAGACGGAAGATGGTTTCCCTCTCTAGACCTTTCTCAGAGCGTCACGCTTCCTGTCTCCATACACGCGACCTCTCCGTACATCTCTACTCTGCCAGGTGCCAAGAAAGGCCTCACTCTCGAGCTCTACGCCTCAACCAAGAGTGAGTGTCGAGTATTCAAAGCACTCGAAATCAAGATCAACTGGAGCAAAAGCGTCGGTCTGTGGCTCTCGCGCTACCGACTAGGCGCTGTGAGCTGGATGATGGCCATCTTCTCCCTCTCTGCACGGTCGGTCATGCACCAATACGTAAAGAGGGGTACGCTGCCCGATCCAGTACGGAGCCTGCTTCAGACGATGCCAAGTTCTAGAAGCGGTGGAGGTCTCCTCCTCGCGTTCCTGGTGGGGCTAGCGGCGCTGCAGTGGGCGCTCGTCAATCTCGGACAGGTAACACAATCGTCATCGGTGCGCAATCTGCTTTTCGGCTTGACGGACGAGGCAGCGGCTTCCTTTGGGCTAATGAGTAGCGACCTCGGCCTAACGCTCCTCCTTGGCGTGGTGCTTGTGACCGTGACCTGGACGTTGCTGGCGATCATTACGATTGTTCTTCACATTTGGACGAGCTTGGCTGCGCAGGTCTTCTCCATTCTCAGATTGGAAGGCTTCTTACACTTCGACCACGATCTTTCGAAACTGCCGGCAATCCGGCACACTGCGCAGAGACCAGTCTGGAAGTTGACCACGCTCCTCACGCTGCTCATTTCTGTCGCTTTGGTCAAGCTGTACGTGCCATACCAATTTGTTTTCCTTGCTGCTACCCTCATGCAGATGCTCAATGTCATTCGGTCAAGAATGGCGCTCCAGAACACAAGCAAGGTGGCCAATCAGGACTGCCTTCGATTGCGATTTAGTCAGAACATTCTTATGCTTCTTCACTTTGTCCTGCTCTTGCCGCTCCGTGGTCCGTCTCTCATCATCTTCGTCCGCAACTTTCTGGCGGGATACATGTCTACATCAAGCACGTTCGCAATTGCGAGATCTCAAGTTGGTTCCGGCTTCGGCGAGGATCACGACATCCTTCGTATCATGCCCGTCCTAGCTCTGGTACAAGTGACTAGCACAGGCAGGCTGATCGAAATCCCTTTGCAGGGACCAGGAAGGTTCTTCACGCGTGCGATCGAGTATGCTTACCTCCTGCTCGGCGTCTCTACCCTCGCATGGGGGATCAGGTACCCATACCTGCTCTACGACATCTCCCTGTGGATCTTCACCCTCATTCTCGCCGGACACTATCTAGCTAGATGGCGTGTGGGAAGTCCAGAGTCTCCACGAGAGGTTGTATTGATTCGCAAAGAGGAGGGTGAAGATGAAGAATCGGTACCGCTGACGGCCAGATCAGCACCTGAAGATGGCGTGGCGCTGGAAAGGAGAGACCAGGAGGAAAGGGAAGTGGAGAGGGAGGTGCCTGTCATGCCTTTCTCCATTCCTGATGAGCTCATGCCTAGTGGTGGCAGCTACGAGGCAGTTGACGCCTCGGAGATTCAGATTCAGCAAGAGCAGTCTGCCAGTCCACAACACACCCCAGCGGAGCAGGGCGGGTCGGTAGTCTCCCCCCGTCCAGTTCAAATCGCAGACGCTGCGGCCAAGTCTGAGGTCAAGGCCTCCATACCCACGAGCGACGTCGACTCCCTCCTGATCGAGTATCTCTCACTCTTGGACGACTACCTCGAGCTACGTGAGACGCTCTCCGCCACGCTCAGCAAAGGTTTCTTCAACCTCTCCTCGGCACAGATGGCTGCTGGCGGATGGGGCACAACTGCTGGTGCACGCAGGAGTCTGTGGGACGCCAGGCTCACCAGGGAGGTCGAGGTGGATACGCAGAAGTGGACGTTGCGGGATGTGGAGAGAAGTATGCCTGAGGAGGTGGAAGAGAAGCAAGGGCCTGCTGATCAGGCGCTGAATGAGAAGTCGAATTCTGGTTTACGGCGACGCAAGCCAGTCTCCGCATCTGCCACGGAGCAAAAGGCAGAGACCGCTCAGTCAGCCACAAAACTTCCAGCGCCAGAGGATGAAAAAGAAGCGAAGACGGGCGAGAGCAGCAAGCCAGCTCCTCTCCCTCCCTCTGCCCTCTACCAATTCTCTGCTCTCCCTTCTGCCAAGTTGCGCCGAGCTAGACATGACTTCCGCGGCGCCTTGGAAGTGATCGTACAGGGGGCAGCGGCTCAGGGCACTAGCGATAAGAAGGTAGATGGGGAGGATGAAAAGTCTCGCAGGGGTGGGGGGAAGGGGGACAGTGCAGCCAGTCTGGGGCTGGTGCAGATGAGTATAGAGTTGCAGAGGCTCGAGGAGGCCATCAGGCATGCCAGAAAGGGGAGTGCGACACGGTCGCCAGATGAGAAGGGCAGACAGTGAAAACACCAACTGAGCAGGGATCAAAAGCATGGTGTGTGTTGTCAATACACAATCGCGATTCGTATTTTAGCATATCCTGGAACAAGTGAGGAACGATGATACAGACAAAGGCGAGATCTGGAGCAAGACGAACAAGGTGAGAGGGCAAAGGAGGAATCTACTCGGTCAGTCGTCTGGATGAAAGAGAAGACCAAGAGGAAGAAGAGGAGGAAGCTAAGCAGGATGGTCCACGAGTACTGCTGCTCCTTCCTAGCGCGCTGCGGAGGTTCTCAGGAACAGACTTCTCCTTCTTGATGCTCTTGTTCCTCGTAAGAGGAATTGTGGCCAGGAAAGGCGGAGTATCACTCATGGAAGCAGCAGCACCTTTCGCCTCACTTTGCATGTTGACCACACGTGGAGGCATGGCGGCACCTCGGACAGTGCTACTGATGGTGCCTGCTACCTTGCGCTCACCATGGCTCGTGGACGGCCGTTGAGGAAGTGCCTTCTGGTTTCGGTGAGCCACAGCGATTGGGGCCTCCCTCTCTGCTCCCCAAGTGGGACGTTCGCATTCAGAAGCTTCGCGACATCGCCCCGCTGTAGCCGGTCGACCATTCCTCTTGGCCGTCTGGGTAGTGGCAGCTCGGCTAAGGAGGCGCGTCTCGAAAGGCGCAGGAGCTGGAGGCCCGACCTGCTCACCCTCGCTGAAGCTTCGATTGCGCAGCAGGAGCATCGCCGTCCTCTCTGAAACAGGTGACCAGCGTTCACGCTGCTGCTGCGACGGTGCTTGCTGTTGACAGGCAGAGCCTTGCGAGATGGTACCGGTCTTCAGGGCTACCAGATTCTGCACACGGTCCAAGATACCACGACCGATCTTGTGCACGCGCTGAGTGGTGTCCACTGGGGCCGCAGGTGTCAGCGTCAGCACGTTGTCTCTCCAAAGGTGTACAGCGGTAGTGCTTGCCTCGCGCTCCCGGGCAAGCTGATGAGGGTCGCGTTCGCCGAGCATTGATGCATCAATTCTCGGCTCGTGAGGTTGGGAACAATGGGCAGCAATGTCTCGTACAGCCAGCGAAGCACCAGTCTCTGCTTGGCTCTTCGCAGGAGTAGCTAGCCGAGTCTGGAGCCCAGGTGTCACTCTTGCAGACATTGGCAGGTCGCTCCTGGCGCTGCTCGCAGAGCTGAGCAGGCGCGGCCTCTCAGCACCCTCAGCACCCGTCGATGGCCTTCTTGGATCCCTTGGCGGCCGAGGTGGGCAAGGCAGTCCAGTAGGCGTGGTAGCCGTGGACGGGAAGTGCTGCTCTGCCGAGCTCGAAGGTCTCTGCTGCTCTTTACAAGCTGAAGCAAAGTAAGCCGACTTTGACTCGGGTGGAGAGCGCCTTTCCTCCGCCGCACGACGGCGAGGTCCGATGACAGGGCTGTCTCTGCGGGAAAGCATGTCAGTCACGGATCTGGAGCGAGCCGGTGGTCGGCCTACTGGGCTGATGGAGTAGCTTTTCGTGTTGCCCGCGCTTGCTGGTAAAGCAGGCAGTTCGGCCGTCGGAGGAGGACCCAAGGGTGGGAGGGCCCGCTTGGGGGTCTCAGATGTCTCGAGTGTGTTGGTCCGAGTCCGCAATTTGAGGGTTATCACAGGAGCCTCTTCTGATCCGTACCCGGAACTTGCCGTGGCTGCCGAAGAGGGTGAGACATCCAGCTCGATATATCTGGCGTGCCCGAGCGGTCGATCATCAAGGTCGCAGAGCTCTTCAAGAACGCAGCCAACCTCCTGGTCCGTCATTAGTTGAGAAGGAGTGGCTCTTCTAATGCCCTCGCAGTCTCCACTCGAACAGTTGCTGTCCATTGACCAGCTTGAGTTCGTGCGCGAATCTGTACCTGTTTTAGATTCGTCACCTGACACAGGAGCGGACGATGGCAGCTCCGTCGGTACGTTCGCGACGCAAGCTTCTGACTTCGAAGGGCCCTTGCTGCTCTTGATGGTGTTCGTATCTGCACCGCCGCATGTGCTGTATGAAACCGCAAAAGCCGGTGACATAGAGAAGCATAGGTCTGACAAGTGAGCCTGTGGACTGCCACAATCTGCCAACAGCGACCAAGATCGCGACAGCCTCCTCGCTTGTCCGCTTTGACTGCGGTCTCTTGTCAGTGAATGAGACTGTGTCAAGGACCTTCCGCGCTCGATGGCATTGACCGTATGCGTAGGCTCCATACCACTAGCCGGTGATGATGGCGAGTCACGAGACGAGAGACACACGACAGCATTGCTGAATGCCTCCTCGAAGAGCTTGTCCGCACTGCCTTGCTTACTTCTAGCCGCAGGTGTCATTGCTTCGCAGTCGACGTTGATGATGCCCTTCGACAGTCGATGGTTCACTGCACATAGCAGATCTGTATCGAGGGGAAAGTGCTCAGAGACAGCCGTGGTGGGCGCGGAGACGCGCAAGGTCGAGGTGCGTCGATAGTGTGGATCCAGTAGGTGGGCGTCAGACCCATTGTGCTCATTCTGCCGACTTGACCCACTGATGAAGGACAAGTTGTCGAGACTGCTCTCTGGCGTAACCCGCTCAGATTTTCCGAAGAGGGAGATATGTCGCTGCTGAGAGGACCCTGAAGGCTGAGCCGCAAGGTCGAGGGAGTAAGGTCTCTTCGCGTTGTTCATATCCCTTTTCCGAGGCAGAGGCTGCAACGAATGGAATTTCCGTGACTTGTGCGATCTTCTGAGTCGGATCATACTAAGGTAAGAAGATACGGAGCGACACTGATCGTCTTGCTTCTTGGCGGCTCCACAAGCCGGAGAAAGGTCGAAGAGCTCAATGGCCGAATCATTGGAGTTGCTGTTGAGGGTACCCTCAGACATGTCTGAAGATCTTCTCCCTGGAGTCGGCATGTCTCTTACCGGGACTGAGAGCCTCCTGATATGCTCTCGGCTTGCACACGTTGAGCTCAGCTCAGCTGAAGCGAGAGCCTCAGAGTGGTGTGGATGTGATGGAAGCGCCAGGTCCGACAGGCAGCAGTGTGCGTAGACCAGATGGTTGCTTTGGGGGGTTCCCCGGGTCACATGCTCTTGGGAGATGAAGGCAGACAGGTCGACACCTCCTCCAGCATCTTTATGTCACCCGCGATTGCCCTCGCGTCGCCCAGACTAGCACGTCCAACGTCCACGATCCATCCCGATAAGCAAAGAGCACCCCATCTATCAGCCATCCCAGTCGCAAAGGCGCCCAGATCAGCATCGGCAAGAGCATCGACAAGAAGAGGGGCCACAAGGAAAGCAGGTCCATGGAGATCGCAGGGCAGCTGCAGCAAGCAACGTGCAGCTGGGAAAGGCAACTACCTCTTCAGCTCAGACCATGCAGTGGCAGTGAAGAGCAAACCCTTTAGAGCTCTGATTGGGTGCCATGCCATGTGCACCGCTTGCCCTCTCAGTGGGGAGCGATGACGAGGCTGCTTGCGCTTTGCTTCTGTCTTTTGGGGGGCGGTAGCAGCCAGATGGATCCGTTCCTTCGGGATCGGCGAGGATGCGGAACGTGATCGATCAATGCGGAACGGCATTGCTATTGCCATTGCATTGCCTTGTGCGCAAGAATCACAGTAAGGGGACAGATGGCCCGAGGAGGCACACCACTACTGAAGACCGAATAAGGAGGCTCGTTGAGCACTTCGATGGACAGAGCCTGAGACTATGCTCATCGTGACGCTTATGGCGTAGCAAGTTCGCCCACCATACGCATGCTCGCCAGATCGCAAAGAGAGAACGCTCACACTTTGGCATTGGCAATACCGCACGCAGGGAAGCAAGATCAGAAGGGAAAAGCAATTGTCCATTGCGCGTCTCCTTGCAAGTGATGTGCAAGTGACGCTGGGCATAGGGAGAGGGGATTAGATGATGAATGCTAAGCGCTTGCGCGTAAAGAGTGCTATGTACAGACAGTCGCAGAAAAGTAGAGGAACCCAAAGAGGGAGCGCGGTCATTTGTTGACAAATCCGCCTACCCCACTTGACCCCTACTGCTGGCTGGGACTGCGCTCTGGCGTGCCGGCAGTGATATGCGTTGGGCGCTCAGTGTGCGGCGGAATGCTGCTGGAACCATGGCGGAGAGATTGCACATTACCCATTGCCTGGGCTGGAGCAGCCGGGCCCATACCTGGCGAAGGGCTAGAAGACGAAGACCTGAACGGCGAAGAAGGTTGGGGGGTAGATCGACCAACGGAGGCCCTGTCTCGAGTGCGAGGCGAAGTCGCCAGTCCATTGACCCCAGCGCCTTGCCCATGGCTACTCCCGGAGGCTACAATACTAGATGAGGGATTCTTAAACCGCCCCAGCACGGCACTGTTGACTCGCTGGGCGAGCTGCGCGGATGGAGCAGGCGGTGCGTTGCTCTCACCTCTGTAGGCTGCTTGCCTATTGACTTGTGGCCTGGCCGGGCTAGGCTGATGACTATGTCGATGAGACGCGTCAGCAATTCTGTTCGCTTCTCTAGAGGGTCCTCCCAGATCCCGATGGGAAGAAGAAAAAGCTGAAACGGGCGAGAGCGTGAACGCTCGATGGGTGCTGTCCACAGACGCGCCTTGCGGTTTGTGCTGTTCTGCACCTTTTGCCGGAAGCTGGTGACTGAGACGCTTTGTTGCGGTCGTACTATTGGAGACCGGAGCGCCATTCGCACCAAAGACGTCGAACATCGCCTGGTTGCTCTGCTCAGGCTTTGTATTCTTACTGAAGATGCCAAAGTGGCTTTCCCTTTTTCTTCCCTTGCATCTATTCAAGTCTTGAGCCTGTTCTTGCGGTGTAGAGTCAACCGGCGAGACAGGTTGAGGGAATCGTCGAAGGTACGTCTGTCGAGGCGGTGAAGAGCTGGGAGGGGATGTCGACGAAGACTGAAGCGGTGTCAAAGTCTCCGTTGATGAAGACGAGTGGCCTTTTCCATATCTCTTCAGACTGGTGCCCCTTCTTTCAAAGAGATCTGCAATTGGTACATCATCTTCGTCTTCTTCTTTACCGAATGAAGAGTGAATGGAGCTCGCTGCAGACTGAAAAGACTCGTCCGTTGATGAATGACTGTTCTGACTGCAAGAGCGTCCATGTGAGATGTCTTTTCCCTGTGTCTGTGATGCAATTCCACTGCTCTCAGCAATTTCCGCTTCTCGAACAGCATGGAACGCAGCGGTCTTGGCCTCTTTCCTCGAGCCTTGGCAAGCTGGCACAATTTCTGCAGATATCACCTGCAGCGGTGGTCCAGACGAGATAGGTAGGCGCTTTGTCCGTGAAGCCAGATCTTCGGCAGACGCTCGTGGTGCAACCCAAGGAGGTGGCATCTTGCTGATACCTCTCTTGCCACGATCAGCTGTGCGCAACGGAGTACGGATCCCTCTGTCTGGGCTCCTGGGTGGTGCAAGACCTGCTTGAAGCATCAGATGCTCGGAAAAGCGAACTTTGGATGGCCTAGGCGACTTGACATTGACCGCCGGCAGTGTCGTCGCCCGCTTAGAGTCTACGACGACGTCACCAACATCAAAAGTGGTTCCAAAATCCCCCCTTATCATAGTGCATCGCTCTAGGAATGGCTTGCGAGTGGCCCAATGAGCAAGACCGTGCTTCGTTCCGTCCACACGGTGATCACTGCTCATGCTATCTTCAGCCGAGGCCAGTGTGCTGACCGAAGCTCGGCGATTGTAAGCAGCCTGCCCCAGGCCAGGTGGCCGAGCTAGTGCCTCAGGCGACACTTGATGTTTGGCATTCACAGCCCTCACGATGACGTCGCCACTGATGTAATGCGAAGCGTAGTCTTTCATAAAGTAGCCAATCTCAACTATCTCGTCTCGATCCAGACGCTGGAACTTGAGTTTCCTCATTACATGTCGGTGGCCGACTTCAATGCGTGTCTCTCTGGCCAATGGAGTGATTAGCGCGCGAGTGATACCCAGCTGGCTTCCACCTCTCCTACTTGCTGCCTCGAGCCTTGCAACGGGATTGATGGACCGAGGGTATAGAATGTCAACGGGCCCCTTGGCGCGCTCATCATTGCTTGGCCAGCCACGGACTATGCTGACAATGAGGAGATGGGCAAGCTGCGGATGGATCTTGAGAAGAGTACAGCTATGCAACGCCCGTTTGGCAGGAGAGTCAAGCCCTGGTAGAGAACGACGAGAAGTTGGGCCAGGGGTCACTATACTTCGTGCCACCGTGGGTCGATCTTCTTCACTATTGCGAACATTGCGAGAAGTCACAGAGCTCTTCTTGCTACGCTGAGCGGCTGTCGAAGATTTGTCATCGCACGCTTGGCTGGCCTGGGGACCACTCTGGGTATTCTGACTTCTTGCGGGTGTGAAGTCTTCGTCTCCACCATAGTCGTCTTCCGATACAGATGAGACAGTCGAGTCTGGTCGAGACTGGCGATTCGAAGCCGAGCGAACAGCTTGTGAAACGCGGGACAGGATACTGCGAGGCTTCTTCACCCGTTCTTCTTCCTCGAGACGTGCCATTTGCGCTTCAGTCAGAAGTCTTGGCGCTGCAAGGTCATCAGTAGCATGTGGCCATGTAGGGAAGGCTCTCGTAGAAGAAGAAGCACAAGCAGAGCCAGTTGCATCCCTCTGCGTGGAGAAGATCGTCTGAGCTTCATCGTCTCCCAATGTCATGAGTGCATCCAGGGCATCTAAGAGCTCGAAACTCTCTGCAGAGAGCTTGGGTGTTGCTGTTGTAGAGGATGAGCTTCGGAGACGTTGAGTGGAAGCCTGAGCAGAGGAGGCTTGGCGCCTTTGCGTTGGTGTAGGTTCATCGGAGAATCGGTCGCGGAGTATAGGACACTGGGCTAGAGCAGGTGTATCGACATTGCGAAGCGGTGGTAGCTGTGGTCCAGGGATATCATCGCCCTGTCTTTCCAATCTGAACTCTCTTTGTCGTGGGGTCGTCGCCGTAATCCCCTGTGAGCTCTCCGCAGGGTCACTGTGGATTCGCGAGCTCTCAGTCTCTCGGACGGAGATCGACAGTGGGACAGTCGCTGCTTCACTTGCTGAAGATTGACGAAACCTAAAGAGCTTGCGACCCATAGCTCGCACAGCACTGCCTGCGGGAGAGGAGAAGTGGTTTCGTCCATTCATGCCTGGCTTGAGAGGTGTACGGATTTGAGCGCCAGGCGGATCTTCCATCGTGCCGATACCTCCTGTCCAGAGCTCGGCTGAGAAAGCGGCTCGGCTCTCTTTGAGGTCTCGATGACTAGATGAGGGCGAAGTCCGGGGGGTGCTGTCGGCAGACGAAGCAGTCAAGGGGTCCAATTCGTTGGTGGTAGTCTCTACGCTATTCAGAGATGGCCTAGTAGGGGATGACGAGGGTGATAATGGGGAGTCAGAGATGCCTGCTCCCCGTACCTCACCAAGTGAGGCCAGGCGCGTGAGTCTAGGGTGTTCTGAGTCTGTGGAGTCGGTAGGTCTGGCATTAGCGCCTGATGTCTGAAGGACGTGGGAAGAGGAGCAAGGCAGGTGCTCTACGGAGAATGATTGACGTTCCCGGAGAGAAGCATGAGCGGGCAAATCGAGTGTGGTAGAGGGCGAAGGGCAGGCAATGGCAGGCAGAGGAGGTCGTTGTTGATCCTGGTGGGTGTGCCGTGTCGAATTTGCCGACTGCCGCATGGCCTTGAGGCGAGACAGACTGCGAGGCGACTTGAGCTTGAACTTGGATGCAGGTGCTACAGCAGCACTGCTCTCCATAGCCGCAGAGGTGGAAGGAGTCATCGTGGAGCCTGCACGACGCTGCACAAAGGATCAGATGGTGGGGGGCGATAGAGGGGAGGGAGGGGGTACCATCTGATGAAGCATTGAAGCTCGCTCAAGACCACTTGCTTGAGCAGCTCAGCACCACAAGAGGAGGCGCCCTACCAGAGAAGCTTGCATTTGACGTCCGTAGTCCGGCTAGACTTTGCCGCACAGTCCACCACCCAGATCTCGCGGAGCGTTGGGCCCGAATGCCGCTGCTGCTGGATGTGCGTCTTGAGGGGAAAGGTGATTGAGTCAGTGATTCTGGTACCACTACTTCATCAGGAGTGGAAGCATCGGATGTTGCCTCGGATCCTGCATTGAGTGCCTTGAACTGCCCTCACACCCTCTTGCCTGCCCCTGACTCGCCCTATCGAGCCGTCAATCGTCCGTACAGGGCGCGGTGCGAGCTCGGCGCCACACGCTTGCGCCTTGGAGGCTCGGACGTTGTCACGACGGTACACATCTTCCCCTACGCTCGCAAGGGTCACACGTGCTAGAGTTGCATAGCTCCGTACATCTGCTTGAAAAGATGTCAAGTCTGGCAGACAGATCGCACAGATAGGAAACTTCGTGTCTTCTTGTAGGTGTGGCGCGACTCCGCAAAGGCACTTTCGGACTTTTTTCGGAGGCCCCTACGCAAAGTCACGCCTATGCAAAGTCACACTTTTGTCTGGCTCCTGCGCCGGGGCTGAAGACTACAAGGCTTGACCCATACAGTCATTTTCGAATTATTGACAACACCGTACTGTTCTATTGACAATGGAGAGTCTGTTTTCGCCTCAGTGGTTCAATTTCGCTGGCGCTGGTATCTCGCACGTACAGCTCTTTAGACCTCGTACTGTAGAGGAAGAACGTAGCAGATGCTGAGCTCACGATGTAATTGGTCAGGCCCCAGATATCGGGCCCAACACCCTGATCGTTTGCTATCGTCTCCCGACGTCCACGCTCGTCCTCGTATCCCCCGCCTCCTCACCACCCCCTACCTCACTCAAATCAAGCGGAGTGATCCAGTTCGCCAACTCCTCGCCCTCTCCCACATCTCCTTGCCGTCCCTTGAGCTTCTTCTTGACCCGATCCTTCATCCTTCCCAACCCACTCCTCTCGCTCCCGTCAGGAAGACCATTGCTGAGACCTATGTCGCCGCCGCCTCCGCCTGTGGAGAGGGAGTTGTACGAGTAAGACGTCAGGAGGGGGTTCTGCCCACTGCCACTGCCGGACGAAGAGGAGCCGGTAGGAGCGCTGTGTCCCAGGGAGGACTCGTCCCAGAGGACCAACGGAGGTCCGTCGGCCGATACGGACGAGAGAGGCAGCAGTCGCTCTTCGGCTTCGGTACCATTGGCCGATCCATCGGTGGGGAGATAGCTGTATACCAGCCCAGCATTGCCCCCAGCTGCTTGCGACGCACTCTCCTTCTGCAGCTTACCAAGCCACTTCTCGTCGTGCGCTTCGATGATGTGGTATAGATCACGGGGAGAGTGGCGAGCAGTATACCCGCTCGAAGGGCAGGAGGCGGAGAAGCGGTGAGCCTTCTGGAGGTGTTGAGCCAGCTCTACCAGAGTCGTAGGGAGGTCCAATCCCGCCCTGGTCTCCTTGGCCACCTGAGCTGGGTTGGCTTGGTAGGTCATCGAGTAGGCAGAAGTGACCGGTCCGATGCCCATTGAGCTCGGGGGAAGGTTGAGTACCCGCCGGTCTGAGCCGCGCTTCAGGTATCCCATGTCCAACTCTCGCTCTGCCTGGGTGCGAGCCCCATCATGGTACGCTTGATTGCTTCCGGTCGAGCCTGTACCCTGTGTGCGATGTACATGACCTTTGGCATCTTGCTGACAGAGACTCATGCAGATAGAGACGCAGGCAGTAGGCCTCATAGCTATACGTTGACGAGCCTTGGCCGCTACTTCCTCAGCTCCACTTCTGGTAGGATCAACTTGCAGCGAGAAGCGATCGCTGTTTGATCCTTTTCGACTTGCAGGGGTGACAAACTCGACTTCCATGCGCAAGAGAGGAATACGATTGTTCTCTGCAGCATCTGCCACCGCTTGAGGAGCAGCCTCGATGCGGGTGTTTCCCAGCCACGCAAGAGAGCGCAGCAAGATCTTCCAGGATCCACAGCGTACAGTAAAATAAGGGCAGGAAATGCTTGAACCGCCCTCAGATGCGTCTCTGGCTCTGGTGCTAGACAGGGAGATGACACCTGGGAAGCGCGACTTGAGCAGGGCTTCCTCTTGCTCCGTCATCGAATCTTGGCTACTAGAAGCTTGTTCCTCTTCTGAGCTACCGGTCCGCCTCATGAAATGTTCCCGAGGACCTGGCCGAAGCTTGGTAGCGAAGGCAGTGTCCGAGTAACCCCAGTCAATCCCAATCGGAGCTTTCTGTCCGGGCAAAGAGGGACGACCACTACCTAGCTCCGATACAGATGGAGACCTCGAGCCTTCTCGTCCTTTGCCGACTCTGCTGGGCACAGAGAGATCCCCAGTAGCAGAAGTCTGACGCGTGCGCGCTGTGCCTGTCATTGAATTCGATCGACTTGATGTCGCTGTGAAGCGACTAGCGGTCGAGGCAACACTCGAACGCGAACTCTGACGATCAATTCCGTGTCCAGGAGTGACTGGGTATTGACCACTTCCTGCGCTTCCGGCAGGGCTGTGGCCGTTCTGAACAGGAGCAACGTCAGGCCGACTGATGCCAGGGCTGTTTGACAATGCAGGCGTGGGCTTGCTGCCGTCCTGTGAGTTCGAACCTGGCTGACGAGGGTGTGTTGCTCGTTCTGATTCCTTCCTGGTGACAGTACTGCTACCTCCCGCTGACCCATCCGGAGCAGGGTCCCGCCGGCCAAGAGCTTCCATCCGTCGCTTCTCCTCGAGAGGATCTGTCGGCACGTGCGGTGTCGTTTCTGGCTCTGGTCGTCCGCCATTTGCAGCTCGCTGCTCTCGAATTCGTCTTGCTCTCGCTTCATCCCAGAACCCAGTAGGGGCTCGACTGGGAGCCTCGGGGGGACGATCCGCACCGATGTGATCGTATGCAGGAGGAGCTTCCGCTGCATCCGCAAAGGGGTCGTCTCGGTCGTCATTGTCGTCTAGCCGATCCTCATTAGGCAGAGGCTGTTCGTGATTCTGAACAGACTGAGGATCTGGGAGTGGCACTTTCGACGGTCCTGGTGCAGGCACAGATGCTCCCTCTGAGGAAGGTCGGCTCTGCGGGATAGGAGGTAGGACCGGCAAAGGGCGTCTGATGCGGCCTGAATCAGCGCCCTCTGTGGAAGAAGAGGCAGCAGGCTCGACATGCTGGAACCCTCCGCTACCCGAGCTACCGCTGGGTCCAGCTGTGGTAGGACGCGATGAGCTCGCGCTGCTTGCTGCTTGCTGCTCTTCAATCTCCCTGCGTATCCTCTCCACCATCCTTACTTCTTCCTCCTCTGCCTCTCTTCTCCTCTCCCACTCCTCTTTCAGACTAGCTTCCATGACTTGACGCATATGCTCTTCTTCTTCCTCAGCACGCTTGATAGCCTCTCTCGCAGCATGCACCCTCGACTCCTCAACAGCTCTAGCCTCTCTCTCCCTGGCTTCCTGTTCCCTCCTCAGCTCTTCCTCCCTGCTCTGCTCCATCACTAGCCTCATCTGTGCTTCCTCTTCCCGCTGACGTTCCGCTTCTCTGCGTTGTCTATCTGCTTGCTCCCGCCTGTGCAGGTCTTCGAGCCTCCTCATCTCCTCTGCTTCAGTCGCCCGACGCAGCTCGGCTTCTTTCTGAGCCGATTGCTGAGACGCTGCAAGGGCGGCCTGAAGATCTGCATCATCATCGTAAGGATCCTTCGGCAGTGGAGAGGGAAGCATGGTGTGGCCCTGCGGCGATGGAAGGCCTTGAGAATGTGGGTGCGGCGGGATGACAGGGCCTCGGACAGGTCGGGTCGGCTGTGCAAAGTAGTTGTACGAGTCCTGGCTGGCTGGTCGCGGACGCGAGGTGTCGGGTCCTTGCGGATGGGGCGAGTGTTGAAGAGGAGGCGAAGGACTCCAGTGAGCAGGAGCTGGCATTGACATGGATGGTGTCGGCGGTGGCCTCGAAAAAGGCCTCGACGTTGGAGGGGGATACGAGCTCCCTACACTAGGCGGGGGACGCCCTCCCTGGCTGGGATATGAGCTCCCTGGACCCGGCCGTGGCATCCCACTTTGCCCATTGTATGATGCAGAAGGAGAAGAGATAGGGGGCGGACGTCCTGCATGTCCAGAGTAAGAGCTACCTGAGGCTACTGGGTAGGGAGGCCGTGCTTGCCCAGACGCCGGGTTCGTGTAAGGCCGAGGGAACCCGGTCTGCTGGGGCGGTCCATGCCCCTGCGAGTAAGGCGACGGCATCGGGAAAGCAGTCGAGCCATGGTTCCCCGATGTAGAAGGGTAGGAGGAGGACGATTGCTGTTGTTGCTGCTGTGGCGGGTATTGGTTGGTCTGAGCTCGGTACGGTTGGTACGGCCGACCGGGCGCGGGTCGAGCCTGGGCCGGACGTGCAGGCGATGCAGCAGGATGATTAGATGACGAGTGCCACATACTAGAGTTGCAGAGATTACGACATCCAAGTAGAGATGCTGCCTAGCAGCTGTAATCTAGTCGGCCTCTCAGGCCAAGAGAAAGAGGATGGATGGATGAAGGGAGTGAGCAATGGAGGGAGCCGAGTGATAGGCTGACTGGGAGGCGTGAGAGCGGAAAGGCGGGGGCTTCCAAGCTGCCGCTCCTCTCTCACAATCTTTGTCGCACCCCTCCACAGCCACACTTCCGCCGGAATCAAGCCACCAAAAGGGAGGCACCTCGCACAGCCCGCTCCACGCAGCGCACGTCCGATGAAATAAGCATCTACAATTGGGAAGAGACATGACATGATGACACTTGGAGGCTCGTATGACTGATATTAGAGATGCTTGCAGGTTGGATCACGACTGCATTAGCGGTCTTTCTTCCCCTCTTTCCTCTTTTTGCCGCTCGCTGCCAGCTCCTTCTCCTTCTTGTCACCTTCGCTCAACCTCCATTCCTCGACATTCATCCGCTCCAATCTCCGGCTTTGAGGGATGATGAAGAATAGGAGGAGCGCAAGACCGATCACGACACAGACAGTATTGGTGATGTAGTACCCGTCCTGCGTGATTTGACACTTGCCACCCGCCAGACGACATGCCTCTTTGGCAGCGTCTAGGGTAGCGCATTGTGCTCCTGCATCAAACTGAATGAATGGCGTAGTGCCGTTGGTGTGGGGTTTCACAGGCAGATCCACACCTTTGAGGTGATCGATGAAAGACTCGGCTGCCTCAGCAGCTCTATCTCCAGCCAATCCGGGCTTGATCTTCGCCGCCACCTTCTCAATGGCCGATGCTGTCACGCGGCACTCGCTGATGGTCAGCCAGTCGACTGCCTTGAGGACAAAGTAGCTTGGCCAGGTTCCCCCCAGATTTGAGACGGTGTTGAGAAGCGTCATGTAAGTCCCTCCAATCAACGGGTCCGCGATCTGGGTATGGAAGGCTGAGATGCCCACGAACTGTACAGTGGAGGCAAAAGAGCCTGCCACGGTTGACACGATGATCAGGCCAAAGTAGGCGAGACCAACAGATGATCCAGGTGCATGAGTGGACCTCGACAAGCCGGCTACGATGCCCATGGAGAGCACAGCGAAGCAGAGGCGAGCGCCGTAGCCCCACAGCCACGGGGTGAGCGCTTTGTCTCCACGCGACCAGCGGGCAGCAAAGTAGCCTAGCACTAGCTGGAAGGGGAAGTCAATCAGAACAGCCAGTGCCAGATCTTCTTTGCTGAAGCCCTTTTCAATCAGCTTGAGGCTGGTCACCGCATCGTTGGCTTGAAAGCCAATCTTAGCGACAAGATGTATCAGCAGAAACATCTGGACATCTGAAACATGCGGGGCAGAATGATGCCATTACGTCAGATTCTGAAGATACGCAAAGACTCTCTTTCAAGAGCAGGACTCACGCTTTAATTTGCAAATTTTCCACATGACCTCATATGCGCCTTTTAGACCAAGCTTGTCCTCGAGCGATGGTTCTTTGTCCGCCTTGTCCTTGTCCTCTTTCTCCTCTTGACTCTCATCTTTGAAGAATGCGAGCCACATCGTCACCACAACGAAGGCGACGGAAGCAATCTTGAGGTACGCCGACAAGCTCAGGACAGGATAGCTTTGCGAAGCGCTAGCAGACCGGAGGTACTTGTTGCCGAACTCTACGCTATTGAGTGCGAGGAAGACGGTGAAGCTCATGAAGTATCCAATGTTGAGCCCGACGGTCTGAGCTGTAGAAGCGTAGGAGAGATTGTCTTGCGAGAGCAAGGTCAGAGCCCAGCCATCTACAGCAATGTCTTGCGTAGCAGCAAATGCTACCAGCGTGAAGAACAGGGACGTGATGATCAAGACTGGAGGCTTGTCGTTGAGGAGCAGCTGATCGACTCTGCTGCCGAGGAGCCACAGCATGATGCCTACGATGAATTGGATGGGCACGATCCAGCTCTTTCTCCGCCCGAGTCCTACCCTGCCAATGCCAGGCAGAGTGATGTGTGTGACCCAGCAGGAATCTACAATGGGACTCCAGGCGAGCTTTAGCGAGTATGGATATGTAGCCAGCATGAAGGTGCCGATGTCTGCGTATGAGAGCTTTGTCTTAAGAAGGTATGGCATCGTGCCAAAGGCGAGTCCCACGGGGACCCCTTGCAGCATGTCTGAGGGCGGGGAAAGGGGGGGAAGCAGGATGTTCAGCAATAGGTCACGGGAGGCGGCTGTATGCAGCCAAGTGATTATACTTACAGAGTATAACTAGGAGTATGATGGCATTCCTGTCCCGTTTGGACAGCTGTCCGCTGCCTTGTGTAGGTTTACCCTCGCTGGAGCGCTTCTCGTTCGCCTCCTCTGCTTCTGCCTTTTCTATGGCGGGTGCTGCTGCGTTGCCATTGAGTGGCGTGCCATTTGTGGTGGTAACGGACTGCTGCACCCTTTTGCGAGTGTGCGAGTCCGACGGCGTTGCCGAGCTCATACTGATAGGGATGAGTGGTGAGTGGGACAGTGATGGGCAAGAAGGAGGTAGCTGTCCTGGGGGACGATCTTCGTCTCCTGTTGCTTCCACGTCGTGTGCGCCCCTTTGCTGTTGCGTTTCCTGGGTGCGGCCGCGTCGGAAGCAACAGACGGAACAATCCCCGCTTCCGCCTCGCGTTCGTCTCCTGCGCGTTGTGCCCTGTGCGCACGGAGCTCCAGACGCCGACAGTCGTCCATGCAGCCTCCACAGCGCCGGGCAGCAGAAGTGCTCCTTCTTATCCGATCAATACCAGACACACCAGAGACATCCATCCAGCCAACATACTCTCACACATCAGGACACGTCAGTCAAGCTCAGACTTGGTCTTGTTGCACAGCACCCTGGTCATCTGAGCTCAATCGCCCACTTCCACCTCACAGTCTTCAACGTCTTGCGATCCACAATCAGTATGGGACTCGAAAAGCAAGTGAGTACAGGGCTGCGCGTTAGCGACTACAGTCCTCCAGAGCTCACCCTATCCCTCTGTGTTCCTCTTCAACAGTCCTCGAACAAGGTCTTTGGCGGCGAAGTCACAAAGTATTCCTTCAAGTCCTCCGTCCTGGGCGACCTCTCTGCCAACCTGAACCTCTACCTCCCACCCTCCGCTTCCTCCTCGAAGAAGGTGCCCATCCTCTACTTCCTCGCCGGACTCACATGTACAGAGGACAATGCTGCTCAGAAAGGTGGCATGTTCGAGGCTGCCTCCCAAGAAGGCATTGCCTTGTGCTTCCCTGACACCAGCCCAAGGGGAGCCAAGATCGAGGGAGAAGACGAGAGCTATGACTTTGGTAGTGGAGCTGGGTTCTACATCAATGCTACCAAGGACCCTTGGAGCAAGCACTACAAGGTGAGGATCAGGTCGCTCAAAGCTGCATCGTAGCTCCTCACTCACTCCCCCCTTTTAACATCTGCGCAGATGTACGACCACATCGTAAAGGAGATCCCAGAGCAGCTCAAAGCAGCCGACCTCCCCATCGACTTCTCCAAGTCGTCCGTCTTCGGCCACAGCATGGGTGGTCACGGAGCCCTCACTCTCTACCTCAAGGGAGAGGCTAGCTTCAAGTCCTGCTCGGCCTTCTCGCCCATCTGCCACCCTACAGCCTGTCCTTGGGGAGAAAAGGCCTTCAAGGGCTACTTGGCTGGTGGTGTAGAGGAAGGCAAGCAGCATGATGCGACTGAGTTGGTCGCTGCTGCAAAGGGCAAAAAGCTCAACATTCTGTGAGTATGCCCTTCTCCTGCAACGCTATCCGCTAGGCTCTGTCAAGCTGACTTTTGCCCTTGCGGCATCCTGCTCTACAGGATCGACTCAGGTCTAGGAGACAACTTCTACCAGCAAAAGCAGCTTCTACCAGAAGACTTCCAGGAGGCAGCTCGCAAGAGTGGCCACGGGGAGGACGAGGTCAACATCCGACTGCAGGACGGCTACGATCACTCCTGTGAGTCCAGGAGCGGACCGGTCGGAGCAGACCAGCAGATGAAATTGACCATTTTGCCTCTAACTTTGCTCCTCTACTGTTCGCTCAGACTTTTTCATCTCGACATATGCGCCGGAGCACATCCGGTGGCACGCCAAGTTCCTCAAGTGAAGGAGAGAGTGGGAGCCACAGAATTCTGCTTGGAGGCAAAAAGATCAATGCAACTTTTCCTGTATTTTGGTAACCATATTGAGTGATGACATTCAATCAACGTCCGTGCGATCTATTGCGGACGCTACTGCTACAACAAACGAGAACGAAAAGGAGCCTAACATTTTCGCCTTTCGACCTGAAATCTGTGCATGTGAGGCATCTCTGCTCTCAACAATTACCCGTACTGCTCCTACTAATCCTCATCCGCCTTCCAGACCTGGTCAAGCTCGTTCTCATCCATCATCTCCCCAGTAGCCGCCGTCTCCCCCGCATGGGTGTTATCGTCGACCATGACGGCTGCTGCTGCTGCGGCGGCGGCCGCGGCCGCCGCCGCCGCCGTCTGAGCCTCATGCTGGTCGTCCTGGTGATGGCGCTGGTGGCTATGCTGCTGCTGCTGCTGCTGGTTTTCCAGACTATATTGGTTTTGAGGCTGCGCAGACAGCTCTTCGGATGGTCCCTGTGCTCCTTCGTGCCCCACTGCTGCACTCTGCGGGCTCGAGCCAGAGAGGGCAGCTACGAGGAGTTCGAGTTCATTGGACACTTCGTAAGCGATGTCTAGCACCCGACCATACTGTCTGATAGCGCGAATGACGTCGTTTGTCTCCTTTTGTCTGTCGAAGCGGGCGAGGAAGTAGGCAGTCTCGATCATAGCTGGCAGACAGATGCCGCCTGCGTCGAGCTTGATCCATCCCGCGTCGGCGAGGGACGAAGAGACTTCGGCGATGCGCAGCGCGCCGGAGAGGGCTTCATCGTTGACCTTTTTTATTACGGTGGAGAGTGACGCGGATTCTGCGGAGATAGAACCGAGGGAAGAGGACGAGAAGCCGATCTCGTCGAGTGCTTCCCAGAGAAGGATCCACTTGACGTGGAAGCCCATTTCGAAATTGGCGGCGGTCAGAGAGGCGGAAAAGTCCCACGGTTGGAAGCGCGATACCGGTAGGCCTACCCTCTCCATCCACTCTTCCGACCACTGAGTGAGGCTACGAATAAGCAGCTGGGCCTCGTCTACAGGGATGCCCGCAAGCTGGACGCTCGGTGCCCATAGAGTCTTTGCGACGAGCCTGTTGATGTTTGCATCTGCCTTCGACGCAGCCAACCAGACCTCAAAGCCTTCCCCAGACGAGTGCGGTGAGAGTGGTCCGATAGGAGTATCCTGCGAGGGCTCCGGGTCACCACATGTCGAGTCTTCGTCGCCATTGAAAGCCTTGCGACGGAAGAGAGCTGCTTGCTGTGCATCGAGCGCGCTGGCAAGGCGCCACGTCATAAGCGCTGAGCGCCTTTCCTTCTCGTCATGTATAGTCGCAACACCCGCGGCGGTGTGGTATCCCAGATCCATTAGATGACTGAGCGCAATCCGTTGCCACGTACCGCTTTGATGAACGAAAGGTCGGGTAAGTATGCGATGCTGAGGTTGGTTGGTATCACCCATGATCTGGAAGGGAGCGTCCACTGGGCGTTGCGAGAATGGCCGTCTGCGAGCCGAAACAAGCAGAGGCTCCAAGAGGAGTGCAGCTCTTGCGGTATCGAGAGTGGCATGGCGATGCCCCTTGTGAGCCTCGAAAACTTCGACAGCACGTAGCAGTATGTCTTGTGCAATTCGCGAAGTCCCAACTGGTGTAGCGCTCTCGTCAATATTGGCAGGGTCGCTCTGCCCATTCACAGCTGCGCTTCGCTTTGACCTCTCGTCGGGACCGAGGCGCTGCTCCGCTTCCTTGCGATCGCCTACCAAAATAGGGGACTCGCTGAAGAGGGCTCCCCATGCTAAGATCGCTGCAAAAATGACATCCGAAGAGGCAGGGGTGGTAGGTGCATTGCTGCTCCCAGATGTGCTTGCCACTTGCCCTTGATCACCCTCTGGACCAAAGTGTGAGTGGAACGGTGTCTGATCGATAATGGCATAGCGGGCATGAACGAAGGAAAAGTAAGCTTGGACAAGATGTGAGATCATTGTTGCCCGGGCAGATCCGATGTGTAGTCTCGACTCGGCAGCAGATGGCAATTTGGGACGATTAGCCGGTAGCGAATTAGAGCTGATACCATTAGCTGGAGAAGGTGGCGCTTGACTTGGTGTATAGTTCGGAGTATCTTGAAAGAGCAGGAAGCGAACAACAGGAGATAGCAGCTCCTTGTCGTCCGAAGGCGTAGCAGCGTAGGCCTCCGTTGCTGCCGCGTGAGCGGCCTTTTGACGCTTGCTAGGCCGCCTTGGACCCTTGGTGACCATTTCAACGTAGAAGTGGGTGCATGCAGTCTTCTTTCTCTTGCACTCGTTGCATTTGTCTTCTCCAGGTTCCCGTACGCACTTGACCTTCCTTCCCCTGCAAACATCGCAGGATGAATTCTGCTTGCGTGACTTGTCCGGCCCTGGACTAAGATCCTTCGTCTTTTTGCGCTTCGAGGATCCATCGCCAGTCTCATCTGCGTCCTCTGCGCCTTCTGCAGGCGAATGGCTGCCGTCCTCGCCGTGAGCCGCAGCGTTCATAGACTCGTCCAGAGGAGACTGTGGGCGATGAAGGTGATCGTTCTGCTCGTGGTCACGGCCTTCGTGATTGCCCTGCTCACCCTGATGCTGCCTTACCGCGGCGGCAATGGCAGCAGCTGCAGCGACAGCCTGAAGATTACTGTCGTTGTTGGACCCATGATACGGCGGTCCGCCATCCGCGCCTCCACCATGGCCATTTTCGAGCGCATGCTCCCGATCGGCGACCTGGTACTTGACAGGCTGCGCTGCTCCCTGGCTCGTCTCGCCATTCTCAACCACCGACGACACGTTCACGTCCTCAAGACCTTCAAGAAAGCGTGATTGTTCCCCCTCAGCAGTGTAGGCGTTGAAGCCCGAGCCATCTGCAGCATCGTCCATGGCTGCGAGAACAGATATGCACCTAAGGAGTGCGGAACCTTCGTGCTGGGCGGGTGGTAACGGCGAGCAGATGCGAATTTGGCAGCCAGCGCCTGATGGCCTGGATGCCAAGGGGCGAGGGGGTACGAGCCCGTAGGGCGTCCGTCTCCGGAAGGAGGTGTGGAGGAGGTGTGAGCGGGTAGCGGAACGAGGTGTTGCTACCTTCTCACGCTTGCTTCCTTGGCGGTGACTTTGACTTAGGAGCCGAGAAGGTGGAAGAGAGTTAGGATCCGAGACTCGACGACCAGGGAGGTTCGGATACGAAAAGCAGCCCAGCCCAGCCACCTCCGCGCGGTCCCACTCGCGCCTGTCAGTCAACCACGCGACGCCCTTTCCGTGAAGATGTCGCTCTCGATGCCACCTCTCTGACGAGATCATCATGAAGGAGTGCTGACTGGCATGACGGGTCACGGCAGAAGTCGCCTTGCTACAACTTCTACGAACGTCCTTGAGTCCACCCACGACGGCACCGAGGCCAAGAGAGCTCGTCTCGAACTGGGGGAAGTAGCTTCGCCGATCGATGGACGGCCTGCATCACCATGCTCGCCCGAAGATATCTCGCAGCTCGCTCTCGTCTTCTATCGTAGATCAATCGAGGCTTCGCGAGCAAAGGACTTCACAAGGGCGCTGAGGCATGCTAGGAAGTGCCTTCTCCTTTGTCCTGACAAGCCACTTGTGAGCCAGCCCGCGAGCTGAGGTCTGCTCTACTCTTCTGACCCCTCAGATTGTATGTACATTGCCTCCTTCACAGTATCTAGCCGGGGCCGCCCGCGGCTTCCACGACAGTGGCTACGGCGACAAAGCAGCGCAAGCCTTGCGATCAGCTCGCGAGATTCTTGAAGCAATGAAGTCGCCTCCAGAGGAAGAAGTCCGAGCGATAGACAGCGCCTGGCGATTGATCTTTCCCTTCGACGGATTCCCAAACGAGCTCGTGTCGGAGATCTTTGGCCATCTATACAACAGCTCAACGCCACTCGAAAATCCGTTCATCGCTGTCCAAATTTGCTCCTCCTGGCGGAAACTGGCGCTGAGACAAAGCAGCTTGTGGCGTGATACCACAATTTTCCTGCCCCTCCCTGAGGTCAATGTCGAGGCTCGGTATGAGCATCATTATTCAGCATGCGAAGAGGGCAGGCTGTATTTCCCAGCCGTAGTGCGGCTTTGTGGAGAAAGATCGATGCACTCTCTTCGGACGATAAAAATGCCCGCACAAGGTTGTTTGAGAGAGGTTGAGGAAACGGTCAAGCTCGCCTGGACTTCTAGAGCCACCCTCGTCAACTTTGAACTACACAGTAGCTTGTACACCGACTGTTGGTGCTGTGACAGATCTCGTCCAGGCTTTAGCGACATCAAAGGATACACACATGAGATCACGACCCGACAGTTGGAGGTTGTTGCTGCAGCACCTCTCTTGGACAAGATCTCCTTGCAGCTTTACGGCGAGGTAGACAAAGAGCTTCTGCATACGCTGGGCCGCCAGATACAAGGTCGAGCAAAGCTCCCAAGCATCATTCGTCTGGTGATGACAGATTCTCCCGCATGGGATGACTTCGGTAAAATGCTAGAGCCACTACTAAGGGTTGCGACGACTTTGGCAATCGAAGCCAAGGGTGTGAAGACGGCTGTCCGCGGGACGGTCACGTACTGGAAAGCGGCTGCTTGCTGTTCACAAACAGTGCAAAAGCTGGAGCTCCCTCTCTTGTTGCCGTCTGGAGAGTCGAGTAATCTCCTGGAGGGTGCTCTGGACGCAAATTCTCGATTCCCGTTCTTGACTGATCTCGTATTGAAGAGTCACGAGCAGCCAAGAACTCTGATACCGATCCCGTCTCCTGCCAAACCTTTTCTTCTGCCCGCGCTTCGCACGCTCGAAACAGATGCAAGAGCGCTGGCTACCTTCGAAACGCCGTTACTGAGGACAGCTCGACTGCGTGTACTCTTCCCAGAGGATATCCGGACTTTGACGAACAGCCTTCGATGCTGGGAACACCTGGAGTGCTTGATGATCGACATACAAGAGTTGTCTACGGAGGGCGTAGATCTGATTCGAACAGCTGTGGACGTCGTGTTCGGGCTACTGGCGTACCCCGGTTTTGGCATACCAGTTTGTCCGAACCTTTCGCGAATCGAATTGGCTTGTCACGAGGTCCTGTATCGTCGCAGTACTCCTGATCCTTACGCACGGTCGTGGCAAAATTACAGCAGGGAACAGTGGGAGGCACTCCCTCACCTCGGCTCGTCTATATTCAGACTGGAACAGGGGAGAAGAAAGAACTGCCAGGACTTCAATGATTCTCAGACTGCTCAGGCGAAATACGCTCAATCTTCAGGCGCATTCCAACGTGGGTCTCAACGATCACAAGAGCAAGCTCCGGCGCCAGATCCATCGATCTATTTTCCACATGCCGTTCCAATCGATGAGATCGTCCTTGAAGGCTGGTACGTGGACCCCGATCTATGGTCTGCAGTCAAAGCTACCGCAACATGCAAGATAACATGTCTACCGGACCCGTCAGTGATGGAGAAGAAGCTCTATTCTGCGCCGAGGAAGCCTGCTAAGGGAGAGAAGAGGATCTATGCCTGGTAGGTGTAGAGCCCGTCGTGGGATGTCCTGCCAATTTGTTTTCGTCACTCAAGCCGTCATAAAGCCAATTGTCCATATGTTACATTGTTACAACAGAAAATCTCACATCGCTGTCTCACCGTCTCTTGCCCGCTGCTGCTGCCGCCTTTGCCCACATCCTCCTTCCCCCCGCTGTCTTTTCCGCCCTCTTGATGGGCCTGCCATTCCTGCCCATCATCACGTCGGCCGAGGTCTGAATCGCAATTGCCGTCGGTCTCGATATTTTTTCCCTCTCCCTAGCTTGAGCAGCTACCACCTTGGCCCTCTCGAGTCGTCGCAGGCGCTCTGCCTTGTCTTTGCAAGCCTGCAGGAGGGGACCGGAATAGCGGGGATTGAGCGAAGGGGCGTAGGAGGATACTTCCGAGACGGTCTCTTCGTCTGCAGAGGCGAGATGACTTATGACAGCTGTTGAGCAGCAGGTGGTGCGGGTTCAGAAGCGACATCAGCTCACTCCTTCCTCCGTGGGCCGCCCGTTGGGCTCTCCCTTTGCTAACCTCATTCTACTCACTTCTGAAGCTCATTTCTGCCAGTGACATCAGTCGCGCCTTCCTACTGGCGCCCTTGATAGCTCTGTCTTCGGCTGCTTTTGCTGCCAATGCTTGTCTTGACTCTTGTGTTGCAGGTCCAGGACCTGGGATGCCATTGAGTGATGTCATATCGTCTGTAGTTGTATCGGCGCGTGCCACCTGCTCGTCTTCTGGTGTGGATAGGCGTGAGCGCTTGACGCCACGGGGCCCCATCATGGCCTCTGGCTCAGGAGAGCGCTGCCAATCCTTCATGATGTATACCGCACTGACTGATTCGAGGTCACTAGATGCAAATCCTCAATGCGGTGAGCTAGCGAAATACGTGTGTGGATCGGGAGCATGCATCTAGCCAAGCATGATAAACGGAAATCGTCAATCTCGTTTCTCCACACCGGAGGCGCATCATCGGATCGGAAGCAGAAGTCCCGTGCACTTTTTTGGACGCGAGTGATTAGCAGATGTTCCGATCAGAATCGGCTTACATTCAACACCCACATCCTGCCCTTCATCGTCTCGTATCGCCATTGTATATATCGAGGTCCCTTCAGAGACCGCTTGGTCGTCTGTGATCCTATGCGCCGTAGCTGCGAGCTCTCGTCCTGGATCGGAGCATCCTCGACGGCAGGCCGAGCTCAATTCGCTCGACGGGCTCTTCCATCGCCACGCCTTCAACGACACTCAGGCAATGAGGTCGGCGTGGCATGGCCGCGGCTCTTGCCCCTTCTAGCAGCCAGCGTAGGCCCATCTGGTTGCCGTGGCATACACACCGCTGGCGCGTTGCGACGTCAGACGGCTCTGCGGGACAGTATCCTCGATCACGATCCTGCTTTCGCATGGGATGCCAAGCCTTCGGACGGCTTTGGAGAGGAGACGCTGCCGCGAAATCAGGTAGAGTCGGGGCTTGCTGCCATGGACGACGGGGAACTTATAGACCATTGCCGACAAGCTGCCGCCTACGGCCTCCGAGGTCTCGTAGATGAAATCCTCGCCCACTTCGAGGGTCCTTATGGTACCGCTCCTTCAGCTTCTTCTTCCTCCTCGCCGAAGTCCGCTTCTCGCAGGCGACGCTGCATGGAGGCGATGACCCAGGGAAGCCTCAGTCGCGATGGCAGTAAGATTTTGATCTCGCCAGAGCAGATGCTTCGCGTCTATCAACTCCTGCGACAAGAATATGACCAGTCACGGGAGGACCATCTTTTCGCTTTCTTGAGCCGACGCTCGGCCCGCTACCTTGCCTTGCGTCTTTCAGCGTCAAAGTACATCTATCTCTTCGATGCCTTTCGAGAAGTACAAGAGCAGCTACTACAGACAAATGCCTCTGAGCAAGACGACGCTGGTGCTTTCCCGTCTAGAAAAGAATTGATTCACACCTTACAATATTGCCTCAGCGAAGCGCTTTGGCAGCGGGGAGGCTCGGCCTTAGTCCGGTCTTCTCTTGACCAGCTACTCTCTCGAGAGGCAGAGAGAGCCATCCTCGTTGAAGCCAGCGATGATGCCAAGGCCTGGCTCGGTGATGAGGCCGACCCGGACTCTTTCTTCGCATTGTTCACGCGTCTCTTTGCAATCAGGCTCAGCATTCAAGCCGGTGACGTTGGCATGGTGGCGAGACATTGCCACGCAACATTGACGCGATTTGCATCATCAGCTCGCAGTGAGACTGTTGCACTTCAGTATGCGATTGATACTGCAGAGGCCCTCTGCAGAATTTCGCCCATCAGAAAGGCGCCTAGCAAGACAGATGGCTTCAGTCAGAGTCAGCAAATTTTGAGAGACTTTGCAGATCAGCTGGTACCGGCGATGCAGTCTCATCATCAAGCATCTGCCATACCCCCACTGAGAGGCCTATGTGAAAAGATGCTACAGAATCGACGTTACCAAATTCTGGCCGATTTGCTGCTCCACTACAAAGGTCTTGGGCTTCGCATCACACAGCTCATCACGGCGTTTCAACTCACCAGACTGGCACGAGGGCTTGTCCTTCAACGAGGAGTGTCTGTTCGTCAGCAAGTCATTCAGCTTACGGGCTTTCCAAGTACCGAAAGCGCCCCGAATGAGGCGGAGCTCCTAGTCCTTGACCTTCCGGCCAAGCGTTATCTGCTCAGCGCCTTCTTGAGGCTAGGGCTCAAATCTCAGTCAGCTTTACTATGGAACCTCTGGACTAGTAATGCCAGTAATGACGCCGAGCTTCTTCGAAGAGACATGTCAACAGTGGTAGATCTTGTCAAGCTATTTGCCGACAAAGACCCAAAGCGTCAACGCTCGTTCACCAAAGGCTTGTCAGCCGGAGTGCTCAGTACGAAGCAACGAGACCAGGAATTTGCATCCACTGCTTTGCAAAGGTTCGTCGATGCCAAGACGGGAGAAAAGTACTCGCACTTTGAGTTGACCTCCCTAGCTGTGGCATACCTCTACCTGGGCCGGGAGAGTGAGGCTTTGAACGCCTTCGTACAGCTACTGCATCAGAGGGAGATCCCAGACGAGACAGATGTCATCGTGCTATTATCAGCAGTATCTGGTGATGATGCTGAGAAGGCTTCCCAGCTCTATCTCTCCTACGTCACTGACACAGGCAGTGAGGTCGCAAGGTCGGAGGGTCTCGAATCGCCTTTTGTCGGACTACGACCTACTCCGAAGATCTTCGAGCACCTGATTGGCATGGCTTTCAGAGCCCAAAAGGTCACTCTTGCCCACGACCTCGTTCTCCAAGCGTGTAACCGCCTTCCTCAGAAGGATTGGACGGATACAATTCTGGTGCTACAGCGTGCTTTTAGGGTCAAAACGCGTTACCTATCCTGGACTTGGCCTCTGTTAGTCCAGACAATCACACCTGAGGTAGCAGCTAAGCTTGACGCTTCCATTCTGAGTCGAATGATCTGCTGTGCTGCCGAAAGACTTGGTCCTCTGGATCCAGAACCCGGAAAGAATTCCGCCAAGAGCAAGGTCGTGCCAATTGCTACCGCCGATACTGTAGCGGCCATCGACCTGCTCGATCTAGCCACGACACGCACAGGCAATATCGACATCAAGGCTTTTCACCTGATCCTGGACCAGCTCCATGGCAGAGCCCGCTGGATCGAGCGAAGGAGGGGGAGGAGGGAGCAATCACAGCCCTCTTGGATAGCTCAGCTCGACAGGGTCGTCGCGTGTATCCGCAAAGCCGACCACATACATCAACAGCGCTCTGGCGATCGTGACCGACCTCTCCCTGTCATGGCTGACTTTTCCCCGGCCGAGACGAGTTCTGCCTGGGGGTCTGCAACTGAGGAGACCACTCTCCCATCTTCGGGCCGTCGTTCGGGCCGAAGGACCAGCCTTCTCCTCAATCAGCTCATCTTCCGCAGGATCCTCGCAATCTACCTCTCCCTCGACGATATATCGGGCGCCTCACAGGTCTACCTGTGGATGAAACTATGGGACCCCAAGACTACTGTCGGAGAGAACCTGCGTAAGAAGCTGAGTGGAATGCTCAGGAGTCTGGACATTCTGGAGCTAGGGACAAAGAGTCCAAGTTGGACTTTTGAAGGGAGGAGGATTGAGAAGACCAAGTCTTGGTGGAGTGTGGGAGTCCCTGGAGAAGAAGGAGAGTGAAGCTGCTAGTCGCGGACACGGCTAGGTGAGCGGAGGGCTCTGTATATGTAGCAATCATCAAATCAATTGTATCACCACCACCTTTGCACACCAAAGCTCCTCCCTATCTGAGCTGAGCTGAGCGAATGAGTTCAATTGCTTATATTTGGGGCTCGATCTCCTCGACCCCGATCCCACATTTAGTCTACAACGTGGTATTTGCCCTTCTTGAGCCTAGACCCACCCGTCTCCACGGGCTGCTCGAACCGCAAGTTGGACCTGTATCTCCTGAGGTAGACAATGGCTACCTCCTCAACTGTGTCTGGCTCAATGCCCAGGTCAGCCCAGCTTTTCGTCCCAGGCTCATCGGCGAGGTCGTCAATGTACCTCCTGTCCACCTCGTCTGGGCTCAACATCGGCCACCATGCCCTGTCTGCGATCTTCGTTGCCGCCTTGAGCATGAACTTCGGCACATTCAATCCCTCCCTGCGGATCTTTTCAAATGTAAGAGATTGCACCAGGTTCAGGAGCTGGTTGATGGTGTAGGTCCTAGGTCCGGCTAGAGAGAAGGTCTGGCCAATGGAGGTGAGTTCGGCATCGAGCATCACCTCAAGGGCGTGGGCTACGTCAATGGAGTGAGCCGGGCGCAGCTTTGTCTGGCCATAGTTGACGTGCCATGTGAGAGGCCAGCCTGTAACGGGAAGGAGGTAGCAGGTGATCAATTTCAGGAGACAAGAATACCACTGCCCGCGTTTTACACTCACTAGCCATCTGGTTCAGGAAACGGTCCTCGTGACCGTACAGATGTCCAGGCCTGACAATTGTGGCTCCCTCAAAGGCACTCTTGACGAGCTCCTCGCCTTGGGCCTTGGATCGGAGGAAGGGCGATGGTGAATCCTTTGAGGCGTTCAGGTGGGAGACGTGAATGAATCGAGATACACCAGCGTTGGCGGCAATGGAAGCAATGCGGCCAGCGCCTGTTGCGTGGACGTCCTCAAAGGTAAAGTTCCTTGCAAGCGAGACAGCGGCAATGGTAGGAAGGTGAAGCGATCAGGCACGAGCTCGCTCTTAACATCCTTGCGCTCACTTCATGCCACTCACTTTGTCTCGTGCGCTCGTCCGGTCAAATTGTAGACGACATCTGAATGACGCAGGCACTCCTCAATCTGCTGGTCCGAGCGAAGGTCCCATTCCTATCGAGGGTCGTGGCAGAGGCAGAGAACATCTTCAGCACATGTTCTGCAGCATTGTGTTGGCTCCCTCTCCCACTGTGAACTCACCATTGGCACGATCTGACCCAGATCTCCCATTACTTTCAAGTGTCGCTTCTCGTCCTCATCTCTGTAGGGTACGACGACCTGAGTACCCTTCTGCGCCAGCCTGTCGACCAGGTATCTTCCTAGGAATCCAGTACATCCAAAGACGGTAGCCACATGCCCTGAGACGGACGATCGTCCGCCTCCGTATGGTCCAGCTCGGTGAATGGGGAGACCAGTCTTGCGCTTGATTACCAGGTCGTGAACCGAGCGAGACTGCCCGACGACGGCAGCCGAGCGGGCCAGAAGGGCCTGCCTGGCCAGCAGAGTGGTGGAAGAGGACGCCGTACAGAGCAGAACCATGTTGGGATCTACTCGAGTGTAGGAGGAAGGATGGGAGCAGGTGAGGGGAAGTGAGGGTAGCGATCAGCTCCAAGGCCATGCGACGTTCCGATGATCAATCCCGCCCACCAAGGCCATCGTCCGCCTGGCGGAGGGCAGCAGGGCCAGGCGCGCGCGCACACACGTCCCACCATGTCGGACCGGAAGCGGAAAGACGAAGGGGCCTGCACTTAATTTACTCTGAGGTCAGGTAAGGAGGGCAAAGTACAGAGGGCAGTAGCCACATCTTCCTAGACTACCAACTCAACGCATTAAGTCTCCTCTGCCTCGTTCCGTCAGCGTCTCTTTGGGTCTGGCCACTCTTGAGCCCTTCGATGCTGGCTCTACGGAGGCTTGGAAGCCATGCGACGGCTGCTGGACCGCCATCAGCAGCGCTATGGCCACGTCCCAGGATCGTCAGCTGCTCGACTAGTGCATCTCTAGGTGCAGTACTGACGACGAGCACAAGACTGATGTCGCAATCGGTACTCATAGCCCCTCCCATCATCAGGAGGCGTTCTTTTTCATCCTCAGCTGGACTCGGCTCCAAGCGCCTGCGTCGAGTGGCAAAGAATGCAAAGAAGCGTGCCTTGGCAGGGTCAAGCCAAGCGCCAGCATCTCAGAGTGAAGCGCCTTCCCAAGATGCTTCTTCCAAGAAGCGAGCTGTGCAGTCGGCTTCGCCTTCATCGGTCTTCAGCAGAGGGAAGGGCAAGGCTCCAACGAGCCCCTCTGCGTCCACGACGACTGCCGCTGACGGAGGCTTTGCTGAAGTGGTACCGGGCTGGGGACCCGATATGCTCCAGGTCATGGCCGAAGATCAGGTCGCCAGCCCTGGTCCGACCGCCTCTTCTAGCAGCGCAAAGTCATCAGGAAACCGGGATCCTCCACCCCATATGGCTCCTGCTGTGACGACTACTCTGCTAGATCGGGACGCATCCGCAAAAGCGCGCAAGATACAGTCAGGCTCGTACGTGTCTGACAAAGTGTGGGATCTCAACGATGAGAGCACGAAGAGCGAAGGCGCATTGCAGGTGCTCACTGGCGGTAAGCTGGCCACCAAGGACATTCCATTCGACCCGGTCGCGCCACTGAGGAAAATGGAGGTAGCCACCCTCTCCCATGGTTTGGACAGGGTCCTGTTCAACCCAGGCGTTCATCGTCTGAAGGATCCGAGATCAGGAGTCTACAACTTCCCGAAGACTTTGTCAGACATACCTGACGTCGACTTGTTCGATTATCAGGCATTGCCAGCCTATGTCACCTCCTCTGTGGACGAAGAGCTGCGCGAGATCGCGCAGCGTGAGCATGCTCAATTCTGTGGCTCCACCAGCAGCTTGACGAGCATGCTGAGTCAAGTCTACTTCCTCATTAGCGGATGGAAGGCGCCATCTACTAAAGATTACTCCGAAGACTTTGCGGAAGAGCCCAAGGGCTTTTCTATGGCTGCCAAACTACCTGCTCTGATTGGCCTAAAGCCACGGGCTTCGACCGATCCGACCAGCCCTCATAGGACGTACTATGCTATCGATCAGGACAAGGGTAAGGTGGACCCTTCATCAAATTCTAATTATGTTCTGCAGAACCTAGGCAAGGCTATGGAGAAGATGCTCACTGCGACCCCAGAAGAATTTGCGTCGTACCTGCGGGTGAATCGCCCCTCAGGCCCACCTACCCCAGACTCTGTAAAGGAGGCATACCACTACGCAAAAGCGGGAAGCAACTTCTTGATGCGCAGTCAATTGGACTGTCACGACGCTCGTCTCCCACGGGCGACTTTTGATCTGAAGACCAGGGCTGTCGTCAGCGTACGACACGATCGAGCCAATTGGGTCGAGGCGAGCGGATACCAGATCAACGCCATGAAAGGCCTCTTTCAATCTTACGAGAGAGAGAGGTATGACATGGCGCGCTCGGCTTGGCTGAAGTACTTCTTTCAGGCGAAGATCGGCTGTATGGACGGTATCCTTGTTGCGTACCACAATTCTGCACAAGTATTCGGGTTCGAGTACTTCCCACTCGAAGATATGGCGGAGAGGATCTTTGGCAGCATGGAGATGGCTGATCAGGCCTTCAAGCTGTCGGTGGCTCTGTCCGAGAGGATCTTGCAAAGAGCAATTGAATTATACCCAGATAGGGTGAGTACTATTATTGTCATGACGGTCGCGATGCAGAAATCGCTGACAATGTTTCCTGTCTGTATCTCAGCAATTGAGCCTCACCCTCGAAACAAAAGAGCCGCCGAGGACCAGACGCAGCAGCAGCAGCCAAGAAGTTGACCCCAACGCGGATCTGATGAGAGTCTGGGTCGAGCCGTCCGACGCTCGTCAAGAAGGCGAAGAAAGCGCAGAAGATGATGGCTCGATCAAGGAGAGGAAGATTACTCAATTCGATGTAACAGTGGATAGATACATGTGGGACCGAATCATTCAGGGACCCGTCGACTTCGATGCCTTCAAGATGAAGCCCAGCACAACAAAGGGCAACCAGGCAGAAGAGGTTTCTCTACGACCCTTCGACCTGCAAGTCGAGTATACCATTCGTCCCCGAGGGGACCTCTCTGAGAATGCCACCTACGCAAATCATGACACCGCAGTGAAGAGACTCAAGTCTATGGCAGCCCTTATCTTGCCGAATTTGGAAGCGACAAACGCACGAGAGCGACGTTTGGAGGCAGAATTGTCGAAGAATCCAGAAGCTCTGCAGAGGTACAAGGAAGACAAGAAGAGCGGCATTGCGCCTGGTATGCCTCGTGCGCCTGGCCAGATCGACCTCTTCCGCCTGGACGATGAAGGATCTGTGGAGACTCCTGATTCTGACTCTGGGCTCGACGACGGATCAGAGGAAGATGCTATGATCAGTGAAGCAGAGGCAGCTATCACAAAGGGTCAGGGTCAGTGGAGAGCTGCTGGAGAGAATATCTGGTCTTTGAGGAAGCTAGCGCAGAAGGGTGCTCGGGATAGGGAAGCGGAAAGGGCCCAGCCCTAAGCGAGGTGGGGGCGAAGGATCAGGTAGATGGACATCTGACAAGAATCATCAGTAGAGCACTCCGTCGCACTTGCCGCAACTACAACACATTGTATCAGTATCAACTCATCACCAATGATCACCTTTTCATTATTGATCCCTTGCGAATCGATCGACTGTAGGTTTTGTCTCATGACACCTGGGCAAGAGTGTGTGTGTGCCTTTGGTGTGAGCAAAATGTCCGCCTTTGTTCTGCCGCCTTGCGTCATCAGCCCCGCACAGACGCCCTTTTTTGGGTCCAACAGATTTACACCAAAGGGCACAGTCAGCCAGAGGAGCCCATCCATCCTCTTGAGACATACATTCTCTTCCCTTGATACCCCTTGGGTCATACCCGGCATATCCTCCTCTGCTTGACCTTCGGCATCATTGCTCGGCGCATCCATCGTTACTTGGCAAGAAGGCCGTCCAACGACTGCCTCTTAAGGCTCGGCCGGGGTGATTAGTTTGTGACATCCTACCAACACATCGAGGTGCGCCCATAGACTGACCCAGGCGAGCTGAGCAGCTCCCGTCTCGCTCGAAAATGGACTATGGAAGCCATAGCGGGGGCGGAGGTGGTGTGTACAGGTGAGTCATGTGTGCTCTGTGCGAATTCGATCTACAAAGACCTGCATTCTGACCCTGACTGCTCTTCCTTGTGACGAGTAGCATGTTTGGCGCACAGGCATCGCAGCTTCTGGCTGAGCAGGCGTCTGCAGAACCGTCCGGAAGCAACCAGTATGACTGGGACGCACAACAAGCTCCCGCTTCGAATGAGCTGGATTTGGTCTTTGTGAGTCAGACAAGGGGAGGGGAATTCTGCTAGCTAGGCCTCCGAGGGCTGCGCTCTGTAGCTGACACCACTGCTCCTGCTTCCATACTGCCTGCGCCTGGATAGATAATGGACGCAACGGGCTCAATGGGATCGTATATAGACTCAGCTACCAAGAACATTGAAACCATCTGCGACAACATTATCCAATCCGAAAAGCTCTCCACGACCGGAGCGCTTAGAGTGGGACTCGTCTCGTTCCGAGACCATCCTCCGCAAGACTATACGTACGTGACCAAGAACTTCGGCTTCACTTCTAGCATCGCAGAGATGAAAGAGAACCTTGCGGGGCTGTATGCATCGGGAGGCGGTGATGGCCCAGAGGCAGTGACGGCGGCGCTCAAGTGCACACTAGACCTGGATTGGCGGCCGTCCGCTACCAGGCTCGCCGTCTTGATTACAGACGCTCCTCCTCACGGCATCGGCGAGTACGGCGATGGCTTTCCAAAGGGCTCTCCCGATGGCAGCGACCCTCTTGTCTTGGTGCGACAGATGGCCCAGATGGGTATTTCGCTCTTCATGGTAGCTTGCGAGCCAGGCCTATCATCCTACAGCAACGCTGCAGACTTCTACCAAGGCATAGTCCGTGTCACCTCGGGCCTGCTGGTACCTCTCACCACAGCCTCTCTCCTGACTCACGTCATCATCGCAGCAGCCGGAGAGGCGATGGCTCTGAATCGTCTGCACACGGAAGTGGGCGATGCAGTTGTGGAGCGTCTGAAATCTCTCAGTCTCGAGGCAGCTTCGAGCGAGCGGCCTCCGGCGGTATCAGACTTGATGGACGAAGTGGCGAGGGATCTCCATCAGCGCCTGTTGTTGCGCAATGAGAACACAAAGCAGCTAGTGGTAGAGAGCATCTATAGGGATTCGGATGAGGCAAGACAGAACATCGAGGTGTGGAGTACGGCCCCGGACGTTGAGACCGCGAAGCCGCACATCCAGAAGGTGAGCTCGGGATAGTGTGCTCTCGACAGACATTGAAGTTACTAACGCGACTTGTTCATTCATTGCTTGTCGTACAGGTATACGGCTCTCGACTCTCCGACAAGTGGCTGTCGACTCGTCAGACCAGCAGCTCTCTGACCTCGCACGCTCCCTTCCCACGCTCGAGAGCCGGAGGCGGTAGCTCCTCCTCTTCCACCTCGTCTACTTGGAACAATGTCTCCTCCACTTCCTCGGCTTCAAACCCTTCCCCATCCTCGCGCAAGGTGGTCAGCAACTTCTCAACATTCTCGGCCGGCACAGGAATGAGTATGAGTGGGTCTCCCTCTTTCGGATCGCCTCAGCGCTTCGGCGGGACAAGCACAAGTGCTGCCTTCTCAGCGGGCTCTCCCGAAGGGAACAAAAGTCCAGCTTTTTACGGTGCAAGAGGCCAACAGGGAGGGAGCAGGATGGGTGTTCGTGATGACGACGATGACGACGACGATGATGACGACAAAGAGGAAGAAGACAGGCCTCTACCTGTGGCGGTTGAGACGGACGAAGGGGCGCTGGAGTTTGCCGGAGAAGATGGGTCCAAGTTGCGCCTCAAGCAGGGCGCGATCTCCCTAGATCAGGTGAGTCCGAGCACTTCCACAAGCGCTGATGACTCCAGTCCCGAGATGTTTGCAGCCTACTGACAGGATTACCACCTTCTTCTCCACCACTTCAGGCAAGACGACTGGCCATGTCAAGTGCCTACAGAGGTGGTCTAGCATGATGATCCTCATCCCCATTCCCTTCTCCTAAGACTTCGTATAATACCATTCCCTCCATGCCCGCTCCTTGCCTTGATTGGCTTTTTGGCCCGTGTACCTTTCTGTGAAAATTGAGCGGCCGGAGCGATCCATCGTCGGACTTTCGGGCTCTGTCCGTAGTCCGGCCGTGTTCCCATCACTGCAGGCAATGACGCCATATCGACATCGACAAATCCCTGTGAGCCACACACACACACACTATACCTCCGAACTCTCATGCCGTCGATCGTTGGTCGGATGGCTGTGAACGATATCGACACTGCATCGTTGCCGACGGAGAGTTGTTGCTACGCCCTGAATGGCAGCTACAGTGTTCAGGTTCGGCCATCCCTTTTTTTCCTCCAAAGCTCCGCGGTGTTTGGTGCTTTGCTCTGAGTACCAGCTGAGCTTGCTCTCCAACACAGCGCCATGCTCGTCCCCCTGGAGTTGGCGTCGGATTGTTCAGGGCGCTCGAAACGCCGCTGCGGTCTTTGGTGGCTTGCTCTCACCTACAGCGAGCTGAGGTCTCTTTTGCTTTGCTTGTTTTTTGCTCTGTAGCAACGTCCGTGTCGCTAAATTGGCAAGGGCTGCACCCCCTCGTCGGCTGGAGATCGTCTGTGGTAAAGCGAAAAGTAGGAGGGAGCGAGGGGGCGTCAGGCAGAAGGGATGAATCGAGTGTAGTCTGCGGTACGAGATTGGTATGTGCCTCCGGGTGAAGAGGTCCGGATGATGGTTTGCGATGCTGAGTGGTAGCAAATGTGAATGGGAGCGGACGATGGAGGACGGAGGGTAATGGGTAGTGGTCTGAATGGGTCAGGCGAAAGGTATAGATAGTCCCAGTGTCGGTGTACCCCCTCAAGACTGTGTTACGAGGATCAGCCCCCACTCATCCGAACAGACCCCTTGATACCCCGGGCATCATTCTGTCGAATTTCGCTCCTACTATTCAACACCGTCCCAAGATGACATCCTCGCCTGAACTTCCCTCTCGCTTGAGCGGTACCGAGCATGCCGGAAGAGGCCTCTCTGTATTCGACGACAATTGCAACTCTGGTGACGCTGCTCAACACACCTTTGATGCCAAGACCGAGAAAGGGCTTGCAGAGCCCTTGGCGCACCTTGAAGACAAGAGAAGGACCGCCGCGATCATGCGTCGACTGGACATAAGGATCCTCCCCGTTGCGGCTTTGCTGTACTTCTTCAGCTTTGTCGACCGAACGGCCATCGGCAACAGTAAAGTGGCTGGGGTGAGTCAGTCAGTCTGAGCGGGCGTAAGAGAGAGCACTCAAACTGACCCAACCTGTCGCGTGTGCAACAACAGATGGACAAGGACTTAGGTCTCACAGAGGGACAGTACGAGCTTGCGCTCAGCTGCTTCTTCATCACATATGCAATGCTGGGTAGGTAGCAAGGCCGGCTGGACATCGACGAACTGCAGGGCTCTGACACATACCACCTGCATTTTCTGCTTTTTACTCGCCAGAGGTCCCCTCCAACCTCTGCCTTCGCCGCTTCGGCGCCCGCAAGTGGCTTCCTCTTACAGCACTCCCCTGGGGCCTTCTCATGATCCTCACAGGCACCGTGCAGGACTACCGAGGCCTCATCGTCTGCCGAACACTTCTCGGCGTCTTCGAAGCGGGTATCGCGCCGGGACTGGCTCTCATGCTCAGCCTTGTTTACCCGCAGTCCGCTATACAGCTGCGCATCGCCCTCTTCTTCGCCGCTGCCAGTCTGGGTGGCGCATTTGGAGGGTTGCTGGCGTATGGACTGTCGAAGAGTGAGTCAGCTTGCCATGTCAGCAATGAGACTTTCAGGTGCTCGCATGGTCTCATCTTCTGCGACCCATCCCACTCCTTCCCTGTCTCGCAGTCCAGACTGTAGGCTTCGACGGCTGGAGATGGATCTTCACAATCGAAGGTGAGTGCATCGAGGAAGTTGCTCACGCTGTTCCCCAATGTTATATCGTTGACGCTTGCTTGCTTTGTTGTCTGCAGGAATCTTGACCATGCTTTCAGCGATTCCCGCGTACTGCTTCCTCTGCAATGGATTAGAGGATGCCAAGGGCATCTCCGATGACGACAGGGCGTACATGAAGGAGCGTATAATTCATGACGGCTCCCAAGGAGGGGTGATCGAGGTGAAGTTCAAGGTTCAATACATCTGGGATGCTTTTAAGGACTTCAAGGTAGGTCGCGGTAGAGCCTCACTCTCACGCAGGTATATGATACTGGGTACTGAGACCTCCATTTTTTTCTTCTTCTTCTGCTGCCACAGGTTTACATCCTGGCTTGCATCTTCGGCCTCACGGCAGTCCCCGCTGTGACTTTTGCTCTCACCTTACCAGTGCTCCTCAACACTTCCTTTGGCTACGATCACATCAAGTCGCAATTGATGACGGTGCCTGTCTACCTCCTTGCCGTAGTCGGCGTCATTCTCTTTGCCTGTCTTTCCGATCGCCATCAGGCCCGCATCCTTTACTACATCATAGCCATGACCATCGCTCTCATCGGTTGTCTTATCTCCTTCAAGTCCGACGATCCCAAGGTACGCTACGCTGGCTCCTTCTTGGCGGTCCCTGGCGTCTTCGCTGCTGCGCCGTGCCACATCGCCCTCGGCTCCCAGAACCTAGCCCACAAGACGAAGAGGGGCACGGGATTGGCGATCCTCATGACCTTTTCGGCCATTGTTCCCACTACCAGCTCTGCCCTCTTTCCCACCAACGAGGCACCTCGTTACCCCACAGGCCACAAGGTCTGCATCTCTTGCGGTGTGCTTGGCATCGCTTTTGCCATCGCTTATGGCTATGCTCTCAAGTGGGAGAACGACAAGAAGAGACAGATGAGGGAGAGCGGTGAGGCTGAAAGATTGACCAGGGAGGAGCTGATCGACCTGGGCGACAAGAGTCCTTACTTTGTATATCGCTTCTGACATGAAAGAAGTCAGAGCCCCATGTAGGTTTTACGAGCCATTGTACATGCCGAGATAGGCGACATCGAGAGGCAGGGTGCCTTGAGCAATGAGATATTTTCTTCTTTCGTCTTACTTGATCTTATTTTGAGCCGAAGCTGAGTGCGTAGCATCTAGCTGCCTCCAGGCTTGCCAAGCCCAAGGCACAGTGATGGCTGCTGCAGCCCACAATGAGAACGCAAAGGCGGCCATTTCACCCGCTGCAAAATCTGATCTCTTCGTCGGAACGCCCAAGGCCATCTTCAGATGCTCGGGTAAGATGTTTGCAATGGCACTGGCTAGTGCAGAGCAAAAGACGAGGGTGAATCGCTCGATGTGGATTGTGAGTCCAACGAGAGTCTGCATGGTGGCCCACCTCTTGTGCTCGGCAATGCGGCGCGAGCGAGCCGTCGTGACAGTCTTGTAGGCTGTGAACAAGAAGATAGTGGAGATGATCCAGCCAAAGACCTCAGAAGTGGGCCAAAGCACCCCTCTCAGAAGAGGCCTGAGTACACTTGGCGTAGAGGAATGGGCTGCAAGGGAAGCAAATGGGCGATGGAGGTGCAACGCGTCCTCGTGTGTGTAGAAGACACCTTTCGCTTTAAAGAAGAAAGGTGTGATAGCCAGAGGGAGGGCAGATAGGAGAATCAACCTGCCAAGGACTCGATGGAGAGCTCGATAGCGGTTGCGCAGATAGGTCGAATGCTGAAGCGGAATGAAGAAGGTCCACAAAGCACTGAGCGCTCAGGCGGGACGAGCAGAGATCCGATAGCCGGGCGAATCAGCCATGATCAGGCGGACCACAATTTCTTAGCCAGTAACTCACGCAGGCAGGACGTGCCCAGCCCCATACAACCAAGGCTCCTTCGCTATATTGCCCAAGGTGAAAATCTGCCCTTCCAGATTCCTGATCTGCCCCAGAAAAGGGGCAGCATTTGCTGTCTCCGTGGTCTTCCGCACCATTTCTTTCGAAAATTCAGAGTTTGGAGTGAGATACTGCAGTACTGCAAACCCTGTCACGAGGACAGTGAAGGATGAGAGGAAGAGGAGCAGACCAGGTGAGATGCGGTCCAGCTGAGACACGGCTCCGATGAAAGGTCTACGCATGTCGGACCCTTTGCCGCCAGCCGACGTAAGTATCGACGATGTCATGTCGATCTGAAGATGGGGAGAGACGGCATCTGTACGAATGCCAGGTTGCACGCCTACTCGTTAGTGCTATCTGCAATGACTTCGCGGGATGCTGGACTGAGCAGCTGAGCAGCGACTGAGGAAGCCACCCCGATCTTCCCCAGATTCCCGACGCCGACTCCACTCAACAGTCAACTCCGCCTCCGCCGTTCCGTTCCTGCACGCATTATGGGCCGGTCACCCCGCTCTTTTGGCTTATCGTACCTACTTCTTCGCCGAGCCTGCAGCCACAAGCGTCATGACAGTGTCAAAGACGCAGATTATCATCGTGGGAGGAGGTATTATGGGTGTGTGTACCGCATACTATCTCACTCGTGAAGAGGCTTATCGGGACGGAGACCTCGATGTGATCTTGGTGGAAGAAGGAGAGATTGCAGGAGGTGCTTCTGGTAAAGGTATGTCCGGACCAACCACGTCGGGGCAGGAATCTCGCCAGCACTGACATTAGAGCGCTTTCTTATGTGTATCAGCTGCCGGCTTTATTGCACGGGACTGGCACGGGGCCCCGACGCGAGTGAGTACGCTCAGCTGGGACACGCTCCTCCGCAAGCCTTCTGACGCTCTCCATTCCCGCCCCGGCAGTCTCTCGGCGAGCTCTCTTGGCATCTTCATGATCAGCTAGCCGCCGAGCTAGGGGGAGACAAGGCGTACGGGTACCGTCGGGTCAAGAGCTACTCGCTAGACGCCAAGCCAGCTTCACAGAGAAGGCATGTAGGGGCTTCTAAGCCGGTGAGCAGAGAGGCGAATCCTTCTGAGATGCAGGCCCCTACGCGAGCCCTGCCTCACCCGCAAGACTGGCTGTCTTTACCCTCCGGTACCGAAGCTGCGGAGAGGACCCTCGGCTGGCTGGACTCTCATAGTGTCACAGACCTGAGAGAGCTCGGAGACGAGGACACTACGGCTCAGGTCACTCCGGAGCTGTTTGTTCAAACATTGTGGAAGGAGTGTCTAGCTGCTGGGGTGAAGCATGTGCGTGGCAAGGCAGTGGGATCAAAGCGCAATGCAGACGGTAGTGTTGCGTCTATATCTGTAGAGACTGGGGCGCATGACACGATTCCGTTGGCTACGGATAAGCTACTGCTGGCCGCCGGACCCTGGACTGGCAAAGTCGCCCAATCCGTCCTCGGCGTCCAAGTACCGATACGAGAGTTGGCTGGCCACTCGATCATCTATAGACCCACCGAGGCATTGCCTGCGGAAGCTATCTTCGCGGCTGTGAGAGATCATGGCGTGACGAACGGTCCAGAGATTTTTACACGGCCTGATGGGACTCTTTACATTGCGGGGGAGAACAGTGAGTGGCAGGTACCATGACGAGGGCCAATCTCTTCAACATAAACTGAGCACATCTTCTGTTACGTAACAGGCGGTGCGCCCCTTCCTCCCGGAACTTCAACGGTCACCCTGAGCGAGCCATCAGTGGACCGCCTCAAGAAGTGCATGGCCATCCTATCCCCTGCCATTGCCGAGGGCGAGATTGTGTCGATCAATCTCTGCTATCGGCCCATTACTTCTTCGGGCTATCCCTTCATTTCACCGCTGTCTGCAGTACCTAATGCGTGGGTCTGCGCTGGACATGGGCCTTGGGGGATCACCTTAGCCCCTGGGAGCGGCAAGGTGGTGAGCGAGATGATCCTCGGGAAGGCTACGAAGAGCGCAGACGTGAGCTTGCTTGGGCTGCCGAGGTCTTCCTGAGGCGGGAGCCAAGAAAGGGAGATGTGAGCGGACATTGAATCTCACGTCCCTTGTTCGTCTCGTCGGATGCAGCGGAACGGCGGCGCGGTGAAGAAGCGGGGAGCCGAGGCGGGGGACGGGCGAGTGCAGGGAGACAGGCAGACGGATGGACAGGGCATGGCGGCGAGCGGGTCATCCTAGCTACCACTACCGCTACCCTCGATCAAGGATCATCACCACCTGTGCCAGCACTACCACTGCTGTCTCTTCGTTCTCCTTCTTCTTCTTCTTCACCTTCACCCCACGTTCCACCCGGCTGGACATCGCCTGTGCCCGGCCTGCGTGCTTACCTTTGCCCGTCTGCATTGCTTGCGGGTCGGAGGTGCTGCTCTTTGCTGCCACACCCGCCCAACGACGTCTGCGTAACTCCGGCTCACGTCGGCAGGATCCAGGAACTGCTGCTGCTGCTGCTGCTGCCGCCCCCGCGATTGCCGCCACTGCAGTCCCGCCCCCGTCGATCCCCACACTTCTGCCCCACCTCGCCATCTCTATCCACCACCTCACTCCCGTCGCCCGCCCCCCCGCGCTAGCCCTCGTCCATCGGCCGGAGAGGTAGCTTAGGTACATGGGCCTTCCTGTGGGTACCTGAGTCAACTCCCTCTTCATACCCTTTTCGCACCACGCCTGCCCCACACATCAGCGGCATACTTCATCTTCACCTCCTCTCAGCTTTCCACCGACTGCTGAGAGTAGTAGAGGAGAAAAGAACCGCCCGGCAAGCAGTCTCAGCATGCCTCACAACCTCTCGGCTTTGCCTGGGCCCTTTCTCGAGCTTTCCACTGCCAATCTGCACCTGAATGATCTCAGTGTTGATCAACTGGCTGCACTATGGAACGGTAAGTAACGAGGTCTTGCAAGGCGAGGGCGAGCGAGCATCACAAGGCTGACTTTCTCTGGCCTCCATGATGTGTCCTCCAACCTTCTTCCGATCCAGTCTTCACCAAAGTCGGCGATTCCTTGCACAAAGGAAGGCGGTTGGAGAACTTCGTATGGAGAGCATGGCATAGAGAGGCACATCTGGTGAGTCTACGCAAGCCTTGAGTGGTATTGCAGGTATAGGCGATCGTGAGCAGATACGGGCCTGCAAGACTGTCTATGACCACAATCCTTACGATCTCACATACTCTTGCTTGCCTGGACATCCACCACCACAGCTGCCGCCTGATAGTTCTTGGTCAGACTTTGCCGACTGTACGCCTCTAGAGACACCAGCGATAAGTCGGGCCGGCAGCATATCACATGGTCTGCAGCGAAGGCCGATCGTAGCTCAGATCACACCGGGATACTGGGCAGCAAAGCAAGCGGATGAGAATGCTCCTTCTGATCCAGAGAGCGGGGCTGACTGGAGTGATGACAGTGAAGAAGAAGGAGAGCTCCGGACAAAAGGTGCTGGGAAAGCGTCACGGAGTAATGCTGCTGCTGGACCATCATCAGGGAAGCAAGCTGAAGCCCCAAGCAGGCCACGCCAACCGTCAGCGGACAGAGGCAGACCTTCCGATCGAGATTCTAACCCGCAGTACAACAACGCTGCTGGTGCAACAGCAGACAGCTCAGCCCTTCAGTCGCCTCCATCACTTGCTGCAGCCTCCATTGCGAGGAGGCGGATTGGCGATACCCTTTCATTAGGCGCGAGCGAAGCAGTCAACGATCGCAAGCGGGCTGCCTCGTCCTCTTCCTCCGCTTTTGGCAGTCGAGCCCGGGTACGCTACTCCAACCTACGGAAGGCCAACCGTTCCCGGCCCCTGAGCTTTCAAGCAGCTCTGGAAAGTCTGGCGACTGGCACAGAGTCTGATGATCTCACGCGCCTGGCACAGGAGCATCAAAGGCGTGGTCTGGGGGTGGCTCACGAGAGAAGATCTTTCCAGGGACCAGAAGCCATCGATATGCTCAAGTCGAACAGCCCGCAAACCCAGGCAGCGGAAGACGAGCTGATAGCTGCGTCCCATTCAAGTGCTCCTGCTGGTTCTGGCTTCGAAGCCAGACACGCTGGTATTCCAGACGATGCCAGACCCTCTTCCATCCGAACGGATTCGGTAGGAACTCTGGAGACCGTGAAAGGCGAGCCCGCTGGTGAGAATTCTAGAGCAGAGCCTACAATGCCGCTGCCGACCGAGCCTGTGCAGCATAGCTCGGTCTCCACCAATCGTACAGAAAGGAGTCCAAGCAAGATAGCAGAATCTCAGCCCCAGCCGGTACCAGCAAGCACGAAGGAGCGTGAATCCAACAAGGAGAGCCCACGTGCTGCGCGAGGCCAAGATTCAAAGAAAGCAAAGTTCTTCCTCTCTGCCTCTGTCAGCAAAAGCTACGACGACGACGCTCATGACTACCATGACGACAATGCTGGTCGATCTCAGCCTGCGCTTGAGAACCGCACTGTTTCGGATGCTGCTGGCACTGGCCTCTCAACGTCGCAACAAGAGGATGGAAAGTCGGAAGCAGCTCCTCTTAAGCCCAACAAGAGCAGGACTGACGTACGGTCGGGTGGTCTGAGTAGCGCCCACAGGAATCGATCCGGCGCAAGCCTTCACAAAGGAAAGGGCAAAGTAAGCGGTGGCAGGGGTAGCACAGGCCGTCTGGCTGCTGCGGGACTCACGATGACGAAAGCTGCTGCTGCCACAGGTGCAGCCCCACCAGTGACGCTCGCTCCTTCTGCAGCCACGAAGGGGCCTGCAAAACCTGCTCTGGTGACGAAGCAACAGCATGCGAAGAAGAACAAGCCAGTGAAGTTTATCATGGGTGCAGACGAGGAAGAAGACGAGGACGAGGAGGATGGCTTCTCCGACGAGGAGTCTGAACCAGAGGCAAAAACTGCACCAGCTCTGAACGCCAAGAAAGCCGACGTCGCTCCCACCAGCACCGCGACGCCGGCCGAATCCACAACCAGTAGGGAAGATCAAGCCGCAGTGCAGGCAGATAAGCGTCAAAGTATACCCGAGCCTGCGAAGGAAGTAGTTCAGGATGATGAGTGGCAGAACGACGACGAAGACGAGTGGTCAAGCGACACGTCTGCTGAGGCAGAGGAAGAACGTCGCCGTGCTGACGAAGCTGCTCGCCGTCGTCGCCGTGCAGAGGAAGAGCATCAGAAGTCATTGTTCCAGAAGATTCCGGTACGGTCTGCCAGTACCGCAGATCTTCCCAACGTTGTCCCGGCGAGACCGAAGACTCCCCTGCAGGCTAGCCAACCACAAGTACAACCTGCACCTGCACGTGGATTGCTCAGCTCGCTCTTCCATCCGGAGCAGGAGCCGCACCCGCCTCCGGGACAGCTTCATGGACGTCCGCATGCCTCCGCTGCTGATCTTCGTGGCAGTTCGGGCGCTACGATTGTTCGTCCATCCTCGACCACTGGGCAAAAGAGCGAGCGCAGGCAACATAGGCCTCCTTCGCTCATTGGTAGTCTACCCCGTGCGTCCGACGCTGGAGGTCCCCTCCGATCCAAGAGTGCCGTTGCTTTGCCTGTTCTCAACACGACAACGACAACGACAACGATGCTTGACGCAGGCAGCGGAGCGTTAGATTCGGATGCGGAAGACGAGTACCTCACTACAGCTTCTCGTCCACGGGGCAAAAGTACTTCCTCTCGCAGGTCCGACTCGCGCAGATCGTCGAGAGGTGACGCCACCGTCGCTGAGTCGACCGCTTCGACCGAAAGGATGCTCCAGCAACAACAGGTATCCCGTCAGAGGAGATCCGCCTCCAACGATCGATCTCCTCAGCGAGCCGCATCCGCTGGTGATGCCTCGCCACCCGCCCCTCCAGAGCCGGTCTCGGCGACAGGCGTCTCCTCCCACCGAAGGGAATCTATGCCTCTGCCGACGCCGGCGGCGCCTCAGACGCCTCGCACCACGAGGAGGAACATGTTGCGCGATGAGCTCTCCGAAAGTCTGAGACAGAATTTGCTGTGGGAGCGACAGTCGAGAAACAGGATGCTAGGTATCGGAGGCAATCCCTCTACTGCGGCTAGTCGGGTCACGAATTCAGCTGCACAAGCGAGTAGAGCAGGAGATGCCCCTCCTGTAGCTCCTGTTGCGAGAGCCCCGAGAAGGGAAACCGTACTCGGTGGTGGACCTCTTCGACCCCTCACGCAAGGCCACACTCACAATGCTAGCGATCAGTACGCTGCTGCTACCGCTAGGCTTGGTGAGCCTCAAGGCGGAACGAGCCAGAGAACTTCATCGATCCATCAACACTCGCGCTCTACACCACACCTTCCGCACGCAGCTTCGAACGCTCATCATCAGCACAATACTCCCGGAGGACACGGTAGTGGCAATGGCAACGGCCATGACGGGTTGCTCCACCCGCCCGCCTTCAATCGTAGCCAGAGTGGGCCTGCTAGCCGACCCAACAGCGCTCAGACTTCGGATGAGGAAGGCAGTAGCAGTAGCGATTTGCGGCGCAATATGGACGAATCCGGACACGGCGGAGCAGATCGTGGAAGGGGAGGGGGGAGAAAGAAGGTCATGTGGCCTGGTGGATTCCCAAATTATCACCAGCACGGCTGGTGAGAACTTTACTTGGAGGACAGAAGATGGCAAAGTAGGCCAGTCCTGCCTCGGACTATTGACTCCACGCTCCTACACTACGTTCTCCCGCCCATGTCAGTTTCCTCGGCTCACTTCTGGGATTCCGTGCCTCATGTTGCCCTGTTGTCACCCGTATCATCCATCGATCCGTCCATCCATCCATCGATCTGAATAGCTTTTCCGGTACACAGCTCCACCGCATACCCTGTTGCGGCGCTCTTAACCTATCATTCATCTTTGAATCAATCACATCGCCGATGGGCGCTCTGCATCCCCTTGTGCGTCATTTCTGTCGTGAACTGCGATGGTCCCGCTGCCTTCTGTCCGAGCGCTGTGCGCCAAGTCCCATGCGCCACACATCCACTCTCGGAAAGAAGGCCGAGACATTTTTCGATACGCCAGGCTCAAGTGAGACATCCGAACTTGCTCATTTGCTTCATTTCATATGCGCCTTTACTGCGCCCTTTGCCTCCGTCCGTCCGAAATGATCTCTCTAGCTACTGGGTGTGAGGCAGCGTTCGTCTCGGTGACTGTCTCATCTCTCGTCGAGGGTCCATATCGAGCCGAGGGTTCGGATTGACCAGGCGAGGTGAAGGTCGTGTGGGGATCGAGGGCTGGGCGGTGTAGGCGAGGGCGGAGTGCAGTCAGGGTGCAGCAACGAAGAGGAGGCGCGGAGTACCGCACCTCGGCAACCAGACCAAGGGTCGTGGGAGGGCCACTGAGCCGACGCAATGCAATGCCAGGCGCATCGTCAGTGCTGCAAGACCGGCAAGAAAAAAGGAAGGCATCGCGGGGGAACAGAGAGGAGGGGCAGTTGGAGTGCGAAGAGCTGTCCCGCCGACATGAGGCTGCAGCAGGCAAGGCGTGAAAGGACGACTTGGAGGCTCAGACAAATGAAGACGATGGATGCATTGAGCAGCCACAGCACCCTCAAGAGGCCGCTGGGCTCCCTTGCACCTCTAATCAGTCAATCGGACCAAAGCAGCCTAGTCGCTGCCTGGGTGCCTGCCCCAACGGCGTCATGATCTCTCGTAGTGGGATCTGCCCGGTGCCCTGCCTCAGTCCTTCGCCTCTTAAGTACGATCTGCCCCGCATTCTGCACTAGACGCCCTCCTACTTCTTCCAATCTTTCCTCTCCCTTGCCGTCCCTTCCGTGCCCCACATCCTACCGGGCACCCTGTGTTTCCTTCCTATCCCCCCTCTGACAATAGTCTTACACAATGGCTACCCGGGAGCGCTCCTCCAGGAGGCGCCGTGGCTCTCCTTTCTATTCCGAGGTGGAGGAGGAAAGTGAGAATGGTGTCTATGACGACTACGATGAGATGAGCGAGGACGATGATGTCGGACACTTGGGTGAGAGCATGATCTTGCACGCCGCCAAGGTTCGAAGTGGAGGGGAGGGTACTTACAGCATTGTCTTCTTTGCTCTATTCGCAACCAGGTCCGGTATCTCGTAACAGACGTGCCTATGCCGGCGAATCTGATCTGGCGCCCCAGCAGCAGAGGCGAAGAAGTGGAAGAGCGTCTGGTCAGCCTACAAGCAGGCGTGACGTCTATCAACAGCCAGACCCAGCCTCTCGGCAGAGACGCTCAACGCGCCAGGTCTACGGTGGTGATCCCTACGAGAGGGAAGAAGAGAGCCCTTATGACTATGCTGATCGCAGAAAGTCACGCAGGAGCCTCGCACCCACTCGCAGTCGCCGAGATCTCCAGGATCCTTACGCTATGGATGACCGAGGAGGCGGATATCCTCGCGCTACCCAGTCAAAGCGGGATTTGCGGCGTCAGAGCACTAGGAACCTTGGACAGGGTACCTATGATGCCAGATATGCAGCGGATGCACCTGGCGCAGCAGACGGCTACTTCGGAGGGCACTATCACTCAGACCCGCGCTACTATCCGGAGGACGATGAGGAAGACGATTCCTCCACTCTCGTTGGCAGGCGAAGGAGCGGTGCTGCACGGAGGGGAGGGGATGGTCGAGACAGACGCAGCGGAGATGTGCGTAGGTCGATGGCTCGACCACGGGAATCGTATCAGCGTCCGCAGGAGAGGCGCGCCTACAGAGACGACGATGAGGCCGAGAGACGCCGCAGACGAAGCAGCAGACGCGACCTTGGTATGGTTGCAGGAGATTCATACGGGCGGGATTCCGATCCGATCAAGCATCGGTCTAGCAGGAGACGCGAGTCGGACCCCTACCGTGAGCGAGAGAGGGAGCAGCGACGTCCGCGTCGGGAAAGTGACCGCCGCTACAGCTCTCGCGACACTGGCCTCGGCTACCCTCGTGAGAAAGAATCTAGGCGAACTCGTGACAGGGAATTGCGGGATCGCGATCGCGACTACGACGATCGGGGTGGCAGAGAAAGGGCTTCTCGCAAGCGTCAGTCTACCCAGAAGTCACGCAGGGCCCCAGCCCCTCCATCGTACTTGATGTCCAATGTCCCCGAGCCAAATGGCCCTACAAGGTATGATCGCAGCGATAGGAGGAAGAACGACGTGCCCGACTGGAATCGTGAGTATTGCTCTTGTTGTGCTCTGGAAGAGCAAATGACGGTCGTAGACCCACTGCTGACTGCGTAAACACCGAACCTTATGCGCTTCTTCTTTTCCAGCTCTACCGACCAGCAGGAACGAGCGCTCCTACAATGATCAATACTACGAGGATGAAGATGGAGACGGCGGCTACGGCGAGGGTGACGATTATGACCGCTACTACGCGGAAGAGGACGAAGAGGTTCCTTACTACAACGGTGGCGGTCGTACTCGTGGAGGCGGTGGGTACGGACGCAGGGGCGGTCAAGATCAAAACAACTACCGTCAATCGCGTGGCCGCAATGGCGGTGGGCAGGATAGGTACTACGATCATAACAATGAAGATGTGGCAGACTATGGCAATGAAGACGGGGGAGGTCCCGTTTCCAAGATCAAGGGTAGGATCAATGGCTTGCGCGGAGGAGGAGGAGGTGGTGGAGACAATGCGGGCCCCGTCGCCAAGGTAAAGGGCAAGATCAACAATCTGCGGGGCGGTGGAGGTGGCGGAAAGGGTTACGACGATGATCAAGGTTACAGGCAGCCCAAGGAGAAGACCGGGATGATGGGCAAGGTGAAGGGGATGATGAGCAAGCTCGACATCACCGCCTAATGGACGGGGCAAGGTGAATCTGATCTGTTCTCCGATCCAACTTCTCAGTTCTGCTTGAGCTGCCGATCGTTCTCCTATCAATCAATGTCTTTCACACTTCAAGAAGAACACACGCACTTTGTATCGGCGCAGCAGAATGTGAGGTGGTGCGATGCGATTATAGGTATAATTAAAGAGTGGAATCTGATATACACAAGGGGAAAGAGTAAAGATGAACAGACGAAAGGTTTCTGTCTATGATCAGTCGCAACGGTATGCATGAAGTCGTCGGTGGGTATTGATAAGTAGCCGACTTCTCTACGTGGCAGAGGCTCGAGCTCCTCTTTCTTCTCTGTCTACGGTGGCGTTGCACCCTTGAATGCGTTCGCCTTTCCAGTGCTCATACCTCCACCAAAGAACTTCTCAATGCGTGCTCGGGTAGTCGAAGTATTCTTTCCAGGACTAGCACTACGGTGCGCACCTCTGCCGCTGAGCTGGCCTTGTCCTTCCCAAGCATGTGGAGCCTTGGCGCCTGCAGACCCCAGAAGGATGTTACCTGAATTGGCAGGGGATGGTGGGGTCAATGCAGGCTGACCGTTCGGCGTAGTTCCCGCAACGCCGAAGTACGACATCGGACGAACCGCTGCAACATTTCTTCTGGGCGGACGGGGCGGCGCAGGGGTATGGACACCTTGTCCATTTGGTGAAGAGCCAGGAGATCCGCTATGTAGCGAGGAAGGGGGGGAGAGGGCCAACGCTGGACTCGGAGAAACTGGTCGTAAGCCTGAGCTGGATCGCACATCCATATCGACACGTAGCGCCGGAACGGTGTTGTAAAGGCCCGTCATCCCTACCTCTGACTCTCCAGCTTCTTTGCGAGTAGAGTCAAGGAAGAGCGACAGAGGCTTTGTTATACCAACTCCCCCCGCAGCAGATAGCGTTGAGGATCGTCTGCGCTGGTACAATGACTGAGTCGGAGGGCGGTAGAGTGGCGAGGCGCTCCTCCCTTCCTCGTCGTTTGCTTCTGCTTCTGCTATAAGCGCTGGCTGAACTATGCGCGCCTCCTCTGAGGGTGAGAATGGGGAAGGAAGACCGCAGCTGACAGCAGAGTAGGGACTACAGTCCAACGATGCACTTTCGCTGCTGCTGGTGCTGTCCAGAGGTGGGACATCGCCCAGAGTACTTGTTCTGTCAGAAGACGTCATGTATAGTCCTAATGACGAAGGTGCTGTCTCCAGGGTCTGTGATTGTTCTCGTCCAATTGACGAGTGAGACCTTGTGGGCACTCCTTCCAGCAATTGCCTGCCATCAGGGCCGGCCAGCTGCGCTGGGTCACTTGGCGAGACAGAAGCCGAGTGGCCAGTCCAAATGAGACTGGGTCGTCGACTGCGCGTGGGAGCTTCTGACTCTGCTGGCGCAGTCTTCGGTCGGGAGAGCGGCTTTCCCCGGATCGTCTCTACAGATTGGCCGGTTGAGGTGCTGTCGGCAGGGCTTCGGTCCCCCATCGTCTTGTCCTCTGGCTTCGGTAGTCGAACTTGTCTGCTAGGTGAGTGACTGACAAGATGCATCGCATCCAGCGAAGAACCTTGGCCACGATTGCTACTGCTACTGGACAGACCGTCGCGCGAGGCAAGACGCCTCAGCAGCTTGGTCGGACTGAGAAGGGCACCCGCAGAAGCCATTGTGCGAGAGCTTCGGGAGCTGCTTGTTCGGCACATAAGCGTCGCGTCGTCTTTCTCGCGAGAAATTGAACGCGACGGCGCCATCACTGGCGCGTTCTGAATCAACTCTGTGGGCACGTCTGGCGTAGCTGCTTCACCTAGGGAAGAGGGCTTCTCCACGCGTTCGCGCCGCTCTTGCGTCAAGACGTCAACGTTCTTGCTGACGACTTGCTCGGTCTCACGGGACTCTTCTCCCGCGCTGACTTCGGATCCTGCGTGCTGCTCCTCATCATGGGGGTCCATCTGTGCCGGTGGAACGAAGACCCTTCGGTAGACGGACGCAGAATACTGCGGGTAGGTCGTTGTCAGTGCGTCGCTACGATGGACCTCGGCGTCAGACCGACTGCGAGGGCGGTGAGTGCTGCTAGTCGAGTCAGAGTTGGTGGGGACACGATTGATCGAGACCGATGATGGAGCAGCTTTCTGCGAATGAACCTTGGCGTCACCGGTCCCTGCGGCTGGAATGACGTCGGCTGTGGTACTTGATGACGACGGTCCGGATGCATACCTATGAACAGACGGTGCTCGGTCACGTCTATAGGACGTCGAAGTAGAGGGGGCATGGTCACCTACGAATGATGTCACCATGCCGTTGGAAATCGCAGGCCTATATTGGCCCTGACGAGAAGGCATTGACATCCTTCGCTTGGCCTTGGCTGGCATGAACGGTGCTGTGGTAGCCCTCGGAGACTCTTCTGGCCTGGGGAAAGCTGTCTTGAGGGGTGAGCCTTTGCCCTCGCAGCGCTCTGTTGCACCATTCTTCCCCTGTTGAACGAGGCCCTCAGTGCTTGGAGGCCTCGACAGCTTCGAACTTCGTCTCAGAAGGTGCTTGAGATCGCCTTTAGGCAGCACGGACCCCGAAGTGGTTCCGCTAGCATCTGCCGAGTTGGCCGAATGACTGCTGAGATCTCGCCCAATGAGACTGACGAGGAAATTGTTACTGCTGGTACGATGTGATAGGTGGACGCGGCTGGAGGAGCTGGTAGAGCTGACCATGCTGTTGTTCCTGGAGACAGTCGAGCCGGACACTTCAGGGTGACCCCTAGAGCTACCGCCTATGCTTACCCGATGTCCCGCGCCAAGATCTCTCCAGGCGTTCCAGGACTCGGAATGTGTTGCTCCGCTGTCATTGTTGTGAGGCAAAGAGCGGCGCCAGTGGTCGTGAGAAGGAAAGTAGGAGGACGAGCTGTTGGGTACACCAGCAGAGCCAGTCACCTTCATCTCTCTTGTTACTGTCTTGTCAGAGAAAGGGTTGTGAACCTTGAAAAGAGGTGCTGACGATGTAGAGACGCCTGTTGACCCCTTGGGACTGCTGCCTTTCTCGTGGACTGTGCTTGCAGCGTTTAGCAGACTAGCCCTTGGAGACAGATGCTGTGACGACGATCTAAACTTTCTGTCGAAGCGAGCTTCCCATTCCTCGTCAGCCTCTTTACGCCATGCCGCTGTCTGGGGAGTGGGAGGTGTGCTCTGGCTGGCGTTGAATCCGCCGTTTGAGCTTCTTTGTTTGCCAGATGGAGCGCCTTTCTCGTCTCCGGAATCGTAGGTTGAAGCGGACAGCGACTGTCTCATCTCCGCGCCATCTTCATCTTCATAATGACGAGTGGGATACGGACAGTCTTCACTGTCCGAGTCTCTACGGCCGAATGTGTCGGAGGATAATTTTCTAGAGCATTGCGCCCTTCTCCTATGCGCGAAATCGGGATTGTCATACGAGCAAGAAGTTCCCACGGTACTGCACCAGGCTGCAACCCTGACAGAGGAAGGTACCGGTAAGGGCTCCTGTACAGGAGGAGCCGAGTCCAGCGTGGACGTGACCTTGGGCAGTGTCCGAGGGCGCGCTCGTGCACTCTTTGGCGAAATGGGCGCGATGCGGCCGCTCGATTGAGGCCGACGTAATACAGGTTTACCGAAGTCTCGAGGGGACAGCACCCTGCTCGGAGATGCAGTCATGCTCTGCCGGCCGAGCGCCTCGGTGGTGTCCATCACGCGGGACGCAGCAGACGATGACGGGTGTAGATTAGGAGGAGCGTGCACCAACACAGGGTGCGAGCGCGGATCGTGAGGTTGAGTAGTGCCTCGTCTGCCCCAAGTCGAAGAACGAGAGCAACGCTCGGTACGAAGAGGTGAGAGGAATGTGGTAGAGGACAATGATGGTTAGAAAGCCTAAAGGCAAGGTCTGCGGGCAAATGTCGTGGGTCAAGGCCACACCATCCACCACTAAGCGATGGTCCCCGGTGACTGGGTGGACCCGAAGCGACGGAGGGAATCGATGTTCCTTTGTCAATGCTGTTACGTGCTCGCCTTAGCAGCCTGCAGGCACGATCGGCCCTTTTTTTCCTTAGGCCGCGGGTGCGTGGAGCTGTGGAGCTGTGTAGATGGGCAAGCTGACATTGGCGTTGCATACCTCCGCTCCAATGGACAGTCGGTAGCCCCGAGGCGTCGGAGCGTTTTGGCTGCGAGTGCTTCAAGAGCCGAAAGCGGAGCGATGCGAGCCTAATGCGCGTGGCGTAGAGGTCGGCATAGAAGCGGATCAAGCTTGGCAGTCGCGCCTTGGACCCTCGTCGGAACTCTTCTGGCACCACGCCACACTTGTCAGCCGCCCTGTGTTTGACTCGTCGATTGCAGCATTCTCATGCATCCTGCTGGCTGTCAAGCGCGTTACCATACTTCGCTTGGGCGAGATTCACCCACACTAAGACCTTTCCACGGCCTTCTGGTGAGACCATCGAGCAGGAAGCCCCGAGATGCACCGGCGAACCAGCCATCGCAACAACGAGCAGAGGACACGGGAGCCATCTACCAGACTGCCGGTCATTGCCTGATTCTCCCGAAATCGACATGTTTGCCCGCCTTCTCGTACGGATCACTCCGCTCTCTACACCGAACGTGCGGAGATTTTTAGCGCTACCTGCCATTGATCGAGCACACCGCCACTTTGGACGATTCCGTTGTTGAGCAGACCGGCGCATCCGGTCCAACCTTAGCGCGTCGCGCCGTGTGTCTCCACTCGGACGTTGCGGAAAGGTGTTTGGGAGAGATGGTATGCGGACGGAATTTCGGGGAGGCTGTGCTGACATAAAGTTCGCATGCCGACGCTCGCCCTCACCACTAGAGGCGCGGGATCTATGCAGCGACGACAACAATCACACAGACGTGGCCCAGTGTACCTCGAATTCCCCCAAACGTCCATTCGTAGACAATGACGAAAGCAAAGATAATAATGGAATTTTCCCAAGTGGCTTAGCTCCGTCCTCCACTCGCAAACAGACATGAGCAAGTGAGCGGGGTGAACAAAGGCTCGGGAAAGTCGGTCACGGATTCACTGCTTGATTGCCGTGCGCATCCACGGCCGGGATGACCTTGCCCTCCGCCAATGAGCCTTGGCGAGGACCCGGACTGCTGGATCGATCGCCGCTTTCTCCCTTGCCGATGCCGACGTCTTTCCCGGCAGGAGATGGAGTGGGAGATACGGCGCCAATCCCGCTCGTGGGTGCACCCGGTGGGGGCGGTCGAGCGATTGGAGAAGGCGTGGGGCCCGTTTGAACACTGGGTGTGGGTGCGACTCCGTGCGGTTGGCTGGCAGCGAGGTTCTTGTGCAAGTTTCCGTTGATCGCATTGGTGCTAACAGAACCTTGTGAAGAGCTTGAGATGGCCGTCGCAGCGAGAGGCGTGCCATCGCTAGCTCCGCTGTTGAACCTTGGTAGCGGACCTAAACTCCGCCCTGAGCCCCCGCTGGGACTAGGGCTGACGCCCCTCATACTATTCGAACCGATGGTGCCACTGCCCGTCAAGGCTTCTCCTAGGCTCATAGGCGGAGGTCCACCGTTGCTGCCGGGCGAGATCGAGGGCCCGGACAAGGGAGACCGAGCTACGGAGCTGTTGGGTCGGCGGATAGGGAATGAGCCGGCAGCTCCTGCGTTCTTGGAGCTGCGAGCAGCTCCGTTGCTATTGCCATTGCCGGAGACCTGCAGTTTGGGACTAGCCAAGGGGCCAGGTGACGAAGTCTGACCCTCCACAGATGGCGCAGAACCCGTAAAGCTGTGTGAGGGAGATTGAGGTGGAGAGGCCACCGATTGTGTCGCTTGCGCAACAGTGCGTGGACCCTCGCTGGGGCTCGACATCATCACATTACCATCAGGACCAAAGCTGGCGAATCTGGCCGGGGGAGCAGCGGACTGACCAGGAGACTGAGAAGTCACAGGGACGGGGTTGACTGCGCCGGGCCTCACTGGTGCAGCAGAGGACATGGACGGGCTACGGAATTGGCTAGTCGGAGGCCCCATGGAGTTATCGTGGGTCCGAGCAGGTTGAGCCTGAGCAGGCTCTTGGGCCTTTGTAGATCCATTGGCATTGAAGGTGTTCCGTTCAGCAGGACTGGAAGGCAGGCCGTTCATCGGCGCTGATGAGCCGTCACCTGATGAGCCGTCACCTGAAGCCGAAGGAGCGGGTGCCGATAGCTGTGAAGGCGGCAGTGGTTGCAGAGCTTGGATCTGCTGAGGTTGCATCTGCGGTGGTTGAGGCTGTTGCACTTCAACAGCCGGAGACTCCATCGTACCGGATCCGTTCAGTTGCACTTTGTCAGACAGTGTAGGAGGCTCAGCGACCGGGCGCGAGTCCGTCTCGGGCTGCGCGTCCGACTCCACCTTTACCTCTGCAATTACCAAGCCTCTGGCAAGTCTGAAGGCATCAATCTTGCCCGCAATCTCATCTCTATTGATTCTGTCTGGCTCCCGCCTGGCACTGCATTTCGTGCAGAAGAAGTCTTCTTCATCCCAATTGCGAGGTGGCTGAGTCAACCAGGCATCGAAGTCGTCCCAGCACTTGGTATGTTGCCAGACGAGGCAGGACTCGCAGCAGACGATCTGCTCATCAGGACCGAGCTCCGGATTCCGACCGGACTTGTGGCAGATCTCGCAGCTGTTCGTGGACAAAGAGAAGGTGTCTGATGGTCAGCGGCAAGGCTCGTGACCTCCTGCAGGACTTCTATATACTCACCCCAACTCCCAGTCTTCATCTTGATCTTCTCCTCCCTCGTCCTTGGCCTGAGACTCAGACTCGTCTTCCTGTAGTTCTCCAGAAGCAATCATCTCCCTCTTCCGCTTCCTCATCTCTCTCATCTTCTCTCGCCTCTCCCGCTCCTCAATCTCCCGGATCGCCTTCGCCTCGGCCTCTCTTTCCCTTTCTCTGGCCCTCTCTTCACGGCCTCGCAACCTCTCCTCCTTCTCGCGCGCCCTCTCTTCTCGCTTCTTCTCTTCCTCGAGTGCCTCATCCTCCTTGGCACGTTTCTCGGCTTCTTCCTGACGAATGAGTCGCATTCTCTCCTCCATCTTCGCTTTTGCTTCAGCTTCCCTCTCCCTCTCTTCCCTCTCTGACTCCTTCATGGCAATGCGAGATGATCTCTTCCTTGCTGCCAGAGCTGCCTCCAGAGCGGCAGCCTTTTCGGCCTCCGCAATATCCTCTAGGACTCGAGGGACAATGTCGGTCGACAGGATCTTATGCAAAGCCTTCTCGTCTGGATGTTTGCTCTTGGCGAAGCGCGCCCCCAGGACCTCCCACTCGGCTCGAGTGATGGCGATAGTCTCGAACTCTAGCCAAGTCTCTTCATCGTCCTCTCCTGACTTTGGGAGGCTGGACGGCTGATCTATGTCCATCTTGCTTTCATCTACTGATTCGTCGGCCTCCGTTCTCATAGTCAGGTCTCCTTCCTCTACTTCGTCCGGAGGCTCAGATAGTTCTGACTCATCGTCATCGCCAGCTGGGTCGACCTTGCTGTCATCTGCTGCATTTACCTCTGCAAGAAGGTCAGCTGGGATTGGCTCCCATCCATCGCTATCTTGACCTCTGAGGCGTCTCGAACTTCGGGGCGGTGAATAGGCGGCGCTGGCATTCGGGCTCGATGCAGAAAGGGATGCTCGCCCCAGCCTTGTCCGCTTGTTTGGTGTATCTCCTGCGAGAGGTCCACTAGCACTAGCTACCCGCTTGCCGGTCTTGCGAGCGGCAGCAGCCTTTTCGCGTTTTGCCTTCTCCTGCTCCGCCTTTGCCTTCTTCTTTGCGGCAGCCGCTTCGGCTTTGGCTCGCTTTGAGCCTTTCTTGGCCGGACGTGCTTTCTTTGCTTTGGGCGGCGGAGGCGGGGGCGGATGTTGTACCCAGAGGCGATTATCATCGAAGAGCCAGTACGTGTTCTCCTGGGCGTCCCAACCGATTGGGTATATCCGCCAATTCTCTGCGTCTTCCTCGTTGCGTACAAGCTTCCGGAACCGCTCCGGATCTGCCATCTGCCATTCGCAAATGTCATAAAGGCTCCGTACCTTCGACGCGAGAGAGAAGTCTTCCCATTGCTTCAAATCCTCCGGAGAACCGAGCGGGTTTGGGAGGCCGTCTTCCGCTAGACGATAAGCATATTGGTCTCGTAGGTACTCTTGCCAATTCTCATTGGTGACCTTACCATCGAGTGTGAGAGTATAGAGCAGCCGCCTCATGAGGTCGGGAATGACCTCGTACGTAGAAGCCGCTAGATCGTGCTCGAGAGTTGCGGACTTGAAGCCACTCATGCCAAAGGCCTCTTCGAAGGTGAAGAGGAATTGGCAGACGGCAGCAAACTTCCAAGTCCGTCTGAGCTTGGTCAAATTGGCAGTGAAGGCATCGCTGTACGCCTTGTCGTAAGTGTTGCCATTTGAGGTCGAGGCAGAGGGTACGCCAGACGGAACACTAGCAGCGGCGGCAGCGGGGGTACCGCCAAGGGAGTAGCGAGGCATGGTAACGGCGCTCCACGAGCCAGATGGAGTATCACTGTCAAGGGCGATGGCGTGACAAGGAGAGCGAGAGCCGCTGGAAGAATTGACGCGGCACGCCGGCTTCACTACTCTCGACAGTGAGGCTTTCTGACTTCACCGGAAGGAGCAGGAGACGCAATCCGAGACCCTCCTTCGGCTTGATCGGCAGGTCCGGCTGGAGCGGCAATCTCTTACAAGAGGAGGATGGCGAGGCGAAGCTTTGGCTCCGAGACCAGGTGAAAGAAGCTACTCTCTAGGCCAAGCAGATGTGGTGGGCGACGTGGTGTGGGGCCGCGATGTGGTAGGTGGTGTCAGGCCTTGAGTTGTCGAGGAGGTGTGCGTCTGTCGGAAGGTTGAAATGAATCGCCTTTGCAACAATCGCCAGTCGCGAAGGGCGGCGGGAGGCGGAGACGCCGACGCACCGACCGACCGCGCAATGCAAGGCCTCACACATCTTCGCATCGCCTGAGCCTCATCCTCATCCTCAGCTCGGCCCATCATCGATCACCACTGGATACCGACAAAGGGCGCCTCTCTTGTAGCAGACATGACGAGGCTCGCCATCATCCCGCGCCAGACCCCAGAGCTACTGTCTGCATTTGCGAGACTCGGGCTAGCTGGCACTCCTAGAGCCATCCGCGCTGCCCCAATCGCAGGACCTTCTTCGCGACCATCCTGCTCGAACCCATCGTCTGCTCGGAGATTTACCACCACGTCTCCCACGCGGCTCGCCACAGAAGCTGCCGAGCCCATTGTTCCAGCACCTGCGGCCGTCGAAGGAGTGCCCGCTGCTGCTCCATCTGCCACATGGACCTCACAGTCTCGTCGGGTGGGACTTATTGCTCGCAAGCGTGGAATGGTCACCTACTTTCTACCCACTGGTCAGGCCGTGCCATGCACTGTCTTGCAGATCGATGACTGCCAAGTGTCAGCGCACATAGGCTTTCCCCCTACTAAGCCACACCCAACCGACGATGAGAAGGGTCAGCCGATGAAGATTCCAAAGCTCGCTCCTTACACTGCACTTCAGATTGCTGCTGGAGAGGTGACGAGTCGGATAGGCATCGGCAAGAGTGTCAAGGGTCACTTGGCAAAGGCTGGTATCAAGACGAAGAAGAGGGTGCTCAAGGAGTTCAAGATCACCAGAGATGCTCTTTTACCTTTGGGTAAGTTTGTCTAGCATACTCTGCAAGATTGTGAATCTACTGCTTCAAGCAGCTCACTTTACCCTTCCCTCTTCATTTGACAGGTACGACGCTCTCTGCAGCTCACTTTGTCCCAGGTCAAGATGTCGACGTCTCGTGTACAGCGCGGGGCAAGGGTTTCCAGGGTGCCATGAAGCGTCACGGCTTCCACGGTCTGCGAGCATCGCACGGTGTCTCTATCTCTCATCGTTCGCATGGTTCGACTGGTCAAAACAGTGATCCATCGCGAGTCTGGCCTGGTCAAAAGATGGCAGGAAGAATGGGAGGAAAGAGGGCTACGGTACACAATCTCAAGGTACTGAGGGTGGACCTGGATCGCGAGCTGATCTTGGTGAAGGGCCCATTGCCTGGTCCGGATGGAGGTGTGGTGGAGGTGACGGATGCGAGAAGGTCGCTGGTATGGAAGGCGGCCAAGAAGAACAAGAAGCAAGGCTTGGAGGGTGCAGAGGCGCTGCCCGAGGGTATTGATGCCTTGCCATTCCCAGCTGGTACAAAGGAGATGAAGGCTGGCCTACCAAGCATCATCGAGTGGACTGGAGCCCCTGCCACAGCAGCTTAGACAGCCGGCCAGAAAAATTCCATCGAAGTGCGCTTACTCGCACTATTGTTGGAGAACAGCAACACATTGTGGCTACTGGCCAGCTCTTGTAATCTACGATCCCCCAGCCTCGCGCTTCTGACGACGTCCCCAATAACCGAGGATGAATATCTCCACTGTGACTTGCGCCTCCTTGCCTTTTTTTTGCCACGGCACGGGAAGCGGGCTCGGCTCAGCTCGGCTCTGGCCCGGGGGGGCGGAGGAGATGAGCCTCGGGCGGGAGGGCGAGGAGTTCGGCTGATCCCCCGGGCCAACTGGGGGTAAAAAGTGGCGACTACCCGCTCCCCGGTTGCGGGCCCAGCCATGGCTCGCCAAGATGCGGGCGTGGTGCGTGGTGTGGTCCGCCCTAGAATTGAGTTGGTGGTCCCGCGGGGGATTCTTAAGCTGAAAGGCACACGATAACCTCGGCCGCCCTCCCCCTTCCCGCCTCCTCATTTCTCTTGTGCCTCCCTCGCCTCCTACTTCCTCTTCCTCTTCTTCTACCCCAGCTTGGTAGATCGTCCGCCCCCTTTTGTCACCTTCTCACCACGTCCTTTGCCTCCCCGACCCAGCTGCGTTAGACTACCATGACCCCTCCTCCTTCTAACGCCAAGGTCCCGCCCAAGTCGGCAGCTTACGGACAGGCGTCCAATGAGCAATCTACAACCCAGAAGCCCTCGGCGCGCCAACGTCTGGTCAATTTGGCTTCTCACCTGCTCCCCACTGGCAACACTGAATTCGACTATATCATCGTCGGTGGTGGTACAGCTGGAGCTGTCCTCGCCAACAGACTGACGGAAGATTCTAATGTCACCGTCGCCGTCGTCGAGGGAGGCCCCACTGATGTCGGCGAGGACCGAGTCCTGGACCTCAAGCGTTGGCTCGAGCTCCTGGGGTCTGAGCTCGACTACGACTACCCGACCACTGAGCAGCCAATGGGCAACTCGCACATTCGTCACTCTCGCGCTCGAGTGCTGGGCGGCTGCTCTTCACACAACACCCTCATCTCTTTCCGACCCTTCAACGAGGACCTGGACATCTGGGCTGAGAAGCTCGGATGCCCTGACTGGCACAGCAAGAAGATTCAGCCTTATGGTGACCGTCTGAAGATGAACATCGTGCCCGTCGCTCCTCAGCACCGCAACCAGGTCGCAAAGGACTGGGTGCAGGCATCGAGCTCCGTCACCGGCGCCCCCATCATGGACGACATGAACGGTGCCATTGTCCACGGAGGTGCTTTCGACAAGGCATGTGGGTTCTTCCACATCTCGTACGACCCGGCCACCGGCGGTCGATCTTCCGCTTCCACTGCTTACCTCCACCCAATCATGCCGCACGGTCCTTATCGTCGGAACAATCTCCACCTTTTCCTCGAGACTTGGACCCAGAAGCTTGTATACGACGAGGCCGACCCTCTCAAGGTCAAGGGTGTTGCTGTGCGGACCTCAGCTGGACTGGAGAAGACGCTTACCGCACGGAAGGAAGTGATTTTGTGTGCTGGTGCAGTAGACACCCCGCGTCTGCTGCTGCACTCTGAAGTCGGACCCAAGGCTGACTTGGAGAAGCTGGGCCTCAAGTGTCGTTTGGACCTGCCTGGTGTTGGCTGGAACTTGCAGGACCACCCAGAGAGCATTATCATGTGGTCTACAAAGGACACTCCGACCGAGACGACGATGTTGTCCGATGCTGGTCTCTTCCTGCGTGTTCTGCCAAAGGAGGCCGAGATGCACCCGCACAATGGTCCCGATCTCATGTTCCACATCTACCAGACTCCCTTTGCCGACAACACTGAGCGCGAGGGGTTCCGTCGTCCAGAGCACGCCATCTGCATGACCCCCAACATCACTCGTTCTCAAGGTAGGGGCAAGCTCTCTCTGGCCTCTGCTGACCCGGCCGACAAGCCTCTGCTGGACTTCAAGTACTTTGAGGACAAGAATGGCTACGATGCCAAGATTCTCGTGGCGGGTATGAAGTGGGCAAGGAAGATCGCACGGCAGTCTCCCTTCAAGGAGCACCTCATCGAGGAGGTCGCTCCTGGACCGGCAATCCAGACGGACGAGGAGCTGTCCCAGTACGCACGGAGCGTGGCACACACTGTGTACCACTGTGCCTCCACCTGCACCATGGGCAGCCCTCAAGACCCGATGATCGTGGTAGACCAGAAGGACCTGAAGATTAAGGGATTGAAGAACATCAGGATCTGTGACGCCTCCGTCCTGCCTACGTTGCCGACCGCCAACCCTATGCTGACGGTGCTGATGGTTGCTGAGAGGTGCGCGGACTTGATCCACGGCATCAATGTTTGAGCGAGCCGGAGCATGGGGGCGGACGCATGGAAGACGGATAGAATCGGTCACCTTTAGAGACTCCAAGCAGGGATGGACGTCTCTTGACAGACATACTTGTCGTCTGTCTGCATCATATCTTTTAGAATACACATCGCATCACTTTCTTACTGTCCCTTTGCTCACATCTGCTTTCCTGAGTTATCTGACGCTAAGAGTGGAGGTGCTGCTCTCGCTTTAGTCAATTGGCCTGCTCGCTTCCGCCTCTCGAAGGTCTAGATACCCGAGCTTTCCGCTACCTGACTTCTTCCCGTCTTCCCGTCCATCTTCCTCTCCTTCACCTCGCGCCACCGAAGTGACTGCAAATCATGAGCTCCTCATCGTCCTCGGGCCAAGTGGACCCCAAGTCGTAGGTATCTCTCACGTCCCGCTGCAGATGAGCGCTTGCGCCGAGGGTAGCTCCTGAAGTGACCTTGCCCAACCCCCTTCCCACTCCTCCTGCTCGCAGTGCAACGATGCTTTACAAGATCCTCACCCCTTCCGACTATCAATCTCTCCCAGAAGGAGAAGAGGAAGAATGGCTCGGAGCGTCAATCGATGTAAGTCAATGTTCTCCTTCCCTCTCAGCTAAACGTCAGCTGGTAACCCTCTCTCTCTCTCCTCTCGCACTCAAACAGCTCACAGACAAGTTCATCCACCTCTCCACCTCCTCACAACTTCCCGGAACACTGCAGCGCTTCTTCTCATCTGCGAGCGGGGTAGGAGACTCCCTCTGGCTGTGCGGGGCTAGGCGGCAGCAGCTTGAAGAGGACATGCAGGGAAAGAGGAAATTGCAGTGGGACCCGGCGGCGGGCAGCGTATTTGCGCATGTGTATGGGGTGAGTGAGAGCTGCCTTCTCCAAAGGAAGTTGGAGCGGATGAGAAAGTGCGCAAGTGAGATGAGCGGAGGGCTGACCGACGCCGGCCTGCTGCTCTGCTCCCTGCTCTTCTTCAGGCCATTTACCCCGCCAAGGAGTTCGTCTTCAAGGAGGAGATCAGGCGCGATGCTTCCACTGGCGAATTTGTCCTGCCCGAGCTGCAATCTTAGAAATCAGTCACTCAGAGTAAGCATACAAAAGGCAATTCATCCAGGAAACGCTGTCCATGGAAGCTGAGATTGAGATTGAGCAGGACGAAAGAAACGGGACAGGAGGCAAATGCAAGAAGTGGGTCACATGGAAAATCGAAGGGGTGCTGTCGAAGCAAAGTACACGCAGTAGTCTAGAGGACCAAAGGCTCGTAGAGAGCAACAAGGAGAGCTATCACTAGAGCTGCTCTGCTTGGGCCATCATCATTTCTCTCCTTCCCGGCCACTAGGCTTGCGCGGGCGATGGGAGAGAAGAGGTAGTCGTACAAAAGTAAAGGGACTGAGAGGAAAGGAGAAAGGGGCCCCTGGCCTCCTGATTCCTATCTTCGAGGCGACCTCGTCAGATGCTCAGAGTAGCACAGCAACTCCAGCGGCGACGGCTCCCAGAGCTCCCATGACTACGCGTTGAGGTGCAAAGAGTCCCTCTGCTCCACTGGTGGAGTTGGCTGCATTGTTCTGAGCAGCGGTACCGCTGGTGGTGGCAGTGCTGGCTGATGTGCTAGATCCACTAGCAACAGTGCTCATCTTCGAGGAGGACGACGTTGCAGAGCCGGCAGCAGACGAGGCAGCAGTGGACGCAGAGCTGGCATCAACGGTTGCGGCTGCCTTTGCTGCAGAGAGGACAGTAGAATTGAAGGTCCCGGTCATTTGTTCGAGCTTGAACTTGGCAGAAAAGGCAAGGTCGTTGGCGGTGCCATTGGCTGCAGTCTTGGTGGACTCGGCGCGAATGAAGTAGTAGGTTCCGGAAGGACCCACGTTGGCGGGGACCTTGTACTTGTAAGAAGTCCTGCTGGTGGAGAGGTCGGAAGCGATCGTGTCGAGCTTGTATTGAGTGCTTGTGTCACCGGTTGCGAGGTAGAGGTTAATTCCTCCCCAGCTGGAGAGGGCAGGCGAGCCCTTGTCCTCCCACTTGATGCGGAAAGTGCTACCACCGTCTTCGTTTGAGGACCTGCAGGGAAGGAAGAAGGCACGTTGAGGATCACGTCAGTAGACAGAAGGTGATGTTCCCTGTGCATTTCCAAAAGACTCACGAGATAGGGTTTGTGAAGTAGAGAGTAGCCAGAGCTGGCGATGAGGCAAGGGCCAGAAGGGCGGAAGCGATGATTGAGAATTGCATCTTTAGCAGGACTTGGGGTTGAGGTGAAGGTGGAGCGACACGGCTGGATAGCTGATGATGATACTAGAGAAAGGACGGTGGTCAAAGATGGTACCAAAGAAGGAGCGTGGAGTGTTTGTATGAGAGCAGTGAGGAGTGAGAGCTTGGGAGTGGTATGTATGGAGAGACTAGGAGAGGAAAAGAAGAGAATGGGACAGTCACAGACCGGCAAGGCAAGCAGACAGTCGAGGGGCTAGGGGCTTTGGCCGTAGGACGAAGAGAGGGGGGGCGGCTGCCGACAGATCAGCGCAGCCCTGTGCCGAATCGCACAGACTTCTTGGCTTTGGGACGCCATGGGCGGAGCAATACTGATCTAGTGCTTGTGCTTCCTTTTCAATGCTTGCCTCGCAAGCGGTGGGTGCGAGATTCATGGCGCTATGCCTCGAGGGTAAGCCTCCGTGCGGCGTGCATGGTGTTGTTGATTCCTGGCGCGTGTGGCGCGTGAGGCAGGGCGGGGCGCAACATTCCAGTCACACACACGCCTGCATCAAGACCAGCAAGTCCGCTCTGCCGAGGCAATCAGATGCAAACACACACACACACGCCTGCCTTCTCTTCGAGGTCAGACTCACACTGAGGTTCGCCCGCTCTAACCTCTCTCCACAACCCACTCACATGCATGGGTGAAGACCAAAGCATGCTGTGCTTAGGAGATCATGCCGGCATCTAAATCGATTCGCAGGAAGTGTGTTCATAGGCGTCCTGATCGCCTCCCAAGGAAAGGAAGGGCATATGACGCTGCCCAGTTTTCATCCGACCTGCGCGACTAGGCGCGCATTGGCCGATACGTCGTATGCGGCGATGCTCTTTGGGTCGCCGATGCCACCGCGGCGGAATGATTGTTAGCTGCATCGATGATCATGGTCTTGTGCTGCTGAAGAGGCTCGAGGAAGAAGTTGCCGTAAGGATCGAGGACGTACTGCTGCGCGAGGTAGGAAAGGTATGGCGGGGTTGGCTGAGATGCACGCCAATCTTCACTGCTTCTTCCTATTTGCGTCCAGGATCTTCGTGGTGGCTGCTGTGAGCAAGTCACCAGGCTCAGTATGAATCCTTGAGCTTTGCCCCGCCCCCCACAACTGCCCTTCCTTCCCCGCAATGGCCTCGCAGACGGAGTGAGCGCTGAGTCGGCTCAGTCGGCTCAGTGGCCCTCGTGGGCCCGTGCAGCCTTGGCGTGAGAGATCTCCGGGGCAGAGTGCCCTGTGCCTGGCAGCTTATCGTCGACAGTGGCTCCGCTCAGTCTGCGTCAGGTGTGATGGTAACCATCTTCTGCCAGGTACGCAATCGATTGCTTCCTTTGCAGGCACATCACATATCCGTTGCTCTCACCTACACGACTCAGCACTCCACACAAGCTAAGATCCCTTCAAGTGCACTCACTTCTTCTTCGCAATGGTCGTGCTTGGCAAAAAGACAACTCCCCAGCCCCCTGACGAAGAGCAAGGCCAAAGCCAACCCACTCCACCTGCTATGACTGTAGACCAGACACCATACCGAGACGACCCAGAGGCAGTCGATCTTGCACCCCCCGCATACCATTCCGCCTCCCAGCCGCTTGCACCTTCCACGAAGCACTCCAGACCAAGCCGTCGATTCTTCGGCGCTCTCATCCTTGCAGTAATCCTACTCGCTCTCTGTTCTCTCCTCTTCGGCCACTCCTCGAGCGGAACGGACCAGATGCACTTCCCAGGTAGATCTGCTCAGCCTCCCGCTGAAGAAGGCCGGCCGGGCCATCAGGCTCAGTGGTCCTCGCCTGTAGAGGTACCCCACTATGGAAGGCACTCCCACAAGGGGACCGTCGATGAGCAACCCTGGTACTCCTCGGTGGCTAACTTCAGTCTGCCCTACACCTCAGCGGTAGAGGCTCTATTCGTCCATTCAATGAAAAGTACCGATCAGAACCTCGTCCAGACCATTGTGGATCCTTCCCTTGCCGGCAAGAACGAAGTCCGCGTGGGGGTCGAGGTCATCTATCACCACACCTCTGTAAGGGATGCACTTTGGGTCGGTGAACTCGCGCAGAACAATCGACGGGCCAAAGGCGTTGCAGTCTATGGATGGGACGACCCTCGTGGGTCTGGGATGTACGATCAGTGGGCTATTGATGTGTACATCCACTTGCGACTACCACCCAAGGCAGACCACAGCCTCCTTGGCAAAGCTGCGCTTCAACTACCGAACATAGAAGTCAAGTCACGCTCTGGATCCCTCTCGTGGGAGGTCAGCAAAGAATACTCAGCACGAGTTCCTGACTCTGTCGCATTGGAAACTCGAGCCGGATCCATCAGGTTCAATGTGAGTTGCACTACACCCTATGAAGCGCTCGCCGAAGTAGCACTGTAGCACTGACTTACCAATGATCCTCTGAACCCTTCATCGCTCCCCAAGTACATCGAGGCCCTCAGTAACGTCTCCCTTCTATCCTCTGCGGGTGGCATTCATCACAGCGGAACACGCTCGCAGATCAAGGCAGACAGCGTCAAGGTCAAAGCCAACGCAGGGAGCATCGACGGCACCTACCGGGTCATCGACAAGCTCGATCTATACGCCAGCGCCGGCTCCGTTCGAGTCGAGGTGCTCCTGCCCGGCAAGCAAACTTCCTCCTTCCGCTCCACAGCAGACGAAGACTCCTATGAGCAATCCTCCCCTCATGTCATGGCACGCAGTAATGCCGGCTCGGTGCACGTACGCTACACCGAACAGCACCCCTCCGTCGAGCTACACTCTGATGTTGCCTCCCGCGCGGGCACGACCGAGGTTCAGCACGCGCCCAACTACCAAGGGACCTTCCATCTCGCGTCTGGAGCTGGATCGATCCATATGTCTGTGGATGATCAGGTCAAGAGATGCAAGACGACCGTGGACCGTAAGAGGCCTGCGGGGGGACTTATTGAAGGAGAGGTTTGGATTGAGAGGGAGGATGGGTGGAGCAAAAAGGGGTCGTCCAGTGTGGTTACTGATGCTGGGAGTGTCAAGGTTTACCTCTGAAGGGGGAAAGTGATTGAAAGAGAGAATCGGTTGTTGTTGTTGTAGCTTTACTCTGCGTATCCAATGCGTGTCGACTGCTTTCGCCTAGTCTAGTGTGAGAAGCAAATAGGTATCATTGGTATCGATGCCCTTAAAGCAGTACTGTCCTTCGTGACCTCAGCTCAAAATCTGCGCCTGAGACGCTTCATCGGGGGCTGCTCTTCGACCTCCTCCTGCTTCGGTTCTTCCTCCTCTTCTCCCATAACAAGCCTGTCGTCCTCTTCACTGTACGAAGCCTCCTCCTCTACCTCTCGCTCTGCACGTCGTCGCCCCTGACCACCACCACCACCACCACCAGCGCCACTTCGTCGTGCACTCCTGTCCGCCACCCTACCAGTACCACGACCGGCACTTCCACTCGCGCTGGCGCTAGCCCTACTCCTACTCATCTCTGCCAGCCGCAAGAATTTTTCCGCCTGCTCCACAGACCCATCCGCCTCGCGCACATACTCGATGACAAGATCCCTCTGCACGCCATACTCTTCCGCAAGGACATCGAAGCGCCGCACGATTAGCGCTTCACCCTTGACCGTGTCCAGTCCGGCGGCAGAAACGAAGGGGTAGACCTGCCTCGTGGAGGAGAAACCGTATTTACTCGCCAAGCGAATACACTTTTGCTGGAGAGCCAGCTTGGCCGCTTCCTTTTCGAGTCCCCCGGAACGGGAGCGGGAGGCAGAGCCGCGACTAAGGCTCAGGCGAGAGTCGTCTGCAGAGGGCGAGGCGTACTCTCTGGACGAGGGACGTCGAATTTGGCGAGAAGAAGATGGTCTTCCAGGAGCTGTATCCTCGTAGACTTCCACTGGCCTTCGGGACGGCTGTTCGGCCAGAGGCGTAGAGTGAATCCTGCGCGAGCGGCTGTCCTGCACACGGAGAATGCCACGCGGTCGTTCCTCTGTTTGACGTCGCTTGCCTTGAGCCACACTTGACTGTCTAGGCTGCATGATCTGGCTCTGGGATACATCGCTGCCATCCTCAACACTCTCTGTCTCCCCTTGCTCAAGGTCTACTTCGTCCTTGGATAGGTCGAGGTATTTGATCTTGGCATGACTGCCAACCGTAGGGATGCCGGATGATGAAGCATGGCTGCGATCAACGCGAGCCGGAGTCACCGCCGCGGTTTCGGCCGCGGCACTCGTCGGATGGGCGGCTGCCTCGGCGGCTCGAATGGCGGCATTGGATGATATGCGACGCTGGCGTGGCGCTTCCACGATCTCCTCAGAGTCATCTCGCCGACGCTTGTTGCCGGATGGCGTCCTGATCTGCTGAGCAGAATCCCGAGAGACTTGCCCTTCTGCAAGAGCTAAAGCTTCCTCAGTGGGCGAGAGCCGCCCGTCATCGTCTTCGTATTGTTGCTCCGCTTCTGCCTCCCTGCCATACAAATGCGCTCTCATGTTGACCTTGGCGTCATGGTGTCTAGCGCGCTGATCTTCGTCTGCTGTATGCAGCAGCTGAGAACCAGACAGCTCGCGTTCGCCGTCAGTCTCGACTGCAAGGTCGACAGCTTCATGCTGAGCATCAGGGCCAACCTCTGGAATCTCAGTCTCGACCAGAGCAGACACTTCTCCAGCATCTGTCTCTATGCGAGAGCGTTCGAGCTCGTCTAGCTCCTCCTCTTCCAGATAGTCGTCGAGAGCTTCCTGGAGTAGGCCTTGAAGCCCTGACGCGGCCTGATTAAGCGATGCTGTCACTAGATTGCCTGTATCATGCTGTTGATGGCTGTCCCCCAGGCCGTTGCTTCCCACTATGGCATTCTCCTCTTGTGCGGCTGCAGAAACCTCATCTTCCGTCACTGCCTGGCTCTCGCCGCCAGCGTTGTCGCCTGCGGGATCCTGAGTAGCTTGCAGCTGCTGAGTAGCGACGTCTTCCAGCCCCTCCAACATGATTATTTTGGCGGCTTCGATGTATCGTCCGATCCATCTCCAGTAGTGATCAGCCCACTGGTCGGCAGAGTGATGTGGATGCTTCGTTTCGATGGTGTGCCAGAGGCGTTGGCCTTTCTCCATCGTCGCACGGCTCTCGAGATATCCGAGCGCTGCGTCACCCTCGCCATCGATGTCATCTTCGGAGAGTGTCCCTTCGTGAATGGCTCTCTTGAGCACGTTCATAACCATCATGGCCAAAAGATGCTTGTCTGAAGGCGAAAAGCGAGACTCTTCTGCTTCATCGGCAGCACCAGGATCTTCGTGCTCCTGTTGGTTCTCTGAGCCTTCTTCGTCTTGAGCCTGGGATTGTGCCTCCTCATCCTCGTCCTCGGAGGCATCAGCAGGCCTGCTCTCCTCACGTTCCTGGACCTCTGCAAGCCTAGCTTCTTCCTCCGCTTGGAGTTCCTGTTCTGCCTCCTCTCTGCGCCGCTGCATCTCCTCGTCGAGGTGACTGATCGTGCCGTGCGGCCGATAGCCTCTGAGGTTGCCTCGAGGGGCAAAAGCGCCCAAGTGGTTCAGCCTACCGTTGCTTGCTGAAGAGTCTGAATTTATGGTACCCGGAGGTCTTTGCGTGCGTCCAGACGGCTCGCCCGAGCTGTTCATGATCGGATCATCTTCTTCCTCGCCCTCGTTGTCGTCCTCAAAGCCGCCATCGTCCTGACCATTGTGTTCACGAACGGCTACGGTCTGCCTGGGAGGTGGAGCTGCATTGGAATGCGAATCCCCCACATGGTGACCACTGCCACCGACCATCCGGAGACGAGGTGTAATCTTGATCGGATTTTCACCCGTCCGCATGTACTCCTCAGCTCGGAGTCGCAGTAGAGCACCCTTCTCGAGATTATCGCGTAGGTACGATTGGTAAGAGTACCGTGTATGTCGGCCGTACTTGGCTACAAGCTCCTCGGAGACCTTACTTCCTGCCCACCTCTGCTTCGTAACAGCGAGATGCTCCACGATGTTGTGCTGATCGAGAGTGTTGTACATGTTCTTACTGCATAACATCAGAGCGGGGGAATTGAGAGGAGAGAGATGATAAGTGAGATGGACAAAGCGTATGTCGAGAATACTCCCTATGCAGCCTTACTCACCCAGGTAGCCTGACGACCTCGTGCAGGTCTGCTGCTCCAGGATTTCTCAGCACTTCACTTCTCATCATGGCAGCCTGCCGAAGATCATTGACCTCTTGAACACGCCTCTTTCTTTCTTCCTTCTTGTCCAGTTCCTCCAGGAGGTGTATCGGGTCATACACTGCGTTTCTCACATTCTGCGCAACGCCTGCCCTGATGGAGTCTGTGATCCAGGCCACAGCTACGCAAGGCAAGGGCCGAGGGAGTCCTCTGGCTTGCCGAAATAGCTCGCGAGACTTGGAACTGTTCAGAGGTGTTTCGGTGTCGATGATGATGACGTCGCTCTTAGCAACTCGCTCCTCGATACCTCCATGACGATTGACCTGCGTACGCAACGCGGCACGATCCGGCAGATAGAGCGGCAGATGGAGCTTCATTGGCCGCCGACCATCTGGAGCTTCGCTGTCTGCTATCCAGAAGACATTGGGACGGCTACTCTCTGCGGCCGTGGGCCTCACGGGATCGATTCGGGAGGTCGATGGTCCAGCGCCATTTTGTGGGACGAGCGCCGAAGTCGCGTCGGCGCTGTTCCGGTCTGAAGCCTGCATCGTGACAGCCTGCCCGGACGCTTAGAGATGACGCTGCTTCGATGAATGTTACCCACAAGCCAGCGACAGCAGCACTACTCCGGGTGGCTGTGCCGTCAGCTGCGATGTGTAGAGGGGGTGAGCAGAGGGAAGAGGAAGTGTGAGTAGCAGCAGCAGCAACAGCCAGAAGGTCTTGACGGAAAGGGAGTCGCACAAGTCGCGTCGAGGCACAAATGGCCTGGCACAGGCGGGGCCATGCGCGGAAGGCGGAGCGGAGGCAGCATGGCAGACAGGAGAGGCACAGACGCACACCAGATCTTCCTCGTCCATCCTCCAAAGAGGCAGCAGCTACTCATCCTCCCACAACTTCCCTCTGGCTGTACAGACTCGGCATCTCTCACCTCTCCGGGAGCTTGCTCGACCTCGTACCGTCATGGCATCGCCTCCATCGATGCTGGTACAAGGAGGAGAGTCCCTCGCCGCCGATCTTCTGCTCCCCATCCTTTCCACCGAGTCCAAGCAATTCCTACGGATATGTCCTCCCATATCCCTTCCATCGACCTCTCAGACAGCAGACCTGCTAGCTATCTCGGATACGAATGGGCTCGTCGCTATTGGCGCTGCCTCAGGAAGCAGCAGTAGCAGCAGCGCACCTGCTACAGCTATTCTCGTCCATGAGACAAAGGAGCTCCGGAGGCTGTTAAGAGAGTCTGCCAAGGGGGACAAACCAGAGCTCAAGGAACCCTGGAGGAAGCTGAACAGTCCAAATGGAGCGACAATCGTCTCTGTGAAGTTTGCTCACGCGGACAGTTGCATAGTAGCAGCTCTAGAGAATGCCACTGTGGTCGTATGGAAATTGGAACAGCTGAGAGCTTATCAGCTCGATCCTGCTGCCACAATACAACCGCCCCTCACTGGCTCTTCATGTCACTCTCTCTTGCCCAACCCTTCGGCTTATGTCAATTACGTCTTTCTGCTAGTCTCGGAAGGGCAGACTCATACGGCGAAGCCTTTCATGATCGACCTGAACAGCTCGGCTACTGTGCCACTGCCCCTCGATATCGGCTCAGATTTCATCACAGCCGCTTGCTGGTCTGTCAAGGGCAAGCAGCTTGCTTTAGGGCTTAGCAGCGGCCAATTGGTACAAGTCTCTCCAGACGATGGAACCATCAAGGCCAGGCTTCCGCGACCTCAGAGCGATGATCTGCAACCAGAATCCTACGTATCTGATCTCTTCTGGATCGAAAATGATGCCTTCATCGTCGCTTACAACACGCCAGCAGTCTCGGCGGATGAGAGTGAAGATCCTCCCCACGACGACTATGTCTTTGCGCTATCGCGGTCGCCCGACGGTTCACTCACGCACTCGGCTCTCAGCGATCCGTCTCCTGCATTTGGACTCACTCGCCTCCGGCCCAAACGGTATCTCTGCCACATAAAGGCATGGTCTCCCTTCAGGAACGCCGTATTCATGGCTAGCGCTCCTAGTACTGATGTGGGTCTCCTGGCTCGCAAGGAAGACGGTGAACAAGGCTGGGAAGCTCTCGAATTGGAAGAGACATCGCGGCCGACATTACCCTTCTCCTCTGTGGATAACGAGTCTGACACGGCTCCTCTCGGCCTGGCGCTTGATCTCTCTCTCCCTCGAGGAGAAGACGAGGATCGTGAGAGGCCGACAGATCCTAGAGCCGCCGCGAGGGGAGAGGACGAAAACAAGAAGATGCCCTATACCCCGCCGCGCCTGTGGCTGCTCAACTCTGATGGTATTCTTGGCGCTTGGTTCATCTTGAATCTTACCGAAGCTGCCGCGGGAGGCTATCCCGGTATGTCTGCCGTAGGAGACGGTACAACAAGCTCTACAGCCACAGCGCAGGCAGCGTCTACGCCAAAGCCATCGACGCCAATCCCGGCCACTTTCGGCCAGGCGCAGACCTCGACTTCGGGCTTTGCTGGCTTCGGCTCCTCTGCTGCCACTGCATCGAGTAGCAAAGACAGCGTGCAAAGCTCATCGTCAAATGCATTTGCCCAGCCCGGCACGACGGCCCCAGCGGCAGCCACGTTTGGTAGCTCATCCTTTGGCAGCTCATCTTTCGGTAATCCTTCGGCTTTTGGAGCTGCTGCTACCCCTTCCGCCTTTGGTACCTCCTCTCCCTCTGTCTTCGGTTCGCCTGCTTCTTCGGCCTTCGGTAAGCCAAGTGCTTTCGGAAGTCAGCCTGCAGCACCATCAACGCCTTCTACAAGTGCGAAGACATTCGGATCTCCCTCTGCCTTTGGCTCGGCATCTTCTAGCACGCCGTCAGGCTTTGCAGGCTTCGGGCAGACCAGCTCATTTGGCAAGCCTGCCACTCCCAGCACGAGCAACACTGCTGCGCCATCTGCCTTCGGATCGTCGTCTGGCTTTGGCCAAACGTCAGGGTTCGGTCAGTCATCTGGGTTCGGCCAGAAGGCCTCAGCATTCGGCCAGCCTGCTGCCCTCGGCAGCAAGCCTGCGAGCGTGTTCGGCAGTACCAGTGTGGCTGCTGCTTCCTCGCCTGGCACACCTACTGGCGGATCGGCCTTTGGCTCATTTGGAGGCAGTAGCAGCTTTGGCAGCTTGGCAGCCAAGAAGACTGGCGAAGGAGGTAGCGTCTTCGGCAGCGCTAGTCCTGCGTCAACGTCGACAGGCGGCTTCGGTGCCTTTGGAGGTGGCGCAACGAACGGCTTTGGCTCCAAAGCGGCTGGCAGTCCTGCATCAAGCTCAATTTTCGGCTCAGGCGGTTCATTTGGTACACCTACTCAGACCACGCCGACCTTTGGTCAACCAGTCAAGGCTAAGCCTATTACCAGAGCAGACCCAGCTGAGCAGATGGACGCTGCTGATGATTCAGGAGCAGCCGATGGTGGTTCCTTTGGCTTTGGTGGGCTCGGCGGCATGCTAGGAGAAAGCGAAAAGGCCGCCGCTTCGCCTTCACCTGCCCCTCAGGAGCCAAAGGCAGAAGCCCTTGCTTCAGCCCCTCCCGCCTTCTCGTTCGCCCCAGCAGCCAAGTCACCAGCATCGTCCTTCAGCTTTAGTCAGCCCGCAAGTACTCAGAAGCCAGATGCGCCGGACGAGAAGAAGGCTGCCCCGGACGCAAAGGCAAGCACGCCCTCTTTCGGTCTTGCTGGCCAACAGCCAGCCGCTAAGGCTGCCTTCAGCTTCGGTCAGCCAAGCAGTGAACCTGAAGCTAGCAAAGATGCTTCACCGGCTGCCTCTCCGGCTGCTGAGCCCGACAAAGCTGTGTCAGAGAAGGAATCTGTACCTGAGACAATCCCTGCCGCTGCTACGAGCACATTGGTCGACTCTGATGCAACGTCCGAAGACAAAGTGAATGATGCACATCGTTCAGGACCGCCAGAGATCGAAAAGGACCGTGAGAGCCAGGGAAATCTGAAGGATGGATCATCACGAACAGCCAAGGAGGAAGCTAATGTGGCGAAAGAGGAAGCAGGAAATGAAAGCGCAGAAGCCCTGCCATACAAGATCGATGACGCGAAGACCGCAGAGCTGGAGCCGTCCCAGTCTACCAAGTCGGAGGGTAAACCGGAGGGCGAATCATCTCTTGAGGCACAAGCAGGCGATAGAGCAGCCGCAAAGCCAAGTGCCGAATCATCAGCGCCTGCGAAAGATCAGAGGACCTCGGGCTTCTCGTTCGGGTCCAACACGAAGGATACGCCAGCTGCGCAGAGCGCTCAAGGCGGATTCGGATTCGGCAGTGCACAGCAGAACTCTGGCCAAGCATCTTTCGACTTTGGACAAACTGCGCCGCAGAGCAGCGAGAAAGCTCCCAGCTTCTCTTTCGGATCTCAGTCTGCGAACAAGGATCTCATAACGGCTCCAGCATCATCTGGATCCGTGTCGACACCTGGCACTGGGTTCGGCTCTGCATCACCCGCCTCAGCCGTTCCCATACAGCGCTCCACGTCTCCGACAGGGACGCCAACAGCACAGAAGCCTGCTTTCTCCTTCGAAGCGGGTACAAAGAAGACGCCGGCGTCCACTACACCGATATCGGAGAAACCAGCGTTTTCATTTGGCAGCACTACACCCAAGACGCCGACAATCGCTCAGCCCGCGCCAGCAGAGCCCGCCAGTCCCGGCTCCACAACAGGACCAGCAGCAACAGCTGCCCCAGCTGCCTCTCCCAACAACGTTCCTGCGTTTGGAAAGGGCGCCCCGGCTTTTGGATCTTTTGGCACCGGCCTCGTTGGTCAGCGCATCTCCACTACTCCCGGTCGTAGCTCTCCCTTGGCCGGCAAGCCGGTCAGCTCAAAAGACTTCACCCAAACTACTTCTGAGTCTACCAACAGTCTGGGCAAGACTCCGGCGTCCTCTCTGTTCGGTGGTCAGCCTGCCTCGGGGTTCGCCCAGACCACTCAGGCGGCAGCGTCCAAGCCCGCGTTTTCCTTCGGCACTCCTGCTCAGGCATCGTCCTCCAACCTTACCCCTGTAGCTCGGCAAGTCCCTCCTGCCGCCAATGCCTCCATCTCTCCGATCCTGCCCGCGTCACAGGCCTTACCTCCTCCAGTGACGCAAGCTCCACCATTGTCCAAGCCATCAGCGCCCAAGCCATCTACCCCTGCGACAGGAGCACCTGTCTTCAATGGGACGCCTCCAAGACTCGGTGGATCTGTGGAGACGCTGGGTCCGCGGGAGGTGCAAGAAGGAGGTCTTGCAGGCGAGTTCTTGAAGACTTTCCTTATCATGGAGGAGGAGCTCAAACTCCTCAAATCCAACATTGCTCAGTGTGTAGCTTTTCAAGCCCATATCCGAGAACCAGGTGGACAAAGGCTTCAGCAGCCAGAAGAGTGGACATTCGGTGATCTGCCTCTCATTTCGAAAGTACAGAGCTCTCTTGGAAGCAAGGTGAAGAAGATCGATGAAGCTGTCTCTGAGCATCAGAAAGACATGGCCGAACTAGAAGCCGGTCTCTTCAAAGCGGAAGCCAAGAGGGACGAAGCTGCGAGGTTTCTTCGTGCTCACACCGATCCAGAATTTGCCAAGCTCGTTCGTGTTCGAGAGCTTGGGCCCGAGCATGTTCAAAATCAAGCTCATCTCCGAGCTTTGACGCAGACAGTCAAGACCCGCGCTCAAGACATTGAGACCTTCCTGGTGGATCTGCGCAATCGCGTAAGGGATCAACAGCTCGGCCGCACCCATGTCAAGGCTCCCAGTCTCGACGCGATCCAACGAACAGTGAGGAACATATCCCACACAGCCACGGCGAAGAGTCTCGAGCTGGATGACTTGCTCACTGAGCTTGAGTTGCTGAAGGGAAGAGATCGCTCGGTCCTGAGGACGAGTCAGCGTAGCGAATCGGTAATGTCTCGCCGATCACCCTTCCTCGAGGAAGCCGACACTTCGATGTCAGCCACCAAAAAGTCTGACGCCCCGCTGCAGAGTATCAGTGCTTTGGGCGCTGCCCTACCACCGCTTCGTGCTCGAGGTGCAGCTGAGGGAGTCAGTGAGGCTATCAAAGCTCGTCAAGTAACTCAGAGTCTTGCCAGCTCATTGTTAGGGGCAAGCAAAGAGCCTATTCTCAATCAATCCGCTGCAGACAATGCCCGCAGAAGAGGCGCTGCTAATGGTCGCGAGTTCCAGATCAGTGATCTCCAGATTGCTTTCGCAAATGGTCCCGTGAACGTCCCGAGCTCGCGACCTCGGTTGGCTACGCCGAGTGTGAAGCGACAAGAGCCAGAGCCAGAGGTCGCTCCTCCAGAGTCGCCGAAGCCTATGGGTGCTGAGGGCCAGCAGCCAGAGGTAGCGAAACCTTTTAGTGGCTTCGGCAACTTCTCTGTGCCAAGTAACATCGGAAAGCCAAACACTCTAGGTCCCCTCCCCGAGACAAGTACCTTCAACCCCGGTGGGCTGGAGTCGCGCGAGTCTTCATCGTCAGCGGCACGGCGGGACCATGTAAGAAAGTCCCGCACCACTGCTGTCCGATTACCTCCAACAGCAAGCTCTGAAACGTCTGCAAGCGGTGGAACGACGCCGCCAACGTCTTCGCAAGCTCCGAGCGACTTCTTCGCCCGTCCCGCCACAGGTACGGCTGGAGCGGCAGGAACTGGGGCCAGTGGCTTCGCTCTAGGAAACAAGGACAAGGGCAAGCCCAAGGAGCCTACATTCTTTGCATCTGCTCCCGCAGCAGAACAGAAGCCAAGCTCCACCTTCTCGTTCGCTCCATCTGGAGCCGGCAACGCCTTTGCGGCTGATACGCAGAAGCCCGCTTTCTCCTTTGCCAGCGGCAACGCTACCAGCACCACTCCTCAGAAGCCTGCTTTCTCCTTTGCGCCAGCCAGTACTGCAGCCGCGGCCTCTCCCAAGCCCACGTTCTCATTTAGCAGCGGCAACAACAGTACGACGCCTCAAAAAGCACCACCAGCCACGAACACCTTTTCGTTTGGAAACAGCACGACACCGAAGGCAGCGGCTCCGACTTCTTCTGCATTCGGGTCCTCTGCTTCAGCCTTTGGCAGTTCTGCCTTCGGCAAAGTACCCGGGTCAGACTTTCAGACTTTCGGAGGAGTACGGCCGTCTCAGGACCTGAAATTTGGGGCTGCAGAGATTCCCGCTGCTGCTACAAAGGCAAAGAGCAAACGGGCGATGGATTCCGAGCCGGAAGCGGAGGAGGACGATGAGGAGGAGTATGGCGACAGTGCAGATGAGACACAAGGCAAGGCGGCTATTACGGGCGGAGCAGAGGCGACGGAGGAGGTGGGTGAGCAGGAGGAGGAAGATGAGGAATACGAAGGGGAATACGATGAGGACGAGTACGACGAGGAAGAAGAGGAAGAAGAAGACGAGAGCGGTGAGGAGGGTGAGGAGGAGGTCGTCGACGACGAGGAGTGGGAAGAGGGAGATGGCGAAACAGGGGACGGCGATGACGAGGAAGAGGGCTTGAGTGCTGTCGAGGAAGAGGAAGAAGACGAGGGGTAATGCGATGCCGAGGTACGGAAGCGGGGAAACCTCCGGCGAAATGCTGAAACTCCGTTGGTTGACATGCGCCCTGAGAAGAACAGCGATTGAGCTCTCTAGTTTCTGAGCAACCCGTATTCGGACGGTGTCGTCTTCATTGACGTGCTCGTGTGTGGGTGCTGTCGACCCTCGGCAATCTGGTGTATCCTTCCTCCTTTTTGATGGGGTGGGGGGTCATCCCGAGGGGAAGCCGAGGCGTCAGGCCAAGGAGGTGGAGCTGCGAGTTGCTCCCACGCAATAGAACGCGGATGCGCGTCGGGTGGGACCGGCGGCGAGGCGGGGCGGACCTGGGAAGAGAGGCGTCTGTGCACCTTTGGAAAGTGCAGGCTGAATGTGGCTGCTGCGCCTCCCGCCTTTGCCTCGATTCTTCCCCACGGCTCTCCTTCTGCTCCCAACACTTTCATCTTCCCCCTCACAGCGAGCCATACCCATTCCTTGTCAAAAAGTAGCCATTCTCAACACAGAGCACAGCGTCATCGTATCAGCATCACCACCCTCATACACACATACACACATAATGGCTCCACAATCGCGACAGAAGCCTCCTCAGGTGGGTAGACAACAGCTGCAGGCGAGAAGGTCGTGCGACTTAGGGCACTCATCTGACTTCTTCACTACACGCTACCCGCTCACAGGATACCCCTGATGACAAGGTGAGTCTATACATGGTAGAGCATAGTAGCTCATCGACACAACTGACCCTCTCTACGCCTCCCCATGGTCCCTTGATCCTCTTCCCTTTGTCCTGCAGACCAGTGGAGACGTGCGCGAAGATGCGATCCACCACAGTATCCTGCTCAAGCAGCGTCCCGGAGTGGCTGCTCTCCGCGACTCCTTTTGTGAGTGACGACTTGTCCAGTATGAGCCTCCCATGCTGGCGATACCCTCCCTGGGCATTCCCCACACGACGGGTGCGCGGTTGTTGAGCGCCGGTTTCACATCGTGTGGGGTACGGATACGGGGCGGAGTTGGAATTGGCAGGAAGATCTAAAGAGTGAGAAAATCCCTCGTCGGAATGACTCGGGAGGATCCCGCTTCTGCCTCTATCGCGCCCATTTCCAATCTCCCTTGCCTCTCCTCTTTGGCTACTCCATCAGTCGTTTTCACGCTGGGAGTACGCCTTCGGAGATCGACCATCTGTCCACCGCCTATCATGCTATCTGCTCCTGCGCTGGCTAGCTCCAGTCGATCGGGCTTGATAGAGACCGCCAGGGCCAGTTCCCTGCAGCGGATACTAGTCGTTCCAGGCCATAGCACGAGTCCCTCCCCGGCACGATTCTCTCAAGCGTCACAGACTCGACGTTGCTATAGCACGCAGACTGACTCCCAACTTCATCCCGCTACATCAAAATGGCTCAATGAAGCCAACCAAGATACGGCATTCGCTCAGGACAAGAAGGAGCAGCTCGGATTGCGAGGACTCCTACCCCCAACCGCCCAGCCTCTGTCCCTGCAGATCCAGCGTTGTCTCCACCAATTGAGGAGCAAGCAGACGCCTCTTGGCAAGCATATTTATCTGGCTGCTCTGAGGCAAACAAATACTCGCCTGTTCTATGCTATTCTCATGGCCAACGGAGAGGAGGTGAGTACTTGCGTCCGACTGGCATGCTTGCAAGCCTGCTCCGGATCCTGACGATGCTCTCTTCCTCTTATTGCAGTGTCTGCCCCTCGTATACACGCCAGTCGTCGGTGAAGCTTGCCAGAAGTTCAGCAAGATCTACCGACGCCCGGAAGGCCTGACTCTCACCATCGAAGACAAGGGCAATGTAGCTCAAGTGATCGACAACTGGCCAGTGCCTGCCGGTGCCCCTCGTATCGCCGTCCTTACCGATGGCTCTAGGATTCTAGGATTGGGCGATCTCGGCTGGAACGGAATGGGTATCAGCATCGGAAAGCTCTCGCTCTACGTGGCTGCTGCCGGTATTCACCCTCGAGCTACCATTCCCATCTGCGTAGACTTGGGAACCAACAACGAGGAGAATCTGGAGGACCCTCTCTACCTTGGTCTTCGTCGCAAGAGGGCTTCATCGGAAGAGTACAGAGAGTTCCTCGATGAGGTCATGGAGGCTCTACACCTCAAGTTTCCCAATCTGATTGTGCAATACGAGGACTTCTCGACTGACCACGCCTTTGAGTTCCTGGAGCGCTACCAGAACCAGTACCCTATGTTCAACGACGACATTCAGGGTACTGGCAGTGTCGTTCTGGGCGGCTTTGTCGCAGCTGCTCGCGTTAGCAGCAAGGCTTCTGGGCGACCTCTTTCAGACCAAAAGATTCTGTTCCTCGGCGCTGGATCCGCCGGCGTAGGTGTTGCAAAGCAGCTCATGTCCTTCTTCAAGGTACAGGGCCTGTCTGAGGACGAGGCTCGCAAGAGGATCTACCTGGTCGATTCGAAGGGACTCGTGACAAATGACCGTGGTGACAAGCTGCCTGCTCACAAGACGTTCTTCTCACGAGACGACAACAACGGACAGCAGTACAAGAATCTCATCGATGTCGTCGAGTATGTCAAGCCTACTGCTCTGATTGGCCTCTCGACCGTATCGGGGGCCTTTGATGGCCCTGTTCTGGAGAAGATGGCCGAGCTCAACAAGCGACCCATTGTCTTCCCGCTGAGCAACCCCGTCCACCTCTCCGAGTGCACCCACGAGGATGCCATCAAGTACACCAAGGGCACTGCCGTCTTTGCATCCGGATCTCCCTTTGACGACGTCGAGTACGAAGGCAAGCGCTACATTGCCGGTCAGGGCAACAACCTCTACGTCTTCCCTGGTATCGGTCTGGCTGCCGCTCTGGGTAAAGTATCTAGGGTGACGGAGGAGATGATCACTGCCGCCTCCTTCAGTCTGGCCAATGCCCTCAACGACGAGGAGCGCGCCGAGGGTAGGATCTACCCTTCGCTCAAGAGGGTACGAGAGGTGTCTCGGGATGTGGCCAAGGGCGTGCTGCTCAAGGCCAATGAGCAGGGAGTGGCCAGGGACAATGGCTACACGAAGAGCTTCACCGAGGAGGACCTGGGCGAGTGGATTGAGCAGGAGATGTGGGTTCCCAGCTATGGCAAGATGGAGGCTTGAAGGGTGGAGCAAGCGAGGTTTAGGGGGCAAGAGGAACGGTCGTGCGTGCGAAGGCATTGCCAGCTCGCATCGATTCGATGATCAAGGGTTTCGGTTCGATGAGTAATGTGTCATCAATTCTGTTCATCTATTTGTCATCGTTCAGTCGCGTCGTCCTATCGTACCAGCTGCGAGGTAGTGAGGGGCATCATCTCGAATCACTTCATCTTCTATCCTTGAGCGTTTGAGTCGACTGTGTGAAGTCAGCCCATGCCAAAGAGCCGAGAAAGAGCCGCAAAGATTGCAGAGTAGTCTTGCAGCGCTTACGCAAGCATGATGCTCCTCTGGTGCAAGGTGGTGTTGGTGCAAGTGCTCAGCGTGGGGAATCGGGCAACTGGCGTACGTTCGCCTTACGTCCCTCCAGCTGAGCGAGGCTGGTGTAGTCTAGTCTTGTCTATCGGGGACGTGCAGTGCACGGACTCTGCTCAGTCGAAGCTTTGATTTGGGGGGAAAGGACCCGTGTGATGGGCTGATGCCAGAGTCAAGGGATGGGGCACGAGGGCTTCTTAAAGGGACACGAAGTGGTAGAAAGACTTGCACTCGAGGGGACACCCACATCCGTCCAGGCTAATCCTCACTCAAGATCACTACCACTTTATCCTTTTCCCACTCATCCCACTCGCAGTCATGCGCATCATCATCTCCGGTGCGGGCGTGGCAGGTCCCACTGCCGCCTTTTGGCTCTCCAAAGCCGGCCATTCAGTAACCATCGTCGAACGTGCCTCCGTCCTCGAGCCCATTGGTCAAAACATCGATGTAGATGGTGGAGCCCTGCGCGTCGTCCAAAAGATGGGTCTCCACGAAGGTCTAAAGAAACTCAATACGACTGAAATTGGGACTAGATTTATTCGGAATGACGGTAAAGGGGCGTATGCTTCCCTGCCGCTTGTCAAAGGACGAACGGTCTCGCCTACGAGCGAGAATGAGATTTTAAGAGGAGACTTGGCTATGCTTCTTTGTAGCGCTACGCGGGATGATCCCAATGTCCGATATCTCCTAGGAACCACGATCGAAAAGATTGGAGAAGATCAAGGGGCAGGCGGTGAGGGCGGCTTGAGTCCTCCTCTACGTGTGCAATTAAGTAATGGTGACTCAGAGATCTACGATGCTTGCATTGTGGCCGATGGGCAATGGTCTCGCATTCGCAAGGAACACTTCCCCGCACCCACAGTGGTGGATAAGAATGCCTACATTGCCTATTTCACCATTCCGCGTACCTCGGTAGATCAAGGCTGGTGGGAACTCTATCATAGTCTAGGCTCTCGAGTCATTTCTACCCGACCGGATGCACAAGGTACTACCCGTGGGTGTTTCATGAAGATGCCTCTCAACAAGGAAGAAAAGGCCGTTTGGGAAAAGGCTTCCCGTAGTGGAAGTCGAGAAGCGCAGAATTCCCTACTGAAAGAGACGTTCCAGGATGCAGGATGGGAATCGAAGCGACTCCTAGAGGGGATGGTCGATGCGAGGGATTTTTACTTTCAGGCTCTGAAGCAAATTCGAATGCCTACTTGGCATGATGAGACTACAGGAAGGATCGCCTGCGTAGGAGATGCAGCGTATGCTCCTACACCCATCAGTGGATCAGGAGCTGTACTCGCCATTCTCGGTGGGTACATCATCGCCGGCGAACTCTCCCAACTCCAAGCCGGTCAGCATCCCCGCGAAGCTTTTGAAGCCTACGAACGCAACCTTCGCCCTTATGTGGAAGAAGTGCAGAACCTTCCTTCGTTTGTACCTGGGGTAATGATGCCAAGGACTTGGTGGCAGCGGACACTCCTTCAGAATGTCATATGGGCCTTTGCAAAGTTTTTCAGTATACCCTACTTTCAACCCAAGGAAACGAGGCATGATGAAAGTGCATTCAAGCTGCCCCTCTATCCGGCTTTTGAGAAGGAGGGAGAGGCAGGGTCACGGATGGTGGACGGGAATGCAGCCTAGGGTGGAGGGGCAGCTGCTTCCCATCTCGAGAACTTGGATAGGACGTCACGAAACCCATGAAAGGACATTTGCACCACTCTCTATATCTGCGCCATTGTCATCTCTGTTGTATCTCCTCGTTTCGTGACGCAATGTAATGCCCTCATGAACTTAGCCTGTGACCGTGAAGATCTAGGAGAAGAGACGAGCGAGATTCGAATGCCACACCGCTTGGTATTGAAGAACGAAAGAAGGGGGAAGACGAAGAGAAACAGATCCAGCAAAAGAAAAGGGGGAAAGAGCAAGACGAGAAGAAGAGCTTAGCATACAGATAGGAGGAAAGTGCTCTGCTCGCATCGGAGCGTGCGAGCAAAGGAAAAGAGGCTGGGCAGAGCAAAGTGACCGAAGAATGAACTGGAAAGATACCTCATAGCGTCAGCAGTACTCCTGCGACAAAGACTAGCCCAGCGAGCCCGACTCCTGCGCCTACTCCGAGCTTGGCAGCACCCGCCGTGGCTCCCTGCACATAGGTGAGCGAAGGGGTATCACTTGCCGACTTTGTCTCATAGTCGGCTGCAATTTGCCCAGGTGTACCACAAGTGGACCTGAGCATGGTATTACAGCCACTTTGACAATCAGACTTTTCTGCCACCGAAACCTGTGGAGAGGCGCAAGCCATAGAGCAGGCCAGAGCGCGATTGAGACAGTCGGCTACGGCTACAGGCCAGTGGTAGTAGGCGAGATTGCTATCTCCAGTGCTGCACGAGCAGCGCGAAGCCATCGTCTCCAAGTTGCAGAAGTTCTCCTTGACCGTTGCCCCCGAGGCGGCACATCCGGCCTTGGCGCAGAAGGCCGTTTGCTGTGCACAGATGCTGGAGCGCGTGCCGGCACTCTCGTTTGTCAGCGAGTAGTATACGGGTACGGGGAGCTCGCTTGCGAGGGTGAGGACATTGACGGCATTCATCTGATAGGGGGTAGAGGTGGCATAGGAGAAGTTGGCGGGGAAGGTGGCCGACGATGCTCCACTGGGGATAGTGTAGTTGGATGAGGCAGTGGTGGGGTAGGAGGATGTAGCGACGCCGCTGATTTCAGACACTGATGATGAAGTGGTTGTTGGCGCTGCACGAGCGAGTTCATGGAAAGGATAGGATGGCTGGTCAGCATCGGGGGGAAGAGCAGCGATAGCAGCCTCAAGTCTTGCAGCCTGGCCGCAGAGATCCCATCCCTAGTCTTTCCATCTACTCACCAACACTGCTTGCCTCGCTAGTACTATTACTGCTTGCCACCTCCGTCGCACTCGACGCCGCGACCGAGTCCACTGCCGGTGTGGTAGTACCCTGTGCCCTCACGCCCGTCACGCTGAGAAATGCGAGCACGGACATGAGAGAGAGCAATAGCAATGTTCTCCGCGTTGATGAGACAGGAGAGCTCATCGCTGTTCTTGTCCTCGATCTTGTTGTGGCTGAGGATGTGGATGTGGATGAGACACGAGCGGCCATGGTGGGCTGAGGCGTTCAAGCGTCAAGCGTGGAAAGGGCCCAAAGAATGAGGAAGAGAGGGCTCGCTGCTTGACTGCTGTTGTGCTGTGAGAGCCGGTGAGAGCCAAAGAAGACTCGTGGAAGGTATGGCAAAGGGGCTTCCAACCAGGCACAGGGCTGCAGGTCCGACGACCGTAACGTCAATTAGTTGCCGCTCGGGTGAGGGCGATCCAGAAGGAAGAGTAGTGGCGGAGGGTTGCTGCGCTACGCGAGTGGCCAAGGAAAGAAGAAGCAGAGACGGAGGAGCTGAGGATTTGAATGGATGGATGGATGTACGTAGGTGCGAACGAAGGATTGCAGCAGAAGAAGATGAAGAAAGGACAAAGTGGTATAGAAGCGATCAAGTGGTATACGACGCAAAGAGAGGGAGGGGGTATTGGATGGAGCAGGTCTACCGCCAAAGAGGGCCAGGCCGGGGGACCTGAGACTCGACCTTGACTTGACTAGAGAAGAGATTGGCCCTGCCTGCGTCTGCGTCTGCTTCTGCTTCTCTTCCCAGACAGCTGAATGACAGTCGCTGAAAGACGCAGAGGTGCACACGGCCAGTCCGGCGAATCCAAGCAGAGCAGAGCAGAGCAGAGGAGGGCGAGGGCCAGACGAGGGGAAAGGATCTGGACGGCCTCTGGTGCAGTGCCCCTCTTCTGTCCCTTCCCCAGCTTCCTCCGCTCTCAACCCCGATGCAGACGGCAGAGAAGCAGCCAAGGTCGCCCCTCTGCAGTCCTTGTGCAGCAGAGCCCAACCCCACCAAGGCCGCACAGCTGAGACGTCAGTGTGGGGTCAAGCACTTCGTCTAGAGCAACTCCGACGTCAACTCCGACTGAAGAGAGAGAGAGCAGTGACGCACATTGAGCGGGGGGTGGGCCGCACCACGGTTGGAGGCACGCACGGAAAGCACTTCAGTCCTCTCCTCGAATTTCTGAACTTGAGCTCGAGAGGACAAAAAGCCTGACTATGACTGACACTACGCAAATATCAAGGGCAGAAGGTAGCATTGCACGGGGTCAAGGCGGTCAGAACATTCTTTGCACGTCGCCCTTGCTGAGACGCTCGTTGCTTGTCACCTCAAGCAGGCGAAACCCTATCTGCAAACCCCTCCTCGGTCATCCGCAACTTCTGTCCACCAGTAGAATCTGCGTGATGCAATTCGGGCTTGCCCAGTAGTCCCTCCAGCCGTGATGCCATGGATGGAGCTGCCATGGGGGCTGTAGCCACTACCGGAGTAGGAAGCGAGCCTTCCTCGGGTGGTGGAATGTGCCCATCGCTGCCTCCCGTGCCTGCGAGGGAAAGGGCAGGAGCAGCCGTCAATGTAGGGGCAGACGTCACCGAGTGACCACCCTGCGCACTTGGCGCCTGTTGGTAGTTGAGCAGATTCGCAGACGCCGTCGATGGCCTCCTCTCGGCCCCTGAGTTCATAAAGGCCGCATGGTTGGACGTGGACAGGGAATAAGGAATAGAGTGCTGCGTAGCCACGGTCCTCTGCGAGTCGGTCCGTTTGATGCCCATTCGGTCCGCGGGTGCTCCAGCCCCAGAAGTGTAGGCGCTGGTAGAGGCAGGCATTGCGATGTTGCTCGAGCTGGCATTGCCGCCCGACAGCATCCCCGTCATGGCATTGGCAGAGGTAAGACCTGTTGCAGAAGGAGCAACGCTATCTCGTCCCGTGCGTGTCGATGCATCTGATCCACGCCGGCTGAGAGGCGGAAGAGCTCGCATGCTGGCGTATGTGTCGGAGGAATTACGGCGATCGCCCATGAGACTGCCCCCAATGGAACGCGCACCTGCCAGAGACGGCGTGTAATGATGTCCAGCTGCTCCAGCGCCACCTTGTCGCACTGATGCTGGCCCGCCGATGCTCTGCGCAGCAGTAGAGGAAGCGAGGGTGAGGACGCTAGCATTGTCAGGGGGTATACCAGAAGGGGTGGGATTGTTGGAAGGGTGAGGACGCGAGATGGCAGGTACATTCGTGTAGGGAGTCTCCTCCATTGGATCATTGTAGCCGGGTAGGTTCACCAGGGGTACAGCTCCAGAAGTCGTTGTCCGACTTGCGGTGGGTGAACTGGCGAACTGGATCGAGGGAGATCCAGCTGCAGCGCGTGCGGCGGCTGAGTTGTTGGAAGTAGGCGAGGATTGATCTCCATGACGGTACTGGGCAATCTGAGCTAGTCCAGAATGGCCGGTATTCTCTCTCGTCTCAAGGCTCATCAAGGTCGTTGGCTTAGTGCTCTTGCCGGTGTCAACCGTTCGAGTATCGCTCGAGTCTCTCCGCCTGAAGCCTTCTGTAGAGTCTACATCTTCAAAACTGGTCTCGGGCCCCGACCGTGAAGGGCTAGTCGAGGAGTGGTCGCTCAGGTGAGCATTGCGGGAGTAAGCTGAAGGTGGGCCAACGTTGCCCAGCCGGGCATTACCGTTAGATCCAGCGTTGGCACCTCCGATCTGCTCTTCGACGGCTAGTGAGGATGACGTGGGAATCGATCGCATGGCTGCACCATCCTCGGCAAGTACTGAGCTCTGCCCTGCTGTTGCTCCCTGTCCTGTCTCTACAAGACCTGCTCCACTATCACCTGCCGCCCCAGCTGCGACTACGCCATTGGTGCTGTGTTGTCCCAAGTCTGCCGATGCATCTGTGAAGGCTGGATCTGTGGACTCCACCTGTGCGGGAGCGACGTCGGTTGGGTTGATGGGCTCATGGGCGGGTAAGCCGTCCAGCTGAGGGGCCTGACTGGAGGCTTCCCTTGGCATGACGAGGGTATCTGCCAGCCCTTGCGTGCCATTGCCCGTAAAGCCCAATGGCGAGGGAGAGCGATCGACGGTCTGAGAAGACTTCAGGCGATCCATATCACTAGCATTGGCGCCGCTGTTCAAGCGCGATGATTTGCCATCTACTGCTGCAGCTGGAGCAGCGTTTTTGCTCCGGGACTTGGACAACTTTGTCGTACCACCGCCGCTGCTCTTGCCAGTGGGGGCGGAAGCTGGTGGCGAAGAAAGCGCTGCGAAGATGTCTTGTTGGCCATCCTTGCCCGTTGAAGAAGAGACTGCTCCCGTGTGGGCTTGCTGTGGAGAGGTTGCGACTGCCTCATCGCTCGGTTTCCTCCCAAACTTCTTTAGGAAGCGCTTGAATTTGGACCCCTCAGTGTTGTTGTTGGTGGATGGAAGCTGGCTCTGGGTTGCGACGTGATCTGTTGCCATGGTGGGTGTGGGAGAAGGGGAGGTTGAGTCCACTGGTGATACTCGCTGTGATGGTACTGATGGAGAGGAGCAGAGGAGACGAGCTGCCAAGGCTGTGCGGGACCACGTTTGGCGTGGTGGGTGGTGTCTCAGTCTACTCGGCACGACTTGGCGGAGTACCTCTGCTTGTGGAGTCGCACACAGCCAGAGTCAGGGCAGCCTTGCGCCAGAGCCGCCGCCTGCCCCCCGCCCTTGTGCGTCTCTACGCCTGTGCGCGATCCTCGCCTTTGTCCTCCCGTTCCGTCTCGCGACCATCGCGGACCTTCCTCCGCACCTCGTGTCCTTACCACCACCATTCACCATCACCCATCACCTGCCACTCGTCTTCGGGTGATCACGCGCTCTCTCCGTTGGACGCATCCGTCAGTATGGCAGAGGCAGAAGCACTTCCGCCTGGTATCCCTCTCCCAGGAGAGGGCGGCGCAGGTTCAAGTCGGCTGGCCGTCAACCTTCCGCTCGACCTGCCCAAGGAGAGCATCCTCGCCGCCATCCAGACTCATGCCACCCTATCCGTCTCCAATGGCGAGCTCACTGAAGCTTCTCTCGCTTCTCCAGATAACAGTGTCATCCTTGCCGTCTATTCGGCCCTGTCCGCTCTCGCTTCCAAGTACGATGCTGAAGTTCAAGCTCGCGAGACTCGCGAGGTAGACGTCGAATCCCAGCTCAATGCTTCGGATCACCTGCGCAGTGAAGCAGAGGGTAAAGCCTCACAGGCAATGCGAGAGGCAGAAGCAGCAGAGGCAGGAAGGCGGTCAGCTCAACAAGCTCTGGAAGAAAAGGAGACCGAGCTGGCCTCTCTCAAGGCCAGTGTCCAGAACGGCACTGCTGCCAGCGCTGAGATCAAAGCCGTCCTCGACAAGGAGCAGGGCGAAAAGAAGGAGCTACTAGAGGTCTTGAACAAAGAGAGGGCCGAGGGTAGGCAAAGAAGCGGTAAGTGGAATGGAGCGCAAGGCACGACTCTTGGTAAGGCTGGAGAGGCTCACTATCACATTTCGTCACTTTCTCACAGATGAGATCGAGACCTACATCGCCAGGACACGAGAGGGACGACAAGAAATCAATAGAATCACCACCGAACTGCAAGAAGTCAAAGCGTCCGAGAGCGCCGCCAAATTCAAAGCTCAGTCCCTTTCGCAAGAGCTCGAGCTCGCCCGCAATGACGCCTCCTGGGCTCATTCCGAGCTCACTAGACTCAACTCGGACCACACTGCCTTCCGAGTCTCCAAGCATTCCGAGGTGGTCAAGCTACAGTCGGAGCTTGACGAGGCTTCACAGAGCGCCAGCACTCTTCAGACCAAAGTAGAAGGTCTGCAGTCTGCGTACGACGACGCAAGCCGCCGCCTCAGCGAGGCCTCGATAGAAAGGGAGCAGCTCGTGAATCGTCTGGCCAGTCAGGAAGAAAGCTTCAGGAGGGAGGTCGAGACGAAAGACCGCTTGAATGCTCTGCTGCAACGGCGGACCGATGATGAGACGAGAAGACGGGAGCAAGTTGAGTCTGAGTGGGAGAACGTGTTGGAAGGCTGCAGGGAGACAGAGCTTGAGCTGCAAGACAAAGTCGGCCAGGCTGAGGATCGGATTCAATCGCTCAAGGCTGAGAAGGAAGAGTTGCAACTTGCGCTCGACCGTATGGCGGAGAGCATCGGTATTGACACTGCCTCTCGTGCAGGATCCATCGATGGCCAAGTGGCGCCCACAACTCCCCTTCGCCCCTTCGCGACATCACTTGGCTTGGGTGGCAACGGCAACACTCCTTCCATCATGATGATGTCTCCCACCGCAGCTATGGCTTCCTCGATGCAGCGATCCGGCAAGACCTTCACAGAAGTCTACACTGCGCTTGCGAAGACGGAGGAGGAGTTGAGGCGCGAAAAGCTTGAGACGAGCCGCCTCGCTTCGGTTCTAGAGACCATCATGAACGATCTTCAAGAAAGAGGGCCAGCTCTTCAAGCTCAGCGGGAGGAGACCGATCGTCTCGCCGTGGCTCTTGAAGAGCTTTCTGCAGACTTCGCTCGGGCTTGCGAAGAGCGAGACGCCGCTGAGCGGGCGAACAAGCAGTCCAGAGCCGAGGGGTCTGCTGTCCGACGAGAGAATGACTTACTGAATCAACAGCTTGCCGATCTCGGACGGCAAGTACGAGCTCTGACCCGAGAGGTCATCATCCGTGATGATCCATCAGCTGTCAGTCGCTTGCAGGAGGACGGCTCAGAGTTCCCTTCCCTCAACGTGGCGCCCGAGTCTGACACGCAGAGCGTCATCAGTACGGAGCTCGTCACTTTCGATTCCCTGACATCTCTCGTAGCTCAGAACGGACGTCTCCTGCGGGTGGCGCGAGAGCTCGGGGCTCGCATGGAGGAGGAAGAGGCCAAATGGCGCGAGCGCAACGAACACGAAGAGAGTGAAGCCGTACAAGAGGCAACCAGGCTCATTGAAAGATTGGAAAGTGAGATTGGCTCGGAACGGTCTAGAACCGAAGCGATGCGTAGGGAGCGCGACATGTTCCGCTCCATGCTGGCAAGCGGGTCCAGAGCTGGCTTTGCTGCATCCACTTCATCAGTGGATGGGCAAGGCACCTCGGCATCGGTCTCGGGAGCTCATGCTAATCTGGCAGGCCAGTACGCCGCTCTGCAAAACCAATTTGATACTTTCCGGGAAGAAACATCCCGCGATGCAGATGCCCTCAAGACAGAAGCTCGTCAAGCTCGAGATGAAGCCGGCAAAAGCGCTTTGGCAGCTGCCAGAGAAAAAGCCGGCCGAGAGTCCAGCGAAGAGAGGTACCGCACACTTCAACAAACCTTCGAGTTGCAGCGGTCCGAGCTGTCCGAGCTGTCCAAGCGGCTTCAAGCTCAACAAGGCAACCTCGCCCGTCTAGAAACATCTTCTCACAGCCTGTCAGAAGATCTCTTTTCAACACGCAAAGAGCTCGAGCGGCTTCGCAATGAGTCCGCCCACCTTCGCGCTGAGCGTGATATCGCCAAAGGTTCCGAATCTAGGCTGATGGAAGAGATCTCGGCCATGGTGAAGGAGAAAGCCGGTCTCAACGAGCTGCTGAGAAATGTACAAAGCATGCAAAATGATCTTGATAGGAATGCAAGTGAAGCCAAGCGTCGTATGGAGGCCCAAATCGAGAAACTCGAGGAGCAGGGCAAAGATTACCGCGAGCGGGTGCAGAAGGAAGAAGCAGCCAGGAGAGAAGTCGAGTTGCGCAGGGAGATCGATGTTGGGGGTCTTACTAGCCGACTGGAGCGGACGAGTGCAGAATTTGCGACTGCCAAAGAGCAGATTGCGGTCGCCAAGACAAATGTCGAGCATCTGACCAGAAGAACAGAGGATCTGCAGAAGCAGATTGACTCCAAGGAAGAAAAGCTTGCCGTCTACGAACGACGCTCTGCAACATCTGCTACCACAAATGGCCCAAGTGGCTCAGCTGGCGCCACATCGTCTCTCAACAACGAGCAACAGCTACAGATTGAGATCGCTGAGCTGCGAGGCGATCTTCGTGGTGCTCAAGTGGATGCAGAGCAGAGCAGATCGCACGTCGAGCAGTACAAAGCCATTGCTCAAGCTAGCGAAGAGGCCCTGACTCAACTGCAAGCCACCTACGACGAATACCAGACTATCACGCAAGCTAGTCTTTCCGAGAAGGACGGCGAGATCGCTCAGCTCCGAAGCAGGCTGGAATCAGTGGCTGCCGAGATCACCTCCTTGCAGAACGAAGCCTCATCCGCTCGACAAGCCCTCGAGACCCAACGCAATGAGTTCGAAGCTGAAAAGCACTCTCTGCAGACTGCATTGACCGACTTCAATGGTGCTGAGGAGAGAGCGAGGGCAGACCACGAAGAGGTACGAGCGGACATTGAGAAGCAGGCCCAACTTGCACGGGAAGCACATCAGAAATATGAGACTGAGCTGCTTGCACATGCTGAAGATATCAAGGCTCTCTCCGCGCTCAAGGAAACGCTCGAGCGCACCCGTTCAGAGGCGCGGGAGAGTCAAAAGAATTACGAGATCTCCCAGGCCGACCTCAGTACCTCAAAGGTCAGCTGGGAAGCGCAACGTGAGGCACTCGCTCGCGAGAAGGACTCGATGTCGCAGCGGATTAATGAGTTGGTTGATCAGACCACTGTGCTACATCAGCATCTCGAGACACTCACATCGCAAGTCTCACAGATTCGGACAGCTGATGGCGAGCCAGCAGGCGATGCTGATGCCAGCTTCTCCAACGCTGGACTTGAGAGTCTTCGCGAGATTGCAAATCATCATCGCAGAGACAAAGAGATCGCTGAACTTCACCTGGAAGGACTCAAGCAGGAGACCACTCGTCTGCGCTTGAATCTGGAGTATGCCAATCGTTCCCTCGAGGAGACCAAAATTCAATTGTCCGAAGAGCGCGAGCGCAACTCGACTGCTGGATCTGCCGGCGCAAAGCAGCACGACGAAGTCTTGGAGAAGATCAATCAGCTGAGCATCCTGAGAGAGAGCAACGCAACGCTTCGAGATGAAAGTGAAAGGTCTGCAAGGCGAGCTCAGACGCTCGAGACGCAACTTGCTGCATCGCAAGCCGAGATTGATCCTCTCAAGGAGCAATTGCGAACGGTGCAGAATGAGTTGAGCGCTGCCCAAGGCCAGCTGCGCATTGTACAGGAAGACAACAAACGCTGGCAGGCCCGCGCTCAGTCGATCCTAGCTCAGTACGATCGCATCGACCCCGAGGAGATCAAGCGGCTGGAGGAGCGTGCCGTTGCTGCCGAAACAAGAACTCAAGAATTGCAGCAACAGCTCGAAGCCAGTAAAACAGAAGTCACCAACTCGAAAGACCAGTTCAGCCGGCTGCGCACACAAGCTAGCGACCGCCTCAAGCTGCTTCGCGAGGAAATCGCTGGCTTGAAGGAGCAGATCGAGACGCTGAAGAGGGATAAGGAAGGCGCACAAGCTATTGCAGATCAGGTACAGGCTGCCGAGTCAGAGGCCGTGACCTCTGGCCTGCGCCGACAGCTGGAGGAGATCCAGCAGGAGAAGCAGGCCGCTGAGCAGAAGGCCAGCGCCAGCCAGCAGAAGATCCAAGAGCTTGAGCGGCAGATTTCAGAACTTCAGCAGGCTGTGCAGGCCGCAGGAGAGGCGAAGGCTTCCGAAGCTAATGCAGAGAGCGGCGCACAGGCTGGCGCTTCAAGTGGCGCTGACGTAGATGCTGCCGTTGCCAAGGCTCTCGAGGAGGCTCAGAGCAAGTGGCAGGAGGAAAAGACTGCTCTGGAGGCTTCCAAGACTACCATCGAGAACCGCGAGAAGCAGCACCACCAAAAGGCCCGAGAATTCCTCACCGCCATGCGGCAAGCACAGAAGGAGCGTGACGACATCAGGAAGGAGAAGGAAGCTGTCGAGGCCAATTTCGCTGCAAATCACGCCGAGGAGATCGAGAAGGTCGTAGCCGAGCGTGTGGCTGCAGGCGGGCAGCAGACCGGCGGTGCCGCTGGAACATCTGTCGTCAAGGAGGAGGCAGGTCTCTCATCCGACGAGGTCGAAGCACTGAAGGGCCGCATTGCTGAGCTCGAGGAGGCTCTCTCCAAAGCCAACACGCGTATCTCCGAATTGGAAGCTTCTCTACAGCAAGCCTCCGCTAGCGAGGGCACTTCTTCATCCCAAGACATTGAGAAGCTCAAGGCCGAGCATGCCGAGGCCCTCAAAGAGCAGCAGAGCACACTAGCTCAGCAATATCAGAAGCGTCAGTCCATGGCCGTCGAAGTGGCTATCAAGAAGGCTCAGGCAGAAACTGGCGGAGCTACTCCTAATGCAGAGGCCGTGGCCCAACAGATTCAAGCCGCTGTAGCAGCAAAGGAGCAAGAGATCCGCCAACTGCTTGCCAACGGTTCTGAAGGTGGCGCAGGAGCTTCCGATGAAGCTGCCCTGAAGGCTCGCTACGAGACTGGATTCGAAGCCGGCAAGAAGGAAGCTGCTCTTCGCAATCAGCTCATGCTGAAACAGCGCGATGGCAAAATCGAGAGGCTCACAAAGGAGATTGCCGAGCTCAAGGGCGAGACTCCAAGCACCTCTACGTCGGCAACCACCCCAACCGCTGGCAGTGCAGGTGCTGCTAATTCCGCTGCAGGCTCATCTACGGCTGCCTCTACGACTGGAGGCGCACCTGTTGGTCGTCCCGCTGTTGCGCAGGTGCCCGGCAGAGGTGGAACGACATCCATTCGTGGCCGAGGTGGACCGGCTCTCGCGACTGGCAATGGTGCCACTGCCGGAGCCGCTCGTGGAGGAAGAGGTGGAGCTGTAGCCCCTCGCGGCGGACTAGCATTGAGAGGCGGAGCTACTGCCCGTGGTGGAGTGGCCGGCAGAGGTGGAGCTAGAGGAGGCGGGGTGGCGGGTACTGGTGTGGCTGGTGGACAGGCGCAGAAGAGAAAGATGAGCGAGGACCAAGGGGCTGCAGGAGAAGGAGCTAAGAAGGCGAAGGAGGGATGAAGTGGCTGGCGGGAAGGGACATAGGTATCTGCTGAGGTGAAGTGGTCTGTAGCGCAACACGAATGAAACAAGTAGCATCGAACAGGACGCAGTGACCGACCGAGACAGTCTGGCCGTGATCATGCCGAGCAAATAATGACTGTTTATACGGGCCATCGAAGATGAGTTGAGTGTGGTATACGGTTGCTATTGACGGTCGAGACTCTCACTCAGCTAGCTAGCTGGAGCGCCAGTCGCACTAGTGGCATCGGCTGCCCTTTTCTTCTCGACCGTCTTGGTAGTCCAGCCCTTCTTCTTTCTGCCTCCCATTCCCCTCTTGACCTCATACTCAACCCTCACCGGCGGCTCCTTCAGTCCCAATTCCCTCTTCATCTCACGCATATCCACCTCCCACCTTTCCTCCCAATACAAACTCAGTAAAGTGCCCCCATTCAACTTCTCTCTACAAGTCTTACCCATCTCCCAAGCCCAAGGTCCCAATTCTCGGATGAGCAGCCATCTCTCTTCGGAGGAAAGACGGAGGGGTCCAGCTAGGGAGGAGAGGTAGGCTACGGGTAGACCGAAGTGAGATGCTTCGAAGATCTTCACAACGGTCTCGCCTAGGGTCGAGACGGGCATACTGCAGAGGAGGTGGTAGAAGTCGTGCGATTCGCGATACCGTTGCATGACGTAGGCTTGCTCGGGGTCATCGATGTACCGCACCTGTGTGAATGCGAGAAAGGAGATTTCGAGGTTCAGTCTCGGTCCCTACGAGATGTCTGTACGATGACTCCTTCGCCAGGGCTCGAGCTCACCTGTGCTCTTGTATCCGGCCCGACTCTGCACCACTCCAACCAGTCCACGTAAGCCCTCCCGAATGTTCCCTCCTGTAATCCCTCCAAGTACTTCATATCCACACTAGCCGTCGTGATCCTCGGTCGATCCACCAGTAATCTCCTCCCTTCTTGCGTGAGCAACATCCGATCCCGCAGTGAAGGCAGGAGAGACTCGCCAGACGTCTCGGAGAGAGTGGCAATCATGTCTCCTCGTGCGGGATTGACGATGGAAGCGAGGGCGGAGCCGAGGGAGAGGAAGTGCTTTTGCCATGAGTGTAGGGGAATGTGCGATGTGTAGCTCTTGGGAGGGGACGAAGAGGAAGAAGCGCGAGTGGGCGGTGTGGACGAGTAGGCTCGAAGCAGGCCTGGAGTCTGGAGGGGAGAGGCGCCTGAGCTGCCAGCGTACAAGGATGAGCTGGAGAAGCATTGCAGCTCATATGCCACTGGACGGCGAGGGAGCAGTCGACGAGCTGCCATCGTGTGAGCTGATGTTTCAGAGTAACAGGTAGAATGCTAGGAACGAACGGAACGCACAGGGCGTGAGATTTCTGCCTTCCGCACTCCACTCTATACGGCCGTGGCATGGCGCAAAACCTTCAGTCAAAAGCTCGAAGCTCACAAGACGTCAGCGGAGATGTGACGAGGAAGACAGAAGTTGTATTGTATTGTACATGAGTATTCGAACTGGGAAGAGGGCGAATGAGGGGGGAAGCGGTGGAACATGCGGTGGTCTGAGCCACTAGCTCGGCACAAGGCCACTGCTGCTTCGGCTTGTAGATTCAATGAGGCTGTCTTTCCATGACGAGAAGCGAAAGAATCCAGCCACTTGCGTTGTTTCAGTACCAGTAGTCGACGTACTGCGAGGTGACCTGGACTTTCTTTGCTCGTCAGAAAGGAAAGGATGATCTGGAGTTGGAAGCCCTTGCTGGCTGTCAGGGAGGAGACGACGTTCCGCGGCGGCCGACGACAGCCTTGCCCTCTGCGAGCAAGAGAATCGAAGCTGATACTTCGGCTTCAGCAGCGGCTTGAGCCTGTCGAAGTAGCTCAGAGCACTTTTTTCATACCCCTCGGCAAGTCCCCTCCCTGGCAGTCAACCTGCGTCCGACTTAGTGACTGAGGAATCTCCTTCCCTGAAGCCTCCTCCTCGCCAGCATCTTCCTTCCATTCTTTGTCTTGATCCTAGCCAAGAAGCCGTGTTTCCTCTTTCTTTTCCTTTGAGATGGCTGGTACTCCTGGCCATACGTTGCGCAGCGCACACCTCCCAGCTGAAAGAGCTGTGAGCTGGGAAGGGGAGTGAGGCTTGGCAGACATGCGAGGCGGACGAGGGGTGATGAGAAGGGGGAAGATGCGGGCAGACGGGTTGAAGAGGTCTGTAGCGCGGACCTGAAGGATGTGAGGTAGCTTGAGGATGCTGCGCTAGTGGAAGAGGCGGCCCGTAGCAGTCGTGCCAGACTTGGGAGCGCCGATGTGGAGCTCTCGGAAGTGCTTGCTGTGAGCGGGGCAGCGTTGGCGGTAGAGACTATCCTCCGGAGGAGGTGCAGTTGTCGAGGCATCCTGAACACTTGCTGCTTGACTGCCAGTGATGGTCGTGGGTAGGATCCTTGTGATGCTGATGTAGACTTGTGTGCGATGTTCTCGTCTGCCTGTGCTCATCTTCCCGCCGCGCGCCTGTCCCACTCGTGCCCGCCCGCCGCCTGCTCCTCGTCTCCGCCTGGCTCAAATTTTGCCTTTCCGCATCAACGAAGCTCACACCGCCTAGTCTACCCCACTTTGCACCCATTCTCAATATCATACCCCCACCTCCTTCTTGGCTCAACCTGCTCATACATATATCACCATGGGTCTCGCAGGAGAGAAGCGCAAGCAGCGCTTAGTTGGCAGTGCAGTCACACGCAACTCCTCGTGGCTCGCAGATACCTCCCTGCCAGGCCAACGTCTCCTCTCCCAGATGGGTTGGTCCGAAGGCCAGGGCATCGGTGGCTCGGGACAGGGCCGCACTGAGACGATCAAGACGATGTACAAGATGGACAACAAGGGAATTGGCTCTCAGAGAGCTGAAAAGGAGATGAGGGACAGCGGGAAGGCGGGGGTAGGAGGGGCAGACAAGTGGATTGGAGGAGGTGGGGAGCTAGGAGGCCTCTTTGAGCGCCTGAACGCTGCTAGCACTAGCTCCAGCGGCGTCTCTACACCTATCGTCGAGGAGATGGCAGAGACCGAAACCATCACCAGCAAAGACAGCAAGAAGGACAAGAAGAGGAAACGTAAAGCACAAGAGCCTTCGTCTGACTCGTCTTCAAGTGAGAGCGAAGAGGAGCCCAAGCCTAGGAAGTCAAAGGGCAAATCAAAGGAGGACAGCAAGAAGAAGTCCAAGAAGGCCGATGGAGATGATGTAAAGAAGAGCAAGAAGGAAAGGAAGTCGAAGAAGGGTTCGGCTGAGAAAGCTGCTGCTGAGGAAGCAGTGGCTGTGGAGAAGGCTGTGCAGACAATACGAAATGCGTGAGTAGCCCAGATCTGGAGTGTGGTAGAGGAGCCAGACGTTGATGCTCCCCCTGTTTGTTGTTCTCGATTAGATCTCGAGCCAAGTTTTTACGAGCAAAGCGGCAGCTTCACGGAGACGCCGTCAGCATGAATGAGATCCTGGGTATTGCCTCTGGGTCCAACTCACCTGCGCCTGCTCTCACACCTGCAGTGGAGGCGCAATCAGATAGTCCCTTGCCGGCAGCAGTAGCTCCTGAGGAAGTACTTCCGCTTGCCGCTGCTTTGATCGAAGGAGAGTCGGACAAGGAGCGCCGTAAGCGGGAGAAGAGAGAAAAGAAGGAGAAGAAGGAGCGGAAGGCTAGCAAGGCACAGGCCAAGGAGGCCAAGCAGGCAGGAGCGACTTCATCGACGGAGGATTCGGCTGCTCCCAAGGTCGAGCCAGTGGAAAAGAAGGAACTGGTGATGAATACGGTCTCTCCGCTGTCTGTGCACGAGTACCTATCTCGCAAGCTGATGCTGCGAAAGGCACAAATGGCTCGCAAACGCAAGACGGATCAGGAAGCCGTATGGGGTCGTCTGAGCGCCGGTAGTGGTGTAGGAATCATGGTCGAGTAGTTTGCAGAGCAATCGCAATCTGAATGTTTATTTGATATCATATCTCTAATCCGTACTGGGTGACGGATCGAGCCTCTCTCGCTTGGCATCGTGCGGCGTAAAAGGGACACGCGGACAAGTGGGAAAGGGCAGAGTAGGAGCAGTCACTTTATCTGCTGAGCAGAGCCGTATCCTTCCTTTCGTCAAGGCATCCTCTTTATCCCGTCTAGTTGTAGCAGAGACAGAGCTTTGCGTCGGCGCTGTCTGCGAGTCGTACGCACCATGCAAGGCAAGAATGCATTCTCTGCGCGGCGACAGACACCCATACATTGATTGCAGCGCAAGGGGACTTTGACCGGTATTGCAGCGAAGAGCTCGACCTGAGACGCTCGCTGAGTACTGGTGTGATCTTCTGTTGCTTAGCCGTGGCGATCTCACCTATTCGAAAGCATCACCAGCTTAAGAGAGGGATAGGATCCTTCACCTAGCGCCTGAGGTACACTCGAAGACAGATGAAATGGCCCGAGGGCTGGGAACCGCCCGAGGTGAAGGCCGATGAAGCGCCGCTACATGGAGATAAGGGAGAAGCACAGGTCACCTCTATGTTGAGCCGGACGTAAGTGACAGACGACGTCGTTGGGGCTATCGCCAGTCAAGCTCAGCACACGTCTTGCAGACGTCGCACAGCTCACAGGTGCCCTCGGCGCATATCGCGGGAGCGGAGGCCCGCGGACGTTCGGGCCAAGAAGTCAAGAATGCCGAAGAAGGCACAGGCCCCCGCATCCGTTCGGCAGCCCACCGCTCTACACGAGTACGGCAACCTTTTTTTTCTTTCTCTCCCTTTGGCGTTGGCGGCGAATCCTAGCCGAGGAGGGTGCATGCCGTCATCTTAGATCTTGAGCCCCTGCGAGGGTCGCGGGTCGCAACGCGAGAACAGTCCAGGGCAGATCCCAGTAGTCCGGGGCTACATTTCGGAGCGCCAGATGACCCGCAGATGAAGAGGGTGACATCGGCGGGCTGCGTCAAGTCAGGGGACGAGGGCGAGGGGAAAAGGTGGAGTCCCCAACGTAGAACCTTGGGGATGGGCATGCATAATATCTTCTCCCCTCTTTCTTGCCTCATATCCTCTGTCTCCTCCAACCTCTGCAATTACATCCCCCTCCACTATTCGAGTCAGTTATCCTCTGCACAGGACTCGATAACGCCAGGTAGGAGCTGCAAACGCAAGAAATCTCTCACTTGCCGTCAAGCATGTCCGACTTGGAGAAACGAGGCGAGGCAGGGTCGCATCCAGGTGCTGCTGCGCCTCTCAACGGGGGAAACTGGTCCTCTGAGCCCACAGTAGCTGCAGATCGATCCGCATCGGGCTCTCCTCCTACTACTTCGGCAGGTCACACCGAAGTCCACTCCTCCGGACACGACAACATAGCAGCCGAGAAGAAGCACAGCGGGGAAGGAGATTTGGTCAGCAAACCTCGAGAGGGCGAGGTCAAGTCCGACCGCGTCAAGCGCAAAGTTGAGGACCTCGAGTCAGAGGGATACGTCCTCGTTGGCTTCGAGGATGGAGATCCCGAGAACCCACGCAACTGGAGCAAAGCATACAAGTATTTCCTCGTCTCTTTTTGCTCCTACCTCAACGTCTGCGTAGCCAGTCAAGCATCAGCCTACAGCACAGGATCTTCGGATATTCAGGAAGAGTTCGGCATCAGTAGCGAGCTGGCTACTGTGGGACTTAGTCTCTATGTGCTTGGTTTTGCTATTGGTCCCCCGATTGTGGCCCCTCTGTCAGAACAGTTCGGACGCAAGCCAGTCTATCTCATCTGCTGGGCTCTATGGGTCCTCATGTCTTTCCCCATCGCCTTTTCGCCCACAATCGAGGGTATCCTCATCTGCAGATTCCTTGCCGGATTGATGGCATCGCCTCCGCTCTCTAACACTGGAGGTGTCGTTTCCGATCTCTTCGCTAGGGACTTCTCGGGCAAAGCCATGGCGATTTACACCTTCGGAAGCTGCATCGGTCCAGCTACAGGTAACGTCTACGCTAGTTTCATCGCCCCCAAGCTAGGCTGGCGCTGGATCTACTACCTGACCGCGCTGTTGATCTTCGGCCTGCACCTGCCCATCATCTACTTTGTCCTACCCGAGACTCGTCACAACATCATCATCGAGCGCAAAGCGGCTCGTCTGCGCAAGGAAGCAAGCACGGACAAGTTTGTCTCTGTCCATGCTACGGAGAAGAAGTCGCTGGCAGCCGGTCTGAAGATCTCCTTGACAAGGCCCTTCCGCTTCCTCTTCACCGAGCCCATCACCATGTTCGCCTCTGCTTGGAACGGTTTCTTGTACGGTCTGATTTTCCTCTTCAACGATGCCTTTGCGGAGATCTGGGGCCCCGGCAATGGCGGTTACGGCTGGTCAAGCGCTGGCCTGGTTCAGCTCACCTTCCTCTCCTTGATCATCGGTACGGCCCTTGCCGCGCTGTCGTACCCCTTGATCGGCGAGCGCTTCTATCAGAAGAGGATCCGCGAAGCAGGGGAGAGTGTGCCCGAAGCGCGCATGTTCGCCGGCTGCTTTGGCTGTGTGCTTCTGCCCATTGGTCTCTTCCTCACAGCTTGGACCTGCTATCCTGATCGAATCGTCTGGATCGTGCCCCTGCTTGGACCTGCCATCTTTGGCTACGGCTTCTTCTTTGTACTGTTTGGTATCCTCACCTATCTGACGGACTCGTACGGAGCCTTCTCGGCTTCCGCTCTCGGGGCTGCGATTCTGATTCGAAGTGAGTCCACTCTGCCGCGCCTTCATCGACTTGAAAGTTTGCTGACCAATCCCCCATCTCACTGCCTCTGATCCCGCTCCCGTTCCATCAGACATCATCGGTGCTATCTTCCCCCTCTTTGCCTCGTACATGTACGAGAATCTGGGTAATCACTGGGCCACGAGTCTGATTGCCTTCTTGTCCCTTCCCCTAATTCCGCTCACATGGTACTTCTACCTGAACGGTAGGAAGCTGAGGGAGGCGAGTCCCTTTGCCTCTGCTCACTTCAATGAAGACGAGGATGCGCCTCACTGAGAGCGGAAGGGGAAGAGTGCTCTGCCCTGGATCGCACTTGTATTGTACTTTCAGCTAACATCTTCATCAAAATTAACGATTCTTTCTCGCATCTGAATAGCCCCTTGAGCAAGAGAAGCAAAGAGGGTGCAGATGAGTGCGTGAGTGCGTGAGTGCAGCTACTTGTCAGTGGATAGCGGGATCAGGAGTGATAACGGAAGGAGTCCCGGGGCAAAGCGGAGATGGACCGAGGCATGTGCGTGCAGCTCTCAACAGCGCCGCCCCCCACGCTGCCTCCAGGGTCCGTGCACGCCCCCTCCCGTTCTTTATCGCCGACGTCCCTTTCCGAAGACGAGCAGACGGCAGCACTCAGCCTTGTCTCCTCTTTGCCCCTTCTACCGAGAGCTGAGCCTGGCCTTGTGTAGATCTGGTCGTCTATCTTTGGTACTCCTGCCTGCCTGCCTGCCTGCCAGAGGTAGCCGATCAACTTGGCGCCGAGGCACGCCGCTCCTCGCAGCGCCGGGAATCAGCCGTGGCTGTGACCTCGCCTCCACCCGATGTGTGTGTGTGTACACTCGAGAGTCTAGATAGAGGACAATGCTCCGAGATGATCCCCCTCCTTCCGTTATCTTAGCTCGGTGGATGGAGGTGTATAAAGAGATGCGGGGTCCCTCTTGCTCCCCCCTCTTCCCCACCTCCCATACTTACCCCACGTAGTAGCTCTCCCCTTCCGCTTTTCTCTCGCTCTTCTCGATCATCCCCTCACCCTACCCACCACCACTACCACCACCACCATCATGCCCGGAATCGCACTCTTGACCAATGCTGCTGCCAACTGCAAGCTGGACGATGTGACCTGTGGAGGCTTCCTGGGAGATATTGCTACTAGCGCCAATAGCACACTTACTGCTGGGATTTACCACCAGACAAAGAACACCGAGGAGGAGGCACTGAAGTGAGTGTGGGGTCTGGAATACAGCGGGAGCGAAGCGAGGCAGGGGAAAGGCTGAGAATGGGGCAAGGGTTTCGCTGCCCATGAGGGGTGGCGGAGGAGAGGTAGGAGCAACAAGGCGTCAGGATGGCTAGGTGCACAGAGATTAGACTTCTGAAGACATGGCATCAACGCTGGAGGCCAGCCCGGTCTTTGCGAAATACTCTCTTCCAGGTCTCTGCTACCCACGATACTTCACTACCTTGTGAGGGAAGTCTGGACTGACTTCAAACCGTTCGTTCCCTCCCTCCCGTCTTCGGTCACAGGTTCAAGTACAAGTATGACGAATTCAAGCTGATCATCGAAGGGACCATCTGTATCAAGGAGCCCTCTACCGGCACACAGATCGAGGCAAAGGTGGGAGATGTGGTCAACATCTCAAAGGGAGCTGACCTGGTCTTGTAAGTCGAGATAGGGCAATAGCAGAGCTAAGTGCTTGTTCGCCCGCGATAGAAGCTCATCAGTCTGCCTCTTCCCCCCCTGCGTCCGCCCTGTAGCTGGAGTCCTGAAGGTGGAAAGGCTTACGTGAGTACCAGTCGACATGCTACTTCGGCCGCCTTGCCAGACTACATACTGATCAATCTGCTGCATTGTCCTCACCACACCCCAACAGTTCGTCGGCAACCGCGGCGTGGGCGAGTTGTAGAGCAAAGAAAGGATCAAGGGCATGGCGAGGGACAGAGAATACCTCTCTACCCCTCACTGTATCGCCCCTTCGACTCAGCTCACATGTGTCAATAGATGATCGTAATCAGTACTATATTGATGGGAGTGACTCCCTGAAGGTGGACTGGTGACTTCGTATAGGGGCTGGTGACTTAGCATAGGGGCCAGTGACTTAGCATAGGGGCCAGTGACTTCACGCAGGGGCCAATGACTTCGCGTAGGCGCCTCTGTCCACTTCCGCTCCCTTCGGCGCCTTTTTTGTTCGAGGGGCTCTCCACTCCCGCACCGACCATACCACCCCTACCATTTCCCCTCGTCTCGCGATCTCTAGCCAAGCCCCCAGCATGAGTACTTAGGACATCGTGCTGGAACTTTCCTAGATACAGGTATATCTGAAACAGCATTAGCGAGCGCCGATGAGCGGCCACTACAACTTCCATGCCGAGGCAGAGGCAGATGCAGATGCAGACCGCGAGTCTTCAGCCGCTTCTTCCCTCGTCTTCACTTCTGACGAAGAGGGAGACGAGAGAGCAGAATCAGCTTTCCCTCGTGAACAGACATACGAAGGTCCATCACAGGCGGGCAGGAGGTACGGCAGCAGTAGTCGTAGCGCCAGTAGCATCTCAGCCAGAAGCTCTGCCCCTGCCTCTGCTGTTTCGCGGGGCAGCTCGAGATCGCCTCTAAGAGAGGAGCGACCACACACACGGTCACGCCACTCCAGCAGTAGCATTGCCTCTTCCCCTTCCCCCTCTTCCTCCTCTTCTTCTTCTATCCCCTCTGCAAGACACACGAGGAAAGCCCAGCGTGTCCGAGCAGCAGACGTGCCCGCCTTCCCAGACAGCGTACCCTCTCTCAGCTCCCTACTCCCGCAAAACCTCTTCGCATCAGCCGCCGCTTCTTCCTCGATTTCCCCTACTGCTCTCCCCCCGGCGAGAGTAGCGCAGGCTCTCCACTACTTTGAGGCTGCCCTACGGTCTGGACAGAAGCGCTCGCGTGAACAGGCAGAGAGTGTTCTAAGGCGGCAGAAGCGACGAGCAGCACAGGCGGCGGCAGCGGTGGCGGGCAAGGGTCAGAGAGGGAAGGGGAGGGGATCGAAGGGCAGAAAAAGGCATGCAGATGGAGAGAATGGGATAGAACAGGCGGAGTCCGCTGTGGAGGTAGAGATGCTGGACGAGGATGGAGAGGGAGTGGTGCACAAGCCCAGGGCCGAGGTCAGTTGGATCGAGGAGGAGGCCAAGCTGTGGATCCGAGCAGTAAGTACGCCTCCGCCAAAGGAGCTTTGTCTTTGCAAGTAGGCAAAGGGTCAGTAGCTCACTTCTTGACCATTCTCCTTCCGTATGGACCTCCACCAGCTCAATGCTGACCGCCCACGTCAGCGCTCCAATAGCCAGAGTGGCTCTACACCAAGGCTGTACGGCGCCCTCTCCAGCTCGCAGCGACAGAGCCAATCCGGCGGTATAGGCAGTCAACAGCAGCGAGGGCTGCTGGCTCCCTCTCGGGTCGATGAAGCACTGGTGGCTGGACAAGAATCGCAGCTAGACAGGATGCGAGAAGGCGCTCCCCAAGTCCAGCCTTCAGCCGCTTCCCAGGGACGACGTTTTGCCCGATATGGACCGCGTGGAAGGTGAATGGCATTTTCTGAAGTTGAGGTCACTACACTTGTACAATACCCACGGCTCACATGTAAAGCAGCCTCCAGCTCATACGCTCAAGACAATGATATGATGATCAGCAATGAAGACGAAAGAAAGAAAGAAGGGGTGAAATGCAAGAATCAACCAGATCAGGACATCAGCTAGAGGTCGCCAGGCCCAACACCCAATGGCAGGTAGTCCCGATCCCGAACGGTCTCCCTCCTCCACTTGCCCGAGCTGTTGAGAAGCTCCTTCTTGGCCGTGGCAAGACTGACGATGTTGATCCTGCGCGCCGTAGTTGCCGATGGATTGCCGGCCCTGCCTTCCTCCCAGTACCTCAGAGAGGCGACTAGGTCTCTTGGCTCCAGAGTGGGGTAGATCAGGGCATGGACGGGCAAAGAAGGCAGGTCAGGGAGCCGGCGAGCGACAACCGCCTTGCCTAGGTGCTCGGCGCAGCTCAGACCTAGAGCAATTTCCCTGCGGCGAGATCGAGCGTCTTTACCGACTAGCAGGTAGACCTCGGCCGGCAGGACGAGAACAGCGATTCCTTCGTGAGCTACATCAATTGCGGTGAAAGCACCTTCGTGCTCACGTACATCGTTGTCAGAGACGTGGAAGAGGCGCGGAGCGGCGCTCAATTCAGGCAGGACGTTGCGGTGGCGGAAATGCCAGGCCTGTGCGTATCCCTCCGACTTGCTGAGGAAATTCCAGAACGACTTGTCCTCTGCGCCCTCTTCCTGCTCGCTGATCCTGCTGGAAGGACCAAATATCTCTCTGGCATGGGCAGAGACGATTTCTCGCTCGAGTGCTGTGGAGCCCTTGCCGTACCAGACGAACAGGTTGCCGACGATGGAAAGGAGGTAAGAGTAGGCCGAGCAGAGGTTGCTCGTACTCAGGTCGACTTGATCGATGAAGATGACGCCGTCTTGTTCTTGCACTCGCCACATCAGACTGTTGCTCTTGTCCCACCCTCTGCGAGACCCTTGTCTTGTCTCAACCTTTCCGCCCAAGGCTCGGACCAGTCCTGTGTCCTCCCGACCTTGACGAGCATCAATAACAGACGTGCTGTATCGTCTGGCTAGATCAGACAGCTTCTGAGCCACTTGAGACGAGGAGGAAGCTTGATGACCTGCCCTTGCATACAGCTTTGTAGCTACGGTCTGACCCGATGAGGAAGAGCGGAAGCGATGGACCACAGCGAGGGTTTCGGTCTCGTAGAGGATGTGGGCTTCGTGAGAGGCAATCGTACTTGTAGAGCCATCGGACTGCAGGGACAAGGTCTCGACCGACACGGTCTGATCGGCAACCGCCCTTGCCGAAGGCGACATACCAGCGAGAACGGCTTTGTGCTGAGCTGAAAGAGATGGCAGAGAAGAGACGGATTCCGACAGCTTCAGATTCACATGTCTCGACGGCTGAGGTCGCTGCTCGATCTGTCTTGACATCTTCGTAGGAGAAGAAGGTCGCTCCGAGTTCGATTGACCCCATCGAGCGGATGCAGATTTCGTATCCGTCTCGTTTGCAGAGCGACCGCTAGTAGAGCCCCAAGACTTGATCGACTCCTTGACGTCAACCTTTGTTGGACTTACGGGCTGGTCGGCCTGTTGTGTCTGAGTTCTGCCGCTCGCTGCCCTGCTCAGCATAATCCTGGTACCTTCCACAATGAGCTTATGCTCTTCTGAATGCATGCGCGTCTCAAGAGCATCGAGCGTGTCATCATCACGGATAAAGACTTCCTTGGTGACAATCGGTGCCCCACGATCGACTTCAGCAATCACTTCGTGGACCATGATACCGGTGTTCTTGATCTTGCCCTCCTTGAATGCTTCGAAGGCCCGGGGAATCGCATTTGCTCCATCGAAGGCACCTGGCAGGGCCGGGTGGAGGTTGATGATGGGCACTGGAGCACTAGGCCTCCAAGAAGGTGCTTCTGCCTCGGAAAGGCCGGTTCGATGGCCTAGGGCACGAAGGAACTGAGGAGAGACAATGTGCATGAATCCGGCAAGAACAATAAGATCCGGTGGCGGCAATACGGAAGGCTTGGACTCGTCGTAGTTGGGCAACTGTGTGCCTTCTGCATCGAGAACAGCTTTGGCCAGGACCTCATCGTACTGCTCCCTGGTGCCACCTCCGTTGCGATTCTGCCACGTCTTGAGGGCAAGGACCTTTGTAGCGATGGGAGGGTTGGAAGAAGCAGCACGCTGTAGGCCAAAGGCTGCCTTACGATTGGAAAGTACGTAGGTGATCTGTGCATGCGAGAGGGGTCCTCCCTTGTGCGTTGCGTCGATGAGTGCCTGGAGGTTGGAGCCTGAGCCAGAGATCAGAACAACAATGCGCTTCCCGCTGGTATTGCGCAGGGGAGCAGGTGCCGAGGTCAGTTCAGCAGCTGAGGGCGTACTGCTATCAGCAACGGGAGCGACAGGTCCCTCCTTGGGAGTTTCCACCTTCTGCGCCGCCTCGTTGGTAGGACCTCGAGCTGACCTCCGGGCAGGGCCTTTTGCGCGCCCCTTTGTAAGATGCTCCAATGGCGCATCTTCTTTGACAGTACCATCAAAGTAGGCGCTCTTTCCTTTGTCAGGGCTCGCTCGTCCAGCACTTGCTCCGAAAGGACTCCTGGCGCTCCCCATCCCGGGAAGCCGCACAGGAGCAACATCATAGCGGTCGTCAGTAGCGCCAGAAGAGGAGGGGGCGGTGGAGGCACGCGTGGGGGAAAGAGCGCGAGCTCCGGATGAGCTTGTGCTGTCTGCTCGAGATAATCCAGGCAATGCTGTACCAGAGCGATGAGGTGTCCATTTGTTCGCGCGAGGAGCTCCCTCTTCGCTCTCTCGCTGTGACAAGCTAGTGTCGATGGCAGCCCAGCGAGGAGTCTGACCATTGTTGGCACTGCTTCCACTGCTGTTCGTTCTGCCCAGTGGGAATTTGGACGGCGAAGCAGGCGCTGGCGAAGCAGAGGGGGAAGAGAAGACGGACGCTGCCGCTTCTCGCTCCTTCGCCTCTTTGAGCCTCTGTCCCACCATGCCCTTCCCCTGTAGCCGCGTCAGCGATGGTGTGGGCCCTTTGTCGGAAGCCAACTTGGAGGCGAAGGCGGGGCTGGCAAATGCAGGAGATCGGCTTGGGCTTGGCAAGTTCGTAGATGTGGTTGCTGCAGGCGCGGATGTAGGAGCCCTCCACGAAGGCGTAGCTGTGGCACCGCTGGGGGTAATCTTCTTGAAGGACGAGGAGGCAATCTCCTCCGTCTGGATGGGCGAAGTAGCTGCATCTTTCATTGGCGAAACAGAGAGTGTGTTGGTGTGCGCCTTGCTCGGTGAGATGTTGCTCGGTCTCGCAGAGGCAGGCTGCGAGGTCACATCGGCAGCGGCTTTGGAGGGAGAAGCACTGCGCTTGACTGGCGAGGCAGGGGCCTTGAAAGTGTCTGCGAAGGGTATCTGCTTAGTGGGCGAGGCAGCTCTACGCACAGGTGATGGCGAGCGAGCGGCCGGAGAAGATTGTCCCCCAGGGCTGGAGCTCAAAGCATCACTTCTTTGCTGAAGACCACCAGCTCGAGCCTCGAGAAAGCTAGCAAGTCCTCGACCCTTTCCGGGCGAGGAGGGGGACTCTGCAGCAGCCATTCCAGGGAGGGCGACACCCTTGCGCATCCTAGTCTCGTCTATGAGAGATGCCTCCGGCGGTGCCGACCTTCCATCTCCAGCAAGCTTTCCGAGTCTAGGGCCAGCCGCCTTTCCACCCATGAAGGAAGCGAGCGATACCGGCGATGCACCCGACCCCGCATCTGCGGTGCCTGTAGGACCGGCTTGCCCTCCGTAGCGCGAGAGTAGACCTGAAGCTCGAGACGACGAGGTGGCAGCGGCGCTACTGTCTTGCCCATCCTGTGACTTTGTGGACATGAGCCTCCTCAGTGTCGCCTCTTTCTCGCCAGCAGTGGTGCTGCCTCCCGTATGTTGTGGACTCATGTCGTCCATCTCGCCGACTCTGTGGCTACCGGCTGAGGTCTGCAGGCCCCGAATCCCTTCACCGCTGAGACGTCTCCTTCTATTCTGTCGGTCCAGTCGACTTTGACGGACTTCCTCCTCGAGATCCGATGCAGCGGCGGTGGAGGCGGTCTTGTTACGATTCAGCCAGTCAGAGGATCCTGTAGCTGATGGGGAGATGAGATCGTGCGTTGCCATTCAGAGAGATGGGGCAAGAGCAGATCTGAATCGTTTCAACGACCAGGTCTGAGTCTGCGGACTGCTCCCGGCGCTCGTATATTGGAATGTGATGGTGCTGTGAGCGAAAGCGTTCAAAGAGGAAGGGGAGCAGGAAGGTGTTGCTCTTTTTGCGGGCGGCCTCGCAGCTGCTGCCCCTGAGTCGCGCACGGCGCAATCAGAAGCAGAGCTTCGGGAACCTCCACTGCCCAGGCCACGCGCTAAGGAAGATAGCCATCGAGCCAGACGACTCATACAAGCTCGTGGGTGGATAGCGATGAAGCCGAGCACTCACGCACATTACAACATAGATGACTTAGCAGCACAGGGGCTAAGGCACTTCTGATTCAAGTCGGCGCGGCACACAAACGAAAGGGCACGGCGCAGCTGTCCATCGGCCAACCGGACATATCTGAGGGGTCTTTGAGGACATGGAGTATCTGAACTGCTGATCATGACCCAACGACATGACCACGATTGCTTCCGCCCTTTGACTTGTTCTTTGGGTCATCGTTACCTACATGAGGAGTCTTCTTGATGGGTGGGAATGGGTAAGGAAGATCGGCAGGGAGATCACCTCGGGCTTCGACCTCACTACGACGTCCGTAGCTGTCGCCCTTTTTTCCGCCCTTCACCTCGTTGTGAGGCTTTGCAATCACGGACGGAAAGCCTGGAGGAGCACCACCGGACGAGATGCCCAAGTCTCTTGGTGCGAGCTCGCCTCGAGGCTTGTGGGTCTTGACCTTTCCAGGATGTTTCCCACCGTTGGGAGGGCCTGCGCCAGTGCCGTCTGAGCTGCGTCCAGAGCTGCCACCGCTTGAACCTGTGTCACTGCCGCTGTCATCGCCGGTGTCATCGCCTGGACCACCGCTGGAAGCGATCCTGCTTTCAATAACAACAGCATTACGAGCTGAGAAGTCGCTGGACTCAAGGTCTTCAAGTTCAGCACGGCGTCCATAGCTGTCGCTCTTTTTCCCGCCCTGCGCCTCGTCGTGGGGCTTGGCAGTCACAAGGGGAAAGCCTGGAGGAGCGCCGCCGGACAAAGCGCCCAAGCTTCGCGCTGTGAGTCCGTCACGGGGTCTTTGGCCTTTGGACTTTTTAGGCTGTTTTCCACCATTGCCAGGGCCCGGGCCCGAGCCAGTGCCTGAATCGTCGCCGCCCGAGCCGGGATCCGCTAGACCTGGTTGCTCATCGCTGTCACCTGGTCCGTTGTTAGATCCAACTCTTCGTTCAAGCGTGAAGGCTCCAGAGAACGAAGAATCAGCGGATTCGAGACCTGTGGAAGGGGCACTGTCAGTCTGTGATCTTGACGGCGCACTCCAGTGGGGGCAAAGCGTACTCACCTCTGATACTCAGGCCAGTGGGAAGCGCATCAATGCCGCTGACTATGGCAAGCGCCATGCTGACGGCTGCTATGAGCGCAGGAAGACTTCGCATGATTGTAAGCGTTGGTCTGAGGTGTGGCGGAAAGTTTTCGGATACTTAGGAGCGGTTGTCTGTTGGGATTCTGGTGGGAAGTGTGACGCAAGGTGAAGCCTGGGCTTGCTTTATGCTTATCGAGTGATCATGTCTCCACCGTTGCCTCAGCGATTCTTTGCTATTGCTGCCGAACGGTTATGAGGTCGGTCATCTCCAAGCACAGCCCATTGTCGTCCTTCGTCGCACTTTGCGACCGCAGACAGGCGTTCACACGACGTGCTGCCGACGCAGACAACCGCCAAGCATGCCACACCCTTACTGGGATTGCCGACGCTCGCACGGTGGTACACCGAGCGGAAGTCAGCTCACTTTTGACCACATGGTCGAACTCCACAGTCGCAAACAGTCTGTAGGCAGCCAGGCCTCCCTCAGCAGTCAGGAATAAGGAGAAGGTTCGAAAAATGATATTTTCAGGCGCTCTTTGGGCCGCGGGATACACAACATCGGGAACTTGATACATCAGCAAGACACATGAATATGATCTTTGCACGAGATTAGGGCGCAAGAAGCGCAGACGCCAGCACGTTGGGGTCACGAGCTTTATCATCGATGAGCTCTCATGCAGAACGAGAGTCGAGATCACAGCCTTTGACTCTAAGTAAGCTGCTGGGGCGTGACGCCTCATCAGGGGTGGGGCTCTCGGGGCTTGTGATCGCGATGACTGGGAGAGTCGTCGTCGTCGTTGCCCTGTCGATTCTTGAGCAGGTTTGCTCGCGGGTGTGGCTCTCGAGGCTTATGATCGCGGTGGCTGGGAGAGTCATCGTCGTCGACGCTTCGCTTGGGTGGTCGCTTTCCCCTGCCCCTGTAGATTGGGACTTCTTTGGGTCTCTGCTCAGGAGGCAGGTCAAGCACGCTAGCAAAGTCGTTGTCGTCGTCGATGAGACTTCTTCGCGGGGGCAGCTTCTTCCCATTGCCTTTCCCCCCACCCCTGTAGATAGGGGGCAAGGGGGGCAGCTTGGGCTGTGGCTCAGGAGGAAGGTCGAACCTCTGACGGGCGTTCAGCTCAGATCCCTGAGCGGTGTCTCGCTTGCCGTTGTTCCCAGGGGGGCCGTTGTTCCCAGGGGCGCCATCTTTCAGATGGTGTGTCCATTCAGGTGAAGGGACGTCTGGTTCATGCTTGGGTGGGCCTTGCGGGACTATAGCACTTGCAGGAGCAACGATTCCAGCTTCTCGTCCTCGCTTGGAGATATCAGCGTGCGGGGGCTTCGGATCAGGTACCGGCGCCCAGCCTCCTGATCTGCCACCAGCATGGCCGCCCCGCCTAGAGAGTTCTTCGGTTAGAGGATGCGATTTGTGCGGGGGAGGTTCCTCGTGTGGATCAGGTACAAGGGGAGGGGAAACAATATGTTCTGGAGGAGCAACATGTCCCTTCTCTCGCCCTCGCTTGGAGAGTTCTTCTACGGGAGGATGGTCCTTTGACGGTGGATCATCGTGCGGATCAGCTACAGGAGGTCGATGGGGCGAGCTGATGCCTCCTGGCTTGCGACCGATGTGGCCGGCTTCTCGTCCTCTCTTGAGATGAGGTGGGCCAGGTCTATCATGGCTGTACTGACCACCGGGGAGCGGGCTTGACCCCTTTGCGATCTTAGACTCTTCCCAGGTGGCACGTCCGTCCAGGTCCCTGCGAGACGGTTGACTAGGGCGTCCGGGCGGAATGAGATGGATTGGGCCGTTGCCTAATGCTGGATCGCTTCCGTGATCTCGTCCTCGCCTAGAAAGGTCATCGTTCGGGGGATGAGACTTGTGCGGGGGAGGGACATCGTTCTTAGGAGGGAACACCTTGGGGGGAAGGTGCAGATTAGTTCCTTTAGGAGGAACGTATCCGGCCTCTCGCCCTCGCCTAGAAAGGTCTTCGCTGGGAGGATGAGACTTGTGCGGGGGAGGAACATTGTGTGAACCATGTTTAGGGGGAAACACCTTTCCAGGGAGGTCCGGAATCCCGTGGCTTTTAGGAGGAACATATCCGGCTTCCCGTCCTCGCCGAGAAAGGTCATCTCTGGGAGGATGCGACTTGTGTGGGGAAGGATGATGGTGTGGATCATGTTCAGGCGGCATCAATGCAGGCGGGAGGTAGGAAACACCGTGTCCTTCAAGAGGATCATACCCGGCTTCTGGTCCTCGCTTGACCAAGTGTCCGCTTGGAGGATGTGTGTGGTGCTTCTTGGGAGGAATTCTTGACCCGGCACCTCCTTTATTGATCAGGCCAGTCCTCTCGGGCGGCTCGTTTCCGACTTCTCGTCCTCTCTTGATAGGGTGCAAGTCATCTTGAGCGTCTCTCTCATGTGGAGGCTTAGGCTTCGGCTTCGTGGGCTCGTCACCAGGCACGTCCACTGGCGGTGAGATTGGTCCATGGACGGGGCCACGAGCTTCGACCTCTTCTCGCCTGAGCGGATGAGGCTTCTTGTGAGAGCCAGGTTCAGGATCCACCTTAGGTACAGGAATGAATGGTGTGGGATGGCCAGACTTCACAGGGTCCTGGCCTCCTAGATGTCCAGGTCCGAAGCGGCGGGAAGCGAGTTCGACATCCCTTTCCTGAGGCGGATGAGGCTTCTTTGGCTTGGTGGGCGGAGCCGGATGGTAGTAAGGATCGATCGGGTCTGGATGCTCAGGTGGTAGGCGGCCGTAGCCTCGAGCCTCGACCTCTTCGCGCTTGGGTGGGTGCGGCTTGCGGCGAGGAGGGTCCTTGGGGTCGTTGACGCCCGGATAGGGCTCGGCGCTTCCGATTGGCGTCTTGTGAGGAACTCGTCCAGGGTGTTCGTGGCTGGGGAAGGGATGAGCACGAGCCTCAAACTCCTCTCGCTTGGGTGGGTGTGGCTTGCGGCGAGGAGGGTCATTGGGGTCGTTGACGCCTTCCCCGGGCGGCGCACTTCTGATTGGCGTCTTGTAGGGAACTCGTCCAGGGTGTCCAAGCACGGGGAATTTGGTGACACGAGCTACGAGGTCTTCACCTCCAACGGAGTCCACAGCGACCTCGGCCCGTCTGTCGATAAGAGGCGCAGCGGTGGCGCTGTTGGCGAGTACGAGGAGAAGAGCTCCTAGAGCGGCAAGAGCCGTAGGGCGCTTTAAGTGCCCGAGCATGGCAGAGAAGGGATGGAGGGTAGATGGCTTTGTTCGTGTATGGATGTGGGTGTGTGAAGGATAATGTGTTCGCTACTTCCCCAAGTGGGTGGAGCTTGAGAGACAGATCGATTGGGGAAAGACGCTTTTTCGCCCGCCTCTTATACCTCACTATCCCACTCGCCAAGCCAAGCGCCAGTGACTAGCATGTTCCATAGCACCCTCTCACTCCCGCTACACCCTCTGCAGCAATCCGGGAGTCCGGCCTGACCCGGCCCAGCCAATTACCGCCCGCGCTGAGCCAGGCACACGCAATATAGCACCGCCCCCATCCAATCACTTCATCAATTTGGTAGACCGGTAGAGCTGATCCGAAGCGAGCTGGCCTCGTCTTGCTAGTGCCAAGAGTCAATCTGAAGCAATGTATTTGGGCTCCCCAGGGCACTCCGGAGCGGGGTAGCAGGGGTAGCTCGCATCGGCCCAGGTACCGGCCTCGGAGTCGCCCCGGCCCGCTCCACCTTCCACTGATCTGGGTTGCCGGCTCTGAATTCGTTTATGGGTGTTGCTGGGCAAAGCAGGTCGATGCTTACGACATCACCCGGAGGTCTTTGGATCCGGCAAAAAGAGGGACCACAATAGCACTGCACAAAACAGGGACCACAATAGCACTGCACGAAACAGGGACCACAAAAGTACAACCAAGCGAACGAAACACCAAGCAAAGGGCAACGTCCTTAGGAGAAGAGCGAGCGCCAAGCCTCGAATTCTCCGTCGTCCGGCCCGCGCCCCTGATTCCATCTGTCCCTGGCGAATCTCCTCGTCCTTGCTGTGCTATCGACACCACATATGGCCGTTTGGGGTTCTGACTCGCGAGTCCCCGTCTCTCCATCGTCGGCAAAAGGTGGGGAGCCCAGTGGTCTCGACGTAGCGTGCCTGGCGAGCTCAGCATGAGTGCTGAAGGCAAAGTCTGGGCAGGGCACGAACGAACGAGGGACCACGGAAGGCCGAAAAGTCAACTCGACATGCCTGTGTCCGCTCTCCCCACACTTCTCCACTGTAGCCTGCACTGAGCCAGGTAGCTCACTCCCGACACTGTCTGTCCCCTGTGTGAAGCACGAAAGACGAGAGGAACGCCTTGAGTCGATGAGAAATATAAGAAAATGTATTGAACAGTGAAGCAGGAAAAGCGAAGAGTAGATACTGCGCGGGGTGGTGCGATGCGATGCGATGCGATGCGATGCGATGCTGAGCGTATGTGGTACGAGTGTGAGTGCGAGTGCAAACGAAAAACAAAAATAAAAGAAGAGCCAGTAAGAAGCAACAAGAGCGAAAAGGTATGAGAGGAAGCGGGCAAGGACGAGACGAAGCACGAATCCTCGAGCGCAAGAATTACCCTTTCCCCCTTTCTTACAATCTCCTCCTAGGAGCAGCCCCAGTAGGCGCGCTCGTGGGTCTCGAAGCCGAAGCAGGCACAGAAGTCCTGCGTGCAGCGCCCATCATACTAGGAAAAGAGGGTCTCTTGTGCTCTGACCCTATACCAAAGACGTCCTGCGTCTCACCTGCAGATCCCGCTGTACCAGAGTTGAAGGACCTCCTGAATTTCCCGCCCATGAGGCCTTGATCTTCTCGACGAGATGCGGAATGGGCGAATGAGTGCGCAGGAGGGATATTCTCCTTGTTCTCTCGACCGCGATTGACTGCCATCGTACGGGCGATGGGTGCAGAGCCATTGGCGCTACCCGTCTTCCTCTGCTTCTTGGTAGCGGGAGCGACGGAGAAAGAAGCGGTAGTGGAGGCGGCAGCGGCAGTGGGCTTGTTTGCGGCCTTGAGAGCGGCGGCGCTTCCACGCACAGCAGAGACTCCGAGAGCTTTCCCGCCGCCAGGTGGGCTCAGCGACTTCCAGCCCTCCTCCTTCAGACGGAAGACACCCCATGGCGAGGAAGGGTTGGCGCTGGGAGAGGTCGAGGACTTGGTTCGCGAAGAGGAAGTCTTCTTCTTCTCCGAAGGTGTCGACATGCTCGAGTAGGCGGGATGAGGTTCGGCGTTCACATCCTCCAGGGATCGCTTGCGGGGCAAGGTAGCAGCTGTCTCCTCCTGTACAAGACCAGAAGGCATTGGGGACAGTCGTACTGCACTGCTCCTGGGCGAGAGGCGGTGTGCAGAGGACGCACTACTGCTTCCCTGACCGCAAGCAGAAACAGCGGCTTCGGCCTCCCTCTGTACGAGCTCAGAGCGCTTCTTGCTCTTGGTACGTAGCGAAGGACTCGGAGATGCCAGTGCGGAAGAAGTTGGCAGTCCGGCACGGTCGTCGATGTCCACGATCCTCGCCGAGCTGAGAGTTGGAGTGAGACCCGTTGAAGGGAAGTTCGTGTCCAAGGCAATGCGTGGGAGCGTGGCAGGAGGTGATGCTTCAACGAGCCTCGAGCTCGAGGACAAGGCTCGGTCCTCTTCAGCCTGTTCCAAGTCACTTCCGTCCAAGGAGATGCCGAGGCCTCGCAAGCCCCTCTGCTGAGGCATCAGGCCTTCAATGACGACGTGTTGCTCCCTCTCCATCGGCACTGAGCTGAAGCGAGGTGGCGACGGTGCGAAGCCAGCGTCAGCAAAGGTAAGATCGGTGTTCCAAGCTCTCAGCGGTGGGCTGATGGGAGAGGAAGGCTCAGTGTTAGGGAAGGTGCCCTCTTCTTGCTGCTCGATGGCAGGGGCGCGCAAGGCACCGGCTGACATCTGCGCTTGGGTGGGAGTAGTAGCCATGTAGAGACCCAGAGCATTGGGCCCAAAGCTGCCAATGCGTGGAGTAGGGGCATCGTCTTCGCTGGACACGAAGCCAAGGCCTACTGTTCCTTGCGCCTCTTCAGCGGCGACGACGTCGCGGAGCCTGCTCGAGGAAGCCTGTGTGCTGGCACCAGGGATGTATGGGCTTTGTCGCCGGGGAGAAATGGCACGGACATTGGTGAAGGTCGCCTGCTGCTGATCCTGCAGCCACTGAGGTCGAGGACCCTCAAAGTGAGCGATGTCATCGTCGCATCCGATGCGGGGTCCCATGGGCACCCTACCGCTGCAAGGCGGCGTGAGGATGGTCTTGCGCACTGGTGCGGCCGAGAGCATGTGGTCGATGCTGGGGAGCGTCACTGCAGAGCGTGGTGCAGGAGCGTCCTCCAGCGGAAGACCGGCGGTGACTGGGGTGGGAGGAAGGCTGCCATTTGCGAGAGGGCTGGAGAGAGACAGCGTAGCAAGGCCCGTGTGGAACTGCTTTGAAGGAGAGGAGGAGGAGGTGGCAAGACTGACGCTGAGGTAGTCGTCTCGGCTTGGCGTGGCATTGATGGCATGCTGTACGTTGAAGGAGGGAGATGGGAGTGGGAGTTCGAAGGAAGAGGTCCTACCTGCCAAGAGATTGGTAGGCCTCGGACGTCCGGTACGAGCATGTTCAAAGGAATTAGAAGACTGCATAATGGGCAACTGAACGAAGAGTGAAGCGATGATGAGGGAGGAATGAAGATTCAGAAGCTACTGAGCTTTGCCTAGACTTGCTTTGGTTGTTTCGTTGGCGGATCTGAGGATGGTGAGGTCCGTGAAGAGGTCGAGGAAGATTAGAGCAAGATACGGGTGGATAGCTAGAGCAAGAAAGATGTGAAGGTGATGAGGATGATGTGGGGTGAGGAATCTGAACCAAAGAGGAGAGAGGGACAGAGGTAGCGAGAGCAGCGAACGGGAGCAAAGGAGGAGGACAGAAGTGAAACCGGAAGCTAAAGAGAGTGTGAGTGCCGACGGGCGGTGGGTAGGTATCGCAAGTGCGATGACCTGTAGCAGGGCAGAGACCGAGGAAGGAGGAAGCAACGAAGCTAGTAGAAGGCTACTAGGATCAAGGGAGGAGTGGTGGATGAAGAAGAAGGGGAGGGAGGGATGAAGGGAATAGAGGGAGTGAAGGTAGCCCTCAGTGGCCCTCACTCTCGGCAGAGTGTTGGCATTGCCGACGGGCTACTCACTCGCTACGCTTCCCCCACCGACCCACCTGCATACATACACACCTGCACACTCGGATCTGTGAAGCAGATGAGGAGACCCTCATGAGCCTCTTGTTGCTGTCCGGCTGCCCATTGACCTGTCTGCTTCTCCATCAGGAAGGTGCCTCTTGGGTGGGTGCAGGCTGCGAGGCGAGCGGCATTGTGAGGGGCGGCATGTTGTGTGTTGATCTGTTGGTTGGTTCCGTGTGTGCGGCGGCAGTTGGCTGGTGTGGTGCTCTGCTGCACCGCACAATTCGACCAGTCATTCCTCGAGGCGCGCGCCGCACCAAGCCTCGTCCACTTAAAGTAGTCCCGCACACCTTACTCCGCCGCCCGCCCTGCATCAATCACACCCGCTACGCGAGGTGCGGAGAGAAGAGAGAGAGAGAGACGCTTAGAATTGCCTGCCTTGATTCCCGCCCTCCTCGCCTACGTCGTCCAGCATGAGCTGCACCCACCTTGGGAAGGAAAGAAGACCCATTGCCGAAGCAGCAACCAGACGAATAGAGACTGGTCGTCATTTCCGCTTGGCAGTGTCAAGTCTGGCCGGTCTGGGCAAAAGAAAGTGAGAGAAAGAGCGCGAGACATTTGCACGATGTTGCGCTCCTGCAACGCCGCCCAACCCGAAGCAGTGGACGCTCGCCCAGACCACAAGGTCGGCGTCAATCAACGCTGGACGCCCAGAGAACATGAGCTGATTTAGGCCTCCTGACGGTCCAGCGGTACCGATAGCTCTTATCGTCGGACCCTCTTCACAGTCTGGACCATCAACAAGCGGAGTGATACGTCACATCCTCTTCCTACTAGGCGTCAGAGGTGTGAGATGGACGCCTGCCGCCCTCTTGCAGGGGCAGCAACTCTGGAAGCCATCAATGCGCACATTGTCCGTTTCGACGGCATCGTTCACAGCAAGGGTTGGTACAAGCTCGCCTAGCCCTGTGGAAACGGCTTGTATGTGTTGCGCAGCTCACTCTCTGATCCGCCCGACTAGCAACAAGTCTGCACCGCTTCTGTGCCGTCTCCGCGCTTTTGCGGCCACGAATACGACAATAGCATCCTAGTGACTGCAATGACGTCCATCGCTCGATGGGGAATATGTGTACATTGTGACGATCAAGAGAATGATCAGTCAGTTGAGCGGTGTTCTGCCATGCGATCAGCAAGCCTGGAAGAGGCCGCAAGGCAACTCCTCCTTCCCTGCTCCTTCCTACATGTGTGTGACCTTTCTGTCTCTTGCCTCGCGGAAGGCCTCCTCTGCTACGAGGCAGGGCCCTCCCATGCTTTTTTGACGGAAACGATGCAATCATCTCGGAGTGATCTTCTCCAGTAGGTCCTAGGCAGCACAGATGAACACAGGAACAGGCAGGAGTCAGCCTTCCCTCCTCTTCAGCTAGCAATGCCATATACGGACTCACCTTTGCTTCATTAACCTTACTAGCCAAGTATGGTGCTCCTCCCCTATCCGGATGATTGGCAATCATCATTCTCCTATGTGCCTCCTTGATCCTTTGCTTTGTCAATGCCGTTTCCCTCAATCCTAGAATCTGAGCAGCCTCGCTCTTGTCCATCTTGTTCTGGAATCCACCCTTGACCCACTTGCCGCCAGGGGCTTTTGCGCCTGAGGAAGGGAGAAGGTAGCGAGCAGTGATGCCGCTACGAAGGATTAGAGGTTGAAAGGGAGAGGGAAGCAGAGGTGAGCGGACTTAGTTCGACTCAAGAAGGGAACGATGCCAGCCATCTCTCCTGCAACTCACGCTCCGATGAGACCAGCGCCGATGAGAGCGATGGACGCTACCACCTCATTTGGTCTCGTTGCTGCGAGGAGTGCTGGGTGGCTAGGCTGAAGTGGCGAGACTGCTGACGGGGAGAAGAGTCTCCTTTGTGTTGTCTGCAGACGTAGTGTCGGCGTTGTCCGTAGTAGCAGTGGTCTTGTGGCCAGCATGATGGGTATTTGGTCAGGGGAGTCCTTCCTTGGAAGAGGCTGAGCGGAAGCTATGAGACTGGGATGAGATGAAATCTTGGCTTGTCTACCGCCCTTTGCTCTCTGCCTCGACGGAAGGAGGAGCGAGAAATGTGCCTTGGACGCGGGCAGAAGCCAAAGGCCGAGGCGAGGCTTCGGATTGATCATTTCTCACTCACGCTCTCAGGGTCCTTGCTCCCCGACTCACCTCGCCCTCCTTCTCCTCTGCGGACCGCTCATCATCCCCCACTTGCACGCGACCTTGGATGAGGCTGATCGCTGTACCATTGGCTCGTGTACGGCCTTCTGCTCACCCAGTCTGTACCTTTCTCGCACAACGCTCTCCAAGACCACAGCCGCCCATCCCTACCCCAGCATCCGCAACCGCATCTTCTTCTCCCGCTGGCCCTTCCTCCTCCCCATCCTCGCCCGCCTCTTCAGAAGCATCCCCATCTTCATCCTCGGCTCAAACTCCACTTACCACTCGCATTCTCACCAAAGCTTCCGACTTCTGGCTCAGCCTTGGAAGAGACGGTCAAGATGGGAAAAAGGTAGCAGTGCTGGACTGGAAGCGGCGGACGTACAAGACGGGAGAGAAGTTGATGGACCGCATCGAGTACGAGGAGTGGGCGTTGAAGGCAGTGGACCCTACTTTGGGACCTTCGCTGAACCCGGTCAAGAAGAGCGAGGGAGAGGAGCTCAAGGACCTCAAGCCCGGAGAGGTGAGGACATGCTACGGAGAGGAGGTGGGGAGGTCCCTCCGATGTGCTGACCTCTGATGTCTGACTGCCCACGCCGACAGACACCGTCGCACCTCGCAACCGTCCCAATCCACTTTCCCCCGAGTCTCGTCTCCCCCACACATCTCTTGCACACCCTCCGCACTCTTACAGCCTCACGGACACCTCATCATCGTAGAAGCTTGATCCTCTGCGTGGTCGGCATGCCCTTCACAATACCCTTTATGCTCATCCCAGTCGTGCCCAACTTGCCCTTCTTTTACTTGGTTTGGAGAGCTTGGAGTCACTGGCGAGGTGAGTCAGGTCGATCTAGGAGACTCGCAAAGAAGACCTCGTGCTCACGCGACTCCCTCTCGCCCTTACAGCTTTCCAATCGTCGCAATACCTCTCCACTCTCCTCACCCAGAACCGCCTTCTTCCCAAGGCCGACACATCTCTAGATCCCATCTTTGGAAAGTACAACTTCGAACCCATCCTAGACGCTCCCTCCACCAACCCCTCGTCCTCTTCTTCTTCAGGAGCAAGCTCCCCGAACCTCACCACTTCAGGTGGTGTCAAGAAGATCGAGCCTGTCCTCCTTTTGAGTCCGCGGCAGATTGAGATGCTCAAGACGGAATTGAAGCTGGATCAACAGAGTGTGAATGAACTGGTTAGGGCCAGACAGCAGACCTTGTTGAGTGTGCAGAAGGGAGAGATGGACAAGATTGAAAAGGCTGCTGAGGGGGTGAAAGAGGGCGAGGGCGCTCAACCGGGGACAGGCAGCGATGGAGAGACCAAAGGATAGCCCTTTGAAGCTTGGAGAGTAAGAGGTGCTGGGTGTGGAATATGCAATTTAGATCAAAGGACTTTGATGGCTGCTCCTAGACGCTTTAGCAGCTATACTCAAGATAGAGGAGCGGGGGCTGTATTGCATGACTCTTATCACCGCCTCATGTCATCAGACGACTTCTTGCACAGATACTAGGGACTTTCAACCTCCTTGCAATGCACATAGGCTTGTCAGAAAACATCTCGAGCAATGCGAATGAAGATGTGATATTGTGTAGATGCGATGCGATGCGATGCAGTGTAGCGCTCTGCCCCGCCTACTGCACTCCTCCCCCCACAATCAATTCGCAAACCTCCTACTCTTCGCCACTCCCGTATTGATTCCACTACTCTCACCACTATACCCACCCTGTAGACTGCCCTGTCCACCAGTGTAGACAGCTCGGGTAGAGCTGAGCTTCTTCTGGGCCTTTTCGTACTTCTTCCTCTTCTTGACTCGCAAATTGCGATCTTGCTTGCGGTGCGGAGTGAGACCGCGATTGGTGGCGATTTGACGGGTGAGGGAACGGTGGGTGCCTGGATCGAGGGAAGTCTCTTCGATGATTCTGTAAGGTGGGTGGTGGGACAGTGGAGGAGTAGAAGTCAGAAGACATGCCCTGTGCGCTGCGCTCGCTGCCTACTTGCGCATGTGTACTCACCTAGATGCATCTCGCTCAGCGTCATACTCCTCCTTCCTGGCCCTCTTGGCCTCTTTCTTACCGCCAGCGACCAAATCGTAGTAGTCATCTCCGTCATCCTCGTTCCCAGCAGCCTGAGCGCCCTGTCCAGCCACGCCCATGACATCCCTCCAATCTCTAGTATCGCCCTCGCCCCACTCCTCACCATCCAGGGCAGTATCGTGCTTGGCAGTGCCGTTGAGCTTGCTCTCTTTGGCCGCCTTGGCTTGCTCCACGGCAAGCCTACTGCGCTCTCTGTCCCGGTAAGGAATATCGTTATCTCCACCCATTCTCTCCCTGGCTCCTGCTTCCCTCCTCGCCGCTGTAGCGTCCATCTGACCTGTGTAGAAGCGCAGCGAACGCTTCTTGTTGGCCTTGTCTTCCAATTCTGAAGTAGAGAGAGACGTGGCTTCGCCATAAGATTCGCCATTGGAGGAAGTGGTACCCAGCGTAGTCGAGGGGACGGCGTGCTTCCTCTTGCCCGTGTGGGGAGCGAGGTTGAGAGAATCAGAGGAGAGGTCGGCAGCTAAGCCGGCAAGAGGAGCCTCGCTGGCCTTCTTCTTCTCCTTCTTCTTGCCATTGTTGCTCGAAACGCTGACATTACCTTCTGTCCTCCTCTTCTTTTTCTTGAGGTCCTTCTTTGTGTCGGTGGATCGATCGGCATTACCATTCACCTTGGCTTTGCGCTTTTCCTTCGAGCTAGCTTTTGCATCTGCCACCAACTGCGCAAGCTCATCTTCGTCGAGATCTCCAAGCTCCTCTTGCTCCTCGTCTTCCTCTCCTTCATCCGGGGCAAAGAAGTTCCTGGGCCTGCTCGTGCTCGAAGCTCGACCTGACCAGAGAGCCTCAAGGTCATCCTCAATTTCGCTCTCGTCCGCCTCGTCCTCTGCCATCTCCTCCTCGGTAGGGAGAGCAAAGCCTAGATCTTCCATATTGGTGAGCCCTTCTTTGAGCTTGAGGATTCTCTCCAAGATGGGATGCCCCGACAACAGCGCCGGTTGCGAGGCGTACCGAGGCGAGGCTCGCAGATGAAAGTAGAACGTGAGAGTCGTTATGTAGGTGGCAAGAGCCTGGTAGTGCATGTGGATCATGCCGAGACCTTTATGCTGAGGCGTGTTCCTCTCGAATTCTGGGAGAGCAGACTTGATCCGGATCATCTGATCTACAGCATCGGCGTACTCCCCAGCGAGAGCTATTGTCTCCGGGGATGTCTTCTGCAGCTGGACCAGGAGCGAAGCTCGAGCTAGAGGGTCTGCAGGAAGCTCCTGTACGGAAGGAGCAGTAGAGGCTGCGACTGGGCTGACCTTCTGGTCTCCGTTAGGTACGCCATCGAGCTCTGCTCTCCGCCTTTCGCGGTCCTTGACACCTTTGCCTCCTTCCTCTGCTCCGCCCAGTTCATCAGCCTCACCCAAGCCGAAATCGCTGTCCTCCATACCTCTCCTTGTCTTGGCCTGCAACTTCTTCACCTCGTCCAACTCTAACCTTCGCGCTTCCTCTTCGTCAATTTCCGAATCCGAGTCCATCTCATCGAGATCATTGGTGTTGTAGTAAGCCCTCTTGTTGGACCCCCATCGTGCAATGTCCTCATCCCCCGAGTCGGACAGTTGTACGTCCTCGTCATCTGAGAGTGGAGCTGCCTCCCTAGCCAGCTTCTCCTTCTCTAAGCGCTTGTACTGACGTGGCTTTTGAGAGGAAGAGCCTTCGCCGCTCTCGTCGTCGTCTTCGGAGACGTCCCCGTCATCCTCGTCAGAGTCTTCCAGGTCCGAGCCAGCTAGACCGAGGACTTCACGCTGATCGGCGCCAATGTCTGCGGAGCGAAGAGTAAAGGGATGGCGGCAGTGTCAGAACCTTTGGGTCATATGTCGAGGACTGCCACCCGCCACCGGCTACCCACCAGAGTCATCGTCATCATCGCTTTGGCCTTCCAGCAGAACCTTGTCGCGATTGTGATGGAAATCATCCTCTTCGTCCATGGGTATGTCTCCCACCTTGTCCCACCTTGGCACAGACGAAGATGACGATGAAGGTCCTCGCGAGCCACCTTGGGCTTGTTTTGTCCCCTTTGCCATGCTGTATGCTAAGGAATCTGAGGGGAAGGACCGCCGGTAGGGTATCGTGTGTGTGAGTGAGCAATGAAGTCCGGGAAGCGGAAATGGCCACTTCCAAATTTTTGACGGAAGAAGTGCCGAGGGGCGGCGGCCGCGCCCGCCTGGACAAGGGAGCGACGAGCTTTGGCTTCCTTCCTTCCTTCCCTCCTTTCTACATGTATGCAACCACACCTCTTCCTCAGCCCTCCCTGTGAACCTCCTCCTGAGCAGCTGAAAACATTGAGCGAACAGCTGAGCAGGTTAGCCCAGTAGCAAATCGTATGATGCGCAACAGGCAGCGATGCTTGAAAGCGCCTCGTGGGCAGCTACCCTCTTGGCGCTGGAGCCGTGTCCATGCACGGGTGTTAGGCGCCTTCGGTAGTCAAGCATAAGCAGCGAGTCTTCCTGACATCTGGCACCAGCTTGCGGCCAGGCCAATAGGGCTCCTTGATCGGGCAGGCGGCTCTTGTCAAGGTTCCTGTTTGCTCGTGAGCGATGATGGGGACACAGTTTTCAGCGACTTGGCAGGCACAAAGGGCTCGGGAGAAGAGGTCTCCACTGGCTTTCCCATCTTCCTCTCCCTTCCAATCATGAAGCAAAGTATCCGTCTTTCATTCCTCTGCTGCTCGTTGCCGCCCACCAACGGACCCCAGGCGAAGGCTCTCCTTGCCCATTTCTTTCGACTACTGACCGTACCCCGCTTTGACTTGAAATTTGATCGGAACGGAAGGTCAACCCGGGCGCACGCGCGTTGTGCCGACGCCTCTGGTCCAAGTGCCTATGTGAGACTGGCTGAGTAGGATGAGGTTGGCCCAGAGTGAAAAAACCTCCTCCCCCAACCTCCCCCCTCTCCTCACCGACTCGGCCCCCCTCCCCGCCCTACGCCTTTTTGAGAGTGATTCCTTCATTGGTTCTCACTCGAACATCCTCTATTCGTTCCAGACTGTCTCGTCGAGGACGCATCCATCTTTTCATTGCCGCGAGGGGAGGCCTGACACGCCTACACGCTCCGGTCTTTCCAGCAGGAGCAGTGGCCCGGTGGCAAAGGCTGCTGAGCACACGCCCTGTCTCGCTGGCCGGGTTGACCCGGGTCAGCCCCGCGCCTCGCCTCCCCGCCGACACGTACGAGACGCTCCCACGCCTGGAGCACATCGGGGGCCACAACCGATAGGCAGAGGCAAGTCGAGACGATGCCGATAGCAACGAACTCGAGGACGAGGTTCAAGAAGCTTTCATACAAGGTGAGTCTCCTACGCGCTACCATGGCGCTTTCGCTGCTCGTGGCCGGCATCCGCTGATCACGCGAGTCTCTCGCCCCTCCCTCTTTGATTGCTTCCCCTGTCAGGCGCCGGGTGAGTGGAGCTAGAATCGCGCCTCCCGCCCAAGACCCCTATCGCGATAGCACAACGGACTGACCGCGTGCCATCATCTTCCCTGCCCCGCTTCCGCTCAGTCATCGTTCATCGTGGTAACCTACAACAAAGTGCGCAACAAGTCGAAGTCGAAGGTCTCGATGAGCATGACACACCGAATCTGGGGGTGGACCTCTCAGAGGTAACGGTAAGTGTCTGCAAGGCTGTCGGCCATTCTGTCTGCTTATCGACACTTCTTCTCACCATCCACAACATGTATCTCACCTCTTTCATGTCTATTAGGAGCATCACTTGCAAGCCGCCCTCTCGTCCACACAATTAGCAGCGGAAGGAGACAAGTCCATCTCGGCAAAGCCCGCCTATCACATCCCTACGCCAGATGCAAAGCAAGTCCTCGACTCAAAGGTCTATGCTGAGCTCTATCGGCCAGGCGCCTACCAAGATCCTGTTACATACGTGCGCTCTTCATCGACAGTAGAAGATGCCATCAAGGGGCCTTCGTACAACCTTGACGAGGATGATCAGGAGTGGCTCGAAGCCAGGAACGAGAAGGCGAAGGAGGCGGCAGCAGCAGCATTGAAGGACATGAAGCCGGCCCTTCTCGCGAAGCTCACCGGTGGGGTCAGTGCCAAAGGCAAGAACCGTGAACAGACTCCAGCTCAACTCGCTGCTGCCCTGGGAGAAGAGAATGTGGAATACCGGATTATCAGCGAGGATGAGATGGAGATGGTCATGACGGTCTTCGAGCAGGTCACATCCGAGCGAGTGCCATTTGCCCACGTCGACAGGAGTCAACTACCATCGCAAGAAGACCTTCTCACCGCCTTCGAAGGTGAATCTTCGGTAGCGAAGCTTGCACTACCAGAGTTACCAGAGCTGTCTTGGGAGAAGGAGGCATCGACATCAGCAAAAGGCATCAAGAAGCCTCAAACTGTCGAGTGGTCTCCTGCAAATCCGTGGCACAATCTCTCTGCCCTCAAATTGATCGCCCCCATTCTCTATCCATGGTGGAAGGAGCGACGAGAGGAAAGGCAGGGTAAGCTCATTATCCCTCAGCTCAACTTCGACGAGTCGAACGACAGCGATCCATATGTCTGCTTCCGGAGAAGAGAGGTCAAGCTGACCAGGAAAACCAGAAAGACGGACGTTCTGCATCTCGAGAAGCTGCTCAAGCTCCGAATCGAGATGGACCATGCCGTTGAGATGCTGCAGAATATTGCTCAGAGGGAGAAAACGAAGCGAGCCAGTCTGGGACAGGACCGGACGCTATGGGATGCCACGAAGGATCTGCAAGATGTCAAGCGAGCCTGGGGCATTGCTGGACCAAACGCTGGTCAAGACGACGAAGACCTCATCTCAGGCGAGAAGCGAGACGAAGCAGGCTATGGAGTTGGAGCGGCACCTCGCAAGAAGCGAAGGACGGAAGAAGCGGCTGCCGCTGCTGCTGCAGCTGCTTCGGCGGCTGCCACAGCTGCAGTCTCGAGCTCGAAAGGTCCGAAGCGCCCGCGTCCGAGCGTCGAGCCGGGATCTACGACTGCGACAGCCGGATCACCAGTGGCAGCGCCAAGCCTGGGTCAGGCCATCATGGAGCGAGCCCAGGCAGTACAAGCTTACATCGAGAGAGAATGTCTGCGCAGGGCCGAGACGGACGTCGGGTGGGAGGAAGGAAGCGATGCAGCTTACCAACCGGTACCCGCACCTGCCAACATCCGCAATTTTCGGCCCATCCAGTCAGACGCCGCCGATGTACCTCCTTTCGCTTCTGCCCCTACTCTACGCTCTGGGCGGCCTCCTTCCTTCCGCAGGAGATTGGCTCGAGGTGGCAGAGTGTTCTTGGATAGGCGGATGTTGGCGCCAAGTCCAGTACCCGCTAATCTGGCTGAATGGCCTTCTCGACGCGACGCTCCCTCACTTGTAAATCAGCGACGAACGACAACGGCCTCTTCTTCATTGTCTTCTGCAAGAGCAGCAAGGTTCGGACAAGTGCAGCAGCCCGAAGTCCTTACAGGTCCCTTTGCCTTTGCCTCGGATCTGCGGCCGAGCTTGCTCAGTACTCTCGCCCAACCCTCTGCAGACGACAGAGGCCGCTCCTTCGTCCCGCTACCGGCATCCCACTCTCCACACTCGGATGCCGCTAGCGACTCGTCGCAGTCGACAGACCGATCCAAGACCTCAACAGCGACGTCAGGCGCCGCCTCGACTGTTCTCACCGAGGTGGAGGAAATGGACGAAGATGTGCGCGAAGATGCCGAGAATAAGCAGTCGCATCGCTACATGGCCTCTTCGGACGAGGAGTCATCTGATGACGAAGAGGATGAGGCCCACATCGAGGAGCGGAAGCGTGTTCAGCAAGAGAGGTGGAGATACGACGACGAATCTGGTCACTGGGCCGGACTTGGTCTCTACGGTCTCGGAGGCATGGAGGATGACGATGAGGCCGTCCTCGATGACTTTGACCAGCGCTTCATGAAGTACCGGATGACACTGCTGGAGGAGGAAGACTTTGTGAAGCTCTCTACAGACTGGACTCACGTCATGCAGGCACAAATGGCGATCGACTGTCCACCTCCGGCACCAAACGTGAGCGTTGTGGGACCGACTGCCGCTCAGGCTCAGCAGCAACATGCAGCGGCTACGGCAGCAGCTGCTGCTGCGCAAGAAGCTCGTCGAGGTAGCGCAGAGGCCAATGGGCCAAAGAGTGCTGGTGCGGCAGGTAGCAATGGTAGCCGGCCGAATGCAACGCCAAACGCGCAAGCCGTGCAGGCAGCTCAAATGCAAGCAGCTCAGCAGCATGCACAGCTTCGTCAGCAGCAGGCAGCTGCCATTGCAGCAGCTACAGCCGCTGGTGCTGGTGGTCTGGGCTCGTTGTCGGGCAGTGTTTCTATGCTTCCGCCCAACGTTCCCGCGATGACCGCTCTTCCACCGACTTCTTCATCGGCCGTCGCTGCTCGCGCTGCTCAGACGAATGTAGGCGGACCGCTCTCGGCTCTTCAGCAGCAACAGCAGATACATCAAGCTCAAGTACAATTAGCATTTCAGCAACATCAACAACAGCAGAGGCAGGCGGCAGCAGCTGCAGCAGCTGCGCAGGCTCAGGCTCAAGCGCAAGGGCGATCTTCGCCGAACTTAGCTCAACAACAGCCTGGCACTGCAAACCGAGCCCGCATGTTGTCGTCCTCATCGGGCGGACAGCCAGCTCACGCACATCCTCTTGCTCAGAATTTCGCCAACGGGAACGCCGGCTCATCGTCTCCCTTGAATGCGCAGAACGGCCAGGCGCGCTTTGCGAGCAATCCCGGATTCAACGGTATCTCTGGTCCCAATACGGCTGCCAGCAGTCCGCAAATGCAAGCGGCTATAGCCAATGGCAGCCCGCCTTCTGGCTCATCACCGTTGATGCAACATCAGGGCCAATTCCAGTCTCAAGCAGGAAACCAACAGCTTCGCCTTCCTCAGGGTTCCTTCCAACAGCAGCAGCCGCAGGTTCCTCAGCAGCCATTTAACAACGCTGCGATGCAACATGCCAACAGTCTTGCACAGCTGCAACAGCAGTTGGCTGCGATGCAGGCTGTTCAGGCTGCTGGTGCAGGTGGAGCAGCTGCTGGTGGAGCAAACGGCATGAGCGGGCCGAGTGCTGCACAGTTGATGGCAATGAAGGCTGCTCTGATGAACAGCCAAAATCAGAACCTCCAACTGAAGCTGCCTGCCAACAGAGCTTTGCAGATCAATGGAGGAGTCAACGGAGGTGGCGGCCCGAACGGAGGGGCTGGAGGGTCAGGCGCACCAAACGGCTCAGGGTGAATCAACCGAGCAAAATGTCATCCACCAGCTACTCTGTTCTTGTACATGCATTCCGGCTAGACGTCCATCCACTCTTCTCCTTTCCTTCCCACACCTTTGTACCCCTCACTCCTCCCATCATGCAGTCGCTGCTGTCACTCGCCCCTCCTTGCTGCAGTCTCGCTCTAGCCCTCACCTCTCCTGCCCCTCCCACCACTTTTCCATCTATCGCGTCTCTTTTCCTCTTTGCGTCACATACATGAATGAAAGAAGACTTTTGAGGAGGGGGTGAACGATACCCCTTTGTACTTGTATACATCTGGTAGTGTCTACTGCGCGTCTGTGTAAAGAACTGGTTAGCACCACACCATGGCTTTCAATCCTCGGGATGTACCGATTGCCATGTGTGGGGCGGAGATTGAAATACTCTGCGCCTCCACCCACCCACTCGCTCGGAATCTCGCCTCCGTCGGCACGTTCATCTCTCACGGTGAAATTCATATCAGTTGCCTCTCTTCCCTTGGTCTAACTTTGTCAGTACCGCTACCACTTGATCCATACCTCGATCTTCCACACACTCTCCCCCCACGATGCAATCACCCGTAGACGAGATCACCAGTGTCGTCAAGGGCCTCATCGAAGCACCCACTGCCGATGCCCAGCGTGCAGTCCTCACTCGCTACTTTTCCCCAGACGCCTCCTTTGACCATCCCCTCTGCGCCGTTGCTAGTACTTCAGGAAGTCGAGATGCTGGAGTACTGCCGGTTTATCAGTGGTTGAGGATGATGTTCACACCGACGATCAAGGTTACTAGTGTTGGTGAGTGGATGAAGTGGGTGAAAGGCGTGGGAGGGTAGGGGGACGAATGAGACATTGTGGTCTGGAAGAATGCTCGGCTGCTGGATCGGATCGTCCTGACATCTTTTGAGGTCCTCTGAATCTGATTCAGCTCTCGACTCGGAACACAACCGCCTCTACATCGATGCCGCCCAGACGCTCCAAGCAAACCTTCCTCCCCTCTCTTGGGTCTATGCCCCCACCTGTCGTCTCGTGGTCCTTCTAGATCTCCATCGCGGCGGGGATGGACTCTTCTATGTCCATCGTCAACAGGACTTCTATGAGCCTCAAGTCATGCCTGGTCAATTGGTGCCGGGAGGTTGGACGATTATCAATTTGATCAAACTTTGCTCGGGATTCGGATGCGCGATCATGGCAATGATGGTGATGTTCCTTATTGGGTATTGGAAGCCGACGGCGGGCAAGTCGCCGGTCGGAAAGGCCATCAATGGCAAAAAGGCTACCTAAGTACCGCTCACCATTGTAAAAGGAATCGATGCGCGAGCGATCCGGACCGACCGAGGAGAATTCTGTGTCATGTCATTACCACTTCTGTATATGTAGCTAGTGAAGCAGAGATGTTGCCACAATACCCAGGGTAGGCCTGGCATGCTCTTTGGTGAACCCATACCCTTTGATGTTTCTCCATCATCCCGTTCGTCGGCTGGACGATACGTAGTACCTTGTCTGGTGAAAGCGCTACCGACTGACTGTCTGAAGCTGTGGAGGCCAAGACGCCGATTCCGCGCAGGGTGAGGTGAGTGAGTGGCCCAAGCGCTGCCGGGCGCCCCATTGCGCCGGTGATTGCCGGGCAGCTTCCCCGCAAACCCCGCTTTACTTGCATTGTCTACAATTACCAGCCCTCGTACTGCGACCTTCTTCTTCTTCTTCTTGTCCCCCTCCTCAGGTCTACCTACACCTCTTCCACACCTCCCAGCATGTCTTCTTCCATCGCCTCGAAGATCGTGCGGATCCAACCGCAACACACGGCTCTCTTCGTGTGCGACATCCAAGAGCGCTTCGCAAATGCCATCTACTCCTTCGACAGTGTGGTCAAGACGGCAAACAAGATGATCAAGGCGGCTGCGATCCTCAAGTTGCCAGTGTATACTACTGAGCAGGCACCAAAAGGTTCGTAGGACACAAGTTGGGCGTTGAGTTTACGCGAGTGTGACTGACTCGTGGAGAAGCATTCCACCTCTTTCTCTCTTTCTCTTGCCAGCTCTGGGCTCAACCGTTGCCCCCCTCTCCTCTCACCTCTCCTCCCTGCCCCCTCCAAGCACCATTATTCCTAAAACCCGCTTCAGTATGATCCTCCCCGACTCCACTCCTCAATGGCTTCAAGAAGCAAATGTAAAGTCTGTACTTATCGTAGGGATTGAGGCGCACGTTTGTGTACTGCAGACGACGTTGGATTTATTGCAGAGGGGGGTAGAGGTTCATGTGCTTGCGGATGGGGTTAGTAGTTGTAATGCTGGAGAAAAGGGGGTAGCTCTTGAGGTGAGTTTGCACATAGAGTAGCCTGTAGGAGTGTTACAAGAGTCTGACTTTGCCATTTTACCTTTCTACTCGCTTCGTGCACCCGTGCAGCGCATGCGTCAAGCAGGAGCTCAAATCACCACATCCGAGTCCGCCCTCTTCCAATTGCTGGAAGATGCCTCGCATCCTAACTTCAAGGCCATCTCGGGGCTGATCAAGGAGGAGAAGCAGCCCACAAAGGAGGCAGTCGAAGCCCTTTTGGGGAAATTGTAGATTTGCAAATCTTGAATTGGATCATTGTGAATTATCGAAGCAAGGAAGAGTGAAGATTGAAGAAACATTTGGTATGCTGTGTGAGAAAAAGGGAACATAGGTGTATGGACTGGCCCCTTCTCAGTGCCCAGTGCGACTAGCGCGATCTTTGAGATACGCAAACTCAGCATCGCCAGTAGCCTGACAAAGCCTGTAGAACTTGCTCTCCTCTCCCTTAGCGAGCAGAGACGCGGGACTGTCGAATTCAGCCACCTCTCCCTCTTCAATGACCAGCACCTTGTCGAAGTCAATGATGGATCGCAAGCGATGCGCAATAGCAATGACAGTCGACTGCGTAAAGACCTTGTGTACCGATTGAGAGACGATGGCTTCCGTCTCCGCATCGGTGGAAGAGGTGGCTTCGTCTAGGACGATGACCTTGCTCTGACTCAGAATGCAGCGCGCGAGACAGATGAGTTGCTTTTCCCCTGCGGACAGATTGCTGCCGCCTTCTGAAATGGGATAGCTGAGGTTGCTGAAGTCGGTAGAGTAGTTGCTCGTCGGGAGCGGCACTGCCGAAGACTGTTCAACGTCTTCTCTGATCAGAGCCACTGCTCTCAGTGCTGCGAGAACTTCTTCGTCTTTGCACGTGCCCAGGACGTCGACAGCAGATCGCAGCGAGCCGGCAAGGATAATCGGATCTTGTGGTACAATCTGTAGCCTGGACCTCAAGTCTTGCAGTCCAATCTTGCCAACGTTGATACCGTCAATGAGAATTTCTCCAGCGTCCGCTTCGATCAGCCGGAAAAGGCTCTGCACCAGTGTAGACTTTCCAGAGCCGGTACTGCCGACGATTGCGATTTTGGATGACGCTGGAAGGGAGAAGGAGATGTTCTTGAGCACCAGCGGTAGATCTGCAGCATATCGTGCAGCCACATTCACAAAGTCAATTCTGCCCCTGGAGGGCCAGCTAGCATGTGGACGAGGTTCGACTATCTCAGCAGCTTCCGAGGGTAGCTTGGTGTACTCGATGACCCTCTCTACGGAGACGAGGGAGCGCTCCAAGGAAGCATAGCTGTAGAGGGTCCTCTCCATTGCCTCTTGCACATTGTGGATCGTAGTGAGCAGGAAACCAGCAGTAGCAGCATTGAACGTGTGACCCCAGGCCGAGCCTGGATCAAGGACGATGAGAGCGCTGACGAGGAATGTGAGCAGGGAGCCTAACAGCTCCAGGCGGAGACTGACATAGTGACTGATCGTGGCCGCGGGCAGCTTTGCCATCAGCCAATCATCATAGACGTCGAAGAAGGCTCGTCGAAGGTACTCGCTCGCTCCAAAGGCTCGAATCACAGGCGTGGCAGCGACCATTTCAGCTACTGAGCTCATGACCTTCGAGTAGGCCAGCATGGCCAGACGTCTTGCGTCTCTGCTCGCAGTGCAGTACAAGCGTCCATACCAGACGTATGCAGGAACGACCAGCAGGACAGGTAGGAGCGAAGAAGCACCACCGCTGAGGACAGCTGCTCCCAAGTTGAGGAAAATAGCGAGGACTGAGGGAAGGAACCATGCCGCCTGATAAGGCACTGAGACGTCGACTGTCTCGAAATCAGAACCAAAGCGGTTCAGAAGTCTACCTTGCGGGCAAGCATTGTGGAATCCAAGGGGAGCACGCAGAACCGCATTGGTCATCTGACGGAAGAGTGCGCGTGAGCTCTTAATGGTGCCATAGTATACCAAGGCCTTTCGAAGGGCGATGAGCAAGACAGAGCCCAAGCTGATTGCGCTGTACCAGCCGTACCACCAGGCTGTAGAGTGGGCAGCCCGACCCGTCTCAATGGCAGAGGACTGCTGCATCCACCACTTGAGCCATACGTTTGTGAAGACGGCTGACCAGGAGGACAGGATGAACAAAGAGGCAACAAAAAGCCAGAAGATGGCACTGCTACCTGCGCGAAGCCAAGTCCAGTAGACGTGCATCGGGATGGAGCCGAAAGAACGCGTCTCCTCCTGTGCCGTCTTCGGTTCGACCTTCAGAGCGGTGTCTTCCTCTTCAGGCGTATTGCCGCGGATAGCGGGAGTCTCAGACGCCACTTGTGTAGTGAAAGCATTTGCAGATCCAGCATCCTTCGAAGAGCCAGACCCAGCAGCTTGCTCTTCAGAAGGCTTCGCTTCGGTCGCCAGCAAGGTCTCGACTGTCTGCTCTTCTTCGCCCACAGTTTCCTTGCTTTCATCCTCCCGCGCTACATCGGACCACTTCGAGGCGAGGAAAGCCTGGCTGTCCCCATCAAAAGCGACGCTTCCCTCATGTATGACGACGACTTTGGCTGCAGCAGGTGCTACAAGCTGAACCTGGTGAGAGACGAGTATGACCGTACGACCACAGCAGAGGGGTCCTTTGAAGAGCTTCTCATAGATGTGCGCTGCCGTCTCTGCATCCACCGCGGAGAGGCAGTCGTCCAGGAGTAGCGTCGAGGCTCGCGAATAGATGGCTCGGGCAAGGGACACTCGGGCCTTTTGACCACCACTGAGCGTCACGCCGTTTTCTCCTACAAGTGTCAGGTCGCCGTCATCGAAGGCAGTCACGTCCGGTCGAAGACCACAGGCGTCCAAAGTCTCTTGATACCGCTCATCCCACAAGGGCAGTCCGAACAAAATGTTTGCCCTGATCGTACTGCTTTGCAGATAGGTCGTCTGAGGGACGTACGCCACGCGTGACACGTCTTGCCACACCGAAGACTGGAAAGGTCGGACAAGGCGGAGTCGATCTTCGGCCAGAGCGGTGGGGCTTGATCGAGGCGAGAGGACTAGACCAGAGAGGATCTGAGCTTCGCCAAGTAGAGCTTTGAGGAGAAGACTTTTGCCGGATCCGAGCCTTCCAACTATGAGGTTCAGCTGTCCAACGGCAAAGGTCACGTTGAGATCTGTGAGAGTGAAGGACGTATTGCCAGCCTCAACGGCAGGGTCGCTCCCTGCCTTAGCCTCTACGACTCCGTCAACGGGCCAAGTGACTGTTACTTCGGACAGAGCTACCGTTTGGGGCGTCTGTCCATCCGAGCTGAATCTGGATCCGGGCACAGGTATGATCTCTTCGCTCTGCAAGTACCGAGCCGTGCGCAAGAAAGAGACAGCAGCTTGCAAGACCGCCACAATCTCGTCGGGAATGTCCGAAGTCGTGTACTGAAGGCCCTCCAATATGGCTAAGGCCGAGAAGGCTATGCTCGGTGTGAGGGCCTCCCCACGCGCTAGCGTGTAATGTCCGAGGGCGAATACACCCATGAGTGCCAGTGAGATAGACGTGACGACGTACATCAGGAGTCCAATGGCAAACTCGGCAGCAATGCCTTTGAGCTCTTCTTGTCGTACTTGTTCGACTCTCTCTCTGGCTCGAGATTCCCAGGCATTGAACTTGATCATCTTTATGCTCAGCAGCATCTCGCTGATGACGCCCACACGCTTGTCGCGCGCAGACTGGATGCGATCCTCGAGATCTGCACTGACTGTGCCCAGGTAGTAGGTCACGGGTGCAGCGATTATACTGGCGACTAATCCAAAGAGGGCGGACACACCGAGAAGCTTCCAGAGGAAGTAGAGGCCAACGATGAGCTCCAAAGGCGTAGTCGCTAGACTGACGCTCTGCCAGCCTACACTGGCGATCCGTTCCACGTCCATCGAAAGGAGGGTCAACACTTGGCTTCGACTTTCTTCGTCGCCTTCTTCGTCTTCCGCTTCCTCCTTTGTTGCTGCTTCATCCTCTCCTTCTGCTGTGTTGGCCTGCTGTCCGGTTGGGACTGAGATGGTGTCCTTCTTGCGCAGGGCTTTGCCCACCAGGAGTGTGCAAAGCTGTCCTTGGAGAGGCAAATAGACGCATACGTTCATCCAGTAGTTGCAGTACTCCTTGACGATCGCTAGTACCGCCGCGGAAAAGAAGAGAGCTAGCGCCCAGGGCGCCGCTGTCTTGATGCGACCATACACGTCTGGAGATTCTTCTGAGTGTGCCTCTAGTGTTGCCAGAAAGCGGTTGATGCAGAGGATCGGTGCAAACCTCATCATGCTACAACAGACGGAGAGAAAGTGACCCCGAGCAATCCTGAGAATGTTTGCCTTGAAGACCGCTCGCACCAGAGGCCATGGTGACAGTGGAGGGACCTTTCCTGTCGCAAGCGCCTCCTGCTGCGCTTCTCGCAAAGACGCACTCTCCTTTTCGTATACTCCAGACATCTCCCGTGCGATCTTCTCGGCTCTCCAGGACAGGCTGGCCCCCGGCAAGTCTTCCATGCCAAGTGAGCCTTTGTGGCAAGCGGCCGATGCGATTGGACCCGCATGGCCAAAGAAAATGCGTGAGAAGAGACTGGCTTCGCCTCCGTCGTCTGCTGGGTACACGGAGCGCAGCATTTCGTCCTTCTCCTCCTCGTCTTCAACAGGGTCGCATCGTTGGTAGAGCCGCTGAGGACCCAGTGGAGTGGACCCTGCCACCAGCCATGCGAGGGTTGCCATGCAGAGAGAAATGGCCTGTACTGAGGGAGCCGTCTGTGAAGAAGTAGGAGTTTCGTCTGCCAGCTGCAGGTACAAGGATATATGCGTGATTTTCAATGCCAGAGCTATCGTTGAGACACCAAAGATTGATGCCCATCTAGCGAGTGTGAGCTCATCGGCCAGAGGCAAGGCAGTAAGGACCAAAACGACGATCCATTGGAAAGCGTCCGAGAGGGAGACCTCCGCTGATCGGGAGAGCGCTTCTTTGAACTGTAGAATGGGCTGGCCAGTCTCTGCTAGATCTACGAGGATAATCAGTAGCACAAGGCATGCCAAGAGTATTCGACGTCGCTTCAGGGTCCTTTGGTAGGCTTCCACTTCCAGTGGCTGCCCCATGAGACGCTCGTTGCGCTGTTCTCCCATCTCGCCTTGCAGCTTGTCAGGTCCTGCGCATCCCTCTTCCTCAGCCTCGCGGTCATCGCGGCCGGGCAGCTTGATGCGGCCTGAGCGACTGCTGAGTGTCCACCATAGCGCGAGGAGCAAGCACAGTAGGGGCGGAAGAAAAGCCGCTCGGTAGGCCCATTGGATGATAAAAGTAACTGAAGTTGGTGGATAGGCACTGGATAGTAGTGCGGTGTAGGTCGAGGAGCTAAGCTGAGTCAGAGCAGGGAGGAAGCGCTCACAACCTCCAGCGATGCTGGAAGATAGTGGGGACTGTCTCAGCATTTCGTAAAGTACGAGATGACATGGTGCTGATGGAGAGGACCTCAGAGTGTTGCACCTTTATGGTGTTCTTCTCAAACCAAGTCGTCGAGTCAGGCAGAAGGCAGCAATCAATGCCAGGCACACCCGTCACTCCCGCCCGCCAATCAGGTCCCTCCATGGATGGCCCATGCGCGCATCTCGGTGCAGGGACCACTCTCGACCCGTAGTAGAGGATGTCTATGTGGGTGCGGTAGAGAAGCAGCAATGCCGGAAAATTATACCGAGCTTTACACAGAAGAATAATGAAGTCTTCCTTAGGTGGACGGAGACACCCCTATGACTCATCCACTATCTGATGACTCACCCACCTCTGGTGACTCATCCACTATCTGGTGCGAAGAGCACCCAACAGCAACGGCTCCGAGATGTACCGATGAGCTGCACACCTCTTGTTGGTTCAGAGTCGATGGCAAAGTGAGGTAGCAGGACTCGAAGCCTTGTACTGTTAGATTATTTAGAGCGGACTCAACGGACACTTGCTATCAGCTATCAAGAGTACGACTGAAATTTCAGCTGACTGGCAAGAGCTCGTTTATCCATGATACAAAGTAGGACCCGCACTACCCCTGCTCTACGGCAAAATTGGCTCCACCACCGCATTCTCATCAAGCCATTCCATCCACTCCCTCAAGTACTTCCCGCCCTTGCTAACAGTCTCACTATCACCCACCACCACCAACTGTCTCTTTGCCCTAGTCATCGCAACGTTCAACCTCCTAATCTCCTTGAGGAACCCCACCTCGCCTTCCTCGTTGCTCCGCGTGAGAGAAATCATGACCACGTCCTTCTCCCGACCTTGGAGAGCATCAATGGTCCCGATTTCCAGTTGGGCAAAATATTCGGGGGAGAGAGCAGAGGAGAGAGTGCTTGAAATGAGGCTGATCTGCGCAGAGTACGGCGCGAGGATGGTCACCGCCGATGTTGGGATGCCGGCAGCGATGAGGAGTCCCAGGTGAGACTGCAGGATAGAGACTTCGTGAGCGTTGGACTTGGAATCTGTCCGCAGACTGCCCTTGGAGGACTTCTTCCCGCCTGTGTCAGTACCGGCCTCCTCTTCGGCGATATTTTCGTACATTTCACTCCCAGCCGTATCGTAAAAGACGACTCTGCCTCCCTTCACTTCAACGATGTCTCCCTCCTCGCCCTTCCATTCGCCAACGGTCCCATCACCAATCCAGCCATCTCTGCAGCTCTCGTGCGCCACAAGCTGACCGCGGTACATGGCTTTATTGGGGTACTGCATGATTTGCGAATTCATGCGGTACTGGACTGTCAGCAGAGACTTGAGAGCGGCAGAGGAGCCGTACAGAGAGATGAGGCGGGTGAAGAGTGTAGTCGAAAGTGATCGAGGTGGTCGCAATGTTGGGCGAGGCTGCTCCTCCGAAGCCGCTGTAGGCTGCTCGAGCATAGCGTCGCCTTCTGGTGTGTCTCCATCAGCACGTTCGTCGGACGATGCTATCGAGGCTCCATCGTCGTCGCTCTTGTCATCTTGCAGCTGAAGACCTGCGGTCTCGTCGTCCAGAGTTGCCTCTTTGCTGTCGCCTTTGTCACTACCACTGGCGGTGGGCTTTTTGTCACCGCTTGGTTGAGGAATTGCTGACAGAGAGATTGTGTTCTTCCCGGAGCTGGCGGTCTTTGTTTTGCTCTTCCTCTCCGTCTTCTTGTCCTGCTTTGTACCATCCTCGCTCTTGACAACTGGTCCAAGCTGCTTGTCGTCACCAGCTAGAATGAGCCTGCCCGCACCACTGTCATCGCTGAACTTGTCTAGAATTGCTCCCCAGCTGCTGGCTTCCAGAGCTTGACAGGCCTCGTCAATGATGACAGTGTCAAACTTCTTGATCTCCTTGTCTTTACTGCCTCTCAGACTGCGCTCAAGCACTCCGCCACTTGCACCATGCAATGTAGACATGACAATGTTCGCTTCGGCCAAAGTAGTAGTGAAGAGTCCTCTTTCTCGCGACTTCAACTCGCCACGCAGAGCTCGGACTTCCTCCCAAGCTCTTTTACGTTCCGAGCCATTGAGCCTCTTGTTGCTAGCCGAGCTTGTACCTCTACGAGAGGTAGACTTATTGCCTGCCGCCGGCTTATCCGCAGTCGCAGCTCGAGTTCCGGCCGAAAGAGAGCTGTAAGCTGCCTGGAGCTCTGACCTCGTATCTGACAGAAGTTGACCAGAGTCAGAAGAGGCCGAAAGATGGTCCAGTGTATGATTTTGAAGCACAGGCAGGATGCGGGCGGGATGACCGACACGTACGGCCCGAATATCCTTCTCCCTTCCCTTTCGGTACTGAAGAAGCTTCGCAGCAAGATTGTCGACGGCCAGATTACTGCTCCCCGCAACGAGGACCCTTTCGCCTCTTCCCAACACTAGTTGCAATATGAGCTCGACGAGGACGGTAGTCTTTCCTGTTCCTGGAGGGCCATGAATGAGATGAATCTCTGGAGCGGCCAATGCCCGAGACAAGGCGGCAGTCTGGGAATCGTTCAGGGCCTTGTTGAAGAGGGGAAGTGGCGGCGCTGGGAGATTCTTTGGAAGACGAGAGGGAGGGCGCAGGCCTACGAGACTCTCCAGCAAGTGAGGCAGATGCGGGAGATTTGAAGGCGGCGCAGGCAATGCAGCCGAGCTCTCTGCAGCAATAGCGCTTGACTTGTTGGGCTTTGTAGGGCCAGCCTCGTCGTCAGAGGATGAGTCACCGTCCAGCGGCGAGGCCAGGTCGCCTCCGCGTATACCGCGACTAGTCCTCACTGGCAGAGCGAGCTTACTGGCGAGACGGATCAAGTTCTTCTCCATCCTGGATGAAGTCGGTCGAAAGGCAGATACGGTTAACAGTGTGTCCTAGTCTTCTCAGGATACCACATACACTCACCTTTCCCATGTCACCTCGTTGGCGACCTTGACCACTCTACACCTCGCTGGCAAAGGCTCTTCCTCGCCATCATCTCCTCCCTTGCGCCTGCGCTTGCCAATGGCTATAGTGATCTTGGTCTCTGCCACTCTCACCACCACTCCGTCAACGCCAGTGTTCTCACTCGCAAGTGCTTTGTCCTTCGATGCGCTTGCCTTCTTCTTCCTCCCGTCGTCTCCCTCGCCGCTCCCAGCTTCGTCCACAATGACGACTACATCCCCGCTCCTGAAGCCATTGGGCGGAAATGCAGGCTCTGTATGGTAGGCAGTCGGTCGATGAAGCTCAACAAGAGACTTACCGCCCATACCAATGGAGGTGTTGAGTACGCCTAGCCGGCAGAGAGCCAATCCATTGGTCTCTAACACGCGTGGAGAGACCGAAGAGAGGAGGAGATGCGACTCTTCGAGCTCGGCTGAGCGCTCCCGCTGAAGCAAGGTGAGATGTCGCTGCAGCCATGATTGCAACTGTAACGGCGTAGGATGACGAGGATGTATCAGCTGGCCATCAGCAGACTCTGCGGACGATGAGGACGACGACATGGCCAGACAATGGTGACCTGGTAGACGTAAGAACCAAAGGAAGAAGCGGAAAGGGGGAAATGCATGGGCCACCTCTGCAGCAGCACCGACGCAGTGGAGCGAGACGCCCTTGTGCGCCCTGACATCCTCACCATACCACATTCATCGTCCATATCTCTGCTCATCGTACATCTGGCTCGAGGCATAAGTGAGGGGAAGATCACCTCTCTGACACATGATGGATCCTTCACAGGAGTTCTACTCTTTTGTGAAGCTGACCGACCTGCCATCGTCGCTGTCCTTCTCCATCCGCGTCAATTCCCTTCAAGGCAACCTGCAGCGCTCCTCCCTCGTCGACCTCCTCGAATCGCCGTCACAGAAAGGGTGGGGAACTAACATCGAGCCATATCCACCATTCTATCTCACTCTGCGTCTATACTCGGCCAACAAGCCTCTCACCCCTGTCCATCGTACCCCCTTCAAGGCATTCAAGAAGGCATGGGTCTGGAATTCCACAGTCGACTTTGGTTTTCCCGTCAGGCAGCTACCCCTGGACGCTCAGCTGGGCATTACCATCTGGGATTCTAGAGGTCTGGATCCGCATGTGGATGGGGATGACCGTCAGGAAGACCGAGTCATTGGCGGAACGACATTGAGGCTCTTCGGCAAGAAGGGTACATTGAAAAAGGCTCAGCATCGCTGCTTTGTACACCTGGGCGTCAAGGCTGATGGAACAGTCAATAGTGAGACGGGTAGCAAGGGAAAGCTCGGAGAGGGCGGAGAAGAGGGCAAGGAAGGCATGAGCAAGATGAGCAGACTGGAGAAGGTGAGCGCCAGGACCCATTGTCAGCCACGGCGGGTGTTTGTACTCACCTCTTTTGTTGGCCCATTCCCTCCCTAACAGCTGATCAAGAGGCACGAGCGATCAGATCTTCCTCACCTCAAATGGCTCGACAAGCAGACGTATAGGGTGATCGAAGGCATCCATGCAAAAGAGTCAGAGAGTCTTCAGGATGAGCTCTGGCTCTACATTGACCTACCACGCTTCGAATGGCCCATTGTTTGGTGCGAAGAGGAGCTTTCATCGGACCCCTCAAGCAGCTTAGCCCCTCATCATATCTTCCAAGGAGGTAGAGGAGCGGCAAGACCGCTTTCCGGTGCCTCAGGCACCTCCACCAACTCATCTACAGCGGCTGCTCTGGCGAATGCAGCGAATACCCCCCAGCCCATCCCTGCAGCGACTACAAGTGCTAACGCTCAGGGGAATCTGGTCAGACCGGCAGAAAAAATTGAGCGGTCCTTATTCACTCTGCCTGATCCAGAGTCGCAGCGAGAGAATCCAATTGAGGCCAAGCATCGACGCCTCGTGCGAGCTCAGCGCTCTCGTCGTCGGGGACTAGGAGGTTCTACCGGTGGTCTGGGAGGGGCAGGTATAGGCAACTTAGCTCTAGCTCGCAACCTCAAACCAGACAAAAAGGCCAGAGATGAAATCGAGAACATTCTTTCATCTCCACCCACAAGGGAGCTGACAGACAAAGAGTCGGATCTCTTGTGGACGTACCGCTTCTACCTCACCAAGAACCCACGCGGCTTGACCAAATTCTTGAAGGCGGTCAGCTGGAACGACCGAGTGGAGAGCAGGATGGCAGTCGATACAGTCTTGCCCCTCTGGGGCGGTGGAGGAGCTACGACTGCTGTTGACGGTACGACAATTACCACCACTCCAGTGGAAATTGGCGATGTCCTTGAGCTGCTTGGTCCGGCGTGCAAAATGATGGACACAGCAGTGCGGAAGTGGGCAGTCGAGCGATTGGCGGAAAGAGATGATGCTGAGATCTCTCTTTACCTGCTACAGCTCGTACAAGCTCTCAAGCTCGATGAGAGGGACGATGATGAAGAGGTGAGCTCTACTTCCAGTGGCGCAAGTCGCAGACCTCAGACGGGAGCCAGTCAGAAGAGCAGCAGTTCTGCAGCAGTCCTCGAGTCATCGGCCGTCAGCAAGAATAGTCCTTCTCTGGGACCACTCACAGAGCTCCTCGTGGCCCGAGCGCTGGCATCAGCTCGCGCTCCTACCACTCCTCCTGCTACCTTCTCCCTCCTGATCACCTTTTACTGGTACCTGTCCGTCGAGTGCGCAGATGATCGATGGGGCATCCTCTATCGTCGTATCCGACGTCGGCTTGAGAAGGGACTAGACCAAGCTGGCGAGGTAGGCCAGCGATACTTGTCTATTATCCGTCGACAGGAGCAGATGGTCAACAAGCTGGGAGAGATGGCTAGAGGGTTGCGACAGAGTAAGGATGGCCGTCTGAAGAAAATTGAAAAGCTGAAAGAGGCCGTCAAGAACGAGAAGGGGATGGGATTGCTAGATGTGGCTGAGGCTGACCAACATGGAAGCGCCCCCTTGGCTCCGGCTGGAGGTCTGCCACTGCCTCTGGACCCTACCATTCTCGCCAAACACATCAAGGCCGAACAGTGCACGGTCTTCAAGTCGAACCTCTTCCCGCTTCTGATCTGGTTCGAGACCGAGCCTATCGCTCCAGCTCATGAGACGACCGATCCCAGCGACGCCCACCAGAGCGCACCAGCCGTCGAGGAGTATGCCCTCATCTTTAAATCGGGAGACGACCTACGTCAGGACCAGCTCGTCCTACAGCTTTTCCAACTTATGGACCGACTACTTCTCAATGAAAATCTAGACCTGAAGCTGACGCCGTATAGGGTTCTAGCAACGGCACCAAAGGAGGGCATGGTGCAATTTGTCAAGAGCAAGACACTGGCGAATATCGTCAATGAGCACGGCACTTTGAATGAGTATCTCAGAGTCGGCGGGGGCGCTGGGACCGAAGAAGAGAAGATGGATCGGTTTGTAAGGAGCTGCGCAGGGTATTGCGTTGTCACGTACCTGCTAGGCGTAGGTGATAGACACTTGGACAATCTACTCCTAGCGCCTGACGGACGTTTCTTCCACGGTGAGTAAATCCAACCCAGTGCAGATCATTATCTCGCTCGACTGCACAGACTCTGATCTCCCTCTCCGTGCCCTCCTTCCATCTCGCTCCCCGGCCCCGACCACCTACCAGTCGATTTTGGGTACATCCTCAACCGTGATCCCAAACCCTTTCCTCCACCCGTAAAAGTCTCAAAAGAAATGGTCGACTGCATGGGTGGTCCAACTTCACCCAATCATGCCCGCTTTCGTCAATTATGCTTTACCGCTTTCAGCATCTTGCGCAAGAATGCCAATCTCATCCTCAATCTAGTAGGACTCATGCAAGATGCTCCAGTGGGAGATATTAAAGTCGAACCGGATCGAGCAGTGGGCAAAGTCTTGGAAAAGTTTAGATTGGACTTGAGCGATTCGGATGCAAGAGTCTTCTTTGACGATTTGCTACAGCAGAGTAGCTACCTCACCGTCGTATTCGATCGATTACACGATGCGGCGCAATTCTTCCGCTCTTGAGAGGGGATGGGGAAAAGCGAGATGTGGATTCGTATATATCAGACTCGACAAATGCCAATTGCGTGCATTGCATTTACTCTCTACTGTCGTCTAAGTACTTTTGTCCCTTTCCCGCCATTATCTGAGCACTTCGTCCAGCCCAAAGCCCGTCGACTCAGAAGGCCCCTTCCTGTACCTGATCCTTCTCCACGCTACCCCAAAAATCTCCTCAACCAACGCCCTCTGTCCGCCCTCCTTCTCTCCTGCCACTCCTACTCCTATGCAGAATTCACCGCCGCCGCTGCCATTTGCACCTCTTTCGTCGCCTCTCTCCTAAACGCCTCGAGCGAGCGCAGGGCTCCTCCTCCGTTCAGAGACTTGCGCGCAAGGGCTACGGCGTCCTTGAGGGAGTGGGCATACCCGCCGACGTAGAGGAGTGCCGAGGCCTGCAGAAGCGTGTAGTCCATGAGGGCTCTTATGTCTGCTCCTGCCGGGATGGCAGGGAGGGACTGCGATCCTGAGAGGAGGGCGCGAGTGACTTCATCCCCTGCTGAGGCCGAAGCCAGTTGCACGGCCAGAGGTTCGCTAAGAGGCGCAGTGGAGGCGCTTACTGAGGCTTCTTGCCCTGGCTGGACCATGTGCAGGACAACGGCTGCGTTTTCTGCCGAGGTGTACGAGGCGACGGATTTGAGCGGGTGGGCAGGGATGCCAAATGACTCGAGGGGCGAGACGACAAAATGCTTGATAGTGCCTGCGTCGAGCTCCCAGACCTAGTAGAGGTAAGGAGGAGAGAGTCAAGAAGAGGACTGGTCAGCTCTGCTCTTCCGAAGTGGACTCATTCTGCGAGAGCTCTGCAACTCACGTCCGTCTCGCCCTCTATGCTAATCTCATCTAGTCCCTCCTTGCCGCAAACGATCCACGCCCTCTCACAACCTCTCCTCTTGAGTGCCTCGGCAAAGATCTCACCCAAGTATGGAGAATGCACTCCCAGGATACACCTCGCCGGGCGGGCCGGATTGATTAGCGGGCCAAGGACATTGAAGATTGTGGGATGTCCGAGGGCTCGCCTGATAGGCCCCAGAGGCGCAAGAGCTGGGTGGAAAAGCTGGGCGAAGAGGAAGACAAAGGAGGAAGTGGGAAGAAGAGTGGAGATGATGCTGGGTGTGAGGGAGAGAAGCGGGATGCCGAGGGAGAGGAGCAAGTCTGCTGATCCCGAGGTAGAGGAGGAGGCTTTTGCGCCGTGCTGATACGAGTGGGAGGGGATGCCAAGGTGATGAGCTTATCCGCTTGGGTCTGCTACAGTGTGGACTCAATTGCGACTCACCTTGCAAACTCTCACGCCCGGTACACCGCTAGCGACGATAGCAGCCGTGGTAGACACATTGAAGGTGTCCTGCCCATCTCCTCCAGTCCCAACCAGATCAACCGTCCCTTTATACGCTTCGCTCAGCAGTCCACTCTCCTCCCATCCTCCCTCCTCTCTCAATCTTCTCTGCAGCTCTTCTCTTCTTAACCTCCAGCTCTCCTCATCAGTCGAGTCTACCTCGATGCACTTTCCCAAGAAGCGCTGGCTGGCAATCGCTAGTGTTTCCGCTTGTGCATCTACCCCTCCTAGCCGCAGACCGGTGAGACAGGCACCGAGCTGCGCATGATGAGCTGGATTTGAGGTGAAAGCCGGGTCGGAGAGGTGGTCAAAGAGGCTGTCCAGCTCGGAAGAGGAGAGGGCTGGAGCGAGGGGCCGGGCAGTGGATGAGGAAGAGGAGGAGATGTTGGGTATCGGAAGGGGCTGTGAGAGGATGAGCTGCTTCAAAAGAGGACGGAAAGTGTCCGTTGTGTGCGCTGTCTTCGAGGAAGACGACGGAGCGCTGGCATTCGCAGCCATCTTGGGCGTAGACGGTCGACTGGAGGCAATCAATGGTCTTGGAGGACGAGTGTAGTGCAAAGGGGAGCGAGTCAGATGTGAAATGCGCCGAGATGCAAGAAGATCTCCACGGCCCTCCAATCTTCCCAGCTCCGCACCCAAGCCGCACAGACGAGTCTATCAAAGCTGCCCAGGACCCTGTACTCATCAGCGATGTAGCAAGAAACGAGGGAAAAGATTTTTGTATTTATGTACACCGCACAGAGGAGAAGCGAAAGAGATCAGGCAGCACGGGTTTGGGCTGGCGGGGCCATTGACGTGCAAGAGGCAAAAGGTTACCAGCGCAGCTGCAACTAGGCAGGCGAGGAATACCTGAGCCTCGGTCCCCCAGGCAACTTGGAAGAGCCGAAATGTTGATTGACTATACGAGACCATCGTACTATGGAAATTATTGAGGGCAGAGCGGGCAGAAGTGTCAGCTCGACACGCCCAGTCGCAAACTACGAATGCTACCCTCACTCACCAGGGTCAAGGCGCTGATGATCGTAGGATCTGCCTTGGATCCTTCTTGGAACTCCTCGAAAGTCACTGTCAGAGCGAGAATTACAGGACGTAAGAAGGGCAAGGTCAGTATTCAGACGTCTTTGAGATTGCTTTCCTCAGGAGGGCAGGGAACTCACGAGAGGCATTCTTGTCCTTGTCCATCATCTGAAGGTCCCGGCGGAGAAGGCAGGGGAAGAGAGCAAAGACGTCAGATGCACGTCTCAGCGTCCGAGCGTATCTTTGCGGCCCAACTCACCTGGAACAGCTTGTCCACTCGCTGAAAGGTGTTGGCAGGGTCATACAGGGACGAGATAGACACGTCAGCGATTCTCCTCAGAGCCACAAGTACATCTCAAATCCCCAATCTCACCTTCTCTGGGGTGTCCTCATCAGCCGGTAGCTTGACCATTTGTCCCGTCATCTTGTAGATGGACCTGACGATGGCTGCGGGAAGGAAGGGGAAGGAGTGCGAGCCAGTGGTCAGCTACGTCCTCCTGAGGGCTCTTCATAAAGTCGAGTCCCAGATCTCCCTCGGATTCAGGCATATACGTCCTTGACATGACACTCACTCAACATCTCCTCATAGGCAATCGTCCCATCCCCATTGATATCATAAAGCTGAAACGCCCACCTGAGCTTCTCATCCAACCTCCCCCTCGAGGTAACGCTCAGTGCGCAGATGAACTCCTTGAAGTCAATGGTACCATTCTTGTTCTCATCAAAGACATTGAATACGAATTCGGCAAATGTGGCAGGGTCTCCAAAGGGGAAGAACTGCTTGTAGATGCGAGAGAATTCGGCCTTGTCCAGGACTCCGGAGGGGCAGTCTTTAAGGAAGCCCTTGTACCTGGAGGTGGGAAAGAAGTGGGAAGAGCAGAGGTGAGCATGCAGATCTGTAAGTCTGCTGAATGAGGGAAAGTACGTCTACCAGCTTGAGGGCTACTCACCACTGCTGGAGCTCCTTTCGGTCGACTAAGCACGGGAGATGGGAAGCAAGGTGGAGATGGTGATGAGCTGGGCGGACCACCTGCGGCTCTTCTGAAGCCTGCTGCGACGCCGGTACATGCGCTACTGACAGTATGTGCTCTTCTGAAGGTCCACAAGTTGCTCTGGGGTGAGCTTGGATTGGTTCTTTCCCATTGTGCGAAGGAGTGGGCGGGGGTCGTGTGAGGTGGAGTAGTTCGCAGAGGGTATGCTGCGAGGGAGGTCGTAGCTCGATGGGAAGACACAGGGAGCTGCGAGTAGCTGAGCTGTGTGTGATTAGTGCGTAGTAGACCCTGTACAAGACCTCAAAGGACGATATCAGACGAGTATATGCGGTGCGGTGTGTGACACGGTAGCGAGTGGGTGGAAGCAAGGTGCGAAAATAGGCGAGTTGGCATTCGGGACTCACAGGGCCGCACACAGCCAAGTCGAGCCACGTTCAGCACCCGACGACGAGGATTCCTTGGCACGACTCGCAGGCAGCCAAGCAGGCAAGTCTCACAGCCGCCACACACAAAGGGGAGCCATACAGTACGAGGTTCTGTGCTCCGAGAGTTGCCATGCTATGCTCACAACCTCTCTGGTATCCATTGCAACGCCCTAGTCGTCTCCAGGATGAGGTGAATCAGGTACAGCGGGGGTGAGCGGACCTGGAAAGCAACGTCGCGGGAATTGCACTCAGCAGACGCGGATCGAGGGCAGTGTTACTTTCGCATGTCTGTTACTTTGTCCCGACTGTCTCACTCCAAAGACTTCCTACAATCAGAAGTGGCCTCGGGTGAATCCACAGCTGGCAAAGTACAAGGTCAAAGTAGAGCAGGCACGCGTCTGTGTCTCCTAGAGCCGTGTACGTTCCCACGATGACGGCAGGTCTCACCTCGACTGCCTCCTGGCCACTGCTCTCAGCCTTCCTCTCCTTCATACACCCACCTCACTGTCAGCGCATCCCCCTCTTCATCAACAACCCCTACCCATGGTCCTGGCTATGGCCAATTGTCCTCCTTCAGACCTACCTCCTCTTCAATGTCCCCTCCTCCAAGAACCCCCTTCTGGCAAATCACGCCAGGCCTATCCGGCTACTCCTCCTCATCCCAGAGACGATCCTCTGCTGCCATGTAGCCTTCGCCTATCGCTTTCAACGGCCTGACGAAGCAGTGCCGCCCTCGTGGAGGATTGTGGGAGAGAGGGACTTTGATTTTGTCTGTGGAGTCATGGCCGCCTACTGCTGGGCAAAGTCGCTGGAATTTGCAATTGCAAAGGAGAGACCCATGTTGGATGAGGGGAAGAGGTGGGACTTTAACCTGGGAGTTGAGAAGAAGAAGAAGAAAGAAGAGGGAGCAAGTGGGCAGACAGAGAACACGGACAAGACCAACGGAGCTGCCAAGGTCAATGGATCTGCTATGCAGCTCAGAAAGCGCAAGACAGACGTGCCCACGATCCCTGATCCTCAGGAGGTGGTGAGCGATGCAGCTCATATCCTCTACTTTCCGAACACGTCCATACCCCTCTGGCTAGATGTAGCTACCAATCTTCGTGGTCTTGGCTGGAAATGGGGCATCGCTTCACCGGCCTCGGGGCCAGCGCCGGTACCAGCAACCCTCCGACATCCTCAGACCATGCGCTTTCTCCTGTCGCGGCTCTGGACCTGCCTCTCCCTCGGTACTTTCCTCCACTTCTCACATGGAGTCATCGTCAAACCACTCTACATAGCCGCCTACGATCACCCTGCCGGCTCGCTCGCATCCCAACCCTACGCCTCCTCGTGGATTGCGACGACCTTTGTGCAGGGCGTCTTCACCCTCTTGCTGGGGTCAATGGTGCTCGCGCCCATCCAGGGCGTCTTCTCCCTCCTGTCAATCATATCGGTCCTGGTAGCGCCCAAGACACAATACTGGTGGGAGCCTCTACCCTTCAATGATCCCTTTCAGTCCACCTCACTCAAGGAGCTCTGGGGTGAGCGATGGCACGCTCTCTTCCGGCGAGCCTGGTACATCTGCGGGTATAGACCTGCTGAGCTACTAGCGCAGCGAGCCGGGGTGGGAAAGAAGGGAACGAGGATGGTTGCCGTCCTCAATACCTTTTTGATGAGTGGAATCTTTCACGAGTTTGGCCTTCACGTCATGAGGACCTCTACGGCAGGGTCTGCAGTCACACTAGCTGCTTCGTTGAGAGGGGAAGTCTGTCCTCCCCTCGACTCCCGCTCTCAAGGGTTCGGAGCCAACTCTTTTAGCACCACTCGCTTCTTCCTCACACAGGCCGTGGGTCTGATACTAGAATCAGTCCTCTATCCCCTCATCGTCCGACTCTTCCCTTCTGCAGCCCGGGAGAAGAGACGCGGCTGGCAATGGCTGGCATGGATTTGGGTGCTGGTCTGGTGCGCTGTTACCGGGAGAGGAGTGGTGCAGACGTGGATATGGCACGGATTCGTGGACGATGTCAGCACGCCCGCACCAACATTTCTGAGCGGTACACTCGCGGGGCGGTTTGTCGCTCTGGTGGTCAGAGCCGGAGATATGGTTGCTGGACGGTAGAGTTGTAGAGCGCCCACCCGGCGCCCTCGCATACACATTATTATTACTGTAGATTTCGTACATCGCAACAACAGCATCTTTCTAGCATCCCCGCCCTCATCCGCTCTGTACTACCCGCATCCGCTCACTGCTGATCCTTGTACTCTGTCCCCTTTCCTGGCTCGGGCCACGTAAGTGGGGTGCTCCCACCACCACTCAGAGGCGTCTTCTCACTCTCGAGCCACTTGGGCGCCTTGGACGTAAAGAGGACCATGTTAGGTGGATTGCCAGAGACGTATCCGACTGGATCGTCTAGGAGAGAGTGCTGCATGGGATGGAAGTGAGAGCAAAGAGGGAGAAGGAAGAGAGTAGGTGAGTGCGGTGCGGGAAGAGTGCAAAGGAAAGGAAGAAGACACTCACCTTGAAGTAGGCAATTTCGCTCCCTTGAGGGACACTCTGAAAGGCAGAACCACAGCCTCCGCAGAAGTACTAACAGAGAGGAGCCACACGAAAAGGCACATCAGCCACCTTTTCGCCACCTCTGAATGCCTCGATCACAGATGACACATTTCAACTCACTCTAGTCATGGGACTTCCACTAGTCGTCTCCTGATCATCATAAGTGGAGAGCTCGTTGTAAGATCCCTTTGAAAACTCAAGTGAGTTGACAGGAATGACGGCATTCAAAGAGCAAAGAGACCCGCCGGCGCGAGTGCAGCATTTGCAGAAGCAGGCTGCTATACCCTATGACGTTGGTGATGGAGCGAGCGAAGGGAGGGGGGTTTCAGCTTTGAGGGAAAAGGGCGAATGTGGGCGAGCTGGGGAAAGGAAGGTCAGTGCACCGTGAGAATTCTCTCACCTGGGCAGCGGGCGCCTTGAATACGAATTTACCGCAATTGCATCTACCTGGGTACGACATGGTGTATGAAGAAGGAATGTCTTTCTAGTGGGCTTGAAGAGGAGGGCAAAAGTCGTTTCAAAGGAGAGGATCAAGATCGGGCTTAAGGAGGATCTCGGTCATCTAGGTGGAGGGAAGCCCGCAAGTCATGCGACATCAACTCCCCGCTTTCCCCGCATTTCCGCCACGGATTTCACGCGACGCAGACAGAGGCCCGTCGGAGAAAAGGGGGAAGGATCAATTGATAAGGAGTGTGTGGGTCGAGGGGGCGACCAAGGGACGTGGACATTGGGTATATAGAGAATAGAGCTACTGCAGTGTAGCCAGCATGGTGACCCACTCGAGATGGACGGCGCCTGCTCAAGCAGTCAGCAGTGAGCCAGGCAGCTTGTACAAAGGCCACTCCTTCCTATCACTGTTTGCTCCCTCGGAGAAGTACGCGCCCTGAGCATAGATCTGCCTCTCCCGCTTGCCGCTCGCGCCCTTGAAGTTGGCCTCGCACACGACAGTCAGGCCATTGTTCTTAAACTCTTCCCGGGTGTACTGCTTGTATGAGACTGTGCTCCAGGGGTTTGACTTGGAGGTGGACCTGAAGGAGTACACGTAAGGGGCGTTGGTCGCCATTAGACGTGGGCCGGTGCCGTCGGTGGCTGAGGTCACAGGAAAGGTTCGACAGGTCAGCCTCTGGCACGTTCATCGAATGCAAGGCGGCTCTCTCTGACTCTCTACTCACACTGTACCAGATTGATCTTTTCAGCAGCGGTGATGGCAGAGACCCTCAGCGAGCCCTCGATCTTGACCGGGATAGGCGTGCTTGGAGTCTTCGACGACAGGTCGAACATGGTCAGTGTGCGGGGCCCACCGTAAGCAATCAGCCTGTTGGACTCTGCATCATAAGAGATGCCAGTATATCCAACTCTGGGCAGTCGCGAGCTCTTCGGTGCCTCGATAGACCAAGCCTCGATGGACTTTCCACTTGGGTCGATCTTGGCGATAGCCGGTGCACCGAGGGCGAAGACGACGTAAGAGTTGCCATCTTTGTCCTGCACTGAGTCGACAGGTCCAAAGGGTCGTGCCTTACCGCCTAGCTTCTTTGCCAGTCGGTCCTGTACGCGGTCTAGTCTGACAGACCACGCAGGTTGGGAGTTGGCATCGACGGGCAAGTCGTAGGCGACGAAGCGATTAGCACCGTTGGGCGAAACGGACTGGGTTGGATCACTACTCTTGAAGACAAAGGCCTGGCGGTCCTTGGCTACTCCGTAGAGGCGTGTGGGCTTGGTGGGGTGGTTGAGAGATAGACCTGCCAGCTGGTAAGGAGTGCCAAATGGTTGAGGAGAGGAGACGTGCGGGATGGTGATGTCTGTGAAGGGGACGAGCAGGGGACGCGGGATTAGATGAGGCTCCCCCCGTCACGGGTCTTCTCATACGGTAATGCATCAACTCACCGAAGGCCGAGCCGTCTGCATTGGCAACATGAATGTAACCCCTGTACAGGTCTAAGGGGAGTAGGATCAAACAGCCATCGTCAGCTGAGGGTCTCAATGCTTCTCTCTCGCTGCCACTACTCACTACTTTGGAACCACCTCTCATTGTCCCTGTCAAAGGCGCAATCTTCTGGAGTGAGGTGGGGGGCCTCTACCTTGTAGACTTGAGGGGCAGTGTCTGGCTCGACTGCATAAGCTGTAGCAGCGCATACGGCCAGGACGGTGGTGACAAAGGCAGCTGTGATTCTCATCTTGATGGTAGCGATGGGGAGGGAGTAGAGAGGAGAGGAGGAAGGGACGAGGTAGGGATTGTGGGTGTGATGGGGATAGGAAGGCAAAAAGCACACTGCCTTGCCTCGGTATTCTTCCTTCCTCGAGGCAACTGTTGCTGCGTTGCTGGAAGGGTCCATCCCTATCCGGCCCCTGTCCTGTCGCCCATATTCCATGCACTTTGCTCCCGAGGGAATAAGGGGCATACCAAAGGGCCGGACACCCCTATCCCACTGCCCACGCTTTGATCCCTGATCTTGAACAGTGAAGAACATCCCCTACGGTTCATGAGTGAAATGCAAAGCTTCCGATGCAAGGGGCACAAGAGCATTCGTATGTGTCAAATGTCTATCCTGCATAGGCTTGAAACAATTTCAGATGTTGTGTGATTCCATTTACAGATGTGAGTAGATACAGCAGTACACCGCGAGGATGTACGCCACTAAAGATGACTTCTCAAACATGTGGCCGATTAGCTTGGAGAGAGCCGCGCGACCTAGTTTGGAGGCGGCCAGTTCCACTCTGGGCCACCCAGTAGCTCCCACGTCCCGAGCTCGATGTCTCCCTCCAGATGCATCGCCTTGAGTTTCACTGCGCCCCTGTTGTCCCCTGCTCCCGCTCCAGGCTTGACCCCACCTCCCCTCTTCAGCTGAGGACCTTGTCCACCCGGCCAAGAGGCACGATCCAGGACAGAGGCATACGACAGGAGCGCCGCCCTGAAGTAGCATGCCGTGGCTGCCGGCGTCAAATAACGCTGGCCCAGAGTGCGTTGGGCATTGAGCGCAACTTGCTGCGCAGTAGAGATACCAAAGCGCAGCGGTTGGCTCTCTTCAGCCTTAAGCTTCTTCATCAATGCGGCCAGATCGCCAAACAGTCCATCGCCATTCGAGCTCAGAATGACATTGCGATCAGGGTCGCCTTCTGCAGTGATCATAGCTGGATGGAAGTGCTGTGTCCAGGTCATGTTGTGGGTGATGACCGTAGAGATGCAGTTGAGAAGGAACTTCGATCGTCCCGAGTAGGCATTTCCCTCTGAGTGGAACAGATACCGGTGTTGGCAGTGCTCCGCCGGTGTGATAGTAGGAGCAATATCGGGACCAGTCTCCCAGAAGCTCGTCCTCTTGACGTCACTCCAAGCATCGGCTCCCTTTTCCCGCACTTGCCTCATGAGATCCAGACGCGGTGGAGCGCCAACGTTGGGGTCTCCTCTCCAGAAGACCTTGTCGTGCTTCTTACTCCAGGGCCATGCCTCGTCAGTCTCCCGAGCATCACGCCGGAATTCTTTGTAGGAGGCGATGCCGGCCTCGGGCCATCCCTGAAAAGAGAAGTCGGGTATCAGGAATTGACCTAGTGGATCTGTCACCCGCTTGTCCTACGAAGTGTGGGAAAGAGTGAAGAGAGGGTGATTGAGCAAGAGGGAGGACGCTTCTATCCGGTTCCGTCTGCCACTTACCAGTACCCAGCCAGCTCCATCGCCGCCATTTTGCCGGAATCCATCCTTGTCAGCCGTACTCCAAACGAGCTCTGTGCCCTCCAACTCCATCTTTTCTGCCCAGCTTGCACCGGATACTGCCTCTTCCAGTAGCTTCAGCAGGGCTCTTGTTCTCGACTGCCAGTCGTGGATGAGGGATCGTATGAAGATTTGGCCTCCATTGGCAATGATCAGATGCACACATCCCCCCTCGCACGAATTTACGGCCGCCGTGACCTGAGCAGCCTTAATTCCTCCGCGGGCCCTCCAAGCATCGGCATTGTCCACTAGCTGCGGGATGAACCGCGGAAACAAGCCTTGACACATCGGTGCAGGGAAGGTCGTGTCTGACTGCTCGGCGCTGGTGAGCGCTCTACCGACTCTTGATGTGGGTGGTTTTGTGAAGGAGAACGAGGAGACTCGTGCACTACCACTACTGCCGCCACCAATACCGCCTAGATACTCTGGTCTCGATGGCTGGAAGACGGACAGAAGGAGGATGAAGGCCAAGACCACTGACATGATGGGTGCGAGAAGCTGGTTGTTGAAGCGGTACAATGCCCGCACGGCAGCGGAAGAGTGAGGAGAAGCATCGACATTGCCACTGTCATTGAAGACTCGGTGGTAGCCATTGGCGGGCATATTGGGTGCGCTCCCATCCAAAATGGATAAGGAGATGCTGTAGTACCGGCGGACAGAGCTTGATCCCGCTCAACTCAGCTCCGTTGCGATAGGCGTGAAACAATGGATGAAGAAAGAGCAGATGGAGGCGACTGGAGTAGAGTGAAGATGTGTGACAGGAGCTGAGTCGCGTTTCAAGCAGGCAGGAGGAAGCATCCTGCGAATTTGCTGGGGCTGTCTGAATGTTGCTCCTGGCATAGGACCCTGCAGGCAAGACTCTGAAAAAGGGGATTCGCCCTTTGAGCTCCGTATGAACCCACAGCACTGCAAAATAGCCGAAGGCGTGCAGCTTCAGTCTAGACTCGCGTGCGGGTGGAGGCAGAGGAAATCTAATTTGGGCCGCAAGAGATACGCTTGGCACACGGAAGTGGATATCAGTAGCGAGGCGCACGCAGCGTGTGCGGGCAGCATACGGACTACCTTTTGATCTTGTCGTCGTCAGCGTTCAGATACAATGGAATGTCGATCATCTCTAGTCGCCGTCAGCAGCTTCAATGAAGTATGCAAGTCATTTGGGATTCGGCAAAGTCGAGGTCATGACGTGTGGCAATTGTCCTTCCCCCACACTGCGAAAGTATATGGAGCATGGTATAGTATTGATTGAATTTCACAACTTTCCGACAGTGATGATGATCTCAGAGTCAAGTCATAGACAGTCGATGCTTAGGAGTTAGCCTCCTTCTGTGCCTTGCCTGCCTCTTGCTGAACGTTGCCGGCGGTCTGTTTGGTTTTGTCCCCAGTCAAGGCCCCCACCACTGAGTCCTAATTGGGTGATTTGTTAGTGGAAAGAGTCAGTAAAGCGCCTAAAAGATTAATTTAGCATTGGAAGGAGCTGTTCTCACCTTGTAGCCAGTGACCTGGTCGGCGGCACCATCGACGTAGCCCTTGGCCTGGGCGGCCTTGATCTCGGCCTCACCCTCGCTGTGCTCCTGTAAAATGCGAAGAGAAGAGCATTAGAGCTCGATCAACTTATGGACCCTGACTGAAGCGGGTGCCGATCATGATCCACTCACCTTCTTGCCGGAGGTTTGCCACTCAGTAGAACCGGTCAGGTTTCCGACACCCTCGACGACCTGTCCCTTGATGGAGTGGTAGTTACCGGTGGTCTGGTTGGGCTCGTTGGAAGAAGACATGTTGAGAATGCGTTGCTTTGTTGTTGTGACTCTTGTAAATTGTAGAAATGTGAAGATGTGTTGGATCTGATGTCAAGGAGTCTAAGAGTAACACTTATATATGTTACTCTCCACCGATGCTGCGCGTGGAGTTTATTTCACACGCAATCCCCTCGCACGGTTGCGCACCTCCGAAGTCTCCAGAAGCTCCCTGGATCCTGTTCCAGCCCAGCACGACAGGACGCTCCCTTGTGTCTCCTCTCCCCTTTGCGGAAAGTACACCCTGTCTGATGCTCCCGACGTAATCGCAGAGTGACATAAAGAGGCGTCATATGGCGGTGCATGCACTGTGGCGCTTCCCGCAATTGGCCTGTCGGGAGCGAGAGCAACACTTCCATGTGACGTCATGCCAGATTCAAGTCCGATTCCGATCACGTCTCGGCACGCTCACCCGCACGCACCCAGCATCGAGGAGCACGTTGAATGTCCTCCTCATACAGCGCCCACACACATTGTTCCGAGGGACTGAGCTCTAGTCTTGGTTGGGAGCACATCGTGTTGCTTCACACATCCTGGAGCATACACGCCATTGCCCGGGAAGAGTACAAATCTCTTCAATCGTTCTGCGAGTGCTCAGGGCAGGCGGTACGAGCAGCTTGTCCGGCACTCAGCGTCAAAATTGCCTATGGGTGCACGACTGAGCATCATTGGACAGCTGCAAGTGCAGACGCAAGGTCCGAGCGTACCCGGGGCCGTCGCACGGTACAACTTAACGTCATGACACCATTATCAATGCCGACTCCAATTGGGGCTGTCCATTCGTTCGGCGTGTTGAAGCAGTCTGGAGAGGTAGGGTAGCAGCGTGCAAATTCCAGTCAAGGACAAAGCCCGACACAGGTTCATTGTGCGAGGATGTCACCTCAAAGAGCCGCTCTCGTTATAGCTTGCTGGTCATGTCTCCCTACGTCCCGCTGAGCGCGTCCGAGCCCCTCAGCCATTCCAGGGCACAACCGATTGCGCCAGTGGCTGGCGACCAGGGTATCCACAATGGTATGACCGTGCGCATATGAGTGTTGAGGCTGCTGCAGACTCCTTGTGACAATGCGAGAAGCTGCGAGTCGGGACAGGCCTGACAGGCGCAACATCATCAGCCTATGACGGCCAGCTATGAGCGATGCCGCCGATATAATTGCAACGGCAATACTGAACGACCACTATCATGCCTCTGATGACTCCCGCTATGATATCACTTGCGCTCTTTCGACCACCGATCAATGATCCCTCATGTGCGGCAAGTAGGTGGTGCATACATGGTCATTGGCTTGCCTTCCCCACACGCGTAGGAGGAGTGAGTGGCCCCCGTACCTATGCGAAGTCACTGTGCGCCTATGCGAAGTCAGTGCCGCCTATGCACAGTCACTCTTTCCGTCGGAGATGGCCCTCGCTTCCATCGCAACCTTCTTCCACTCCATACCAACAAGACACACCTGAATATCTCCCTCGGCTCTTCAGCTTCATCCCTCCATGCTGACTAGAGCGCATACATGAGCTCATCCAGATCGCGTCCGGGGCGTGTGGCCCGTGTGAACAGCGCAGCCATCGTCCTCAGCGATTCAGACGAGGCAGAGGCAGGACCTAGTCAGCCTCGTCGAACATTAGCCGCCTCACGCAAACGCACATCCAGGACGCCTTCTTCCTCTACAGCCTTCTCCCAGTCCTCGGCAGGCAAGAAGACAGCTGATCAAGATGATAAGAAACCGCTGGTTGTCACGCTCAAGCGAGGTACCAGAGCTAAGAGGGAACGAGTGTCCTCATCACCGCCGGTGATCATACCCTCTTCAAGTGCCGATGAGCGCCCACTCCCTCCTACCGTCACACCCCCAGCCACGGGACGCTCTACGAATACACAACAGACCAGTGGCTCAGATTCGGACGATGGCTTCTTTAACCTCAGGCCGTCTGCAAAGACAAAGAGAAGGCAGACGCAAACACAGGCAGCAACGCAAGGAGCAAACGGCAGCGGGGCAGGGACAGCCTCGCAGGAGCAACCGCCCGCATCTCAGCAGTCTGAAATCCCGCCGAGCTCCTCACCTGAAGACGAGCATTCCTCCGAGGCAGAGTCGTCTCGTTGGAAGCGAACCAGAATAGAGCGATTGCCGAGCTGGACGAGGACGAAGGGAATACCCACGCAGACATTGAGCGATGATGGCAGTGATGCAGAGCATATAGTCAGCAGAAGGAATTCCCAGGATCAAGACATGAGGGAAGGAAGCGAGGGCGCTGCCAGAAGGCGCAAGAGCGCCAGCCTGACGCCTCCACCGGTTACGACGGCAGCATGTGAGTAAAAGCAGACTGGGATAGAAACGAGCATTCGAGCAGCCAGGCGCTGATGCCAAAATTCTCAAAACCCAACTCAGTGCGCGACAAGGTAGGCGAAATCGTATCTAGGATCATCCCCGTCGCCCGCAGGACGAGCGTGAGCAGCGAAAGTGGACGCTCGTCTCCAGAAGTGCACCGGACTACAGGTCCTCGACCACGCGCCATCGGGGACTCTCCTTCCAAGAGACAGCGCTCGCAGGCGAGCGTCCCCAGCGGAGTTGGACGTGGGCCCGCAGAGGAGGAAGACGAGGGAGATGTAGCTATCGAGGCTCTGCACCCCGACCTGGCGCTGCTCTATCGGGGCAAGCAGGCGGCTGCCGTTCGTAAGGCAGCCGAGGCGAAGAGGAAAGCCATGCTTGAGGAAGAGGAGCAGAGGCGCAAGGCGAGAGAGGAGAAGGCGAGGAAGAGGAAAGAGGCAGCGCAGGTGAGCTATCGAATGTGGCATCGACGACTCGTCTCCATATTGTTTATCATACTGATGCTTGACTCCCTCACTGCCCTGCGTATCTACAGGCAATGCTCAGCTCAGGTCACCCGGCCATCTCCCTCGTGGACTCGGACGAAGACTCCCCAGTTCCTCAACAGCTTCTCGCCCCGCCTCGCTCAGATCTAGCCACAACCATCTCCCCAACAGTCTCTCCCGATCCCGCAGGCGTTGCACAGTCCCACACTTCCTCCTCTGCCGGTGCAGAAGGCGGCGCAGAAGGCGGTACAGGAGGAGAAGACGGTATCGAGCGCATTGCCCTTACTTTACGCTCTTCGTCGGGACAGACAATGGAGCTCAAGGTTCGTTCCACGACGACTTTTGCCAAGATGCTAGAACACTTTCTAAAAAGCGTGGAAGGAGCAGCATTAAGTGTTGCACAGAGGAAAAAGGCGAGGATGATGTGGGATGGACAGGTGAGTCGGAATGGAGTGAAGACATTCGTTCCAATGAAGTCCAAGTGAGCTGACCATACGCCCACTTGTCTACTTCTATCCTCACAGCCCCTCCTCCCTAATCAGACGGTACAGGACGTAGAAGACCTCGAAGACGGGGAATTGATCGATATTCTCTGGTAATTCGACTCAGCCTACTTTGTACAAATCTTCACCCTCTCCCTCTCCCACTCGCAGCCGCATCGCCCTGCCTCCGCCCAGCTCACCAGCCAAGCACTTCCTGTCAATCAACCAATCAATACCCTCTCCACTGCTGATTCGAAGGAGGCGGCGGCGGTGGAGCACCGGCATAGCCCGGATACGGCTGCTGCTGCTGCCCATGCCCCTGCTGTCCTTGGTAGTGCTGATGTGACGCCTGACCTCCGTATGGCGCAGGAGGAGGTGGTGGACCTGCATAGCCAGAGGAAGTGTGTGAAGGAGCAGGAGCAGGAGCCGGCGTTCCATACGCGCCATAAGGGGCTCGAGGTGGAGCCGTCGGCGGAGCAGGAGTGTAACCTCCAGGTCCCCCGTACGAGGAAGTGGACCCGTACGACTGATGAACGGACGGGGATGGGGGAGGAGCAGATTGGTACTGGTGCTGATGCTGCTGTGCCGATGGTGGAGCAGGGTATCCCGTCGTGAGTGGAGCATGCTGAGCTCCGTAAGGGTAGCGATTCTGATCTGGTCGGGGAGGGGGTGGGGGGAGTGCTGATGGGATGGAGGAAGAGCTGGTGTTGCTCGAGTATGGGCTCGAGTAGGGGTTGGGTGGTTGCGAGTGTGGTTGCTGATACTGATGAGGAGGCAGACCGTACGCGCCAGGACCGGGGCCGCTTGGCGCTTGTCCGTAATTGCCCGAAGACTGTCGTTGTGGTAGTGGCGCAGGAGGTGGTCCACCGCCGTACGGCGAGGCGGCGGCTACAGGTGCGGGACTGCCTGCAGCGGAGAAGGACGGGTAGCTTCTCGAGTCTTGTGGTGGTGGTGGTGGAGGGTAGGCTCCGTACGAGGTACGAGCAGCGACGGGAGAAGGACCAGGTGAGGTTGGGTAGCTGCTGTAGGAGGGGGAGCGTACACCTGCTCCTCCTCCGACACGCATGCCATCCATGCTCTTCTCCAGACCATTGAGGCCGCCGGCACCGCCGCCAGTGCCTCCATTGGAGCCGAGTCGCCCTTCCCACTCTGCCTCCCTCTCCATCCCTTCCCTCTCCCGACTGCGCTCCTCACTCCACTGCCTAGCAGAAGCCTTCAGCCCTCTCGCAATCTGGCCCAGCTCCTCGTAGAACTGCAGTCCCTTTCCTAAAGCAGCTCGCACCTCTGCATTTCCATCTCGAGCAGCACGCAACCTCTGCGTCAGCCTCTCTTTACCTCGAGACTTGCTGCCCCATTCTTGTGTGATCCTCTTGCCCTGCGCACTGGAATTGATCGTGCTCCACAAAGAGGAGATTTCGCTGAGGAGATGGTGCTGCGCACTGATAGCCTGATTGAGGCGTGTGAGCCAAGGACGAAATTTCTCTAGCTCCTGGCGGAAGAGCGCAGCTTCCTGTGCCGCCTGGCTATTGGAAGTAACGCTACCACTTGATACCTCGTCTGCGCCGTCGGAAGCGCTGGCGGACTTGCTGCCGCCTCGGTGATTGAGTATGAGCAAGTGGCCGATGTCGTCCGTCTGAAGCTTCTCTCGTAGCTCGCTGAGAACAGTGTCCCTCTCCCGCTTGACCTTGGACAATTTGACCAGGGCAGCATCGAGAGCCTCAACGCTCCTCTTGAGCTGGGTCAGATCTTCAGTGGATCGTCGCTCATCCTCTTCTGACACGTCCAAGAGGGACGTAGCGGATGGAGCGCCCGTGGACGTGTCTGTTCGAGACACAGCCTCAGCAAAGGCTCCCTCGATCGCCTCTCTCCCTCTGCCAAGCAGCTCAACATCTTGCCGCACTTCATTCCAGCGTTGTTCGATCCTGCCATCGTTGTCTTCGGCCTGTTTCAGAGCATCGCGGTTGTTGCGAAGCTCCGATCTCATCTCCTTTACTCGCGGAATACTGCCTGAAGGGTCCTGCTTGAACTGATGTCCGATTTTCACCCTTGCTTTCTCGCAAAGTCGTGATTCTTCATCCAACGAGGTAGTAGCAGCCTGTAGATCCTGCTGAGCAGCCTGTCGCAGTGGCCTGATCTTGGTGAAGGCCTCCTGAACACCGCGTGATCCGGGACCGAGCGGGTCTGCTCCGCGAGCTGGTCCACCATTGATCTCCTCTTCGGCCCATGTCATGACCTCGCTTGGCGGATCTACTAGACTCTCCCAATTGCCCTTGCCACTGACTGCTGCCCTGAACTTCTCGAGACTAGCAGGGAGGCCCATGGCATCGAGAGTGGCTACCCTCTCACCTTCGGCCAGGTCACACTTCTCTGCCTCAGCCCTCGCCAGCTTCGCTTTTTCCTCTGAATACAGACTCGCGCGCTCGTGCACTCCCAAAGGCACCAGCTTGGCAAAGAGATCAGGTCCAATGACTCGTTGGACTTCTGGCGTTGCGTAGACTTCCGCAATCGAGATGGCAGCAGCTGGCGCAGTCTTGTCAATGGGAGGGAGTGTAGACTCCGAGGGTAGAATGTCGTGGTAAATTAGGTCGTTGTCCTTGACTGCTTGAGCTCGCTTTTCTGAGACCAGCGCCAAGTGAGAGCTGACCAGGGCCACGAGCGAAGGCCCAGCATCAGACGGCATCGTGTAGGCAGAAGCTGCTGGCGTCGAGTAGCCAAAGGTAGTTGCAGCAGACGCCGAGGGCCCAGACGAGGCAGGATGGCAGGCAGAGAAGCCATTTGAGAGCTTGACTGCTTCTTTGGACAGAGTCTCGGCTAATGTCAGCCGGACCAGGCCATGGCCATGGTTGCCAGCAGTTGCATCGGCCTGCGCTTTGTAGTAGTGTGCTAGTGAGGAGAAGTGACGAGCCTTGGCAGTGAGTAGCATGACCCAGGTCTTGTCGATGACATCTTTGTCCCTCCAGTCTTTGCTCTCCTCTGCGAGGGCAGTATATCCAGATGCTACACCTTGTGCCAGCTTGGCAATAAGTCCCGCGCTGCTTTTGCCAACAAGCGTCTTCTCAAGGAAGACTTCATTAGCCTGGGTTAGAAGCAGGGGTACCATCCATTTGAGCAGTGCCCGCGACATGTCAGTTGATGGAGCATGGAGGAAGTTGTCGCTGATGTAGGTGAAGAAGCCTGCCGCTTGTCGTAGAGCGGTATAGGCTCGCTTTGTCCCATCTGGAGATGATGCATCGGTACTTGCAGAGGGTATGACAGCGGCGGATGCCATAGCCCCTGCTTCACCGCCGCTGCTGCCTCCCACGCCTCCTAGTCTGGGAGTTGCAGCTGCGATACTGCTCAAGACAGCTGCCGTATTGAATATGACGCCAGCTTTCTCGTATGCCAAAGAGTACTGACTGATGGACTTGCCGGTGAAGGCGTCCTTCCACGTAAAGGGTACCCTCACCTCGGGAAACCGCACTTCGAGCATCTCAAGAATGTGGAACCATTTGAATAGAAGGTCCCGCGTCGTCGTATCGCTGCCAGTAGCTCCTTTTACGGCATCCGATCGGGCACGCGCGAGGGAGTGGAGCGAGGAGGAGTACTTCTTTGGGTCCTCACCATAGGACGAGGAGATGAGCGAGGATACGGCCGTGGCCACCTGTACATCCTCTGTAGCCTTGCATGGTATCCACAGTAGAGGCGACTGTGTGGATGACATGGCGAGGTGCGGCTGATCTCTCTCGACGATGGTGATGGTGATGGCGATGGAGGAGTGGTAGGATGGTGGAGATGTAGACGGAGCAGAGGAGCCAAGCGGGGCAACGCTGTGTCGTGGAGCCACGCACGGCGCTTGGCTCAGTTCCGCTTCGGCGTCTGTGCGTAAATCCGGGGTTTCGGAAATCTGACTTTTGCGGTTGATGGTCACGTCCTCACATTCTCCTACTCGTCCATACCGATGCCTCTCGATGGAGACTCACAGCAACAGCAGCCATATCTCACAGAACAGGCGGTGACAGAAGCCGCGATCACCCTTGCTATCTCTTCGCGTGACTTTCTCGGTCTCCCGAGCGAGCCGCACTCTTTCAGTCAGGCCTCTTCTTCCTCTCCCACCACTGCATGGCAGCCTCCGGTCCTACCAAGCCCTCCCACAGCACTCGAGTTCCTGCAGCGCTTGCAAACCGGCGCAGCACCTTTTCTGATAGCTGGTGCTTTGGATAATCGGAAACGACTGCAGCACTGGAAGGACAATGAGTACCTTCGACGCGCCATGGCAGGTAGAGAGGTAAAGGTAGCCTGCACGCCAGATGGGAGGGCAGATGATATCAAGACTGGGCCACTTGGGGATAGATGGATCTTTGCACTACCTGAAGAGAGATCTATGTGAGCTCCTGAAGCGCTCATTGTAGGTCTTCATGTGCTCCCTGTCTGACGCACCATCGAATACCTACTTTCCTTCAGGCCGTTCGGCGACCTCCTTTCCTCCTTCGAATCAGCTCTTCCCCCTTCCGCCTCCTCCTCAACTCGCATTCCAAAACAAGTTCTCTATCTCCAATCTCAAGACTCCAACCTCATTACGGGCTCCTCCCTCTCCCCCCTCCTCCCCGACCTCCTCTCCTCCCTCGACGGCTCCTCCTCGCTCAGCTGGGCTTCTCAGGCCTTCAACTCACCACCAGAAGCGACCAACCTCTGGATCGGCTCCTCTTCCTCGACCTCCTCAATGCACCGCGACCACTACGAGAATCTCTTTCACGTCGTTCGCGGAAGGAAGATATTCACGCTCTTCCCGCCTACGGAGGCTTACTTTCTCTGCGAGGATGAGGAGGAGCCTTTTGAAGTGTGGAGACATGTGAGGGGCACGGAGACAGAGGGGGAGTGGGGATGGGAGAGGGAGGGGGAGAGTGAAACGCCTTGGATTCCGATTGAGCCTGCATTGCCTGTTGACTGCGAAAGGAATAGGAGATGGGGTGGGAAGAGGTACTCAAAGGGCTTGAAGGGACTGAAAGTAGTGGTTGAAGAAGGGATGACGCTGTTCCTCCCTGCAGGGTGAGTCCATGCCGACCAGTCTATGAGTATAGGCCTGCCGCTGACCGTTCCTTTGCCTCAAATCCTGTCTATCAGATGGTACCATCACGTCGCACAAGAAGCAGACACGCCGAATGATGGACAAGCAGGGCTGTGCATTGCCATCAATTGGTGGTATGAGAGTCAGGCCGCTTTCAGCGACAAGTGGGCCCTGCTCGAATTCGTAAAGGAAATTGGCCAGAAGTGCAAGGAGAGTGCGGAGGGGACCGGTAGACACTAATCTTGTGTACCTAGTGCCGCACCTGGCGGACACATTCCCCTGCAAGGTTATGTCGTCACCTCTGTCCTTGTCCCGGCCTCACTTTGAAGCCCCTTTTGCCAAGGCTCTGCTCCAGCGCCATCCTCTCCTCCGATTCCTCCCTCCCTTCGTACCCCAACACGTACTCCTTGAGCAATTTGCGCTCCTGCATTTCCTTCATCTGCTTCTCCCGCGTCGTAATCGCAATTGCCGAATCGCTGGGAAGATGCAAAGCACTCGTCTGGACTTTATTGCCTCGCTTGGTGAGGAGATCGAAGCGCATCTGACCTTCGCCTATGGCGCTCCCACCGTTTGCTGAAGACTGCGTGGCGTCGTTGCCATTGGCACTGCGTCGAATGAAGGGTAGCCCTTGCTCAAAGAGGGAGCGAGACTGCTGCGAAGGGTTGCCGCGAGAGGCAATGCCACCGCCGCCTACAGCGCTAGCGGAGGTGGAAGAGTGACCTTCCGTCATCATCTTGGCGAGTTCTCGGGCGAACTCTTCCTCCGCCTCAAGCTCTGCTTGACTTTGCTGAGCCTTTCGTCTGACCATGTGTTCGTCCTCCTCTTCCTCATCGTCGACACTTGCTCTTGCGGTAGCGTCGGAATCTTCATCGCTGCTCCCGTTCTCGTCGTCCGAATCGCTGCCCTCTTCATCTGCGATCCCCTCCTCTTCTCGGTCGACTTCGTTCCTCGGTCTGACCCTTTTGCGTTCACCGCCTTCTCCTTCCTCACCCTCGCGATCATCTGCATCGGAATCATCAGAATCGGAGTCGCTCTCCTCTTCGTGAATCTCTTGTGGCTGTGGCTCGGCTTTGCTCGTTCTAGCGCTGACCTTCGCTTTTTGACGTGCCATGATCTCGTCGGCCACCCTGGCAGCCTCGTCCCAGTCTTTCTTGAGCAAAAGCTTAGGGCGGATAATCTCCAGCGTGTCTGACAGCATGAAGTCAATGTCCATCGGCAGTGGCTGGTCTTTCGACAAGACGTACAGATTGAGGAAAGCCAGATATTCATCCAAGCGCTTCCTCAGACTACCTTTGTCGAAGCAAATTCCGCAGCAGTCCAATAGTGAGCAGACCAGTCGCAGACGGAAGAAGTCGTCTGGTGCATCCATGTTTGCGACTTGGCCCGGCAGTGGGCGACCATTGGGATGGCCGAAAGTGATGAATGTCCACAGTTGATCGAAGATGATACCGGAGGAGACAAGACGATAATTGTAAAGCTCGCCAAGGTAGACGACCATGGCGACCCTGCGCTGGTTCAACTTGAACAAGTTTGTCTCCATGCCAAACCTGATGTCTTCACAGACTTGATCGATGATCGATATGACAAAGTCCTGATGGTAAGGCTGTAGATCTGCTAGTAGAACAGCTAAAAGGTGGATGTGACTGAATTTGATCCGCCATACTCTCGTGAACAGTTCGAACAAGATCGTCTGGATCTGCGGATCCGACCATTGTATTTTGCGGAGTAGCTTGACGACCTTGCCCACCGTTCGGCGGTTGAGCTCGTCGTAGATTAGATGACGAAGGTAGAGCTCCATGTGAGAGCGTTCCTTTACTTGTACCACTTTACGCTCTGGTGGATTGCACTGATAATATGCGTTGTCTAGAAGAAGGACCTGTCGATGATCCAAGTTCTTCGCCGCGCGCTTCCTCCGCATCATCTCAAGCAGACTACGCATCCTCTCGGCAGTCGCCTCTGTACGCAAGAGAAATCGACCACAATACTCCACGAGGGTCGCAAGGACCTCGATGTTGGGTCCGGAGAAGTCATCGAGGCAGACTTTGAAGCAGTGGAAGATCGTGTGGAGTGGCGTGACACCGAATTTGGTCAGCTCAGCAATGAAACGAGCATTCTTTACTCTGCTCTCGCTCAACTCGGTAGTCTTCTTCTTCTGCAGCCAGCGAAATTCTTCATCTAGCGTATCGACGATTCCCTTGCCGACGTCAGGCATGTAAGGATTTAGTGTAGCCACCAAGCGAGCATAGTAAGAGAGCACATCAGTGCGATGGCGAGGCACCGAGGCGAGCTGCTTGACGAGTCGCCTTCTAGCAGCCTTGGAGTTCATCAAAGCAAAGTCAACGGCAGCGCTGTCGATCAGCGCCCGATTGGTCGAGTCGGGTAATCGAGCTAGGAGAGCGTTGAGCTGCGCAGCAGGTCCAGCTTGCATCTGTTCGTCAACAGTGGGCCCTTTGCGGACATTCAGATCAGGAGAGGCGGCTGACGAATCCTGCCCTCCCACGGGATTGAACTCCCGCTGCTCTAGCGCAGGACTTAGCTGGGGACTGATCAGGTTGTCCTCCATCCTATCTTCCGGCGCCTCACGGCTCACTCCAAGGAGTGCCGGCGGTATGACATCTTTGAGATCGAGGATGTCTTCGTAAAACCGCCTCGTGTCGTCGTCTTCCCAAGGAGATTTTCCGACGGCAAAGTCCTCTTCCGTTCTGTCATTGCTCCGCAGTGATGAAGACGCATCCATGTTGATAGCTAGCCCAGTCGAAGCAGACTTTGACGAGTCCGTGAGCTCTGGCATTGGCACGCCCAAGAGCTCAGACAAGCTCTTCCCGCTGTCCAGTGCTCTCTCGAAGGCTTTAGTCATCTTCTCATAATTTTGCTGTCGGTCCTCGAAGATTTCTCCCGACTTGATGTATGCTTCGTGGTTACGTCTGTCTTGCTCTTGGAGACGCTCATGCTCTCGAACAATCCGCTTGCACAGCGTTGCAAAGTAGGTTTCGCAAAGCTTGCGGAAGCGACTAGCGGTATTGAGGTCGACTAGAATCGAAGAGCTCGGGATTGAATCCTGTGCAGAAAGACGAGCAGGTTCTGCTGCTGACTGTCCACCTGGTTCACCTGCATCCGATGCATCCGGCCTGCTTTGATCGGTGCTTGGTGGAGGACCCAGTAGGTGGGGACCGAAAGCTTTCAAGAGGGAGATGAGAATGCTTGTGTTTGTATGCTCTCGGTCGCTGGACAAGAGATCCTTGAGAACGACGAAAAGCCACTCTTGGCCTGGGGAAGTGCTGCTGCCTGCTGTACTACTCTCTCCCGTCTTGCTCCCTGAGAGCGAATGAGACTGAAGCTGAATGACTTCCACGAGAGCGAGCTCGGCTGATATGCGGAGATTGACCCTCTGCCTTGATATGCGAGCCGCCTCCTCGCGCTCTCGTTGATCAGCAGGCAGAGCCTGGAGAGCTGAGCGATTCGGAGGAGCAAGTGAAGCCAACATGGCGGCCGCAAGAGGCTCGGCAAAGACCTGGGAGCTGAAGCGCGAGTGCAATTCGGTTAGGATCTGAGAAGTATGATTTTCAGGTGTCAGCTCTCTGATGTCAGATTCGGAGAGTGGCTAGCAGCGGGAGCCCCTCACCTCTGCTGCTGCTATGCAGTCTTTGGGGGCAATACACTTTGACAATCCTTCTGGCACAGCTTGGACCAATTCGTCCACGTACTTGTCCAGATTCAGGGTGGCCGCCTCCTTGATCAATTGAGCTTTAGCATCGACCCCTAGGCCCTGCCGAACCCTCTTGATGAAGCCGGTATTCTTCTTCATACTGCTATCTAGAGAGCCGGAGGGGGTAGCGGGACCATCTCTCCATGTGAGAAGGTTCTTCTCCCGCAGTGCTAGCCTCTTTCTGTCTCTCTCAGCAGAAGGCTTCAGCGCCATTGTCGCAGCATTGCCCGTCGCTGGTGCACCATCTTCAGGCGCAGAGGCTGCCGCACCAGTGGTCCCTTCCATGACCGCAGATGACAATATCACCGACTATACGCCAGCATAAGGCAGTCCAGTGGCTTGATATGCTTGGGTAGGAGGGTAGATGATCAGAGGGGAGTGGAGAATCGCAAGGGGGGACTCGTCGAGGTGATTTTGGCGCGAGGCGTCTGGGTGGTCTGAGCACGTCGGCCTTCGAAATCCCTCCGTTGCCCCTTACCGTCCGCCTGAAGCACGACTGGTCACTCCCTCCATCTTGCGTACTCTCCTCCATCATCCTCGGCCCGCGAAGAGAGACTTGTGATCTGACTGCGACTGCCTACGGGCAGCTGTGGAAGTATACAGGGCTTTCACCTCATCCCGCCACCTTGTCTGCCTTGTGATGGCTAGCTCTCACGATACTGCTGCTGCTTCGAGACTCACTTCCTTTGGCTTTCTGCCGGAGGAGGAGGATCATTCAGAAGGCCAGTACGGCATTGGTCAGCTTCTATCCAAGGTCAAGACTGTCTTCACCGGCTCAACCTCAGCTGCCACAGGGAACGAGCGGCAGCAGCAACCACCGGCTCCCTCTGGTCCCGCGCCAAAGCACGAAGCCAGTACCACTAGCGCAGGCGAAGCACTCGGATCTGTCACGGCTCAGCATGACGCAGCAGATCAGCGATCTAGAGTGGAAGGAAGCGGAAAGGCCGGGGATATAGCGAATCGAGCTACAGCTACGGGAGCGTTGCCTTTGACCACCCTCAGCGGATCTGGTACACCACTGGCCAGTGCACTAACAGCTCCAGATGCGCACATACCCAATAGCAAAACCACACGAGGCTCTGCATTCCCAGCGGTTGCGACAAATAGGAGGTCAGCTGTCCCCTTTGTACCGTCTTCACTGCGCTCAACTACCACAGCTCCCGCTATCATATCCCTAGCGCCCACGGTTGCTGTTGCTCAGCACGGAGGTTCTTCCACTGGACTAGGCGACTACGACGATACTTATTCAGTGATGTCTTCCGCCGATGATACTCACGGCGAAGGTCGCAAGGTAGGCACACGAAGCAGTCTTGCGACGCTAGTCACGCATGCACGGCTGCCAAGCACCGCAATTCCTGGCTTTCCCCTTTCCAAAGACCTATTGGCAGATGATGTCCAATCCAATTGGAGCATGTCTTCGCGGAGTCCCGGCTCAGACAGCGGCCTGGACCAAAATTACGGCACCTCGACCTCTTCCTCACTGCAAACTAGTGCTGAAGCTTTCAGGCGCCTGACTCTTAAAGGAGGAGCTAGCCACTCCAAGGAATGGTGGATGCCTGATCATTCGGCAAAGGAGTGCTCCGCGTGTGCCAGCCCATTCGGCATCGCCAGACGGCGGCATCACTGTCGTTGTTGTGGACAGATCTTCTGTTCCAAATGCGCATCGAACTTGCTGCCGGGATCAAAGCTCGGTCTGCCCGGTGTTGTCAGAGTCTGCGACTTCTGCACTCGAATGATGAAGCAATACGACCTGGCTCGTGCGGGCGGGGGCTCGACTGATGCCTCAAGCTCAAGTAGTAACATACGAGTACGAGCAGAGATGATATCAGCACCGCTAGAAGCCGCTGTGGAGAATGCACCTCAAAGTCGGTTTGCAGCAAATGCGCTGTTCGGCGCCTCATCTTTTCGAGAAGGGTCATCTTCTCCCAAAGGCCAATCTGACCACCAGACGGCGTTTCGGCCAGCTTTGAACACCATATCCAGCTCCGAGACGATCGACTTTCATCCTTCCAGATCGCAGACCCCGGAGCCGCCAACGCCTTCGGTAGAGTCTGCCCTAGCACCTTTCCAGCTATCACACATTACTTCAGCCATCGAGGCGCTGGCGCCTTTTCGTCGTCGTCTGGCAGAGGATGACCAGCCTGTTGAATCCGAAGGCAATCCCGATGAGACCGGTGAGGACACATCGATGAAGGAAGTCGAGCCTCTGGAACTTTCTACTCCGTCGGCCCCCGCTGCTACGGCTTCCCAGGAGGCAGTCCTTCCCAGCTACAAGCAAGACACAGCTGTTTCAAGTGTGCCTTTTCCCAGTGACAATCAAGGGTCTCCTTCGAAAGCGGTAGCGCGCAATGCCCTCGACCAGGCCAGGGCCAGGTTGGCTAGTGACGCTTCCATTTCTCAGGAGTCCCGAGCGCGTCTCGTCAGTGATGCAGCAATCAGGGCATATCGGAGATCGAGACTACGCTCGCGTGTAACAGCAAATGAGGGCCTGCTAGAAAAGGGAGGCCTCAGTCCTGCGACGGGCCGGGATGACGTCTTCTACAGCGACAGTCGGCCGAGCTCCAGAATGGGCATCGGCAACCCCACACAAGGCTTGGAGAGTCATAGCCAGCATTATCTGCGACAGCTTCTCGATCAGTGTCTTACCAGAGCCGAGATAGGCAACAAGGTAGAGTGGATGAACATCTTGCTTCCACTAGCCGTCAGAGTGATTCAGAGTGTCAAGCCAGATGCAACCAGCCGAGGCAAGAAGATGGGAGTTCGACGCCTCGTCAAGATTAAGAGGATTGCCGGAGGCAAACCACAGGATAGTCACGCCATGGATGGCTACATCTGCTCCCGCAATGTTGCCTCTAAAGCAATGGTCAGACGACTGCCATTACACAATGCGCGCGTCGTTTTGCTGTCGTTTCCGCTCACAGCTGTCAAAGGCGAAGGCCAGTACGTTTCGCTAGATGCGCTTACGGCTTCTGAGCGCGAGTACACACGTATCATGGTTGCTCGAGTATTAGCGTTGCGACCGCATTTGCTCATTGTTCGCGACCAGGTGTCGAGGATGGCTTTGGATATGTTGGAGCAAGCTGGAATCGTGGTAGTCTGGAAAGTACCAGAGAGCTCTATGGCTTCCATTGCCCGTGTAACTCAGAGCGACATAGTCACATCGCTGGACCGTCTGGCACTGCAGCCTCGCTTGGGCCGATGTGGCGTCTTTGCCGCTGATACGTACCACTCGATGCTACTACCGGGCAAGCGACGCAGCTTTCTACGATTCACAGGAACCCCGAAAGAGCTGGGATGCAGTATCATTCTACGAGGTGGTGGCCAAGCGCTTCTTGGCAATATCAAATGTATCCTCGAATTCTGCCTGCTGGCGGCGCACAATCTGCGGCTGGAGGAATCGATGAGGAACGTGGATCTAGCTTTACTACCCGAGCCACGTGACTTTGATATACAGGGGCATGTCGCAGGAGATGATCAAAAAGAGGAAAGCCCGAGCAGTCACACTGCTGCTGCTGCTGCTGCTGCTGCTGCTGCTGCTGGCTCGCCGTGCCAGGAGAATGTGAACCTGAGCTCAGTAGACGCAGCGGACGGCAAGGTCATCTCTGCTCTCCAAGACTATCGGTCAACACTGCTCAGTATGTCTGCGCGTCTTCAAATCCCGCCGCCCTACCCACTGATCAGACTGAGGAATGAGCAAGCAGTATTGAACAACCTCAAGTCTGAATTGGAGTCGGATAAGGATGCACAAAGGATTCAGCAACTTGATGTACCTTTGGCGCACTCGCCAGTCACCCTCAATGAGAAGACTTTGCTTGGCGAGGCCGGTATGGACGGGGAAGGCAAGGAGCAAAAGCCGGTGATAGCTGCCTCCGAGGAAGATAGCGACGAGAAGGCAGCGTTGGACGATCCGACTCCAACTGCCGCTGGTGGTGAACCGAGGGACGCAGAGAAGCAGCCATCGCTGCAGGCTGATGAACAGCCGTCATCACTCGATGAGAAGATGGATGTCGAAAAGCAGGTCTCAGCAGTACTACCTTCAAGTGCGACCATGAATCTGCAGACCCGATTCGCAGTAGCTCGCTCTCGGCACGCATTCGATGTCAGATTTCTTCCATCACTGGTCGATGTCAGCAAAGAGGGTCTGACCCCCTTCTGCCATCAGCGTCTGACGGTCTTGCACTCCTTCATCAACTCATCTACCCTGAAGCCGTGTATCGGTCCCAGGATTGAACAGATGGAATTCTACGGAAAGGAAGACCACACGCTTGGAGATTTCCTGGACTCCAAGTGTGTTGGCAGCAGTCAAGTCTGTAAAGCCAAGAACTGTGGCCTACAACAGATCCTGCATTACGACTCTTACATACACCATCAAGTACGGATCCAGTGCTTCTGCGAGAGGTTCGTGTGTCCTATTGCGGGTCAGGAGCTCTCGATACTGACGTGGGAATACTGCAAAGGTGAGTAGGATCCTTTTGACATCGTGTGTTCGAAAACAGACTGACTGGTTCTCCCATCCAATCGCTTCCTGGGCCCTTCAGTCTGCGAGACCGCCACCCCTGTGTCAGTGGTGAATGACATCGCAAAGGCTTACAGCTGGGCCAAGTTCCTTGAGGCTCACTTCTATACCAAGCAGACTCGATCTTCTTGCCCTCACGAGTCGCTAGTAGATCGCATCCGCTACTTTGCCTACAAGGTGAGTGTTCCGGCACGAGGCAGTGGCTGCTCTCTGTACAGCAGTTGGCTCACTTCCCTCTTCCTCGCTTCATAGAATTTGGCATTCCGGATACACGTCGAACTGGTGGAGCCTTTCGATGTTGTCATTCCTGGTCTGAGACTCTTCATGAGGCCGGATATCCAGAGCACACTGAAAGCAGAGGAGTCTCTGGGTCTTGCACGCCGCGCCGATGCTTACTTTCACTCAGTCGGAGCAAGGCTGAAGGCGCTCGAGCATGAGGTTGAGTCTTGTCGAGATCCTGCCGCTGCCACCGAGAAGTTTGGGCCGCACCTGCGAGACTTACGATCCGTCGCAATGGAAGGACGCGGTGAGGTCAACAGACTGTTGGTTGCTGAAGTCGTCGCCTCCGGCCCAGGCGACACGTTGTGTCTCAACAAGGTACGGCAGAAGCTGCAAGGCAGTGTCGTCAAAGTCGACGAGCTTTTCACGAAAATAGAAAGGCTGGTGCTCCCCAAGGACAGGGATCTGCGTCGGACCAATGCCAATCAGCTCGGCCGTCTCTTCATGGAACGCGATTCGATGGATCAATCGAGCGAGTCCAAAGCTCAAACGGAGCCGCCCAGCGTAAGAGCCGTTGAGGAAGGACCTCCGGAGGGTCTCCCGCAATCACATACCAACTCTTCGTTGTCGGCGTTAGCGATGATTGCGGACTCTGCAGCGTTTGGGCTTCCGACACACCTCGGAATCTCGTTCGAAGAGACGCCGTCAGCCCAAAGCGCAGCCACAAGCACTGCGCCGAGCGGCACGACAACGCCAACCACGACAGGATCGGCCAATGTCACCAAAGCACCCTCGCCGGTCTCTCTGCGGGCAATCACCGAACCACCAGCCAAGGTGGAAGATCCCGCGAGATCGTTGACATCGAGTGTGGAACAATTGAGCCCTCAAGAGTCTCTTGCAGCCCTCTCTGATGCTGCACCCAGACCAAAGAAGGACGCACGAAAGAAAGGGCAGGAAGACTCGGATGGCTTCTCCTCGCCGACGGACAGGCTCAAGCCTCTGACCCGCTCGAAACCTCGCAAAGGCAAAGAGTCGGCAAGTCTCGGCTCTACGATCACCGATTCTTCCTGTACGGAAGCTGGGGAATCAACGGACGGAGGACAACTCTCGAGTTCTTTTGCCAGAGTAATGCGACCTCTGAGCAAAGCGACAAGCAAAGGGAGCGACACCGGTGCACCGGACCCAGTAGTGGGTGGCAGAGTTGGCCGCGCTCGTCAGCATGTCCTGTCCGATGGGGATACGCAGACAGCGAGTGGCCCGACGTCTCCAACAGATGAGCACTTCCGTAGACTTCCCTCCTTTGCGAGGACTCAGTCGAGCTCTGTGGTCGAAAGGTCAAGCACGTATGCCAAGACGAATACACGTGGGTCGCATCGGTCAGCAATGCCTCCTCCATCCAGCTATAAGCCTCCTGCAACTCAGCGAACCATCAAGGCAAGCGAGTCCGAATCGGACGCTCCAAGCGTGCGCCGAAGTGGCGTACCTCGACAGAGAGCGGGGGGAGGACCCTCCCTAGGAGTCAATCGCCCCAAACTTTCCCGTCGAGTCTCTGGGAAAAGCGACTCTGGCAACGAATCTCAGCCGCAAGCTCCAAAACGAGGCATTCGCCGCGATGGTGGCGGTGGAGCGCAAATGACATCATTGCCTCCCATTGCGGTACCCCGTACCCCGAGTCGAGTCCCTCTTCCGACCTCTGTTGGAGGTGGAGCTGGTCGCGTCTCGACCATCGCTCGCCACTTTGACCGGATCAACCGCAATGCTGAGAAGGAGAGAGAAAAGCAGCGGCGCGCACTGGTCCTGCGAGCTCGAAGAGCCCTGCCCATCGCTGCTTCATCGGCTCGCATTGCTGAATATACTTCTGTATCAGCAGCCGTTGAGTCAGACGAGAGCTCTTCCGAGGAGGATGGCGACGACGATGACGAGGCGGAGTCGAGCTCCAGGTCAAACGGAGAGGAAGCGGACTCTGAGACCGAGCCAGATGCCATGGACCGCGCTGGTCGTAGTGTCGGTGCCTCTCTCGATGGGGGTCCCAAAGCTGTGGACACAGACGACCCATCTACTGTCAGCGCGGTCGCTCTGGGTGGTGTTCCGCCGACTGCGCCGGCTTCTGAGCAGGCGGTCAAAGCGGCTGGCAAGCTCTTGGCGTCGGAATTACGAGACAAAGAGGTTCCTACGACTCCTTCTGGTGAGGCTTCGAACCTCGAGCGGGGTTCGCTGCTGAAGACTATTAGCTCTTTCTGGGCTTCGAGAGCAGGCATTGCCTTGCCGCTTCTCGAATACCCCTTGTCCGCCGAACAGCATCTTTTCGCTGACTCACCTTTGCTGCTGCGCGAAGATGAGCCCTCTTCGACCATTGCATTCACCCTTGTCTCTGCCAAGTATCAGGAGCGACTTCGACACTTGCGAGCGAGCCGCAAAAGCGCACATACGACGCAGCGAGATCCCGAGGCTTCTACGGTAAGCTGGGGCATTGTTAGTCATCGGGGCCAAGACGAGGAGATTGAATCATCTCTGAGACGACCTGAGGGTGTGCATCTGCGATTCGACTTTGAATCTGGAGCTTCACGCTTCCATTGCCGCATCCTCTTCTCGGAGCAATTTGATGCTCTACGCAGGTGTTGTGGATGTGAGGATTCCTTCATCACTTCTCTTGCTCGCTGTCTGAAGTGGGACAGCTCAGGTGGCAAGAGCGGCATGACATTCCTCAAGGTAAGAGTGGATGAGTGACCTTCTTCGCCTCCTCTCGCGAAAATGCTGACGTCGCCTTGTCTCCCTATAAAAACAGACTCGCGATGACCGCCTGGTCCTGAAGCAACTTTCGAGCTCAGAGTTGGCATCGTTCAGTACCTTCGCGCCTCATTACTTTGCTCACATGGCCGACTGCTTGATGCACGGCAAGCCCACGACACTGGCTAAGATCTTCGGTCTCTTTAGGATATCCATGCGCAATCAAGCCACTGGCAAGTCATACAAGCTCGATGTCTTGGTCATGGAGCATCTGTTCTATGGGCGTCAATGTGCTCGGATCTTTGATCTCAAGGGATCTATGCGCAACAGATATGTTAAGGAGACGGGAGCGCCAGGAGAGGTCCTGCAGGACGAGAATCTGGTAGAGATTTCGCTGCAGAGACCCTTGTTCATCCGCGAGGGAAGCAAAGTCATGCTCCATCAGGCTCTGGTGCACGACTCGCAGTTCTTGGCCGAGATGAACATCATGGACTACAGTGTCATTGTTGGCATCGATACCTCGGATGAGGAAAACCACGAGCTAGTTGTGGGAATCATCGATTTCCTGAGGAGCTACACCTGGGACAAGTGAGTGCAAGAGATGCCAAGAGCCTTTTACTGAAGTACTGATGCGTTGACATTTCTTGCCTTGCCACAGACGGGTCGAGACTTTTGTGAAGGAGCAGTCCTCGCTGCTGGGGGCTGCCAAAGGCGAGCTTCCGACGGTGATCACACCGAAGCAGTACGCGAGTCGTTTCCTGAGCTTCTTGGATGGCATCTTCCTCCTATCGTGAGTACATTGTCGGCGAGCAATACTCTCCGCTGGCGATGACTGATTTCCATTTTCGCTTGCTTCGCCCCTGTAGCCCAGACGCCTGGTACCACGATACGTCTCAAGGGCCTTCGCCCCACAACCCGAACAGTGCAGGAAATGCAGCACCTCCTGCCTCAACGCCTGGCCCTACTGGACATGCACCGTAGCCTTGAGGCGGACAAGTGAATCTGATCAGCGGCCATGCCTTCATATGTGTAAATTGAATTTTGTCAATATCTTCTGTATCCTGTGGGCCCCCGGGCGAGCGCTGCACAGAAGCGGAAGTGGAAACGCGAGATCCTCCACCCGAAGATGACCTGATTGACGTGGGAAATCAGGTGACCATTCGAGTCTAGTCTACTCCTACCGCCATCGTCTTCATCATCTCCTCCTTCGCAAGTGGCCGTCATCTCTTTCATCCCTCCTTCTTACGTCTCCTCAGCGCTACCAGTCTTCTCCTGCCCATTCCCTTGAGCATGGCCGCTGCCTCAACTAGCGCCGCCCCGGCGTCCACCTCGTCTGCCTCGCAAGTGCGCCTCCGCTCCCAACCTCCCTCGATTCCCCCTCATCTGCAGTCCACAAAGACTCTACAGACCCTTGTCGCTCCTGCAGAAGTCTCACGTCGATCCTCCAGGGCACGCATCACCAACTGGGGAGGTACATTCACTTACAAGCCACAGCGAGTCTTTCAGCCTAGCACTGTGGCGGAATGTTGCAACATCCTAGAGCTGGCCAGGAGGAGCGGGACTAGTGTAAGAGCAGTGGGAAAGGCGCATAGCCCGGGTGATTTGCCTTTCAGTGATGCTTGGATGATCAGGACGGAAGATCTCTCAGGAACGGTAGAGGTGAGTAGGGCTGCGCCGAGAGCTCATGAGCAGACTCCTATTCGATGCTGATGTCTTAGTATCCGCCGATTCTTCGCCATTCCCCAGGTCGATTCGGATACGCCAAGTGCTACCTTCCTGGCTGGTACGCTCATCTCAGACATCAATGATGCCTTGGCGGCCAACGAGCCTCCTCTTGCGCTTACTTCCCTCGGCTCCATCTCCGAGCAGACCATCGGAGGAGCCATTGCTACCTCGACTCACGGTTCAGGCTACAATTTTGCTTCTGTGTCCTCAGCGTGCTTAGAGCTCGGCATCATCGTACCTCAAACCGCCGAGCAAGGAGGTGTACAGGTTTTGACCTGCAGTAGGGAGCAGAATGTCGAGCTCTTCAATGCCAGCCTCTGTTCTCTTGGATGCACTGGCTTCATCTACTCTGTCAAGATGAAGCTAGAGCCTGCTTTCCGTCTTCGACATCTGGTAGAAGAAATCGAGTTCGATTGGATCTTTGGCGGCAAAACGGGCGCCCCTGCTATAGAGGCTCTTGTGGATGATGGCGATGGAGGAGTGAAGATGCAGCAGCAACAGTCGAGTTCAAGGGGTGCAGTCGGTGAGGCGACAATGGCCAGCATTGACATGTCTACGCCAGAGTCAGAGGTCAACAGAACGTACGGAGCTCCAAGAAAGTCTCGACAAAGCATCGGAAAGCTGCTCGCTAGAGGCAGGCCCCTACCGCCGTCGGGTCCTCGGTACTACCCATCGACTAGGCAGACAGACCCGGCAGACATCTACCCTTGCCGAGCACCGGACACAGATGCGACCGCCAGGGTCGGCCCTGATGGATGGATGGATCCCGAGGATGACGATGAGACCCGTGCTGCTCAGTCTAAGATTGACGCCATAATTCAGAGCAGCCAGCATACCCGCTTGTGGTGGTTCCCGCATGTCAAGATGGTCACGCTGAGTCGAGCTGACCGCACCTTGGAGCCCGCAGCCGGACCCACCTTCTCTCAAAGGGCATACCATACCATCGTCGGGTACCACTTTACGCAATTCTTGCTCTTCGTCTCGAGATATCATTCTGCCCTCCCAAGCCAAGTGGCCAAGGTGGTTCACTACCTCACACACCCATCTTTCCCCGCCGAGCACCGTGGGAAGCAATCTGGGTCCATCAGCAGTGCTGAAGCCTCTTCGCCGCCTGAGACCTCGCACGAGTCGCAGACTGGTTCGCTAGCAAGCGAGTTCGAAGGTTTCAAGGCAGCTCCTCCAACAGATCTCTCCCCTGCTCCAGCAGGTTCCCTCAAGCCGCTGCAAGCGCATCACCCGCATTCACTCACCGTGGACCACTCGATCAACGTCTTCAACATGGACTGTCTCTTCAAGCAGTACACTTCAGAGTGGGCCATTCCCTACACACATACTGCCGCCTGTCTACGTGCCATGCGAGACTGGCTTGAAGAAGAAGCTCGTCTGGATACTGGTGAGCGAATCCATTTTCCCGTCGAGGTTCGCTGGACAGACGCCGATGGCATTTGGCTAAGCCACGGCTATGGCAGACGCAATTGCTACATTGGCATCATTCAATTCCGCCCTTATAATCTCCCCACACGCTATCGCTCCCTCTTTGCCAAGTTCGAGACGCTGATGAGGCACTTTGCAGGAAGACCACATTGGGCAAAGACGCACACCTGTGGACCACAGGAGCTGCGCAAGCTCTACCCACACCTGGATGATTTCCTTGAAGTACGCAAGAGGTATGACCCGGATGGAGTCTTGCTCAATCCGTATGTACGCCGTCACTTGTTGGGGGAAATTGGAGAGGAGATGAGCGTGCGACGATTCAAGAAGAGGGAGAGGGGAAAGCTCTGAGCGTATGCGTTACTAGTACTATGGCGCAAGCTCAGAGGGGTAAAAAGAGCGCCTTTGTCGAACACAGCACCGTGCAATCGCACGCCCTATTCCGCGCAGATCGAAACGACAGGCAGAGAGCTCATATTTGCATTAAATCGAGAAGAGAGACTTGTTTCCTATGTACAATATACTTTTCATCTGACATCCAAAAGTATCGCATCGCATCGCATCTGAATTGAGCCATATCTGGAGTTGGACTGGCGCTCGCGAGTAATGAGGAGCGAGGGGCGAGGGGCGAGGGGCGAGGAGACGGAGACGGAGCGAGAGCTTGAGTAAAGAAGGGATCGTGGAATATTGTTTTTCGTCAGGTTCATTCGTCAGTCAGTCAGTCAGTCGTTCAAGAAGAGGGGTGGTAGAAGGTAGCGCCTCAAAGAGAGGGTGGAGGAAGAAGGGGGAGGGGGGAGGGGAGGGTAGAAGAAAGAAGAGAAAGGACTAGAGGAATCCCTTCTCCGCGCCTGATGAGATTACTCTCCTGAGAGCATTCGTTTGGCGAGGTAGATTATGCATCCCACCTAGCAAAGGAGAGTAAGGGGGGGGTAAGAGAGGGAAGGGTGAAGAGTCAGCGTACGGTCTGCAGGGATTGAGACCGAAACGGGATGATGGCCTGTTATGGCTATCTCACTCACCATCCTAAAAGCGGCCAATCCCGCAACCGAGTAGAGCAAGAAGGCCATGTAGGTAATCTTGGTGTTGCTCGACCCGGCATTAATAATCGCAATTGCCAATGCAGCATTGCTAATCGCCCAAATCGATACGACGTTTGTCCTGACTGTAGCATAATAGTCCTTTTGCTTCTGATCAAGATCTACCGTCTTTTCCACACGGGGAGGTTTGGTGGAAAGGACGTGGATGGCATCAGAGTAGATTGAATCCAGATCTTTGGCCTCGGTAGGGACTGCTACGTCTACCTCGTTTGCATTGGTCGTAGCGGCAGAAACGACTCCCAAGTCCGTCGAGACTTTATCGGATCCTTTTGTACCCCAAGAGACATCATGGGTATTGCAAAAGGCATAGATGTTGATGACGTTTACGAAACTGGGGGCCATTAAGAGGTACTGAATGATACTTGTGAACATGTGCCAGGGTTCCAGGGAGAGGATACTACTGATTAGCCAAACTCCATAGGTGGCTACGAGGGAGATGACAATGTTGACAAAGATCTTGTCTGTAAAGAGATTGGCGGCAGTCATTCCTTCGGATACGTTTTGCGAAATGGCATGAACGGCAAGGAAGATGGCTACCCCTGTCATCCAGACGGTCAGGAGGGCAAAGAGACTCATGGAGACGATGTAAGCCCACTTGGATCCTGCAGGGCGATTGCCCATGGCTAGAAGGAAATTGAAGACGATGAGAGCGACGTAGACGTAGGTGAGAACGATTCCTGGTATGCGAAGAGCGGGTGTCACCTCGGCAACGGCAGTCGAGAGAATACTGAACGCGATGAAGAAGTTGGCCATACCAAACCAGCTGAAGATGAGTTGAATCGTTTGGTAGATGAGCTCAATGTGCAGGGCAAATTTGCGCCAAAAAGTGTGAGAGCTTCGGTAAATGTATCCAAACTTGACGATTGAGTGGATGCCGGCAAAGAAAGACCCATTGAGCCAGCGACGACGCTGGGAGATGAGTTCGGGCACGCTATTCGGCACATCAGTGACTGCTTGCGCCGACTTGACGTAGTGGAGGATCCAAGCGCTGTCTCGCTTCGCGCACAACTCCCAGCAGAGGATACGATCTTCTGCCAAGTACATGTTGCTCGTAAAGATATCAGCGTCCGTAGACCCACCGTGCAGCGTCTCACCCTTGAAGTACGAAGCTAGTGGTCCTTGACCTAGCGCATCGTTCTGTAGACTCAGGTACCGGTAGGCTGAGAAAGCACCTGGCAAGACGCTGATATACCCAAATACAGACTCCATCGGCTTATCGAGGATGTTCGACATCTTGTACTCGAAGTTTTGCGCTGCTACCAATGGGTTCAGGAGACCCGTCCAGAGCTTGCCCTTCAGTGCGACGATCTCGCCACAAGCGCCTGCGACATTGGAGTTGATATCGAAGGCTTTCCAGAGGTGGTAGATGCTCTTCGATCTGGGCATGGTACCCACATCTAAAAGGACGCAGACATTGGGTTGCAGGATCGAGCCAAAGGCTGGTATGGAGTGATACCGGCGATGGCAATATCAGCCGGTGCCATACTGGCGCTTACACGCTACCCTCTTCGCCAACTCACCATTGAAGAACCACCTATGACTATTGATCTTCTTCTGATTCCTCTCCTTGAGACAGAACAAGATCTGCACTGGCATGATCCCCTTTTCCCTGCCCCTGAACTTGAGATCAGGATCCACACTGAGCTGAGTGGTGTACTCGTAGATGTGCGCCGTGACTGGCTTGCCATTGACGACATTTTTTCCCACGCCTTCCTGATATACGCCCATGGCAGCAAGGACCGACAGGACCCTGGCGTTGATCTTGAGACGGCCGTCGGAGACGATGCACACTACGACCTTCTTCCATCCCTCTTTTCCCCATGTCTTGGATCGTTCGCGAGTGCAAAGATGAGCGATATTGGTCATGACTCCATGCAAAGTCCGACAAAAGAGCTCTTCGTCTTCATTGTACATGGTGAGGACGATGAAGAGCTCTGTCCGCCGCGGCGGGTCAAAGAGGACTTGACGTAGCGTGTAACGTTCCTCCTTGAACTTGTCGGGGTCGCAGGTAGCTGCTGTGTACCTCATGTGGGTGAACTCTCTCGACTCGCGGTCGTTTAGGCGCTCAAGCAGGCGCGAAGGGACAGGGCAGTCGAGGACCAAATTACCATGGTAAAGCTCCACTCGCTTCAAGGTCTTGTATCTTCGTGGGACTCTTTGCGGTATCCGGCCCTGCAGCGACAGAGGAGAAATCGAGATCAGGAGGTGAGCAATTCTGGCTCGCTGCGTGCTTCACGGGGTCATCAACTCACGTAGCGAATCCTGCCGGCTCCATCTTCGGCATTGCTGGCATTACTAGCCCAGCCTCCAGGGAAATAATCCTCACTCCCTACATCTCCGCCCTCTCCAAGCAACTTCCTGCCCCTAGCACCGCCGTCCACGGCATCGTCGTCTTCAATACCGTCTGCATCTCCCCACTGCTGAACATTGGCTCCAGAGATGAGGTGTCCATCCGGAGTGAAGGCAGACGCGGGCGCATATCCGTAATTCTGCCGACCATTCAGGAGCGGTACGTCGCCTCCATCATCATGGTAGTAGCTGGTACTATCATCATGAGCTTGGGTCATCATGACGCCGCCCTGAGGAAAGTGTCCCGAGACTGAGATCTGGGGTGTGTTCTCAAAAGGATTGGTGACGTTACGATGGCCGTCAGAGGATGCACCGTTGTAATTGTAGGCAGTATGCGGAGCTGGTGTAGGCGGATAGGCTGGCGCACTAGGGAAGCGTGGCCCGTTGTGAAAGGTACTGCTCTGTGGTGGAAGAGCTGGTGTAGGTGCAAAAGAGACTTGGTTTGGCAGGTGTGGCGTAGTGGAGTCGCCTGATGTAGGATAAGGTTCTTGGTATGCGTAAGAGACGGGAGGTTGCTGTTGTACGTGTACGGTATCTGATTGCGAGTCGTAGGTAGGGTATGCTTGGGAAGGTGGAGCAGGAGGGGGAGGGCGATGACCCGCAGATGCTATGCGTGCCCCTGATGCTGGCCCCTGTCCATGAGGTGGGCGTGGTGGTGAGGGGCCATTGGACCCCTCTGTGCCATCGGCTGCGTCACCGGCAAAGGGGTCCGGCGTCATATAACGTGGCGGCATGATCGGCGTTTGATCGTGAGTGATTGACCTGGTCGATTGCTGTGGTCCTTGAGCTACGATGCGCGATCTGTCCGTTGCCGTTGCAGCAAAGAGATGCTATTTGCAGCCGGTGATGACTGATTGCAAGTGTGCAGGGACCTCCTTCTTTGTCTGTACCAAAGCGTCCTCGAGGTATATGGTGCAGCCTTCAGCAAGACGAAGCACAAGTAGACGCGAGTGGATAGAGCAGTGTGAGTGAAGGTGAGCTAAAGGAGGAACGGGTTCAAGGAATAGAACGCAGCAAGAGGGTGTACAGCTTCCCGAGGTGAGGCGGTGATGGTGGGTGAGTGAGTGGAAGCCTCCCTTTGCCAGAAGCTGTCCAGGCGGCGGCAGCGGAAGTGTGAATGGAGTGCAGGCGCCGCGCGAGAGAAGCAGTGCAGCAGAGCAACACCTCGTCTCCACTCTCCGCCTTCCGCTCTCCACCCAACGGACTTGAGACGACGACCGGAGATGAGGCGACTGCGACTACAATCAAGTCCTCCTCTGCCCCTCTTACGTACGTACATCGTGCCGCTCGCCGTCGGCCTGTCAGATAGTGTTCCTTGGCTCAGGGAAGCAGTGCTTCGGACATCGGGCAGCGCAGCCCGATAGCATCGAGGAGGAAGTGATCAAACGCCAAGACTTTAGAAACTCACTTCAATCAGGCATGAAACTTAGCCAGGCAAATGGCGATGGTTGCCGATGAATTTATGTCGCGGCAATGAGAGCGGTACAAGCGAGTCACGGCACATCAAAGTATCATCACCTACCACCTTGACCTCTAGTCGTCTGGCCTGATGACGCAGTCGTGGTCGAGGCAGCCAGACTCCAGCTGGACCCCACAGAGTCATACAGAGACTTGCGCTCCCGGCTCCTCCCTCTCCCGACTGAAGATGATCCCGCAGTCTCATCTCGCATCTTCTCATATACCTCGCCTGAAGCAGTACTCTCAGCTTCAGCTCCAGAAAGTGACGCGGCTTCGATGCTTTGGTCCTCATCTGCGCTTCTTGAATTATCAGTCTGCGCAGGGCTCTTCTCTCTCCTCTCTTCGCTACGCCACTCTCTGACCAGCCTCATTAGCAGACGCCAACTGTAGGGCACAAAGTAGGGCATCACATCGTGCAGAGCCCCTGCAGACGAAGAGAGTATCGCGGGGAGATCGGGCGCAATGTGGCTCAGTGTCGCCGAGACATCTCCTGGAAGCAGCTGACTGCTTTCGACAGATCGGGAGATAGTGTGACGGATAGCTTCTTGTAGAGTGGGGTCGGCCTGGCCCAGATCGTGGGGCGGAGTCGCTGTCGCGACGTGGGGTCTGACACTTGACCAGTCCGCTCTGCTCAGGGCAGAGATCGGGTTGAGGCTCTGAGGGTGAGCAGGACCCACCTCACGCTCGATTCGCTCGGCCTCTCGCACATTCTCCTCTTCGTCGACGCTTCCTTGTTCACCGTCCGAGTCTTCCACAATGCGACCGTCGATGAGCTCTTTCCAGCGCTTGCCACCGACACTGGCATCGCCACCGAGTTCCGACTGCTCGTACTCGAAGCCAAAGGTCGGCGTCTGTCGCACCCTTTCATGTCGCTCTTGATGAGTAAGGGCAAGCGGGCCTTCGTCATACATCAAAGAATTGTAGACGTCTGGGTCTACATCGAAGAGCCTGCCAAAGAGCTTCGCTACCTTCTCCTTCTTGCTCACAGTAGCAGGAGGATTCGGACCGGCTGCGGGTTTCGAGTGACGTTGGTGTGCGTCAATCTGTTTCGCTGATGTAGCGGACAGTCTTGGGCTGTGACTTGACTTTGCGCCTCTCCTGTTAGAGGCGGACACGGCATCAAGCAAGCCAAATGTGCCTTCACTGCGTCTGCTTTTGCTGCTCCGCACACTGCCGCCCTCGTGCTGCCTACGATGTCTGCGCTTGAAACCTGCTGAGATTTGGCTTCCGCTGAAGAGAGAGGACGCATGATCTGGGCGAGCGGCGTTCTGGTTGATGGGAGAAGCACGACGCGGCAACAGGCCAGCTGACATTGCGAAAGGGGCAGTAGCCAGGGCTTCTTCGTACTGAGCATCTTCGTGAGAAGAGTCGGGACAGGTCCTTTCACGTTGCTGTAGACTATCCGAGAGGTCCACTTCTTCTGCCTCGGAGTCGGAGGCATAGATGACAGAAGACCGGAAAGGGGCTGGGATGCGGCTGGGACTTCTCTGGCGGGGAGTGGTAGAGGCCAGGACGCGAGTCTCACCATCCTGCTCCCAAGACCAGGCGGGCCGAGGCGCATCGTCGTCGTCGAAAGAGAAATGTGAGAGGGTGGGCGAGAGTGCAGCATCCGCTGACCGGCTGCTACCGGTGCTGGCATTGCTTCCGCGTGCGTATGCAGGGTCTGCGCCTTCATTGGCAGAGAGAAGGGAGGGGGGCCGGCCTGACGAGCTGGATGTTGAGACCTCTTCAGGGTAGTCGTCCACAAACAAATTCTCGTCCTCATCGTGGTAGCCGTGAGCTTGCCCCGAGCTGCTCGAATCTGATCTTTGGTCCGACGCAGAGGCAGGTGATTGCAGTGAGGTACTGCCGCTAACGGTATCCAACTCTCCGAAGATGCCTGTTCCGTCATGGGATGGGATCACGCTTTGGGCGATATCATCGAGATGGGCATGATGATCTGATCTCGTCCTTCCTGGGAACACGATACTCCAGTCTTGCGCTGTGGCGGTTGGAGTGGACGTGGTAGACTGCCGTAGCGAATGGTACGATGTGGCTCCGGTCTCTGTGAAGCTTGTGGAAGCCGACGTAGTGTCTTGTGGGCGGGAAGACTGACGAGGCCTACGAGGTCCTTGCTGGATGAAAGCCATGGTGTCTGAATAGAAGAAATTGAAGATCGGTCAAAGCTACAAGGCCATGAAAGGACCGTCTAGGTGAATGAATGCTAGGGACGCTCGACCTCAGTGTCAAGATAAGGAAAGTAAAGAAAAGGTATGCGAGTCTGGTATGGCTCGCGCGTTGAAAGGAAGCGGAACCACGACCGTATCGATGGGATGAAGGTGAAGAGAGACAGTGGTGATGGTCAGAGTATGATGGCGGTGGTGCAACGGTAGGATGGCGAGCTGGATGGATGGGCAGCGAGGGCCCTTGAGCCCAGATTAGACAATGCGGGCTGGAGCTGTCTCGGCTGCATGGCGGACGGGCCAGGCAAACTGCCCCAGGCAGTCACAGGCGGGGAGGCGCGGGTAGCGATTATAGTTGGGGTCGCGACTCAGGGGGGAGCCGGGGAGGTAGAGAAGTAGCCCAGGGAGGGGATCGGTAGGCAGGGTGAGTAGGCGGGATACCTTTCGCTCGGAGGGTATACGACGTCTGAGCTGCAGTGAGGCGCATCAGTCCTTCTCTACGACCTTTGCGGCAAGGCGTGGCAGGGCATGATGGCATAGCAGCCAGGCTGTGCTCAGGGCGGAGCACCGCTGAGCAGCTCACCTGCATGACGCGACTTGGGTGGAGGCATGAGTGACGAAGATTCACATTCTCATCCACGACGATGTTCTGTTCTTTCCTCCTCGGTCACTCATCCTACGAACACCACACAACACCACCACAACTCCCACCATGTCCAACACCGTCCAAGTCACCAACATCGCATCCACCACTTCCAAGAAGTCCCTCGAGGACTTCTTCAGCTTCTGTGGATCAGTGTCCTCGCTGGAGCTGTCCCCTGCTGCAGATGGAAAGCAAACCGCCATCATCACATTCGCAAAGGACAGTGCAGCCAGCACCGCCACCATGTGAGTAGAGCTCAGACATTCTATCGAGCATCATGGCTTATATGGTCTGGTGTCGCTTTGGACCGTGCGCGGCTCGCTGACCATCTTCCTCCCCTCCGTGACTTCAGGCTACACGGCGGTTCCCTGGACGGTTCTCCCCTGTCAGTCTCCCCTACTGGATCCTCGACAAAGTCTGCCAGTGCCACGTCTGCCGTTCCTACATCTACCTTGGGGCAGGAGGACAAGCCGCGTACTGCCGTTGTAGCAGAGCTCCTCGCTCATGGTTACGGTCTCAGCGACGAAGTCACCAAGCGTGCCATTGACCTAGACAACAAGCACGGCCTGACCGACACGTTCAAGACTTACCTTTCTCAGCTCGACCGATCTCTTGGAGAGCGCGTCGTCAAGGGAACTTCTGGGCAGCCGACTACGACCAAGACTGAGGGAACCCCTTCTGGACCTGCCGCGGCTGGAGCCGCCAGCGAGAAGGAGGCCTCGGCTACCCCGCTCCCCGGCAGTGGCCCCGGCAATGCAGACAAGCTCACCACCACCGTGCCTCAGCCGGATGCGCAAGGAGAGCACGCCGCCACACAGGGCAGTGCTCAGCAGCCCAGTTTGGTCAGGCACCTTCAGGGTCAGGTGCAATCACAGCTGGACAGACCAGAGGTCAAGGCCAAGACAGACTTTGCTTGGTCCAAGATGACAGAGGTGAGTCAACCATCGAGATCGAAAGCAGTGACTGTCTACCCGTCATACTGATTCCCCCTTGCTCTCGACTTCCCAGTACTACAACGCTTTCGCCAACCACCCCAGGATTCACGCCCTGTATACGAACGCCTCGAAGACCGTGACCGACGTTCACGAAGAGGCAAAGAGGATCGCAGAGGAGAAGAAGAAGGGAGGAGCCACTGGGGCTGCCGGTACCTCGGCTCCGGTCACCTCCACCACGACCACCGCTTGAACTCAGGAAGGGAAAAGACGGAGGGATGGCCAGGCTATGCTGGGATTGGACTGGAGAGAAGAGATTTATGAAATAACGCGAGACTCGTGACGGCGTGTGTAAGCTCGACTTCTCAATCATTCTTTCTGATACCAAGGGAATCAATCACTCCATCATTCGAAGGGTCTACGCACGTTCAGTCCTTGAGACGTTTCACTAGATCATTACCAGCACGGTCGAGCTTCCCGTCGCCGCCTCCGCTGCCGCTTGGACCTCTACCGTGCGGCGGCAGATAGGGGCCAAAGACGCTTCTCGCCCTTCCTCGCAGGCGAGCACGTTCCCCAGCCTCCGCCTCTGCAGAGCTTGTGGGGTAAGAGGAGGGTTTCATTGATTCTGTCATCCCCTGACTCGACAGAGTCCCACTTTGTGTCCACTTGTCTGCTTTCGCCCCAACTCAGAACCCACTTACATTTCCTTCTTCTACCTTTACTACCATGCCTGGCGATGTGGGCCCTGTCATATCAATGCTCTACCGCCGAGATGCGCTCTTCAGCTGTGAGTTTCCCCCTGCCACGTGAGGAGCACTCCTGGGTTGTTCGCCGGGAGACTGTAGAAAGTTGACGCCCCCTCCCTCTCCTGGACAGTGGCGACTTTATTGAGCGAGAACAAGAGTTTCAAAATCGTCTTCGGCGTGGTATGGATTATATGTGGCCTCCTCTTGCTCTTCTTTGGGCTTGACTCCTTTCGCTGGCTGAGCTCCTTCCGCTCCAAAGGCTCCTCCATCCCTTCGACCAAACAGCCTCGCAGAATTCTGGGAGCAGGAGTTGGAGGCATACTCATTGGGTTCCTGGCCGGGAGCACCCTCTCGATCTTGCTCATCACTAGCTTCGCGACAAGACAAAGCTCGACTCTGACCCCCGGCGGACTACTCGTAGCCTGGCTCATACCGGGTCTGATCGTCGCGCCGCTCGCCGGTCACTTCAGCTTTCTATCGAGAGTGTTGACAGGCTTACTCGGAAGTATGAACCTCGTTCTGTTACTGACGGCGCTAGGCGGCGTACACACACTCGCGACTCGAGCAGCATTACTCGTGGTGGCGGCACCAGTGCTTACTGTTCCTCTTCTTATACCGCCCAAGTCTCGCTGGGGGCAAGTCAAGTGGTGGCTGCTGAACATCAACACCTCCTTCGTTGGAGCGATGATCTTCCTGGATGGGATAGCCCTCTTTGCCTCACCGCAAGATACATCTCACGCTTGGCTCGATCTCTGGACTCTCCTCTTCGCCCCTGATCTCGGAGCTTCAGAGTCGACGATCGTACAGCAGTGGGGTACAACTGCCTTCAAGGGGTACGTTGCTGGCGCCATCATTCTCGTTTTGGCCGGTATAGCATTCGAGTGGTACTTTGATCATTGTGCAGATGAGGATGTAGGGGAAGAGTGGAGCGACTATCTAGGCGTATCTACTGAACAGGCGGAGAAGGACACTGAAGGCAGGCCCGATGCAGCTTACATGCCTGAGATGGGAGGAAGCAGAGCATATGGTGAGGTGAGGGCGGGTATCTTAGACGTACCTCAATCACTCTGGGCCCGCATCAAGAGCCACGGTAGATATCGACGAGGAGCTCCTGCAGCCTATGGAGGATATAGCGAGGGGAGGAGTACCCCGTTGGCCGAACAGCCGTCGTATACAGAGCGAGTAGCCTCCATACGGAGCTTTAGAAGATCCGGTCGGAGGCCGGCTAGGTATGTTCCTCACGAGGACGAGGAAGCCATTGACGGGGACTTCGACGTCGAATTCGAGGGAGTGTATGCTTATGCCGATCAGCAGAAAGATGGTCTGCATCTCGCGATACCCCAGTACACATCTCCCGGCATGCCTCGGATCCCGTCCTACAGCTCAGAACCACACCAGTCACAGTCGTCCAGTCTGATCAGTGGCTCGACGGCTGTGGAGAAGACTGGTGAGGAGATATCTCAGAAGGATCTCGACAATGTATCACCTCCAGCAACAGCATTCTCCGGCGATCTGGCTTCTCAAGAATCCCCTGGTCAAGTTACTGCTACGCCCTCTCTGCTGAACGCTGTTGAGCGAATCCAGCGCGCTCAGCAAGAGACCAGGATGGACGCCGAGTCGCAGAGCGTATGCTATGCGAGTGCTATTTGAACTTTTTTGTCTACCCATTTCTTCTGTATACTCTACTCCCGTTGTGCTCTCTTGTCGCCTTGTGCTAAGTGGTGGTAGGCAGCATTGGCGGGCGACGCCTGCCATGGGGCGCGCAAGAATCTGAGCTCGACTCCACTCCCGCTCGCCCGCCCGTCCGCCTCGGCGGCGTGGCCGGTGAGCACCCGTCGCTTCCTTCTTACCACTCTGCACAGAAAAGCTACGATTCCTATACCCTGATACCTATTGCACATCATCATACGCTCACAGCATCATCTGATAGCTTCGCATACATTAGTACCTTCAGAGACAGAGGTGCTTCGCGCTTAGCCCGAGGAAAGAAGCAGCTTGGGAGAGACACTCTCGCAAAGCATACTAAGCTCGCTTCCCCATCAGGCTCGGGCCTGAGCATACTGCTATTCCTGTCGTCATCGCTTTCCATAGTCTCCGTTCTCTGTACCACCCCAGCTTTACTCTCATACCGTTCTACCCTCGCCTGTCTCTCATCTCCTTTCTCTGAACAATGTCAGCCACTGCTTCCTCGAACGGCAACGGCAATGGCGCTGCCAAATACCTTGGTGTGACTCCACCTATCGCACTCAATGGCCCAACACAGAGGGAGAAGGAGGTGACAGAAACTCTACTGGGAGAGCTGAGGGATCAGAAGACTTTTGAGTCGGAGAGTGAGGCTAAGGTTCGGTGAGTAGCCAGGAGAGGGCTAGAGGAGGCAGCTGGGCTCGCCTGACCGCCATGCCTTGGTAGCGAGCTGACCACTGATCTACTGCCTGCCAATACAACGCTATCTTCTGCCATTAGAGAGGTGGTTCTCGGACGGATAGACGCCATGGTGAAAGACTTTGTCTATCGAGCCTCCATCGCTCACGGAATGTCAGACAGCATCGCCCGTGCTGCCGGCGGCAAGATCTTCACCTTTGGTTCCTACCGGCTCGGTGTACATGGGCCTGGTTCCGATATCGATACTCTCTGTGTAGTGCCGAAGCATGTCCAACGAGAGGACTTCTTCAGCATCTTTGAGGATATGCTACGCAAGCGAGAGGAGATCTCTGAAGTGGCGCCGGTGCCAGAGGCCTTTGTGCCGGTGATGAAGGTCAAGTTTATGGGCATCTCCATTGATTTCCTCTTTGCCAGACTAGCTCTGCCTCGGGTGGACGACTCACTGGAACTGTCGGACAGCAACATCCTGAAGAACCTCGACGAGAGGGATGTGCGAAGTCTAGGAGGTTCGAGAGTGACGGATGAGATCCTGAGGCTGGTTCCGGACGTTGACGTCTTCAGGCTGGCGCTGAGGTGTATCAAGCTGTGGGCACAACGTGAGTGATCAGGAGGCAGAGTCGAAACATTGCCGAGCTGTTTGCTCACTAGGTTCGTCTGCTTCCTCGCTGACAGGTAGAGCAATCTACTCAAACGTCATGGGTTTTCTGGGAGGTGTGGCATGGGCGATGCTCGTTGCCAGGATATGTCAGCTCTACCCGAATGAAGCTGCCGGAGCCATCGTCAGCCGCTTCTTCATCATCATGTATCAGTGGAATTGGCCTCAGCCGGTGTTGCTGAAACCAATTGAGGAAGGCCCGCTAGCCGTGCGAGTCTGGAACCCGAAGGTGAGTTGAGTGAGGTAACGCAGATTCAGAGATTCTCGATCGGTGTATTGAGACCCCAAACTCCTCTGCTGTGCTAGCTATACCCTCAAGATCGTCTCCATCGCATGCCCATCATCACACCAGCATATCCTTCGATGTGTTCTACACATAATGTCACACAGTCTACCCAGATGATTATGACTCAGGAATTCAAGGTCGCAGCTGAGGTTGTGGATAGAATTATCGTAGGTTCTTCGACCTGGAAGGACCTCTTCAGGAAGCATGACTTCTTTTACAAGTACAAGTTCTATCTCCAGGTCATTGCGTCGTCTGGCTCTGCAGATTTGCAACTGAAGTGGTCAGGGACAGTCGAAAGTAAGGTGCGCCAGCTGATCATGAAGCTGGAGCTCGTGCCTACGATGATGTGCGCGCATCCTTATATCAAAGGCTTCGATCAAGTCAGTGAATGCCACAACGACGACGAAGTGAGGCTAGTAGCTACTGGTGACATCCCTGAAGAGGTGGCCAACCGGACGAAGCTAGAGGAGCTACCGAAGGAAGAGGAGGCGGCCAAAGAGCAGGACGCTGCAGCGAAGCAGGCGACCGAAGGCCAAGAAGGCCACCGCACCATCTGGACGACGACATTCTACATTGGTCTCTCTATTGAGCCTCGGCAAGCAGATGCAGTGGGCCCGCGCAAACTCGACATCTCCTACCCGACGACCGAGTTTACGCGCATGGTGAAGCAGTGGGAGCAGTACGATGAGTCGTCGATGGGCATTGTGGTGCGGCACATCAAGTGCTCGCAGCTGTCCCAGTACGTCTTTGCGGGCGATGAGAGACCAGTAGCCAAGAAACTCAAGCGTTCCAAGAGTGAAAAGGCCAGCGCCAAGCAGGCGGCAGCTGCATCAGCGGCTGAGGCAAATGGGGCAGAGGGAGTACCTGCAAAGAAGCAGAAGTCCTCGACGGATGGCAATGGTGTTTCGGTTGCTCCTCCAGGACAGACACAGAACGGACTCAAGAATGCACATGCCGATGGACCGTTGCTACCATTGCAAGAGAAGACGGCAGCTAGCGAGGTGGAGAACTTCAGGCTGGCAACGGGAGGTAGTGTACCGGTTGCGTCGAGCACAAAGGAGAGTGACTTTAGACCACCGGCGGCGAGTGCGGCGCAGTAGCAATGGTGGTGAGATCGATGCTGGTGGGGTTGGCAGGTGGATGGACTGCGAGCAGGAGCGCAATCCAAGAACATGCAAGGTACAAAGGAAGATCTGATTTCGTGAGGCAGGCTGGTAGGCAAATGTCCCAGTGGTTGCACGTTTCCCCATGTCTTTTCAGCGCTTCTCCCACACTCCCCACTAGCAATGGAAGATCAAATTTGTCACCGGCTCTCCTGCCCTTGAGCTTTGCTTCGCACTGTCCCTTTGCCCTCGTCGTGGAAGCACCAACTTGGTGATTAGCAGGCCCGTAGAAGCCGATTATCAGCCGACCCGATGAGAGCCGACGCAGGCTCGCACGGACATGAAGACAGGAGTGTTTCAAGTAGCCAGACTCTTATTGGTGAAGGCGATGAGAGGCGGGATCGTATTATCGGTCGGTCGGTCGGCAGGCAGGCGAGGTGGGTCAGCGGGCACGCAGCACTACTCGTACTTAATCACAGGTAATCCGGGCTTCGGACTCCAGGGTCCTTGCATTGTCCGAGCTCGGCTGGCTGTTCGCTCTGTCCTTGAACGGCGGTCTGCATTGCGTGGGTTGGGTGAAGCGGAGGAGAGGAGAGGAGACTAAGCAAGGTCAGACCAGACATCTCGGAGGTTCCCGATGAGTTCCCACTGCACAACGCAGGTGGACGCCCAGAAACCCCGATTGGCGAGGTAGGCGAACGGACAGAGCGAGACAGCGAGGACGGGAGGGGAGACGTTGAGCGGCGTCTTGAAAGTGGGGGCTGATGCTTCTACTTGTGCTTCTGGCAGACAATCAGTGTGGAGGACGAGATTCTGGATCCCTTGCCATTCCTTGCCGTCAAGTGAAACGCTCCGCCCTCGCTTGCCTCAATTCCCGCAGAGGCAAAGAGGCAAGAGAGGGTGAGACCCGGCTCTGAAAGTGTCCATCCACTCTGGGTGGAAATGGGGCAGCATCACTCAGCCACTGTCAGTGGATGGCAGGGCCGTGGAAGGCTTCCAATACCCGGCGGCACCGGATCATTTATGCGACGTGCGTCGTCTCCTCAGGAGGCAAGATGGGGCGCCAGGCGGGGCAAGCTCCTCCTAGCCTTTTCACCTACTCGATCCCGTCCTATTACTCCCATCTAATCTTCCCTTTACCTCATCATCCTTGTTACGCCCTCGACGACCTTCTGGTCCGCCCTTGCTGTGGCACTTGCTCAACGCCCTTCAATTCTGCCCCTGAAGGCGCAGAGTGACCACGCCCCCTCATCCGCGATACCCTGCCGTGCTCATCCCTTGTGCCGGACTGGCGCCCACTGCTGCCTTTGCCCTCGAGTTTTAACTTGCATTCTCATCATCGGGGGCGGACGCAGAGCGGCTTCTTACTTGACAGCAAAGGCGGCTACTCAACCCGGTCGGAGGACGACGGACGATTGAACGGACTCGGCGCTGAAAGACGTATAAGGGCCTCACAGGACGGTAGTCAGTCCGAGCGAGCAACCCTCGTCCCTACGTGCTTGCCGTGCTTCTCACATCCTCTCGACCTCCGCAAGCCATCTTTCCCTCTCTGCCGCTCATCCACTTTAAAAGGGAGATAGCGGCTTAGGTGCTGGGGGAGCTACGCCAACCTCTGTGACTCTCCTGTGGGCTGACGGGTGCTCGAAGCGGCATGACACTCAGCAAGCTCCCTCTGGCTGTTTCAGCCTCAGCGGGACTTGTCGTCGCCTTGGTGGCAGCCACAGGAGCTCAAGGACGAGATGTGCATATTGCCACGACCTCATTTCCTCGCGATGTCACCAATCCAAAGGACGATAACGTCTTTCAATATCTCTCCCCTCAACTCACTCACCAAGCTCTGATTGGTATCATCTACATATCCTTCTGGCTAGGGGCGACGGGCTGGGACATTGTCTCCACAATGACATTCGATCTTAGAGTCGTCAGAGAGACGCGATACAAGAGCTTCTTCTCGGTCGTCAACTCCCTTGCCTATCTCATCTCACGATACTTTACCTTCATCTGGCTGCTCAGAAGTCTACTCGATGCCATCTCCGCTATCGATGACTGTCACAGTCATTACGAAGTGTCCGCCGTGCTGTACGGCTTCGTCGTAGTAAGCAGTGAGTACCCAGTGTACACCTAGCCCGAATGACTCGACCTGACACTGCCTTCTCCCTCTTTGCGCTCTCAGCCTACATTGTCTTTGCATTAAGGACAGCCAATGTCTGGCAGATGAAGCCAGTCATCGTGATACCCCTCTTCGCAGTAGTGGCAGGCATCTGCGGAACTTCCGTTGCCCTCGGTCACGATATGCAAGTGACTCGAATCGGCACCAGTCCCTTCTGCTCTTACATTCTGAGAGGCGTTCCCTCTTATGTCCTCTTGTGCTTGTGCGGCTTCTTTGACCTACTCAACTTCACCTTCTTGGGTCTCAAGTTGAGCAAGTCAGGTTTCAAGGGCATGGTACGATGCATGCTACCTCAGAATCGTCCCAACTACGATCATGCCGAGATCAGGCAGATGCTCTTGCAGCGTACCGGGGTATTCACGCTAGTCCAATTGGGTCTTCTCACCTCCATTGCGGTCCTCTATGCTGTATTCCCCGATCAGCAGGCCACATACAAGCTCATGCAAGTAGGCGCGTTCCACAGTATCACCTCGAACATGAATGCAAGCATCTTCCGCAAGGCATGGAGGCTGACGAGGGAGCAGTCTCCTGCGAATATCAACGTCCCTCCTGCGTATCAGTCCAGCTGGCCAAACAGTCCAGGGCTGGGCATCACGCCTGGCGGGCCCTCCGCTGGCTACGACATGAGCTCGGCGAGCTCTGTACGCAGGTTCAGTCGAGAGAAGGCTATGGCGCAGAAGGCGCAAGATTGGTCGACTGCCTACGTAGAGGGCGAGCTTGTCACTGATAACGTGGACAAGGAGAAGACGTCTTTAGGGCTCCCAACACATCAAGGAGACACTACACTCGGCGCGGGACTGGACGACAACAGAAGATCGGCAAGTGAGGGCGAGGGCCACGGTACAGATGGCATCCGCTTCGATACGGTTCTGAGCCAAACATCCAGAGGAGGTGCTCTGGGCGAGCCACGCAACGGCATCGCAACTGAGGCGATCAATCCTAGAGGGCCTCTCTCTCGCCTGCCTTCGCATCACAACCCAGACAGTGTACAGTCACCTCGACGTCCAAGCTCGGGGACAACAAAGACCATGACCATTGACAGAAGTGAAGCGGGGCCTCAGACGCGTCCCGGGAGCAGCAGCACCTCTCTGGTTACCCGTGCTCTTGGCCGATCAGGACCAGGACGAGAGCTTCGAGTCTCAACATCCGACGGTCTGGGAGCATCATCCAAGAGCGGCAAAGAGGTTGACTTGAGAGGCATTCGACCTCACACAACCCCATCTCCTCGCGTCGTCTTCGGACCCGTACAGGTTCTCACGCCGTCACCGGGCTCCCCGCGCAATATCGCTCGGCTCCAGCAGGAAGGACCTCTCCTGCCACCACTGTCGGCTGCTCTGGCGCAGCTGCTTGAGCCTGCAACCCAAGGAAGCCATCGTGGCGATTCATTTGACGTAGCGGGGCGCTCTGCAAGTGGGGTGGTCGATCAAGTGTCTCCAAGATCAGGGCAGCTCGAGAGGGATCAGGACAGTGGCGATGCACCACACAGACCAGCTGTCACTGCCTCGGCTTCGCTCAAAGCCGGCAGCCCGATGCCTCCCGAATTGGCCGGTATCGCCCGAAACGTGAACGTCGATGGCAACGCCGGTAGAGCCGCTCCAGGGACAACTAGCCCCATCTCTCCCTCACGACCCAAGACCGCTGGCCAGGCTCCTGTCCGATCTCCCACTGCTCTCTCGCGACCCAGCACTGCACCCGGCCAAGATCATCGTTACTCGGGTCTTGATACTGCCAACCGCTTTGCGGCATCAACAGCCACAGGCTCTTGGCGAAGGCAGCCATTCTCTCTTGCTCCTCCATCGACTGCCTTCCCTGACTTACAAAGAGCTTTTGCGGACACGATACAGTCTGATGAACTCAGAATGGAGATTGGAGGATCCTCTACCGACGATGGCAGGCCAAGAACCAGTCGAGGCGGGCCCGTGGCTCCGTTCGGCAGTCGGGAGCCAGGTGGTAGCGGGACATGGTACTCGCGAAGACCGTCTTTACCAATCATCCCGAGCCGTGAGCCTCCGACAGACGTCGAGCTTCTGGCAGCTGCAGCTCGAGCTGCAAGCGCTCAAGGCCCCTTGTCTCCTACGGAGAATAGAATTCTCACTGCACAGATGGTTCGGCAGCCGTCTTCTGCCATAGAAGAGGCCTACCGCGAACTCGAGGAAGTGGCGGGTCGACCTTCGCTGAGCGCATCTTCGGAGGCTAGCGCCTCTACAACTACCACACTCAGTAGCAACCTGAATGCATCGCATCATACCCAGTCGTAAGACTTTGCACGCCACTAATATTGTTCGCAATTGGTCTCGCGGACCATTGACGATTTCCAAGCCACAACGTTGAGGCGATAGCTATAGTCAGCTCCATCGCTTCGTCTCACTTACTCCGTCGATCTCACTTCCTTGCTGTATGGTGCGAGATGCTCTCATCGTCTTAGACTTCGCGTCATCTGCTGTAATTGTAATCAATGTCATAGTAGAGATCGAGTGTACCTAACATTGAGTGACACGGCGTATCGTGAGCCTCGCTTCGCCGCCCGCTGACTGTTCGGGTCCCTTTGGCGAAGGGCGGCTTTTGGTCGGAACGGAAGCTGGTGAGGCATGGGCTGGCTGGCCGGGTGAGCGGGGCGTTGCGTGTGAATGAGTCTCCGGCCGGTTCCGCATGAAATCCGTTCTGGAGTGCATCAGCCGCGAGGTGCAGCCCAGATCCGGACCAGGAAGACTAGCCTCCGCTTGCACCTCACCTCCTACCACCACCACCACCACCTTACCTTACCCACCTCAAGCAAGCAGCTAGCTGTGATCATTCTCATTCTGGGACATATCTTGCACAGCATACGCATTAGCATCTACAGCATCTCTTCCTCCTTCTTCATCGTACCTCCCAGCATATACAGACAACCATGCACGGCACTCTAGCCACCATGATGCGTCCTACACCCATCTCCTCTGCTCTGCGTATCCTGGTTCCTGTGAAGCGGACCATTGATTATGCCGTCAAGATTCGAGTGGCTTCTGATGGAAAGGGAGTGGACACAAATGTCAAGCATGCAATGAACCCCTTTGATGAGATTGCTGTGGAAGAGGCAGTCAGGCTTAGGGAGAAGCACAAGGAGGCCGTTTCGAAGATTGTGAGTCGCCGTTATAGGAGAGGCAATCAGAGCTGAATGGACTGCAGAAGAGAAAAAGACTGACACATGCTCGAGTACTCTGCCTACGCTCTTCACCCACTAGACGGCCGTTTCTGCTGGACCGGCCAAGAGCGCCGATGTTCTCCGTACCGCCCTGGCCATGGGCGCCGATGATGCTATCCACGTAGAAATCCCCGACAACTCCCTCGGTGGTCCGCTCGAGCCCCTCGCCGTGTCCAAGATCCTACAAGCCGTGATCAAAAAGGCGGGCGAGGAGGAAGAAGTGGGACTGGTCATCATGGGCAAACAGGCCATTGATGATGATGCCTCTCAGACTGGTCAGATGCTGGCGGCTAGGCTTGATTGGCCTCAGGCTACTTTTGCCTCGAAGCTGGAATTCTTGGGCAAGCTGGAGAAGGGTGAGGAGGTGCAGATCACCAGGGAGGTGGACGGTGGATTGGGCATCGTCAAGACTACATTGCCATTTGTCATGACCACGGATCTGAGGTTGAACGGTGAGTGGCGGACTGGACAGGCGGGTGGAGCAGGGAGGACCGACAATGTCGAATGGGCGAGACTCACTCCTGCGCCCCTCTCATACACGATCCCTCTTTTCCTTTTCCTTCTACAGAGCCCCGCTATGCCTCGCTGCCGAACATCATGAAGGCCAAGAAGAAGCCCTTCAAGAAGTACTCGCTCAAGGACCTGGGCCTGGAGGAAGACGCTAAGCCCAGACTCGAGGTGCTCAAGGTGGCCGAGCCACCCAAGAGGGAGGGAGGAGCAAAGGTAGAGGATGTAGACGCCCTAGTCGGCAAGCTCAAGGAGCTGGGTAGGATCTAAGATGTGGCATGAGAAGCAATGTGGATGTAGAAAGTGGCATGGCATCAGATGTGATTGAGCGCTGCTCGCTATTGGGGACTTACCGCTTCGACCGTCATGCTGCAATCCTATCTTAATCCTGAACCAACACAGCCGGGTTACTGTGAGCGTGAAGGTCAAGGCGATCAGGGCAGCCCGCGCCGTCAGCGGCAGCGAAGTGGTCTGATCAGGGCCGCCCGCCCGCCGGCAGCACCCGAAGTCATTCAAGGCGGTTCAGGTACCGGAAGAAGGAAGTCCGCTGCGTCCCTGACCCGGGCACTCGTTTGTCCCCTGTAGGTGGTGCTGATTGGAACTGCAGAGCCTCTTGGCATACTCGTCTGCCCTTGAGACGCCTTTGATTTCTTTGACCCATTCGTATCATATCTCCAAGATCCCGCGACTGCGAGCTTGATAGCAGCTGAACGCAATCAAGGCTTGCATCTCGTGAAGTGCTGCAGAGACATTGTACGCCAGCACCGCCCTTCTCCTGAATTATCTTCCATAGGCAGACCAAGATGTACTACAGCGATCAAGTACGGAGGGTGATGTATCAGGTCATCTTTGGACTCAGTATAGGCATCGCAGTGTGCACCCTATGGTGAGTTGTGGCGATGCAGCACACGACGAGACCTGCTGACTTCGAGGGCCATTATCCTCTTCTCAATCCGATATCAACAGCGTCTGCTTGTTCCGAATGGTAGTGGCTTCTCACCGACGGGAGGTGGAAGCAGAGAGAAATCAGGCAGTTCCTCCTCACCAAGCAGTCTACGCCACCGTGCAGCCATACCCTCTAGCACCATCTCCAGGGCCAGACTACTACGCGAATGCAAATCCCGAGCTGTATTATCCTTCATCTCCAAGCTCTACGATGCCTCGAGCAAGACCGGTGTCCTCTCCAGCGTTCCTTGCTGACTTTGATCGGGTGTCTCCTACTTCAGGTGGACGGTCTACAGGGGGTATGCGCCGAAGTAGAGTCGTCAGTGCTGGCTCCAATGCTCTCCTGGGGATTCGAAAGGCACCGCGAGCTCTCCTCAAGAGCGTCTACCCGCCTATCAGTCAAGACTATCACTACCCTCAGAGCTCAGCCTACCACACCGGCATGCAGGGTGTAGCACCTATGGGAATCGGCTTCCGTGCATACTACGGAAGCGATATGTCTTACGCCAGCACCAGTACGGGACTGGCGCCTGCTTCCTACCAGCCACAGCCACACTTCCCGAGGGAGGTTAGTGCCGAGGAGATGCAACGTCGGAGAGAGAGGCGAAGCATGCGTCTGGTCCCACGACGAGCAGTCCCGGTGCTGGGCGACGACGTGATGCCTGGAGGTCAACGTCGTGGTGATGGCGACCCAGACGATCACATCACAGTGACAGTGGAAGTTCAGACGAGAAGCGACTGTGCAGAAGAGGTGCACTGTCATCGAGAGCAATTCTCCAGACCTCTGGCTCTGGGCACGGCAGGATGTCGCCATAGTGATCCTACCGGTGGCTTACCTCAGTACAGGATCGACACTACTTTACCAAGGTACTCGGCGGAATTTGGTCGTCCTTGGCGTCGCAGGTCGAGCGCTAGGTGGGATTCTCAGCCGGTAGAGACACCTGCGACGTTCAGTCCATTCTGTCAGTCGCCAGTTGAAGAGGCAGCAACGACTCCTTCGCCGACGCTTGGACACGCAAGGGTGGAGCCAGACACTCAGAGCGGGACACACACTCCAAGCAACGCCGCACCTCCTGTCCCACAAATTTCTCTCGCGAACTCTGGTCCACCTCAACACAACATCGAGGCGGGGATGAACACTTCAGAGGTCAACATCAGTCAGCATGTTGATAGGCACGGCGGTGGGACTACGAGAGAGCATTAAAAGATCGGCAGCGTCAGGGAGAGGGTCAGGCTGTATCGCTGGGCAAGACATGTAGCAGTGCAAATCGTCGATAGATGTCACGAAACAACGCCTACGAGTCCAATAACCCGAGCTGCAGTTCTGTGTGCTCGAGTCTCTTTCGTCTCGAGTGATCATTTGAGTGATGTGCGAGTGACGGTAGAACGATTCGGCGGATGACTCACTCCGACGCGAAGCAGGATGATGTGATACAGCCGTTTGACTCCGCACCGTTGCGCTTTGCCGCGGCCAGGGCCCGACTCCGTTCCTGGCTCCTTGCCCTGACCGCAAGCCAGCGTGCCCTGAGCGTCTTGTGCTCAGTCGTGCTGTCTGATGTCCGTTCTTTGCTTCCTTACCTCACTACGATACTCTTCCTTCTGATCAGCACCAGCTCCTGCTTCTCTGGTTTTCTCATCTACAGCTTATTTCCCATCGATCTATGTCATTACACCTTCTGCTCCCTCGCCTCTCCTTTCCCTCATTTTATCACCCCTCGCAGAGAAACAAACGAAGCTCGAGCCTTCTCCAGCGCCATGACGTCCCCCAATCTGCTCGTCGACCGATTGCTGGCACTTGTCCACAAGCCTCAAGACTGCAGCGACATCAGCCTCCGAGCCTCTTTTGTGCACCTCATCAATGAAGCCTTTCAGCAAGAACGGGCCGAAGCTCGTCGTCAACTCGAAAACGCCTACAAGGTTGAGAGGACTTCGACCATGGAAAACTCAGCGGCTTTGACGCGATCCGCTCAATTCAAGCTCCTTGAGGCGAAACGACTCAAGGCTGAGGCACTGTCACAACAAGTCAAACCCAATGACGACACTGCACCACTTACCGCTACCGATGACAATCAACCCCCTGCTGCCACCTGCAAGTGCCTCGCCGTGACACCTGGGGACCCCACTCCACTCGACGGTGCAAGTCTCAGCCAAGACAAGGTAGACGACTTTGTGCATGGCATGGAATGCATCTTCATATTCGAGCCACGCCTTACGGAGCTTCACAAGGTAATCCTCGCCGTCACCAAGTTTGAGCCCAATGGAGCAGCTGCAAAGTGGGTACGTCCGTACGCAAGACTTCTCAAGAAAGGAGACGACACGACACCCGAGTGGATTCGATCCTGGTCAACCTTTTCTGCCATGCTGAGCTCTAGGTTCGGCGAGTCTCGCAATACCGAGACTACCATGATGGAGCTCAGAGAGCTACGACAGACCTGCACTGCTCGCCAGTACTGCATTCAATTCTCGCTACTGATAGAGCAAATTGAACTTTCCGAAGAGGTCAAGAAGGCGATGTTCAAGCTGAACCTTGATTCCGACGTAAGAGCCGCCTTGGAGGGCCGTAACTTTACCAATTTCAACGACTTGATCAAGGCTAGCATCACTGTCGATGAGGACTTGGTTCAGAGACGTAACAGCACTTTCCCCAGCAACACGAAATGAGCGCACAGCCTTCGCTGTTAAGTCTACCACGCGATTCTGCGCTATCGAGTCACCTGTAGCATCCTCTGCGAAGCTCAAGCCCGAATGGAGGTTCTCGTGACGAGAGGCTTGTCGGTGCCCCTGCCTCTTTATGAATCGGACAATACAGTACTGAGCTTCCCAAAAGCCCTATCCTTTCTCCTGGCATTGTTCTACCTACATTAGGCTTGCCCTCCACCAGCGTCATTCAGTCACTGCGAGCTCAAGTCAACGAAGCCGCACATTTCAGCGCCGGACCCTTGAGTCGACCAGTCCAAGCAATTCGCGACATTAGAGTGTTTACAACTCTAGCGCATCAGCAGAGTGCAGTGGCCGCCCGGCGCCGTCTGGACATCCGTTCTCAGGAACCACACGCCTTCGACGGCTCGACGTTGAGCCGACTGGAGGTCGACGACTTCATTGAGGGCATGGAGAACATGTTTCTCCTCGAACCATCTTTGAGCGAACCTCAGAAAGTGGTGGCAGCGTTTATGAAATTCAAGGGTGACGGTGCGGCTGCCAATTGGCTGCGTCCTCATATGAGGCGACTCAAAGCCGGTGAACCGGACGCACCGGAGTGGCTGTCTACTTGGCAAGATTTCACGACGATGCTGAGCGACAGGTTTGGCCAAGCAGAAACAGCTGAGCACTCAATGCTGCGACTGCTTGAATTCATTGTTTTCCATCAAGCTACTAGTACCAAAGCGTACTCGGTTCGATTACTTCACACTGGCGGAGAGACAGTCACTGCCAGAAGACGTGGAGAAAGCCTTCTCCTTGCTCTCATCGACAGCGGCTCCGAAGCGGACCTCGTCGATGAGCGTGTTGTTCAATTGCTGGCGTCTCCAACTCTCCCCCTGACTGTTCCCAGACAGTTGTTCTCGGTCGACCACACGTTGGCCGACACGTGTACGCGATTCGCGACACTGAATGTGAACATCTCTGGGCACGAGGAGGAGCATTCCGTTGTGGTCGCGAGGATCTCGCAGCACCTGATCCTCGGTCAGCCCTGGCTTCGACGCCACGACCCAACAATTTTACACCGTTTCTCAATTCTTACTTTCAATTCACAAACGTGTCTGGAGGAGTCTCTGCGGCATCCTGTACCACTGCAGGTGCCTCGGCTGAACGCCAACGGACAACTCGCCGTTGCATGCGTGCAGAACATCGCCCAGCAAACATGTCAAGTTACACTTTCTGTCTCACAATGTCATGTCCTGGTCCTGATGCTTATTTCCGATGAAGATGAAGCTTGTGTCGAATGTGCCGCCCTCTCACTGTGCCCGACCTGCATCGACCGCCTCCACGAAGCTGGTGCTGCAAAGAGCTAAGCTGATACGGTCCTGTCGTCTAAGGAGGAGCGTTGCGCGGCGTCGATCAAGAGGTAATCGATGAGCCGGGCGCCTTTCTATTGGTCTGAGTGCATGGGAAGGGTCTGATTCTTCTTGTGCATACTGCAGCCTCATGAGTTCTTGGCCCTGTCCTGCCCTTGTCCGGCAGGTGCCCTCGCTGCCCTGGCCTACCTCTTGTCATCTCTCGAGGTGGCCGCGGACATCGGCCAAGCAGACTCAGGGTCTGAGCTCGAAGGGGAGCAGGCGGGTGAGCTTGACACGACGTGCCGCACTGGTTGCCAAAAGGGGCAGTCGAGGCTGTGGCGGAAGCAATGGGTACTGCAGCATTTCTCCGGAGATCAACAAACGTTGTGAGGCGTCGGAGGAGCGAGGCGGGGAGCACTGGAGGAGAACAAGGCCAGATCTTCTTGCCGCTGCTGCTGCTGCTCCCCTTGTCGGCGGCGCCAAACCTTTTCGATGGATCACAACGGGAGACGCGGAGGTCGGCGCGTGGGTCCGGCGCGCCCTGCCCGCCAAGGCTTGCCGCCAGTGTCCTCGCGCGGCAAGGGGCGCCGTGTTGTTCTCGCCCGAGCCCCGCGCTCGCACCTCCTTACAGTCGACACGCCGCCAATCGCACAAACAAGGGACAAGGAGGGGCACAAGACGAGGACATCAGAGTGACAGGTAGCCATGCAAGCAACGCAACGCAATGCAAACCAAGCAAGGGAGGTGAGGCAGGCAGGCAGACAGACAGGGCAGCCGGTGAGCACAGCATCGCGTCTGCCCGAACCCCCCCCCCTGCGCTTTGGTCTTGGCTGGGAGCCATGGCCCACATTGACAGGCAGGCAGGCAGGCTGGCACCAGCACCCGCACCCAGACAAGGTCCCGTTCGTACACTTCCTCCTCCCATCCTCTCTTACCATCACATCACACTCACCTCTCCCTCTTCTCTCTCCCTCTCTCTCATCTCCCTTTTCCCTCCAGTCTCCAGGATCTCCTCCCTCTGTCTCTCTACGGAATCTACCCTCGCGTCTCTCTCTTTCTCCCTCACATCTCCTAGTCGAAGTCAAGTCTGCTGTGCGGATCTTCACCTCGTCTTCTCCCTCCCACACTTCCAGGACTTCTCAAGCAACCCTTTGTACTCACAAAGCTCTCATCTGATCGAGCATTTCCAAACAGCAAGCCAAGTGCAAGCCAACCCATACAAGTTCAACGACACGTTCCACGACTCTCCCTGTTCCAATAGCACTTCCTTCCTTCAAGCCCTTTTTCCTCGAAGCCTCGTAAACAATGGCACCTCTCGTAAAGTCCCTCACCCTCACCTTCGCCCTAGTGGCATTGGCTGCGTCTTCCTTTGCGCCCCAACAGGCCTTGGCCCAACAACAACAGCAGCAGCTGGCTCGCCGCACCTACGAGAACGATGTGATCAAGAGGAATGCAGTCCCCGCTGGTGCGGCTAGAATGCACAAGAGGAGACTCTCCAGCATCCTCTTGCACCCTCGAAAGGAGGAGGAAGACACTAGCAGTGGATCTTCTAGTGCCTCTCCAGCCACCAGCACCTCGGCCGCCGCGTCGAAGGCGAGCTCTAGCAGCGAGAGCACGTCGACCAACGACGACGAGACCGATGAGGTCGACGAGGATGATGACGGCAACGACGACGACTCTGGCAACGACGATGACGGGAGCTCTGGTTCAGGTTCCAGCTCTAGCTCTCGTGCTAGCTCCAGCTCGAAAGCATCCTCGAGCGACGCCAGCACCTCGTCTAAGGCCTCGTCGTCTTCCACTTCAAGCTCATCGTCTTCTGCCACTTCTGCCGCCGCTTCTTCATCCACCGACAACCTGACTGCCGCATCCGCCAGCGACCGAGCGCGAGGCATCTACTGGTGGAATGCCGATGGCAAGGCCCTTGGCAGGAACAAGCTGCCCGTGACCTCTACTTCTTCCGACTCTAGCTCTTCAAGTAGCAGCAGCACTGACAGCAGCGACGGCAACAGCTCTACCAAGACCTCTTCCAAGGGCTCGTCCTCCACTGACAGTGCCACGTCTACCGGAAACTCGACTAGCGCCACGTCCACCTCGACACACCACCACTCGTCCAGCACTGCCTTGACCTCGACCGGTAACTCGACTTCCACCGCCACCTCCACGTCCCACCGCCACCACTCGTCTAGCACCGCTGTGACCTCGACTGGCAACTCGACTTCTACCGCTACCTCTTCGTCTAAGGCTTCGAGCTCAACTGACGCGTCTTCCTCCTCGACTTCCTCAACTTCCGCTGCCTCTGCCACCCCCAAGTCCAAGGTTGTCGCTACTGAGGCCGATGACGAAGAGGACTGCGAAGAAGAGGACGATGACGACGACGACAATACAGCTGCGACGACGACTACCAGCAGCTCTAGTGGCTCTGGAAGTACCTCCGACGACGACGACGATGATGACAGTGACGACGGCAGCGACTCGAGCAGTGGCAACAGCGGCTCAAGCAAGACTGTCGTCGCCAACAACAAAGTTGCCGCTGCCAGCTCCGATGACGGCAACAGTGGCTCTTCTGGAAGCTCGAGTGACACTAGCACTAGCACTAGCAGTGGCTCTGGCTCTGGATCTGGCTCCGGCTCCGGCTCCGGCTCAGGTTCTGGCTCTGGCTCTAGCAGCACTAGTGACGACGACGACGACGATGACTGCGAGGAGGAAGATGATGACGATGACGATGACGACGATGATGACTGCGATGACGAAGACGAAGATGAAGATGAGACTACATCCGGCTCTTCTTCTGAGGCGTCTTCCTCTGCCTCATCCTCGTCGTCTGCCGCTGCCACGTCTTCTGCCGCTGTTAAGAAGCTGGCCGCTGCCAACGCTTCTTCGTCCTCTGCCTCTTCTTCCACTGCTGCGCCCACTTCTAGCGCTTCGTCCAGCTCCACCAAGAGTCAGCACACCAAGTCGTCTGCAAGCTCGACGTCGTCGTCAGCTGCCGCTGCTTCCTCTTCGGCTTCTTCCAGCAGCGGGTCGTACGAGTACAAGGGTCAGGCCACCTGGTACACTCAGGACGGCAATGCTGGCTCTTGTGGCAACTACAATTCCGACTCTGCAATGATTGTTGCGGTGACGGAGAGCATGATGAAGAGCTCCCTCTGTGGCAAGAAGGTGACGATCAAGAACACTGCCAATGGCAACACGCAAACTGCCACCATTGCCGACACTTGCCCAGGATGCGAGAGTCAATCGTTGGACCTGTCCACTGGTCTCTTTAGCGCACTGGCTGATGCCGACATGGATCTGGGTGTGCTGAAGATCGAGTGGTCCATTGACTCGTAGAGCAGGGCCAGTGGTAGAGAGCGACTGGACCTTGGACTCGTTGGAAAAGCAACACTAGACGGCTAGCCCTCGCCAAGGGGGAATCTCGTGGTTCAGGTAACCTCGTCATTCTCCCTACGCCAGTGCGAAGTCTCCCATTTCCCCTCTTTTCGACTTTTCCTCTTCGCTTTCCCCTGCCCATCCCCCTCCTTTCTTTGCTAAGTGATCATGGCAACCGCCTCTCCCATCTCATCCGTTTCCGTTGCACATATCGTAGATGTAAGGTGCGCTCTACACCCTCCCTGAACTGGCTTCGGGAGCTTGTCGATGCTGCTGCTCTACCTCATCCTCGCTTTCTCTCATTCCATCTCATCTCATCTCATCTCATCGTGTTTCCCCTCCCCGCCATGCTTTGCTTTGCTCTGCTTTGCTCTGTCCCCTATTTTGTTTTTCCCTTTCTATCAATCATCAGTACACCTTTCCCCATTAGGATCCTTGTGCGTGCGCTTAGGCTGACGATGGATTGAGCTGGCTGGCTGGCTGTGTGTGTGTACGCTTAGCTGAAAGGAGATGCTGGGAGGTGAGATGGGGTGGGATGAAGTACCTTAGCATTCGCATCGCATAGCATCGTATGGTAGCGTATCGCTCAACTATCGCCGATAGTCCGAAGAGGGGCAGCAAAGTCGCCAGTCGACGTCGACGCCAGAGGTCAATCAACGTACGCTCATGCTCAGGCTTCGGGTTCTTCGGTCTCGGGCTTTGGCTTTGGCCTTTGGCTTTGGCCTTTTGCCCGGATCGGCAGGCGGGGAGGCGCGTGTGTGCTGAGCTTCAGCCTGAGGGAGAGGAGGGAGAGAGAGAGGCCTGAGAGGTGAGGAAGCGCCTGGGCTGCAAGGCTGCAAGGCTGCACTGCACCGCACTGCACTTGCTTGAATGGGACAGGCGAGCGCAGAGAGACAATGACCAACCTCCACGCTTCACGGTCATCGCACCCTCCCCTTTCCTTTCTCCTTTTCCACATACACTTCCAGATCTCACTCACGCACGCACGCTCTCACGCAACGTATCACTTACTGACTACACGAAGACATCCAGTTGATAAGATGGCCAACAAGGATGTGAGTAGGGTCTGGTCGCCTCGTCCTGGGGGAAGCGGGGAGGAGAAGGCAAAAGGCAATGTGGCATAGCAGCACTTCGAGGTGGACATTCTCTACTCAAGTCGAGCAGCTGCTGCTGATACCGGACAGACAGCGATAGCTCCAGCTGGACCACAGTGTAGAGCGAGCGTCTTGCCCAGATTGGCTTAGCTCGGAAGGAAGTTACGAGGGGTGGTACGATGGCCTCCTAGTGTGGATGAGGACAGCCTATCTCGCAAGCCCACCCGACAAGGCATTGGCAGGCTGCTCTCGGCTTGAACCTCTTCTCGGTAGCCACGAGGAAGCAGGATCATCACTAGAGGATGTGTGGGCCCATGTCCCTCCAGCCTTAGTCCCATACGCCACTCAACCATCTGTACAGCCATTGACCTGATTTCACCCCATCCTCTTCTGGCGTGAACCTTCGCTTTCCCTAACAGTACTACGGAGGTGGAGGAGGACAGCAGAACTACTACCCACCGCAAGGAGGTCAATACCCCCAACAGGGAGGATACCCTCAGCAGGGCGGGTATGGCGCACCCCAGGGAGTGAGTTGCATTGCATCGGAGGGATGCTTCACGACTCGACCTATTCAGAAGGAAGAGCGCCGAGTAGAAGGAGAAGGGCCCTGATGCTGATATGATCATCCCCTCACTCTCTCGCTTCACAGGGCTACTACCCACCACAGCAACCACAGCAGGCATACGGAGGAGGACAGCAGGGCTACTACCCTCAACCGCAAGCTCAGCCCGTGAGTAGCGCGAGGCGGAGGCAAGGGAAGAGAGCAGGGAAAAGAGGGCACTACAGATGTAGAGGACTGGGATACTGACCCATTTGCGCCCCCGATGTCTGTCTCCTACTCCCTCGGCCAGGTCTACGTCCAGCAACCACCGCCGAGAAAGAGTGGCGGAGGCTCGGGAACAGGTTGTCTCGCCTGTCTGGCCGGAATGTGCTGCTGCTGTCTCGCAGAGGACATGTGTCTAGACTGCTTGTTCTGAGCGAGCGCAAGCACGTACGCAGCCCAGGTTCCAGGCCGAGGCTGTGGGAGGAAGTTGAGGTGATTAAGCTCTTTGGAAGGAACGGCAACTGCAAGCGAGGCAGGGCAATTTGCCGGATAGGACGATACTGGGAGGAGAGGGAGGCAGGCGCTGCCTTTGCAGTCTGTCAGGATGAGACCACGATGTGAGGCAACTCGAGACGAAATGATGCCCGAGGCAGACTCGAGCCCAAGTCCCTCTGAGATGCCATTTCCAGGATGGATGAAAGCAAGTCTGGATCGGCTCGAAAAGTAAAGGAAACTCAACCTCGCTTGCCCGCCTCGCTCGCAAACGACCAGACGCTTCTCACGTTGCTTTCCCTTCACAAGACCCGTTTCTTTCTTCCTCCCTCTCTCCCTATTTCCTCAGGTTTGAGACGCTCTACCTGTATATTCCCCTTTTCCCTTCTCCCCTTTTCTGATCCTTCCTTTTGCCCCTCTCCATCTTCCTCTTCCTCTCTTCCTCTTCTATTTGAACCCACATGATATGCCACATTCTTTCTTTGCCCCTCTGCTACTTCCCACTCGATGCTTGAGGCTCGACTCTCACCTGCTCGAGGCTCGACTCTCACCTGCTCGACTCTCACCTGCTCGATGCTCGATTCTTGATGCTCGATGCTCGAGGCTCGATGCCCTGCCCTGCCCTGAACTGGCCTGGCCTGAAGTCAACTCTTCCCAAATCCAGCCTCACTCCCCTTCTCCACCCCTTCTCTCCGCTCCGCTGCGCTCCCTCGTTCGTTCGTTCGTTCATTCCATTCAGATCACAAGCCCGGTCTAGTCTGCGTTCCAATTGGGTTGGGTTGGGTTCAAGTCAAGTCAAGTCAAGTCGAGTCAGTTCAGTTCAAGTCAGATCAGATCAGGTTAGGTGAGATCGGATCAGAAAAGGGATTGAATTTGGTGTGTTGCCAGAGTGTACCTCTGCTCTGCTCTACAACTGCTCTGCTCTGCTCTGCAACAATGGGGGGACAATCTTTAAAACCCCCTCCACCCCACCTGGTGTTTCTCCTTCTATTCTCTTCCCCCCCCTCCCCTCCCCTCCCGGCCCCTGCACCTCATCTCAGCGACCACCAGCAGTAACTTCAGTATTGCCACTGCCTCCAGGTGTAATAGGCGTGGCCTGCTGTGCCTGCTGCTGCTGGTGTTGTTGATGATGTTGATGTTGTTGCTGCTGCTGCTGCTGTGCCTGCTGTTGCATCTGCTGCTGCTGCTGCTGCTGCAACACTTCCTGCAAAGCCGTTGCCTGCCCAGGCCTATCCTCCAAGAGCTCATAAAGGAGTACAAAGTTCTTGGTAACCCTCTGCCAACTCTCCACGTCCCAGAACATGTACTGTCCCTTTTCAAACATGGGCGTCTTCTGTGTTGGTTCCATTGAAGGCTCCTTTGTAAGCCAGAGCTGCAATTCCTTGTGGAAACGCCAGTTGCGCCGGTGCAGCTCGTGGGCGGCTACTTCTTGCAGAACATCGCGGGGAGTGGAGTAGAAGATGAAGAAGAGGGTCTCGTCGGAGAAGTTGATCGCCTTTGTCTGCGCTGGGGGCGGAGGCTGGACATTGTAGCACGAGGGGAGGTGGAAGTCGGGCTCGATCATCGCCATCTGCGAACGTTGCAGGGGATGAGCATCACTCGACCACGGAGTGTGGAAGGACGTATGTAAAGGACTGATAGGCATGCGGGGTGGCTAGCAACGTCAGCTGGGGCTGTCCTTTGTAATCTCATCTTCTGCGAGACACTCACGCTTCACTGCCCACGTCCAGACCTAACGACTGCAGATCGCTGCCCAGAGCCAGCATCCCAACGTCTTCCGGCTTGGCGCCGTTCGCTCCGCCCGCCCCCGGACCACCGGCTTGCAGCTTGATTATCCTCAGCAGACCAGCTAGACCAAAGCGGTCAGCCGGTGAAAACAGAATCTGTGATGCAGGCGTCGTTGCCGACGGTGGATGTTGCTGCGATGGTGATGACCGCGAAGTTGCGCCATTCAATGCCGCTGACCCTGCACCTGAACCATCTGCCGAAGGCTGCGCCCACGTCTGTGCACCACCTGTACTTGTTGATAGCGAAGGCAGACCAGACGGTTGCGCCGTTCCAATCTTTGTGGCATAATTCTGTGGGGAAACAAGGTCGAAGGGCCGAGACTGCATGATCAGAAGGGAGGCTCAACGGGACGTGACCCTGTGTCTGTCTTCGCAGCATGCCCTGTCCTTCGCGCTACTGACCCTGTCCATATCTCCAAAACCTCCTCTTGCAGCATTGAGAGCCTGTGGTTGACCTTGACTACCTGCTGCTCTATTCGGCGTTTGCGGCGAGCCATTGACCCCACTTAGCAGCCCCATCCGATGAGCTTCTCTTTGCGAGGCCTGATGTTGCAGAGCAGCGGCTGCCGATGCTTGCTCAGCTGCTGCTGCTGCTTGGGCTACACCGCCGTTGGCATTTTGCTGCGTTGCAGCTCCTAATGCGGGAAAGTCGTCGTTGCTGAAGCTGCCACCTGCTTGAGCTGCTGAACCTCCCGCTGAGACGTTCGCTCCCGCTCTGCTTCCTACTCCTCCCAGTGAGGAAGCAAGGTTCGAGGCTGTGGGTGAGACAAACACAGGAATGCGGTCAGTGAACCAGCTCTCAAGATGATGAGCTGCTGTGAAAAGCCTCGCTCAGTCGCAGAAGCTCACCTTGACCCCACTCGGCCTGTCCTTGGTGGCTGTTGCCCGCACCTAGTGCTGGGAAATCGCTCAAATCAAGGTTTCCTTGCGACTGCTGCTGCAGCGATTGGTTCTGCGAGAAGGCTCCGGATCCTGCTGCTCCAAAGGGGAAATTGGCGCCCATTGAGCCTGCAGAAGGCCCTCCTGCCCCACCACGCCCTGCTCCGAAGCTTCCCAGTCCAGGAGATGGTTGACCTAGCGGCCTGCCTGTTCCTGATGGCAGATTCCCTGGCGGTATGCTCATGAAGCCTGCTCTAGCTGCTCCAGACCCTGAGGGATATAGATAGTGAGTTGTCAGGAAGAGGCAAAGGGGAGAAAGTATGGATGAGCGTCCGTCATCCAATCTGAAGTGCAGCTTGCCGCTCTCCAGACAGCCTTTCCGCGCTACGCCTACCCACCTAGACCTCCCTGCAGTCCCATTGGTAGACTGGCTCCTGCTGCTGCCCCACTGGCTCCTGCTGTTTGACTGTTGCCTTGTTGAGAAGCAATGTTCATCCCCGGCGGGGCAAATGGCCTCTGCTGGCTGTTAAAGGGCGAAGGCGACGAGGAAGTGGGTGGCTGTTGAGGCGTATTGGAGGAAGGCTGAGAAGACCGCGATGGCGTGGAGAGCATGGGTGGCCGTTGCATCTCCCCTCGGGATCGCGGTAAGAAGCGAGACGAGGTGAAGAGGAGGTCTCGTAGGATGTGCGAGGTGGAAGGGGAGGATGTATGCTGCCAAGGTTGAGCAAGTGGCCCGGGTGAGTGAGTGAGTGCGTGAGTGGTGGTGGTCCGTCGTCGTTGCTCTGGCGAGGCGAGGCGTAGAGCCATTGGCGTTGCGCGGAAGCGCACAGGCGGAGCGGAGGCGGAGGCAGGCGGACACAGGCGCACACAGGCGGACACAGGCACACACCCACGCACCCACACTCGAGCACCCAGGCAGACGCCGCCCGCCTCGACGTGTCCCTGGCTGAAGCTCAAGGCAGAGGAAGCAACGCAACCAAAGGCACAAGGACATCGTTGTTCTCGACCTCCCACTGCTGCCCTCACCACCTTCATCATCAGCACAGCGACACATCGAACAAGCATTTGGTATCACTGCTATCATTAGACAGTCCCTGTAGACCATGTCTGGCCCACCAAAGGAAGAGGTGAGCAGGCGCGAGCAGAAGAAGCAACGCAGGAATCAAGCAAGCAACACACGGCGTTCACAGTATGCTCATCAGCCTACACCTGCCTCTACTCCCCTCTCCACAGATCGCAGAGATCTTCAAGCATCTCAGGACCGTACAGAAGGGCAACAAGGTGAGATCAGGCTCGGCTTCAGTCCATCACACACACCCGCAATGGCCCAGCAGCTGAAATTCGTCTACCCCTCCCTCTCCTTACCCCTCTTTCTCCAGGTATGCTTCGACTGTGGCGCAAAGAACCCTACTTGGGCCAGCGCAACCTACGGAATATACATCTGCCTGGACTGCTCTTCCGTCCATCGTAACCTCGGCGTCCACATCACCTTTGTGAGGTAAGTAGCAGGACAGTGCAGGGCCTCTACAGCATGCCTAGCCACAGCCAAGCTCAGTCTTCCTTGTGATGAACACCCCCCGGCAGATCCACCAACCTCGACACCTGGACATGGGCACAGCTGCGAATGATGAAGGTCTCTGGGAATGCCAACACCAGCGACTTCTTCTCCAAGCACGGCGGCAACCACCTCTTGGCCCCTTCTACCGAAGGCAAAGTCAAGTACACCAGCCAGGCAGCAGTAGCATACAAGGAGGAGCTCAAGAAGCGCCTCGTTGCAGATGCTAGTCCTGGCCAAATCAGCGACCCAGTCATCTTCCCCGGCATGGCCTCGGCGTTTGCAGCTGACACGGCCGCTGAATCTGCAGGCACTGCTGCCGATGAGGAGGACTTCTTTGACGAGTGGGACGAGCCTGCGCAAAAGGCCAAGAAGGCCACGGCCGTCGTTGCCAAGTTGCCTGCGCCATCAGCAGGCGTATCGTTGCCTCCTGGCATTGGTAGAGGCAGGCCTGCTCCTGCTCCTGCTCCAGCGGGCAAGGTGGTAGATGCCCCTGGCTCTGCCGTCCTAGGTGCTCGTCCCGCTGCCTCGCCTTCGCCCAAGCCCGTCTCATCTTCATCACTCAGGCCAGCTTCCCGAACCTCTACCCTGGGAGCAGTGAGATCCGGTACTTCCACACCCACCGGCGCTGCCCCAGGCGGTTCTTCTGCAGCAGGCGGAGCATCGAAGCTGGGAGGTGTCAAGAAGGGAGGTCTCGGAGCCAAGAAGGGTGGACCTGTCATTGACTTTGAGGCCGCCGAGCGGAAAGCCAGGGAAGAGGAGGCAGCCAAGCTCACCGCCTCTCTCGAGTCAGAGGCACGGAAGCAGGCAGACAGGCAGGCTGAGAGCATTGCAAAGCAGGCCATTGTTGCTGCTACGCAAGCGCAGGCTGCTGCTACTGGCTCGGCGTCCACATCTCAGACCACCGCTGCCTCTGCTGCGTCTCCTCCGCGTAGCAAAGGACCCACGCGGACAAGTGGAGAGATCGACAGACTGGGAATGGGCTTTGGAAAGATTTCCGTTCGTCAAGGGCAGGTTCAAGACAAGCTTGACAGGGAGAGGCTCGCCAAGGTGGCAGCTCGAACAGCGGCAGAAGCCGATGAGCCCAATTATGCACGAGCGAAGTTCGCAGCTCAGAAGTCCATTTCTTCCGATCAATACTTTGAGCGGGGTGGGTACGATGCAAATGTCTCTGCTGAGGCCAAGGCACGTCTGGCTGGCCTGTCGGGAGCGACGAGCATCTCGAGCAATCAGTACTTTGGTCGAGAGGAAGAGGAGGCAGACGACGAGGATGGTCAAGGGGGCCAAATGGCTGGCAAGGAAGACTGGGCGGGAGACTTGGAGCAGACGGCCAAGGAGTACTACTCGAAGTTCATGGCAAATCCAGATGTGCAGAGCGGCATCGAGAGCTTCCGAGCAGGCGCTATGAAGGTGAGTTGTAAGAGGGTGAGGAGATGGTGAGATTGCGTTGCTGACCACATCGTTCTCGTTCCTCTGCTCAGTTGTCGCAATACCTGGAAGACATGTCTCGCAACGGCGGATAGTGTGTCTAAGCTGCGACTGTCGCAATTGAGGCTGATAAGCCACGTGTGTCCGTTCTACTGTCTCTAGCGCTTCCCATTCATACATACACACCATTGTCCTATAGATCTTCGCTGCCTATCGGTTGCTGGAGTGCGTGGCTTCCCCCGCGAATGAGGAGACTTTCGGAAGGAGCGGTGCTTGAAGATCGACCGGCGGGGAAGTGGGAAGGTGTCACATGGCTCGCCAGCCGAGTTGGCGAGTGGCCTACCTAGGTACCTGTGTCTTGTCCGTCATGGATTTCTGAGAACAATCTTCGCTGCTCGCTTCTTGCGCCGTCATGCCTCGGTCGAGCTGTCTCTTACGAAACCTCTGATATTGAGGCGCCGGCATGGCCCCGGGTGACACGGGTGTGTTGATGGATCTCCCCCGCCCGGCTGCGAAGCGCCACGGCCGAGTCGAGAGCGGGGCGAAAATGCGCCCTGCGAGGGTTGCGCCAGTCGGTCAGTCAGTCAGTCCGCTCCGCTCCGCTTGGCTTCGTCCAGCCTGACCGCCTCCTCCTCCTCCTCCTCCTTCTCCTCATCCCCTCTCTCCACCACTCACTCCACAATCGCTTCAGGCGCCCTCGCTCTTACCTCTACTGCTTTTCACCCCGCACGCTTGGGCTGGAAACAATGTTGAGGACGGCTTCCCTGCAGATGAGAGCCGGCGCTCTGGCGGCTAGAACCACTACCGCCTCCGCCGGTGCTTCCTCGCGCTTTGCCCCCCGTCTGCCCATGACCTCTGCTGCCGCTCGTCACTACAAGACGTCGTCGCAGCAGAAACAGGCAACACCCGTGTCGTCGAAGCCTCAGGCTCCATCGGGACATGACTCGTTTAACACTACGTGAGTTTGACCAGCTACTAGCCCTCTTGCCACTCGATGTGAATTTCCAGCCCGCAATCCTTCCTCCACCCTTTACTGACACACTACCGCGCCCCTCGCCCTGCTTGTGCTATGCTAGTACCAATGCCTACTATGTTGAGGAGATGCAGCGACGATGGCGTCAAGACCCATCCTCGGTCCATGCCAGCTGGGACGTCTACTTCTCCGGTCTGGACAATGGAATGTCTCCCGAACAAGCTTACCGTTCACCTCCTTCCCTCACCGGACTGCCCCTCGATGCTGGACCAGTCGACTACGAGAGCTTGTCGAGTGGAGCACAGAATGTTGATGACCACTTGAAGCTACAGCTGCTGGTCAGGGCTTACCAGGTGAGCCATCGCAGCACATGCATGCGAGTAATGCAGAGCTTTACGCTGAATTAGGATGTTGCTGCTCTTCTTCTCCCTCGCTCGCACCTGACAGGTCCGTGGCCACTCCATTGCCAAGCTTGACCCTCTGGGTATCATCGATGCCGACCTCGACGGCACTGTGCCCACTGAGCTCTCTATTGAGCACTATGGCTGGACTGAAAAGGACCTGGATCGTGAGATGCAGCTGGGTGCTGGTCTCCTGCCCAACTTTGTCAAGGCCGGCGTGCAGAAGCTGACCATCAGAGAGGTCATTGAGGCGTGTAAGAGGGTCTACTGTGAGTAGCGAGTGGCAAGTGGTTCTGGAGAAAAGGCAGGGACTTGCAGAGCTGACACGCCCCCTCCGCTCTTTTTCCCTCTTTCCAGGTGGCAGCATTGGTGTACAGTACGTCCACATCTCTGACCGAGACAAGTGTGACTGGTTGCGAGAGCGACTAGAGACTCCCGAGCCATTCAAGTACTCTGTCGAGGAGAAGCGGACCATCCTGGATCGCCTGATCTGGTCGGACTCGTTTGAGCGCTTCATCGCCTCAAAGTACCCCAACGAGAAGCGATTCGGTCTCGAGGGAGGAGAGTCGCTCATCCCCGGTGTAAAGACCATGATTGACCGATCCGTCGAGTATGGAATCGACTCGGTCACGATCGGTATGCCCCACCGTGGTCGTCTGAACGTCCTCGCGAACGTCATTCGTCGACCCATTGAGGGTATTCTGCATCAATTCGCTGGAGAGGACACCGAGGGAGGTGGTGATGTAAAGTACCATTTGGGTGCCAACTACGTCCGCCCTACCCCCTCTGGAAAGAAGGTTGCCCTGTCGCTCGTTGCCAACCCCTCGCATCTGGAGGCCGAGGACCCCGTCGTTCTGGGCAAGACCCGAGCTATCCAGGACTTCAAGGGTGACAAGGAGCACCAGACTTCCATGGCTTTGCTGATGCACGGTGACGCCGCCTTTGCCGGTCAGGGTGTCGTGTACGAGACGATGGGAATGTACAATCTGCCCAACTACGCCACGGGTGGTACCATCCACATCGTCGTCAACAACCAGATTGGTTTCACCACCGACCCTCGATTCTCTCGCTCTACGCCTTACCCCTCGGATATTGCCAAGTCGATTGATGCCCCCATCTTCCACGTCAATGGAGACGATGCCGAGGCTGTGACCTTTGTTTGCCAGCTCGCTTCTGACTGGCGAGCCAAGTTCCAAAAGGACTGTGTCATCGACTTGGTCTGCTACCGACGTCACGGACACAACGAGACCGACCAGCCCGCCTTCACGCAGCCACGAATGTACGAGGCCATTGCCAAGCAGGAGTCTACCCTCACTCAGTACACTCGTCAGCTCGTTGACGAGGGATCGTTCTCCCAAAAGGACATCGATGAACACATGAAGTGGGTGTGGGGATTGCTCGAGGAGGCGGCAGAGAAGTCAAAGGGGTACTCTCCAGGAGAGCGAGAGTGGCTCTCGTCTGCTTGGGAAGGGTTCCCGTCGCCAAAGGAGCTGGCAGAGACGATTCTCGACCACCACGACACTAGTGTGAGCAAGGAGACTCTGCAGCACATTGGTAGTACCATTGCCTCGGTGCCTGAGGGCTTCGAGGTGCACAAGAACCTGGGTCGTATCTTGAAGAACCGAGGAAAGACTGTGACTGACGGAGAGGGTATCGATATGCCCACTGCCGAGGCACTGGCTTTCGGATCGCTTGCCATGGAGGGCAACTACATCCGTGTCTCGGGTCAGGACGTCGAGCGAGGTACCTTTTCGCAGCGCCACGCAGTCATTCATGACCAAAAGAAGGAGGCTACGTATACTCCGCTGTCTAACCTGTCAAAGGACCAGGCACCCTTTGTCATCTGCAACAGTTCCCTGTCCGAGTTTGGATGTCTCGGCTTCGAGCTCGGTTTCTCCCTCGTGGACCCCAAGAATCTGACAATGTGGGAGGCTCAGTTTGGTGACTTTGCCAACAATGCTCAGTGCATCATTGACCAATTCATTGCTTCTGGAGAGCGCAAGTGGCTACAGAGGACTGGTCTGGTTGTCAATTTGCCCCACGGATACGACGGTCAAGGACCCGAGCACTCTTCTGGTCGACCGGAGCGTTTCCTGCAGCTCATGGACGACAACCCATTCATCTTCCCCGACGACAATGCGATGAACCGTCAACACCAGGACGGTAACATGGCGGTGACGTGTCTGACGGAACCTGCCAACCTGTTCCACGTTCTGCGTCGACAGGTACACCGTGGGTTCCGTAAGCCCCTGATCAACTTCTTCTCCAAGTCCCTCTTGCGTCACCCAATGGCTCGCTCGAAGCTGGAAGACTTTATGCCTGGCAGCGCCTTTAAGCGTTTCCTGCCAGAGAAGTTCCCCGAGGAGATCAACTCGCCCGACAAGATCAAGCGAGTCATCTTTTGCTCTGGTCAAGTCTTTGTACCCTTGGTGGAGCACCGCAGGAAGAATGAGATCAAGGACGTGGCCATTGTGCGTCTGGAGCAGCTGGCACCTTTCCCATATGAGGACGTAGTGGCGTGCTTGGACAGCTACCCGAATGCTCAGATCAGCTTCACGCAAGAGGAGCCCATGAATGGAGGATTCTGGGATTATGTCAACCCAAGGATGAGGACCGCCTGCAGACACACGCAGCACCACAAGAATTCCCTCACCCTGCTTACTTCACGACCTCCTTATTCGAGTGTGGCTACAGGAAGCAAAAAGGTACACTTGGCCGAGCTGCAGAAGTTGGTGGATCAGAGCTTTGATCTGAGTAGGGAGGCATCGCACACCTGAGCGAGAGGAAACGGAAATGGAGGGGAAAAGCGTGCCCCGTCTCGATGTGTGCACATGAATCGGATGAGATGGATCTTTCAATTGCCATTCGTGATGCGATGATGCGTTTCGATCCTTTGTGGCGTGTGTGTGAGGCGTATGACGGATGTTTGTCGAGTGTGTGTCGAGCGTATGTCGAGTGTGTGTCGAGCGTATGTCGATGTGAGCTTCCCTTTGTTCTCGTCCCTGTTCAGCTCAGCGACAAGGCGCCGGACCAGGCTAAGAGCAACTTTTGGTTAATGAGTAGACGCAGACGCAGGTACGGCACACACACACACACACACACACTCGCGCGCGGTGACACACACATGGGGCGATGTCTTGGATTAGAACGCAGGTACGGCGCTATCACGATGATGATGATGATCTATTTGCATTGCAACGCGATGCGATGCGTTGGAAACCAGTCAGCAGAAGCGAACAGCGAGGGTGGGAGCTGAGGTCAAGTGGGGGCTGAGAGCTGAGAGCCGGGAACCGAGAGTGAGATCTGAAAGCTGAGAGAGAGCAAGAGCAAGATTGTGCGTGTGCGTGTGAGTTTAGGCTGTGAAGTAAAGGTGAGTGAGCTTTACCTTGCCTTGTGTGCCCTCGCCTATGCTTGTACAATTTCCCGGAAATGCTCCATGCACACACACACTACACGCATCCGGCTAGCACCCCTTTTTTCCCTGCTTGAGCTGCCTTAGGCGAGATTGACACGAGTTGTTCGCTCCTTTCTTCACGGCGTCCAAGGAGGCGTAGACGTTGCATGCAAAGCAGGACAGACGCCGCCTCCTCTCTCTCTCTCTCTCTCTCTCTCCCTACTTTGCCTTGCAGATGCGGCGGGAAGGGAAGGGGGGGGGTGGGGGCGGGAGAGCGTGGGAATTGACCATGTGGGTGGCTGCGTTGGCTGACTTGACCTCGGCTGGCGGGGCCGAGGGTGTGTGGCTTGGGTTGGGTCGGTTGGCCTGGTGGCAGGGCGCGAACTTCTTTTTTACCTCCGCTCCGATGCTCCGATGCTCCGCTCCGCTCCGCCCTGCCCCACTTTGCCCGGGATGGCTGCCCCTGTGCTCGCCTTGTAGTCTGATGAGTGCGTGCGCCTAGCCGTCATTGGGCGCATAGAGGCGAGTGCAATCAGCTTTCCTCGCCTAAGAGGCAGAGTCTGTCCTGTCCTGTCCTGTCCCAAGGTCCTCGGTCCGCTGGAAGAGAGCTGCTGCTGCTGCTGGTCAACCAACAGACGTCCCACATCCGCATCAAATCAAAATCCAATCCAAAATCAAGACTACTCCACCGCCCTACAAACCACCAATTGACCGGGGACCGGTAGCGGCATTCGACGACCCAACCCCACCCCTTTCTCATCTCAATAGCTGCTTGCGGCTCATTTACTGAACACACACACACACGCGGAACGAAGACGGTAGTGCAGACTTCACTCGCTTCTGTGCAGCAGCTGCGTCGTACTTGTCCCTCCGGATCACTTTGTCGTCTTGACTCCCTACCATTGCCGTCTTGACTTTCCTCCACCACCACCGCCTCCTCCTCATCGTACTCTGTACCCACTCACTCACTCTAGGCACTACCACCACCCGGTACTACTGCTGCTGATCAGCTGGAATTAAGTGCTGCCATACACTGCCGAGGACCTCTGACTTGCAGCTGCAGAAACGAGGCACAACCGCCTACCCACGGGCCTCACCGCATAGCGAGCAAGCGAGCAGTTTCACGCTAGAGGAACACACAGCAGCAGCAACAGCAACGGGGCCTCGCCGCTAATCCCGTGCCGTCGAGCAAGAGCGATCAGTGCCTGCCTCGCGCCCGAGTGATCACATCAATCAAGAGCCACTGCATTCAACACACACCTACATCACCCTTTTCCCCCTCGAAATGTCCTGGAAGCTAGGCAAGAGTGAGTAGCACAATTGCAAGGCAAGGCAAAGGCCAGGCGAGGCGATGCAATGAGATGGCGCTCGGTCCCTGAGGCCCGTAGCAGGCCCTTTGCTGCTTTGCCCGCCCGCTCGCACCTTCCCTCGATCGTCTGCTGATCGTCGTACACTCCCTTTCTCCTTCCCCCTCCCCCGCCCCCCTTGCTCTTCCCTCTTATCTGCTCTACAGAGATCAAAGAGGGAGCCCTCGGCACTCGCTCTCCCTCTACACCCACCTTTCCTGACCGATCTGCAACGCCCACCCCACAACACAATAGCATGAACGGTCAAGGTAGCAGCACCTCCAATTCTCAGCTGGGCCCTGGGCCCTCTTCCTCCTCTTCCTCTTCCTCTCCCACCAATTCTCCCCTCGCCTCTTCCACCGGTGCTCCCATCCCGCGCTCTGGTCTGCTCACCATTCGAGTGGTCGATGCTAGAGGACTCGCCCTGCCACAGGGGGTGAACACACCACCCTCGATTGCCCGCGCTCTGGCACAGTACGGTACCGCGGGTAGTGGAGCTGGCACCTCCTTTGCCCAGAGCTTTGCCAACACCCATGGCGGCGGCAGTGGAGGTCACCCGCATAGGGGCAGTATGCAGAGGAAGCAGTGCTGGTGGCTGCCGTACATTGTCCTCGAGTTTGACAAGAATGAGATTCTGATTGATGCGTTGGGAGGAGATATTCAGGGTCCGGTATGGATGTACAAGGCGCACTTGTGAGTGGGCAGAAGAAGGGGAGCAGGTGGGTCAGCGCAGCGATGCTCACATAGAAGTCTCCACTTTGCCCCTCTCTCTCCCCTGCCAGTGATGTGTCGAGGATCTCAGAAATCTCGCTGCAGACCTACCTGCGATCTGGTGATGGCGCAGGAGCAAGCAATACCGCCAACGCCAATGGCAAGGACCAGAATGGCGACGATGTCATGGGTGGTGGTGACATCTTCCTTGGTGGAGTCAAATTCGTTCCCGACTTTGACCACCCACGTGGGACAGATCAGTGGTATCCCATAAGCGGCGGTAGTGGTCACCTGCACATTCAGGTGTCTTTCAAGAATGAGCAGTCTTCGCTCAACATGGAAGCCTTTGAGCTGCTCAAGGTCATTGGCAAGGGAAGCTTCGGAAAGGTGATGCAGGTGAGGAAAAAGGACACTTCGCGGATCTATGCCCTCAAGACCATTCGCAAGGCACACATCGTCTCGAGGTCCGAGGTCACCCACACCCTGGCGGAGAGGACCGTCTTGGCACAGGTGAATAATCCATTCATTGTCCCGCTCAAGTTTTCCTTTCAGAGTCCCGACAAGCTCTACCTTGTCTTGGCCTTTGTGAATGGAGGAGAGCTCTTCCATCACCTGCAGAGGGAAGGCAGATTCAACGAGGAGAGGAGTCGATTCTACGCAGCTGAGCTGCTCGTGGCTCTGGAGCACCTGCATGGCTTCAATGTCATCTACCGTGATCTCAAGCCGGAGAATATCCTACTGGACTACACTGGTCACATTGCGCTGTGCGACTTTGGTCTCTGCAAGCTCAACATGGGCGATCAGGAAAAGACGAATACCTTTTGCGGGACGCCCGAGTATCTTGCTCCTGAGCTGCTCCTCGGCCACGGCTACACGCGTGCAGTAGACTGGTGGACACTGGGTGTGCTCCTCTACGAGATGCTCTCTGGTCTGCCGCCATTCTACAGCGAGGACGTGAATGAGATGTACCGCAAGATTCTACAGGACCCGCTGCGATTCGGCGATGAAATTTCTCCCGACGCTCGTTCGCTCCTCACTCTCCTGCTCAATCGCGACCCTCAGCAGCGTCTGGGCTCTGGCGTGGGAGGTGCACAGGACATTAAGCGTCATCCATTCTTCGCGCGCCACATCGACTGGAAGAGGTTGCTGGCCAAGAAGGTCCAGCCGCCTTTCAAACCCGCAGTGGCGAGTGCAATTGACACTTCCAACTTTGATCCCGAGTTTACGGGAGAGGTGCCGGTGGACTCGGTGGTGGACGATAGCCACATGCTGAGCGCGACGGTGCAGGAGCAGTTTGTGGGATTCAGCTACAATGCGCCTCCCCATCTCGATGTCATGTGAGGAGTCGTGGGTGGATGGAGGACGGAGGACAGAGGTGCCCTCTCCTTCCCTCTCCTTTCCTGGTGTGCAAAGCGTGCGGCGGATCTGATCTCGGGCGAGCTTTCGCTAGCAAGAGCTAGAGGCATTCCTCTGTCTTTGTTTCTCCCCACCTACCCATCTACCCTCGCCGCACACCCCTCTGAGGCTCACCACCACCCTGACCTGACGAACCCCCCGACGACCGCCCCGACGACCGCACTCGTGCTCAACCCCCCCCCCCCCCCCACCCCCGCATTCAAAGTCCAGCCGAGGTACCATTGCTCCCCTGTCTCCTCTCCTGTCAATTACATTCGCTTGAAAGTCAGCGCACGCGTCGAGGAGACGTTTGTGAGAGTGTCAGCCGGGAGCTATCGAAAGAGAAGAGGAGCCCCCATACCCAAACTCCCCTTGCCTGTCTTGCACAAGTTGTGTCACTCACCACCGAGGGTCAGCAGGCGGCGAATCCCCAGGCTTGTGCTTCCCTTGTGCGTGTGTGTTCTGTGTGTGTCTCTCTCTCCCCGTTGCAACTCCGCTCAGGCGCGCGCTGCCCGCCTGGATCGATCGATGGGCCACAGGCAGGCAGGCAAGGCGCGAGAGGCGGGAGGCGGTGGACTCCGAATGCTCCGTCAGCAGGCAGAATCCCAAATCTCACCATCCACCCAGGGCGAGGCCAGGCGAGGGTCCACTTGTCCACCCACACCTTCCAACGCATCGTACCACTTTTCTCACCTACATCACAATACATTGCGACGCTCCTACAATCGTCGCATCGTCCCTACTTGTACTTGTCTCGCATTGCTCACGTATACTGAGCGCACCCCTTGCGCTCTCGCTCTCCCCTGAGCGGGCCCTCTACCCACGTCTCCTCTGACGTAGAGACTCACTGGACCAGACCTAGACCGGTCGTATCGCGTCCTCTCCCGTCGTCTACCGCTCGTACTTTGCACACCCAGTCGCATCGCACCCAAAATGGGATCTCAGCAGTATTACCGTCCCAATGCATTTGCGGGGAGGTCCTTTTCGTCCTACACTGCCGGTCCCTCTACGCCTACCATTGGACTTAGCAGCGCAGCCACTCAGGGCACCGCCTCCGCTAGTGGGACTGCCACGCCGGACTATTTCCAGCACGCCCATAGCAGATCGCACTCCCTCCCCTCCTCTGCAGACGTGGTGAGCTCACCTGTGGCAGAGGGTTGGAAGGGAGGATCGGGAGTTGTAGCAGAAGTGGATGAAGAGAGTCAGAGGGAAAAGGTGGCGGCTATGGAGGAGCATCAGAGGAGGTTTGCAGAGGCCAGAGATGGGTGAGTAGAGAGAGTGGGCGAGAGTGGGCTAGAGAACGAGGTGGTGGCGAGTTTGCGTAAAGGCGCTTGCACTGACATCCCTTCCCCTCTTACCGCGCCCGCCAGTCTGATCGCTGCGATCGACGACACGTCCGAGGTGCTCACCTCCCTTCGCCAATTCAATGGCGAGCGATGGATCGTACACTACCCTGCCATTGATAGACGGCCAGACAACCCGGAGCGACCCTCGCCACGACGTGCGCAGTCCGTTGCCCCTCGCAAAGAGGGTGGGAAGGTGGAGGAGGGTAGCGTGCACGCCACACCGCTCCACCCGGGAATGATGAGGTGCAGCACCGAGGCTCCTCATCACTCGAATAGCATGCCCGTCTCGCCTACACAGTGCGCCACGCCCAACACCATTCAGGAGGAGGAGGGGGAGACCCGCGAGCAGGAACACCACGCATCTGCCGTGGCGACTGCCGATGACCAGAGCGAAATGTCGGTGCTGCGACTTGACCTCAAGCTGGGTGCGGCTGGGAACAACCCTCAGGCCCTCGTGCGCAGTCTGGAAAAGTCCAGCGTCGCTCAGCTCCTCGACGAGAGGATGACTTCGTCGATTCGCCAACTCGACAGCCTGCGAGAGCGCATCAGCGACACGCAGTCAAAGGTCCTCGTCACTGGTGACCTCAATGCCGGCAAGTCGACATTTGTGAATGCCCTCATGCGCCGCAAGCTGATGCCAGTCGACCAGCAGCCTTGCACGACGGTCTTTTGTGAGGTGCTGGATGCTGAGCAGATCAACGAGGGGCGCGAGGAGGTGCACAAGATTAACCCCGGCATGTCGTATGACGTGCAGAATGCAAACACGTACACTAGGCACACGCTGGAGGACGTAGAGGGGATCGTGGCCGAGGCGGAAGATGTGGACCCGCAGGACGCACCGCTGCTCAAGTGCTACTGCCACGACACGAGGTCGACGCAGGAAAGTCTGCTCAGGAACGGCATCGTCGACATTGCCCTGATTGATGCACCCGGTCTCAACCGCGACAGCCTCAAGACTACCGCTCTTTTCGCACGACAGGAGCAAATCGACGTCGTGGTGTTTGTGGTGTCGGCGGAGAACCACTTTACCTTGAGTGCAAAGGAGTTTCTGTGGAACGCAAGCAATGACAAGGCCTACATCTTCATCGTCGTCAACAAGTTTGACCAGATTCGCAACAAGGAAAAGTGTAGACGGTTGGTGTTGGAGCAGATTAAGCAGCTCTCGCCGAGGACCTACGAGGATGCCGAGGAGCTCGTGCACTTTGTCGACTCCAGTCGCGTGATGGGTGGTGAGAGTGAGGGGGACAGCTCGCCCATTGGCACACCTATGGAAGGACAAAAGGTAGCTGGAGATACCCTCGCCACGAGTGCGACCGCCACCGCCGCTCCGAGCTTTTCGCAACTCGAGGCCTGCCTGCGCGACTTTGTGCTCCAGCGACGAGAAAAGTCGAAGCTCATGCCTGCTCAGACGTATCTCCTGCGACTGCTGTCAGACATTGACTTTCTCGCCAGCACCAATCTGCAAGTTGCGAATGGGGAGCTGGAAGAGGCACGACGACTGCTGGAGGCTGCTCGCCCGGCGCTGGCGAAATGCCAGGCAGCGCACGCCAAGATGGAGCATCTCCTCGAGGGAGAAGAGGATACTGTGACCGCAAACGTCGCAAAGGACGCGCAAGAGAAGCTGAGCGGTGCCGTCGAGCTCATCGCACAAGGACGGACCGCTTCGCCATCAGTCACCCTGCCCGCCTACCCTGGCTTCTTTGGCGCACTCGACTATGCCGCCGAGGTGCGAGACGCCTTTTTGCGCAGTCTTGCCATGGCAGTAGGCGAGGCCGAGGAGGTGGCAAGGGGTGCGACTACTCAGGGTGTTGCCCGTATCAGGGAGATGGGCGAGGCTCACTTGCCAACCGACGTAGAGCGCTCAGGCCGGGTGTTCTTCCCGGAAAAGATGTTCACCAAGCGCCTCGCGAGGGGCAGCGTCGCCGGATTGGGCCTCGGCGCAGACATCACCGAAGCGAGGATGAGCGACGTGTTCGACCTTCCGCACTACATCCACATTGTGACCAAGGGCGACGGCGAAGAAGACGACGTCAAGGACAGCAAGCGTACCGTCGAGGAAGAAGTGGGCCTCATTTCAGGTCTCTCCCTCGGAGTGGGTGCATTGACCCTCTTTGGAGGCAAAGCCTACGGCGCCAAGTCTGCTCTAGGTGCCATTCTCAACTTTTCCAACCTAGTGGCCAATCCAACCGTCCGCAAGTGGGCACCGACCGTCGTCGCCGTCGCCACCGCTGGGTTTGTGGTGTATGTGATCCACGACTTGCCGAATTCGATTCCACGGAACGTGGGCAGATCGATGAAGAAGGAGCTCGCAGGGAGTGTGGCCAGTGGTGGAAAGAAGGGAGTGTCCTCCACCACCAACCGCCAAGCCCTTACCGTCGCGCCGTCGTCGGCACTCACCGTCGCCTCCCCTCCCCTCCCGTCCTTTTCCACTCAACACTCGGAGCGTCTTTCCCGCGAAGTGCGCAAAGTCCTCCGAATGGCCGGTTGGGACCTTCAAGAACGCTTCCGCGTCGCCCTTGCTGAACGTAAAGGTCAAGTGGATCGTCTGGAAGGGCAGGAGAGGAGGAGTGTAGAGGCAATTGAGTGGTTTGGAATTACGGGAGAGAAGGTTAGGGTTGTGAGGGGGAGGGTTAGGGAGGTTAGGATTGCGTGAGAGGGGGTGAGCGAGAGTGAGCGAGGGTGAGCGAGCGGGGGAGGTGAGACAGAGGGCGAGACGAGGGGATTGTACAGAATATAAGAAAACAGCAGGGGAAAGAGGACACCCCTCGAACGAACCACTTTAGCACCGCTACGATCTAGCTGCACGACCACGATCACAACACCACACCACACTGCACAGCCCTTGCAATACGTGTTTCTTTTTAGTCCAGTATCCATTCATTCCAGATGCACCCACCCACACACACACACACATTGTTCGCACTCGCACTTTTCGCAATCTTGACTTTCTTGCTCCATGCATGCTGCGTGTCCCTCCTGTCCTTTTGTCCTGTCCTGGTCGTCTAGCCCTGGTCATGTGTCCTCACTGCAAGAGCGTCTGCGTCCCCTCACGCCATTCTGGCGCATCGATCCATCCATCTGCTCCAGGGTGCAACCGTCTGCTGCGGACGGGCAATTGGCGCTTAGGGTAAGGGTAAGGGAAGGGTCGTCCGTGGTTTCTTTTGTTGGCGTTTTCGGTTGGTTGAGGGTTGGGATTGGGAGGGGGAATGGTACATGTCATCTGTACAGTCAGACGAGCATGAGCGACTAGGGTAAGGGAAGGGCCGTTCGTGATATTGTTGGCGTTTTCTGCTTAGGATTAGGGAAGGTATAGTACTGTAGACATCTCGGGTCAGATTGATGTGACGGGGTGCTTTCGGACACCACCTGCTTCAGCGAACACACGTGAGACAGATATACAAAAAAGGCATGAATTAGCGACTTCCTGGCGATACAGACTAGCTATGTACAGTAGAGCAGGTATTGAAACGGGACTTGAGTAAACGTTGTACACCTGGCGCTGCGCTGTCGACATAGCGACCCCTTCTTTTGCTCGGCTCGAGAAAGACCCGTCAACATTGGCTCGTTGTGTCATGGATGTCCTTTGGAGAAGCGTGACATGTAATAGCACATGATATCTCCAGAGCGTTACACGCCAGCGGACCTTCGGCGCCAGCTGATGGCTTTGCCAACCCAGGACGACTGCCCTGTGATCCTTCGGTAGCAGATCGACTTGGTCGCCGACGAGATCCACAAGCACCGGAATTGCTGCCTTTCAAACTTTCGCGCAGACTTGCGGGCACTCCATGAAACCATGCTCGATGGAGTCAGGAGAGCTGCAGCCTGGGAAGAGACAGGTACCCTGGCGAGGAGCGCGAGAGGCAACGGAAGCGGCGGTACCGGCGGAAGCGGAAGAGGCCAAGGCGGGAGCGACGATGAGCCTCAGCTCGGATTCCTCTGCCTTGAAGAGCACATCTCCCCACTGCCACCTCTTCCAGACCTCTGCTCACTCCTCAGCCGTAGCCTTGAACCCCCAACCCTCCGGCACTAAGGGAGTAAGCAGCGAAGAGCTTGATGATCCGGAAGCGCCCTGAGCCGTCGCGTCCTGGGCTTTCACTCTCCCTTCGTACCTGATGGGTGTTGAGAGAGTGACGACCAGCTTGCGCCTCTTCTTCGGCGGCGAGGGAGCCTCATCCGGCCTCCTTGCCTGTAACGAGGTGCTCGAGGATTCCTGAGCCTGCCCTCTCCTCTTGTCCTCGATATGGTTGATGCGGCAGAACTTGAATTCCGGTCTCTTGTACTCGGACTGTTGCGACTGCGACGGAGAAAGCCCTGGTCCAGCTGTCCTCCAAACTGCTGCCAGCTCTTCCACTGCAGCCTTGAGTTCTGCGACCTCAAAGACAGTGTTGTGGGCCAAGTGCCACCAACAACCAACGGAGCAGTAGAGCTCGATCCGACACAGCCCCTCATCCATCCCCCGCAAGCGGCACGGAACACCGCCTTCCCCTGTATTGTATCGAAGTAGCGACAGGATACCTTGACCCTATCCGAGAATTGAGGTACATCCCCCTTAGCAGCTCCGCGAATGGAGTCTGCGTCTGTTCATGGCTCTCCTTCCACCGATGTCAGAGTCCAGTGGGCGGATCCTGATTGCGGAGTCCTTTGACAAAGTCCTCGTCAAGCGCATTTCCGAAGACAAAGCATCTACCTTCTGGATGGAGGAGGTTTGAAACCCAACTCTGCCTTGGCGAGGAGTTGACTTGTGTCTGCTCTTATTCGGGAACGAGCCAGCTTAAGGAGCCGCAAGCACAGATCTACCGGATCTAGCCTGCCGGCCAGGCGGTGCATTGCTGCCACGCGTTGGCAGTATGCCAAGTAGCCCTTGCGGGTCTACCACTGATTGTCCTGAAAGCCATGCTGCCCACCTGCGCCGCTTGTCCAAGCAGTGTGTAGCTGCAAGAGTAGTCATATGACGGAAGGTAAAGGTGAGCTATACACCGACTTTTAGGCCAACACACCTCTACCTGTATCGGTGACTTACAGTTCCCTCCGCGACCTTGCTCTCCCACATCAGGGAGCCCGAACCTTCGTCTCAAGATCATCCAGACTCCCTTGTGCTGATATGAGCCAAGGAAAAGACACCATAGGCCCTCCACCATTGTACGAACCTCCTTCTCCTCGTACTTTGTCCGTCTGAAATGTAACACCTGGTCACATCTTTTCAGGAGACTGTAGACCAGCCTCCTGTCTTCCTATGCAGGAATCGTTTTGTCCTTGTAGCACGTCTGGTGCTGGACCGTCCTCTGGAGAATGTCCGAGCTTTGACCGACGTTCAGGATGGCCACGCTCTCCCCTTCGCACCCGACGATCAGATACACGCCGGCTGTGGTCTCTGTGATGAGGTTTTCTGAAGTTGTGAGGCTTTCAGCTCCATCTAAGGATGCTGCCAAGGACAGAGCAGCCTCCACGAAGGGGCATTCAGTACGCTTTTGACGACAGGCTCGTCGGATCTTGCATCATGTCGGCCAGGGTCTTCTTGCCCAGAGTGGAAATGCCTGCCCTTCCGTCGTCTGATAGGGCCTTGAGATCGAGGTTGTCTGCTTGCAGCCAGGGTACTGCTTGGAGTCCAGCGATCTCGTGGTCTTCTACTGAAGTGAAAAATGCAAGAGACACTCCAGAGAACAGCGGCTTGTCCTCTTCCACGGCCCCGAGGATGAAGTCTGTGAGAAGGTTAGGCTGTTCATCGATGAGCCGCATCGTCCAGCGGTCGCTCGCCAGTCTCAAGTCCCTCTCGAAGTCTCTGTTCAAGGTGCTCTTGAACGTTCTGCAGTATGTGGTCGTCGGTGGCTGATAGATCAGCTCACCTCTGAGGAGAAGCCCGCCAAGATGCTCCCGGACTCCGGCCTGCGACAGCTTGAGGATTTTGAGCATGTCCTCTGCCATCTTGTCCCTCCCCGCTGCCCGGTGCCTGGCAGCCATGGTCCTCAGGTGCCAGTTTCGGCCCTTGTAGGCTTTTCACTGACCATCCTGGAATCCATGCTCGCCTGTGGCCCCAGCCCTCTCCTCCCTCGGCTTATCGAAGCAGCGCGTGGCTGCGAGAGGATTCGAAGAAGCATGATCATGGTGAGCGACCTCCACAAAGCGATGGCTCTCAGAACCCACGACTCTACTGGCCACTTACAATTTCCACCACGTACCCGATCGCCGACGTTCACCAACCCAAACTTCCTCCTACACTCCAACCATTCCTTCTTCACCTGGAAGATGCCAGCCACGAGACACCAGAGTCCCTCTGCCATCGTCCTCGTCTGCTTCTCTTTGACAGCGAATTGAGCAAGCCGGAAGTGGTAAACCTCATCGCAAGTCTTGAGCAGATGATAGGCGAGTCTCCGGTCCTGCTCCGCTGGAAGGCTCTTGTCTTCGTAGACGATCTGGTGCTCCAGGGTTCGTCGGAAGACGTCATTCGACTGGCCAACGTACAACGCCGCTACTTTGTCCTTCTTGCAGCCGACAATCAGGTAGACCCCGGCAGGACTCTCCGAGCGCAACCTATGCACGTCTGGGAAAGTTTGACATTGGCCGGAAAGTTTGACATTGGCCGCCTCTCTAACCATGCACAGGCATGTTTAGGCAAGTCGTGACCAGTAGGCTTTCCTCGCCAGCTCAGTGAGGTGCAGCTCCATGTCCTACGTATCATGGGAAATACCGTACATGAGTGACGAGCGATAGTAACATCGTCACAAAGCCTTGTTGAACGTGTGAGCACCTCTAGTAGTAAGAACCTCTTTTGACTTGTGAAAGATTGTTATGAAAAACTCTTTCGGTGAGATAGTCTTTTCGTAGCAATGTCACTGACGCTTGTGATGTCATTAGCCTGAGCTTTCAGTGGAGTGATAGCTCTCAAGGGAAGTCGACCGATGAGGCTGTAAGGGCGTTTGAGCTTACAGACTGTGGCAAGGCTGCTATGAACATGCGAGTGATGATAGAATTGAGCTTATGCCTTCCATAGCTTGCGTCTAAGGTGCTCAGGAGTGCTGACGGCGATAACGTACGACTCTAGTCCCTTAGTGTGCTGAAGTTGGTTGCATATGCGCGTGGTGCTTGAGGATGTAGATGCCAATAGCAAAGAGGCGCGGTGCTTGAGTGTGCTAAAGGTGACAGTGTATCGCCATGATGCTTGAGCTGTAAGGCGATTGCATAATGACCACTGATGATAGGACTTGAGCATGATTAGGGTGCTTGTCGAAGGTGATAGTGCGAGACGAGGGGGCAAGTGCGTGTCGGTGGTGCTTGTGCGTGTCGGTGGTGCTCGTGCGTGTCGATGGTGCTTGTGTGTGTCGATCCTGCTGGAGTGTGGCGATGTCATTGGGCTGTGGCGGCCTTGCTTGCGGGCTACCGATGGTGCTCAACGTTGACGGCAATGACATGTGATCCGGTAGCTTACGCGAGAGAGTCTGCTTGAGCATTGACGAAGGTGTCGGAGTGCTGCGAGAGTTGCTCGAGTGTGACCAGTGGATAGTGTAAGCTGGCTCGAGTGTGAGAGGGTGCTTGAAGTGGCTCAGCTTGCTTGAGTGTGGCGATGGTGAATGAGCGCGTTGTGCTGTGATGATGACGATGGCTTGTAAGTATGACAGATTCTGACAGCAGAGGAAAGTGACTGAATATAGAACTCGCCTTTGAAGATGGTGAATGATCAGAGGCTCTGATCCATGATGAGCAGTGTCAGAGATGGAGGGAGGGGTGGATCGGAGTGACGCGTAGTTGAGCTGACGTGAGGAGGAAGAGGGAAAAGGGGCGCCACTGCTCAGTAGGGCCGTCTTTTTATACTTGAAATGTGATGGACGTTGTGCTGTGCACCGTCGTCCGTACCTGGCGGCAAGATATAGCCACGCGCGCGGTGCAGGGCCACAGCACACAGGGCCATCGACGACTCTTCCACACGAGGTCCCTGACTCAGCAGGGACGAGCTACGGACGCCAGCAAGAGGTGATTTCGACCGGATCAGGCCGATGTCAGGGAATCTCATAGTCCCACTCTCAGCCTACGAGCATTGTCCGCAGCAAATGTGTCCTATCCTTCCCAGTCTCTGACAGTTGCTCCCGATGGACAAGTATTGGGGTCTTTCGCTGTCCCTTATTGATGCAACTCCGAAGAGCGTTGCAGAGGGTCGAGTCCCGAACTCCTGATAGCTCTAGCTTGTCCCTGTCTGTCTACGTGCGTCGCTCCCTTTGGCGACTCAGAGTACAAGGATCAGCGTAGGGGAGATCACATCTGCAAGCTCGATGGTTGAGACGTGGCCTTTGAGCATCAGAAAGCTAGATGCATCGGCGTTCTCCCTATACGCATGGCTCCGTTGTCATGACAGCATCTCACACTCACTGGCGAACGAGGTGGGAGGTAGCGCTCCCTCCTTCTCAGATACGAATCTTCTTGAGTGCTTGTCAGAGTCGAGCAGACTTGGTCTGTGTTTGGGCCAGCGAGTGTGTGTGTGCCGTCTGCCGGATCTACAGACCGCATTGATACTGCAGACATGGCTGGCTCGATAGGAGGTCCGAACGACGCCTCTTCAGCTGAGTGCACAGGGGCTCACCACACCTGCGGAGGGCACGGACCTCGACCATGTGGCACGATGCAGTTACCGGCATGAGATTGCCGACGCGCCGATAAGCGAATTTTGCGGATGTGACTGACGGCATCCGCAAGCACGCTAGAGGTATCCAATGCTTTGATGGTATATCAACAGCACAGCAAGCCCTAGCGCGAGATCATGTTGGCAGCCGGCAAGACAGCGTGGAACCAATGCCATCCCAGGTACGCAATGGCGAACGCAAGGTTGGGTAGCAGCACGAAGACTGGGCTCGCAGCGAAGCGTATATGTGAGTTTCTAAAAGATCCGTCGCTATCAAATGGTTCCATGGTGTAGCGGTAGCATGCTTGCTTTGGGCCGCGCGTTCTCCAATTGCAAGAGGTCATCGGTTCAATCCCGGTTGGAGCCCCTGCTGTCCTAGACAGGCCTCTTTTGCTGCGATTTTGACCGATCTGGCCCGGCTTTGTCCTCATCCTTCGAAGGTGGCTTCTGTGACGCTCTTGACCGCCTCGAAGCTCTCACTACCGTGATTTTGACGTAGAGGTGAGCTTCTGTGACGCCTGGGACCACTACAAAGCTACGCCCAGGTACATCTGTAGGCGCCTCACGATGGCCTCCTGCTGGACGAGCTCACGAAGAGTCACAACGGCTGCGAGCGCTAACAGCCTCAGCACGAAGGAACTACGATGAGATTGCGGCAACCGCGGGAACTAGCATCAAGGCTGATGAAATGGACGATCGAGGTGCAAGCGTTGTCCAGTATTGAGAATAGGTACGATCTCGCGAGAGAAGAGCTCAATGGAGTGCCTCGCAGTCTAGAACACGACCCTCCGGCTCCGCCTCGCCCGATGTGACTTTTTCCCTTTCCGCCTGCGTGCGATTCACTCCCGCTCCTTGAGTCCACACGATACAATCCCTCGCCTTACACGCCCGAGGCAATGGCCGGCTCACGCTTCGCGTACGTGCGCTCTTTTGAGCTGCCCGATCCGGTGCTTCCGGGTGTTTTCATGGTGGTGAGAATCGACGGAAAGGGCTTCCATGGGTGAGGCTGAGCGAGGAGGTCACACACTTCCGCATCGGCCGCGGCAGCTCATTCAGCTTCGCATCCGCCCCCTCCCACCGTACCCGCTCGCCTTTTTAGGTTCTCTCAAGCACATGAATTCGAGAAGCCGAACGATGCGGTCGCTCTGGAGCTGATGAACCATGCTGCGAGGCACGTCTGTCAGGAGTTGCGGGGTGACGTGACGCTGGCCTTCGGCGAATCGGACGAATACAGGTGAGTCGGGAGGGGGGGGGGGGGGGGGGGGGGGGGGGGGGGGAGGGCAATTGTGGTGGTGGTGCGGGTGGACCGTACGTCTGGCGTGAATGGGCAATGTCGCTGACTGCCGGCGATCCATCTTCGCCATTCCACGACCAGCTTCTTGTTGAAGAAGTCTTGCAAGCTGTATAACCGGAGAGAGAGGTGAGCAAAGGGGTAGACGTCTGGCGGGATTCCCCTCACCCCGTACGATCCGCAGCTCACCCCTCCTTTCCACCCTCTCCCTTCGCAGCAAGATTGTCACGCACATAGTATCCCTCTTCACATCCGCCTATGTTTTTTACTGGCCGCAATACTTTCCCAAGAAGGCATTGCAGGGTCCGCCCTCCTTTGATGGGCGGCTCGTAGTGTATCCGGGCGTGCAGGAGGTCAAGGATTACTTTGCCTGGAGGCAGGCCGATAGTGAGTGTGCCAGTGGAGAGGGAGAGAGGGCGTTCGAGAACTCGCAGTACTGAGTCCTCTTCACTCGTTTCCCCCGTCAGCTCACATCAACAATCTTTACAACACGACCTTTTGGTCCCTGGTCCTCCTCTCCAACCCTCCACTCTCGGAACGTCAAGCCCACGAAACTCTCAAGGGCACCGTCTCTTCGCAAAAGAATGAGATCCTCTTCAGCAAGTTTGCGATCAATTACGAGAGACTGCCGGCAATGTTCAGAAAGGGGACGACGGTTGTTTGGACGGAGGTGGAAGAAGAGGAGGGAGAAGAGGTAGAAGGGGGAGACACTGATAATGGCGCTCAGGCCGAAGAGGATGATGCCGCTGCGAGCCAAGATGAAGCTGGTCCCTCAAACGTTCCTTCTCAAGCACAAGGCCAGGTACTAGCTCCTACTCGACCCTCCAGCAAAGTCAGGAAGTCCAAACGACGCAAAGCCCATCCTCGCGAGCTCAGAACACTGCACGTAGACATCATTGGCAGCGCCTTCTGGGAGGAGCCAGAGGCGGGCGCCAAAGCGGCAGCGAGGGCGGAAGGCGGGGAAGAGCGCAGCAAGAGCGAGAGTTGCAGAGGCGCTGGCGTAGAAGATGGACTCGAGCACCGGAAGAGGCTCTACATTCCCATCCCTAGCTCGGTACAGGCAGACGCTGCGCCTTTCCCACCATGGGAGGCTCCCGATCGGACGCAGGGTACTGCAGGTCTTGGACGGTGGGCCTTGAGGCATTAAGGCCAGGTTTAGCATGGGCGATCAGTCACTCAGTCACTACAGGAAGAGGAGCGGGAGAGTGTCATGCCCACGCACTGATCATCTTCGACTTGCACTTAATCACACTTCCTTCCGTATTCTCCCTTTCGCGATCTTGGCTCTGCATTGCTTGCGATGCCAATCAGCCAATGGCGGTGGCAGCAGCTGCGAGGCTGATAGACTAGGAGCTGAGCTCCACCCTCTACATCAGACTGGGCCTGAGCACCGAGAGGAGGGTAGACTGGACTAAGCCACGGGTGATGCGGAACGGTGCGCCAGAGCCGCCAGATCGCCGGTCTCGTGCCGCGCCTCCCGCCTGCTATGCTTGCCTTTTGCCATGCCCCTCTGCCAATGCCTACTTCATGACATATTCTATCTCATCACGATTCCTTTTGGCCAGCTAGACAATACGACGATGACCCTTGACATTGCGCATCGCCATCGATTTGGCTGCTGCACTACGGGAGCATGTAAACCCGAGCCGGTGACGAGCAGCCGCACTGCTGGACTCGATGTATGGTCCGGGCGGAGAAGGGGCCGCACCGCACTGCAGTCGGACGTAGCTCCCCGCGGTGACTTCGGGTGACTGATTGAACTGACCTCGTCGCTCCGGTAGTCTTGTCATCGAGAGGGGGCTCTGCTGACTTTCAGGATCCTCATGCCTCTCATGAAAGCAAGGCTTCGTTCTCAGGTCTCCAACGCAAAAGCCTACCGCCACAGGTGACCCACAATCGATCGCAGTCCTACCTACATGGGTTGAGTGACTGCCTCATGCTTGATCCAAGACAGAATCTTTGGCCACTGTGGCCAAAAGCAGTGCCAGATTTGCCCGGTGGCAACGCAAGATCGCTCATCCGAGCCGACTCTGAGGGATCGTCCGATCCAGCCATGCGTGAAGCGCCTTCCTTGGGTGGACAAAGCAGACGATGACGGCGCGGCTGACGCCGACGTCTCGGATGCTATCAGGAAACTGGGTTGGTCTGTACAGTGGCTGAAAGGGTTCAGAAGATGTCCTGGTTGTAGAAACTTCCTCGCTTAGCTTGGTCTGCTGTGGAGTGAGAAGGTGAGAGACGTTTGTGAGAAGGTGAGGCAATGCGATGCCAGTGGCCAATGGGTGATAACTGACACACTTACCTGCTGCTCTTCAGTCTAACGAGCGGCTTCCGATGCCACCTTTGACGGCAAGAGTGGAGCGTTGTCGAAGCAGCTCCTCTACCAGCACGATGGAGTCACGAGAGTAGAGCGCTGGAGCTGCTTGGGCGGCCGAGGAAAGGTAGCAGGAGGGTCCCGTGCCGGTAGCTCGTGCACGGAGCCGGGGCTAGATCCTCTAGATCTCTCTCCACAGACAGAAGAGAATGAAGGGAGACAAGCATGGTGAATTCCAGGCATGAGCGAAGGCTGTGACAGAACTTCAGCGATGAGACTCATCCGCTGAAATGCCATCCGACGATCTGCCCAAAGGGCTCTATGGGAGGAGAAAGGCTCCTGTTACACTCTTCTGGCACGACCGCTCTCAGCAGCCTGTACCTGCTCAGTCAGGGACTTGTGCCCTGACGAGTAGGGCGTGTCTTCCGGCTCAGTACTTCCGCCCTGGTTCATGCGCTTGAGTATCTTGCCGTCAGGCACGGTGGACGATTGCGCGGAGGCTTCGCCCTCATGACAAGTATATAAGGGCAGCCTTCGAAGAGCGTCTCCCACTTTTCGCTTTTCTCTTCCAGAGCAAGCTAGCCATCGCTCTTCACAACCGCCCTTCCCTCAACTCTCAGACCATCCCTCAACAACAACACCAAATACCATGCACATCTACAGTCCTCATTGACAAGACGCCATCGACCTGCCTTCTCGTCTGCTCTCTAGGACTACACTCATCACCACTCATCACCATCGACACGCTCAAGCCCCCTCAGTACTCATTACGCTCAAGCACCCTCACCACCCACTACGCTCCAGCACCCTCTCTACGCTCAAGCACCCTCACCACGCTCCAGCACCTTCACTACCCTCAAGACTTTTCGACATGCTCATTGTGCTCAGCAGCCCTCGTTACGCTCAAGTTTGTCGTCACACGAAGCAGCCTCTCACCGACAGGTACCTTCGACCTATGCTATCGCCATCAGCACGCTTACGCACTTTCCATACACTCAAGGACTCTCATCGCAGTCTGATACCATCTGAAACTCAAGCATCATGCTCACCTGCTGTCACCTTTGGCACACTCAAGCACCGTCTCCTTATGCTATCGCCTTCAGCGTACTCAAGCACCCTCGTCATGCTCAAGCACCCTCGTCATGCCCAAGCACCTTAGTCATGCTGAAGCCCCCTCGTCATAGCTTATAGCCTTCGACAATACACATCCGATCATAGGTTGATGCTCAAGATCCTTGGCTCACGCCCTCGCCTTGACGCTCAGGCACGACGGTCACACCTTCTGCCATCGACACACTCGAGAAGCCTCGTCATAGACTATAGCCATCGGCACGATCAGGTCCTGTTCTGACAGAACCTCGCCATCAACAAAGCACTAGAGTCATACGCCACTGCCTTTAGCATACTTGAGCGCACTTGTCGCAGGCTACCAACGCTCTCATGCTTAAGCACCCTCAGCATAGTCTGGTCGTAGCAGCTACTATAGATGACAAGTGCCACAATCACTTACTCTCGTTGTGCCAGGTCGATAAGGTAGTGACTTTGTCCGTTGAGGTTAAGTCTCACGGTGCAAGGCAAGTGGACAAGGAGGGGAGGGTGCACTTCCTCTTGGCAGCCAGAGGCCTTCCACACGCCCGGAGGAAGTCTGAGGCCTTGTGGGACCGGGCGATCAAGGCGGTAGAAGTGCTTAAGAAGGGTAAGTGTTGTCGTACATACATCGAGCCAATTGAATAGAGTGCTGACGAAGATCCATATCCCTCTGTACTTGTATAGATCCCCACGGAGTTGCCGGTCTGGAGTCACCGCCTTGGCTGAAGACCGCGGAAATGGATCTACAAGCCTTGTCGGACCAAGGCAGAGCAGGTCTCACGTCGCTCGCCAGACAAATCCTCAAGGCATTGTCTGAAGACCCAGCGAAGTTGTCCAGAGAAAACCTCTGGACACCGTTTGTCATGTCAGGTCTCTGCATGGCCCGGGCAGCGGATGCTGTGTCCGAGACAGAGGAGATGGACGCCCTTCGGTCGGAGAAGCCAGGCCGCATCGAAACTACCTGTTGGTCGGCTGTCAAGGAGCAAGGGTCTCAACCTTGTACATTGGACAGTCCAATGACGTTCTTCGAAGGACCCTCGAGCACCGGACTGTCTACGAGGACTTGTCAATCCCGGCAGACAAGGACGGCAGGCTGGTGTATCACCACCTGAAGCAGTGCGACGAGGTGTTCCACTTCCGGCTGGCAGAGCTGGTGGTCGAGGACAAGGAGGTCAGGACGCTTGTGGAAGGTCTCTGGTGCTTGATCCTTGGGACATTCCAGTACAAGGAGGCCTGGATGGCGCTGAGGAGGAGATTCGGCCTGGTTAATGTTGGGGAGCAGGTCAAGGGGGACAATTGTGAGTGGCTCGAAGGGCTAGCGGCGTATTGAACTCTGACTGAGACAGAGACTTACCGTGACCCCCTTGCATCGAATCTCTTCGCAGCGACCCACTGCTCTGATAAGCCCAGAGCGGAGAGAGCCGGGGAGACGGGAGAGCACGGGCTACAAGACCGAGAGTGGCAGGCGTACAAGTGCCGAGTGTGGAACTTGAGACACCTCGCCTCCGGACGCCGTGCAGCTGGCCAGGGTCGCCAAGCAGAAGATTTCTTGAACATCATCAAGATCTCACAAGCTGCGATCCGCACTCACCTTGGCAAGGTCATTGTCAAGGGAGAGCTGGCGTACCGCCCTCCTCCTCCAGACAAAGACAGCAAGGAGAGGTCGTCAGGCTAGCCTCCAAGGCTTATTGGACCCCCTCTATTGAGAGTGGCTTATGTCTGGCAGAAGCAGCCGAGCGGGTGAAGGACGCTCAAGATATCGACAGATTGCGTGGCGAGAAACCTGCCGGAGTCTACTTGATCGTTGGCTGTAACGGCGACATGGTTAGTACCCTCTACGTCGGGCAAAGCAATGACGTGTTTCGTAGGACACTGGAGCATCGAATCGTCTACGAGGACACCAGTATCCCGGCTCGAGAGGACAGGAGGCTCGTGTACAACTTGCTGAAAGGGTGCGATCAAGTGTTCCATTTCCGGCTCGCCTCGTTCTCGAAGGAGAAGACGGCAGAAAGGACGATGGCGGAGGGACTGTGGTGTCTGGTGTTTGGGACATACCAATTCAAGATGGATTGGATAGCTCTGAGGAGAAGGTCGGGCTGTTAAATGTCGGCGAGCAGGTGCGAGGCGGTAACGGTAAGTGGCCAGCAGAGGTGGATATGATTCGAATCATAGCCTGGGTTGTAGCTCACCTTACTCGTGCTGTTTCGATTTTCCATGCAGCTACGCACTGCTTCGACAAGCCGCAAACCGGAAGACGAAGTGCACGAATGCTCGGTGGCAGGCCTACAAGGACAGAAATTGGCACTTTAGGCACCTGGCCGCCAAGCACAAGGCAGCCGGCAGGGACCGCCACGCTGACCTCTTCCTGGGCATCATCAAGCTGTCCCAGGCTGTCATTCGTGCCCATCTGGGAAACCTTCTGTCGAACGGCGAGCTGGCGTACAGACCGCCTACGAAGTTCGACTGCAGGATCTATCTCTTCTTGAAGTTGATCAAGAGCTCGCAAGTCGAAGTATAACCTCAGCTTGGCCGATTTTGCATCCAATGCCAGCTCTCGTACAAGGCTTTCCCTCAGCATCATAAAACCAAAGTGAGGAATCTCAAGGATCGGCAATGTTCGACTTTGTTCAGCTTTCCGCTACCAAAGGTACTGCAATCGACTTTTGCGACTGTCACAACTTCATACACCGACTGTATCGACAGGGCTGGGGAGGAAGACCGACTGCTCTTCTCGGGTCTCTCGCTGCAGTTTCGGGAAGGAGGCCATCGCCAATGGACGCCCTACCATCCGTACGGAGGCAGCCGCGGCAAGACCCCTCGAGCTTTCGCTCTGCACCTGCTCGCCCTTCTGCCTGCAGCTTCGCGCCAAGACAGGCAAGAGTGCGCCGCTGCCGCTGCCGCCGAGGTCACTGCTCGCCGTGACCAGGTGAAGTACGAGTCTCTCTCACAGACCGCCAAGGAGCTCTGGGACGGGACCGCAACCATCACCCCGGTTGGCCTTTTGAGCGCCGGCGGCAAGTCTTTCCGGCCGTCCAACTCAAGAGAGGACCAAGCTCGAAAAGCCGTGATCATCGGTATCATTGGGTACGACGGCGAAGGGCGAGGGTGGGTGCCCTGCCGGGTCTCAAGGATAGAGGCAGAGTCTTGCGGGATACAGGTTCTGCCTTTCAGGGGAGAATGGCGGGATCTGCCCTACCAGGTCGCCTTCGAGGTCGGAGAGGTGAAGGCAGTGGCGAGGGAGCTGCTGACTAAGCTGAAGTGCAAACGGCTGAGGGAACACTAGGCAGAGTCCTCGTGGATGACCATCTTTCTCAAGAACAAGGCAAACTCCGCACTTCTACACATAGACTGTACAAAGCGACACCTTCAAATCCCCCCAATGCAGCCAACAAGGCATCGTCGACCCTCCCTCGACTGTCAGAGAAGTCGCACGAGTCATCCCTGACTCCCTCTCAGCCTGCTGGTACTTTGACTCGTCTGCATCCCCCTGTCGAGTCGAGCACAGCTTCTCTGGAAGACGACGACGGCGATGTTACAGTCAACTACCGGGCCGAGGGAATGGACGAGAATAATCTGCTCGAGGAGGCCGATGGCCTTCTTGCCAAAAGCCTCGCGGAAGCGCAGGGAAGAGACAGCCGCCACCACCGCCGCATGTGTCGCTGCTGCTCACGCCGAGATCAATCGCGAGTCCCTCTCAGACCTGGCCAAGATGCTCTGGGACGGACAAGCGACGATGACGACCTCTGGACTTCTCCAGGTCGGCAAGATCTCATTCCGGCACTCGGATACCAAAGACAATGACCTCAAGAAGAAGGCAATCGTTTCTCGGATCGGATCTGATCCACGAGAACGGGGCCGGATCCCGTGTCGTCTGCGTGTATTAAAGGCAGGGGCATACAGGCTCGAACTCGCCTGTTCCGCCGGAGATTGGGTTCCCTTTCCCTTCACAGCGGTCTTCAAAGTGGCCGAGCTCACGACGGCAGTGAGGGAATTGGTGGCCGCGTTGCAGACGTCTGGCAGGGGGGCGGGAGTGCCTAGCGTGGACTGGAGCCGGGCGGGAGTTCCTCCTGTACTCACCTATACCCATCTTCAACTTAAGGGCCCCCCCGATGAGCCAGCCACAAAACGGCTCAAGCCTCCACCTCCTGGAAGAAGACCGGGCGACGAGATTCCTCCAAAGCCTGTGAAGAGGCGCAAGTTGCCGGCTCCCCGCTTCTTGCCCATTCGGAACGCGGCCACTGCAAAACATCCCGGATCTGCAGGCCAGGCAGCTTCAGGAACCTCACTCTCTTCGCGTCCCCTCTGAGCACAGGCAGGCTGGTATGTCGTGGCGCTTCAAAAAGTGGATGGATGTGTTGCAATGGTGACCAAGCGAATTGCACTCTCCGAGCAATAGGAATCGAGGCCGATCCTCTTCTCTCCAGCAACGCGCTCTTTGTCAACCACTGCTCCCGCCGTCTGTGCTTCCGCCTCCACTGCCGCTTCCGCGCACCTCTCGCCTTCCCGCTCCCTTGTACTCGCTCCCTTGTACTTGTACAGCTCGATGTTTCCAGTGTTTCCATCCTCTTCTACTTCACTCGCGGTCCGCGCTTTCAAGACCTTTTTGACATTCCGCAATGTGATTTTGATCTGCTCTGAGCCTACTTCCCTTTGCTCTCGACTTACTTAGGGCGACTTACACTGAAGAACCGGGCAAGTCGCGCCGGTCAACCAGCCGACTGGCTTACCTCTTGTCTCCTCTGCACAAGATAAGAGGAGCCTAGCTCGAGACATGTCAGCACACGTACCGTCTATCACGGCGACTTTATCGGCAAGGAGCCCTCGCTTGGCTGCAGACTCCGCTTCCGCTTCGCTCACGCCTCCGCCTGCACGGCCCTTGACTGAGCGCTTCCAGTACGCCCGAGTGTCCGAATATCATCGCAGCGTTTCCTCCCACGCACCATTCACCTCCTCCTCACCATAGCGTCTCCTCTCTCGCAAACATGACCTCCAACGGCCTCTGTGTGCACTGTGTTTCGGGCACCACGATGGGCGGCGAGCCCCGCGGGACGATGGAAAAGATCGGCCCTTATCCTACGTACATTACCCACCCTAGCTCAGGCGCTCCTACGGATGCCTCTCGCGCGATCCTGTACGCCTACGATGCCTTTGGCCTAGGATTGAACAACAACAAGATCCTTCCGGATGTACTAGCGGACAAGACGGGGATGACAGTCTATGTTCCGGACATCTTTGAAGGAGACTGCGTGCCGTCGGATGCGATGCGGATGCCTACGACGGCAAAGGAGACGCGCGAGCAGGGGTATGTGGCCAAATTTCTGACCATGCTGCAGATCCTGCCACGCTTACCCTGGGCGTACCGCAACTACCCTTATGCAAAGAGGTTGGCCACGGTGGGAGCTTGGGCGGACGCACTGAAGACGGAGCGCGGCGTGCAGCGTCTAGGAGGCGTGGGCTACTGCTATGGCGGCAAGATTGTTGCGAGAATGGACGCGGCGGGGAAGCTGTCAGCGGCAGTGTACTGCCACCCGTCGTTTATGAAAAAGGACGACTTTGAAGAGGCCCAATCCCCTTCGCTGTTCTTGTGCGCGGAAGAGGACATGGTGTTTGGGCCGGCGCTGAAGAAGACGGCAGAGGAGGTGTTTGAGAGGAGGGGGGAGGTGGTCAAAGGGGAGTTCCACCAGTATGAGAAGTGAGTGTGCGAGAGCGAGAGAGAGAGTGTGTGAGAGCGAGAGAGAGACAGTGTGTGAGCGAGAGCGTGGGTGTGTGTGAGCGGATCACTGACTCGTAGGTGTCACGCCAACGTCTCCTTCCCCTCTTCCCTCTACCCTCTTCCACTCTAGCACGACTCATGGCTTCGCTGCTCGACCGAATCTGCAGGACCCGCAAGTCAAGGCCGCCTTTGAAGATGTGAGTGGGGAGTGCAGTGAGCGCATGACGCTCGATGACTGACATACTGTGGGCTTTTTCGGTTCCCTCCCCTCACATCCCCACCAGGCCACGGAAAAGACGGTACAGTGGTTCAAGACGCACCTCTAGAGGAGCGGGTGAACGAGCAGACAAGGAAAGGGAGGGGCACACTAGAGCGATCGGGCAGGGTGAGCTTCCTTTGAGCTGTCGAGATGGACAACTTTTATTCCCTCGCTAATCGGTATCGGTACAAGTACAAGAGCAGATGGCGGGAGCAACAGAACAGGCAGGTAGTGTTCCGGAAGCGACAAAGTGTAGCAGAAAGTATATGCAGTTGTAGCTCTAATCAAAGTCGTATCGTGTGTTGGATGAGCATTCGCAGATGGGTGTTTGTGTTTGGCGCTCGGCCTGCTCCTCGCTGGCTCTCCTCCTACAGCTACCACTTCTCCCGCTCGTCCGCAAACTCCACTGCAACGGCCGCCGGGTAAGGCGTCTTGGGCGGTCTTGGCCTCCTTCGTCCCCAGGGAGAGGAGACGCGAAAGGGTGGATGGGCGGCTTTGGGAGGCGGGCTCAGCTGACCGATCTCTTTCGTGACAAATCCCTCTCGCTGGTAGTTGAGCTCGTAGCGAGGGCTGACTTGAAAGGGCGAGCTAATGCCGTCTCCATTTTTGAGCTGCAGAGAGGCGTAGGAAGGGGTGCTGGGCTCGCTCAGTGGTGGGGGGATGTAGGGCGTGATGCGGCCATTGTTGCGTCTTGCTTGGTACGAGGTCCACAGAGTGAGTCGAGGTAGGCTGGGAGGGAGTGGTGGGAGAGGATGATGTGAGCTGTGGGGTCGAGTTCTTCGAGCGAGGACACTGCGCTCACCTCTCCCATACGGCGCTGCCGATCTCACAGCCAATACAAGCAACGTACTCCATCGTGTCCCTCACAGCGCACCAGGCGGGGCAGAACAAGCACCTACACAGTGAGCAGAATCCAGCAAGGGCATCCCCCGGTGGATCGTAGTAGTGGTCGTTTGAATAGACACCTTCCAGGGCGGCTTCGTTCACGTGCAGAGTGGCCGTCGATCGTAGATGGGCGGTGCGAGGGTGTGGAAGTGGCGGTCCTTGTCGCTGACGATAGTTGGAGAGTGGGAACATCGGAGTGGGTGAGGTGAGATGTGGTGAGGTGAGGTGCAGAGCGGACGGCTGCACGGGTCGAAGAGGGAGGGGAGATCCAGGTGCTAGGCCTGGAGGGCCTCTTGAACGAGCAGAGCGTGCTCAGAGACGACAACTGGAGGAAAGGAGACGAAGAGAGGGACCTGTTGCAGTGACGATGGGCGAGGCAGCGGTGACCGGGAACCTCACCCCCGTCCACGCGCTACTGAGCAATGGGAACGGTAGGAAGGAGAGTTGCTGCCATCGGGCGCATCGGCGCATGGTACTATGACGCCTTGGCGGTACAGCCTCAGAGCAAAGAGGCAGGCCTGCCGTCTGGCCTGAGTCACCGGTCCGGTTGAAGGAGGGGGGAAAGGGAGGATCACGCCCAGCCGGAGCCGGAGCGGTGCGGTACCAAAACCTTCGCCGTCGGGGGGCGTTCTACACAAAAGGAGGGGCAGAAGTGCCCAGCGCAGTACTCTTCCCGACACTCTACAGGAGACAGGCGTGGACAGTCAAGCATCCAGGGTATACGGTTCCGCTCACTGACCCCTGCCTAGCAATTGCAACTTTGCACATGACCTTTGCCGAAGCAGCGTAGGCAGCAGAAGAAGGGCTACCAGGAGGAGCGGGAGAGTGGACAAGTGCGGTAGAGGTTTGCGAGAATGGACATGGTCAATTCGAGGGCCACAATGGTCTCCTCTTTCCTCGCCCATACTCACGAAGCACAGACATCGCAACACGCTGCTGTCGCTCTCCTCTGGCAAGTCCCATCCCGACTCCTCGTCCTCTATCCGCCTCCCGCCGTAGGGCTCGGCTGGCCGCTGACTTTGGGACATTGGCCGCGAATCGCGAGGCGCGGCCTGTTGGCTGTGGTAAGAGGGCTGCTGTGTGTGGGTGTAAGCGTTCTGCTGCTGCTGCTGGTGGGGTGGGTAGTAGGAAGAGGCGGCAGAGGTAGGGTCTGGAGCGCCAAAGTAGCCTTGGCGTTCGTCTGTGCGGACGCTACGGCGGGAAGGATCGGGAGCGCCAAAGAAGCCTTGACGGTCGTCGGTCGAGGCAGTGTAGTCCGAAGAGGGATAGCGGGGCATACTGGCGAGGGATCTTCAGAGAGCGCCTAAAGATAGAGCCAGTCAGAATGGTATAATGCGAGGTGTACGGAGAGGGGTCGCGGCGACTCAGGCGAGGAATATCCGATGTGGAGCAGAGATCGCTCGGCTACCCCGTCACACATTCACTGGTACGGATGCTCGGGAAATAGGACGACGCTGCCAGTGTGGGCCACGTAGAGCCCACTCCCATCGTCCATTGTACCTCTGCAACCTCTTCCTCCTAACTCCCAGCTACTGGGCCCCCCTTTCTCTGAATACTTTCGGACTCTCCCATCGGAAGGAGTTGCAGCAGAAAATCGCCGGCATCTGTGCCAGCCACGGCGGAGAAGAAGTCCGACAAGCCGAGACGGGCGACAGCGCCTGCCGATCCCAACAACCAACCAACACACGGCCTTGGGAATCACACACTACCATCTCACCTCATCAACGTGCTCATACCGGACCTGCTACAGCTGCGCGGCCAGCTCCCTTTCTCCACAGAAAGCGATCATACACCTCCACTCACAGGGACACGCAAGACTTTCGTCTAGTCACCCTCGCCCTCTGCTCCAGGGCCACCCTCCCGCTTTTCGGAAGGTCTTCCCCCCCTCCTCCGCTCACTTCCTCCTCCTTCCTTCCACTCCTTCCACACTTTCCACCTTCTAATGTCCCGCTCCTTTTTCGCCCCAGATGCGGGTCAGTCCTCTTCCTCGGCCGACACTCGATTGAACCTCGGCGGTGCAGCAGGCACAGGCACATCAACGCCAGACTATGGTCGTTCATCACCTCCGCTGGGAGGCCGAGACGAAGCGCGTGTGCCCTTTCTGAACGGCAATGGTCGCCCCGATGATCCCGAAGCGGGAAAGAGACAGAGAGTTGGAAGGAGTGCTAGCATTTCGGGCGCAAGTGGGGAGTCACTAGCTGGACTAAAGGCGCTGCCGCCCATCTTGAGCTACTGTTCCGCCAGTATCCTCATGACGGTCATCAACAAGGTGAGTTAGGCTGGGCGAGGCTTTGCGCAGCTCACTCGAAGTGCAGCTACTGACTTGCCGTCGCGCTCTCCCTCCCTCTCCTTCCTCATTCCCCTCAGTTCGTACTGTCTGGCGCGCACTTTTCGATGAACCTGATGATGCTCCTTATTCAGTCCGTGGTAGGCGTACTGTGCGTCATTGCTGCAAACCAAATCGGCTGGATTGAACTGAGGCCGTGGAGCAACAAGGATGCGCGAGCCTGGGCACCGATATCGACTCTGCTGGTGCTGACCATTTGGACAGGAAGCAAAGCTCTGGTGAGTGAGCGAGCGAGGGAGCGAGGGAGCGAGCGATTATGACGATCTTCGCTGCGAGACTGCGCTGCTCATACTCTCCCCCGCCCCCCCTCCCCCCCCTCCCCCTCCTCTCACAGCAATACCTCAACATTCCCGTCTACACCATCTTCAAGAACCTCACCATTATCCTCATCGCCTACGGCGAGGTCATCTGGTTCGGCGGACGCGTCACCCTCCTCGTCTTCTTTTCATTCACCCTCATGGTCCTCTCATCAGTCATTGCCGCATGGTCTGACATCGCCCGAGCTCTGGCAATCTCCCAGATGTCCATGCCCCACACTCCTGACTCCGTCCTGGGTGGAGCCACCTTCGATCCTGCTACAGGCAAGCCGATTAGCGCCTTTGACGCAATGGGCGATGAAAAGAGCAGACTGAACGCCCTTGCTGCAGGTGCCGCGGGCATGGGAGACGTTGCGGGCCAGGACGACGTGCTGGAGGGCATGTCCGGATGGGGCGTCCTCAACTCTGGGTACATGTGGATGGCGCTGAACTGCATAGTCAGCGCAGCATACGTGAGTACACAGAAGGGGCCGAGTACTCCCAGATCGCACTGGACTCATCTCTGCTCTCCTACTCCTCCGCAGGTCCTGATCATGCGGAAACGGATCAAGGTAACAGGATTCAAGGACTGGGATACAATGTACTACAACAATCTCCTCTCCGTGCCCGTTCTCCTTATCATGTCCATCCTGGTGGAAGATTGGTCCGCTGCGAACTGGGCCGTCAACTTCCCCGCTGAGACGAGGACACGACTACTGAGTGCCATTGTGTTCAGCGGCGCATGTGCAGTCTTCATTGGCTATACCACGGCTTGGTGTGTGAGGACGACGAGCTCGACGACGTATTCCATGGTGGGAGCTCTGAACAAGTTGCCCCTGGCCATTAGTGGTGAGTGGACGTGGCTGCGAGGAGGATTCAATCATGTGACACCGACCTGCCGGATCCTCACCTCATCACCGTCTTCTCCCCCCCCCTCTCTCCCCCCCAGGCATGGTGTTCTTCCACGACCCACCCATCACCCTCGGCTCCACGTCTGCCATTGGCGTCGGCTTTGGAGCAGGTGTGGTGTATGCCGTGGCAAAGAATCAGCAGGCCTCGGCGGCGAAAAAGGCAAGCGAGAGCCTAGCTACGGGCGGGCAAAGCGCTTCGATCGGTGCAGCTGGCGGTGAGAACAAGAGGGACGGGGAGATTCCGCTGTACAGGATGGACGAGCGCGATCGGAGGAAGGACTGAGGGGTGGGGCAAGGGGTGATTGGGGACCATTTCAGGGTTCAGAGTGACAGCGGTGGTGTCAGAGCACAGATCTCACTATATATGTCATCAACGATGCTAATGCGATGTAATGCTCAACGACAGAAGCTGGCATCTGTAGACATCCGATCCTATACCCTTGCCGGCCGGGCTTACATAAGCGCGGTCGGAGCCCGACTTGCGCGCTCAGGCCACGTCGGTTAGCAAGGATAAGGCGGCGCCTTGTGTTCCGGCTGTTGAGTAGCGACGCCCGCCCATTTGCTTCTTGCCTCCCCTTTCTACCCATACAGCCCCTCCTCACCCCTGATTGACTGAGCTCACTCACCCTCCGGCTCAGCTCACCCCCTCCTGCCCTGCTCAGCCCAGCTCGGCATTCCCATCTCGATGCTCTTGGGCGCACAGAGGGCACTACGATCAACGAGTCACTCCCTGCCCGCTTCCTTACCAAAGCGTTCCTTGCTCACTCGGACTCCTGTCTGGCGACCGCACCCATCGACGACTCCTATTCACACCACTCCTCGACGCTCAGCGACCTTCAGTGCTCTTCGCCTGCCACGTAGATCGTCCTCTCAGACCGCTCGCCTCCTGAACACTTCCACGAGAAGCATCATCGATCCGGCTGACCCCACGCTCGACCACGCTGCCACTGCCTCAACTACCATGCCTGCCCACGCTCCCTTTCCAGTAGCTGGCCTCTTGCCCAAAGAAGCTACCGAAGCCGCAAAGTTCCTCTCCAAGCACCCCACTTACGATGGACGCAACGTACGAGTCGCCATCCTAGACACTGGTGTAGACCCAGCCGCTAGAGGTCTCAATGGAAAGGGCAAGGTGGTGGACATCATCGACTGCTCTGGCGCAGGAGACATTACCATCTCCCCAGTCGAAGAGGCCTCTTCCACCGACAAGGAAGCTATTGAGCTCATCTCTCCAACCACCGGCCGAAAGCTCCTCGTCTCTCCCTCTTGGAAAAAGGACTCTTCTTCCCCCTGGCTGGTAGGTTTCAAGCGAGCCTACGACCTCTGGCCATCGGACCTCGTATCCCGCCGCAAAACCCAGAGAAAGAAGAATTGGGACATTGAAGTCGCGAAGCTCGTCGGTAAAGTCCAGCGGGAGTCTGCCGATCTCGAGGCCGGAAGTGGGCCTACAGATGAGAAGAAAAAGACTCAGCTGAAAGAGGAACTCAAAGCTCAGCTCGCCGTGCTGGGAGACCTCGACTCTTCCTACTCAGACCCCGGACCGCTACTCGAAACGGTCACCTTCTTTGACGGCTCGCACTGGCGGACCGTCGTCGGCGGGGCTGAGGGCGACATCATCGAACCCACAAAGGGTCTCCCGGAAGACTCGCTGCGAGCTCTGGCTGGACAGACCTTGGACTTGAGAAAGGCGTCTCCCTTGGCAGACTTCCACATCGAGCAGCAGCACGACGTATTTGGACCCGCAGACCTCCTCACCTATTCTATCAACCACGTCTTCGAGACGAGCAGCGATGCCAAGCAGCCCTCGGGCATCTCACTCGTCACCCTCTCTGGCTCCCACGGCACCCACGTTGCCGGTATCACTGGTGCTCACTTGCCCGAGGATGCCGAGGAGAATGGAGTCGCACCTGGCATTGAGATAGTCTCTCTCCGCATCGGCGACAGCCGCGTCAACGGCATGGAGACTGGTCAGGCGCTTATGCGAGCAGCGCAAGCGATCATCGCAACTAATTGCGACTGCTGTAACATGAGCTTTGGCGAGGACGGCGCATGGCAAGTCGAAGGAGCTGGTGCATTTGCTTCGGCACTCAGGGACATCGTCATTCGACAAAAGGACGTACTCTTTGTCTCTTCTGCCGGTAACTCTGCCCCTGCTATGAGTACGTTGGGACAGCCTGCCGGTACTACCGAGGGAGTATTCACCATCGGAGCCTACGTCAATAGCGGAGCCATGCAGGATGCAGAGTACGCCCTGGTCGAGCGAGGGGTCAAGGACTCGCCGACTACATGGTCTTCTCGTGGCCCTGCTGCCGACGGAGCGAGAGGTACCACCGTGTACGCCCCCGGAGCGGCCATCACGGCCATTCCCAAGTACTGCCTTCAAGCGACTCAGCTCATGAACGGTACCTCCATGGCTTCGCCCAACGCATGCGGCGTCATCGCGCTCCTCCTCTCCGGCATGAAGCAAGAAGGAATTCCCATCACCTCTGCTCGCGTTCACAAGGCTATTGTCGCTACCGCCAAAGACTTCAACGACGAGCTTGGCATCGGATTCATCCAGACCGACAAGGCCTGGGAGTACATTGTTGCCAATCAGGCTCGAGAGGACGCCGACTTTGAGTTCACCGTCGCCGTCTCTCCACCTGGCAAGCCCGTGGGAAGAAGCTCCACCGACAAGCGAGGTGTCTATCTTCGCGAGAAGCTGGAAACTGGCAGGGTCGGCCAGTTCATGGCTACTGTCAAGCCTCTGATCAAGGGTACGGAACCTGAAAAGGCGTACAATCTCCAGCTCAAGTGCAACCTCAAGAGTGACGCTTCGTGGGTGACCAGCCCAGAATTCCTCCTCCTCGGCAGTAATGGTCGGTCATTTGAGATCCGCGTAGATCCCACTCACCTCCCGCCAGGTCTTCACATTGCCTCCGTCAAGGGCTACGACTCTGCAGATCCAGGTCTCGAGCTTTTCGATGTCCCCGTCACAGTGACGAAGCCAGAAGTGTCCAACGAACCTACTGTCCGCTACTCGACGACGCTCAGGGATGGCAAGCTGGAGCGCCACTTCATCCACGTCCCCGAGGGCACGACTTGGTGTGAGGCTCGCTTCCGCTCCTCGAACCATGGAGTCGAAGGCACGACTGCCAAGTTCTGGGCTCACCTGGTCACGGTAGAGCCCCAGCGTCGCTTGAGCTTCGTCGAGCATTCATTTGTGGTGGCCTTGACGTCGGGCGAGCCCATGACTCGCAAATTCGCCGTCAAAGGAGGGCAGACGTTGGAGGTGTGTCTGGCCGAGATGTGGAATGCAGCGCAGAAGTTTGACATTGACTTTGATCTCGAGTTCCACGGCATCACCATCGGACACGCCGTCAGTGGCAGGGACGAGCTCACCCTCATCGGTGGCGAGGGAGCCGTCAAGATCGAGTGCATGAGCAATGTCCGCCTCGAAGCCTTCACCCCTACCATTTCCTTTAGCAAGCGCAGGACCTTTGTTCGTCCTTCCAACTCTGTCATCCGGCCGTTCGTTGACCAGAGGAACCTGCACCCCAGTGGCAAGATGATGGGAGAGGTCGTCAACTCCTACCAGCTGACCATTGGCGAGGGGGGGCCTGTGAAGCTCTCTTGGCCCACGTCGAGTCCTCTATCAAACCTCTACGACTCGGCAGTTCCCATGCTCACGGCCATCTTCGAGACCAACACAAAGAAGCTAGTCTCCTTTGGCGACATCTACCCCAAGGCAAAGGAGCTCGCCAAGGGAGAGTACACTGTGCGTGTGCAATGGCTTAACGAGAACCCTGCCGTGCTCAAGGCCCTGAGGACGGCCACAATGACCGTGGAGCAGAACCTGTCGAAAGGCAAGGACATTACACTGAGCACCTACGAGAACCACGTCGATCTCTTTGGCTCTGCTAAGCCAGCTTCGTACAAGGGCGGAGCTGTCAAGCTTCTGCCTGGCGAGAGAAAGGTGCTCAACCTGGACCTCAACCTTCATGGCGATGCCCTGCCCAAGGAGGCTCAGCCCGGAGACATTTTGGTCGGAGACTTTGGCTTCGCTCCCGATGGCAAGTACACCCTGAAGTACATTGTAGCTCCTGCGCCCAAGAAGGAGGAGAACGGCGAAGGTGGAGGGAAAGACGACGAGCCTCAGCTGCCGGAGCTGCTTGCGCCTCTGACAAAGAAGCTCAAGGGGGAGCAAAAGAAGAAGTTCTTGGACACCCTGCTCAAGGACCATCCTACCTCCCTGCCTGTTCTGCTGGCGCGGCTCGAATCTCTGGACGCCGGCAAAAAGGAAGAAGTAGACGATGTCGTCAAGGCTGCCGATGCGGTCGTCAAGGAGATCGACGTCCAGTCTGTCCTGCTCTATCTCGGCGAGAAGCGCCTGCCCGCGAATGAGCAGAGTGACGAGGAGAAGAAGGAGAATAAGAAGATGGAGGAGAAGAAGAAGGCTCTGGTCACTGCTTACGTGAAAAAGGGCAAAGCCCTCCTGACCAAGGACAAGGACGGTAAAGACGCCGCTTCTGCGTCGGCATTCAAGACCACCTTTGAGTCGGCGCGCAAGTTGCTCGGCGAGACGACGGAGAATCGAGAGTGGGCGACTTTGCGCATTGCCAACTACCTCCGAGACGAAGGAGGTGAAGGGAGTCGCCCTGGACAAGCACTCCAGAGTGTTCGCAAGCTCATCAAGGAGATGGGCGTGGGTGACTCGACGAACAAGGACGAGCTGGCCAAGGCCAAGGAAATGGAGAGGGAGCTGCTAGCTACGCTGGGCTGGGATGTGTGGACAGCGTACGGAGATCGATGGAGGGTCATTGACTCGCCAAAGGACTGGGCGCCCTTCTAGTGGTGCTCCCCAATTGTCATTGCTTGAACTGTCTTTGCTCGAATTGGCCTGCTAGAAATACACTTCTCCCCTCATTGCTGTGAATGCAGCCTTCGTCCCTTATCTCGTTCCGTTCCGGTCCCTCCGCATCTGTCACCGCGCGCACAGAGCAGAAATAGACTAGTTCTAGACACGGGCCTCCACTCGAGCCACACCCAGATCGCTGCCTGCATCGCCCCGCTCCGCACCACAACACCGCTCGCTCTCCTTCCTTCCTACGATTGTCACCCCACGTTCACCACATCACATCACATCACACTTCACCAACGCCATGTCTGCGAAAACCGTCTCTACCAAGCCCTTTGATGGCCAGAAGCCTGGAACATCCGGTCTGAGGAAGCGGTGAGTAGGCGGACAGAGGTGGTGATTCTACTCGCGCGGGATTGCCGAGCTCACCACCCCCAACAATTCCCTCCCACCCCCTCCCCCAGTGTCAAGGTCTTCTCCCAAGAGCACTACACCGAGAACTTCGTCCAGGCCATTCTCTCTTCCATCCCTTCTCCCGGAGTCAAGGGCTCTACCCTGGTAGTCGGAGGCGACGGCCGATACTTTTCCGTACCAGCCATTCAGTCCATTATCCGCCTCTGTGCAGGCAATGGAGTGAGCAAGCTCATCATCGGCCAGAATGGTATCCTCTCCACTCCTGCTGCCTCGCACGTCATTCGATCGTACAAGGCCACCGGTGGTATTCTCCTCACTGCCTCGCACAACCCTGGAGGACCGGACAATGACTTTGGAATCAAGTACAACATGGGCAATGGAGGTCCGGCACCCGAAGGTGTGACAAACAAGATCTTCGAGGTCACAAAGACCATCAGCGAGTACCACATCGTCGAGGGCGACGACATTGACATCTCCAAGGTCGGAGATTACTCCTTTGGCCCACTGCAGATTTCGGTCATCGACCCTGTCAAGGACTACGTCTCTTACCTCTCGACCATCTTCGACTTCCCCCTCATCAAGTCCTTCCTCCAAAGCGGAAAGTTCTCTGTCCGCTTCGACGCCATGAGCGGCGTCACTGGTCCTTATGGTCGCGCGCTCTTCGTCGAGGAGTTTGGCCTGTCGGAATCTTCGATTCAGAATTGCGAGCCTTCACCCGACTTCAATGGCGGCCACCCCGACCCCAACCTGACCTATGCCAAGGCACTGGTGGACGCGGTGGAAAAGGAAGGCATCGACTTTGGAGCTGCGTCCGATGGTGATGGAGACCGGAACATGATCATTGGAAAGGGAGCCTTTGTCAACCCTTCAGACTCGGTTGCCATCATTGCCGACTGGGCCAAGAAGGCCATTCCGTACTTTAGCAAGGGCGGTGTCAAGGGCGTCGCTCGCAGTATGCCCACGAGTGGAGCCATTGACCGAGTCGCCAAGAAGCAAGGGTACGAGTGCTTTGAAGTCCCCACTGGCTGGAAGTTCTTTGGCAACCTGATGGACGCTGGCCGCCTGTCCATCTGTGGTGAAGAGTCCTTTGGAACTGGCTCGGACCACATCCGTGAAAAGGACGGCCTGTGGGCCGTCGTCGCTTGGCTCTCTATCCTGGCCGCTGCCAACAAGGAGAAGCCCGGAACGTCGGTCAACGATGTTCTGCAAGCCCACTATGCTACTTATGGCCGCAACTTCTTCTCTCGCTACGACTACGAGGAAGTCGACTCAAAGGGCGCCAACGACCTGATGTCTGCTCTCGCCTCCAAGTTCTCTTCTCCAGGCTTCGTCGGATCCAAGTTGGGTCAATTCGAAGTAGCAGAGGCAGACGACTTTTCCTACACCGACCCCATTGACGGCTCCGTGTCGAAGAACCAGGGTCTGTACATCACCTTCAAGGACGGCTCTCGCATCATCTTCCGCTTGAGCGGTACGGGTTCGGCCGGAGCTACGATTCGACTCTACGTGGAAAAGTACTCGGACGATAAGAGCGAATTTGATGCAGATGCTCAGGTGGGACTGAAGCCACTGATCGACCAGGCGCTGGAGATTAGTCAGTTGAAAAAGTACACTGGTAGGGACAAGCCTACTGTGATTACCTGAGCAGGCGTCTGCACGAGGTGTCAGTAGATTCGAATGTGATATTCCAGTGCTGCCGTTTGTACCTGCCTCGTTGTATTCGCCTTGCAAAGCATAGCAATGGAAAGGTGTTACCAGTCTGCCTCAACCTGAGCTGCCCTTGAAGCTCCCCTGTCCTTACTATGGTACTCGTTTCGTCTCTCTTCTTCTTCTTCTTGGTTGACTCTGGCCTCTACCTCCACTACATCACACCAATCCAAAGTGCGGAAGTGCGGAAGTGGGTTGGCGGGCGGAGGTTAAATCTGGTGAATTGAAGCAGGCTTAGATACTCCACCCATGGCGCTGACGCCCCCCGCCCGACTCGGCTGATTTCACTCGCACTCACTTCTTCGGATTACATTACACCACCTTTTAGATAGATACCCTACCCACCTCTCCCTTGTCCGTAGAGGAGTCTTGTACTGCGTTCATCGTTGCCGTTCTGGTGGCACTTGAGAGAGAGAGAAGACGCTGCTGCTTGGTTGAAGCCGAGGCGTGGTTGTGCTAGACGGCCCAAGGGCGAACCCAAGCAAGTAGCAAGAGGAGGAACTCTAGACTGGCGGGGCGGAGAGCAAGTACGGCTCCATCCACTCGCATTCGCAGCATGCAGTCTACCAGCATTGCTGAGACGATAATGGGCTTGAGGCAAGGACTGAGAAGGAGCGACTGTACGCCGTCCAGCGCTGCTCGGACTTGGTCTTCCTCTCGCTCTTCCTCGTCAGCGTCTGCCGCTAATGGCAGCTCTTCGTCTTCGATATATACTCAAAGTGCACGGAAATGGCAGGTCTCAAGGTCAAGAGCTCCCTGCAATCCTCTTGCAGCCTCATACACCACTACGGCGGCGAGGCGGATCTTCTCATCCTCGACGTGTGTCCCTCAAGGCTTCGCACGGCGGACTAGCATCAAAGATCTCTCTACAGCCATTAGAAGCTACAGTACCCACCCCACCACCACCATTCCCCCTTCATCCTCCCCCTCTCCACCTCAAGCTCCACCACCTTCACCTTATCCGGGCAAGCTAAAGAAACGCCCCCGCCCCCTCGTCCTCATCTCCTCCCTCCTCATCGGCTCCCTCACCCTCTACCTCTGGGACGAATACGGCCAAGCCCAAGTCCTCCAACGCAACCTCCGTACAGCCTACACTGGTCTAGCCATCGCTGTTGACTACAAGTTGCACTTTGACCCTGATGATCCAGATGCGGTGGGTGGGCTGCACCAGAGGTGTGCGGATAGACTGTTTAGAACGTGCGAGGCAAATGCGGGATTGTTTATCAAGTTGGGACAGGCGGTGGCTGCGAATTCGTGAGTGCAAGAGGCGAGGATGAGGTATTCTAATGAGGGGACAACAGGAAGATGGAGCTGATGTACCATCTCTCATCTCCTCTCTCGTGACTCTCCCCATGCACAGCATCGTCCTACCACCGGCGTACGCTCAATTCACCAAGCTCTTCGATGACGTTGAGCGCCTCCCCTGGAGCGTCGCAAAGACGGTCATCGATGCCGAGCTCGCCTCAAAGGGCACGACCCTTGACGAAGCCTTTTCTGAATTTTCCGAAATACCCATCGCAGCCGCCTCGGTCGCTCAAGTGCACAAGGCACGGCTCAGATCCACGGGCCAGGAAGTAGCAGTGAAAGTGCAGAGACCCTCTATTCGTGTTCAGACCTATTGGGACTTGCTCTCCTTTCGCATCCTGCTCAAATTCTACGAGCGCATCTTTCAGCTGCCATTGAGCTACTTTGGAGGTTACATCTCCTCCCAAATTGAGCGAGAGACGCACTTCGAATTGGAGCTGCAAAACGCTCAACGTATCCAGAAGCACATCAATGAGGACTCGTCGATCAACCAGACGGTGACTGTACCAAAGTACCTGCCCGAATTTACTTCGGATCGACTGCTAGTGATGGAGTGGATTGAAGGGGCGGTCAAGATGACCGACAAGGCAAAGATTGAGGCCATGGGTCTCTCCGTCAAAAAGGTGGCCACGGACGTCTGCAACGCCTTTGCCGCCATGATCTTCCAGTACGGCTTCGTACAGGCCGACGGTCATGCAGGCAATGTTCTCATCAGAAAACACCCAGACGGTACCAAGGGAAAAGCCCAGGTGGTGCTCATCGACCACGGTCTGTACGTGGAGCTTTCCGACAAGTTCCGCAAAGAGTACGCGCAGCTCTGGAATGCTATCTTCCAAGTCGACACAGGTACACTCGAGCAGATCACAAAGGACTGGGGCATGGGCGAGGGCTCATCAGACATGTTTGCCAGCGCCACATTGATGAAGCCTTGGACCTCTCGCAAGCACAAGAAGGCCGAAGGCGAAGAAGAGGACCAGAGCCCCGCGGCGCGAAAGGAAAGACACAAGGCGCGAATGACCAAGCAGAAGGAGGTCTTGCAGAACTTCCTTTCCAGGGTGGAGCTGGTGCCAAAGGAACTCATCTTTGTCGGACGCTCCATGAGGATCGTTCAGGCCAATAATCAGACGCTGGGCTCTCCCGCCAATAGGATCAACATCCTCGCGCGACACGCAGCAGATGCTCTTATCACCACCACTTCCACCCCTTCACTTCTCTCCGTCTTTTTCCCGCGCCACATGCGCAAGTCTCCAGAAGGCGATAGCAGAGGATCGCAAGGCATCTCCTCGTCTTCGACGGTCGGGAAGCGCTTCCACCTCTGGTTTTCCTCGCGCTTCGCCTTTCTCAAGTTCCGCACCACCCTCTTTCTTTTGGATACCGCCTTTCACACCAGTCGACTTGCCCATTGGCTGGGTCTATTTTTCAGAGAGCCCTTTTATGCGCTTGGGCTTACGGCGGTGCACAAGGAGGGGAGAGGACAAGGGTTTGAAGATGATTTGGAGGCATCGATGCAGCAGTTGGCTAGGTGAGTTGGTGGGCATGCACGAGGGCAGAATGGACAGGGCTTACATTGTTGGGTTGCTGACCCATGTCCGCTTTTGACTCCATTCTTCGATCCTCGGCAGAGATGAGCTTGGAGTGGAGCTGCGCAGCGAAGCTTTCGAGGGGTGAAGATAGACCAGGACAGTGCAGTCGACTTCGTGTCTACTCTGTCATGATATTCCCGTGCAAGCTTCGTCACTGTGATATTCTCATTTCCCCCCGGTATCGTACTGTAGAATGGCACTTCAGCAACAGGTTTTCCTCTAATTGCAATACTAGTCGACAGATTCGTCCAAAGTCGGCACAAGCACCCTTTTGATTACTTGCCCTCCGAGATGCGCTCTAGCTTGCCTCGGACGTCCAGTGGAGGTGAGCCCTTCCCTCCTGCTTCTTCCCACTGCTCCCAGACTCGAATGTCCTCCTCAATGTCCCACTCGATGAAGCGCCTCATCTTCCTCTGCAGCTCCTGGGCCCGACGGACAGTCATGGCATCTTCCGGCACCTCTTTGCTTTCCAACGCGCCAGTCGTGTTGCGCTGCTGCTTGACCCGTCCTGCTCCTCTTCTTTCTTCTTCTCCGTCTTCGTCTTCATCGTCATCGTCGAGGAGTAGCGCCTCAAGGTGCAACGTGTCCAGCTCGCCTTCTTCCGCAAGATGTGTAACATACTGCGCCCTCTCCACTACGTCTCTTGGAATCCCACACGCACGAGCACAGAAGGCTGCGTGGCTCTCTTGAGCATGGCCCGGGGCGACACGGTACAGGAACGTGATCGAGTCTTTGATGTCTTGGGTTGGGAGGGCGTAAGGCATCATTGAACTGGTGGCAGTGCTGGGCCTGCTGGGTGAGCCTTGTGCTGCATCGAGGTGCGACTCGTCGAGGAAAATCTGCATGTGCGAGGCCTTGTAGGGAAGCTCCGGGGGGAGACATCCCCGCTTGAAGACATCGTGAAAGTGCGTCGTCGCGAGCACACGAGGGCAGTCTGTGCCCTGCTTCAAGAGGTGGCGTATGGTGGCGGAAAAGAGGGCAGCTCCATCATTGCTCAGCGTACCTTTCCCAAACTCATCGAGCAGGATAAGAGAACGAGAAGTGCAGTTGCGCAGGGCGTGGGATACTTGTCCCAGGTCAGCCATGAAGGAACTCTGCATTCTCGAGGCCGAGTCGCGCGTCTGTACTCGTGTGAGGATCTGGTCAACTACGCCAATGGTGGCGGACTGAGCCGGGACAAAGCTGCCGATTTGGGATAGAAAAACAATGAGAGCTACTTGCTTCAGGTAGACTGACTTTCCACAGCCATTAGCACCCGTCAAGATCTCCACAGATCGTCGTGGTGCCTGGCCTTCGACACTGTCATCAGAGCCAACCCCGCAACCACTGTAGAGAAGAGTGTCGTTGGGCTGAAAGTTCTCGACGGTAAGCTCTTGCAGTGGGTGACGTCCACCTTTGATGTCCAATATGCCCGTGTCTGTCATCGTAGGTCGGATCCAGCCGTAGATATTGGCAGCCTGAGCGAAGGACAGCAGGACGTCCAGCTCTGCGCAGATCTCGGCAATGTGGATCAGCATGCCTCCCTGCTCTGCAATACTGACAGACAGGTCGTGGATCAGCTCCACCTCTCGATCAGCGATGAACGAGTGCACGTCCCCAACGTGCTCGTCCAAATCGTACATTTGTGGGCTCTTCCAGTACGTGCTGATCTCAGAGGCAAAGTGGAACGTCCAGTCGGCTGGTACGTTCATGTCTTCTGGCGTGGTCACCTCTTGATTGAAGGGCAGGGCGATCAAGTATCCAAGCTGAGGAAAGTAGGCGACATTCATTTGACCAGAGTGCTCAAAGTCGAGACTCGCTTTGAGGCTTTGGGCGATGTTGAGCAACAAGCTGGGCAGACCAGCGTAGAGCTCTCGCCACTTGTCGAGCTGGGGATCGATTTGCGCCTTTACGATGAATCGACGCTCTGCTGCGCTTTGGTCCCAGTCGATTGTCGCATCGAGGGACTCGGCGATGCTTTGCAGTTGGGAGGTGTCAAATTCGGCGAGGATCTTCCTCACTATGGGAACGTCTTCTGCGGAGTCTAACTCGGCCATGCAAGCACGGATGTGCAAAGTTTTGACGCAAAAGGCGAAGAGACCTTTCCACATCGACAGCTGTGTGCCGCCTCGCTGCAGAGTATTGACCAAGCGCGGAATGTTCTTGATCCCCTTGAGGTGAGAGACGAGCGCATTAGCTACAGCGCTGCTGGCTGAGGAGGCCAAGCATTCGACAGCTTGGTGGCGAGCCGACAGAATAGTCAGGCTCATCGATGGGAACAGAAACCACCTGTTCAGCAGTGTATGAGAGACTGCGAAGGGAGGCCGACGTCGGAGCGATAAGCGGCAGGGTATTAATTGAGCTTTCCAGCTTTAGACTCACTGGGCGTCCTCAAGTTATCGAGCATGGTATAAATAGTCATCGTCGAGTCCTTTCTCGCTCTGCCCCACCCCTTTTGCGCTCCCTCTGTCATAATGGCCAAGGCCTCCCTACTCTCGGCAGTCATAGTCATGCATTCGTTCAGATGTAGCGTCTCAAGGGAAGTGAGCTTGATGCCCTGCAGAGTGCCTTCGCCCAAATGTCCGCCAGCATTCGTCTCGGGCTCGGCAACGGAAGTGATTCTGGACAGGTTGTACAGCAGCGCAGCAGCGCAAGACGTCGAGAGCGGGGCTTGATCTAGGTCTACCAGACTCAGTGTGTGCAAGAGCTTGTTTCTGTCTGTCTGTGGATTTGGAGCACCTTTGAAATGCGCTCCTGCGACAGCTGAGAGTCTTGACTTGCCGGCTTCGAAGTTGTACTCCCGAGCGGGCCTGATCTGAAACGTTACGCCTCCTACAGAGGCCACTGCAGGAGGGGAAAGGGCGGGTGAGCAAGGCACGGACGTGGGAGGCCCTGGCAGCTCGCCTGTGCTCTTACAGTGCCGCTTGATAGACTCCAGGACCACTTCTGAGCATCTAGAGCTTGCCAGTACGGTGTCAGGTTTGATCTGCTCCAGGACTGGTGGTCACGGAGATGCAGAAATCAGTACGTTAAGCTGCATACATGCTCCCCGGAAGGCAGACCAGCTCACGCAGCTGGATCAGATCGCCTTCCTTTGACTCCTCTTCACCACCTCTACCGGTGTCTTGCCTGCTACTCAAACTCCTCATCTGGTCATCCAAGAACTCCTGCTCGAGTCCCAGCGCAGGACCTCCTGCTGGAGCATCCTCCAACAAGAGCACCTTGCCCGAGTCTGCATCGTAGGAGGCAGCACCGAGCTTCTTCCCTCGCATAGTCAAGCTGAGAATGACCTTGGCTTCATCCTCTTCCTCTCCTTCTGGCTGGGTGGCTGACAAGAGGTTGCTAGGGAATTGGTGAGACTCGGTGTTCTCATCCTCCTCGTCTTCCGAATCAGATGAGCCCATTGTCTCAGTGGCGCGCCAGGACGAGGAAGAGGCGGAGGGTGCTACGGGAATCTTGCTGCGCAAAGGGATCTTGAATGTTGAGCCTGCATTTCTTTGTGAAGAAGAAGTACTGGCGCTCTGAAGGACCAGAAAAGGACGTGGACAGGATCGCGAACACTGTCAGTAGGATTCAAGCAGTAGTGCATACCTCTCCAGCATACAGACAGCCCTGCCTCTGCTGCTCGCTCCGCCTATGCTGATCGCAGAGCCCTGGGTATGTGACCCTCGTCGACGCTGGGCGGGCATGGCAGATCAGATCAGATCAAAAGTTAGCAGGGTCGGTGTATCAGATTGTATTGTGGGAAGCGGATTCGTGGTGAAATGGATGGACAGGAATTGTAGCGAGGAAAAAGGGGCGAAGCTTTTGCTGCACCTGAAAAACGCGCTTTTCTCGCACGGTCCTGCTATTTTCTGACTCCAAGTCCGCTCAGTGACCTAAATGGAACCGGGGCAGCGTACGTATGTCTTCTACTGCATCTATATATGTACCTCGCAACAGACTGAGATCTTCTCAAAAGACGTCCTTGCATAACCCCGTCTTCTGTGCAACTATCATCTTCGCGAAAGTTCGATCGTCAAAATGGTGAGCCGTAGCATCGAGGCTCTCCCTAATCTCATCAACCCTTCTCTGAGCCTCCTCGCGGGTGAGCCCAAGATTCTTCACCGCGAAGACCACCCAATTGGCAGTCATGATCTGCACATTCTGGTGCTGTAGAGTTGTAGTCCACTCGCACTGCTCAGGGTCGGCTGCAACTTGACGCCCGGTAAAGCGTCCGTAGGCAGGTGCAACGTGGGTGTCGACTGGGCCCATGCCTCGCTGCACACACCAGTCCGCAAAACGTGAACTTGACTCTGGCATTTTCCCCATCTGAATCAGCATAGGCATGGTGAAGTCCGTGTAGAATTTGGAGAGGGGAGGGGCAACCGTGTGCGAATTATGGTGCGTATCGAATGACTCGTGCTGCAGTAGCCCTCCAGGAGCAACCAGGGAGATGACGCTGTCCATCAGTGGCTCCCACTTCTCTGCGGGGACAAAGATGGCTACGTGGCGAAAGTGGACCAAGTCGAAGCCGCGGCCATTGGTGTAGTCCTTCTTAAGAGCTGAAAGGGTCTGATTGTCGAGGATGTCCACATCGGCTATAAAGGTAATGGCTCCACCTGCTGCTTCTTCCAGCTTCGGCCACGTCTCGTACTTGGCCACATCCGTTGCAACGATGGAGATCGACTGGTCCGCGGGCGCGAGTTGTCGTATCTCAGCCAGAGCGGTGGAGGCCCAAGAAGCCGTACCAGTGGCTAGCTCGAGGACAGTCTTGATTCGGCCCGCTTTGACGGCCTCCTTTACCCTAGGAGAGAGGGCGCCGCCCAGTACATGGACAAAGATCTGGTGCTGGAGGTCGAGCCGAGCACTCTCGGGCTCGCTGTAGCCCTGTGTAGCGTGGGGCCAGGTATATTCGGCGGGAGAGGTCAGCTGGCACGCAATGAAAAGTCAAATTTTCAGCAGCGAGGAGGTCCACTCACAATCGGGTACTCTTTCCTAGCTTCGGCAGGTGAACTCAGCATGTTTGATACGAAAAAGATGTCCGTAATGAGAGTCAAGCTCAGGAGGTACAGAAGCTGACCTCATCAGGGACGAGTCTCCTCTGGCTCGGGCCTCCCATGGGCGCAAGCCGGACTTGCCGGACAGTGAGCCGCCCGTTCCTGGCGGGTGTGCGCTACCTGGCCGCAATGGACCGGATGCAGATGAACTTTTGTCGGGTCGTAGTGCTGGCTGTGTCTTTGGGCTCACTCCACTCGTGACGGTGCTGCTAATGAGAGAAGAAAGGATCGGTGACATTTCGTGTACAAGGGCGCGTCATGTAGTACATGTGGTCGTCAGGGGCGATGCTGCCCTCACTTTTGTGTGGCCAAGAGCGTGATCGAGTCAATCTACAATCCTCATTACTGCTTGCTCAATCCGAGCGGCTGTCTTGGAGGCTCTGGCTGCTCTTGCCCGCATATTCAAAGTCCACCTCCTCTTTCTCAGGAGCGCCGACCTCGCCATGCCAGCCGTTCCTCTGCAGGTAAGCCAGCCACTCCCGATCTTCAGCCTCCAGATCCAACTTGCTCGTGTCGATGCAAAAGAACCAGGAGACCAGAATGCCCACGACTCCAATACCAGCGGCAATGATGAAAGTGTACTGCTTGCCGAGGTGATTTTGAATGGGAGTGAATGCCTGTGTACCAATGGCAGCTCCTGTCTTTCCGATGGCTGCCGACAGTCCGTAGGCAGTTCCACGCAGGGCTGAGGGGTAGGATTCGGAAGACTGCAGTCCGGCAATGGAGCCAGGACCCAAGTTGCCCATCGAGGTGAATAGTCCATAGAAGACAACAAAGAGAGCAGGGATCTTGATGATATGCGTCCACGCCAGACCAATGATGAGTCCAAGGATGAGGTAGCCAGAAAAGCCGAGGACAAGCTGCAGTCGAGTGCCGATTTTCTTGACGAGGAAAGCCCCGATGATGGCTCCCGGCAAGGAGATGGTGCCGAGCAGGAGCTGGTATTCGGCAATCTCGCGCAGACTTGTCAGCTTGAGTACAGTGCTGATCACGGTACCACTGAAGGCACCGTTGGGGAAGGTGACAAAGTCGTACAGGCTGGGAGGGAGAGGGCACGTCAGTACCAGAGCGGTCAGGACGCTCTTGTGTCTTACTCACAACCAAGCACCACAGGTTCCGATCAGCCTGGGCCAGTAGCGCTTGACAAAGAGCCAGTAGGGCACATTGCGCTTGATGGCACTCTTCCTGTAGAGCTTCGAGTTCATCATCTTCATTCGGAAGTAGAAGACCGACAGAGGAAGCAGAGCTCCAATACCAAAGACGATCCTCCAGACAATGTCTAGTCGCCTGGCATCCTCGGGGCTGGTGGTTCCACCATAGTGCGAGGCCGAGAGGACGATGAGGAAGATGGAGACGGCGAGAGGTCCACCAAAGGACAGTACCACGTTTGTGCAGAGGATGAAGATGGTGGATCGCTTGTTCTGGGAGTAGCGCTCATTGGCGGCTTCAGAGCAGCTGGTGGATGAGGCAGGGTACTCTGCGCCGACTCCGAAACCCGTGGCTCCCCTTGCAACGGTCAGCCACCAGAAGAGGGCTGCAACGCTGTGGTGAACAGGCGTGGCTGCCGTCGCGAAGATGGCTCCAGTGACCAGAATGAGAGTGGAGAGGACTGTGAATTGGAGCAAAAGGAGAAGTGTAAGTGTGGGCCTCTCACCTCGTGTACACTGCCAACTACTCACCGATGGCGCTCTTCCTGCCAATGCGATCACAAATGACTCCTACTGTCACCTGTCCGAGGACTGCTCCTACCAGCAATGCGTTGCTGATTCGAGTAGATACTTCCGAGTCGTAGACCTTCGTTCCGTACCTCTTCTGGAAGAGGACATTGATCATGGTCATTGCATTGTTCTGGTAGCCATCCTGAGAGCGCAGATTGGATACGTGTACAACTGTCAGCGATCAGTGTCGGACCATGCCACAGCTGTCGTTCACTTACAGAGATCAATGCAGCACCGCACGCAAAGACGGTGAAGAGGTCGCTGTATCGAGCCTTGGAAGAGAGCTGCGTGTTGGCATCCTTCCCTGCGGCGACGTCGGAAGGCTGAAGCGTCAGAATCTGGGGCTGGACCTCACCCAGATCCTTGTCGTCTTTGGAGTGGTCGGACATGGCGGTGGGAAGTGGTGAGGGAGGCAGGAAGGAGAGGGAGAGAGGATGATGGAAGGAGAGGGATCGAAGAGGTCCAGACGCGGGCAAGCGGAGGTATTTGAAGTGAGAGAGGAGGCAGGCCGGAAGGATACTGGTGCCGAATTTTTAGCCGCCGTTGTGATTGGTGAGCCTAATCTCGGCAAGGACACCAAGTCCTCTCGGCGCACTTGCCGCTTCTTTAGCCGCTGTCCATGGTCTCACCCGACGCAGGCAACAGGAAGCGAACGTGCTGGTATCCAGGAAGCGGTGCGTGGAGCGGAGCAACTCCCCGTGCCTCTTCTCCGCTGCCTGATTGATTGTCTGGCGGAGTTCGACCCCGCTTGTCTTGCTCCTTCGGGCAAGTCGCCGAGCTGCTCCGACGTGCGCCTACTTCTGGTGCAACTCCTCTCAGACCTCGTCCAGCACGAGGGGCTTCAGCGTCACAAAGTACCACACGTTCTTCTTGAGACTACATCATCAAAGCACTTCGTCGCTACCTTTCTGACAACGGAGCAGGACCGCGTGGCGTGAGAAAACGCTAGGAGACGATCAGGGGCTGACATGGGAAGCGAGGCGCAGGTACAGCTCTTCAAGATCTAGCTAGAAATTGAAAGCAGGTACGCACCGAGGCTGACAGGGACCACGCACCTGAAAAGATCACGGCATGCAGCAGTACCTCTTTCAGAACCAGATTGTGGCCCCCCGTCGTCGCCAAGCAGCTCGATTGGTACCGAGACGGCAGGAGGACCTTGCCGTGGCCCGGCAGGGCCCCACGTGCGCCCCTGCTGCCAACCTCATCTGCACGGTGCCTCGGTGGAGCGCCATCGACACCACCCCACCACCGCCGACCATCGCTTGCTCTTTGTACTTCCTGACAGCCCCCGTCTGAGCCTCGTCCTACTTGTTCGCTCTCGCGTGGCTCACAGCTCAGTAGTATCAGCTCGGACCTCCAGCCAGCTGAGTGGGGAGAATAGTGACAATTTCGAAACAGATGAACATGAGCACGGGGCACGCGGCCGATGATGCACCAGGCAACTTCGGCCTCTCGGGACAAGCCTGGGTGGAAATCTACAGCACAAGGCCTAAGGATGGGGAACACAAGGAATTTATGAGGCAAGGACGGCAATGTAGTGGGAAATGCTTCCGGGCGCAGCGAAGGACCTTCTTCGCCGGTCTCACGGGACGAACTACTACGCCCAGTCGCGTACGCCGAAGCCGATCTTGGGGGATCCTGGAGAAAAGCCGAACATTACATTGTACGAAGCGAAGACGGGCAATCCCAAAGAGCTGCGACAGCATGAACGACGAAGGATGTCAGTAAGGAGTCAAGGTCCGGAATGCATCCTCCAAGCGTACTCACAAGGGCGTGGGGTAAGGTCCCTGCTCGGTTCCCCTGACAACATACAAGCACTCCTTGGGATTAGCTTTTGGGATAGCAGTCATGCGTGATGGGATCTGTAGTCGACCTCCTTCGAAGTCGATGGTCAAGTCCGCTTGAGGCCTCTTGGAGCAGTCGAATTTAGCGACGATGTTACCACGACCATCGTTGTCAGCCGTCAAGCCCGCCTTTTTGATCAGATCCTCAGCCACCTGAGGAGGTACAGTGATCCAAGGACTGGTGGTGACAAAGTCAGCTAGTCCCGTGTGGCCACCGATGGTCGCTGTAAGAGCCCAGTGAGTCTTCTGACTGGATGACCAGGCCGTCGGGATAGCCGGATTGGGGCTGGGGATCTCCGCGCCCAAGACAAGCTGGCTGGCAGAGCCATGCCTCATGGCAATGGAGAAGATGGGCTTGGCCCAAAGACCAGCTTTGGCCACTTGCTCCAAAAAGTTAGTCGAGCTCTCTGGCTTTCCATTGAAGGTGGGGCCCCTGAGGCCAAAGCCGAGGTCACCGACGGGACCTCTGCCGCCCTTGTTTGGCTCGCTTTCGTAGACCATGTTGAAGTTCTTCAAAGTGGTCTTGCCGAGGGAGAAGCTGCCTACGGTGACCTCTTGAGCGAGGGAGTGGTAGTCGTTAGCTGAGGGAGGGCCGTTGAGCTTCGTGTGTGGGTCCTTGTTCTGCGCAAGGCAACGGAAAAAGAGCGTTCAGCAAGGGGCCACTTATCCACAATCACTACGTTGCGACTATCAAGAGACTTACCGGAGTCCACGCTCCTGAAGCGGCTTGCACATTGTACCCTGTGGTAATATCGGTACCTGAGGTTGATGCAGCAGACGAGGTGGAGTGTTACTGCCATCCTTTGGGCCTCCTGCATCAGTATCCTCCAACTCACCAGTCTGGAGCGCGTACGTGTAGGGCTTGCCATTAATGGCGACTTGTACCGACAAGGTGGAGAAGTCAAAAGGAACAGTCTCGGTGCTTCCTCGGCGAGCCAAGCTTGAATTGGTCTCGAGGCCGGCCGTCAGAACCAAGGGAAGGGTGTAGACGCCTTCGCGCTCCTCTACAGCCGCTATAGGTCCGTCTCGGCTAGCGAGCAAGACTGGCTTGGCAGGTGTGGGAGCACGCCTGGCGACGGTGAATTGACCGTTGCATGAGGACGCCATCAAGGCGACAGCCACGATGCTTAGGAGGGTAGAGAATGTAGACATGGTGGTTGTGAAGTATGTTTGGGATGGTGTGTGCTTCTCGGCAAGATCTTCCAGACTGGTCGGGTATTTGTACTTCTCCCGATTGCATTCCCGCTGGTTCGAGGGAACCATAATTAGTTCGAGAGACAAGGCACAAGGCACAAGGTACCAGGCACCGATGGGCCGCAGAAAGAAGCTTGGTTGGAATGAACGAACGGGGCATGCAGGGCGCCCGGAAGAGACTTTGCTGCTTGCTCCGGGGCTCTCTTCAGGTGCCGGTCCTCTGGTTCAGGACTCCTTGCCTTCCCTTACTTCTAAGTGCATATCCAGATCGATGGGTCAGGCAGGGTAAGGCGTCACTCCATGGCTGCAGGGCTTCTCGTCAGGTACCGTTCATTTGGTTCAGGGCTTCCTCCTGCGTGCCTGAATCTTTATTGGGTTTCTAGAACGATGAGCTACGCCTTACCAGGACTCGCCACATGGCTGCAGGGTTCTTCATCAGGTACGGCCCAATTGGTTCAAGAGCTACCTCGCGTCCCTGAATTATTATTGCGTAACCAGAAGGATGGGTCCGCCTTACCAGGTATCGTCACCCCACTCGACGGCCGTGCGCATGCCTGCTAGCCTCTTCGGCATCGTCGCTGTCGCCTGCTCTTGGCGAAGTCCTTGTGCAATGGTCAAATCACAGTCGCCAGCAAGCTTTGGTCACACGAAGAAAGCATTCTGATGAAGGGAAAGTGGGCTCGGTCATTAATTTCAGGGGCAAATGGAAGGTGACAAATTTGGAGGGGACAAGTTTCGCAGAGCAAAGACACTGTCGACTGATGAAATCTCGGAATACAGCGGAAAGGAGCAAGCGCCGAGGCGCACGGGCCACCAAAAGGCGATATGACGCGAAGTCAGGCGTTGGGACCTTCCTCCTGCGGCAAAAACGACTGTATCGTACTATTGACAGCCTCTACTTGGTCAGACCGTATACCCCAATCATAGGTCGGCTTGGGGTAAAGTCAAACGACAAATCAAAATTGGCGTACACGAGCAGTCCCAGAGAGTAAGGTGTAGGGTAGTCACCCTGCTCCATGCCCTTGATGATGTACAAGCATCCATCGCCCTTGTCGTTGGGGTAGTATTGAGACTCGGATACGAACTTCATGCGTCCTCCCTGGAGCTTGACGTACAGATCAGGAAGCGTCTGCTTGCAGTCGGTGGTAGCATAGATGTTGCCGTCCTTGTCCTTCTGGGGACTAAGACCAGCTTGCTTGATGAGATCGACGGCGACATCAACGGGCACCACGATGCCGTCGGTGGTAGTGGTGAAGTCAGCCATACCCTTGTGGCCGCCGATCTCGACGTTCAGAGCCCACGAGTTCTTCTGGCTAGGAGACCAGAAGCTGTCCTTGGGTGCGTCGCCGAGTACGAGGATAGAAGGTTTGTCATTAGCCCGGTTCAACTGCACGGAGAAGATGTTCTTGGGCCAGGCCTTGGTGTTGTGGACGCGTGTCAAGAATCCTGGAGCCTCGAAGCTCTTCCAAGCAGATGAGCCTGAAAGTCCAAAGCCGAAATTTCCAACAGGACGTCCAGGAGGAGATTTGGCGATGGGCTCCTCGTACAAAAGCGTCATGTCCTTCAAGGTCGTCTTGCCAAGGGAGACAGTGTCGACCTTGTACTGCTCGGCGGTCTTCTTGTAGACGTTGGTGACTGTGGGGCCGCTGGTGTGAGCTCCCTTGTCCTTGGTAGGATTCCAAGCATGGGCATCATCCTTGATGTTGTAACCCATGACGGCGTCGCTGTTACCGATGAATTCGTAGACGTAGGGCTTGCCGTTGATCTGCACCTCAATACCAAAGGTGTCAAAGTTGATGTGGACACTCTCAGCCTTGGCGCCTCTTCGCTGTAGGACCTTGCTGGCGTCACTGCTCTGGCTTGACATCCGGACCAAAGGAAGGTGCATGACACCATCTTCAACCTCCCTTTCGGTCAAGAGACTCCTGGCAGCGTTGGGCGAGCGGCTGACCATGACAGGCTGGGGAGGACCCCTGGCGACTTCGAAACGCGCATTGGTCGTTGCAGCGGCTAGGGACAAGGTGATGGCGACGAGGCTGGTGAGTTGACGAAAAGAAGGCATGATGGTCAAATGAGTGTTGATGGGGAGGGGGCGTGAGGAGAAGACGATGAGGAGCAGGAGGGAGACCGTCGGTGGCAACTCTCGCTTATATGCTGGTTTTGTTGGTGCTGCAGGCCGAACGACGGGAGTGCCCCTTGTCTGCAATTCGCAGCCGACGCGGCGCGGCGGCAGGCAGGCAGCGGGAGAGAGGTGGGAAAGACCGTTCAGGCACAAGGTACCGATCATGTTTGTACCTCGTTCGGGGTTGTAGCTGTATAAGCGTCTCTACAGCCCTCGGGCCGGGAGAATATTGCTAAGACGGCATCGGCTCCCGCTGTTGACACCGACGCCTCCACTCAGGGACGCAAGAAAATCAGGGCCCAGGGCGCGGCCGTTCACTGCATTCTCGGAGCATTCTTTCGACAAGGCACAAAAGGCTTGGCATTGATAAGGTGAAAGGACAGCGAGGCATAGCAAAGGAGCGTAGGGAAGAGGGAACGTTGTCTGAAGAGCGTATGGCGTATTCTACGACCAGTGACCTCTTTTAGGCGCGAACAAAGCCCACTCTGGGCTTGCCAGAGGTGAAGTCGAAGTTAACGTTGTAATTGTAGAAGACGATCATGCCGAAGGTGTAAGGCGTAGGGTAGTCGCCCTGCTCAACGCCTTTGATGATGTAAGTGCACTGGTTGCCGTCTGGGTCGTCCCTGACAGCACCATAGTCCGAGGTGAAGAGAAGAGACCCGCCGTCGAGGTCGATCTTGGTGTCGCCAATCTGCTTGTCACAGTCGAGCTTGCCAACGGTCTCGCCGTCTTTGTTCTTCTCGGGCGTGAGACCGACCTTTTTGATGAGCTCGGTAGCCACATCAGGGGGAGCGATGATGAAGTGCGTGTTCGTAGCTGGGAAACACGACGATCAGAACGATGTGGGGTCAGCAGGGCCTTCCATCGTCCTGACGTTGTTTACCTCTCGACTCACCGAGGTCAGCGATGCCCCTGTGTCCGTTGAAAGACACATTAACAGCCCATCGGTTCTTCTGGCTGGACTGCCAGAAGGGCTTGGCACCTTTAGCCCCCTGACTCTCAGCGCCCAAGATCAGTTCGCTCTGCTTTGCATCAGGGCGGTGCAGGGCTAGAGAGAAGATGGGCTTGGCCCAAGCTTTTGCTTCGTAGATCGTCTTGAGCATACTGGAAGCAGCCGTGTTGCGGAAAGCAGTCGATCCTGGGAGACCAAGTCCTAGGTCGCCGACGGGCTCGCCCTTGTCATTTGCACTAGCCGGGTCTCCGTACAGAACGCCGATGTTATGAAGGGTGCTGTTACCGATGGACACGTCAGAGACCTTGTACTGAGCCGCGGTTCCGCCGACGGTGCTAGTGACTTTGGGTCCGTTGGTAGTTGCCTTCTTGAGTTTCAGGTCAGCCGCGGGGTTCCAAGCACTGGCATCATCTTTGACATTCATGGCAATGATGAGGTCGGAGTCTGACGGGGATGAGAAGAGACGAACACGTCAGATGACAGCCACCTCATACACGTCGAGTGTACGATGCCAACTCACGGGTCAGGACATTGTAAGGGTACTTCTTTCCGTTGATGCCAAGCTCAATGGCAAAGGTGTCAATGTCTACATCGACTGACTGTGCGCCTCGTCGGAGGAGGGTGTTGTTGGTGAAGGTGGTTCCGGTTCGCCTGACGAGAGGAATGCTATAGACACCACCTTGTTCGATGTTGCGCTCCTCAAGACCGCTGGCAGAGAAGGCACGTGCCACAGCAGCATGGGCTTCTCTGTCAGAAGCTGAATCACGCTTCACCAGGTCCATTCGAGCATCGCCAGATGCAACGCTCAGCGTCAGAGCGAGCGTGACAAGGTGCAAAAGGTTCGAGAAAGAGGGCATACTGGGGAAGGGTGGAGGTGGGAGGGTCTGGGGGAGGAGCAAAAGAATGGCAGCTGGGGAGAAGAGGCTTCCACGATGATCGTCGTGTCACCCTTATACTGTCGCCCAGTTCGCCAAGGGACGCCACTATAACCCTGTATGCGGAACCGGATTGTGTCCCTCCCCTGACGCGGCTTCATATCGACGTACGCCAATGCAGGGACGGGAGTGAGACTCAGGGGACTCAGGGGCACTGGTAAGCGCCTTGGAGGCTGGAAAAGAGGTGCCAGCAACAACATCTTCGCTGGAGGTGTCTCTTTGCTTTCACTCAGCGTCACGTGAGTGACTCGCGCTCCGAGCGACTCATCGACGCGTCAACCGTTGCGCAATTGCTCTCCACACCTTTGCAAAGCGAGAACATGCTTGCCTCGACCTAAGTCCAGTCGTTGCTAAGCCTGCTATTCTATGGCAATGGTATTTTCCAGAGCATTTTGGAGAGGTATTTGAGGTTGTTCGCCTCCTTTTCATTCTAGTAATCCCACAATTCTCGAGGACTGGCTCCCTGAGACCCTCAGCCCCAATGCAAGCCCACCGTGTCTTCTCTGAGAGTATTTCACGGCTCATATGGGCTTGTCTGCTCTTCTTCGCCTTAGTATCCATGAACGCACCTTACCTGGTACGTGCCGGGCGAGTGGTCCCGCGAGCTCGCCTGACAGACCTTACGGAACATGCCTCACCGTCAGGTACCAAGCCCGGGATCACGTCATGGTCCTCCTCCTCTTCGGCGGCCAGTTCTCCTTCTTCCTCTCCCAAGCGTCCCAATCAAATTCCGCTCGGCAAACCTTCCGGAAAAGTGACTTCCTCAATCACCAAGATTCCTCCCGGCACAGGCGCCTGGACTAGCGATCCGACTCTCGCAGACAAGGTATTTAGGACCAATTCTGCCCAATTCCGGGACATGATGACGCACGGCATCGCCATGACACCCGTCAGAACTGCACCGGTGTCGAAGAAGGGCAAAGAGATCATCCAAGGACCTCCTCCCCCCTCTTCGCCTCCGATGACTTGGAAGCAAAGGCAACAAATGATGTCAGCAGCAGCAGCAGCGGCGGCACGTAGGCCTGTACTGCCGCTGGAGCAACTCAAGAAACAGCGCAATCCTCGTGGCCCAGCGAGCGGTACGCGCAACAGAGTCATTGCGGATTGTGCTCAGAGCGTTGGTTCGGGAGTCGGAAGTTTGTGGAGAGCAATTGCGGGGTGTTTCAAGGGCAGTGGCAAGAGGAAGTTAGGTCGTCGATACCAGGCTGTTGCTCGGCAGTGGAGCCCCTGAGTTACCTCTCTCCTTTGCCCGCAATGAAGCAGTGCTTTGCCTCCTCGCACTCACCTGAGAGCTTCATCAAATCGAGTTCAAAAACAACTTGCAGCTTCTCAAATCCCTGACTCGATATCTCTGATCCCTCAGCTGCTTTCTTCAACAGAATCAAAGTTGTCTATGCAGAGGACTGGCTCCTCTTGAATACCATTCGATGCTACCTTCTTGCCTCTCCCTCGCCACCAAAGCGTTGCTCCTCACATGCACTCTTCTGCTTCTCAGCTCTTCAGCATGTCTCAACTTCATCTCTAGCGTACAAGCCTCGCCAACTTCCACACTGACTCCTATACCGAATCCCTTCCCGAAGTCGCTGCCAGAGCAAACCAACTACGCCTCAACCTCAGGCACCAAACCCGTGCCTGAAGTGCCATACCTGTACAGCTGGTCCTCCGGGTCCTCCAGTCCCTCTTCTCCCTCATCTAAAGAGAAGAAGAGTCCAACCGCTCCTCCCAAGGTAGGCAGACTAGGCAGTCCGCCTATGAGCGAGCGACCCTTCAAGTACATCGACCTGACCGAGTTCCGGCACAAGCTCTACCAGCCTCCGCTCCCGGAGCATCAGCGCCCCAAAAAGAACAGGGCGAATGCTCCTTGGAAGAAGGCAAAGGGAGTGCTGGAGGGACCTTCTCCTGCACCAGCTTCGCCGGGGAGGAAGGAGAAGCTAAAGGCGGTACCGGCTCGTTTGCTTGAGGGGGATGTGAGGGAGGAGAAGCCCGAGATGCCTGTGGGCAAGAATGTGGGAAAGACCCGGGGAGGTGTATGGAGGAAGATGAGTTGGTGCTTGGGAGGCTGTGGCAAGAAGGCGTAAGCTTTAGGCTACCCTGAAGCCAATGTTGTGGGTTGCACAGTGCTCACGATGTCGGCTCCTTTGGTCTTGTAGCCCGTTGCTGTGAACCTCTTTCAATCCCTGGGCTGGCTCTCATGCGAAGTGTAGCGAGGACTATTGGTATTGATACACACGAAAGGAACGAGAGACTCTCTGACAAAGCTACTGGCACAAACTTCACTTTCGACCCAAAACCTCACTTCGAGTAGACTAGCGCGCCTAGACTGCCGCCGCGGCGGCCTCGACGAAGCTATTCGCCTCGTCCTTGGAGATGCTCCTTACGCTCGAGATCTTCTGCGCATTGAACAGCACTCCGTAGCACTTTTCCGCCACTGCCACCATCTCCGGCCTGAAAGTCGTAGTGATGAATTGAGCATTCGCACTCAGCTCTTCGATCATTCCCGCCACCGAGGTTCGGTACTGGGCGTCGAGATTGGCGTCGATCTCGTCAAAGAGGTAGAAGGGTGCCGGATCGCACTTTTGGATCGCAAAGACGGTAGCGAGTGCCACGAGGGACTTTTGACCGCCGGAGAGCTGCTGAATACGAAGACCCTCGTCGGACTTTGAGTTGAAGGAGACTTTGATAGAGATGCCAGTGTAGTGATCGATGGCGGTTGATGCGGCAGCGGTCTTGCTCTTGGCCTTGGTTGCTGCTGCTGTTACCTTCTTGCCCTTGGCGCCCTTCTTGCCAGCAGCGGCGGTCTTTCTGCCACCGCGACCTCCACGTCCTCGTCGAGGTGTCGCTTCTTCCTCCATCTCCTCGTCGGAGAGCTCAGACTCTTCCTGGGCCTCTTCTTCCTCGCTATCAACGTCCATCTCTTCCTCTTCGTCCGGGCCCTCCTCGTCGATGCGCTTCTGCATGATTAGCTTGCCCCTTCCAGCAGGCACCAGCCTAGCAAAGACTTCCTCAAAGTTCTTCGAAACCTGCTTGAAGGTCCTCTCGATGGCCTCGTCTTTCCTCTGGTCAAGCACCTCAATCAGCTCCTGGATGGACTCGGCAGATTTTTCAAGCTCGCTCTGCCTCTGCGTGAGCTGATCACGCTGCTTGGTGAAATTATTGTACTGCTCGACGGCCTTCTTGTTGACGTGCGAATAGTCCTTCAGCGCATCATTGACCTTGTGCAGCTTCTTCACCAGCCGGTCCATGCTCGTGCTGAGATACTTTTCGAAAGCCTCTTCCGGCAGAACACCGAGATCTCTGATATGGGCATTGCACTTGTCCTTCTGCTCGAGGAACCTCTGACGCTTTGACATGTAGCGGTCGATGTTCTTCTGCTGCTTCTCGATCGCCCTGGCTGTCTCCAGTTGCGCAGCGTAGACCTTGTCGTGCGACTCTTGCAGCTCTTGAATGCGCTTGCCCAGATTGTCAAGCTCTGCTTCGAGATTTGACAAAGCAGTCTTGCGCTCATCGTGCTGCTTCTTGAGTCGATTCAACTCACTCCTGCGAGCGGTCGAGCTGGCTTCGCCGGTAGTGACAGCGCGACTTCCGCCCACGTTGACAGCCTCGCCGAGATCCTCAAGCTGAGATTGCAGGATATCCCTCTCCCTCTTTAATTGTTCGTCAAGGTCAATCTCGAGGTCGTTCTTGGACTTGGTCAGCTCGGCAACCCTGGCGGACAGATCGGCGACTTCCTTGCCCAGAGCGTCTTCCTGAGCATACAGCTGATCACGCTCAGCTTGCTCGGCAGGTGTGAGACCCTGTCGCATCTCCGTACCGAGCTCTTGCTCTAGAGCCTCCCTCTCAGCAACGGCCGCCTTGACATTCCTTTGCAATGTTGTTAGCTCTCGTTGGACGATGGCTAGGTCCCGCCTTGCGTCCTGTTCCTCACTCCTGAGCCATTGCAGCTCCTCGAGCAGAGGAGCTCTGCTGTTGGCAGCTTGATAGATGCGAGCTTCGAGGGACTGAACCTCACCTGTGAGGGTGGTGATCTCTTGCTCGAGCTGCAGAGTGGTCTCTCTGACTTCCTTTAGCCTGTCGGCATCTCCTTTGAGCAAGTCTTGCCACTTGGTCACATCGCGGATCGAGTCCAGCCGAGATCGTCGAGGATCGTGGTAACCTCCAGTGAGCGCACCCCGCTTCTCCACCTTGTCACCGTCGAGGGTGATCGTGTTCACTCCATGACTACGCACATAAGCGCTGGCGACGTCAAGCTCGGAGCAGACCAACATGGAACCGAAGACTTGCTTCATGGCGGGAGTGAAGCGGGCATCGTACTGCAGCTTGTTGATGAGTGGGATTGCATCAGTAGCAGTCGGAAATGTCTGCTGCTTGGGCTTCAGACGGTTGAGAGGCATAAAGGTCACCCGACCACCGCGCTGCTCGTCTTTCATCAGGGCAAGGATTCTACTGGCGGTCTCATCGTTGTCGACCACGATGTGGAAGAGACTCGTGTTGGCAGTGACTTCTGCTGCTGTCTGATATCGATCGTCCACAGTGAAGAGCTTGTAAAGAGGTCCATGGTAGCCCTGAACATCGTGTGCCTTGACGACTTGCATCACAGAGTTGAGACCTTGCGATGTAGTCTTGTCCATAGTCGCTGCCAGCTTGCGGTTGGCGAGGTTGAATTGTTCCTCGGCGTAGGCAGTGGAGGACATCAGCTTGGTCTCCTCCTTGAACAGCTCTTTGCGCTGTTCGCTGAGCTCATCTCGCCTCGCCTTCTTGGTCGTCCAAGTTGCCAGGCCCTCGTCCTTTGTCCGTTTCCTCTGCTCGAGGGCAGCCTCCTTGGTCTGAACAGTCTCTTCGATCTCTTGCACTCTCGCTTCCGCTCGCTCTTGGGCGGCCGTTACTTCAGTCAGGCGAGAGCTCTGAGCAGCCTCGAAAGACTGCAGCTCTTCAATCTGCTGCGAAAGCGCCTCGTCTCGCTCAGCCTGATTTCGGAATTGAGCCGATCGTCCACCTTTGGCAATGATGAAGGCCAGGCGTGACTTGACCGTCTCCAGTCTATCTCACAGGCAGAAGAAGGAAGATGTCTCAGCCTTCTACTCACGCCTACTGCTATATCGGTTGCTTCACTCACCGCTCTCGAGCCTCATCCAGGCTGTCAGTCCTCTCTTGCCAATCAGGAACGACGCTCATGAGCTCACTCTCTTTCTCTGAGATCTCAGCCTCGACTTCGTCGAGCCTCTGCTGCAAATCCTCCCTCCTCTCTTGTGTCCTCTCTCCGCTTTCTTCATCGTCCCGCACCTGGGCATCTAGCTGGGCTACTGCCCGAGACAGCTCTCTTCGTTCCGCAACCAGGGTGTCCTTGGCGAGCTGCTGCTGTGTCTGCGCCTGCTTTGTCTCTGATAGGTCTGCCTCGAGCTTCGCCAGCTCCTTCTCCCTGTCCCGGAATTCGGTGCGACGAGCTGCAGACGTCCCAGCGTCATTGTTGCGATGCTCCTCGAGCTCGTCCAGAAGAGCGGTGACGTCTGCCATCTCACGCTGGTAGATTGCGTACTCGAGACATCGGCGATCTTTGTCCTTTTCGTAGTACGTCTTGAGCTCTTCCTTCTCTTCATCGAGCTCCGAGAGTCGCTCTTCGATGTAGGTCAGAAGGTCCTCAATCTTTGCTCGCTTCGAGTCCGTGTCTGTCATGATCTTGAGCGACTCGGTACGGCGCTGTTCGTAGACTCTTGTTCCTGCCACTTCCTTGAGAAGATTGAGACGCTCAGAGTCCTTGATGTTGGTGAGATGAGTGATCCTGCCCTGAGGTACAATGTAGTAGGGATTGCTCCTGGAGAAGCCCGCTGCTTCTAGAAGATTGGCTACATCTGCCTTGGAGGCGCTCCTTCTGTCGATGGAATACTCGTCCTTTTTGAGACCGATCGTCCTCCTCAGAATGACTTCAACGCCATTGGTAGGGAAGCGCCCATCGGCATTGTCAAAGACGATCTCTACAAAGGCAGAGAGAGTGGTTGAGGTGGAAGAGGAGGAATCGTGGAGGAGGGCCTGGCGCTCCTCTCTAGACATGGACACGTAGGCATCTGAGAGGACGAAGCGGATCGCAGAGAAAAAGTTCGACTTCCCGGAACCGTTGCGGCCAACGATGACATTGTTGCCGGGGCTGAGATGTGGTAGCGAGGCGTGGACAGCAGGTGAGAGTGTACATCGTCAGCAGGGGGCACAAACACGCCGAGTGTCCTTCATATGTGCACTAGTCTTCCGGCTCACCTGAAAGGATCAACAGCAATCTGGTCTCGGTAGCTCTTGAAGCCCTGAATCGTAATGGTCTGTGGAGAGGTGACAGAAGAAGGGTCTCAGCTTAGACCAGTGCAAGACTTGGCTGTAGCGATGGAACTCACCTTGATGTGCATATTGAGCAGCCAGGGAGGCGCCTGAAGCCTTGCTCACAGTGCTGAGGAGTGTTGTATCAAGTGACGATGTGCGAAGAACTTCTTGATGGAGATACGAGATGTGAGATGGACTCGCGAATGGCAAGCTAGCAAACGCAACGACGGAGCTCACACGTCCTGGCTGCTCAACGGAAAGCGAGACGCGTTGGACCCCTCAGAAGCGCGTACATGAGCTCCTCCGGTCCGGCTGTGTGGGACTTCGGAGCCGTGGGAGAAGCGTGGCAGAAGCAGCACCAGAAGCGGGGCGCGTGCGTGGGTGCGTGCGTGCCTGACCGGGTGGCGGACTTTGGCTTTTTCTATCGACGTGAGCGGGGCAAAAGTATCATAATGACCCCGAAGTGACATGGAGTTCGAAAAGACCCGCTTGGTCGGAATGCTGCGAGGGAATGGAAACTGCACGCCTGTCCAAGCTCACTCCCCTTGGGCTCTGGGGATGGCATGGACAGTATACGCAGGCTTTCAAAGTCAAAGTGGACCCTTTAGCAGGCTTTGCACTTGCCCGCTCTGGAAACCTTGTCGTCAGGCCCTGGAAGGACTCCTGCTTCCGGCCGGCTGAGATGAGATGAGGAGCTGGCGGGGGCGTGCGTACGTGTTGGCCATGCGTCTACAGCAAGGTGAATACTAGCGCAAAAACGCCACGGGCCGCGGCCCTCACGAATGGAAGCAAAGATCGTACTCTATAATCAAGACATCCTCTCACTCCGAATGCTGAGATGATGCTGAGCTTACACGATGAAGGGAGGGGTAGCGATCGCGGGGGAGGGGAGCTCGATGGCTGGCTCGGGCTGCTGCAGGTGAGCGGACAAGGTGGTACAGGGTCCGTATCGGCGTGGCTGAAGCGATTGGCGGCGGACTGGGTCTGGTGTATGAATGGCATTTCAGTCTCCCTCGAGAGTGTGTGTGCCCGAATGAGAGCAAGTAAAGGAAGGAGGGGTGCGATATGGTCCATCCTCATGGCTGCATCCGTCCTTGGCTCGGTCGGGCGAGATGGGCGGAGTTGAGATCAGGAGCCAGGAGAATAAGCGCGGCACAGGGGGGGGGGGGGGGGTGCGGGGTGCGGGATCTGCCTGTCGTTGGTCTGCCTGCCTGCCTGCCTGCCTGGCGTGCCCCCCCCCCCCAGGCGCAATGGCAAACAACACGGCGGCGGCTGCCTCTTCCCCCGCCGCCTCGCCTCGGACTTTGCATGAGCTGAGCCATGGTCCACACACCCGCACCACGACTTTCCTCCGATACCAGGCACCACCACACTACACTGCTTCCCACACCGACTTACGCCTCCCTCAGGCCT